CAACTCCACCCCGCGATATTCCACCGTCTGCCCGTCCAAGAGCCACCGAGCTTGGTGTTTTGCAATAGCAGCCTTTCCAACCTTAAACAAGTACAGCCGCCACTGCAGAATGTGGCCAAATGGCGTCTCGGCTAGCTGTTGGAAGAACTTCTTACAGATCTTAGCGAGAAAGACAGGGATTTGATCTTCGTCGTCCTGCTCCTGGAAACAAGTATAGTCAAAGAGCACTAGCTAGGCAGTCCAAGTCAGAGCTGATAGGTGGCTATTGAAATTCCCCGGCTCCTCCTATAATCCTCGGCCCTTCCCGCGGACTTTCCTACTAAGTATGGCGCAGAAACTCAAGACGGGTGATTTGAATAGCACGCTGCTAACAGTCTAGCAGATCAGCGCTAAGTATAATCGCCGGATGGTATGCTTAAGAGCTAGCTCCGCCTCTTCTTCATCCTTCAGAGCTAAGGCCTCTATAATCTCGTTTATAGCTTGGATCTGCTAGGCAGTTGGCTAGATAACATCTTTGAGAATAGTTGAATCTTTGCACTTTCGAATAGCCTAGCGAATTATTGCTTTGTAAATGATACATTAAAGATTATATACATTTTCTAATAACTCTATAAGTCTATACTTAAGAACGACAGCGTTTGAATATAGGCCCTTTCTCATAGTCTAATCCATTACTTGATATATTGTCTAATTCGTCTTCATAATGTGCTAGCTTCCTCGTTTGTCGGCGTACAGACTCTCTTTTTGGTATCTCTTGCAGATGGACGTTGATTTTATTGCGGTTCGTTATCTGGTTTTGAATTGGCAACTCACCGAGGACTTTGCGCTTGAGTGGCTCCTGGTGATTGATTAAGGATTTAGTGGGCTATCTAAGGTCGGATGTCTGTGGAACTATAGGTTGTATCTAAGCCAACCTCTAAAAGCCAGAAAACCCTAGATATATATACCACTCTCTGCTAATCTGCCGGTACTCTGCTCGTACAGAAGCAACGTGACCAGGTGCTTCTTTAATCCCTCTTATATAGATCATACTAGCTGTATTAGCCGCATGTGCAGCCTGTGCGTCATTCTAGGTTCCGGGAGCGTCTGCTCCATAGTCCTTCCGAAACTTAGCTTGCCGTAGATGCCGGCGAGAGATAGCAATCGCTGTATACCGCCAAAGAAGGATATTTGCATCGGTATTAAGATATTGCTTGAACTGCTGTACGAGGACGTTCGTTAAGCGACTACTTAGCCACGGCTCGCTGTGAGTTCCTTTCTTGATCGCCTAAAGGAAGGTTAGGGCACTAGGGCTTTTATTAAGAGTAAGTATACACAGCTGCTCGCAGAATGGCTGGACGAGCTAAACGTAGTAGACTAAGAGCTCACTTATTGCCTCGGGCAAATACCGGTGGATGATTTTGGTTGACCCCGAGACGCTGTATCCCTTGTGGTAGAAGGTAACAAAGCCAACAAGTCCATTCTCGATAAATATATTCCGCTGTAGCCCGTGGAGAGTATTACGCAGCTACAAGCTAAGAAGCTCAGTTCCTCGTACAAGTTGGCCCCCAAGAATATAGATAAGGAGAAGCAATAGCTCAAGGAAGGTGTTAGCCTGCTTTAGGTATTGCTTAGCAATCTTACGCCGCCACACGACCTTCGCGCCCTTGATCAAGAACTCTTACTACAGCCAAGTCTCATCGAGCACACGATTAAGCAGCCATCGATCTTATCCTTAGAGGTGGTCATTCCGCGGGTCGTCTAGGAAGCACCAGCCGGGCTTACTATTAGCCGGATCGTCCTTAAGCCGGAAAAGATTAACTAGTGGAACAACCTCATCTCGCTCTTCGTCTGGATGTACACGTAGCAGCTCCTCTAAGAGCGACTATACAACGGCTATCTGGGTCGCCAGGAACTTCTTCAAGTCGGTTATCCCTAGTTCTAGGCCTTTATAGCTAAGGTGTTCGCCGTCGTCGGTCTAAGAGATATATCCCAGAGAGGTGGTAATCTCATTGATCTGCTTCCCAAAACTACGTAGCTTCTGTGCCCAGTTTATAGGGGAGTGTGTGCCATATACCATAAAGCGCTCTTACATAACATTCAACATATCGGCTATATGTGGAACCTCCCCTCGATCTACGGCAAGCACTGCCCGTTGAATGACGAGGAGCTAGGCTATCTTAATAAAGGCAGAGAAATATGGGGTATAATGTAGAGAATCGCTAAATGTGGCATTCTGATCCGCCGATAATCCAAGAACCGCTATAAAAACGACAATAATACTGTCGTAAACTGTGTCGAATAAAGCATAGTCTAATAACGAGATATATAATTAGATCGTAGTATAATTGAGATTTTGCCGGAGCTGTGCTACCACCAGACTAGTGCTTTGTTGTTCCTATGCAAGCTCGGCCGCAGCTTGCATCACTCGATCGAGGGCTATCACCTAAGCATCGATAAGACGATAAGAGAGCTCAGAGCCTTGGTTCCGCCAGACGCGCCGATAAACGAAGCTTAGCAGTTGCTTCCACACCTTCTTATATATAGTGTAAGTGCCTTCTTAAAGCTTGTGCACCAATGAGAAGTTGGTGGTCTTACGGGTGAAGAAGCTACTAACACGCTGCTAATCGAAGATGTTGATCCGGTCAGTCCGGAGGGATTCGCGGGCTTGCTCGATAAGACGGTCAAAGGATTCAAGTACGAGAACGAGGTAATTATCTGGCTAATCGGGGTCGAATAGGGGATGAGGCGATGGGAGATCAAGGAGCCGTGCAACACGACCCAAGTTATAGCCCCGAAAGTACCGCTCCTATTGCGTTAAGTCAAGCTATGGAGAGACCTTAGTCTTATGGCGCGAGGTGATGTTGGGCTTAGGCGCTTGGAGCTTTTGAGCTAAAGTCTGCTCTACTTGTTCTCGGAGGCCGAGGGGTGGTCTCTCCAGGGCGTCCGCAAGTTGAGCCGATGCCGGTGCCGGTACTAGATCAGAGCCGATAGGCTTACCGCTATTAACGAGGAAGTAGCGGGTGTAGCCCTTTGTGTGAAAGGTCTGGCAAACGACAGGAGAGTAAGCAGCAGTGCTGAGTGGAAGGGACGATGTGGATGGGCGGTCTGCAAAGCCTTTACTTTTACTCCATTGATGGGCCTCCCTCAGATGGCTGAGTAGAAGCCGTTGGTCTCGGATCACGTACGGCTGATTAAGAGGGCACAGCTTGCAGCAGTAAGCGTTGTCGTAGATCCGCAGGTGGGGGATTGGGGGCGTGTGAGTGGGCACGTGGAGCTGCTTCACTTCTCGGGGAGGGAGTAGAGAGTCCGGGGTGAAGAGACGAGCGTATTCCTAGACTTTACCGAGTGGGATAGTAGCCTTGTGATGGTCGTACAAGTGAGAAGCAACCGCTGTAGAGTGAATCGCATATCTGCAGCTCGTACAGATCAAGACGTTGTAAGTTGGATTGAAAGAGAGAAGATCCATTATATTATTGTAATAAAGGGAGGGTTCTAAGGCTTTTGCGGGGGTTGGAAAGACAGACGGCTTAAAGGTGGTTTATGTTATCTTTTAGCAGGTATCCGATTCGAATTCGAGCACATCGAGCAAGTTGAAATAGAGAATACCAAGACGCGTCCCAGGTCTGACGCGTCTTAGCTTCCTCGCGGGGGGCGCGCGCGGTGGTCCGTGCAACCCCACTCCCTTCTTCGGGCCTAGCGGGGGTTCCGGCCAAGCACAGCGGGCGCATATACCCTTGCGCAACGAGTTGTATTATCATAGACCCACGACGGCACCTCACGACAAAGCGAATTGAAGCGTAGGAGTGTTCTTCCCAACAATACCGGGAAGTGAAACCTTCCTCCTTTCGTGTCACATGTCTCAAAGCTAGCCATTAACTTGTCCTACTTAGTACATTGGTGGCGTTGGTGAGCGAGACAAGAATGCCACTTGGCTACTTTGTGGCAGCCGAACATCTGCTGTACGTGTTGCGACGCGTCATAGAATAAAGTTCTGTGGCACGCTTTTGCGGATGTAAACGTATTTTGGGCTGTAGCTGATTATTATGCATGGAGAAAGAGAAATTCATTGATGAATACCATTGTTACATCGGTTTGGCAGAAACCAGACGAAGAAGAATTCTATGATGACCCCAAGAACCCAATTTCAGCTCCGCGCTAGGAAAGAATAGAAACTACACTTGGTCTGATCTTACAAGCCCCACGAATAACATACCACCCTCAAGCAACATTCATCGTCGTTCCAGCGGTGCCAGTCTCGCTGGGAGCATATCCATGGCCAACCTGCCCAGTAGTCACAGAAGTTCCACTGCTAATCCTGCTTTGCTCAGGGTCTGCATGGATCATCGTCTCATCGCCGACAGAGTCATCCACTGTCTGTTGATGACTACCTGAAGATGGCATCAGGTTGTTCTCGAGTCTTGCGCTGGATGGCACATCCTCAAGTTCTGGTTGCCAATCACGGAGGTCGTCCTCTGCATCGTTCAAAATCTGGCGTGCTTGATTGGTGTACTCGTATGGAGCTCGCATATCTCCAGGAACAACAGGTGTGTCGTCAATGAGGTTCAAGAGTCGTCGACCATGACGGGCGAGGATGATCTGCTTCTCGGCGCGCTCGATGGTGGCAGCAAATTCTGTGGCATAAGCTTCCTTGAGCTTCTGTCTTGTCTGTATCTCCATCAGTAATGGCATGGCAGACTTTATTTCCTACATACCACGTTCGTCAACTGAGCTTCAGCAACGAGATTTTCTGCCTCTGCTCGGACAAGCTCTTGCTCCAATGTCACAAGCTTCGCACTCTCAGGTTCCTTGGCCTTCAACTTGGCAATCTCGTCTGCAATCTTTGCCTTGTTGTCCCTGCTTGGCTGTACACTCTTCTCTGTATTCCTGATGGTCTTCAAGATAGCTCGACTATCATCGATGTTGTGTGCGTACAAGTCCTCCTGCTCGCCCAGCTCAGAGAGGAGAACGCCAATCTTGTCGGAGATATCGCTGATGGTATCGTCATTTGTAGCTTCACCCCAATCTGACAGCTGGCTTGCGATCGAGAGACGTTCCTTGCCTGCAGCTTCATGGCTTTGGATGAGGTGATTCTCGGACTTGATCAACTTGTAGAGCTTTTTGCTGAGTTCGGGTTGGACGGTGCCGCGGAGAGAGCTCAAGCTGAAGCCATGGCGAGGGGCGGCGGAAGAGCTGGAGCCGTTCTTGTTCGAACGAATGGATAGTGCTCGATTCCTGCAGGAGATGGGGCATCAGTACAAGACTACCACGACAAATGCACAAGAGTGGGAGAGCGGTCTAACAGGTGCTTCCGCGGGTTGTGCTCCGATTTGCTCGAGTTGTTGCGACGCAGGTTGAACCCGGACGGCATTTTGCACTGAGGTAGAACGTGCACTTACATGATGATCTTTTTCTCTCTATCTTCTATCGCGGTCGGGAAGTTTCTGAGCATACTGTCAGCGCCTTCCCATTTCGTTGTGGTTGTCGCATTGCTATTCTGCTGCAGGTGCGAGAGCTGCCCCGCGATAGCAACGTCATACTAGGATTTGGGATGTTGACGAGGACGAACCTTGTAGATGTGGAGCTGGAGATTATCTGTCAGATAGATTACGACAAGGATCTGAAGTGATGTCTCTGGGATTTCGCAAAGTTCAAGGGATCAAATAGGATGTTGCTTGAACTTGTTTTATGTTTTCGAAGTTGGAAACGCGCGCAGAGAAGAAGAATGGACGAAAAGGTTCCCTGTCCTTGCTGCCGGATGGAAAGGAGCGATGACGTCGCAGTCTCGGTAAATATTTCAGGGTCCTGGCGGCCTGAGTATAAATCCTCTCGGTACACAAACTGAGAAAGCAGAACATCTGATGTAGATGAGATGCACCAGGGATGCGTGCAGACTCATCTTTCTAGTCTGCCATGCAATATCGAGACACTTACTTAAATGTTCATCCGAACTTTACATTTGGCTGTCACGTTTCCTTGTGAGATCAGACGACGATGAGCCAAGAAGCCCTGCACCGATTCTGGTGAACTGCAAGGATAAACGTTTAGTATCACTCGATCATCTTCTCATTCTTTGATTGAACTTCACTTTGCGATCGAAACATTAATGAGAGGGTCTGGTTCCGCAAAGGAAGAGATTAAATAGTAGTAATACAAAGGCTAATGAGTCCCAATATCAATCGAATTGGAAGAACTCAGCTCACCCAAGCTGTCGAGATTATCTTCCCAATGTCCCACATCAGAAAGAACAATTATAGAAATACAAAACGAGTACATGAACAAATAATTGCGCTCCTAACTCCAACTCCGGCTCCTGCTCCTACTGCTGCTTGTACGCCGACGTCTACCCTCCACTGACTACACCAAATGTCTAAGTCAGACATCTGACCCTTGTGATACATCCTCAATACCCATCTCGTCCGTTCAACTATCGGTATGATCTGGTAGACCGACGTTGTTCTACCACGACTGGTACCGATCGCCGATAGCTGCTCTGGCTCATGCGAGGGGTGGTTGCGACTCGAGTGACGGAGGTGTACGATGATCTGCCATTGTGGCTACCATGGTGATGATGGGAGTGTCTGGAGACGGGTCGTGGAGCAACATAGACCTCCTCGACGTATCTGTGCTTGCGGTGATGCTTGGATGGAGAAGAGAAGAGACACATGGTGACTTCGTGGTGCTTTTCGGAGACAGAGGAATAATCGTAGTAAGGATATCGAGACATACGAGAAGCAGTGGGGTCGTGGTGGTCGTGGTACTTGTAGATGGATGGAGGAAACAGTTGAGATGGTGAGTCAAAAAGGGCAACGAGGAGGCATATTTATGTCGACTCACTCGGTCTGACGATCTGACGAGGCTGCCCATGACATAAATGGCCTTCTCGTGTGCCAGCCAAGACCACTCGTAATTCCCTGACCCATGGGCATCTCAACAAATACAAGATAGTTCCGCCCCTCCAAGACTGCTGCCTGACCCCAGCCATGAAGAGCCAGGATGACACTGGCCACGGTACCCCTCGTTGTCCAAGAAGGGTTGGGGTGAACTCTCGTGTAACTTAGAGCCTCAACTCCCTTCACCGACTTCACCGACTTCACCGACCCGACTCGCCTTGAATGAGCAATTGAGAGAGCAGTGGAAAGACAACAAAAATACGGCTGCCTACCTAGGTACACAGTGAAACTTCTCGCTTGCAAACAGCAGCTGACTCAGACTTCTGAGCGCAAAAGCCAAGCCTCATTCTTGGGCGTGGCGACATTGGCCTGCGCTGAGAGAAGCAAAAGGACACGGCATCGACTTCCGCCTCGGTCATGCACCGAAGACATCGGAGATGTGTACAGATTCATCTGGTGGGACGAAGATCCGGTCGCGGGAATTGACAATGGAAGTCGTTCAGAAGGTTAAGAACTTGCGCTGAAGGTTCCGAAGATGCAGAGTTTCAGGCTTTTGGTTGTGTGTGGCCGGTGTTGTCGGACCACTCGCACGTCAGGCTGCAGCCACCCTGGAAATTTGGGGACCCCATCCCTGAGCATCCACTTTAATGCCTACAAGAGCGACCTCGATTTAGCTTCGACAACACCACTCGAAGAAAGACGGAAAGTGGTACAGTATCCTCAGTCTTGAGTGATACTTGGATAAACTTTTTGCCTCTCGTATTTGGCACCGCACAGCTGCCAAGGCACATGGAATCGATGACTGCTCCGAATGCAGCCTGTTGCCCTCGTTCTTCGTTAGGACGAGCTAGTTCTGAGCATCTGAGCTCTATTTGTCTTTTTAAACCCCCACCAAGAAATCAAGACTCTCTATCAGGCTGTAGAAGAGTAGCAGGTGTCCACCGCTGTTGAATGCCTCACCCATTTGCCGCAATCGGTTGATCTTTATCTGCATGATCTTTTGAGTATAAGATTTGAACCAATTCCAGAAGAGATACCGCGATCCTTAAGTCATTCCTAAGATGTTTGTGTTTTGCCTGGAAGTTTCTGTCCGCTCTAGTTGTAATCAGCGCATCCACGTTCTTGGAGCATTGCATACGCAAGGAAGAAATTCTCCCTGGGAGGAAGTTGTCTTCATGTGAAAGTGATCACTGCCAAATCGTCTCACAAGTATCGTATCAATATATCGTTGTTGTCTCACAGAGAAATAAATGCATTAGCAACCTCGTGCCTGAGGGAAGACTGCATTCCACAAATCAAAGCGGGAGAAAAGTTTTATGTCAGAACATCTGAACTTCTTCACCCCTCTCCAGAATCATTCCATCGCGGATATGCCCGATGTGAGTGCGATTCAAGATTCCTTTCTTTGCTGAGATAATAGAGTCAGGTACGAGAGGAGGGTTAAGTGCGCTGAAGCGCAAATCGAATCGCTCGTTCTAAAATACGAAATGGGGTTAGCAAGAAGCCCGTTCACCCAACCAAAATGATGCGCTTATGGTTAGCCTTCCAGTTCCAAGCGGAGATGATGTCCCATGTTCGCAATAATGTCAGCTTAATGAACTTTCATCTGCTGTGCCTCGAACAGATCTACGGAGTAAACGTCGTATTTCGGATATCAGGAATGAGTTCTCATTCAGCTGCTTTCGGATTTAGGAACAATTCAAAGGAGGTAATATTCGTCAGCAGAATGAGCTTCCGCCAGGACTCAATCAATTAGTATAAAAACGACGATTTCCTCCTTTCTGATGATGGCACAGCACAGCCATCATGTCTAGGCACTTCCTTCTCCTCTCGAGCTTCTTGTTTACTCTTGCCTCCGCTCTGTATACTCCAGCTGTTCATTCACGGGACATTACTTACTCCACGGCTCCTATACCGCCAAGTAAAGACCCATGGTACACCGCCCCACCAAATTTCGAAGACGCTGCACCAGGAACCATCCTTAGACTTCGAGTCGCTCCTGGAAACATTCCTTCCGTGATCGCCAACTGCTCCCAAGCTTACCACCTTTTGTATCGAACCACCAATGCCCTGTATCAACCATCGTGGGCAATGACAACACTTTACGTTCCCCTCTCAGCTTCCAATTCATCTTCCACAGCCAGTGCTCTCCTTTCGTACCAGATCCCATACAACTCAGCAGACGTCGACGCCAGCCCCAGCTATGCATTCTCGGCAGGATCTCAAACTGGAGATCTTCCTAACGCACTTGGTCGAGGCTGGTACGTCAACTTCCCAGATTTTGAAGGACCACTCGCTGCATTCGGTGCTGGCATTCAAGAAGGCCACGCTGTCCTCGATTCAGTTCGAGCTGTCCTCTCATCGGGATTCGGATTGAGCCCTGACACGAGATATGCTATGTGGGGATACTCAGGAGGTTCCGTGGCTAGCACATGGGCTGCTGAGCTCCAGGGCCAGTATGCTCCCGAACTTAACTTCAGCGGAATGGCCATTGGTGGAATCGTACCGAATTTCACAACCACCCTTGGTCTCCTTTCTGGGACTGTCTACGCTGGCCTCCTTCCTTCTGCTTTACTTGGGATTACTGCTGAATTTCCAGAGTCGAGGGAGTATCTCCTGTCCAAGCTCAAGACTAATGGTGCTTACAATGCCACGGGATTTTTGGAATCTCTTGAACTCAGTTTTGAGGAAGGATTTATCTTTTATCAGTACCAGGACATTTTCAATTACTTTGTTGACGGACCAGCTACTGTGCAATCCCCATTGATCCAAGATCTGTTAAACATTCAAGCCCAGCAAGGCTACCACGGTATACCCCAGATGCCAGTTTATGTCTACAAAGCAATCCATGATGAGCTCAGCCCTGTCAGTGTGGCTGATGCACTGGTCGAGAGATATTGTGGGGTGGGGGTCAACATTCTGTAAGTTTGCAAATCACCTCGTCAAGTGGCTGCACAGTTCCCCTCCCGGAAATTCCAGTATTTTGAATGTCGCTAATCCTTCACCAGGTACGAACGAAATACCGTTGGATCTCATCTCGATGAGGATTACAACGGTGATGCCAGGGCTTTTGCATGGTTAGCAAGTGTATTGGACGGCACTTACGCTCAGCAGTACTCGGTTCGGGGCTGTACTATTGAGAATGTCACAGTAGGTGTTTGGAATGCAACAGCCATCTGAATGTCCCGGAAAGTTCCGTACTTCCAGAAGTTGAAGTGCTGCTGTGAATTGCAAATGACCTGGTAGTGGATAGTTGCATGTACCTACTGGGGATTATATGAAGTTGTAGCTTCAGGTGGAGAGGATTGACGATACATTAAACATTGTGTATTCTAATGGTTCGTAGACCTATTTAATTATTTACTACAATAGAAATTCTACAAGTTTTTTGTGCACAGCTACCATTCATCCGCTGCCCAATACACGTGAAATTAATGGTTGTGAGTTCTATCCGATCTTGAAATACACTATTCGTGCGAAGAAACTGATGCTTGGCATCCTGATCCCATACTTACATCTAAGTGGCCTTGTGCATTTTTCCACACAGGCAGTTGTGAGTTATTCTCTGGGTCCTGCACCTCCACACTAACAATCGAGATCTTCAAGCTTGGAACATCCTCATTCTTCACAGCAGTGCCGTTGAACAATATGACACGGTAGCTTAAGTGTTGAGCTAGAAAGGGTGTAACATCCTCGACGTTCAAGCTGTTCAAACTTCGATCGGCGATGTTCTTGTTCAAAGAGTGAGTAAGTGGAATCGCTGCTGCAATCATTTGATCAAGGCTGCAGTTGCATGATGCTGGTGTCGATGAAGCTGCCTTGACAAATATTGACTGGGTACCAGCAAGATTTGGCTCGAAAGACCATGAGGTTGGGTCCGGATTGAATGGTCCAATGAAAATATGAACGAAGAATGGCGCATTCAAGGCATATTTCTGGACTCGGATGTTGGCAATCCACTCAGTATGTTCATTACCCAAGTCCATGTCTCCGTCTCTTGCTCTCAGACGACTGCGGGGTTTCAGCTTGCTCGACCCACTGGCAGCTGGACCGTATAGTGTGTTGAGGGCGACGATAACTTGCTTGTTGACATCGACGCCAGTGATTGCTACCGTTTCTGGATATGCGTATCCGAAAGCTTCAGTACTGCGAACTCCATCTGAACTCCAGAGACCACCAGCGACATCTTTATGGAAAGGGTCGAGAGGAGAATTGACGTCTTGGGTCTGGCCTGCGGACTCCGTAAATGTATTGTACATTGCGGGTTCAGGGACGACAAAGCTGTTTGGGTTCAATATCTGCCACATTGCAAAGCATCGATCGATCATTGCATGGTGTAGCCAGAAGGTTGGATCAAAGGCGGAATAATCAATGTACATCATATGCCCACCACTTCCAACCAGCCCATGGATCTGATCATGAATGCTCTCAATGGAATCATAACTGCTGGGATCAGTGTCCTTAATCCAAGCTAATGCCACAATGTCCTCATCAGCATAGTTCATTCAAATCTCGAAGAGAGTAAAGTGTCTGACAGTACAAAAATGTCTGACCTAGAGACGGACAGTTTAAAAGGAAACCCTCCCAGAAGAATGTCAGCTTACCCTCATTAGAAAATGTTGTGTAATCATGGTAATTGGTGAGCAGAACATAGAGGCGACTCCGAAACGACGCGGCATTATTGTCAAGTTGCTGAGCGACCAGGTTGTTTTGGGACGTTGCAGAAGCATCTTGTGTTGTTGGGTATCTCATGGTCTCGGTGTACTGGTTGAACTGGATTATGTCAGCACATATTAATATGATAATGTCGGACACTAACTGGTGGATCCGGCAGTGCATTTGAGTCAAGTGGCTTGAACTGATAGCTCCAGAGGGGATTGGCGATAGTTTGGCTGCCGGCCGGTCCATCAACCACAACTGAAGGTGATTGTCCGACGCTAGCTGGGAGAACACTCTCTCCTGAGGGTGGTATCATAGCCCAGTCCCAGTAAGGAATTCGAAAGTTGGCAGCTGCAGTGATGTACTGGTCGCGAATAGTGCCGGATGGGTATTGCTGAGCAATCTGCTGAATCATCCCATAGAGTACTTGCTGGTGAGGCGTCAATATAACAGAAGCAAAAGGAACGGTCGACAGACCTCATAAAGTACCAAGTATGGTCGATGCCATGTCGGGAACAGGATCGAGACATGTGAGCAGTACCCATTGTTCTCGTTGCCAGCTTTAGGAGGGACATTGTCGAAGCTGACGAATGGCCGGCCATGAATTGCTACTTGATGTCAACGAATCTTCCGCCCGAAGGAAAGTAAAGCAAAAGTACCAGCTATTTGGTACCAGGAAAGCATTTCAGTTTGAGGTGTATATTGCAACATATCCAATCCAAGTATGTAAAGCGTCCAAGTTATGGGATCCTTCTCTAGATCTCGAATCTCGAGTCGTAAAGGTGTAGAATCATTCGGTCCGCTTCCTGTCTGGATGCCGGTGACAGCGTAGTATTTGAATGTCTGCCGCTTCAGAAGCGATGTTGGGTTGACTCCGTAATCGTAGGATGGGTAAGACTGATGGGTTGTCGTGGGAATGGCGAGGACGGTAGATAGCCAGCAGCATAAGAAGACGCAGGTGTACAATGCTCGAAAAGAGTGTCGCATGCTGAATGCATTTGGGGAGAGGCAATAGAGGCAATTAAACGAGTGAAGATTCGATCGGAAATTAAGCACGGAGAATGTATTGCGTCATACGATTTGTTTGCAAGACTCGAAGACTCGCGCGAGGAGCAAGCAGAGCTTGTTTGCGCTTTGCTTAATCGGTAAAGACAGGAAGGACGCTGGTGGAAACAGAATCCCAGCAGAACTAGTAATTGAAAGTGGATGAGATATGAGAACTTGATGCCTTCTCGGTTTCTCGATTTTGTTGCTGAACATCAATTCATGGAGTCCACCGCAAAGAAGTGTGGTTAGTCCTGGGTTTGAATGGCTTGATTTGGCCCGTTTGGTGTAAAAAGCAGGTACCACTGGTGTAACTTGTCCAACGCAATGGAAGGAAATGAGACCGTCATTCAAGCAGGTACCCTCTTCAATCAACCGTCGCCGGATCTTTCCCGAATCGGACAATCTCATGCAAACTGCCATCATTCCTCACTTGAAAATGAATGGGAGATTTTCGCAGTTGCTCCAGCTTCAATTTGGGGGGACGATCGCGGCGTGAAGACAACAAATCTTGGTACAGGCACCACATGAGCAAACTGAGACTGATGAAAAAGAAAGAATGAGAGAAATCAATTAATACAGTCCTTCGATTTCGACCTTTTGCGGCCAGTAGACGTCTCATGCAGGAAGCCGAGTTGACGAATCACGAGGCCACTATCAAGTCACCATCAACAACCAAATGTCGTTTGCGTTTTGACCAGACAGAACGGAAATCGTAGAGTATATCCCATCAATTGGTCGGAAACGATAGAATTCCCGCCGTTACATCTATTCTTGACCCCTACACTTTTTGGTGCCTCCGAAGCAAAACCCCCAGCTCCATGAAAATGCTTAAAATATGCCTCTTCCAAAACGCCAGCTCGATGCTCTCGTGATCATTAAGGCCCGACATTATACTTCAGCTTGATACCCATAGCAGCGAGCTCAACATCCAAGTATTTCAGCACACCAGGAACTGCGACAATGGTGGTCTCTTCACCTCCAACCCATCTCTGCCCCTCTCCATCTTCCCATATCTCTCCCTTGCCCGACCATCCCTCAGCTCTGTGAGCACATTTCCTGCATCGCACAACTCCAGTTCCCTTCTTTCTGGATGCGAACGCCGAGACAGTAGGTTGTGTTGACAAGAAAGTTCCGCACTCTTTACAGATCCACGATCTCGTGTAGTCAGAGCAATTTAGCAATCGATCCTGCAAGAGGAAAGCTGTGCCGTGAGCGAGCAGTGAGTCACGTTCCATCTCCCCAACTCGAATACCACCACCCTTCTTCCTTCCCTTGATCGGTTGACCAGTCAATTGAGTTACAGGCCCTGTTGTTCTGACTTGATACTTGTCGTTCACCATGTGTCGCAAGCGTTGATAGTAGACGAGACCAATATAGATGTCTGCGTGAAGCTCCTCGCCCGTGATTCCAGAATACATTGGCTCGTTCCCGTAGTAATTGTATCCAGCTTTCATTAGCTGATGACCAAAGTAGTCGCCTGCGGTATGCTGTTCATCGAACTTGAATGGCGTACTGTCTTGTGCGAGTCCATGAAGTGCTCCAGCCTTTCCTGCCAGCGACTCAACGAACATACCAATTGTCATCCGCGACGGGAAAGCGTGAGGATTGATGATGGTATCGGGTTGCATGCCAGACTCGGTGAAAGGCATGTCGATGCTAGGCCATTTCTGGGAACAGACACCCTTCTGTCCATGTCTTGAGGAGAACTTGTCACCAATGACGGGAGATCGTGGAATGCGGAACTTTACTGAGATGGCTTGAGCTGGCTCGACTCCATTCTCATTGCCTATCAATCGAACTTCTTCAACGAAGGCCATCTCGCTATCTTTGTACTTCTCGAAATGTGTGATTCCATCTCGGTTCACGAGATTGCCGTGGACATCTTGAGTGACTGTATGCCACGCGCATATCTTGTCGCCTTCTTGCAACAACCTGCCAATATGTGGGAGGCCATCCTCATCAATTTGCGACTTAATCTCGGCCTTAATCTCTGATCCAGGCGCAAATCCGAAGAGCTTCTTGATGTTTTTGGATGACCGGGATTTGTTACCACCTTCTTCGAGATCAATCTTCTTGACCTTGTAAATGGTGCCATGACCGAAGCCACGCTCGTGGGATGATTTGTTGATTATCCTCCAGGAAGTTAGCACTTGTTTTCTTGTACATATAAAGAGCCGAATCTTCGGGACAAGGATGAAACTTATTCGGGAGCCCAACCATGGCTTGAGTGAAAGGAAGCGAGGAGAAGGAATAAAGAAAGGGGCTGATTACATAGCATCATCCATATCGTAGCCAGTGTATGAAATGACAGCGACTACCGCATTCATGCCATTGGGAAAGTTGTCGAATCCGTACTCGTTGTGTAAGGGAGCTCGAACAATCGGCGTCTGTCCAGTCTGCAGTCGATAGGTCTTGTTGTCTGTTCTGTATCGTATTGCGGTACCAGGAGTTCCCATTGATTGCTTGCCCATCTGACACTGGTACATATTTCTTGGCGATTGATTGAAGTCCGAGAAAGGAGTCATGTTTGCGAGAATGGAGAGAATGTTGGTAGGGTCTTGTTCGACATGTGTTGATTCACCGGAAATAATTTCTGGCTCGGTAACAGCAATGGACATGAATGGCTGTTCTTGGGGCCCTACAAAGTCTTCCTTGTCGAGAGGGAGATACTTGACAGGTCGGATCATTCTCGCTGGAGTGGCAGACATGTAGATTCCAGGATATTGTCCACCATGAGAGTTGGGCACAAAGCAGATCTCCATCTCCTTTGGAACATTGTGCGTGCCGTCAACTTTCCAATATCGAAGTGTATCTGCAATGGCTCGAGATTGTTTAGGGGTACACCAACCCAGAATCTTGCCGTCCAGCTGAACTACCACGCTCTCCTTTGTGGAGGAAGAACCAGAATTGACCACACCAAGACCCGCGACCAATTTGGGAATGGCAGATGCATCCACAGCATGTGTCAAGATCCTGCATTTGTGCGCTAAGTGATTCAGTAGACCGCAAGGACTACCATCAGGAGTGTGGACAGGACAAAGAAATCCCCAACTTTCTGGAAGCAGCTTTCGAACGGTGGTGGTCTTCAATTGAGCGAAGAAACTACCTCTATGAACCATGCGGAAATGACTGATAAAGCGCAAGAAATTGATCTTCTCCGCCACGACTGTGAAGCCAGAAGTTTGTTGTAAATCCAATCCAGTGGGACTGACCAAGTTGCCGGTTGACATGAAATACTCCAAGGCACCGCCAACATTCTCGTTGGTACGTCCACAGAGTTTGACTGGGAAGTCTTTCAAGAATTCAGGACTCGCAAAACTGTTCTCTGGACTTTTCCTGAGATAGTCTCGGATTGCGAGTCTCAGCTGCACAGAAACCCAATCCTCGAGACGCTCCTTGATAATCATTCCGTATAGAAATGGACCTAACAGGATTTCTTGGTTTTGGACAGCATCAGGGTTGTCTACTGCACAATCTCCCGCAACCAAAGCATACAACTTCCTGGTCATGAACAAAAGCATTTTGAACTTGTCATCATCCTGGGCTTCCGTGACATTCACGTTTCCAAGGTGGACCAGCACAATCTTCCGTAGAAATTCGGTACCACAATCGTAGTTCGACATGGTATCAGGTACTCCAAGAACAACCCGAAATTTCTCCCCCAAGTATGCTCTCGTCTTGCTCTTTGTGTATAGACCGTAGGCCTTGTATGTCCGGAGTAACAGCTCGACTCGATCGGTCAAGAAGGTATTCTTTGATCCTTCCGACCCAGAGAAGCCAACCAAGCCCTCGAAGATTTCGCGATCATTGGTCTCCACCAAAGCCTTCATGACCATCATCACCGGTACCAAAAATTCGTTCTTTCGCCACGAGAATCGGAATGTGACGTTTCCATCGTCGAGATAATGAAGAATATTTGTCTGCGAAGTCTGATCTGGCCGTACAGATCGCATCAGCATCCCATATTTGGAGTATGTTGGTCCTCTGCCTTGAAATGATGGACGTTCGATGGCCATGGGGAAATTCCTTCGATTGACTACTAAGAGTCGAATCAACTTCTCGATTCCATTGACCACAAAATATCCGCCCAGCTCCTCTGCTTCCTCTTTCCGTTGTACCAGTTGGGCAGGTGGGTTATTCTCGAGGTGGCATCGATTTGACTGAAGCTATTAGCGAGCGCTCCTCGAATGGAGGGGTTAACCTACCATTAACATCAGAGGAAGCTGTCCTAGATCTCGTATGAACTCCTTCGGGTCGCCATTGTTGATCCGGAACTCAAATTTGGCGCTCATCTTGCCTCGGTAGGTGACATGGCGTTCGCGGCATTCTGCAGGGAGAATTTCTCGATTCCGAGTGGAAAATTTGTTTGTCGGAGGAAGCACTGACTTCTCGACGAAGACTTCCTTGATCTTGATGGTCATCTTATTCTTGCCCGCAAGCCCAGCTCGATCGTCGCCATCGAGGTATGTTTTAGTCCCAATGTCCAGCAGACCTTGGGCTACCAAACCATCCTTCCCGAACAGCGCATTGAACGACTCAACATGAGGCGCAATGGCAGCTTTCAGAGCGGGATATGCGGAATGGTCCTTGGGGGGGTTTCGAAAGAGGTTTTCCCGACGAATGGTATCGTACTCATGGGTCCAAGTCGTGTCCGTTGGGGAAGACGACGAAGAAGCCGCTGGAGGCATGTTGATACTAGAAAAAGAGAGGTTAGCAAGGAAGCAAGGTTTGAAGCTGGGTTTCCGCCAGAAGCGCGGTGAATCGAGCGATGATGACATGGGAGAGTTCAGCTTACCAGTTGTGCGTCTCAATCCGAGCTGCATCAAATTCGGCTTGGTGATGGAATCGAATTGACGTGAATTGGATGGTGGTTCACAGCCTTGAAAATCGAAAAGCTGCAACATTTTTTCTCGCTAAGATAGGGAAGGCGGGATAGCGGCGGAGGCGCCTTATCGGGCAGCAATGACAAGGCGAACCAGAAATGCTCGAATGAGTGAGGAGTGCAACAAATCACCACAGCCAGTAAAAGACGGAGAGAAAGAAAGAGACGCCTTTTGACTCTTTGATTTGATAATTCCATCTTAACCACGACCTGGACCTGGACCTGGAAAGAATCCTGTTGGATGCACATTTTGTCCCTGGTTTAGCTATTGTTATTCTTCTGCGTTATTGGAACAAAGTGGCCAAGCCCCACAGCTTCACTTTCTTTAACTTCCCTCGACGGCGCTGACCTTGTGGCTCGTTTTGGCTCACATGTAATCCAATTGATTGAACGACCTCCATTTTCCATCTCCAGGCTTCCCATCTGAAGGAAATCGCTGAGCCTACCAAAACCCAACCTGGCCGGGCCTCACAGTCAAAGCCACCCCACCCAATCACCCAGACCTGACTGACTCCGGACGGACATCACAAGGAGAAAAAGCTATATCCCACCATCCATACATCCATATCTCCCCATCCACACCCACACCCAGACGTCTGCGACAAGGCAAAAGCTAACTAACTAGCTACTTGCATTGCAGTAGAGCAGCTCCCGCAAGGAAACCAAAACATCACCACTTTCCATCCTTAAAATCCCACCTCCACACTACACCCACCACCACCCGCAGACAGGGCCCGCACGCTCACCTTCTTTCTTCTGCAGCTCGTTGCTTCTTGCTGCTTCATGCCTTATGCACATGCTCATGCTTCTTCCTGCTGCTGCATCTGCTGCGACTGTTAATTTTCCCCGCCATCCATCTCCCCTCTTCTAGGACTTCAACCCATTACGCACACACATTTAAATCCAGCTTCCGCAGATCTTGAACCTTACTGCACTGCACTGCAGCTCACCGCACCGCACTGCACTGCATCCATCCATCCATCCCCAAAGAGCCTCTCTCTCCCATCGGTATCTGCATCCGCATAATCACTATTGCTGCTGAGAAGTGCTGAGCGGTGCCGTACTGTACGGTGCTGAGCCGAGAAAATAGAGTAGAGCTCGGGCTTTCCTCCACTGTGCCCGCCGGTGCGGTTTGTGCTCCCTCGTTCCATCTGCATCCCGAATCTCGTCACAAGCGCTACATCCGATCGCTACACCGTCACATTTACGCTCACTCATTCACGCTGCAAAAAAAGAGCGCGACTCTCACCATTGCCTCGTTCGCAGAGCAGAGCACAGCTGCGGTCATACCACCGTGTGTTTGTTTCTATTGCAGCTATTGTTCTCTACCTCCTGCCGGCCGCCATCTCCATCCTTTATTGCATCTTCAACCCACCTACACGCAGCCTTGCGCGACTTTCAGGCAACCGCCACACCGTCGAAACAACAGACCTACTCCTACCTAGACGTTCGAGCTCCATTGCCATTCACCGATCATGGCGGGAATATTCAAACGTGTATATGATTGGTTGCTGAGGCTATTCTGGTCAGTTATTGCTGCGACCTCGATCTGCGAGCACATCGTCCTCTGTCTGCTGCGAACAACTTTCGACAAGATGCTCTCTGTTCGTGGATATGCTGCTGACCGACTTTGCGCGTTGATAGGGCCACTGAGATGGATATCACGATGATCGGCTTGCAGAATGCGGGCAAGACTTCGCTGTTGAGAGTTCTGGCGGTAAGCTGCCCTCCTCCCAAATTCCAAGCTCGCATTCGCACAGGCGCTGACAATCGTGACCGTGATCAGGGCGGAGAATTCACTCTCGAGTATGTCCCACATTCGTGCGATCGTTTCCCTCCTTTCCCCATCCTCCACCGATATCTCCAAAGCTGCACACCCTCCCTCTCGCTCGACCGGCGTATGATTTAGGCTGACCTCCCTTTTCCCGTTGCAGTTCGATTCCGACCGTTGGGTTCAATATGAAGCGAGTACAAAAGGGCCATGTGACGCTGAAATGCTGGGATCTCGGAGGACAACCTCGATTTCGGTCCATGTGGGAGCGCTATTGCCGAGGTGTGAACGCTATCGTGTTCATCGTCGATTCTGCAGACACAGATGCCCTGCCGGTTGCGAGGGACGAGCTCCATATGCTCCTGGAGAAGCCGGTTCTAGAGGGTATCCCTTTGTTGGTACTCGGGAACAAGTCGGATCTGGACGAGAAGTTATCGGTCGACGAACTGATTGATTCCCTGGACTTGAAGAGTATCTCGCATCGTGAAGTAAGCTGCTATGGTATCAGTGCGAAAGAGGAGACCAACCTCGATGCGGTGCTACAATGGCTCGTTGCTCGTGCAAGCAAGTAGATGATCCACAGGTGGCCTTGGTTGACAAACGGATACCCTTCTCCACCCAACTGGATGGACAGCGGAAACTGATAATGACGATACGAAATGACGCAAAAATAAAGCCTGCCCTCCGGTCTGCGAAGACCACTTACATCTCTCTAGCTCACAGCTTCATTCGCCCTGCTTTTTGACTCACAGTTGTTGGAGGAGAAATGGTTGCAACGCAACAACATACGAACGGATTTCCTTACTTACTGCTCCTCCATACGTTCCTCTTCTTGACGCCGCCATGTCTGCCATGATGAGACGAATTTGACGACCAGCGGCGACTCCATTTGCACGAGCAGCATCTTCCCGCTGCTAGATTTTTTTCCTCTTCTTTTCCTTGAAGGCTCGCGAGCGTGGGGAGAATGGGTTGGATTCGATTCCTTTGGCAGAGGTTTTGTTGAAGGCATCGCTGGGTGTTGGGTAGGGTACGGGATTGTATTTAGCATCTTCATACCCTATGCTATGAAGCGACTTAATTGACACGGAGTTCCTCTCATCTTATAGTGACGACGTGAAGTATGACTCTTAGAAAGAAGAGGGAGTCGGGGCGTATTTGTACGCCCTGACTCTGAGTGTTCCAAATCCGGCCAGGATGAAGCGGGGCGAGGTAAGGGAGCAGATATTGAGGTCAAATTCCGCAACGAACAACAAGGGGAAAAGACGTGCTCAAAGAACAAGCAAGGAGCAGGTCATTCCAAGCAGCTTCCCAGTAGCAGCAGCATGGAGAAGGGAAAAGTTAAAGAAAGAGGAATGAGGATCACGGCAACGAACAACAGTTTTACAACTCAGGCTACGCACAAACCACATTGATGCGCTGGCAATTGACGCATGGGCAACCCTTGCGTGGCAGCGGCGACATGATGATTGGGTCAACAAACGAATCGGAATTCGAGAAGGAGAGCTCTCGACGATCATTTGATGACGAGAGAGTCTGGGAAGGTGATAGTGATTGAGAGCAGCACGATACCGCACTGACATTGGTTGGTGGAGAAGTGATTATTGTCCTGTCTCGACTGTATTGTAATGTACAGTAAATAGATGACGGGAGGAAGAGGCAAGCCAAGCAGAGGTGGGATGAGGTGTGCGCGGAGAATGGATGTTTGGGAATCACAAACTGGCACTGGCTGGCGAATATGGTTGAAAAGACATGAGAGATCAGCTTAGATCAGAGTCATGAATAGATCATCGTCCTCCTCAATTAGTGAGTGTACAGAAATCCCTCACCTGAACTCGCTGTGCAATAGAAGCATCTAGCTACGAGCAAAGCGACAACGGCTCGACTCCAGGAAAAGAGTTAAGGTTATTACCCACGGCCACGCAATCATCCAGGCTCGAGACTTTGGTTCTGAGTTGATGTTCACGCCACCCGAGCGAGAAAGAACTGGAATCCTGCTACCGAAATAATTCAAATAACACAGCCACCACCGTCTTCAACGCCCGAGAACACCAACCTCCTCCTCTTACTGCCCTTCCTTCTGATCTCTTAATTCTTCGACTGTCCACCTCTACGATTCACTATCTGAGATTGATTGATACAACGCTTCTGCAGCTGCGCATCACCCCCGCACTGCGACTGCACTGATCGCATACCGAGGATATTTGCCTCTCTCAGTCTCGTCACCCCATACCGAAAACACCACGAACACCTGGACCGTTCAGACGTTCAGACCATGGCACCAGCTCTACTACAGGGTTTCCTGGTCAGGAGACAGAACAATATCAATGGTGACTACGAAAAGTGAGTCCCTTTCCATTCACTATATCTTGCCACTGCCACTTCCACTTCCACTTCCTGCACCGGCATCTCTCAACACAGAATCACAATCTAACGCAATGATGTACAGCTGCGATGCGTTTGGCTGCTACTCCACCTGGGATAATTGGGGACGATGGGTTGCCCTTGCAGTGATCATCGTCGCCATCATTCTCCTCGCATTCCTATTCTCGTACGTACCCGTGCCATAATTCCATCCACCTCCCCTTCTAACTCCATCTAGATGCTTCAACAATCGACGCAGACGTCAACGTGGAGCTCCCCCGATGTACGGCACCGGCTGGATGCCATATGGCAAACCACCACCAGGACACAATCAAGCCTACTACAACTACAACCAAGCCGCTCCCCCGCCACCATACATGGGAAATCAAGCTACTGGCACTACATTCAATAGCAATGAGGGATATTACGGCCACCATAACGTCCAACCGCAGACCGAATACAATCAGGACATCGAGCTGCAACAGCCTCAGACGAGCTATATGCCTCAACGAGGTGGTGACCCAGTCTACGAAGCACCACAGGGTGCACCACCAAAGAAGGGAGACGGCATCATCAGATGAACTAGGGGAGATGGAAATTTGCGGGTAGAAGAAAGAGCGAAGAATCGAGATAATGGGTGATGAGAGTGGACAAGGGTGGAAAGACGAAATGCTGTAATGATACCATCGGAATTTGGCGTTGGAGGAACACAATGGCTTGCCTACCGCTGGCGAATTAGTGCAAAAGCACGAGGAAATGAAATATGGCTGGGACGAACACGGAAATGAGAGATGTGGCTTGGCTTTTCGTTCTCTACAGAAAATGCTGCGGAGGCTTGAAATGCTTGCAACAGGCTCTGGTTCATGGTTCTCGGTGCACCTAAACGACTCGCATAATGAAAATGTCTGAATTTCAGTCCCTGAATTATCCAAGAATGACGGGAGAATAGAGTAGAGGGAGTGGTTCTAGCAGTAATCGAGCAGAAGCAGACATTATGTTCTCTAATAAGGAAATGTATGAAGTCTATGGTTCAATAGCTCACAACCCAATGCTCCTGCAGATGGCATCAAAGCATTCCTCGTCAGTCTCTAACTTAATTCATCTTTGACACCTCGGATTCTTCTCAGGGAAAAAGAGTGGAGTTCGTATTTCGGAGTGGTGACATGCCCTTTTCCTCACCTAGACGCGCGTCTTGCCACTACCTGGGTATTCCCCTCTTCAACTGTCAGCCTTTTGTTCCAGCCCAAGGCAGAGCAACCCCTCACTACTGCGCCACATTTTCTCTTGAGCTTCAGCCACATCAATGAGTCTCATGTGATCGTTCTTCTAACTCTGTCACGCCATCACAAATGTCGTTACTCCGCCAAGGCTCGCTCCGTCGTGGAATCTCGCTGCTGCACTAGACTAGTGTCAGGGGTCAAGTCAAGTCCAACCTACCTAGTGGTATTTCCACCTGATCACAGATTGCCCAGAAAACCAAATCCTCATTCTTTTTTCCCTGTTGCCCTCACTCCCGTCGCTCCTTGCACAGTTTTTGAATTGATTGATTGATTGTTGAACAATACGATATTACCCTTCCGACACAGCGCCGCTGCCTCTCCGTATCCAAATTGAAGCCGCATACATACCAAGGCTATTTTGAGGCTGTTTCGATTCGACCGCGACTCTCGTGAGATTGCACAGCCCGCTCGCCCCGTTTCAGCAGCATTGCCCAGCTTTTTACTTGGCGGACAGCCAGAGAACAGACAAACATCAGGCTCTGTGTCCCCGAGCACCACCAAACTTCAGACCATCACTCTCCTGCATGACCACAACATTGGAGCGACCGACGAGAACTGATACTCCCTCGTTTTATTACTACTGTACGCGAGCCGCAAAGAGACGAACCACGATCGGCACGAAGGGAGATTGGAAGTTGAGAACACTGACATTTGCCATGGAGTAGGGAGGATCTGCGACAGCGATCCTTCAATTGACACAAAACAATCACCGCTTTTCGCACCTTTCCAATCACTCTGACCTTCGACGAACAATCTCTGCGAATACCGCGACACCGTCAAGATGCCGCACATTGCAACAGCCATGCACCGAAGTCTGCGGAGAGGCGTGGGAGAGATAATACTGAACAGCCTTGTGGGAAAGAGAACGATCACAGGTGAGGTGGACAGTGTCAAGAATACCTTTTCGAGTTGGGATAATTGCATGGCAAAAGGCTATTGCAAGTCAGTCTCCGAACGCAGTCTCTCCCCTTGATACTATGGCTAACCCTCATAGATGGCCCGTCATTGCTGCAATTGTAATTGCCTCCCTAATCGTCCTCTCTGTCGTCACCTGCATCGCCCGATGTTGTTGCTGTGGATATTCTTGCTGTTGTAGCTGCTTCTCCTTCTTGAAGTGCTGCGACTGCTGTGGAGATAGTTGTGAAGGGAAGCGCAACAAACCAATGAAGCACTTGGACGAGCCGGGACCATTTGGAGGGTCGAGACAGCCAGCTTATAATCAAGGATATCAGGCTCCAGAGCCGATGATGGGTGGCGCTTTGCCAGTTGCTGGGAAGCCAGGTCCTCCGCAATATGCGCAATTCGAAGTTGGGAAGAATGGATTTGCCGTCGATCCTACACCTACACCACTCAGTGAAGATGCACTTCCCCCAATGCCGAGCTGGGACAGTGCTGCGAAGAAGCATGTCTTGACAGAGGATGAGAAGAATGGAGTTGAATTAGGAGAGCTGGATCCTACGACAGGACAGCATGTTCCTTTGATGACAGGGGCAGCTGCAACTGGCATTAGCACACCAAGTCCGATAGATGGCAGAGGACATAGTCCGTTTGGGGCGAGACCTGGGCCAGGTGCTGGAGGAACTGGATACATGGGTGTTGATGAAGAGCACTACGACCAAAATCAAACCGCTTACAATGGGAATGGGAGAGGCTACGGATCTCCAATGGCAGGGCCTGGGATGGGTCCTCAAGGAGTGGGAATGGGAATGGGACCACCACGGACGGGTACTCCACAAATGAGAGGATCGCCAGCTTTGGGGCAAGGCCCGAGAAGACCGCCTGGACCAGGAGGCTATGGACCCAACCCATCGCAAAGCTACAACGGGCAGGCTCGAGGCTACGGCCCGTCCTCACCGCAAGACTCATATGGCCAGAATGATAGTTTCGCTGATGCGTCCGTGGGAGGAGGTCGTGGTTATGGAAGAGCTCAACCTCAGAGACAGTTCTCTAATGACCACTACGGTGATGAACAATACTCCAGCCGGCCCTTTCCTGCCCAACCCTCGAGGCAATATTCCTCGGACTCGCAGCAGCCACTAGCTCTTGCACGCCAGTACTCGGATGGCCCAGGATATCCTCAGGATAATTTCCAGCCCAGCGGCCCTCCTCCACGTGGACCTTCACGAGGACCGGGTGGCCCTAATCGCATGGCCTCGCCGCCATTACAGAATAACTCAGGCTTCGACTTTGGTGGTGGTCAGCAAGATTATCAAACTCGACCCAGTCCTCCACCACAACAATATGGCCGTCCCTCACCACCGCTCGAGCAGATGTCCTACGGCTCATCAAACCGACCAAGCCCTCCAACTCAAAGCGGCAGAGGCAATGATGGCTACTTTGCAGGAAGTACCGCTGCTCCAAGCTACGCTACCAGAACCCCACCACCTCAAGAACCCACATATCCTGGATATAAACCTTATCAACCTACATCAACAGGTAGAGGCAGAGAGCCTCAAGGATGGGATCCAGTTCAGCAATGATAATGGTCACAGGAGAGATACCAACCTGGGATTGAAGTAATGTTGAGTCGAGAGTGTCAAGGATGATTCAGGCGCCTGGCACTATGCTGTGTATAAGAAGCTTGAAAACTGGATGGGCTGGATATCCTCGTTGCGTTCTTCACTGGCGATAATGCAGAAGCTCTTTTTCGGTCCCGTATGTTCCGGTATTAGTACCTGGCGTACATATTTGAATGGCTGCCTTCCGCGAAGCTGCATTTTCCGGCGTTCAAGATGAGAAGCAGTGTGTTGTATATTCATTTTTATGTTTTGTGTAGTGGCGTTTGGGGAGTCGTGGGCAGAAGGCTATGTGGGTCATGAAATGAGAAGCAGGTAAAGACTTGGAAATTTGAAGAGAACATTGTCTAAAACCTTGCATTTTATCGTTCATCTCGTGCTATCATTTCGCAGTATACAATTATTTTACAAACTCAAGACCACCTAGCATGCTTCAACAAACCCTGTTCGTTCTCCCGCACTCCTATGTATCCGCTTCTTCCCTCCGTTCAAGCGCTGTGCTCAGTGGCACCATCAAAGATGGGTTCTCCACCATGAACTTTTCCACCTCCATATGAAAATCATCAGGAAGACCAGCGTCATTGTGCGCATAAGCTGCATTGATCTCGGGTCCAACATTGAGACCAAGCTTCTCTGCCATGATGTTTCCTGCTGCAGCAACATTCTTCTGCGTTCTGAAATCTGTAATGCAAATGTATTCTTGGCGATCGTCTGGCACATCATAGAAGTTTCCTGCAAGCTTTCGATAAGTGTATGCCAATATTGTTGCTCCAGGCTCCATGGTATACATGACTCGTGTTTCGCCATCCAGGATGTGCTCGAATGGGGTGAGAGTGTTTGGGGCACGCAACAGTGCCTTCTCGGTCGAGCTCTTCACAGCCACTTGGGCATCCTCGTGGAACATCTCGAAGCAAATCATCTTCAGCATCCGCTTGTTCCTCTTGACTCCGTCCGGAGTCGATTTTCTTGATCGTAATAAGCGGTAGAACTTCGTGCTTGATGAAATTGTGCGAGTCTTCAGCCAACGCTTCCAAATCAATTTTTGCAGCCAAGGCATGTTCTTTGAAAAACTGGAACATTCGCCGCGAATGATTGACATCGTGGTACCAGAACTCCAAAGGGGTTTGATAAAATCCGTCCACCCATTTGGTGTCCGGGTGCGCACCGACAAGGCCAATCGGGACGCCCCTCATTGCGATCAGCGCCGTTGCTCCCACGTCCTCAAATATTGGCAGAAGTATATGATCGGGAGTTTGAGCTTTAAGGAAGTACGCATAGTACTGGTACCGATGGCTGTGGTATAACGGCGGAGTTTTGTGGCTAGGCGTGCTGCGAGCGTATATGTCCAGGAAGGCGACCGCGTTTTCAACCGCATCGACAGTCATGCGACATGGAAATCCCAATCTCTCCGCCCGGGACAGATGATTCACGGCAACTTCATGCAGCTTGAACAACACGCAGCTGCCGTACAAGGCATCGACTACCGCATCTGCATGCAGATTCAGGTCGAGGTAACGAACGACATCGCGGAGTTCTGGGAAGGAAGCATTGTCACCACCATATCTCAGACGAGTTCGGAAATTTTGCCAGGCAAGTAAGGGATCTTTGATGAGCGAGGCCACAGCAGACTTGTGCCTCGCTTTGAGCACGTGTAGCTCTTCTTCGAAAGTATCCTTCGAAATAGCCTTTATGTGTCGAGTCGACATTTGGAGTGCCAGCAGCAACGTTCGTATCTGTTCCAGAGCTAAACAGCTGGGTAGGAATGCATAATGTCCACGGAGCACGTCGTCGTGGACATAGAGTTGAGTCTCGCGAGAGAAGGTGAACCGGATGTGCTTCAGGGTACACCGCAGTTGGGTAAACAAGGGCTCTGCAGCTGGATCATTTCCATAAGCAGATTTAAATGATGGATCGTGAATCGTCTCCCAAGCGAGGTCGATCGCAGCTTTGAACAATCCAGGTGATGGCTCGTTCACATCATGCGGATGGTGTTGCTCTGCTTCGCGGAGAACTTCGCATATGGTTTTGAGGAGAGAATCTGCTTTCGATAACTGGTGATGGTGCGAGTCGGGTGGCGTTTGTGTCGAGATCGACTGCTGCTCTGGCTCAGAGATTTCGGTCGAAGACATAGCTATGGCGCAGAAGTATCGTCTATGAAGAGGATGTGGTGCGTTCGGGATGCGTCTTTATAGCTAGACTATTAAAGAGATTTCGAGAGTGAATATGTTGCTCTCTTCAAGTCTGGATGAACTATGGAGCCGAACTTTGGTGACTCGACTCGCTTCTTACTTCTGTTTGGGTATCCAACCTCTTCCCTTCGCACAAGTGTGGTTCAACACATCAAGATGATCTTGAGTGTTTGGTGGAATCCAAAGCCTCTCCTCTCTGGTATGATATGGCCTGTAGAATGTGGATATCTGATTTCCAGAATGTATCGTGGACGAGCTTCTGTATCGAGACGACAGCGTATTGGATGTAACTCTTCCACTGATCCCGCTTGTCTGTTTCCTTGCTTTGGAAGGAAGACCGGGATGGAAGCTGGTCTTATGGTCACTTCAGGAACAGTCTTGGTGACCGTTTCTGCCTTCGGTTGTGCACATTCAGAGAAGCTAAAATTCCTTCCTCGGTGAGCGCTGTGGTGACGGTGTCGCGTCCCTATGGAATTGGAGACTGCTGAAGTCTCGATCCACACTCAGCTACGAGACTCGTTATGACTCTGGGGCAATGAACCTCAACGTACCAGCTGTGCTGGTCAGTCTTTGGGCTTCACGTGGACTCCCGATCTGCAACATGTTGGATGGGAACTGGAATCACCGTTTCGCTTATTGAAGTCGCTGGTTCCCTCACTGGATTTTTGCTACTCTGCAGTGAGATATGTTAATGCTTACTGTCGGATAGGTGTTTCTTTTCGTGAAGATGATGATTTCGAATGCCAATCTGACGAAGGTTTCTCAGACGTGCTACGGTCGTTGGTATATACCGATACTAGAGTTCTCTCTTCTTCGACAGACGTCGACTCTGGCTGTGTGCGAGTGTCAGAATTCGTTCTGAAGTTTATTGATGCTCTAAGTTGAGTAGAACATATGTTGCGATTATCAGTGGGATGGTACAGTGTACAATCCTGATCATAGCTTAATTTCTTACCACACGATTATTCTAGTTTAACTCGAAGAGGAGAGAGAATTATACAGCTTTAGAGTACCCAGTTGCCGACGGATTTTAGTTCGAAATCTTTATATAATAATTCTGTGCGCTCTGCTCAAGTTAGAGCAGCATATTTCCGCATTCATAGCACACACACATATTCATATGGTCAGGATCTCACTATATTCCTTCAGGTTCACTTTACTTAGGACATGCATGTTCGATTCAGGCGGTGATATCTTTTTGGTTATTTCCCAGGTATGTCTGAATGTACGATGGGCGAGATATCTAGGAAGCTTTGTGCAGTTGTATGGGATACAGAAACGAGACCTTTCATCAGTGCAAATTACGAAAATAATGTTTTCTTCGTCCTAGTTCTGTGTATGAGTGCTCGAATTTGAGTTAGCCGACTTCAGAGTAGTAACAGCCTTGAAAATGTTGGGTGCCTTATAGTTTGGGCACAACCCATCTTGTTCCTCGCTGTCTTCAGTAATCTTGAAACAGAACTTCCTTTGCACTTGTCGAAGCATGTATGATTGGGGTTCTGCTATGCGTTGTGTCCGTGCACTATTTGTGTTAGACTTTCTTGGCACATCCTGTCCGGTTTGCAAAGTTACCGAAAAGAAACATGCCTGTCAGACCCAACTCCAGCGAGCATGAAGTTAATGGCTATGATATATGCTTGCCCTCTGGAATGGAGATTGTATTTACGAGTTAATATTCCTCGTTCTAAAGTTCTTGAGGAGGGACTATTTTGGGAGTTTGCTTCCTAGTTCAAATTTTGCATTGAACTTGTGCATCTTTCGTGATTTTACTGGTCGACGTTGCACAGTATTGCATTATCACGTTTGGCGTTTGAGGACATCTGTATTCATGAGTCCCGCATCTATCTCGGGACCAACGCCAATTAGCATTTCTTACCAGACGAATATTTCTCCAGTGAGACTTATTCCACTGCTGAGCACAACTAAGAATATGATTACTACTCTGTCTTTTGAATTTGAGATCTGTTCGCGAATCTGTTCAACCGTTTTGTTACCTTCAAATTTACGGTCTTCTCACGTCCCAAATGCTTCCTTCCACATGGACCCTAAGTCTCAAATAGAAGTTTGAGTAATAGAGACCCGCTTGTGGAACATCTGCTGATAGTAGTCTAACAGCTTGATGAGATATGCGAAGAGCAGTTGAAATTTCGCCAGAGAAAGTCGACGTAGTCAGATGTGAGAACGATGATGTGACTGGTGGTGGTGGGAAAACTTCTATGACGGTCTTGAAATAAATAGAAACAAATTCTTTTAGAGCCGAAACATCCTTGGAGAACTCTATCCCTAGGCTATACCCCGAAAGATACTATCCTCGCAAGAACCCGGTGTTCCAGCTCAACTTTTGACTTTGCGGAGGGTGTTCGTCGTCTGTTCGCTTGATTTTACCAACACAACCAAAGCTCGCAACTTAAAATGTTAGCTTAAGCAGTTAAACAGAGTTCGAAATGCCTTATGACGGAGTCTCATTATGATAATTGGGCCGATCCCTTTGGCGCTTTGACCCTAAGAAGTCCCGAGTGATGATCACTCCACGGCCACCCTTCACTTTCAGGACTTCTGGAATAGCGTTGTGTTCTTTAAGTAAAGTCAAATCAGGCTGGAGACGTGCTATCCGGGTTCCTGGGCCCTGGTGTTGATAAAGGTCCAAGCGTAGTGAAGTGTTTGTTCCGAAGCCTGCGCTCGCATCCGAAACGCGCCTCACTAGTGATCAAAGGGATGCCGAGCAGTATCGCTTCAAGAACCCTTTCCCGTCCAGCTTTCGCAAAAGATCAGATATGAGGTACGAGAATTTGATGGACGGGATGACGAGATAACATGTCAATATTCCGGAAAATGACCAACTATCTAGCCATCCTGAAAACAACGCCACCAGCGAGCACTAGATGGCCATCGCAACTGGTGACCAAATTAGTTGGTTCTGACTCGAGAGAAGCTGCGATCTTTCCTTAAAGTGAATATCGACCTCATTAACACGAAAGCCCAATTTTGCTGCCCCACTGTACGGGGAAAGGGAGGAATAGGCCAATAGTTTGGTGGGTCAAAGAGTTCGTTCCATATTGGGCCCTCTCACCAGGCGAAACAAGATCAGTCCCGGCTCTCATACCCGAATGAAACAATCGACATTATTGACCATTCACGGCCATCAGTGAGTCGACACACCAGCATGAATCTCTCCAAGTCTCGCAGAAAGCTTAATGGGCCAGGGATACTTCGCATGCGCAATGCGAAGCAGAAGGATAATCCTCCCCGAGCAGTTGCCTGGAAGAACGCACGGTGCAGGATCTGCCGGATGAACTCCATGATATTAGTTAAAAAGTCGGACATTTATATTCACTTGGGTCTTCTAGGGATCCATAAGATTTCAAGGTCTATCAATATGCCCAATGTTTGACACACATCCATAATGCTTTTCTTTTGGGAATTCCTTTTGGTCTTGCTACTGGCCTTGCCAGTTGTGGCTACGAACTCGACAACAAACTCAAGTTCTTCCATACAGGAAGTCGCCGCTGCTCTGCCAGAATGCGCTGTAGGTTTACCTTCTCGGTGCGAAAAGCCTGGCTCACCTTCACACAGCTTTTATGCCTCGTTCAATCACTTTCGAACTCTACCTGCCTCCCAACCGACGAAGAGTGTATCTGCACGAACGCTCCGCTGAATGCTGAGATCAGATCATGTGTGGAGTCAACATGCACCGTCAAAGAATCACTGGGTACGCGGCCTATCAAGCGAATAACGTACAAAGCCTGACTTGAAAACTACAGTAACTCTCAACGTAACTTCTGTAGCATGTAATGCTCCCATCCGAGACCGGAGGACACTCTATGACGTGATCTCGAACGTTTTTGGAGTAATATCTGGCGTGGCGGTTGTGTTGAGATTACTCTCCAGATATCTTTCTGATTGCAACTTCTGGTTCGACGATTATGCCATCTTACTTACAATGGTAGACACTTTGGACTCTCGATTGTCCGACAAGACTGACTATTCCAGGCTATTGGTATTCCAAGCTCTGTTATTTCTGTTCATGGACGTAAGTATTGAAAATCTGCCCAAAATAGCCATTTGATAACAAGTTGAAGTTACTTCGAACGGACTTGGTAAAGACATCTGGACGTTAAGCTTCAAGAACATCAGCGATATGATCCATGTATCATTCCTTCTCCCGGCTTATGAAATGGTGCTGACGATCGTCAGGTCTTCTTCGCAGCGGAGCTGCTCTATTTCGCCGAATTAGCCCTGGTAAAGATCTCTATTTTGTTTTTCTACCTACGTTTATTCCCTGGGACCAAAATTCGAAGAGTCATTTATGCAACTGTCATTTTCAACATATTTTTCGCTATCGCCTTCATCATGACCGCCCTTCTTCAATGCGAACCGATCAGTTACTACTGGAAGAAGTGGGATGGGGAACATCAGGGAATATGCCTCGACAACAATGCATTGGCGTGGTCGAATGCTGCTATCAATATTGCAGCAGATATTTGGCTACTTGGTCTTCCTATGACCCAGCTAGTAACACTCAAACTTCATTGGAAGAAAAAGATCAGTGTGGGAATGATGTTCGGGGTTGGTGCTTTGTAGGTTACGTGATTTTTACCGTGGAAAGTATACTAACGAAGACTTCGTACAGCGTCACAGTCGTTAGCATTCTCCGCCTTCACTCACTGGTTCTCTTCTCAAACTCCCAGAATCCAACATGTACGTCAGGCTTTCGGTTATTACATTGAAGCTCCAGTTGACAATCACAGGGGATTACGTTGCGGTTGGATACTGGTCTACAATTGAGATCAACGTCAGTATTATCTGCTCTTGCATGCCAAGTATCCGTTTGCTGCTGGTGCGTTCGTTTCCAAAAATGATGAGCACAACGTCAGACAAGTCAAAGTACATCAACGATCGCGATATGCCATCAGGGAGACGTCAGTGGGAAAGTACTAGGGCAGGAGACGGAATCGTCTATTCCAAAAGCTTCGACATCAAATATAGCCGCGACCCAACATCTGAAATTGGTTCTAGTAGGCTGGAATTAGTGACGGTAGACCATAAAGAGCTCGACGGATAATTGGTTTTTTGATTTAAAAATTCCCAAGCAATTGCAAGCGATGATTTATCTTTTCCTTTGAATTACGAAATTAATGACATGAAATCAGATTACCAGTGATAGGCTCGAATCTCGATGAGCCACAGCATCGTCGTCCTTAAATTAGATAGTGAATCACCGAGCGCTTTTGTTAAGCTTCCCACAATTTTTGTACTGACTTATTTCTGAAGTTTTTCAGTACTTTCTGTGATCGTATTTGTCAGAAGTGTCAAGACATTCAAGCATCGAGATCTGACATCAAAGAACCAATAAGAATCTAATGCGGATGTCAGAATTTAGCTTGAAACCTACCTGCATCCTTGGGGTCAACAGCCTCCGATATCGACATTGACAATTTCTCATCACCAGCCTTTCTATTACTCAGTTCCCACAGTATTCGATGCGACGATGGGTAGGAGGACAGAGCAAGAAGACGACAAATGGATCGGAGTCGGCGATGCACGGAAAAGGAAACAGATACAAGACAGGCTTGCCCAAAGAGCGCGCCGTGTGTATTTACCCCTCCATAGAAGTTGACATATTCTGATCTCTCGCTAGGCGAACGAATTGCGCAACGCAAAGCAGGAACTCGATCTATTGCTAAGTCAGGGTCTATACTTGCAGCAAGAAAATCCGAAGATACCGGGAGAGAATTATTACCTCCCGGAAGAACTCCTTCAGATGCGCAGTTCTGCTCCTGCTTGAGGTCAGGTACTGCTAAAGCACCAACCGGTTTTGCAATATCGCTCGACAACGCTCTACTGCCGCTTCCGAATCATACCGTGTATTCGGCGCTGTTCCATAATGGAGTCATTTTAGGACTCACATGCGGTACTGGCAGTGTTGCCAAGTCTCCAGCGGCTCCACCACACGTGCCAGAACCATTGCGGCCAACACAATATCAAATGGACAATGTTCATTTCCTCTGGATCGATCGTTTTCCGTTCCAGAAGATGCGAGAGAGGATGATTCTTTTGAGCGACACTTTAAATTCGGAAGACTTTTTGGCTGATTTGTTCAACACAACGACATTCACAATCACTGCTGGTGCTGCTAGCTGGGACCCAGAAGCATGGCATGTGAGCCAGCCTTTCAGAAAGAAGTGGAGCTATCTTTTTTGATTAAAAATTCTCAATGCAGCTTCGCATTGTGCTTCGCTCAATCAAGTTCTTTTGAGGAATCCTCCCGAAGAGTGCCTTGTCTTTGCCAAAGACTCTTTGGGATTGGCCAAGCAATTTTTAAGATTCAAGAACTCTGAGCGTGTTGGAACGGTGCGATTCTTCCATAGCATAAAGGTCATTGTGGGACTTGAGGATGAAGCGGACTGCCGCCTTCAAGATCTGACATCAAAAACAGAAGATTGTCAAGATTGACGCGAACACTGGTCATGAAAATACCAAGCCCGTGGCCCCACGCAGCTCAGTCTGGCACAATGGCCGAGAGTATGTGGGACTCCAGGACCATATCAAGCCAGGTGATGTTTTCAGTGGCGTTTCCAAGACCAATGTACGAAGCCAAGACTTGCGAGTTGCTGATCATTATGTTAATCACCAAGATAGATACTTTTCTGGGGTTAATAATGCGAATTTCCTTCTTGGGAGAGGGGATGGAGATGTTTAGGATCTTTTGCGGAAACTGCATTGTCTTGCAAATAGGACAACGTCCCTTTACGCTTTTCTGCCAATATCATCCGTCGCATTTGACTTCCTGATTCGCTGCAGAGCCTCCCACGCATTCGATTCGTATTGAATTCCAGCAGTATTGGCATAACGATAAGTTCAATGTCTATGAGTCTGAAGCGTGGAGCTCCTTCTGACAGATGTGTAAATTGCTCTTCCACGCACTGGACAGAAGATTGTATGTGGGGTCTTCCCCATATTTCATACACATTACACACAGAGTGCAAACGCAACCCTCTTACGGCACTTCCATCATCAGCCTGATGCCGCGTCTTAGCGAGAGTGCAACAGCCGATGTGGAAGACTTCTCCCACGCTCACTTTACATGAAGGTTCATTTAAGCATATATCAAACGACGCACTACTTAATTCCCCGCACCCACGATCGCCCTTGACTACCATTTCCGACTTCGATGAACGGAAGACGAGGATCCCTCATGAACCGAAACAGAACGACAAGGTCAAAACAATCTGATTTCGTAGCCGGCAAAATGATCAGCCTGTTCTGATGCCACCTAACGCAATGTTCAGCATCACGCCGATCTTTCAAAAGCAATGCGTCCCATATATAGAGATCTCGGCAAGCAGGGGAACTTTCTCTTCCATTGGACGAATAGAACAGTCCCTGAGAAATTTCGTCTTATCATCTGCAGGCACCTGACCACTCCAAGCGAGGGGAAAGTAGTTTCTCCGAGATTCATTAACTGCAAAACTTCCACACGTTCTTCCATATTCGGAAGAATGAACGACAGCTCTCGGCTATACATCTCCATGTATAAGAGACCGCCCCGTCCCCCGACTCAATGAGCTCCCACGACTTCGGCAACTCATTATCCACCTCACGATGAAGTATCTCTCTTCCATTCTGCTCCTGGCTATCCCAGCCCTTGCGGCTCCATCTCCAACAATCACCGAGCGTCAAGATGCAGGTTGTGGTATCGCGTCTGGATTCTCCTACCAAACCGACGCAAAACTGCCAGATCCATTCACCTCTACCAATGGGACCAAGATCACCACGAAGGCGCAATGGCCATGTAGAGCAGAAGAGATCAGCCAGCTCTTTCAAAAGTACGAGCTGGGAACACTTCCCCCGAAACCATCCAGCGTGACCGCAACGTATTCCGCGGGCTCGATCAAGGTGACGGTTTCGGATGGAGGAAAGAGCATTACCTTCTCCGCCAAGATTACCACGCCATCAAGTGGCAAAGCTCCGTACCCTGCAATCATCGGTATTGGAGGAGTGAGCATTCCATCGCAGGCAGGTGTTGCTTCAATTACATTCGACAACGACGGCATGGCAGCCCAAGCGAGCAAGTCTAGCCACGGCACCGGATTGTTCTTCAACCTCTACGGCTCGTCTGCCACGGCAGGTGCAACCACTGCATGGGCATGGGGAGTCTCGCGTCTCATTGACGCTCTGGAAATGACGCCAACGGCAAACATCGACACCACGAAGCTTGGTGTATCAGGGTGTTCCCGTAACGGCAAGGGCGCCTTCATTGCTGGTGCTTTGGAGCCACGTATCGCCTTGACCATTCCTCAAGAATCTGGATCGGGCGGCGCCGCTTGCTGGCGTATCTCCGATGCGCAAAAGGCAGCTGGAAAGAACATTCAAACTGCTGGTGAGATTGTTGGCGAGAACGCTTGGTTCTCCCCGAACTTCAATGCCTATTCCACCAAGACCTCTGATCTTCCCGTCGACCATCATATGCTGGCCGGCTTGATTGTTCCACGTGGTTTGTTCGTTATTGAGAACGACATCGACTGGCTTGGTCCTGTCAGCACGACTGGATGCCAGCAAGTGGGTCAGATGATCTACAAGGCGATGGGTGTCCCAGAGAATTTTGGATTCTCACTTGTTGGAGGGCACAGCCATTGCGCGTTCCCATCTGCACAGGCGTCTGACTTGAGTGCGGCTGTGAGCAAGTTTCTATTGGGAGGTACTGGTTCAGCTACCGAGGTGTCGAAGAGCAGTGTGACTGTAGACCCGACGACGTACATCGACTGGACTGCCCCAGTATTGACATAGGGTATAGGCGTATGGATGTCCTGCGACAAGAAAAAGTAGCTGGAATTCGTTCACTTTCCTGTACATACAAGAAGAGTTTCTTTGTGGGGTGTATATAATCTGAAAATGACCACACTTGATCATCTCCAAGCACTTTCCTACGCTCGTACATCACGGAGGATACACTGGCTGTATTCCATGATCTGCAGGTGATTCACCCAATTTTCGGGCATACATTAGATAGTCGACGACCTCATAACGCTTTCAGAGCGAACACTGTAAAACCATGACAAGCAGACATAGACAGGAGAATCATGAAAATGCCTGTGGGCAGAACTGCTGCCTGTATGGCGAGCAATTTGAAATCGAACGGAAAAGGAAATTATCCATTTGACATGGAAAATCTATGATGGCATTACTGTTCAGTGATTCTGTACATCGACCACTCGAGCGCGGTCCAATATCAAAACATAGCACTTCTTTCAACGTAGAAATGGATCAGATCTATTTATGAAGCTTGCTTGGGCTTCGAGAGAGATGCCCGCAGGCCAGTCGATCATGGTACAAACAGAGAGACAACTGGCAACAAGGAGAAGGGACGACAAAGTATGGTCGAAATTTCTCGATTGTCGCGACGCATAACAGCAGAAGAAGATAACAGCAGAGGCTAATAACAGCAGAGGATAATAACAGCAGAGGAGGATAGCAGCAGAGGAGGATAGCAGCAGAGGAGGATAGAGCAGAGAGGATAACAGCAGAGGAGAATAACACCAGAGGAGGATAGAAACTGCCAAGATAGTGGTGCATCTTAGATGTCGTTAAACAGGTAAATGGTTGTCAAAAAAAGAAAAGAAAAGTTGCCTGCATCACAAGCCTTTTTTAGCGGGGTCGAAATCTTGGAACCAGAAATGCCCCTCCACGACCACCAAATTCTCAGCATCCTCTCTGTCCATCTCCTACAGAACTCACAATACGCGTCAAAATGGCAGATGGAATGGGCACCGTGATCACTATCAACAATTTCGCCACGGAAATGTCTCAATTCAACCCAGACACCGAGTCGAGTCACTTATACGGTCTTGTTGACATGGGCAGGTAAACACCTGCCTCCTCACCCACGCAAGCGACTAACATTTTACAGCAATGGTATCCGTTTCTCCATTTCAGACCTATCTCCTCCTCGAAGCCGACTTCTCCACTGTGTATACCGCGAACGTGCTGGTATCTCCCTCTACGACGCCCTTCACGAGTCGACTCCTGACGCCAAACCCTTCCACTTCTCGAAGCACACCATAGACGAAGTCGCGCGAACAATGGGCAGATTCAAGGGAATCTGCAATAGCTATGGGGTTCATAAAGATCATATCAGTGTGTTCGCAACAGAGGCTATGCGTACTTCGAAGAATAGGGACGAAATGCTGCGGGCAATCAAAGAGTCCAGTGGATTGACTGTTGACATCCTAAGTCCAGGCATGGAATCCCTGTTTGGAGCTATGGGTGCCCGGAGCGGGTTTACAAATGTGAATGGGCTATTCATGGATCTTGGAGGAGGTAGTGTGCAGATGACCTATGTCGATTCGACTGCGGACGCCAGCTACGATGTTCTCGCAGCAGAGGCAGCAACAAGCATGCCTTTCGGTGCTGCAAAACTCACTGCGGCTTTGAGCACACAAGACACGGCAGAAGCTGCCAAGACAGAATTACGGGCAAGCATGAAGACGACATTCCAGGGCCTTTGCCAAAGGTTCCCACGGTTGAGAGAGCAAGCCGACAGCCACGAGGGAGTCACCATATACTTCTGTGGAGGAGGCTTCCGAGGATATGGCAGCCTTCTCATGCATACAGATCCTGTTCAACCCTATCCTATACCAGCGATTGGAGGCTATACAGCACCTGGACACAGGTTCATCAAGTGGAGGGAGATGCTACATGCCAATAATTACGAGGATGGTAAGATACACGGAATGTCGAAGCGCAGACGGGAGCAGTTCCCAGCCATTGCTACCGTCGTCCAATCGCTTGTGGAGGCTATTCCTAAGATTAAGGAAGTAACTTTCTGCAGTGGAGGGAACAGGGAGGGGGTGCTATACATGAAGCTTCCATCTTCAGTTCGTGAGCAGAACCCAATATCTTTACTTCCAGGTGGAGCTCCGAACCAAGATCACAAAGTGCTCGATGCCGTAACATCATTCATGCACTCTGCATTGCCAGACGGCTATCCCGAGGTCTTGTCGCCGGAGCTTCTTCTGCATATAGTCAAGAATGTCTGGCAAGATGCAGGCAATCGAGATGATGCCAATGCTGCGAGAGCATTGCATGATCCGATCTCAGGTCATACAGCTGGTCTTCCAGGCACCACACATGAGATGCGCGCTGTTCTGGCTCTGATTCTGTGTTCGCGCTGGGCGAGTGATCTCGGGCCAGTGGATCAAAGAGTGCAGCAAAATTTACAGGCTTTGATAAGTCCAGAATTGAGCTGGTGGTGTGATTACGTGGGAACATTTGTCAGGTTTCTTGCTACTGTTGTTCCTGTTTTCCCACGTAGTCCGCAAGCTCTCGGTGAGGCTGTCAAGATTCGCAAGTGCTCAACTGGCCATGGACTTGGCAAGAAGGGCCACAAGGTAGGAATCAAGCTTGAGCTATCTGTGTCGTCCAAGTGTGGACTCTCTGCTATGGCACTGGAAGGCATATTTGGAAAAGTGGGGAAAGGGGTAAGTTTGGGATGGAAGGTAGAGGCAGATGTTACGCTTGACGAATTAGAACGATGAGATACCCCTGCAATAGATCAAGATTATATGAATATGCATTTGACCACCACCTTCTAGTTGCCATGTCGGCTCCTTTTGTGCATACTTTTCTGTGTTGATCATAATCATTGCTTTTCATTGTTTTAGTCAATTAGAAATTAGCTGGAGTAAGTGACAGAGTACGCATCAAAATAGCTGACATCGCTATAGATCTGCAGGTTTCCACTACCATCAACACTCAGATACTTTCCGTTCTGTTTCTGCAATGCATACCCCTTGCTCGCCACAAAGCTGACTGTGTAACTCTCAGCGCCACTCGAGTTATCAATCAGACCAGTGTGCGATCCGATATAGCGACCATCCTTGGCTGAACTGATAGTAAAAGTATCACCACCATCAACCAAGCTGTGCACAACCCATCTCTGGGTAATATCGCTGTGCGTGGATGTCGCTTCGGTAGCAGTGAAGTCGGTAGCAGGCTCGCCAGCATTGGTGAGCGCGTAGCCAGCCATCTCGAAGACGATATATCTGCCTTCAGTCAAGGTTCCCCTCATTTCTTTGAATCCTTGTTCGGACAAGCTTGAGACATCATCCGGTGATATTTGGCTAGTGTAAGGGACTGTTGGACGAGTGGCTGAGTAAAGGGACTCGCAATAACTGCTTCCATCGTAGACACCCTGCGCATTAGTGTGTGGTGCTGGTGCTTCGGGCAGGCTGGGCAACGAGGTATCTGGATTCTCGAAATCGAAAGCATTCACGAGAGATGACATATGTGCTCGTCTCCAAGGTACCATCTGGCTCGTGACGACGTCCTTTCCCTTTGCTTGCAACCATTCCTCGACGAACATGATTTGAGAGTTGTGGTCCGCGTGTTCCGTGAAAACCTTTCCACCACGAGTCCAAGGAGACACGATGTAGAATGGGAGACGGAAACCGGGACCTGAATACGTGTAGCCCACTTTTCCGTAGGGATCCTCGAGCCACTCTCCTTGCGTGCCATTTGGAGAGTGGTAGGGGATAACATGATCGCCCCATCCTCCCGTCTCGTCGTAGGAGATGATGAGAGCTGTCTTCGACCATGCTGCTCCTTGGGTCACGGCATCGACGATCTTCTTCTGGAGCCATGCACCATCACGTGGTGCGTAGGGAGGATGCTCTGACAACTCGGTTGGGCCGATGATGTAGGAGATAGCTGGGAGCGATCTGTTGCTAGCCATAGCATAGAAAGTATCAAGTGATTGCCCGACCATACCTTTGTTGGAGAGAGCTGACCCAGTAAGGGCGTCTTGGAATTGTCCGAACCAGGCAAGTGGATTGTCATCAAAGTTGTCCGCATCTTGAAAGATAGACCAAGATACTCCCTGGTCTTGATAAATCTCAGCAGTCGTCTTCCAAGTCAAAGGATAGCAGTTGAATCCATCAGCTTCACACCCAGGCGTCTCGTTGTTGTCAATGTATGGATAACCACCCTCGGACTTAGTCTGTGGCGAGCCTGGTACGTTAATGGAGCCGGAAGCCCAAGTCACTCTGTTTGGATTTGTGCTAGCGATAACTGATTCCTACACGTCATCAGGACAGGTTTAGTATTCGTGAGATGGTTGACCCACCTGGTACATATCTCCAACAGTCCAGCCATCTGCAATAGCGTATTGTACGGGAATATCACTCCTTTGATAATGTCCCCATGACCAAGGAGTATTATTCGTAGCCCAGTGATTGTTCAAGCCACCATTCAGAGCTGCATGGTTGTCATTCCATCCATTGTCCCCTATGCGTGTTAAACGGGTATGTAGCCTTGAGAGGGAAGGAATCGTACCTGCAACCATACACTGGGTGGCATCCAGGAAACTCCCACCTTGATAGTTTAGATACCAGGGCGCTAGGTATGAAGTGTCATTGGTGAGAGCCGAGTCAACAGCTTGTTCCCAAACCGGCTTTCCATCGGAATTGACTTGGACGTTTGGGTCAGAGAATCCACGAACGCCTGCCATTGTCCCAAAGTAATGGTCGAAGGCTCTGTTTTCTTGTCGGTCTTAGCACCTGGTACGGGGTAGTTGGAATATTTGTTACCTTGCATGAACAAGACGACATGTTCAATGTCTGCAAGAGATCCAGCAAGAGCTGATCCGGCAAGGAGAGGATACATGACCGCCAATGCGGATAGCAATTGAGATGAGACTGCCATTGTGAATTGCTTCATCAGCTTTGCCTGCACGTACTCTGTGACTGAAGCGCTACTTCATGGTTCTTATATACTTCCAGCTTACCTTGGATCTGGTAATTTGACGTGCAGTTGCCGGGCTGCCCCTCACATGTACCTAGGAAGGATCATGGACCTGTAGCCCACTATTGAAGAGGTCAACAAAATCCAGAAGGATCAGCACGTTCGGGTCTCGAGGCGGTTGGTCCCAGGCTAGCAGGCTTCCACCAAAAAAAGGCCCTGAGATCCCGACAGAGCGAAAGCCGTGCAGCCGTGCAGTGACTTGGACTTCATTGCAGGAGTCGAAAGTTCGTGAAAGCTTCCTTCGCCCACTTCTCTTTTCTGCCGCCGCCCGCTCAATGCGGCCCTGTGCTTTCAGACGACGGTGATCTTTCCAGCGGATTGGGGTGGGAGAAATGGGGCGGATGTCACCGTGTCCAATGGCTGCGACGACTGCATCCCCGTGCAATCCAGGAACCGACTTCGAATATTCCGGAGCGATGGGACTTCCATGCAACAATCCATCTCGGGCTGCACCGTCTCGTGTCAGCAACAAAACTTGCGATTCTGTTTGCTGAGAGAAACTTCTGTCCTTCCTGTTGCGGCTAGGGACTTCGTTCTATACCTAGGCCCCCCACGTGCCCAGTCAACCTTGGTTTCGGAGAGCCGAGGCTAGACCACCAGGACGACAACATCCAACTCAATCGGATCACAACTTTGCTATCGAATCCACTGAGGTGAGAGCAAGACTTAGAAGTCTATGTAATGATTTTGATGCTGGGAAGTCATCAACATTAAGAATGGCGACGGAAAGTTATCCGACAATACCATGGACATTGGAAATCAAGCAAGGAGAAGACTGAGTTCAACGTCCAATACCAACATGGACTCTGTCAAAGTCAAAGCTATACAGCTGCTCAGAGATGACGAGATTGAAAGAGATGGGCTTCCCCTCACATCCAAAAGGAACAGAACTCTTGAAAGAGAAGGCTTCAGTAGATGGTTGAGACCACTTGGATTTCTCTTCGCTTTTTTGTTCATCGTGGCCGTTCTCTCGAGATCATCCCTGGTCCTACACAGCTCTTACCCGATATCACGTCCGAGTGAAGCAACAGAAGAGGCTATCGACGAATACCCTCAGGATGTCATGCTTGGAGTCAGACTGCATCCCCAAGACCACGAATCTAGACCTCCAACCACAATTACCCATCGCTGGAAGGTCAGTTCCGATTACCGATCCCCTGACGGAGTTCGAAAGCTCGTATATTTGGTCAATGATCAGTTCCCGGGTCCTACTATTCAATGTCGTTCTGGGGACAGATTGGTCATCCATGTGACGAATAATTTGGCTTCAGAAGGGATTTCCGTGCACTTCCATGGATTGGAGATGCGTGGTGGAAATCGGATGGATGGTGCTGTCGGCTTCACACAATGTCCTATATCCGCAGGGTCAACTTTGACTTACGACTTTCTAGTCGGGGAGCATCAAGCAGGCACGTTTTGGTGGCACGCTCATTCTCAGGTGCAGAGAGGAGACGGCATGTATGGCGGACTTATTGTTCATCAGCCGCTTTCTGTGAAAGATGAGGCTCAAACGTATGGGTACGAAAGTGATGTCCTTCTCATGATTGGAGACTGGTATCATCGAAGTGCTGAAGAGGTTCTCGCGTGGTATACCAGCACCAGGGGTTTTGGAAATGAGGTAAGCTAGAAGGCCCTTTTCGTAAAACTGTCCTGACCAAATTCAGCCTGTACCCGACTCTTTACTTGTGAATGGAGCTGGAAAATTCATCTGCTCTATGGCTGTTCCTGCAAGGCCTGTTGAGTGTGTTGAGACTGAAGATCAGGATATGCTTGGCGTTCTCGGCACTACACATCTTGAGAAAGCTGTGAGACTCCGCTTAGTGAATGTGGGGTATGTTGGATCTTTTCTCTCAGAGTAGCTTATCTAGTTACTGATGCTCAATAGATCCCTCGCAGGCTTCTCCGTTCAGATGTCCTCAGCAAAGCTCGAACCCATAACAGTTGACGGAGGCTTTCCTATTGTTGGAAATCCTGCAGATTCAGTTGGAATAGTATATCCTGGTGAGCGTCTGGATGTCCTTGTTCGCTGGGACGAGCAGGCTACCTCTCATTTTCCACAGCTGCATATCTCTCTCGATCCTGAGTAAGAGCTTTCGGTATAAGGTTATATGATGATTGCTGACCAATTTCATAGAAACTTCAAATATCCAAACATGGCACTCCGACCCAATCAATCCTTTCCGGTACTCACCTCTGGCTCGCCCATCTCATCATCCAAGGCTCATGAGCCTCATCACTTCGATCTCGCAACTGCGATTGCTGTATCAACTTCGCCACTACCGAACACCGTCGATCGAACCATATTACTTTACACCAAGACCCAAAAGTTGTCAATAGACAATAATCATCCCACGGGCTTCATGAATCGAACCTCATGGTCTCCACAAAGATTTCCTCCTCTCCCACTCATCTCGCTTCCTCGCTCACAGTGGGATGACAACCAATTAATTCCATACATCCCCATGCCTTCTGAGCGGGAGACATGGGTAGATATCATTATCAACAATTTAGACGAGGGAGCTCATCCTTTCCATCTTCATGGTTACTCCTTCTATGTCCTCGCTTCATATCGATCAGATCATGGCTGGGGAAGCTACTCTCCATATGCTATTGCTGGGTCTTCTGCGTTAAAGCCGAACATGAACTTGGAGAATCCAGTGAAGAAGGATACAGTTAGTGTGCCTAGAAGAGGGCATGTTGTTGTCAGGTTCAAGGCGGACAATGAAGGAATTTGGATGTTGCACTGCCATGTGTTATTTCATCAAGCAAGCGGGATGGCCATGGGAATTCAGGTTGGTGGTAATGAGAACCATGAAATGGTTGACAATGGAGCCAGAAATATGTGTCAACCTTGAAAATGAATGTTATTGAATTAGATCGATCTTCCTCCCCATGAACAACATTTATGTGAGCACCTCCGTGAAGTCACTCCTTTTCCAGATGTTTCACCATCATATCTCTATAGACCTCGACCCTTGGAGTACTCCCCTCTATCCCCACAACTTTTGCTCTGTCGTCCCACTTCCTCAACTTAACCATATCCTCGCTCAAAGGATGCCTCATGAACTGCTCCAATTCCTCGCCTTGAAAAGGCCCACCTTGGAACTTCAAACTCTGTTTAGAAGCTTCCGATAACCCATCATAATACGAAGTATCAATTGCAGTCAGATATCTGTCCTCGTCAGGCACGATCAGAGCGAGAATAAGAAACACTAACCTTTTCGCTGCAACATGACTTCCCACCAGCTTCCAAACTTTCTCTCCAAACCCCAAATTCTTCAAATACTCCTCACCAATCATCTCATGTCCCACTCTTCCAACCGACCCTTCACCTTCCATCAACATCTGAACATCTCTAGCTTCTTCAATAGGTAAAAATTGCCCAATGTCGTGAAGAAGCGCAGCTAAGATGAGCTCATCATCACTTCCCGATCTCTTGGCCGAGTGGGCGCATTGTAGTGAGTGCTCTAACTGGGAGATGTGTTCGCCAATGTAGTCACCCGTCCCGCGCCCATTGAGGAGCTGAATAAGGGCATCTGCTGTTTCCGTGCCGGTTGGAGGAAGCGTTTTTAAAGGCATCTTGTGTTTGCAGAGAAGGACACTGAGCACGAGCTGAAGGGTCTGGTACCGATATCAGTAGAGTGAAGACTCGGAGTTCCTGCGATTGGTTCACAATGAATTTTCATGGACAGAAGAGCGGAACATCTCCGCACTTTCTATGTAAAAGACAGTTTTGAGATGGAGATGGATCTTTAATCAATTTGATGTCTGACATACTGCATTCTGACTGTGGCCAGAAAAGGGGGGCACATCAATTTAAGCGAAGTCTTGCTCCAGGTTTAAATCCCCAAAATTCCAGCGATCTCGGCTGGGACTTTCAGCGCTTCATCGCTAAATCTTCATGGTAATCCGCTGCCATTTTCAGCTTTCTTTTACTTGCATGGTACTCATTCCCAAACTCTCCATCAATGGCTCCAAATCTCTCATACAACGAACTGCTTTCCCATGTCCACGCTCAACATTGGACTTCCGAAACCATATCTCAATGACCCCTCCTCATACTTCTCCCCCTGAACTCGCTTATGGGTTGGTGGCCAAAGCTTCGCTCTATCGGCATAGTACTCATCATGCAAATCTCCCTCACTCTTGCAATTATATGTAGCATATATCGCTTTGCGATTGGAATTACTGTTATTAGCTCCACTTCTGTGCGCAAGGTATGATCCGAAGATGAGCAAGTGGCCTGGAAGTCTGGTTAGGTCAAATCATCAAACCGGGAAACCCTAAATCGAAGTCTTACCTGGTTCTAGTTCCACAGGAACCCAAGTCTGCTCTTCAACCCATCTCTTTTCGATGCAGTTATCAGAACGATCAATGGGAACACTCATCAGGTGGCTACCCTCGACAACTTCTAAACCTCCATTCGACATATTGGATGCATCTACAGCAAGCAGTATCGTGAGATGCTTGATATTCTTTACGTGAGTGTATGCTGTGCTGTCGATGTGAGGAGAGAACCCTCCTGATCCAGCAAGCTTGTAATTGACTGAAGTAAATCAGCATGGACGTCCCTTGATTGATTTGAACATCACATGCTTTTCTCTTTAAATAGAAGCATATCTTCCTCAGCAAGCTGTCCCAAGATACTCAACAGTCTTGGACCTCGCAACAAAGCATTGAAGTTGGAATGGTAGTTGGCATAGTTTTCTGTTCGACAAAGAACTCGGTTCCCAGTAGCATTGATCTCCTCATATGGCATCCATGGCGTTTCTGCTGTTCTCGGCAGATCATGTACTTCTTGTGACCATCGTTGGAGACCTTCAACATCGACTTCGTTGAAGACATCTCTCAGAATTAGGTAACCGTTCTTGTCGAAGAACTCTTTCTGTTCCTTTGAGATGTGATACTCCATCTTCAAGGAATAGATGCCAATTGTTTAGGTTTTTCTTCTGGACAAGGCTGAGATGTTATGATGGTATATTCATAGTCGTTTGACTAGGCGGAGAACTTCCGCTCCCGCTCACACAATTTACCCTTTTCCATCCCACGCTCCGGATCCAAAGAAGCTTTGTGACATCCTCGAATTCGGGCTGCAACTTCCTCACGAAGACTAGCCTGCGAGAAGAAGATGAGATAGCCAATTGAGAACAACCACCTTCACCCCACTTTTCAAGCTTCACACGTGTAGAATCCATTGCACGACGTCCGAAGATTCTTTTCCATCGCGACGAAGCCCGAACCGCCCCCTCCACTCCAGGACTTCCTCCCGAAATTGGGCGTGCACACAGGCCACCGGATGAGCCCGGCTGGAGGGGTTTTTGAGCAGTGGACCTCAACCTCGATTCAACACCTCGCACCAATTCCCTCCATGCAAGGCAAAGCATGAAGATCACCATCCATTCCCGAGTTCGAAATCTCCGTCACGGGCGACCTGCAGGCATCGTGACATCGTCTCGCGTTTTTCGGGTCGCTTGCAGATGGATGCCCGCCCTCAATTAACGCTAAAGGAACACTGCCATTTATATTCGATTTCAAGGGCACGTTGTTATGTTTATCTTCTAAATCCATCTGTCTGGAACCTGTCTGCACGGGAATCGAGGTGAGAAAAGAAAGAAAGTTCTTATGCTCCAAGAAGAGTGGCTTGATAGGACAGCTTAAAGTAAGGCCTTTCGAAGACGCCTGTTTATATTCAGTTTGCCCCACTCATTGTAGTTCTTGACTGGGCAAGATTTTCAGATCATTCCCATATATTAACACTCTTTCCTTCTTTTGATCTTCTATAACGATCTTCAGGCTCTAACACTTTGAGACTGCTGATACAAACGCAATGGAGGTAACAGACAAGCTGGGCGACAAGGTCAAAATCGACTCCGCACTTGACCAAAAGGACTCATATCCTGAAGCAACTGGTCTCAACCTCTCAGATGCCGTTGTAACTCGCATAACAAAGGTTTCGAGCACCCTATCTGTCTTAGTTGCAGGTATTGCTCTCTTCAGTGATGGTTACAATGCTCAGATTATTGGATACATGGAGCCACTATTCTCAGATCTGTAAGTCTCTCGCTCTCCCTAACGATTCTGGCTGATTCGCATAGCTACCCTAATGGTATCTCTAAAATCATCAAGACTCGTCTTTCCAACTCATACCTCATTGGTGAAATCTTCGGCATGCTCTTCTTTGGTGTCACCATTGATCGATTCGGACGACGAACTGGCATTGTTTTCGCAACAATCTTTCTCATCTTGGGCATCGTGCTTGCAACAGCCTCCCATGGCGAAAGTCAACTTGGCCTTTTCTGGATGATGATTGTCGCTCGAGGTATTGCTGGCTTTGGCGCAGGTGGAGAGTATCCTGTTTGTGGAACGAGTGCTGCTGAAGCTTCGGATGAGTCCATTGAAGTTTGACGGAAGCGAGGCATTCTCGTTGCCATGTCCACCGATTTTGCTATCGATCTTGGATTTGTGGTTGCTGGAGTCGTCGCACTCATCGTCTTGGCCTGTTATCACAATCGATCGACGGAAGGGGTCTGGAGAATCTGTTTTGGCTTGGGCATTGTGGTACGTACACAGGACTTCGAGACTTTGCTCCTCTCTATCAACCGACTAACGAGTTCAGTTGCCACTTTCTGTTTTCTTCTTTCGAATTCGAATGGTCAATTCTACTCAGTATCGAAAGCACGCTATCAAGAATAATGTGCCTTACATTCACGCTCTTAGACTGTACTGGAAGCCAATGCTAGGCACGGGTGAGCGACACGAAGCCAGATAAAATCATCCTCATTAATGAATGTCTTAGCTCTTGCATGGTTTAGTTATGATTTTGTCACATATCCTTTCGGTTTGAAACCCTTTTCGCCCCTAATTTGTTGAAATAATGTCCTGACCATCAGTAAAGGTATTTTCTCCTCAACCATCATCGGTCAACTCAACCCGAACAACACTCTGATCCAAAACATTGGCTATGGAACCGTGGTGAACTGCTTTTATCTTCCTGGATGTATTGTTGGAGGACTACTTATGGACCGCTTTGGCAGAAAGCAAACTATGACCCTTGGTTTCTTCCTCTGGGCTCTCGTTGGATTCATCCTCGGTGGTGCTATTGGACCCATTCAGACCGTGTTTCCACTTTTCGTCGTCATGTATGGGATCTTTAATTCGCTGGGTGAGATGGGACCAGGCGTGGCAACGTTCCTCTGCGCAGCAGAATCATTCCCGACTCCTCTTAGAGGGCATTACATGGGCTTTGCAGCTGCCGTTGGAAAAGCTGGGGCCGCAATTGGAACGCAAGTCTTTACTCCCATCCAGGACTCCTTTTCGGATGAGATAAAAGGTCAGCAGGCAGTCTTCCTCATTGGATCTGGATTCGCGGTCGTTGGTGGCTTGATTGCGTGGTTTCTGATTCCAGATAAGGAGAAAGATCTGGAAAGCGAGGATGTTAGGTTCAAGGCATATCTCGAGGAACATGGATTTGATACCAGCTGTTATGGAGAAAGTCTGGCAGAACAGGCCAAGAGTACAGCATTCAAGGTTGAGGGGTAAGTGTAGACGGAATGATACTTATGGGCCGACGGTTTGGCTTTGGCCGATACAATCTACCTTTCGGATCTGATATTACTTGATCACTATGACTCAACTTCACAATCTCCAACAAAGTGAACAGGCAATTTCAAGCAGCAGGCTATAAATTAAGAATGACAGAGTTAAGACTACGTGACTTTGCCGAAAAAGTTCGACGTCAACTACAATGAAGGTTAGCATTATTGTTGATTCTCTCTATTCAGCTGTACTTCATGTGTGAGAAAGAACATGACCCTCGACTTTGAGAAACCCTCCTGGCTCCTTCAAGGTTAGGTGGCGCGGCTCGCGAACATCACCCATCTCATTCTTGGAGTCCGTTGAAAGATGGCTCCATCTTGCTCTGTACACTCCGTAAAACCCTACTTGTGTCCTTTGACTGCTTTCGTTGGGCTGCATTCGATACTTCATCCAGAAGCTGCCAAAAACGATAGAGAGGGATCAGCTTGACGTTGCAGGCTTTCGAGACGTTTAGGCTACAAGTATGCGCTACGATGGGGGCTTGAAAGTTGGCGCCTCTACTGTGATATTTCTCTTGGATGCAGGCGATGCAAGCCACTTTTGATATCTGTACTCAGATGCACTCATCTTCTCTCCCAGTATTGATTTTCGCATCCTTCTCCCATTGGTGCCGCGTACGACTGTTACTAGAACTACAAGGATGATAACGATTCGAGGTTATTATCATAACCGGGGAAATTAGTGCTGACAACCAATATCAAGCACTGAAAATGGTCTTGAAGACACAAGATGATCAAGATGCCATCCAGCACCACCCTGAAGAGGGTCGACTTGAATGCATCCATCGATCATTGTGCGCTTGCCAGCATCTCTGAGAATGGCATCAACGTCCGCAGCGAAGCGTGTCGTGGTAATTGGAGCTGGATGGGCAGGACTGGCAGCAGCCAAAACGTTTGCTCTCACATCAAACCTCCTATGCTTGTCTAATAACATCGCAGATATCTTGAAATTGACCCGAAAGTTCAACTTACGATATTCGATTCCGAACGACATTTGGGAGGTGTATGGAACAAAGACCGCTGTTTCCCAGGTTTTCTCGCAGATTCACCAACGGGACTTTTCGACCTCTCCGACCTACCCATGCGAGACGCGATAGGCATGAAAGATTGGTCCGATCTGCCTGGCGACAAAGTATACGAATACTTGAAGGCGTATGCAAAGAAGTTCTCCCTGGTGGAACGAATGCGACTGGGGACACGAGTGTTGCGCGTTTCGAGGCATTTGGACAAGAAAGCCTGGGACATCGAGATTGAAAATTCGGGAGAAGTCCTTACTTTTGACAAAGTGATAGTGGCAGCCGGACTAAATTCGAAGCCTCTGTGGCCAGATCTGCCAATAGATGATTTCGAAGGAATAGTCATGCATTCGAAAGACATTGGGATGCGTCATTCAGAGTTGACATCCGAGAAGACACATAGTGTCACTGTTTATGGCGGTTGCAAATCGGCTGTTGATGCTATTATTCTTTGCCTTGATGCCGGAAAGAAGGTAGATTGGGTCATTAGAGATACCGGTAACGGCCCTGGGATGATGGTTCAGATCCGCAGTCTGTTTGGCATACACGGTGCAAGATTCGCTGGCCGATGGAAAAATATCCTGAGCCCTTCTATCTTTTCCACGGACACCTTCTGGTACCGATTTCTGCACAGTGGGAAGAGTAGACTGGGCAATTTCATCTGCAAGAGGATCTGGAAGAAGGCAAGCACTGTGCCTTACACAATGGAACCTTACAAGACGAAGAGTTCCAATATGGAAAAGCTCATGCCCGAAACGAAAGAGTATGCCTGACAAAATCCAATGTCCCGAGTCAAGCTGACAAACGCTTTTAGTTCACTGTTCTTCACTGCCAGTCTGGTTGGACTTCATGGCAACAAAAAATTCGTTGATGAGCTCCATTCAGAAAATCTCCTCAAAGTTCATCGAGCATCTATCACTTCTATGCGTGAATCCAACATCGCCTTATCGAATGGAGAGATTTTGAATTCCGACACAGTCGTCTTTGCCACAGGATGGGACAACAAATCTGAGCTCTTCGACCCTGCTGATTGTCTGAAGCTCGGAATCACAACAGACTCGACAAATGAGGATGAGGTAACAATGAAATACTGGCAAACCCTTGGAGACAAAGCTGAGAAGTATGTCGTGGATCTTCTTCCCGTTCTCAAAAACCCTCCGCCTCACTTCACTCGACCAGTGCCACATACCCCTTATCGCTTGTATCGGTACATTCTCCCACCTTCGCTCGCCGCTCAGGATGATCGTTCTCTTGTCTTTCTCGGTCTTGTAACCAGTGTTCAGACCTCTATCTATGCAGAAGTTTCTGCATTGTGGGGCATTGGTTGGATGGAAGGTCTCTTGAATGTGACAAAATCCAAGGATGAGATGGATTATGATATTGCGAAGGTCAATGCTTGGTCTGAACGAAGATATCTATCAAGAGGAAGGCAAAGGCAAATTGCTTCTGTCGAAATACAGGATATCACTGATATCTTGATGAAAGGCATGGGTTTGAAAGTCTACCGAAAAAGCAACTTCCTATCGGAAACATTCGTTCCCATTCGCGCCCAAGACTATAGAGGAATTGTTCGAGAATTCCTGAACAAGTCCGCATGTCGGAGCGTGTAGGTATATTGAAGGAGAGAAGTATACTCAATATGTATTACAGTACGTGTACATTACCTAAGCTTCACCTGAGCAACCACATGCTCCAATGTCCACGGTGATTCTATGCCAGAACGCCTATCTCATGCTCACTTTTCCTCGCCCCGCCTGCGCCGTCGACCGTGGCGGATCAAACTTTGCCTAAAATACCCCTTTCAGTGGTACTCTTGACCCACAGTGTCGCTACTGCACCCGCAAGAACCAACACTCCGCTGAAAATTGCTACTTGATTATAACCACCATACTGTTTAGCAATCGCACCATCAATTGGAGGACTGATGAGTGCTGCAACGCTGATGACGGCCATTCCCATCCCCATGTAGGTGCCAATATTTCTTGGATCTTTGGGGATCTGCGCAAGACATGTCGAGAATCCGCTGACGATCGCTCCAGAACAAAATCCATAAAGAGCTGAAAACACAATGATTCCCGCATTGCTGGAGATAGCTTGCATGCACAAAATTAGGATCCCAGACGCAAATGCTGCAGCAGCCAAGGCGTTTAGTCGACCAAGTTTATCACCAAGAACACCTGGAATAACTCGACCGAAGAAGGAGGCGCCGTTCAGGATTGAGACGATGTACGACGCCAGTTGAGTGCTCATTCCCTTGGACACGGCGAAAGAGGGAAGATAAAAGAACGGCATGAAGACGCCCATTATCATCAAGAAGCTTGCTACCAGCAAGCTTATGTAAGTGATCTCCTTGAAAGCAGAAGGCAAGAAGAAGGACGCCGTTCTTGGAGGTAAGCGAGCACGGATCGCGATACATGCTGGACCAAGCAGAGCAAACATCATGAATCCCAAGATTCTAATCGACCAACCAAAACCAATTGATTGGTTGTGCACTAGTTTCGAGAGGGCGATAGGGAAGATCACCCCGCCAAGCGAAGAGCCAGCCACTGCAATACCAATCGCGGCACCGCGTTTCTTGTTGAAATATTGTCCTGTAGCTGCCATAGCGGGTGCCATTGTCAGTCCCATGGAGATTCCGCCAAGAACGCCTTGGGCAAGCATGAATTGGTAGTATTTCTTGCAGAGGCTAGTCATCATGACAGAGAGAACATATGCCATTGCGGAAGGCCAGATAACCTATATGAGGTGACTGTGGTTAGTCTTCTGTTATATCTGACAAGGCGGGGATGATCTACCTTGGCGCCAAATCTGTCAAAGAGCGGTCCACCAAAACAGTTCCCACCAAAGAGGAAGAAAATCTGAAGGGAGCCGATCCATGATATTGCTGAAGGAGATTCATGGCTTAACTGATGAGTCGCATAATACTCTTGGTAGACACTGGTTTCAATTAGCTTGTAAGTCACTGTATAGATCAGGACGAAGTCGTACCCAACTAAGCATCAAGATTAGCATAGTTCTAAGGTATCTTGAGAGTACGAATGAATGCTTACACGCATTTGCATAACCAAACGTGGAAAAAAGAACACCACCTGCACCAATGGCAACGGACCAAGCCCTCAATCCACCCTCTGGAAATTCCATAGCATTCTGGGTTGAGGTCTTCTCGAGGGGTTTCTCCAGTGATGCTTCTATATCACTATCTAGAGCCTGTTTTTTCACATCTCCCTCCGGCTCTGGCATTTTTGTAGAGTCCATCTTGCCGGGACAAGTCAAATGATTTCATGTGCAGAAAGATAGAAAAGAATATTATATATTATGAACTAAAGAGAGAACTTGTTTGAACGAGTGACGGAATAAATTCTGAGCAATGTACCTTTATATTGAGTGTGAAAATATAATCGTCCTTGGCGCGGTCTGCTTCATCTGTCTCGCCGTTCTCTTATGTCCGTCGCTGAATTCGGCATATTCGCTCTGTCTGCGGCTATTTCGCTGTCAGCTCGGCCTAAAGATCTGGCCGTAATCTTATCTGATTGCGCACTCAGATCAGGCACGCCACCGATCTCAGAGACATAATGACTCACTCATCCCTTCTTCGTGATGCATATGAGTGACTGCGTTCTCGTCAGTCTCTTCGGTGATTGTTTGAAGATTTCTCGCTAAAGCGGATTGGTGCGTTTGTGGTCCCCCTTTTTCAGCCCTCGGATTCAAATTGCACTCCGTGTCCGTATTCCGCACCCCCGCCAACCACATTTAACGGCGATTTCCCACCTCAATCGGCTATTCCAACCTCAACCCCTGAACGTCACGTCGAGGCTGGTCGCTCCAAGGCCACTCGGATCTATTCCAATATTGACATTTCCAATCTGTTTGCTCCGTAACTTTGCCTGAGATTATTAAGCGCACCCTCGGGGAGAGCTGCATCCAGCATCTGTTGTTCTCTAAAGCCTCAAAGCGACTTAGCTTGGCCTCCCGGGGCCGTCGAGAAGCTCATTTAGACTGGGAGCACTTTGTTTATCTCCGCACGGGATGCCCACACCTGTCTCTCAGGGCGATTCCCAGGTTATCATGTCGGACATAGGCGCCTCTGTACCGGATTCAGGTGCAAATGCGGCTTCGACAGCTGCTCCTCGGAAGCGCCGCAGACCTGCCCTTTCATGTGAGCAATGTCGAAAGAGGAAGATTAAGTGCGACAGGAATTATCCCTGCACCCAATGCCTACAGTCTAAGACTGCACACTGCTCCTATAGCCCCGATAGTGCTGGTGCTATTCAACATTTGAAGAAAGGACCCTCCATTTATCAAGATCCGATCCAGATCAACGCCGGGATCCCCAATCGCTCGCGTAACGCTCCGAGCACTTCCTCCAGCTCACATCTCCCGTCAGATAGCACCTCACCCCAAGTTCCACTGTCTGATGGAACTCAAACATCGTGGCATTCTCCAGGTTCTGAACACCTACATGACAAAGATAGCGCCAAATCACACGAGAGAGCACTACTTGATCGAATTCAGAAGTTAGAACAGAAGCTCGCCACCGCCAATAGTCTCAATCCTTCGAAGCAGGAGCATGAGCTAGAGGACGAGCAGAGTCTTGAAGATGGAAAGTCTTCTCTCGACGGCCAAGACGTCTCTGTCTCGTTCTTTCACACCTTGAAAGGAAACTCGTTCTTTGGATCACGAAACGAACTTCACGGCACCTATGAGCAGAAAGGACGCTTAAGAGGAACGGTCTCAAAAACAAGATTCTTCGGGCAGTCACACTGGATGTACTCATTCGGAACAGTAAGTCAAAATGTCCTCACCTTTTCTGCCTTGCCCTGACAAACCTTTAGTTTGACAGGATCTCCTGTATGAAGGTAAATCCCAAGAACAACACCCCAGAATTCGCCGAGACCATGAAGACGACCGACCTCAATGAACTTTTGCAGAGATGCAAGTCAATGGCCCGTGCTGCCAAAGCAGGACCTCACAACAAGTTCCTCATGAATCCCAACTACCGAGACGCCGTACCACTTCGACCAGTCTGCGATAAGTTGATGATGCTATACTTTAGAACCCATGAATCGACTTTAAGAATATTGCATATTCCAACGTTCTGGAAAGAATACCAACAGTATTGGGAGAACCCAGCAGCTGCGAGCTCGACATTCATCATAAAGATGTTGCTTGCGATGTCCATTGGTTGCTGCTTTTATCAAGATGATGATCAAGACTGGCATGCGCAATCTCTGCAGTGGATATTCGCAGGCCAAACATGGTTAGCATCGCCGTTCGAGAAAGGGAGGATGCATATATCGGGTCTGCAAATACATTGTCTTGTCATAAACGCACGGCTGGCCAACGCGGTCGCCGGTGACCTGGTTTGGATATCGATCGGTTCGCTTCTACGAACAGCATTCCAGATGGGTTTTCACCGAGATCCTAAATATCTTCCTCGAATGCTTCCCCTCCATGCCGAACTTCGTAGACGCCTCTGGGCCACAGTCCTAGAACTCAACATACAAGGCGCCCTCGATTCAGGAATGCCAACTCTCCTTCACCTCGAGGATTTCGACACTGAAGCTCCAGCAAACCTTGATGACAGCGATCTCGACGAGACCATGACAGTTCTTCCCGAGGCCAAACCGAGAGATGTCTACACTCAAACGTCACTTCAGATTATGCTTCTAGAGTCTTTCCCAACTCGAATCAAAGTCGTTTCGCATTCCAACAATTTCCATTCTGATCCCAGTTATGAAGAAGTCCTTGCGCTGGGATCAACCCTCACAAAGGCTCTTAGGGAACATAATACCTTCATAAACTCCGTCAATGCCGCCTCTTTGTACTCAAGTGCAAATCCTCAAACACAATCTCCCATACCATATGTTCCACGGATGTTCCGAAATATCCTCGATCTTTGTATCCGCCGTTTCCTGCTTGCTCTCCATAGGCCATTCGCGGCTAGAGCTCAAACAGACCTCCGCTACTACTTTAGTCGGAAAGTTTGTCTTGATTGCGCAATGACGATGCTACAGTACCCAACTTCCGACCCAGGTGATCCTAGTATTGAGCCAGGGAAGCAAGATGACTTCACTAGGCTCAAGACAGTGAGTGGCGGATTTCAGAAAGGACTACTCGTCCATGCTGCTATGGTGATTTTCTCCGAATTATTGTCGCAGATCGAGGAAGAATCGACGTTTACCGAGCAGAGTCGCGCTGCCAGAGAGCCCTTGAAACAAGCTCTTCGTGGCATTGTCGATTTGTCAGCTCTCCGCATTATGCATGCGGAGAACAATATCAAGGGCCACCTCTTCATATCAGTTGTCCTAGCACAAGTTGAGGCGATGGAACTCGGAGTTCCTGCTGATAATCTTGTGATTGCAGCAGCAAGAAAAAGTGCCGAGATATGTATGGCTTTGCTTTCGAAGAGGATACCTATAACAGCTACCGATGATGAATATGCTCGCCATGTGGAGAATGGGAGTGCTGCCGATGGGGTTGGGCTCCAAGGTGCCAGTGCTCCACAGGACATTGGCTTCGATACTATGATGCAAGATTGGACCATGGATTCGCAGTATTTCAACTTGCCGGATTCTTGGTTACTTTCAGGATGGGAGGACAATCAGCCTTGGGGTCTTCAAGTTTGAACTGTGAGGGCTAAAGCGGAAACTTGAAGCATGCCAGCTCACTGGTAATGATGTAAATTTAAAGAGCACTCTTCTCTCTGTGGAATGGCTTGTATCATATTTGCGTCTCTACTCAATATCATGTAACACAAGGCCTGTCTGCAAAAATGCGGGGCCAAAAAGTTGCGCTTTCAGATCTCTTATGTCCAACATGAAACATCTGTTTGACTGCAGACTGCATGTGACATGAGGTCAGGCTTATGGTCAAGTATGTGTCATTCACCGTGTCCAAGTACAGAGGGACCAGGAAAGGAGAACTCGCTTGATCAGAGACACAACATCTGCTCCAAAAATAGAAGATCACGAGGCAGACCATCCATAAGCAATTCGAAGCCTCTTGGTGCAAGCCTTGTTTCTCTCTTGAGTCATGCGAATCTCTTCACGCCATCATGAAAATCTCTCCCAAAAGCTGAAGCGGACTTTCCTGTGCTGAAGCCGTCCACACGTGACTAGCTTTCCCCACGCCTCCCACCTTATGATTTATGACACCCTGAATCAACCGTCGACAACTGACACACCCATTGCAAGCTCTGTTGCACATCGCAAAAAATGAATATAAAAATAAACGATTCTAATTAAAACTTCGGGGATTCACAACGCATCAAATCTCAGCGTTAAAATTATCCTCATGCTGAAACACTCGGGCTCCGACGGGAGGAGTTCGCGCTTATCGCACGTGAGACTCCAAATCTGGACCTGATGGCCAGGCTTGCGATGGAGTTGCAACGAATTTTCAAACTCGTGGAGAGCGCGATAAAGTCTTCTTCAGAATCAATCATCATTACAGGTAGACCCCTTCCTCGAGATGAAATGCGCACGTGATCATAACTGCTGTCCGTTTTCCACCGTCGACTTGCAGATTTCCCAATTCCCGGGAGCGGCTACCTTTGGAAGTTAACTGCTGACTGCTGACTTCTTCTTCTCTTATTCTCATGGCGCTCACAATCTTGAGATATCCGCCACTCCACCGTTGCCGGCAGCCATTTCTATCTGACGTGGCGGATTAGCTTCATGAACTTGGGCTTGACAATCGTCACTTGTGAAGCTCACAGACGAGAAGCTCATTCTCAAAAGGCAATTCGATCGAGTTTCGTGTACATACCCGAATGGATAGCTGTAGGACTGCGGCTGAGTCTCTTCGCGGAGATCTCGCGCTTGTCTGGGAAGTGATAAAACATCACAGTCGACCAAGAGCTTGCAATGATAGCTTGAGTTTGACACCGTCGCAAAACAGTCTAGACACCGCTCATTGTTTCCTGTCGACATCCAAAGGAGTGCCTCCTTGGACAATGGTTTAGGACTCGACGCACCTAAGCTTGCTTGGACGAAACCTCATAGTGAGATTTAAGTCTTCATCATCACCAGGCCAAGGCCGTTCAATAACGCTGTTCCAAGACCTGTGCTCAGTCAATCCTCACAGATGTTCTAGTGATGTCGAAATCTTACCTCGCTTAATCCCGTGAGGACACACCGACCTCGAAGATAAATTCATTAGAGACTTTGTTGCATATCGCCATTCCTTCTCTAAAAATACTAGAACAACAGTCTTACTTGAAGGTGTCGTGCTTGGACAATCTTACTTATTTCGTGCATGTCGATCATGAATGCGGTTGTGGCGTTTACAGTACATGTCAGGAGGCTTGGCATGAGGTGAGATCAGATCCCTTTATGTCAAAGATGGCTGGGCTCGGGGCGCGAAAATAATATCCGGTTAGGCTGAAACATACAGTGAATTGTTGGAGCAGGAGAAATTACTCATGAAGTTGAAGTTTGAAAGCTGTGGCGATCATAATCTATCAATTTTGGCTCAGCCGTCTCTACTTTTAATCAAAATTTGATGCGCTCCATACGTAACTATCATCGTACGTCCATTGACATGCGCAGCTCTTATTGGTAATGTACACTAATCGACCAGAAAATATTAGGTGTCGGCATTTTTCATTGCCTCACTGTTCGAAAAGGTGTATAAGTTTCATGGCGCCGCCCGCTAAAACCATGCACGAAAAAGTACTCTACAACATCACCTGCAAGATACTTCCAATCTACTGCTGCCACAGCTCAATATCTCGAATGTGTCTAAGGTTCTCGTGGTCAGCAAATGCACTTTGAGAAAGCAGGAGCTCGACGTACCATGCGAGGGTGTGCAGAGCATTCATGCATAGAGTCCTTAAATTAACCAGCTGTGTTGGATGTTCTTTCTCACAGTCTGGCATATTGCGAAGTTTCTTAAAGGGGCTCTTGAGTCACTTCGAGTACTTGCTGCACTTAACGGTGTCCTTCCACCACCATGTGCAGCTTGTGCATCTGATCTAGTAGGTGTCGCACATCTTTCGTGGATATGTTTATTTCTTTTTCGGGAGTAGGTGGTGGAGAGGCAAGGCTGACTTTTTGAGTAGCGGAGAGTCGAATCGAGGATTCTTATCTTTACTGAAGCAAGCACGCAAAGTAGAACAAAGCAGCCGTGCTGACGAGTGAATGAGATTCGGAACCACACAATCACAGGCAGACTGGCCATCACACTGTCAGAATTATTCACATGCGTCTTTTCCATCATCTGGCCCTTGATGAAATGAAGTAAACTAGAAATCCACATCAGCTTCGAAGAACCGGCTACCGTTCAAGGTGACTTTGATGGTGCAATGCAATGGGAAGAAAGGTGCATGCTTAGATATTGCACCTTGATATTGTGCCTCTCCTAGGGACTTGAAGAGATGAATTGGAAGCTCTAAACGGAAACGCAACTCGCAAAGACATATCACTTGAAGCGTGCCATCATTTCTGGAAGCACTGCTGATTTGTAAATTATAAAATTACATTTTGGTATAGTACTTTACATCATGCGTGATGTCTCAGCTCTGGCTGGACATTGTCTTCTTTTCTTCGTGAATCATTATAGAAACGACGCCACCGCTATGCTAAACCACAATTATAAACACAAGAACTCCAACCAACCAATCTACTTCCGCCCCTTCTTCTTATCCTTCTTGCCACCCAAATCCATGCCCGCCAAGATGTCGTCGAAAGTAACATCTCGCTCCGGTGGAGTGCGAGTCGCAGCGGAGCTGGTGTTGCCGACCGCAAGGTTCTCTGGTTCGTATCGAGCCATCTGCTCTAGCCCGAGTAGAACGCTATTTCTTTCGGACAGTCTAGTCCTGCTCCCATTCCGTCCCGCGTCGCCCACCCCTAGGAAGCCGCTCGCCCCGCTATTGCCCCCCTGCATCTGCCCATCGGCATTGAAGGTTGGTGGTGGCGATAATGGTGACATTTGATCTGCTGGAGTAATTTGATTGTTGGACTCCTGCTCTAGAACATCTGCAAAGCGGCGAGCTTGGTGCCAGCAATGGGTTCGCTCATAAATGGCGTTGTCGCCATTTCTCACTTGACGATCAGTAGCGTATACGATATCTCCTGTGGCGGTTACGTATTGAACCGGTTTTTGATGCTGGTTCCCATTCCTTGACCATGGCGCAAACTCTGGTGTCGCCGGCAGAAAATATTCGACTCCATCGGTGAAACTCAGGTCGGTTGCATCCGAGATCAGGAGTGGTAGAACTTGCAGAACGCAGTACAAGAATATCCAATGGCCAATTCGCTGCTCTTGGAGTTCTCTGGTAGTTTTGCCCTTGGCTTCCTTGGTCTCGAAGGTTCGGTACATCTCCATGAAAGGGGTATTGTACTTTGAAGCTCCTTCAGTACGATCATGGCCCTTCTCCAGGACCAATGCTGCTTCCCACGCTTGCAATTTGCGCTTATTTACTGATCTTTCTTGCTCACCGGTGTTTAATTTGTTGAACTTAACATCGACTGTCGCAAGATCCGGTAAATGAGGCACGTCAAAGGGGATCGGCGGGAATCTAGGAGTGGTTGAGCGGTCGAATTCGTCGAGAAGCTTCCTCAGAATTGGAATCGTCGGATGTTCATACTCCTTTGCTTCGACGTCTCCTCCTACAGCACGAGTTGTGGCATTTTCACGATCCACCAGAAGGTCCCAGAGGGAGCATAGGTCAAGGTAAAGGCCTTTCAAAACGAGTCGATTGAGGCCTCCCTCAACGAAAGTATTCTTCTTGCTCTTTCCTTTAGGTGGCCATGATCCATGGAGAGCCTTGTAGTATGATTGGATAGTTTTTCTCAAGGCCATGAAGTTTGCCTTCCAGTACTTAAACCGGACAATCTTCGATGCATCGCTCGACGTGGAATTGGCCATGCCACTGAAAACTGAAGGGAAATCGAAGTCATCCAAGCGTTCTTCCACATATGCCTTATTTCTTCTTAAGTCAATGTAGCCTCGCTCTATCCATTCTCTGGTTTTCGGGGACAACTCTTCCCACAGTTGTGATTTTGATTCTTTCAGTGTATCGAGTTTGCCGACTGCATGGGCATATGCCTCATTGTAAAGCCTATGCGATTTCATGGCTTCTCCCAGAATCAACCCTTCCAAAGTCGTCTCTCTGCTATCTCGTACATCGGCGAAACGATACTCAGCCAGGGAGAAGTCGAAAGCAACATTCACCTCTGCCCCAAACGATTCCCCTTCAGCGTCAGTGAATGCAAATGATCTCAGGAGCTCGGCGATCGCCATGAAGCATCGAAATGCGGAGGAAGTTTTTCTGGTAGCAACGATGACTTGGCCGTTCAGAAATGCGAAGAGGTTCCGAGCATCAATCAACTTTTGCTCGCTCTTTTGTCTCTCGAACTTTTCTTTTACAGACTCATTTTGCTTAGTATCGAATCGATCTGGCGGGTCCATCACTCCGAGGGGGAGATATAGGTGGTATTCGGTCGGTTCGGTTGCTTCCGAGGGAGCCGAGGGAGCCGAGGGAGCCGAGGGAGACGAAACGCTGGGAACAGATCGAAGCGACGTCTCCGAACCGTCAGAAGCAGATTGTGTATCTTGTGTACCGATCTGAGGCGTGAAAGGTGGCGATGAAGGATGTCGCACTGCTAGATTCCTCGTGGCATCTTCAATAGTCAAGCTTCCTCGGCCGTCAAAGCTTCGGGCTCTGCCGCGTCCTCTTGATCCTTCGGGTTGCGCTAGAGCGAGTAAAACTTGTGAGTTCTTTATGATCTTGGATTCGCACTTGATCTGTGGACCAAGCCCTGTAGCGCGAGGGTAGAAATAGACGTATAGATCGGCCGAGTCTCGCGGGCCCCACATCTCAGGTATCTATAGGCTGTTAGAAAGATTGGAACAGTGGTAAATGACTTGATGGAGCATACCTTATCCGCCTTCATGAGAAAATCCAAGTTGTAGGAAACATGCCTCTCTCCTCCCGGTCCCCCCAGCACCCAAGCGCGGAGTCCTACGTGATTGCCATCATCTGAAGGTGTTGGAGTATGGAAGAGTCCTGTGATAAAGCTGGAGCTCTTGCGGCGAATGTCTTTGAGGGCGTCCATCCCCTCACCGTCCGAGTGATATACCGTCGAATTTGGTCTAGAATTGAAAGGAGTAGAAACAGAGCGATTAGTGTTGAGATCAACTTGTGATTGTGGTGGTGCCAATGACTCGGCTCGTGGACGGCGGTAGTTGAGTGTACGAGGGCTTGCGGAATCTGTTCTCGGAGGAGGAGTGTATGTTTGTGGTAGCTGGGGGTACGGAGCTGGTGAATTTTGCCTCGATACAGATCTGTTGTGAATTTCTGCGTATGGCGCTTGGATGATTCCGGAAGCACGTCTGGTATGGGTTTCCGAAAGGCTCTCTTCGTCATAACCGGAGTCACGTACGTCGTGGCTCGCAGCGTGGCTCGGTAGAAAATTTTCCTGCGGAACAGGTGCAATCCGTGATGGAGGGCCATTCTGCCATGCTTGGTTTGCATGTTTTGCAACATCATTCTGCTCCCATTCCCCACCGCTCGCATCTCCAAAGGGCAAAGGCGGTGGCGCTCGTGTAGGCGGTGGTTGCGAAAAGGCATCTTGTCGATGCTCATGAGGAGAAGTCTCTCTCTTGAGAGGCAAAGAGGGAAGTGCATGATCTTTGAGAAGCTTAGTTTCTGATATTCTGAGTTTAGGAAGGAATTGTGCGAGACGGCGGAGTCTTGACTGCGAGGACTGCTTGGGAGCCAGCATATCTGCTATGCTGGCTATACTAGTTGCCACTGGCATCGTAGCGGGCAGTTCTCCAGACTCAACTGGATGCTTTGGGGTTGAAGCAGAACCAGAGATTAAGTTGGATAATCTGCGAGGACAAAACTTACCCATCTTGACCAAAAGACTTTACACCATCGACCCTAGTGGGCCTGTTCCTGATCCACACAAGGAATCGTCGGGTATCTCGTTGCAGAGTTTGTTCTTGTCTGACGCGGCCGGTGGATCACCAACTACCGGTTTTTCGGCTGGAGACAAGCAGTACTGGGACTACAAAAGGCGTTGATGGGCCACAGAGGAGTCCTTGTACAACTTTCCTATGCATTCAATCTCAAACTTCTTCGGAAATGTCGGGGGGTCGTCGCCAGGAGAAGTGTTCCTTGTCGTCGGGTATTTCCAGGATCAACGTGGCAGACAGTGGAGTGTGTCACCGAGAAAAGCCCTGAAAACTCAGAGTTGGAGGATTGTATGACTGTTAGGCAGGGAGCAGGCAGCAGTAGGACGATGCTGTGAATTGTTGTTGACCAGGCGTTCTCGCAGTGGAACGGGTTGACTCAAAGGTACAGAGTTCGTCTGAAGTTGCTTGCCAGTCCTTTTGACAGGTGGTGGGTGGTTACAGGAGGAGCTGATGTATAGAACGGAGACACATGGAAACTAAACCAAGGAGCTGGGTCCTGTTTAGTTTTTCCCGCCGATTGGAATGTGCTGTGTGTAGCGTGTGTGTGCTGTGCGGGATGTCTGGGATGTGTGCTGGCAGCGGTGAGGCTGAGTTGAGGAGGTTTCACCAGGGACCTGGTGGACGCTGTATGATGCTTATTGGCGGGAATCCTCCCGCGTGTCCAGACAATTCTTGACGCCCCCTGAGATTTGCTTCTTTTGCTGTTCTCTTGCGGTAATTCTTCTCCTGGGGCTGAGACGTGGTGATCCGTAGCGATCCAATACTGGGGAAAGACCAGGAGGTATGCAGACTGGCAATAACCCACAATGATGGCGCAATATCAGAAGGCCGAAAGATTGCAGCTTTCCGCAGGACGCTGAGAGCTGATAGGTGACCGAGCTGTTGAGGTCCTGGACCTGTCGGTCAGATATGCCGTGGAGCCAGCAAACAAATTTAGATCAGAAACGAGGATATATGCGCGTTCAGATGTGGAGTTGATGTTTGATGTTTGTTTGTTTGTTGTTGTTTGTTGTTCGTTCGATCTTGACAAATAAATTTTCTTAGTGACGGAATCGGAGTTCTGATCTTCCTGGTTCCACTGGCAGAATCAACGTCATCTCCTCTATTTCTGGCTTTTTTGAGATGGGCGGTGGATCGTGCCCCTGTGTTGTCCTGCAGTCGGAACCCTGGCGGTGGGTCCATGCAAATGAGATCCTCCTCCTACGCCTTACCTCTCTAAGACTACGCTCTCGGTTCCTGATCCGAGCTATGCTGAAAGTCGTTAATGAGCGGCGGCTATGGTTGTTCCACCTCCGCAATATCGCTTCGAGGCCTGGATGTGGGTAAGCGTCTTGGCTGTGCCAAGCCGTCTGGTGCCATGTGAGGCTATGTTCCCTATATTTAGATAGCAAGGCACCCTTCACTTTTCGTCCTACTGTACACTTCTGATCAAAAACTCAGCATTTGCGAATTTCCGCATTCAGCATCCCGAGTACCCAAATCCTACACTCTGTGCTCGTGGATCACTTTGGATTGCGGGGACAATGTGTCTTTAACCGCTCTTGTTTCAAACCCAATTCCGGGTACAGATGTGACAAGCATTTAAACTCAACAAAACCAGGTCGAGACCTCCAAAGGCACAGAAACATGGCCATATCGAAGAGGCCACATTCAACCTTAAGCGTCGAAGGATGATCAAGAACGTTACGCCCCTTCCGCTCTGACTCTGATTCTGACAGCTGGAAGCCCTGCTCGACACTCCTGAAGCGGTCCTCAACGCCGGCTTTCGGGCGTGGTGTTGAAGTGAGCGCGAATGCGAAATGACATGATTCCAGAAGGAGGAGATCCTTGACATCATCATCGGAACCAGATCAAGTAAATAACGTGGCTAGTGTCATGGTCTCAGCCACAACACCTAGCTACCGTCAAGTGGCGCCAGGTGAGGCATCTCACGTCTTTTAAACATGCTCGTACCAGCTTACGCTGGTGGTAGCACCTACAGTACATCTCTGTTGAATATTGCTTTGCCACGCTGAATCTAGGCTCTGGTAAGGCTGCATACAATCTCACTTGCATAAAAGTGTACCTGCATATTCATCTGATTACTGTACTTTATTTGTGGCGCCGGACCGGGCCCCACATGTACTGTGCCGTGCTCGTTCTCGTCATATGAGAGTGGCAAGGCTGCCAAATGCATCAGTGTGCGCATGCGTATGTCTATGCTTGACCGCTGTCATTATCTAATTCTCTTTCTACACATTTACTCCCCGTATTTCCAGCCAATGGTAGAGACAGACCCTTACTGACCTCTTTCTCAATTCTTCAAATGAACGCTTCTCATGATGCGACACTAACACTCGCGAAGTCTCCAAGTCGAGCTCGTGTTCCTGTTAGAAGATCAGAAGCCTGTCAAGTTTGCTTCCCGGATTAAGTAGATGAGCGAGGACCTCCCTCCATCAAGCATCCTTCAGCGCGACTCGACTTCTACCTCTTCAATCACATAGATAACAAGCTTAATTGAGTGTCTGTGAGACAGGACATTGGAAGTCCAACCAAAAACCCGTCTAGATCAAGGTTCGTGATCATGTCTTGTTGTCCATTTATCGAATTTAGTTTTGAGCCGGCATCGAGCTTTCAGTGGCCTTTCTGATGCTCGTAACACACCTCATATTGGGAGAAAGAATTTTTGTCAGTGCCAATCACTGCTAGCTACTTGCATCAGAACGATATCTCGCTACTCCAACTCGAACTCAGTATTCACCAGAGACTTGACTGCGAGCTGTAGTATCTTTCATGGGCCAGATTCTCGTGCGAGTCATTTTATTCAAGGATTCTTACTTCTGGTAATGTGGTCATCCTTGAACGTTCCTTATCACTCATTAACACAGTCACCACTGTGCATCACACTTCCGGGGACCTGGGAAAGAGTCCACGATGCAGAATAGTAAGCTTTCGACTTCTACTTCTTAATCTCGCGAGAAGTTTCCCTTCCATCAATGGTGCTTAGGGTAAGCTGCAGAAGATCGTTTCATATAAATATTAGAGTGGATCCATAAGAAGTTGTATTCCGTAAGTTCAACGTGCCAGTTCTAATTATGGACGAGCTCTTACCCTCTTACCTACCTAGCCATACTCAAGCAAAGTTAGGTATCACATGATCAAGGGCCTCCTGTTGCTCGAAAAGCCAAAAGCTGAAGATCTGAACCCACACAGGTTCCCTTCAAGATTTTCCTCTACCCGCAAAGTGACTCAACAAATTTTACACCTCTCTCCACCCGACTTGAAATAAGCTCCTCGATTATTGCCTCAAATGTACGGCCATAGGTGAGATTCTGACATCCATCCCATCTTCGCAACCTCTCACGCTGTTCGACCCGACAATTGAAGAACAATCTCAAATCTACATCGCGACACAGACGACGCTTGTATACGAGAGCAGTCCATCACTTCATTGTCCTTCCCGCATCCGGGCTCTTGATTGGTTACCAATCTCTGAACCAATGGACCGACAATCCGAGAATCGTGTCATTCGGGGACAAGACCGGCCGAACATAGCACCCGAAGATACCACCGACGTGTAACCTGTGTATACGTTCCTATGATCGCCTTGTCGTGTTCTTTCTTCCACACGCAGAGATCGAATCAAAGATTTCCGATCAATCCATGAGTTGAAAGTCGGTCGTTTGTTTTCTCCAAAGACCAATTGCAAATTCTCATGTCTGCCTACAAGACCCGAGTGCTATACCCAATACGCAGTTCAGCCTCATAAACTTCATTGCGGACATTCCATGGCGACCGATGGGCTTTTTGATATCTGCCGATAACGTGAACGATAGACCCCACGATAATAAACGGCCCCCAAAAGTCTTGAGTATAAGACTCGTCCACCGCTTCCTGCTACCTTCTCAACATAACGATATCTCCTCAGCTAAACTCACTCTCTCTAAACCATCATGCCTCCCTTCAACATTGCCATCATCGGAGCCGGCCCAGCAGGGTGTATGCTCGCCCGCCTTCTCCTACAATCACCCACCCCACCCACAATCACCATCTTTGAATCCGAACCCACTCCCGATTACCGCTCCCAAGGCGGAACCCTCGATCTCCATCCGAAGAATGGCCTCAAAGCCATGAAAGCAGCTGGGCTGTACGAAGAATTCCTGAAATACGCAAGATACGAATCAGCCGTCCTTCGCATCTGCGATAAGAACATGAAAACGTATTTCGGAGCCCCTGAATCGAGGTCGAAAAGAGGAGGAAATCCGGAGATCGATAGAGCGCAGTTGAGGCAGTTGTTGATGGAGTCGTTGCCGAAGGGGACGGTGAGGTGGGGGATGAAGTTAGTGAGTGTTGGTGAGAAGGATCATGCTTTGAATTTTGAGAATGGAGATGTGGTTAAAGGGGAAGACTTTGATTTGATTGTTGGTGCTGATGGAGCTTGGAGTCGAGTTAGGGAGGTGATTGATGGGACGAAACCGCTGTATTCTGGTATTACGAGGTATTGGACTACGATACCTAAGGCGGAGACTGAGGCGCCGGAGGTTGTTGAACTTATTAATAGGGGGAATCTGTTTACTTACAGTGATGGAAAGGGTATCATTGCGCAACAGATGTTTGATGGATGTGTCGATGTTTCGATAGGACTTGCGCAAGATGAGTTAAAGGGTGTTGAGATCACCAGCACTGATGAGATGTTAAAGAAATTTGGAGGCTGGGATGAGAGGCTTGTGGGAATCGTCAAGAAAGCTGAAAGCAAAGTCATTGGGAAGAGCATGTATATGCTGCCTGTGGGATATACATGGAAGCATCGAGACGGTGTCACTGTCATTGGCGATGCAGCACATCTCATGACACCCTTTGGTGGAGAAGGCGTCAATCTGGCCTTTGGAGATTGTGTCAAACTGTCAGAAGCAATTTCTAAAGCTGCTAAAATAGGTAGCCAAGACGAATTGAATAGAAATGTGAGAGTATTCGAGGAAGATATGTGGAGGAGGGCAGAAGCAGCAGCGAGGATGTCGACAACTATGGGAGAGGCGATGTTTTTGACACCCGGAGCACCGAGGGCCAGTATCGAGCGGTGGTTACTAGGCAAGCTTAAGCATGAGCTGGCTGCTGTGTTGTATCCATTGGCTGTAGCCGTTGTCTACACAGGGTACTTTGCGTATAAGTTGCTCTATTAATATCTAACAGGGGGCGATACAACATGAAAGTTATTTCCAAGGATACCTTGCCTGCTCGCTTCCTTTAGCAACATTCTTCCTTCTATCCAGAGTACTCATTCCCGTGAACGCGAGGTGTTCCCACTACGAATGTTGACTTGTATACTTTCTTCTCGGCCAATGTTTCACCTCTATGCAACCCTTTCAAGTCCTTTTCGTCACAACATTCAATCTTGCTGACGCAGTACTTCACGGGAAAATGAAATTCCATACAAAGTGATTCACTCTAGCTCGATCAAACAACTGCTAGATACAAAAGAAAGCTTACAAGATCTTACTGCAATGGTGGTTTCAACTTCCAAGATTGAGTTAACTTTGTAAACATTTATTGAGCATCATTGACGACATCAAATCTCTCCGAGTTAGATGCCAAGAGATTGAATCCGTACACACGAGAACATTCACGAAAAAGAAGACCGCAAGTGATCCCACCGCGTCATAGTCATGTACCGCCACAACGGTATGTTGTTTTCACGACCTCTCTCTCCCTTGATAGAAACTCCTTGAAAGTTGTGAGTGGAACGATTTTCGCAAGCTCTTCCATATCGACATACTCCGACATGTACCGCATGGACACTTGCGAATTGGTAAAGACATTTGACTCTTTCTGTGCTTCAAGCTCCTCATCTGTCATGAATACTGCCTTGAGTGGGCGCTCAATGACCTCTGCAATCTGGTCTAGCGTCTGCTCTATAGTCAAAAGCTCGCTGGCCAACCCAATGCTTTTGCCGTGAAAGCTCGAAGCATTTTGGAACGCAATGGTTGCAAATTTTGCGATGTCAACGTGGTCAATGAGCGCAAGTTGACTATCGGTCGTCATTGCGGTGGTCCAGGTACCCTTATCTCGGACTTCTGGATATCGATACACCTTGGGCTCGAGAAAATTTGCCATAAAGAAAGCGGGGCGGAGGAGTGTCCAATTCTCGAACCCACCGGCACGAACGGCCTCCTCAACCCCCCTTTTACTAGCTAGGTGCCCAGCCATGAAAGATCCAGGGGCGATGTAGACGCTGGTGTCGAGCATGAAGACGCCCAGGCTTGTTGAGCAAACGACTTGCTTCACGCCTGCGGCTTTGGCGATCTTGACAACTTTCTCGGCTTGTTGGCGTTCACGGTCTAGATCATTGAGGTACGGGTGCAGGCATAAGAAGAGCTTGTCACAGCCAGTGATGCCAAGTGTAAGTGCCTCGATATTATCCCAATCTCCTTGGGTGATGTGTACTCCAGCGGCCTTTAGTGCAAGTGCTCCGGGGCTATCAGGATTGCGAACAGTTGCATGAACATTCCAGTTGAGGCTACGAAGCTGGCGGACCAAGGCTCCGCCTTGGCTCCCGGTGGCGCTGAAAACGAAGACGGTGTGAGTTTGAAGAGACATGATGTTCGATTCAGTGGTGCTTTTAGACTAGCTTTGGGATTAGGTCTTGTGACGATAGGTCTGAATAGTAAGTGGAGGTGTGAAGAGCAAAGAAGAAAATACAATTCTGCCTGGCGGGGAAAGGACTCGATTATGTACCATAAAGCTGCAACCCCGCGCTGTTGGACTAATATCTTGGCGTCGTGGCACGAAGATATGTCATTACCAGGCTTACCAACCAACTGGTCAGATATGGAAGCACACCATCGTCCAACCACCGTTCGGCATGATTAGCTCGCAGTACTTAGCTCAAATGACATGGGCTCATTGACTACATGTTGGAAGTACTCTCACATCAAGTAAGAAGGTGAGGCTTTCAAGAATGAAATGCTCTCAGTAAAATACTAGCTCAAGCTAGGGAGGTAATGCATTCTAAATACTGCAGAACATGATCCCTGACAGACACAACTCTACGAGAAAAGTCCACAATACGCTGCCAGCCAAGATCTCTCATTGAATGAATGAAATATCAAGATGATACTAGATTTTGTTCAAGGTAACAAACGCTTTCAAACTGCCTTTACCTTTGGTACCGATGATAAATTGATCACTCTCACATACGAAGTCCTCTGCTATTGTGCCGTCAAATTGGAAGTTGAATTGTTGAACAAGAGCAGGAAGTACCAGATACATCTCAGCCCATGCAAGACTACACATGTCGGTCAGCCGTCATAGTTTATACTTCGAAAGCACTATAACTTAACGTACTGCATACCAAGACAGATCCTCGTCCCCTTTGAGAAGGGAGCATAAGTCTTGTCCGCTTTCTTCCGGAAGTCAAGATCCATCCAGCGGTCAGGATTGAATTGCATTGGATCAGGATACAGCATTTCATCTGTATGCATCAACAGAGTTGTCATGCCTATGGGAGTGCCGGCCGGTATATGCCACCCGTTATAGACGAGTTCCCTATCTGGTGCGATTCGTGCCATGCGTGAAGCGATGGCGGGGCTTAGACGCATTCCTTCCATCAGGACTGATGTTAGGTAGGGTAGTTGCTCTAGGACTTTGAGATCGTTGGTAGTAGCTGGCCTCAGTTCACTCCTGAGTCTCTGGAGAATCTCGGCATTGCTGAAAACGTGGTAGAATATCAAGCGCAACACGCTGGCAGTTGTCTCGAAGCCGGCACCAGTCACAGTAGCTACATCGTCGAAAACACGAGGGAAAGACTTATCGGCAGGCGTCAACTTTGAGTCCATTATTTCATGGACTATTGTGCGCCGAGTCTTCGCATCTAGATTGGACGAAGGAGATGCTGTGGCCGTCAAGAGAGCTTCTGTATCTTTAGTGCTATCCTACATGCATAGTTGACAGGTTAGCAAGATGTAGTACTGCTTCCAAACCACGTTCTTTTTACTTACTTGAAGGTATCTGAAGAAAGACTTAGTCCCTTCGTCAGCCACTCTCATTATCCAGTCAATTGGTATAGACTTCATGGTAGGCCCGAACCAGGTTATATGCTTAGTTATGCGCCATATGTGACCAGAATCCTGAAAAACATTGGTCATTCCAGCGTTGAAATCTTCATGATCAAGACTTTTATAATTTCTGGCCAAGATGAAATCAGTTGAGACATCTCGAGTGAATGCACTAGTAGCAGCACCCAGGTCGATGGCCTTTTTCGAGGTTGAAAATTGTGAGATCCTTTTGCAGAGCTGCTCGACTTTCTGGCGAATTAGATCTTGCTGTTGGGCCACCTTGGTTTTCGAAAAGAATGGACTGAGTGGCATGCGGCGGGCCTTGTGAAGATCGTGATCTGCAGTACAAATCGTTGCTCCATTCGCCGAGAAACCATTGTACGCCCAGGCGTACTTGTCCCATCGACCTTCTTGGCGGTAGAGCTTTTCAAAGAATGTGCTGTCGATGACATGGAGTTCGTAAGGACTGATACGCACTATCGGACCTATATGCGTTGTTTTATTAGCTATGGATCGGCCTTTCTGCTTGGAAAACAAAGATCACAGCCTGGGCATACCGTATTCTTTGTGCATTTGTACAATTTTGAAAGTGTACTGCCCGTTAAGAACAACATCAAAGTAGGCTTCGTATAGGCGTGTGACAGCAGCGAGTCTTGGGCCAGGAAATCTAGCAAGGGGATGAAGCAGCAAGCGGTACGAAACGAGAGTACCGAAGTAGACAATGACAGCTACGGGAATGAACCGCCAAGACAGTAGTTGCATCGGAGCTTCCATGTTGGTGTTTTGAAATGATCGACTATGTGTTTGGAGTAAACGGTGTACACTTAACTTTTGCTTTAAGTATGTGTATAAAGGGAAAAAAACCAAATGTCGATTGACTTTTTCAGGAGGGGTGGGTTTCGACTCTGATTCTCGACGCCCAGCACATGTGCATGGAAATCGAACAATTACGGTAAGCAATTTCTGCCAGCTGCACCATTTTACCCATCAATTATATGATAAAGCGGCAGGGAAACTCAAGAGTCTGGTTTTCTCGGCATGCAGGTGGGGTAGGCTCTGTGGAAGAAGCACAAGCCAACCAGATCAGCGTTCCGCTTGCATTCCAACTGCATGCCAACTGCATACGGCACAAAATCCAACTGCATACCATTTGCATCCAAATGCATATCTACTACATACCCGCTGCATACCAACTGCAGACGAGCCGCATATCAATTTACTGGAGCATAGGATTAGACCGGCAGTTCCCCTGCGCCGTCGAGCGAGGCTTAGTAACGCTGATGAAGCAAATGCGAACGCTCGTCACATTTTTGGTGGAACTTCAACTATTGTTTCATTAACAAACAGTTGAGGTAGACTATATGACCTATTTTAAACACGTCAAAGCATTTCAAAGCATTTACTTTGAGTTCTTCTGAGTTCCCCATTTCAAATATTCGCGAGCCGCATACTATATCATGGAGAAGCTCACTACGAACGAAGTCGCATCCAGTTCTCCTAATGCTGTTTTTCCGTCAACGGTCTCGCCAGAGATTACGACTCTGCCAGCAGAAATAGGATCCAAATCATCCAGCATGAAGAATGATTATGAGCTAAAGACATCCGTAACTGACGTGAACGAATATGTTACTGGCTTTAAGTTAGTAATCATTGTGGCTAGTGTAGCCATGGCCTGCTTCCTTATGCTGGTAGACACGATGGTGATCAACACTGTAAGGTCCAGACGATGTAATCCACAAGCTGATGACTGATACTTTTCATTTTTACATTGCAGGCCATCCCTCGAATTACAGATCAGTTTCACTCTCTCCATGACGTCGGATGGTATGCCAGTGCATATCAGTTCGGAAGGTATGTTGTAACATCCTAGTCTTCAGCCAGACGGAGCCTGCGATCTGAGACTCTTGCAGTGCGGCTCCACAGCCTTTGACAGGCAAAATTTATACTCACTTCAATACCAAGGTCTGTCTCCTATCTACGGAGCTCTTTGGGCTTCTGAGACCATGTGTAGTCGATTCGAGAGCTGACACGGAGCATGACAGTGGACATTTCTGGTCTTCTTTGGCATCTTCGAGCTTGGCTCTGTGCTCTGTGGTGCTGCTGTATCTTCGGTCATGTTGATAATTGGTCGCGCTGTGGCTGGCCTTGGTGCTGCCGGGATTATCAACGGTGCCATCACTATCGTTTCGAGCTGTGTCCCTCTAGAGAAACGCCCTGGTACGACTTATCACTGCCCACCAAGTATACTGAAGACGAGATCGCTGACGAGAGTAGGTCTAATTGGAATTACCATAGGAAGTTAGAGCTGCACTCGAAGCTATATTTTAATAGCCAGTCTTGACACTGACGTTGGGCATAGTTAACCAGCTTGGACTAATAGTTGGGCCACTTCTTGGAGGCGTATTCACTTCATACAGTACATGGCGATGGTGTAAGTGGGATTCGAGCATATTCAGGCCAAAAGTTTCCTAGCTGACAAGAAGGCTAGGTTTTTACGTCAACTTGCCTCTTGGCGCAGTCACAGTTATCGCAATTATCCTTCTGCGTATTCCGGAACAGACTTCCAAATTAAATGCTACCATCGTTTTTCGTCAGCTGCATCATCACCTCGATCTCTTAGGCTTCGCTCTTTTCGCTCCAGCGGTGCTCCAACTGCTACTGGCACTTCAATATGGAGGCAACAAGTATGCATGGAGTTCCTCACAAGTTATTGGTCTCTTTTGTGGAGCTGCTTCAACCTTTGCAGTATGGTTCTATTGGAACCGATACAGAGGTAATGACGCCTTACTTCCACATTCCATGATCAGCCGAAGGGCAGTGTGGACGGCAGGGCTTTACCAAGCCTTTCTAATGGCGGCTGTGTACGGAGCAGCGTATTTCCTCCCCATCTATTTTCAGGCTATCAAAGGCGTGAATGCCATGCTCAGCGGCGTATATCTACTACCGACCATCTTTCCCCAGTTATTCATGGCTGGATCATCTGGGGCGCTCAGTAAGTTAGAAAAATCCTTATAAAAGGCGGAAACTACATTACTTACCCTTCTCAGTATCAAAGATAGGATATGTAATTCCTTTGGCTGCTTTGTCCGCTATTCTACTGTCCACTGCCAGCGGTCTGTTTTCAATTCTCCAGCCTGGCAGTGGTGCCGGAGAATGGGTCGGATTTCAAATCATGGCCGGTGTTGGCTCAGGGGCTGGTCTACAAGTGGTAAGTCAGACTTCATTTAGCCATAAGTATATCTGGCTTGACTGACATGTTCGGATTGATATTAACCAGGCCATTATTGCGATCCAAGCCGTCGTGTCGGGAAATGAGCTCTCGTCTGCTATGGCTTTTATTGTATTCACTCAATCTTTGGGTCCCGCCATTGTCTTGACTTTATGCAACCTGATCTTTGATGAATCTCTCAAATCGCAACTGTCTCAACAAGTACCGCACGCCAATACCACCCAAATAATTACTGCTGGAGCTACAGGATTCCGCGCCATTGTCGATGCTGATGACCTTTCCGGTGTCCTGAAGGCCTATGCCAATAGTATCGATCGAGTCTTTTATCTGGTCGCAGCTATGGCTGCTATGTGTGGCGTTGTTCTTTGGGGCATGGGCTGGCAGGACCTTAGAAAGAGGACAGACAGTGAACAGCAGGAAAGCGAAGGGAGAAACGATAGTAGTCAAAGTTAGGAGCCACTCACATCGGGAATTACACAATCGAGTGGATCTGGAGCACAGTGTCTTGACTTGTTTTTATTCTTTTTGCATGAACTTATCGAATGAAAATCCTTACCAAAGGATGGCCCTCAACACGACCCACAGCACTAAGAGATTGAATAACTCTACTTGTAACACCGTATTTATGTATTCAGCTGTTACAAATGGCGGATACAAAGCATGATGCAAAAAAGAGTGAAAATCCTTTATTCCCAATAAAACAAAAAACAACCTAAACTATCATATACAGTCAAAGTAGTCCGAGAAATGGATTCCAAGAAACAATAAAGTTGCTAAGATGCTTTCAATGGACACGATGACGAAGCATAGAAAGTACACTTGCTTTAGGACAAGTGAGGAAAATACTCACACGATTTTGCGAGGGCGTGACACACGCGGAGAAGAAAGGTCAAGGTGCCTGCATTCGGCACTACTGAAAAATGTTAGAAGATTCTTGCTGGAGACTCTCATTGCCCCGTAAACACTAATCATAATCAACAGGTCACGACACTTTCTCGATTAGAAAAGTAATGCATTGAAAACAACAGAGCGGTACTTGCACAGTGTAAAAACGTACTTAGATGGCTACGTATCCTCACCTTGCTCGCAGTCTTCTTTACCACCTTGAGGATCACAGGAATTCAAAAACAATCTGTATAGTAGTTCCAGCGAACATGTGAAGTAAATACCCTAATGAAATACGGTTGGCATGCGATGCCCCTGCCCGTCCGAATCATAAACCACGCTGTACTGTGTACAATATTTTCCCTCCCGGTCTTCTTCAAACGCTGGTCCTCATGTCGGAGTGTTTCTTGTTGTTGATCATACAATGTCTGCCGTAGTCTCCGAAATTGTCTCGCCGGAGTAGTCATCCAAGATTGCGAAATGGTCCGTTCGACGGACCCGGTTTTTCATTTCTGGACTCTCGTTCGTCCTCTCTCCTCCCTTTGTGGAGTATTTTGCGGTCACAGTGAAAACCTGTGGCCTTATAGGCGTTGGAACGTGGTTAAACTCGAATGGCTTCAGTTCGTGGTGGTTATAGTCTCTGCCCGTGGAACTCTTGTGACCAATGTCTAAAGAAGATTGCTTGTTTTTATCTCTTCCGACAAGACTGGAGAGGGACGAGCTGATTCCTCTTAGACCTGTGAAGTCTAATTTTGTGATGGCGCGCAGTGGTGGCACACAACCCATAATAATTACGCACGTCTGCTCCATTCCGGACCATAGCACACCAAGACTTGCGTTGTATTCAACATCTGGGCTAAAGTGTGAGGATCCCTGGGCTACCATGACTTTCATGATGGACATGGACATAGTAAAGAGAGAGGCTGCCATTAGGAGCATGAGCCCTATCTTCTGACGCACAGGCATATTGAGATTCCAAATAATTATGACGGGAAACAAAACGTAGGTCAAGTCGGAAAATGTATAAAGAGCTCCAGCATTATTGCCATTAGCATTTTTTCAGTGCAATTATCAAGGCAAATCTTGGAAATGAGGCTGACTTACATTGTCCAAAATACTCCATGTATAAGACGATTCTCGGATCCCAGTGCTTCACTTGTCTGTCGTATACATCCCAAAGCCCTTGGACAGGATTGTCCTGTAACCATGTGAATGGAATGATGAGAGTGCAAACCGTGGTTTGCAAGATCGTGAACACGATCAAGAACCTTTTGAACCACTCGTAGACACCAAACAAGCGTATGAGCAAAATAGCGATGGAAATCCTTGCCAAGATGGAGACGATCATTCCAGGTAATGATGCAATCCAATTCCATTTTAGCACGGCTATCATCTGATCAGGCTTCTTTAAGCTCGTATCATGCTTTCCAAGGCCATAGTGGAATGAGACGGTGACCAGAGCCTGATTCGCCACCTGGAGGACCTGTCATGACCTAGTCTTAGCATTCTCCCTCATCTGTTATGGGTGCAGAACAACTTACCACAGCAAATAGCATTAGCCAATCGTCCCAGCCAAGTGCGCGTGTAACAAATTTGCGCACGTAAAACCGAAGTGCAACAGCAATCACGGCAAGGCTAGTGAAAGTCCAAGTAAGTCCCACAATCATAGGCCCTCGTCCTGGGTCATCAGGATTGACTGCAGGTGGAAATTCGAGAGTGTTTGCCATTTGAAATTATGAAGACAAAGTGATGAGAGTTCGGCGTTAAGCATAGAATCACGGTGGAGAGTGAAGTAATTCTGTGACTACAGTTTCAAGACTCACGAAGCTGACTTTTTACTTCTGCTTTTGTGGAGAGGTGGGGCTATGCAGAATCGTCGCAGAATTTTTGATGTTTGTGACACCTACCGAATAGAGGGACAAGCCAACATTTAATAATCCGAGATAAGAGCTGCTGCAGGTCAGAAGCGGGAATGTCTTGAAATGGATAAAGAGTGAAAAGGCCCAGCAGCTCTGTGAAGCGTGCCATAAGACACTCTGGCAAGGATGTAAATCAAGCAAATGAGAATCTACAACACTTCCCTGCTTTGCTTTCGCAAGCATCCTCACACATGCACAGCATCTGATTACCATATTCACTTTCAGGCAGGTCGTATATGCGGCCCGTGCCGCTTTCCCAACTCCATCCAACAAAGGCCGTACTGCGGTTAGTTTTCGCCCAGAATCCCAGAAGATGTTTGCCACGTCAATGTAAGGCTCGGCACGTTCAGACGAGTGTATAATATCTAGACGTCTAACTGCCGAGCCGTGAAGGGTTGGTGGAAACTCCCTCAACATGTAATATGAACCAATGTTGGTTACTTTACACAGCAGCCTTAGTAAGGACAAGGAATACAACGCAGTGCTCGAGGCTGCTTTAAGAACCATAAGTGGCGAATACGAGTTTCATGTTGGCCAATGGGCATTTCACCCAAGCAGTCGGGACCTGCAGCAGCTAGACTTGAGCGCTGGCTAATATTTGAATCAGGATTCAAGCTCCCAACCTATTGTTTGACTGCTGCTATACTCTCTCACTTCAGAAACTCAACTTCGTTTCCCCTAAACTAAACATTCAGAATGGAAACAGCTCTCGAAGACATCAAGCGCTTGGCAATTTCCTCTGATGAGGACGCTCGTCAGTCGATTATGTCAGCGTTGCACAAGCTGGCATACTCGATGGAAAGTCCAAACGATACCATACGGAGATACGGCCATTTAGTAAGACTGGAAGGTTCTTGCTGGCCACAAAAGCTAATATGAAGCTCAAGACTCTCCAGACAGCAGCCATTAAAATCGGCATTGACTTGGGTCTGTTTGTATACTTGGCTGAATCGAAGTCTCCCTTGTTTGCGGAGCAGATCGCGCAGACGACAGGCGCAGATATTCAGTTGTTGAGTAAGGAATGAACAACCCAGGATAAATCGGAAGGTCACTAAAGAAGTCTGAAGATCGAGTCCTGCGCTACCTTTCTGCAATCGATGCATTGGATGAGGTATCCAAAAATTCATATCGTGCCAACCATATCACGCAAAACCTCGCACAGAAGGTTACAGAAGCTGGCATTCGTCACTAGTGTGTATATGTTGATTTTCATCATTCTTAAAGGTACTCTTCTCCAGCTGACGCTTCTACCCGACTTAGCTTCACAACTGTCGCACCTCAATATCATGCTCTACCTACGTTTCTGAAGAGAACAAACTACAAGAGCCCCACGGACGAGCTTCACACAGCTTTCCAAGATGCGTGGAAGACATCGCTGCATGCCTTTTCCTGGTTCGCGGACAATCCAGACCACCTAGCTCCATTCAACGACTTCATGGCGCTGCGGCGTCAACCTGGACTCTCTTGGCTGTCAATGTATCCTGTCGTTCAAGAGTCTCGCGGCTGGGAGGTCGAGATGCCAATATACGTTAACATTGGCGGCGGCATTGGGCATCAATGTGCCCAATTTAAGGAAATGTACCCTGATATTCCTGGCCGTGTGATCCTTCAAGATTTGTCGCACTCGATTGCAAACGCACTTCAAACGCCAGGAGTCGAGAATATGGAGCATGACTTCTTTGAACCACAACCAATCAAGGGTGAGTGCAAATCTTGATGTCCACCACAAATTATTCGCCTCTGCTTCACTGACATGTTATCCGTGATCGTAGGCGCCAAGTTTTACTACATGCGAGGAGTATTGCACAACCACCCACCTCACAAGGTCCGCAAACTGTTAGAGAACACCAAGTCAGCAATGACGCAGGACTCCATCCTCCTCATTGATGAGATGATACTTCCAGAGACTGGCGTGAACGCCAATGCAGCGTCTATTGACATGACCATGTTGACGGCTTTTGCTAGTATGGAACGCACAGAGTCACAATGGCAAGAGATTGTTCAAGCTGCCGGGCTTAAGTTGGTACAGATATACACATACAATCCTCAGAGTTACGAGAGTGTCATGGACGTACGTCTACTATGATACGCCAACACAAGTAGCTTAAAGTTGCAACCGAATCATGTATCTTGAAGATCTTCCAACATGCAATTGTATCACTGCCCCTCAAGCAGAATATGCTTCTCGGGGTCTTCTGAACTCTTTCTGATGCCCCACAACGTGAGATTCGAGTAGATAGGTGATTTTCTCAAGGCCCCTTGGAGTGTATTGCAACCACCTATTTATAGAGATAAATGGTTGGTCACTACTCTTACCTTGCAATAAATGCATCTTACAAGGGTCTGTTGAGCCTAATCAGTGAGAGGCGATGTCACCCTAGAATACGATATGAACCAAAGTAAACCTTGAAGTGGTTGAAGGAGTGGGCACCTTCCATGCACGCACTACGACACACCTGTCACCACTAAAATCATGCTCCCAATGCCATGCAGTTGGCTGACATGGGATAGACTGTCCACATTGGGCTGTCGTGTCAAATTTCGGTGTCCCAATTGGGATTTGATCTAAAATCAAGGCTGTTTTTTTTTATGCAATAATCTCTTTCTCCTTCAATCATTGAAGCACGAAGATCATTACAACGATCATGACACTAGTATTGGCAGACTCAATACAGCCATTTGCTCTGGGACTAATTGGAGCAATTCTCGTATGGCGTCTCCTATGCATGACTTTCCAAGGTCCAGATCACAAAGAAGTATGGACCAGAATCGAAGCAGTTGGCGTCTCAGGCAATGGAATCTTTCCATGGACTCGTGCAGTTGTTGGGTCGATACTATCGATCCAGAAGAATGCACACGAAGGCTACAAGAGAATTTGTAAAGCCAAAGACCGGCCATTTACACTTCCCACCATGTGGACCGGCGGGGCTGTTGTTGTACTTCCACCATCTCTACTTCCACTCCTCAACAAGCCTGATACCGAGCTATCAGGTTTCAGAGCTCTAATCGAAACTATACAACTGCCCTATATGATTTCTAACCGTGATATCTACGAAAACGTCATCCATTTCGACGTGGTTCGCAAGATTTTGACGAAGAAGGAGGTCATCGGCTCACTTGCTCCGACGACCGCTGAAGAGCTTGATATTGCATTTCGAGAATGCTGGGGTGTATCAGAGCGGTGGCAGACAATGAACGGCTGGGATGTCTGCGGACGTATCATCACTCGAGCTGCCCTGCGGACGTTGATCGGAGAGCCTTTGTGTCGCGATGAGACGTTTTTAGAGCAGTCCAGACTATATGCCAACTCCCTCTTTGCTGGCACGGCAATTATAAATTGCTTGCCACCTCTTGTCAGGCCATTATTAGGGCCACTGTTGGCGCTACGAGCAAAATACTACCAAGCTCGGTGCCAAAAAGTCCTGCGGCCTTACGTTGAAGAAAGGATACGACTATGGAACCAACGTCAGGAGAGAGACAACCAACCGGTATGTACTTGAGTCCTAAGTGTGCTAGATTTTATGTCTTTGTAATAAATCTTTTGCTAATCTTACGCCTTGTGTTTGCAGAATGACTTCCTCCAGTGGATGATTCCTAAATGCTCCAGTGCACACTCAGACCAATTGGAGCCAAACAAAACAGCAATGCGACTTCTTGCCCTTAACACGATGTTCATTTTTGCTATGGGATATGTTTTCGCTCATTGCATATTCGATTTATACAGTAGCTCTCCGTCGCCCAAAGCCGAATTTCTCCATGACTTAGAAGAAGAATGCAAGCGCGTGTTTGTGAAGCATCACGGACTATCGACAAAAGCGGCAATTGACTCTCTATATCGTGTAGACTCGTCCATAAGAGAATCTATGCGGCTTTCAGATGTTGGCGTCACTAACCTTCCATTGGATGTTGTCTCCGGCAAAATCAGTCTCGGAAATGGTATCCAAGTCCCTCCTGGCGTTCGGATGGTCTTTCCTACGCAATCAATACATCTCGACCCCAGCAATTACGAACAACCTCTATGCTTCGATGCTTTTCGCTTTTCTCGAAGATTTGAGACTCTAGAGGTGCCCAACAAGCAGCTTGGGGAGCGTGAACTTCTTACATCTCCCACTCCATCATTCCTCGCTTTTGGATATGGCAGACATGGTTGCCCTGGAAGATGGTTTGTGGCTCAGACCATCAAGCAAGCATTGGCATATGTGATCATGAATTACGATGTCGAACTTGCTGGGGCACCAATCAAGAGAAAAGCGTTGTTAAATATGATGGTCCCACCGACGAACGCTCAAATAAGGATTCGGCGAAAATCACAGAAAGAGACAGGTCTTTGATTGTTTGTACATGGTTCTTCTATTCGCTATTCATGCACTTTTCGGTACAACTGATGTAATTCCACTGTCATGTCGTTTGTGACATGATTAAAAATGACTTCGAGTTATTTTATTTCAGCGTATGGTAGAAACAAGGATTAGTTCAAAACATGTTATGACGAACTGTTATGACTGCCAACTTGTATTGATATAGAATCATAAGGCGCGAGATGATTTGTTGTTTCCAAAACGACACACTTCGATTTGCTCCCTAATCTAAAGTGCACCACAGAACTTCAATAATCCCCAAGGCCGAGCCTTTTGGTTCAATGACACTTTTTATCACGAACCTCAAATCAGCCTTTTCAAGCAAGCATTTCCATTGACTCACTGTTCTCTCCAGAGAATTGAAAATAGCCCCCATGTTTAAGTCCTCAGCTCTAATGCGTGCTTGTTAGCAATACTAACTTTAAAATGGAGGAAGTACCAGCAGATAGGAAACAGACAAACCTCAGATTCCTTTCTTTCCACAGTGGTATGCTTCCTGGGCTCGGCATGCAAACCTCTTGAATGATAATTCTTGCACCAGGCTTCAACGCAGATATCAGCGCTCTAAGTATTAGGATGCAATATTTGTCCGACCAGTTGTGCAAAATCCAACGAAGATAGAAAACGTCTGCTTTAATAGGCTGAGGGGAGAAGAAGTCATGAGCCATGAAGCACACTCTCTGTTTGAGCTCCTCGGGTACACCGTGCTTCGCGATACGGACGACTTCATCCATGTCCTGAACGACAATCTGAAGGTTCTCAAAGCGCCTTGCAAGTTCAGTGGCTATATGACCTTGAGCTCCACCAATATCGACAACTTGGACTTTACCCAAAGCTCCCCAGTCATAGTTCTCGATGAGAAATGAGGGATCATAATCCGGCCTTGTGGCAAATACTTTCATGGCGTTCGAAAAGCAAACAGCTCGCTCAGGACTACTTCCAATGATGGAATAAATCGATTCTGTAGTATCGTTTGATAGAGAAAAGCCCTACACGAAGTGAGGGTCAATGTTATGCCACCCCTGACATATTGTCATGGAGGAAATACCGTTTCATTTGGTTCCTGGGAGCCTGGCCATTTTTGCAACGCATTCAGCATCTGAATTGGGAGTAAGTTAGGTAGAACGGCATCACTGGTGCAAAATTCTTACTGCAACTGCTGCAGGCCACATTTCTTCGGTACCAACTCTTAACCAATCATTCATGATCGGGTTAGCTAGAGTTTTCGAAGCCTGCGTATGTGCCACCATTCCCGGATGAGGCTCGCAAAAGATCCGCATGGTCATCGCATGTCTTAGAAGTCGCACAGCTATTTGCTCGTTCAATCCTGCTTTCTCCGCAATTTCACCAAATGGAATTTGCCCCCCGGGTGGGATCATTCCGGCAATGTTAAAGCGAGCGATAGCCTGCAAACATACGGAATTATTGTGCTGCAGTTCTGTCAGTCCACGAGGGTATTGACCAAAGGTTGTGTAATAGACCAACCCCATGATGTTTGTAGATCAGAGTCAATGGCTCCAGAAGCAAGTCGTATAGCTCTGACGTAGCATCGAGCACCGCGTCTCGAGCGCCAGAAATGTCTTCCGGAAAAGACGCTGGTGCGTACTCATCGAAAGAAGGTGAGTTGAGGTTGTTTGCAGACAGAATTTCGTGTATCGCGATTACAGACTTGTTAATAATTGCAGCAAGCTGCAAAATACGCGATTGGGACATACTCGGGGTCTGTACTCTATGATCGAAGAGTGAGTTCTTGAGGTAACTTCTATATTTACAGTACACTTGGTTCGATGGGAACTGGTGATACTGAACTGGGTCGAGTTTAGCCGATAGTCCGCTGCCAAACTGTTTGCAGGCCGTGCTTCGGAGACAAAATTGAATCGTCAAGGTGGTGTGCTTGACTGTCAACTTGTCGATCTACCTGCACTCCTTAGCTAATATAAAATGTTGGAAAAGTGATCTAATATGCGCGCAATTGCCCGCGTATTAACCCTATAGGCTCATGTGAGGAGGTTCAGAAGACGGTTCGGCCATATAGACCCCAAAGAAAGCGCTGATCCTGTAATCTCACTGTGCCACACGACTAGACACACGAAAGCGGCGTCGAGTACTGTGCGTGCTGATCATGAGAATTTCAGGGATCCAGAAATAGACCTTGTATGACAAACCCGTCTTGGTGCAGCAAGCAATGTTTTGTAAGTAAGGCTGTCGTCGGATTTTACTCGGCAGTTGGGTCCCAGAAATGGTGCAAACTTGGATTCTGATATGCAAGAAATCCAACACTTAGCGTTTGTGCACAAAGTTCTTCTTAGGGAAAGACAAATGAAATTCAAGAATTGGTTTTTTTTACCTCTGTATCTAAGGCCGTAAGATAGTAAATGTAAATGTAAATGTAAATCATAAAAACAAATCAAGGCTGATTTGATTGTGACATACAATTCTGCAAAACACTTTCTGCTCAACTGCATTGTCGATATGGGGTCACTCAACGACCCCCAACGTACCGAGTTGCGCTACATTCAACAGCTATTCGACGATAGAGTAGAGTCGACCCCTTCTGAGAAGCTCATATTCTACCCACTCGGGAACACTGTGCTGGCGACAGAGATCTCATATCGCTCCTTGTACCTTCAGGCCAGGAAACTTTCCTCAGTCATCCACTCTCTCGATGGATTTAGAGCGGGTTGTCCTGTACTTCTTCATCTGAACGATCATTGGGACACTATCCTCTGGTTCTGGGCTGTCTTGTTTGCCAACGGTCTGCCAGCCATTTCACCAATTTTCAGCAATGTTGCCCATCACCGCTTTAAGCAAATAGAAGGACTTTCAAATATTCTGGACTCGCCCATCTGCATCACAAGAGCAGAATCATTGCCTTCGTTTGACGGACCCCATTCCATGCAACTGCAGACCGTTGAAGCTCTGCTAAACCAGGACACTGAACTGAATGAGATAGTTCCGTCCCTAAAACAGCATTACCGCTACACAGACGCAACGAATCAATCCGACAGTCCAGCAATTCTCATGTTCTCATCCGGTAGCACTGGATGTGCCAAGGCTGTGGCCTTGACGCATAAGCAGATACTGGCATCTATTGCCGGGAAAGCTTCAGTCCGGCCGCTTCCAGCAAATCGACCTTTTTTGAACTGGATAGGGCTTGACCATGTTGCGAGCTTGGTGGAGATCCATTTACAGGCGATGTGGGTTGGGGTCAGCCAAGTCCACCTCCAGGCTGCCGATGTAGTCTGCTCGCCAATGATTTTCCTCGACCTCCTTAGTCGTCATCGAGTGTCACGTTCATTTGCTCCCAATTTCTTTCTTGCGAAGATGGTATCTGCAGCCCAAACGTCAGTTGACACCAATCCGGAGAAGTGGGACTTGTCAAGCCTAGCTGTCCTTGCATCTGGCGGAGAGGCGAACGATGTTAAAACTTGTGTATCAGCATCTGCCTTGCTCGAGACATATGGCGCCCCTCGCAACGTTATTACACCCGGGTTCGGGATGACAGAGACGTGTGCAGGGGCAATCTTCAGCCTTCATTGTCCAGATTATGATATTGAGCGTGGCCATATCATGGCGTCTCTGGGTAAGTGTATGAAGGGTCTAGAGATGCGCATTACTCAAACACCGGATGAAGACGCCTATGAAGTAACACTGGCTCTCCCTGGCGAGCTCGGCAACCTCGAGGTTCGTGGCGATGTTGTATTCACTGGCTACTACCATAATGCGGAGGCAACCGCCGAAGCTTTTACCTCCGACGATTGGTTTCGCACAGGAGACCAGGCCAGCATCGATTCGTTGGGGAACCTCAATTTCGTCGGTCGGTCGAAAGACGTTATCAACATAAATGGCGTGAAGATGGTCGTCGCCGACATACAAGCCTCGATAGAGCAAGCTGTGGGTAGCCGCGTCGCTCGCCTTGTATGCTTTCCGTCAAGGGCTGTGCATACAGAGCAAGTTACCGTTTCATACATCCCAAAGGATTGGCGAATTTCAGCCGCGACTCTCCTTGAGGTGGAAGACTTAACCATACAAGCATGTATCATCAGCACCGGGGCTCGACCAAACGTCTTCGCATTGTCTGAAAAGTCTTTATCCTTACTCCCAACTTCAGCACTTGGAAAGATATCGCAAGCCAAGATGAGGTCTTTGTTCGAAGAAGGTGTATTTGATGAGGATGTGAAGATATACCAACAGGAACTCGAAGACGCGAAGAGCTCCAAGAGAGACAGCGAGAGCAGCGAAAGACGCGAAGAGGCGAACGAAGCCGAATCGCGTCTGATTGGGGACTTCCAAAAGACCCTCAGCCTCCGTACCGTTTCCGAAACAATCGATGTCGATACTAATGTGTTCGATCTGGGATTTACGTCGATGGATTTGATTCGGTTAAAGCACCACATTGACGTTCGCCTAGGAACCTCCGTGCCCGTTATCATGCTGATGAAAAACCCCACGGCAAGGTTATTGGCGGCAGCCATAGACGCTGAGCTTTTGAAACCATCAGCTACAGTTGATTCCGACTACAAATATGATCCAGTGGTGACGTTCAGGTCAACCGGCACTAAGACGCCTCTGTGGCTTGTACACCCTGGCGTGGGCGAGGTTCTCGTTTTTGTTGGTCTAGTTCAACAGTTGCACCTTGTTGATGGTGATCGACCAATATACGCGCTCCGAGCAAAAGGGTTTGAGCAAGGGCAGGTGTGCTTTGACTCTATTGACCAAGCCGTCGACACCTACGTGGACGCAATTCGGAGGCAGCAGCCACGGGGTCCTTACGCACTAGCTGGCTATAGCTACGGCGCAATGCTGGCATTCCAAATGGCCAAGAAACTCGATGCCAAGAGTGATGCGGCCGGTAAAGTGCGCTTCCTCGGCAGCTTTAACCTCCCTCCACACATCAAGTCGCGAATGCGCCAGCTCAAGTGGAACATGTGCTTGTTGCATTTAACACAATTCTTGGAGCTAACGACAGAAGCATATGCTGACAGCCTCGACGAGGAATCTTTCGCAAGCGTTCGCCGCAGTGAAGCTCTGGAACAAGTTCTCGGCGTCGCAGATAGGAGCCGTTTGACAGAGCTAGGGCTTGGTGAAGTGCAGCTTGCTCGATGGGCCGACGTTGCTTACAGCTTGCAGAGCATGGCTGTGGACTACGAACCTGATGGGAGCGTGGAGGTGATTGATATCTTTCACGCTGTGCCTTTGAAAGTAGCGGCTGCAACGCGAGAGGAATGGATGCGGGATCATTTGAGTAGATGGAGCGAATTTTGTCTAACCGATCCCAGATTTCATGAAGTTGAGGGAGCCCATTACACAATGCTTGCTCCAGATCATGTTGTCAGCTTTGCAGCAAGGCTTGCAGCCGCCTTGCGCGCTAGAGGAATTTGAAGCTGGAGGTTTTGTTCTACAATGGTGCAATGTATGATTTTAGCAATGTTGAACAATAAATACCAATGTGAACAGAGAACTGGAATAGTGCGAAGTATCGGCAGTGTAATAAGTTAACTAGCATGAAAGAAAACCACCAGGCATAGTATATTGAGTGCTTAGAATAAGCGAGTTTTGCTTACAGGACGATGAAGATTGTTTCTCAGCTTCATATCAATCATAAGTGTAGAGACGCTCTCGGCAGATAGTTTCTTCGAGCCACCATAATAACAGACTTCCTCTACACAATATATCTAAGTAACATACGCATAATATCAATCCAAGTAAACGAGTGAGGAAGTGTTCTCTCAATGAACCCTCACACCCGCAGTCGGCCAAGACTTGTCAGAAGCCTGAGAATGGAGTTTCTGGTGCAACTCATGAGATTTCGAGCTCCTTTAATTCTGCAAATGAAGTTTGTCACTAAGCAACAAGCCATCAAGTCCACCCCCCACCTCCACCACAATTGCGTCTTCGCTGCATGATATCACAACATCAAAATGACCAATCATCCAAAACAACACTACTCAAGAGCATCAATCTATGCGATCATATTAACAAGGAGAACAAAACGTGTGCCAGCCAATTCTCATTTCCACGCAGCAGACTCGCAGAATGGCACGTCCAGCACCCAAAGACAGCCTCGAGGCCTACAAACACCTCTCGCCCGACTCCGGGTTCCCAACCATCATCCACCCACACTTCAACCCTAAGATCGCTTCTCACGTCCCTCCAGACCCTATCAGAGAAGAAATCACACCACCGAAAGACCGAGCATTCTTCGCCGATCCCGCAAAAGCCTCTCTATTCTCCGTCGCTAAACCCGTCGACTTGTCAGAAAGCATTGGGACGCTCCTCGAAGGCATGCAATTGTCGCAACTTGATGGGAAGCAGTTGGATGAGTTGGCTGCTCTGGTGGATGAGCGTGGTGTTGTGTTCTTTAGGGATCAGGATTTGGATACTGAGGGGCAGGTGAAGCTTTTTGAGCATTTTGGGACTTTAGATAAACATCCTGCGCAGAAGGTACTTTGAAAAGAAATGTGATAGAAGTGTGGTTAATCTTTGAGCAGGATCAGAAACATGTAACCATCAACGGAAGTATTGTTGATTGGAGGAATGTTTCTAATTACACGCTTTGGCTAAATGCGGAGTTTCATGCTGATACTTCGTTTGAGATCAATCGTATGTTTTCTTGAGTCGACTCAATTGAGGACCAGACAGAGAACAATAACTAACAAACCCAAGCTCCAAGCTACTCGCTTTTGAGGATGGAAGAGCATCCACCTGTTGGTGGGGATACAGCTTGGGTGTCTCAATATGGCTTGTACGATGCACTGAGTGACCACTTGAAGAAGTTTGTTGGAGGTCTTCATGCTGTTCATACTTCTCGACTGCAATGTGAGCTTGCTCGGCTGCATTTCTGAATCATTGCTAATGGTGGTAGATGACACAATCATCGATTCGTGGGGAGGGGAGCCAAACAGACCTCCAATCGATACGCATCATCCGGCGGTGCGTACACATCCAGTAACCGGCCTCAAAGCATTGAACGTCAATCCAGGGTTTGTGACCGGCTTTGCGGAGTTGAAGAAGGAAGAATCAGACCAACTACTTCAATTCTTCAAGTTGCATATCCATTCCGCAGATGATCATTACGTAAGGTGGAAATGGGCTGTAGGATCTGTTGCTATGTGGGACAATGTGAGTCATTTCCTTAGATCCACCCTCCCATAAATGTCTGGCTCAATGCTGGTACAATTTGTGGCCACAATGTCCGACCAAGATCTTCCCCGTTTTTGCCTGAAGGACTGAGTTGACAGCATGAGCAGCGTGTCACGATCCATCGTGTAATCCCAGGGAATTACCCTGCCAGCTCGAGGACTGGTATTAGAACAACCGTGTTCGGAGAGAAACGTAGGTCCTCCCTCCAACAAATACGAGTTGTCTGACAATTGCAGCTTATTTTGATCGGCAAAGCGAGAGTCGAGAGCAAAGGATCAGCCGCCTTGCGGCGGAGAAGGCGAAGAAATCAAACGAGAATGGAGTCGAGCATACAAGCGAGCTTTCGATTCATGCCTCGAATGGTGTAAATCTTGGAGCAAGCTAAGAGGGATGACTGTTCGTACGTAGGGCCGGTAGATAAATTTCATGACAAGTCAGAGGTCATCTCAGCAGCAACCACTAATGGTTCCGATCTCATGTACTTCAGAATGACTTCTTCATAGGAAAACAGAAAGAAAGAGTTGCTGAAATCATCAAGGCACTTGCCATGCCCCACACAACATTCACAGACACCAGATGTTGACACTGGTGGAACAAATACGTTGGCAATGGAGTATAATTCTGCCGTTCAATGGCAGTAAGCTTGAATATCCATTCAATCCTCTGGTATATATCCACTATCCAAGTCCCCCCAAGACTCTACACATTCAAACGCCAGGGTATAACTCCCACAATGACCCAATGATGCCCATGTGCCAGATCTACACCATTTGCTCGTACATTTACAATTACTTCTTGGTGGTGATCCTCTTTCTCAATCACTAAGCTCTTTCTTGCTAGCTGCCAATGCAGCAATCTCCGCTCTACTAGGTTCAACACTCGCGGTTGCATGTCCATTCGTTTGGGGTCTGGGATTCTCTCCTTTCTTCGGGGTCTTGATCTTGAACGCTTCCGGGTTCGGCAGAATGTCTCCATCCATGGTCACATACGTTCCCTCAACCGTATTCCAGTCCTCTTCTTCGGACTCCTCGTCATCTCCATCAGAAGCATCATCTCGAGCACCCATGTGATTCTGATGAGCTTCCTTCTGAGCCTCGGCTCTCATCTTTGTGATCTTAATGTAATTATAGGCCGCAATTGCACCGATGGTGACGACAAGGCCGGAGATGTTGATTGGTGTCAGGTTGTCACCGAAAACGATGCCAGCAGCTGATATTGTAACCACTTCTTTGAAGATGCCGGCAATCGAAAGCGTGACAACAGACGTGCGCTTCAATAGGGCAAACTCCGATGCTGTCATACAGAAAGCAATGGTACCAGGAAAAAGAAGTAAGAGTGGACCAAGAATTGGACCTTTGTGTTCGATAAGAATCTTGATGCCTTCGAATAGTGCTGGAAACCCTTCGACGGGAATGGCAATCAAGAACAGAGCCACGAACATGATAGGAGCGAGGTAGAATATCGAGGAGAAAGGATTCGCGGTCGCTGGGTTTCGGAGAAGGAGGATTTGTGTCAGGGCCCAGCGGAAACCCGAGAAGAATGCTGCAGATATGACGAGAACGAAGCCCAGTGCACTGAATGCAACTTCTCCAGCTACCATCATTATCACACCAGCAGTCATTGTTGTTATAATAGCTACCAATCGCCAGGAAGGACTTTCGAGCTGGAATACGAAGGCGAAAAGGAGGACGAAGGCTAGTGACGAGGATTTGCACATTGCTAGCCATATTAGCAAGGTCAGGTCGACAGCAGATGGGGACACAAACTGTAAAAGGTCAAGGTAATGAACTTCAAACTCATATTTCCAAGCCCGATATCCAAACCCGTAGCTAAACCGCAAGGCCCAATGCGTGTGAAATAAAAGGTTCGTGTCATCAAAGGCTTTTTGGAGTCCGCTTGATGCTGTAACTGATCCGCATCAGATACATGGGTATAATTCGGATTTGTGAGGGAATCGTATCTTGGTCGAAATTGTGGTAGGAAGAAGAGGACGAGGGCGGAGAGGGAGAATTGGACGATCATGTGAAAGCAAGTCGTAAATAATGGGAAGTGGAAGTTGAGGTGCTCGGGATCAAACATCCATTTGTTATACTGGGTTCAAGTCAGCAGATAACACGGTAAGAGGAGGTATAGCATACAATGGATATTGACAAAGAAAAGAGGTACCACAACCCAATCAGAGTGCCATTCAGCAGCAGATTCCTCATCACGAATTGGTCTGCCTCTTTCCTCTCTTCTTCTGTGATTTTGACTTCTGCGGCTACTCTCTGATCCATCAATGTATTCCGCCGCCGCCTTCGTTTCCTCTTGCTCTTGTCCTTCCCCGTCAAACCTGTCTCCTCATCATCCTGTAAGCCATTGTCTGATAGCTCGTCCAGTTCCACGTCTTCACTCGTGCTTTCATCCGAAGGTCTCTCCAGTTTCGGCTCTTCTGGTGTGCTGTTTCTTCGTTTCGTTGGGCTCTGCGGACTCCTCCTTATCTTGGCCTTCGTAGACGTATCCAGCGAGTTCATCAAACTACTCTTCCTTCTCCTATGTCCCGAGTGCTCGGGCTCCATGCTGATTTCAGGAGGGTGTACACCAGCCAATGCTACCGCTGCATCAGGAGCCCACAAACCGTCGCCCGAGTGTATGGAGAGGTCGGAGGTCGAAGGTAAGCGTGTCAGCGTGGGTCGAGGGAACGCAGAGGGCGAGGGGGAGCGTGGTGGATGTTTTGAGGACGAAGAGAGCTCTGCATCATCGGCCATGATGCATTGGGGTGGAACTGGAACACAAGGCAGTCAATAGACTAACGGGAGATGGGGATCCGCTCTGTGGGCGTCGTTTGAGCACCAGGGGAAAGATGGTGTCGATCGAAACGCGATAGCGGTCAGGCCGTGGCGGCAGGGAATCTTGGCAGCAATATCAGGGATGCGGCGGGCGAGTCATGGAAGACCCCAGCTTGTCATCGTGTGCATTGAGAGTTGAGATGAGTATCTATGTGTTGTGAATGCTGATGAGTGGGTAGAAGCAGTTTGCATTTCTTGGTGATGAGTAAGGTTAGTCGTTGTGTCGTTCTTGATTACTGGCGGCCGAAAGCTGAATGCGGCAAGGTTGGCTGCCGCATACTTAAAGTAAGTCGGCCCCTGTACCGTCCCACGATGGCTGCACCCTGTAAATCTCTATCGGCAGTGATGTGGTATCCTTGATTAATATTGCCAAGTGCCGTCGAAGAGGAATCTTGAAGCATCACAACAGGCTGCGAGTACTGTATTGTGTTCATCTCAAAGAAGAACATTGGCAGGGCAACAAATGTCTGGACCCTGGTTAGCTACCTAGGTAGTCATTGTACGTCACTCAACACGTGAACGTGATGGGTGATTTTGATTTTGATTTTGGTTTCGGTGGCAGGGTTGGACATTGGAAAAGATTCAATCTCCTCTGCTGTGCTCAATGATGAAGTCGTGGTCGTTACCTAAGTAGGGAACAGAGTGATTCTTTCAAGAAGTTCAAGGGACACGCAAACTTCAAAACTTTTACAACTTTTCCACATGCTGACTTGTTCGTAACTTGTTGATAGAAACTTATATTGCTCGTCTACTCCGTCAACCTTCTCAAGTTATTCCGTCATCTGCTTGTCACTGATCATTTTACTCGGAGGGTACGGTCCATCATCCAACCAGTGTTGTACTTCTCGCTAGAATGACCTGCTCTAATTGTTCCTACGAACTTTGCCCACAACAAGATACCCAACATCTCATTTTCTGATCGCGAGCCGACACAATAAGAGAAACAATAGCTGTATCTCGTGCACCATCCCTCTTTGATGTGTCTAGCTTGCAATGCACAAGTCCGAATGTCTCCATGCTATTTTGTCAAGTCCTTGTTGAGCTCTTGGATATGTTCCTTCATCTTGTCCTTGTGTTTCCGCACTGCTTTCTTCTTGCTGCAGGTCCCGTGGCCGAGTGCGACCTGCTCGTGAGACTGGTCTTTCTCCAGATAGATTTCGAGGGCTGAGTACTCGGGGGAGTCTTTGAGATTGCTGTTTGACTCGGTCTGATGGTCCTCGTTGCTACTTCTTGCAAGATTAATTCTCGTTTGAAGCAAAGATGTTGTGTGAGGAACAACAAACCTGACAAAGGATCCCCAAGTAGAGATGGTGGACATATTTAATAGATTTTCCTTAGTGGGAGAATAGCAGAAGATACGAGACGAGAACTTGTATAGTCAGGAATATGCTTACAAAAGCAAAAGTATATAAATCCGGCTTTGAGAGAACACTGAAATCTTGACGAGAGATCAGTGGTGGACATTTATAGAAAAAGGAGAGGACTGCGAGACAAGACATAACACAATGTGACTGGCACTTCGAGCTAAAGATCCAGACGGATAAGTTGATAATGCATGCAGAAAGTCCATCCTCACGAGTTTTTGCGCGTACAGAAAAGGGAAAGTTGACTGGGCGCGCGGAAGTGTGGACTGCCACAAACAGTTTTTGCGCGTACAGCCTCGTTCATGTTCCTTTGATCTCCAGTGGGAGGGCATTACTAGCAGCTAACAGCCGCCACTCAGGAGCCGATTGGCTTCCGCCCTGGCACGACTGTTTTTGCGCGTTGTCGACAAGCAAAATCAGCACGGCTCGAGCAAGGCGAGGAGTGAAACTTGCAGACGCCGTTGGTGGATGCCTGGTTCTCCAGGTTTTTGTGTGTTCCAGGACTTCGGATTCTGGTCTAGTGCAACCACACCTGAGGGCAGGCTGAGGTATCGCGTAGGAACAGGGGGGTGCGCACTAGTGGGGAGCTGGAATCTGGCTCCCCGAAACCTGAAACAAAAAGACAGTCGGCTACCTCGGTCATAACATACGAAAGCCTCCAGAAACGACTTTCGCGCCGTGCATCATCCTCTGTTCAACATGTTCAATCTGTTCTACGACTTTCGCTCCCGGATTCGTGCGGATCAAGCTTCACGTGGAGGTCGAGCTGGGTTTCAACTTACCATTTTGGTGTAGTCACGTGATGAGACCAATCTACCTGCTTCACTTATAAAGGAGTAGGGGGGGGGCGGGGCCTGCGCCCCGATCGCACGATACCTTATCAAAGATTTCTTTGACTTCTAATAGCTTTGAGAGCTTTTAACAATGGCTTTGTGTGCTCTTACGTCCGTTGAGCCCGTACAAGACAAGAATTGGTGGTGAAAGGAAGGTGGAGAAAAAGGGGAGAAAACAGTACTACAACATTAGGTCTTTCGTCGTGTCGCCTCCCATTGTCCTTATTTCGGGCACTATCCCCAGCTACTGGGTGAGAATTGTTTCAAAGTTAAAGCACATGTTGAGAAAGTAAAAATATATAATGGAGAGTGTTTTTGAATGGGTTTTTTTATTTCGTACAAATACAGCACAACACACTCTTACATGCATCTTGCTAGTGCTTCAGATTCCAGGCACATCGACGATGTTGAACTCAGTTCTACAATACGGGCAAGCATCCTCACCCTCACCCCAAACACCTCCATGGAACCAGCTCTTGATGCAGTTGAGATGGTAGACATGTTTACAAGGCAATCGGCGGATTCGGGATATTCTTGAATATCCCTCTAAGCAAATTGAACATTCCGCATCTTCATCTAGAGTGTGAGGGTCCACAACAGCAAACAGGTCTGTGTCGAGACCGGGGACCCATAAGTGTTCTCGGTCGGCAAGGGGGACTCCTGCCAGGACATCTTGATAGTGACGTTCCGTCCAATCGGAGAGATATATGCCACGGGAGCTTGCGCACTTCCACTCCTCATGTAGGGCGTGGTACTCATCTAAGATCTCGTCCATAACCTCGCCATGGTGCATTTGCGCAGATGCACTCAACTCATAGTTCAGCTGCTTTTGCCTTCCTACCAACTCAGGAAATAGACTGATGATTTTCATACCCGCAGTACTCCATATCAGGTTAGGTTTGTAGACAAATCGGTGCCACATTTCGCGCTTCGCAGCCTTTTCTTCATCTGACAATGGGATAGGTGGTTGGGGATCCTCACCTTGACCTGCGCAGTGAATACACGTCCCCAACTGGTAATGCATCTCCCTCAGACTACTTTTGAAGTCCGATGTGGGGTCTACGATCCGTAAGAAGTCTACGATTGAGAATGACGGCTCTGTGGGCACCGCTCGTGCGATGTCTGGGGAAAACCACAAGCATTCTTCCGCGTGTCCACACTCGTGGTAAAAGGAGATCTGACTATAAAGTCCCATCTTGATGATAAATGAGGTGGTTAGTGTTTTGGATGTAAGGTAAATTGGTTTCTGGAGGCCGTGTGTGATAATGTAAGATGCTGTTGATGTTAAACAATAACTGCAATGGCTCTTCCTTATATAATTATACAAAGACTATTCTCGATTCGAACAAGATTATTGTTATGTTATCCCTTTCAAAATAGAGCTGTTTATTGAACAAAAATACAACGGCTTTGTTTATTATCTGCCTGGCTTTGTTCCGGACCCGGCTTTGTCATCTTCTCTTGCAAAGCAGCTAGGTAAATTACTTTTCCATACCCTGCTCACTTGAGAAGGCTTGCTAGTACACAAAATCATACGTAGGTCGAGGTCCTATCTGGGAGGAAAGCTCATGCGGTTTTGGAACTTCTTGAAGTTTCGTGGTTTGCTGGGCACTTCACCTTGATTTGGATTAGATCGACTTTAGAAGACTTGGGAGTGTACATAACAGAAAAGTGAACTTCAATGCAGTTCATATATTGCAAAATCAAATCAGTACGAAAAAGTGTCAAAGCAGCTGATTATCACGTGCCTTAGAAGGACCACCTAGGTACCTTCGAGGTAGGTAGAGGTTTCTAAGTAGTATGTGTTTGAGAAGGCAAGGAGAGAAAATGGGTCTTGTCGAATAAGCATTGGTGGAGATTTTTCTTTTGAAGACATTGGGCAAACGAGCCGCATGTATCTTCTCGTCGATACAGGATCGTCTCGATAGGGAGGATAAAGCAAAGGAATAGTCTCACTCTCGAAAATATCATTGGCTCCATTCCATCGCAAAAAGCTGAGGCATTTTTATGCATACTTGTGCGCTCATAGAGGTATCTCCTTCTGAATCCTGGCCGAGGAGGCCTTCGTGAGCAGGTAATGAGGGTCACACTGCAGGAAAATCATGCAGCCACTTTTGCACCCGAAAAAAGAAAACTTTTCTTCGTATCATTCGCACCTTCATCCCACGGTATTCAATCTTGCACTTGAATGATTGAACATGAATAATCACGCACCATGGCAGACTACGGGAGATCATTTGATGATCAAGTCTGCATAGGTATATGGAGCTATGCTAGATAAAGTGGGTCAAGGCGGTGAGGAGCTGCATAGCAGTGGTGGCAGAATCACTATCGTGACCATGCTATGCCTTGAAGCTGCAGCTAACTCGTTCGCAAAGCTCCTTGGGAAACGCCCCGCGCTGACAAAGAGCTCCGATGCCACTGATCGGCGAATTTTCCTAAGTCTCAAAGCTTTTCAGGTCCAACTTGAAGTTTGCTTCCTCAATTGTCGCAGCCAACCTGGACTTCCATTCTCTTCTTACCACTCTCTAAGCTCATCAACGTATCGAAGCTATTCCAAAAGTATGGGAGCTCCGACAGCAGTCCAGACGAGTCGACGGAACCAGACCGGCTATCTGCCAATCGAGAATTATGGTTTGATTGGGAATATGCGCACCTGCGCTCTCGTAGGCATCGATGGAAGTGTTGATTTCATGTGCTGGTAAGTAGTAATTTGGTTTGGATTACAATAGCTCGAGGCTCCCGAGTGGTGACGCTTTATGTTACACCAGACCAATTGAAGCTATACGCATCCCAACAGCTATATAAACATTCGTAATTTCTCTGCAGACTGCTAACGCCTCCACAGGCCCGACTTCGATTCTCCGTCCATCTTCTGCAGACTTCTGGACAAAGATAAAGGGGGTTACTTTAGCATCAGCCCTCCTGCGGACAAAACCTATACCACGAAACAGCAATACCTTCCTTCCTCCAACATCCTACAAACGAGATACATCCATGAAGATGGAGTGGTTGATCTGGTGGATTTCTTTCCACGGCCAAAAGACAGCCGTGTCGTGATGAAAGCTCCCAAACAGATGCCATTCAGAGAGGCTATTACTGTCCAGGACGAGTTGAAGAAATGGCTGGTCAGGAGAGTTGAATGCATTCGTGGTGAGGTTGATCTTGGTAAGCATACATCCGCTGCTTTCAATGTATACCAGGAAGTCCCACTCTGACACTTTCAACAGAGGTCGAGATCTTCCCAGCATTCGATTACGCTCGAGGCAAGCACACAACCAAGATTCTACTCCCTGAGCACCCTCCAGGATGCCTCGACAGTAAGACTGTGAGTTTCCAGGGCGGAGAGATCAACCTGCAACTCGATGTTACGATTGATCACGGTGAAGAACATGCAGCTTCTTGTCCAGCAGTCACTTTCCGCAAAGAGAAGAAGCCCAAGATGCTTGGAGAAGGCGTTGTGGCACATATACATTTGTTAGAAGGTCAAGCTATATCCTTCGTTCTAAGAGATGACATCCCAAATCATGTCACCAGAGACGTCACCACTGAAGTTCTTGATAGCCAGCAGCATGATACGCAAACCTTCTGGTTCAACTGGATTTCCAAGAGCAAATACAAGGGTCGCTGGCGAGAGATTGTCAACAGAAGCTTACTGATCCTGAAGCTTCTTACGTACGAACCGACCGGTGCCATCATAGCTGCACCAACATTTTCTATTCCAGAAGACATTGGAGGTGTGAGGAACTGGGACTACCGATTCTGCTGGGTCCGCGATTCAAGCTTCACCATCTACATTCTGCTTCGAATGGGATTCGTCGAAGAAGCCGATGCTTACATGGACTTCATCAGCGAGAGATTCAGGAAATCCAGGTCTGCTGAAGGTGCCCTTCCAATTATGTTCACCATTCGTGGAGAGACGGACATCCCAGAAATTGAGTTTGAGTAGGTATCTGCGCGTCGCTTACGGATAAAGCACTACTGACAACACTTTAGCCATCTTTCCGGATACCGCGACAGCAAACCTGTCCGCATCGGTAATGGTGCCGCTTTCCACTTGCAATTCGACATCTACGGAGAGCTTATGGATGGGATATACTTGTATAACAAGTATGGCAAACCCGTTACCTGGGAGCAATGGGTGGCCATCAGGGAGATTTTGGGTTCGTTCAGTTCCTGACACCCTAGCGGGTTTGAAAACAATGCTGACGAAGAACCAGACTATGTTATGACGATCTGGAAGGGTAAGAAAACGAGCTTGGAGATGGGACCTACCACTGACAATATTCTACAGAGCCCGATATGTCTATCTGGGAGGTTCGAAGTAGAAAACAAAACTACACGTATTCCAAGATCATGCTCTGGGTTGCTTTTGATCGGGGGCTTCGCTTGGCTGAGAAAAGATGTCTGCCGTGTCCAAATCGTGAGAAGTGGTTGGCTATTCGGGATACAATCTACGAGGACATTATGGAGAAAGGTATTACACATTCTAAGCCCAGCATAGCTCGAATAACACATTACAGGCTATAGTCATGACATCCGCTGCTTCATCCAGAGCTACGAGAGTGGTGATCGCCTTGACTCCTCAATTCTGATTGCTCCCTTGGTGTTCTTCATCTCACCAAATGACCCACGATTCTTACGAACAATGGATCGCATTTTGTTGCCACCTGAGAAAGGTGGCCTCACTTCAACCGGTTTGGTCTACCGCTACGATACTGAGCTCTCTGAAGATGGTGAGGTAAACTTCTACTGGATACATGGGCCATGACTGACAACCTTCGTAGGTGTTGGGGGCCGTGAAGGCGCTTTCAGCATGTGCACTTTCTGGCTCGTTGAAGCCATGACTCGGGCAGGTGTTTATGACAAGAAATATCTCCCCCGTGCCATTAACATCTTCGAGAACATGTTGAGCTTCTCCAACCACTTGGGAATGTTTTCAGAAGAGATCTCCAGATCTGGCGAGCAGTTGGGCAACACTCCTCAAGCTTTTAGTCATCTTGCTCTGATTAGTGCTGCGTTCAATCTTGATCGTGCTACTGAGTTTAAGCGCTGAAGGATACTGTTGGATAAAGTTGGTAGATGGAACGATGAACGATGAATCATGATATTATGGAGTAACGATTATTCGGAAAACAGTGAGGTACTGAGGTTCTTTAACGTGGGATGAAAAGGGAGTTGGTGGGGTGTAGCGATCAGTGCTACTGTAGGCGTCGGTCTTTGTCGGGTGGTTTGTGGGAAGTGCTTCTATGGTTTTAGTAACATACCTTCCAGCAATACTAGACTTTCGTTTATCCAGATCGCTGACTATGAAATCGTCAGGCCTGTGAACATTATCCTTTTATATTGCATCAGGAGTTTCTCCAGCCAGTACGTTTTTGTCTTGCACTATTTTCCATTTTCTAGCATATCATCGTCATCAACCAGACATGAGTCTCTTTTCTACACATCATAGTTGACTTTCTTATTCGATATACAATTGCTCGCTGCACGGAAGTCAGAGCAGAAACAGCTAGTCTAATTCCTCCATCCCCACATGGCAATCCCAAATTCAAAAAACTTTCACGGATTGGTTCATTTCGATGAGAAATGGACATATGTACCTCATTCCGAATCCAAATACACAGACAACATCGCTTTTCAAATAGCAACCAGACTCCGCCTCACATGTCGCCGTTGCGATCGATACCTTCATCCCTAATCCCAATCCAATGACTCCGATTTCCAGTGGCAACCAAGATCCGTCTCCCAGAACACGTCTCATTTACTCCGCCGTTTCCGGTTTCCTCGCATGAATCACATAACTTTAAAGACGGTCAGCTAACCTCACTCCCTTTCCCATCTCATCTCCCAAGGAGAAGAAAAAACTCACAAAGGATAATAAGCATGAAACCGCTGATTCCTAATATCCTTCCTCACACCCGTCAAAAAGACCGTCGTCTCCTCAGCCGTCCACCCCATCCCTCTCTCAAAAAGCCTCAAACTCATGCCCTCCAGCCCATTCAAAAACATCTCCAGCTCGAATGCGCCAATCAGCCTCAATCTCGGATCCTTCGGCCACGGATTCGACGGAATCTTGAACTTCTTCTCGACCACGCACTCAAAGCCCGCTTCTTCAAACCATTCCACGAACTTGGCGCAATCGGTGAGCGGACAGCCCATGGCGTTGGCAGCGTTCTGGACGTGGTTGTTGAAGGTGATGAAGTCCGAGTCCGGGGGCAGGGAGTCGTCGTCGCACTTGACGACGCCGTAGATGGATTCGAATTCGATGTGGCCGCCGGGCTTGAGGTGGGTGTAGCATTGGGAGATGAGTTTGGGGAAGTCGCGGATGCTGAGGAGGAGGTCGCGGGCGAAGATGAAGTCGAAGGAGGAGGGGCGCCAGGTCCAGGGTTGTTCGATGTCGTCGATTTCGAAGCGGCAGTTGGGTGCTACCCTGTGATTTGGGAGTTAGATGGAGGGAGAGATATGAGATTGAGAGGTGAGAGTTGAGAATACCATCTTGGTTGGATGGGAGCTATGTCTACTCCGATTACCTGTTGAGTGTCAGTGAGTTGAGGTGAGATGGAAATGAGATGAGATGGAAATGAGATGAGATGGAAATGAGATGAGATGGAAATGAGATGAGATGGAAATGAGATGAGATGGAAATGAGATGAGATGGAAATGAGATGAGATGGATGGATGGATGGTATGAGACGACATACTTCAGCTGAGGGATAGTCGTCCGCGATATCGATGGACCAGATACCCGTTCCGCATCCCAACTCCAGAATCTTCTGAGGATGGTCGGGGATGGGAGCGAGAAACCGTTTCCTCTCTAACAGCATGAAATATTTGGCATGAGACATGTCAATCCGATCCATCTCTTGCTCATCCATCGGCATTCCATATTCTGAGTGCGGAGTCCCGTCAGCTCAATAAATGCCTCAGATGAGAGGATACAAACCTTCTTTGCCGTACGCAGCATATGTTCGGCCATTCTCCGTCACGCCTCGCACGATACTGGATTGAAGAGAAGTCAATGAGCTCCCGGCATCACTTCCTCCTGTGCCCTACTAGTCGTCAGCCAACCCTCCCAGCTCACAGGACCAGGACGCGGTACTGTACCTCATCCTCGAACCCCTCATCATGAGCCTCGATAATCTCGTACTCCTCCTCGATGGATTCGGCCATCTCCGCGCACAGTCAAAGCACAGAGAGAGGGAGAGAGAGAGGAGCGCCACCAACGAGTCCAGGATCCGGTGTCCCTATGTAAGAAGAAGATTGTTCTTTCTTCAAGGCCCCACACTGAGACTGTGTCTCTCCTCAAATGTCACCACAATTGCCCTCACTCACGTTTTTCTCGGGTTGAACCGCAGGCGCATTTTGGGTGCTACATAATATGAGGTAGCCCAGGATGCGCCGGCCTATCTGGCTGCGACCCTAAGGTTACGTAAACCAAAGCCGCCACACTCAGCCACAAGTTCGTGGATTGGCTGCTTGGCAGTGAATTAAGCCGTGTTGAGGTCTAATCTGGCTTTATATGGTTAGAGGAGTGAGGAAAGTGGTACATCCGCTGCACCACGGCACAGCAAAAGAAACGCCAGCACTACTGTACAGTGCAGGGACCGAACTCTACCCTATTTGGGGTAAGGTTAATATTAATCAGCAGCCGTATGGAAGGGGAACCATTGACCAGTGGTGAAGAACTGCTGCAACCACACCCCCACCTTGCACTACCAAGTACACGACCAAAGAACCCGTGATGTTCTCGTTCTCGTTCTCGTGTTGTCTTGTACTTCGTACATGTGGTTTTGTGTGACACTCCATCGCATCGCATCAACTTGTAAACTGCGCCGCTCCCACTACCGTGGTTCACAATCCGCATTATCCTGTCGCGATCCAATTGCACCATGGCAGCGGCTCCAGGTCCCAATGCAGAGCTGATCAAAGCAGCCGATGAGTTCGCGGCGGCGGTGAAGAACTTTGATGGGGATGCGATGGCCCAGATGAAGTTGTTGAAGGAGGCTGATAGATTGAGATTCTTGCTCGAATCGCCGTTTGATAGGATGATGAAGCAGTGGGAAAGTGTAAGTCCTAATTCTTTAACTAAAGATCGACTTTTGACTGATCAATGGACTGCAGACTTCTGTGATTTCTGCGCTGCATTTGTTGGTTGAGACGGGAGCTCTAGAGAAGATGCCTCAAGAGGGTTCAGTGACGCCAAAAGAAATTGCTGCATTGATAAATATTGAAGAGTCAGCTATTGGTGCGTCTTTGGCTAGGAGAGATCACGAGATGGAGACTGATGCCCGGCTCCAGCTAGAGCATTGAGACTCTGTGTTATGGAAGGTGTTGCGGTTGAGACTGCGCCGAGTACATTTGCGCATAATGCGAAATCATTGGCATATGCCACTCCAGGCATGAGAGAGTTCTTCCGGATCACGTCGGTCTTTCACTTCCCTCATTCCTTTCTCACATTTACTTACATGGACTCTAGCATCGAACAACTAAAAGCCTACGTCAAACTTCCCGATTACTTCAAATCTCACACCCAAGAAGATCTCTTCGATCTCAAGAAGTCTCCCTTTGCATGGGCATTCGGTCTCGAAGGACTAACCTACTACGAAGCCATCTCCCACAATCCCGATCGCTTCAACATGTTCAACCAAACCATGACGCAAATGGAAAAACAAGTACCAATCCTCGGCATGTTCCCCTTCTCCTCGATGCAGGCCGAGGTAGAAGCCGAGCCCGAACGTCCGTTCGTTGTAGATATCGGAGGAAACAGAGGGCATTGCTTAGTTGCAATTAAGAGCGAAGCTCCGAATGGATTTGGTGCCAAGATGATCTTGCAGGATAGGGAAGATGTCATTGGGAGTTTGACAAAAGAAGATATACCAGGGATTGAGACAATGGTTTACGATTTCTTCACTCCGCAACCCGTGAAAAGTATTTCCCGACCCTAACGCCTCCAATACTCATTACCAGTACTGAATTGAAATCAGACGCACACATCTACTACCTCCGCCGCATCCTACACGATTTCTACGAACCCGTCTGCGTAAAACTCCTCAAGAATATCGCTAGCGCTATGGGCCCTACGTCCCGCCTCATCATAGCTGACATGATATTACCAGATCGAACAGACATGGCAGGGGATATGACGATCTACTGGATGGATTTCTCGATGATGATGTTGAATGGGAAAGAGAAGACGAAAGCGGAGTTTGAGGAGATTTTGAGCGAGGCGGGGATGGAGATTGTGAAGGTTTGGCCGTTTGCTTTCGGCACGCAGGCGAATATTGAGTGTAGGCTTAAGCGGGGGTAGATTGGATATGGCCAAGCTGGGATGGGTGGTGGGTTGATTAGAGGAGTGGATTTTGTGTTGCTTGTGAGTAGAAGTTTGGCGCTATTGAGAATGAACAGCAATAAATTGCATCTGGATAGAGGTTGATAACTCGACTACCTCAACCACGAATCAAGACAAAAAGATAGATCAAAGTTCAAGACAGCACGTTGAAGCTTCACCAACGTGTTACGTGAGTATGTCTTCTCCTTTCCTTGGAGAAATTCCAGCTAAACTGGCATCTCACTAGTAGCTGATATTCTCACTAGGATCGTTTATGCTCCACGCAATGCGGCAAAGTTTGCCCTTTTTGCTGTCTAGAATTGGTCAATTTGCTAACTCCGAGTCAAAAAAAACATTGTTCGTGGTCCCAAGTCCGGATGTCTCTCCTTTTCACCAAAACCTTTGTTTGAGTTAAAGTTTTTACACCCGAGAAATTTCCACAATATTTTGCCTCTTTGTTCAATTTCTTTAGCTCAGCTACCTTTAAAATAGTATCAAGCTATGTCCGAAACACGAAATCATGAAGTCCTCGACATCAACCAAAAATGTACAACACCCGTTCTCGCTCTCGCACCGCCACCGTACACGCCCAAAACCGCTTTAACCTCTTCCAAAACCTACACAAAGACCTCCGTCTGCGAATACTCCAATTAGCAATGAACTACGACATCTCCCATCCCCGCTGCATAATCCGCGTAAACTTCCACGCCGATCCCTTCCTCTCCACCATCGCAGAAGATGGTCCCGACGCCATTTCCCCCCTCCTATACCGCTTCTCATGTTTCTCGCCTACACATCCGGACCCGGGCCCTCTCAAACACATAAGTCGGGAGTCCTACCACGAATTCCGCCGCATCAATCCCGAATTTCTACAACGCGGTTCCGATGGGCCGAGGATATACTTCAACCGGGCCCGCGATGTCATAGAAATGGACCTACAATCGCTCTTCACACTCTCCCGCTACCTCCTCCCGCTCACCAAGGACGGCGGCTGGGGTCCTCCCTTTTATCAACGTTTCTTGCGGGGTTTCAAATACATTCAACGACTAGCCATCGCGCTGCCGGTCCCTACCTCGAGAGGGTTTACGGGGATGAAGTATTATTTGCGGCCGAGGTTGTTGACGGGGTTGACGTCTATTAGGAGATCTTTGCGAATTGAAGGGACGCCGGGGTCGCCGGAGGAGGTGAGGAGGGAGGTGGTGCAGCGGTTGCTTGATATGAGGGTTTTGAATGGGTCGGTGGGGGCGAGGAGGCGGGATGGGGTGGTGACGGGGATGGCTGTTAGTGTTGGTGCGGCGGTGATGGCTTTTTTTTGGAGATCAGTGGGATGGAGGGCAGAGTGGGAGTAGTGATGAGGGGTAGGTGGTGTATGCGGAGTTGAGAAGTAGAACTAGGAGGCTTTGATTGCGATATATATACGATTTGGTCGAAGCTAGAGAAATCGATTTTGGATTCTCTAGCTCTGGGAAGCAAGAGAGAGCCATGAAGAAGATAAAAGCTGCTTAGTCCACAAGAGCTACTTTCTCACGCAGAAGAGGTTTGTCTGTGCAATGTATGTTTTTCGAATCTACATTCGGAATACTCTTGAGATAATATCCCATTTGATGTATTCCAAAGAGTAGAACGTATTCTCGAAACTTTATTGGAAATGGTTTATGTAGGGGATTACCAATCAAGAATCCTTGAGGTTTCTTCCAGGAGTGGATCTAGATCATAAGTCGCGCAATGTTTATAAACTCCTGGGGCTCTAAGTGACGGAGTACGGGGTTGGAGTTCGATCTACATTACGTTGCTTATCAAGCAACATTCACAGCATTGAAGTCGTCAGTAACGCTATTTAGCTACAGCTCTTATATATCAAGAAGAATCTCATGCCTGATAATATTTAAGGCAAAAACGTCGTTTCAAGCTGAGATTTCGCACAGTAATTGAAAATGACGACGCACAAAGTCCTGATAAGCGACGGAGCTAGCCTTCACGTCAAAGTCCTCGGAGGAGACTCTCCCACCAAGCCACTCTTGATCGCACTTCACGGAGCACCAGGACTTTCAACTCACGCTGAACCTGAAGCTACTTTTAATTTTCTGCAATCGAAATTCAGGATCATAATCTATGATGCAAGAGGTAGTGGTTACAGTTCACTGCAGCCACCATATACGAATGAGAGATGGGTTGCAGATGTTGATGAGTTGAGGTGAGATGATCGTCCGGCATGAGGACATTCGAACTTTACACTTACAACTATGCAGGATCTGGGCTGGAGCCGACAAGTTCGTGCTTGCTGGCGGCTCATACGGTGGATTTGTCTCTCTAGACTATGCTTTGAAGTTCCAAGGCAGACTACTAGCACTCATCCTACGAGATACCTGGGCCTGGGGAACTCGAGGCATGATGCGAGCATTGAAGACCGTACTCACCTCAGACAAAGTGAAAGTTGACCCTGAACGTCAATTCCGTGTTTGGACTGGCATTCTGAAGGATGATCAAGATTTTGCGGATGCTGTTGCTGAGATAGGTCCATTGTATGCTCCACCTGGTGCTGAGAGTGAAGAACCAGAGTGGAAATCTCCAGCATCTAGACCTGCTACGTATGCCGCTACGCAAAACGCGGCGTTCTCTCAGGAGATGCCGAAGTTTGATGTTCGTTCAAGGTTGAAGGATATCAAGGTGCCGACGCTGGTCATTGTTGGAAGGCATGATCTCATCACTCCTGTTTCTGATAGTGAGGAGATCAGTAATGGAATTCCGAACTCTCAGTTGGCTATCTTCGAAAATTCTGGTCACACTCCAGGTAACGACGAGCCTGAAGCATTTCGAGAACGAGTTCGTCAGTTCTTGTCGAGTGTAGAATCGGATTGAGAAGACAGAAGATAAGCAAGATCAATAGTGCAGTGCTACCCAGACTTTTAATCTCCAAAGTCAAGTAAAGCACAATTTCTCCTTCCATTGTTCGAACAGCCACACCAACATTTACTTCGTGATGACCAGCACTCCATAGTTAGGGACAGTTGTATAAGTCCCCAACTCTTCCAAACTTGCACCTCCTGGTCCTTCCCCCTTCAAGTATCTCTCCGGAACTCTCGTAACACCCCACTCAATCTTGCCTTTCAATCCCGCTTCTCTCGCCGCCTCCTCGTATAGTTCCTTCTTTAAATGATAGCATCGAAAGCTTACCTCTCCGACCGGCGTATCACCATACACGCGGAAATAAACCCCATCATCGACATCATTGATAGGTTCATAGACTAGATACCCCGAGCCTCCTGCAGATAAGGGACGAGCCTGTATCTCGGCATTGATGGAGTCCATGGGATTCGAAGAAGGCGGAACCGTGATCGAAACAAAACGCCCTCCTTCCTTTAGATTGATGGCGATGTTGCGGAACATGCTCACCAAAGCAGCTTGATCTAGAGCATAGTTGAGAAGCCAAGCGGCGAAGACAACGTCGAACGGTCCACCATCATAGGCTTTCGGGATTGAACAGTCGGCTTGTATGAATGAGACCTCCTTTCCGGCGCGCCGCGCTTCGTTTATCATGACTGAGGAGATGTCGACCCCAACTACGGAGCTTGCCCCCCATTCGAGGAAGCTGTAGGTGTAGAAACCTGTTCCGCAAGCCAACTCCAGAATTCGGGCGTTCTTGACGAATGGCGCAACTGTTTCTTGGATATTCTCCCGCTCGATAAGGGCAATTGACGCTGTGCGTATGTAGTCGTAGGGACCTTGGATGGTATCGTACTGCTGCTCGGTTGTCGCCATATCTGCTGAATGGGCGAGGTGGGAGTATTCTGGAAATGGGGTAAGTAAAGTGAATTGTGGATGATCGAGGGCATGTACTTGTGATTCGCGACTTTTTACAAAATTCAGATCTACAGGACAGACTTCGACTTTGTTTAAGCAAGAACTCTTTGCAAACAATCTTTGATCAGCATCTTTCGAATATCTTTGTATGCTAGACGAGATATGAATGCAACATTGTACAGACTTTCGTTGGAGAAACCCTAACTGACAAACAGCCCACTTACAGATAGCTAGCATGTATTGTATCAGGCCACAAGCCTCCGATATACCAAGCATTAATTTCTCCAAGCAAGTGATTGGTACAGTAGAATCAATACGAATAGAAGTGGGTGAGGGAATAAGTCATGTTTTGTGATGGGCGATTGATATGAAGTTGCTTTGATAGCTGGGAACCGCGGGATGCATGACGGCGCTAAAGCAAAGCGCCTATTTAAGGCGACGCTACATGCTGCAAAGTCAATCCCTGCTCGTATCAAAGCCCAGTAACACAGAAGTATTTTGATCTCACTAGTAAAGTAATGTTTCTTTCGTGGCTAGGTGCTGATACTTTATGAAGGTAATAGTAACGTAGTCACTATCAGTATTTCCACGTACCGCCAAATCAGAGGCTTTGCTTGCGACTTTGAACAAGTCGAGCTACGAATCTTGTCTCATGCGGACCTACCAGGTCTTCAATTATTCAAGCATTGACAAGCCGTTCTAGTCAGCCTCATTGGACTTTGACTCTTCTATCGCGGCCTCTTGCTTCTTCTAATTCTCCCCTCGCGCTTAGCCCCCTTACTTCGCCCCCCTCCCCGACTTTAGTACACACGTCTCCGAAGGCTTTGCATCATTTCAGTCTCTTTGTTCTTTGCATGGGTTTTGGGAATGGTCTCATCCTGAACTTGTCCCACATTATATATCACCGCTTCTTCTTCCTTCCAAACATGTCAATTGGTTGCGGATTCGTTCAATATTTCCACAAGCCTGGATTACTTGGTTTCTTTGCTGAGATTCAAGGTTTGATCGATCATCAATGTCCTCTAGATGACCTAAATTACGTCTCTGGCCATTTTCAATATGACGTTACACTTTCAAACCATGGGCATGCACCCAAATCGCCTTGGCGGCTTTATTCCGGGTATGCAATCATTCTATTCCGTCAAAAGTAGTCTTGCGAGCATCGTTCAAAGAACTTGATGGCTTAGGTCGTAGCAAAAAAAGCATCTATCGCGAGCGAGAGCCACTCAATTGCATATACTCGCGAAAAAGCGAAATCGTTCATTATGTCGCCCAAGGCCAACAAGGCCCTGTTAATATTGAGAATAGCGGCATGAACTCCAGCTTGTCTTCCGTTAATAAGAGGAAGTCCTGAATTCTCTCCTTGCACTGCTCCCGCTGGCATTAATCCTATTAACATTCCCAAGGACGGATTCAAGACGAGCCCATCAAGAGCCATCGGATTCGGGTGAGGCACAACAAAACGCTGGACATTCTCGAAACCGGATACATGTTGCGCCATCCATACTGCGTCTGCACCACGAACCCACTGTGATAGAGCAAACAGAGAGTCGAGATCCACAAAAATATGGTCCCTTTGAGGGTGAAAGTATATACGGCGGAAGACATTACCAATACGTAATGCATTAGGATATCGTTGTGTAAATGTTTGCCTGCTTTCCTGGTTGATCTGGCTTACGATCCGAGCATCACGCTCAGTGCCAAGTGGGTACCCTGGTTGAAAAACCCTCACGTCGCATCGCACCGTCGTAATACCTGCACCTCTACTTAGACTTGGCGTCATTGTGGAGCGCAGTACGATCCTATGCGCATCCGGGTCTAAGCCAGCCGCCATGAAGAGAATCGTCGAACGTAGCTCTGGTGGAAGATTTTGAAACAGCGCAAATCTAGGCGGTATAGCTGTTGAGGTCAGCCGATCTGTGATTGCACCCGGATTAGTTCCATTATCCCAAAACTCGGTCCAGTCAATGAGCAGCTCTCTAATGGCGGTCTCCATGAATTCCGAATCCGCTTGGTTAAGTGTTACTTGAAAGTCTCTTAGCGTCTGCTCGAAAAGAGTCCTTGCCGTAGGTTCGTCTCTTGGCACTGCCATAGTTACCGCACTGCGAACGAGACCAGCTTGTAAAACGCCCGTAAGAAGATTGTCTAATAGAAGACCTAGCCCTTCTGCGTTGTTGGGAACTCTATTCAATGGAGTGATCCCGATCCGTTGGATCTGGCCGAAGCCCCTCATTGAGCGATTTCTAATTGTAGGTCCGTAATTGATCGCTTGTGGTCGAGACCGTGAACCTCTGATAGAGCGTGGTGTCATGTACATAAATAAAGCAAAAAGTGTAGCTGGATCAAGAACAATTCTATCAGAAGACGCCCGGAAACGCAGAACTCTCCCATTACCGAGTCTGATAGAGTCTGGGAAACGTCTTAGGACCATTGCCTGTGCCTCCGAACTAGTATTCATTAAAGCATCTAAATGGGCAGAATTAGGACGGGCAGCAGCGAAAACGAAACTCAGCCGATTCTGGTTGTTAAGATATGGTTGCATTCGGACGCGAAGAGAGATGTTGGCTTTAGCATTAAGCCAACCAGGGCTTCTCCCGTAAATTACGTCGTTCCATATTTGTAGTTGAACAAGAATTGGTAGTTCCTCGAATCGAAAAAACGTTCTAGGTAATCCCATAGTGAATAAACTGGTGACGTTTGAATGTTTTAGGCATGTCCTAAGTTTTTGTGTTCAGATTGTGCTAGATACTGACAGAAGAGGAACAAAGGGGTTCATTGAATGTTGTATCATGAAAATTTATTCTTTATAACAAGCAAAAGCAACTTCCGCTCGCATCTTTGAAAGAGACAAAGCCCAATTGTTGGCGGGACTTGAGGAAAGGCTTTCCGCAGTCACCTGAAAGGGAACAGAAACTCATTGATGGTTCGTTAAAGAAGGTTTGTAAATTCAGGCGTTGCTCAAAGTAGGGTTATTAAAAGTACAGAAGCTATCCCACCTTGCAACTGATCTTGATTCCAGTCCTCAGGAGATCTCTCTATCTCCATCCTCGAGCTCATTCTGTTCACCATAGTTCCCTTCCTCACCACTGACGCCCTTATTATACTCGCCTCCGTGCTCCTCCTCAGAACCAAATGTTAGCTTCTCCTCCTCGCTGTTTATACCACTGCCTTCACCTTCTCTTTCCTGAAGTTGCGACTCTCTCACATCACCCCCCTTTCCTTTTGCATTTTCGCTCGGCATGTAACCTCGAAGAGCTCTGAAGTCTTCCTCCTGGTGTGTAGTATAGCTTTCGAGGTGACTTTTGGCAAGCCGGATGACATGAGAAATCTCGCTCTTTGTTACCGGCAACATTCGAACGGTCATGTTTCTAGCCTTGTAGGCTTCAATCTCCCAAGCGAAAAGTTGCCAAAGCCCACGACATGATGTCGGGTGGACTGTGCCTTTGCTAACCTTGATCTTTTCTCTCCATTCTGATATCCTCTTCCGAGCTGCGCTCACATCCTTGTCGCAGGTCGTAATGACTAATGATGCCTCCCCTTCGAACTCATCGGCCCAATTCTTGTACTGAAGTACGGCTATGGCAGCTCTGAGCGAAGCGCCAACAGAACATTGTGTACTGAGCTCGCCATAAGGTCCGAGTTTCTCGAGTTTGAGGGCAATGCCACTCTTTGTATCTTGATCTGTGTGGTGCCTGTCGTAAATGAAGGCGGCGGCAGCAAATCCAGACTTAGGCTTCCCATAACCCCCTATGTATACCATCATAGAGTTGTCGTGTGCCCGTGCCCGTAATCGAATACGATTCATCTTGTGAGGAGCATTGCCAAGATTGTCTAGCGAGATGGATGGTAATAAAGGGGTGGGAAGTGAGGGTTGGAGAAGCGAGGTGAGTGGAAGTGCTAGCTCAGGAATTGTAAACGACTTGAAATCGGTGGCTTTCATCTTCCAGAAACGAAGGTTGGTACTGCCAACTTGGGTAGACCCCACCCAGAAATTGGTTGCAATAGGGCACGCAGAGCAGGCCTGCTTTCTGTGTAGTCGACATACTAGACTACCTCCGAGTACTTCGAACCATTGGCGTAGTGGACGACATACACTGCAATCGAGCTCACTATGAGCTTTGCATGTCCAGGTATTGTTGAATCCGGAGAAACCCTCCATCGCTCGCTTCGACATGAATTGCATCTAACGGGATGTGGAATGAATCGCAATCGATAGTCGTTTAAAGTTGAAGATCTAACGCTATTTGCAAAGGATCAAGCTCAGAACTCTGTCTCTGTATAGTCGTCTAAAGTCGAAGAGCTAACGCAATTCAGAAAAGAATTCAAATTGAATAGCCGTCTGAAGTCGAAGGTGTAGCGCAATCTAGAATAGACCAAAGTAAATAGTTGTTCAACAGCAAAAGTTTTACGCGATTTGTGATCGACTAGTGAATATTTGTTTAAAAGCAAAAGCGTTACGCGATTTGTGATAAAGCTTAAAATGAGTAGTTGTTTGTAACTGGAAGGTAGAATAGATCAGAGCGTCTAGTCGTCTAAAGTTGAAAGTTTAACGTATCCTGGAATGAAATCTAAAGTGAACAATTGTCTAAAATTAAAGTTTAAAATAGTCTAAAGTAGCTAGTCGTGTGAAATATTTGACGCAATCTGTTATAGAATGTACTGTAAGTAAGTACTAAAAATTAAAAGTTTAATACTATGTAGAAAAGACATAATAGTGCATAATTGTTTGAACTTAGACTTTCAGTAGTCAAAGAAAGCAAGCAAATGATACTTGGCTCATTTCTATGCTCTTACAAGTTGTAGAGCTGTTCTGAACTATTCACCATATAATCTATTGGCCAATAGAATAGCGTTTTTGGCCAAATTTACGGCCTTTTGACCAATGGAACGGCATTGACGAATAGATCAAGCGTTTCATCAATAGGTTGATTTACCCAAAATAAGCTAATGTTTCAGATCTAATGTTTGATCTGCCCCCCTTTTTTTTATACTAGTTTTAAACGAGCCACACTTATTATTAGAATTCAAACACTTGTTCTAGTCCATACGTGAACACCTGCTGTTTATGAATGGCGCTGTTTAGCCATGGCTAGCTCGATATGCTCTGATTGTTTATAAATGGCAGGGCTAGTTGATACACAGGGGGTGCCATACGTAAACACTCGGCCATTTATGAATGGCGGTGGCTTTGTTCATAAACAGCAATTGTTGGCGTATGGACTAGAACACACTATATAAGCTACTCAAAAGCACAAATATCAGTTACACAAGGAACTAAGGATATCGCTGTACAAGATAAGTTAGATGATATGGAAGTTGTTGCCACTTTTAGGTAAAAGCTCTCCCCTACACTTACCCAAGCAAGCAAAAGATTGAAGAAGCTTGCAAAGTCTTTAAATAATTTCATTTTTATTTTCGGAGTTCTTTCCATTAACTTATTAATCTTTGTCTTCGATGCTAGCATCACTAGCACCTTGCAAAAACAATACGAGTTGGTTTTAATTAGATAATAAATATTTGGCCAAACAGCTAATCCATTCATGAAACCTCAAAATTTTGGCCAATGGATCGATTTATTGGCCAATAGAATATTTGGTGAGTAGTCCTGTACAGAGCGCTGATATCTTGCATCTCGGCTTCTGCCATATAGCTCTATGAGACTAGACTAGACTCCATCAAACTTTGCACACTCATAGTACTCCATCCATGGCCCCCCTATCTCGCTTATTTTTAGCGCCTAGTCATAGCTGAGAAGAGGCAAGGATGAAAAAATACACAATGATATTGAGAATAATTAGTAGTCCGACGTTGGATCCATCTGAAGATAAGTAGGGAATGGCATTTCTGGCCTACTACCCGACGATACAAAGCTCTACGCGATACCGCTAGAAAGAGTTCTGCTCTCCCTCAGTTTTAGAAATGCAGATTACTAACGTCTCAACTGATCCTTGAAAGCTTTCAAGTCTCTGAAAAAGTCATCCAATCCCATTATCTCAAATTGGTGTCCACCCTGAGGAAGGTCACGCCTTTCTCTTCCTGCTCCACTTCCCGACCGATGACCTCTTCCCCCAGTGATTGGTTGCCATCTCCGGTTCTTGAAGATATTGCCCTTTCTGGAATCATACGGAGTACTGCCGTGTGTCTGACAAGCGTTGTACCTCGCAACAACATAGGTTTCGCCGGAACGAGTGCGAGTAAGCCCTAACCCTACTCTTGTGACGTTTGGACAGATGATCTATCGAGTCTGCATTAGCACAATTCTCGTCACACAGTTGGATGACAAACTAACTTCGGTATAGTGACCCCAAGTTGAATCGCCCCCACTGCCAATTTTCTGTCCCCGGTACTTAGACTTCTCCTGAATCCACAACCGAGTCGCATCCACCAGAGTAAATCGGCCCCATGCATTCCAAGCAATATTCTCGCCACAGATCTGACCATTTCTTATGCGTTCTTTTGGTGAAGAGTGCGCCATACGGTTGCTTTGTGCGAGCTTTTGGGCATATTGGAGTGCATCGGCTGCGAGTGCAGAATCCCATCTTAAATGAGGCCGAGGATCTTCAATGATTTCGTCACGGGCTGAGGTTGTTAGTAAGCATAGGAGCGGAGGAGCAGGTAGACTTGCCTTCGTTGTGCATGCGTAGCGCTTCTTGGGCATCTTTGTCGAGAGACATGGTTAGTTAGGTTGAGGGGTAAGATCACTAAGATAAGGTAATTTGATTTGGAACTGGTTGATGAAGTCGTGTAGAAATAGAGTCCAAAGGAGGATCTCATGCTGGATATCAAAAGTTGAGTCTGTGATTGACAGCTTCCAAGATTATTGTGATTGATTTAGTCTTAAGATATGAAGAAGGAACTCCGTTTTGGATGTATAAGCCTAAGGTAAAATGACGCGAATGGCACAAAGAAGTGATGATTCAGATTTGATGAAAGAAACATAAAAAGTGGCCGCACAACCATTCCATCATTTGTTCTTCCACACAATAATGCGCATCTGCTCAACAGACATTCAGTTCATGCTGATGCTGGTGCTGGGGTAACTAATTCCAAAGCTCGAAACGATGCTACAGTTTGCGCAATACCAACAGCAAGGGAGAACAATGTCTGGACGAGGGTCAGTGCACCAAGCACAATCACACCCCAGAATGTGTAATAAATCAAGGAGTCACGATTATCAGTCCATTGTTGATGACATCCTCGAGACTTGGTGCTGTCCATGTAATGACGAAGCTGTCGTAGCCGACTCTTGAAGAGGGCAAATCTTGGCTATTGCACTAAATCACCATTCTGGGCTGCGTGTTGGATGGCTTGAGAATACTTGTAACATCTCCAGCGATCCTTCGACTGACTGTCAAAATGCCTCTCTCTTGCGGCTTGTGTATCTGAACCGCGGCTAAGCCAAACAGGCTTTGGTAGAGTATCGTAGAATTGTACACATCTCCTCGAAGACCTATGCGTCGAAAAGAGGAACGTATAGTAATGTCTCAACTCCTCATTTCCCTGTCGCAGCTCGGAGACAATGTGTGATCTTTCTTGGTCGCTTTGATCGCACCCAGGGAATGTTGGTGGAAGCTGTCGAATCATATTATGGTTTGGATGACTATGTGAGTGAAAAGCTCATCGCAGGCATGACGTGGAGAACTCACTGCGTGTACCAGGTGTGAAGGGGATCGTCTCCGTGGTCTCCAAGAAACTCCATCCAAGCAATTGATAAGGTCCTGTTCGCTAAATCCAGAGCCACTCAGCCAAATGTTGATCGATGAATTGCGTCCATACGACGTTCAACTTTCCAACAGCTGCCAATGACTTGACGTCCAGGTCGTGGTCGTCAAGTCTTACAGTCGAAGCAATCACTTTGTCTGTTTTCTTTGGCGGCGGGAAAGTTTCTCGCTCAAATGCTGCATTAAAAAAAAGGTGAAAATGTTCAGACCTCGAATCTCTTCTAGAGAACGGTGGTTAATCCAGCCCAAAGGATACGTGGGATCGTCCCTAGCCCGAAACAAAAGATTGGTTTGCTGGGCGGCCTGAAGTACAACAAAACCTGGAGAAGAAGCTCATCTCTGGATATTGACTTTGCCTTTGCTAGGGCTCCTGTGAGGTACCAAATTCTCAAAACATTGGCTAGTCGGGTATTTGCTCCAACGGCAGCAAGGCAGCAGCATGCTATCATCTTCGGCATGTCCACCGGGAGATTGCGAGCAAGAAATTGAAGTTGTGGTTCAGCAGAGTGTCTTCCGATTTCCAACTTACGCAGAATATTAGTGAATTTTCCAGCGAGACCATCATCTCCATCTCGTTTGGAGTCGTCCGATGCATTCCATGGTTTAATGCCTGACCAGATATCACCAAACGGCCGTCCTAAAGAACGTCTGACTTGATTCACGTTGGATACTTAGTAGCTTGAGTTTGCGCTCGACAGAGAAATCAATTGAATAGGTGTAGGAGGCCTGCTGCACTTGCACCACAGCGGCTAATGACAGGTACCACGGAATGTTACGCTAAATCTAGTGAAGGACTTTGTGAAAACAAGGACAAGGAAGAAAACATGGAAAGAATGAGGAACTGTTTTAATGTACTCAATCCTTAGCATTCAAAGCTTTGGTTGTCATGTTTCGTTAGGAAGGCAGTATGGTAAGTGAGTCTGTAATCTAAATTAGCATCTTATTGGTATCACAATGTGGCCCTATACCACAGCGAATCATCCCCCAAGCTTTGGCGAGCAGATGCAGTGCCATTTCGACGAAATATGGCCAAGGATGCAGATCTGCTCAAATCAATGCTTCCCTCCACCTGTATATCAACACTGAGTAATAGCGTTCTGCTACCTTTCAACCAAGCACCCGCAATCCTCCCTTGGTCTTGCTTCCAGCTTTCTGAACTCCTGCACCCGTCTTATCCTTATCATCTCTCTTGCCTTTGTGCTTGCTCTTGTTCCTGTTATCCTTCGGCGTGACAGCCTTGATCTCAGTGGTACTTCTTCTCAAGAGAACTGGGTGACTGCCAATATACTTTCCCTGCATCTCTCTTGCAGCCTGGAAGAAATCATCACCGTCACTAAAACTCACGAATCCATACCCCTTGCTCTTCGTTGTCCGCTTGTCTCTAATCACACGAGCCTTCTGAACTGATGGCCATCTCGCAAAAGCCTTGTGCAACGATTCATCTGTGACCTCACCAGCCAGGTTACCCACGAACAGTCGAAAGTGTGCAGGATCCCATTCGAGTAGAGAAGAATCGGTCCAGGTTGTTCCGCCTCCAGATCGAACAACAGTCTTGGTATTGGTCTTAGCGTCGCTGACCACAGTTGCTACACCCGTATCATTATGTGCTGCCGATGTCATAGCTGCAGAGGTCATACTTGATCCATCACGTCCACCCAACGGAGCGGCATTAGCGGAAGTTGCGGCTCCTGTTCCTTCGCCCGTGGGTGGATATCGTCGAACCGCACCTGTATATCCTCCCGAAGAGCTCTGTGAATCCTTGCCTGCGTACGCCGATTGCCATTGCGCTATTTGTGCTGCCATCTCAGGGTCCTCTTGGTAACTCTGAGCACTGTTTTGACCTGGCGGTGCGAAAGGATTGCGGATTTGAGGGACGGCGCCATATGCAGGCTCTTGCTGTTGCGGAGCGGAATAGCCATTGTAGCTAGATTGTTGGTAGGAGGGTTGTTGATTTGCATTGTAAGCAGGTTGTGGTGGAGTGGCTACCGATCTGGGCGCAAAGCTAGTGAAGGTGCCAAAGGAGGAGGAGGGAGTACCGCGACCTGCATTGTAGGCGGGTTTGATTGCCGAGGTCGAAGGAGGAGGAGGTCGTGCGGGCAGAGATGGGTGAGAGGAGGATGAGGATTTCGCTGGGAGACCTGGAGGTGGCGGATAGGACATGATGAATGATTGTACGTTTGCCTCTTGTGAGTGTTAGACGTACCTTTGCGTTCGAGACGCAACTGGTTCCTTGCTCAGACTGGGCAAGGTATATTTCCCTTGACTTTACTGTATCAGAGTGAGGCGCTTTGAGGGTTTGCGACTTGACTGGACTTGGTGGAGAAGGGACGTTACGATCCGATGCGAGATGCGGATGGAATTTTGATGTCGAGGTGGCTACCTACCTAAAGAGCTGTGGATAGTGGCTGGAAAGGTGGCTTGCACGGTCACATGATACGAGGTGGTGTTTGGTGCCTCAGGTTCCCAAAAGTTTGTGCCTCATTTGGTGGGGTGAAGAAACTCAAAGTCTTTCGGACATTTTCAATCAGGATGCTTAACATGATTGACAATCCTGCTGGAAGAATACGGCCCAGCAACAGAAGGCGCAGCAAGAGCAAATGATGAGAGTATTCACAGCATAACTCTTTCTTTAACTTCTTTGTATCCTCCTCTTTCTGCCTTATACTCCAACACTTGTGCCTGAGTCAGTTATCCAGCTAGAGTGTTATGAATAATCAGCCAGCATGGATAATGATGAAACATCGTGAAGGCAACCGGACATCCACAGCAGCCAGAATAACCACATATCACCCAGTGTCCCTGCTTACGTCTTTCTCCGCTGGAGAGACAAGGAGTAGAATAATCCCGCAATCCTCCCGCCGGCCAGATGCAAGATTTCCTCAGGAAGAAGCAAAACACGACCAAGCATCTCCCATCCGAACCCGCTCAGATAGGATTATAGATGTGCTTATGTAGTTCTGCTCCGGCTGCGTATTCCGCGGTGATACTCAGATTGTCTGAAGTCGAAGACGAAAATTGTTAGACCCGGTGTTACGGTGAATGTTTCCTCACTGCGAGCAGGAAGTGCGCTTGTAGTCCGCCGTAGCCCCTCCATCAAGTCCGTCGTTTAATTCACCCAACCCTCTCCGTTACTGCAATTCTTTTCCTCTCTCATCAACAATCAACATCCATCACCTCAACACTCCGCGCAAGCTCCAGAATCCTTTTCGGAATATCTGGACATATTTCACTACCTCCTCCTGCCATCCATTGATCGATCTGCACAATGAGCGGACCAACGTAAGTCTCTCTCGTTATCCCCAATGAAACTACCCCACCATCGCGGTCGTCATGGCTTGCTGGCCGCACACAACAGCTTCAAAGATAGCACTGCAACGCGAACCAGCCCTTGGGGCCACAGAGCTTCTGTGGTAGCCCCCATTCTTCCCAAGAACTGCTCTGACCTTGCTCTTCACGGAATTCAGTGCGCGCCTCGCCAGTATCAACATTGGCGGGACAGCGCGCGGATTCACGGACCTCTCTTCAAAAGTCCCAAACACTGACAATGTTCCCAGAGGAGATTTCGGCCTCATCGGTCTGGCCGTTATGGGTCAGAACCTGATCCTCAACGCCGCTGATCACGGATTTAACGTCGTTGCGTTCAACCGTACCGTATCAAAGGTTGACCACTTCCTCGCCAATGAGGCCAAGGGTAAGATACTGAAGCTCCAGTACTCACGAAGACATGCTGATACGGATGTGTTCCTTACAGGAAAGTCAGTTCAAGGTGCTCATTCCATCGAGGAATTTGTCAGCAAGCTTAAGAAGCCCCGTCGCATGATGCTCTTGGTTATGGCTGGTAAGCCAGTCGACGACTTCATCGAGACCCTCCTTCCATACTGCGAGAAGGGCGATATCATCATCGATGGTGGCAACTCTCATTTCCCTGATACCAACCGCCGAACAAAGTACTTGGCAGCAAAGGGTATCCGATTTGTCGGTACTGGTGTTTCTGGTGGTGAGGAGGGTGCCCGATATGGACCATCTCTCATGCCCGGTGGAAACGAGGAGGCCTGGCCATACATCAAGGACGTCTTCCAAAGCATCGCTGCCAAGTCTGATGGCGAAGCCTGCTGTGAGTGGGTTGGTGATGAGGGTGCTGGCCACTACGTCAAGATGGTGCACAATGGTATCGAGTACGGTGACATGCAATTGATCTGCGAAGTATGCATTCCGATTGCAACTCTGCTTGTGAAATCCATACTAACAGGAATAGGCCTACGATATCATGAAGCGTGGCCTCGGTATGCAAGACAAGGAGATCGGTGACGTTCTGACAAAGTGGAACAAGGGCGTTCTCGATTCTTTCCTGATCGAAATTACCCGTGATATCATGTACTTCAACGATGATGATGGAACTCCACTTCTCGAGAAGATTCTTGACTCTGCAGGACAGAAGGGCACCGGAAAGTGGACTGCCATCAATGCTCTTGATCTCGGTATGCCAGTTTCCTTGATCGCTGAGGCTGTGCTCGCTCGTTGCTTGTCTTCCATCAAGGGCGAGCGTACTCGTGCCTCAAAGGTCCTCGAGTTCGTTGGCCGATCCAACAAATTCGAAGGTAACAAGGAGCAATTCCTCGAGGATCTCGAGCAAGCTCTGTATGCCTCAAAGATCATTTCATACGCCCAAGGTTTCATGCTCATGCAAGAGGTCAGCACCATTTGCTCTTGATACCTGTTCTTCTGCTCACAACTCATAATTTAGGCTGCTAAGGAGTATGGCTGGAAGCTCAACAAGCCATCCATTGCCCTTATGTGGCGTGGAGGTTGCATTATCCGATCCGTCTTCCTGAAGGACATCACTGCTGCTTACCGTGCAAACAATGACCTTGAGAACCTCCTCTTCAACGACTTCTTCAACAAGGCTATCCACAAGGCTCAACCGGGCTGGAGAGATGTTGTCGCTAAGGCTGCTCTCCTTGGTATCCCGACACCTGCTTTCTCCACTGCTCTCTCATGGTTTGACGGTTACCGTACTAAGGATCTCCCTGCCAACTTGCTCCAGGCCCAGCGTGATTACTTTGGTGCTCACACCTTCAAGATCAAGCCTGAGTTCGCAAATGCCAAGTACAAGGATGGAGAGAACATCCACGTCAACTGGACTGGAAGAGGTGGTAACGTTTCAGCGTCTACTTACCAAGCATAGATGGACAGAGGTAATGGGGAAATTTGCAACTAAAAGATTGATGAACAAACAAATGCACTGCCTGTATTTAGACTTTGAACTTTGAGAAGGCAATGACATACCTGATGAGACAAACAAAACTCAACCTTTGTGCTTTTCGTCTGATTTTCGTCTGCTGGGATTCTAATAAAAACAAGATACATAAGTAAAAGAAATCTTTGAGATCAGCCTGAAACAAATTGCTTGTTCAGGGCTAAGCCTATCGGACTTTAATGGCAAGGCTATTAGATAGATCTCCACAATCCAAATCGCTCATGAGATATTGTATTGATGAACATGTCCCAGACTAGACTGAGACATTGAAAAAAGCTCGAGGCTGCGCACGTGACCCATACGAAAAGACGCGGTCGGGACGAAGGCGCGCATCGCAACTTTTCTACCATCAACACCAACAATTGATTACTTCACATTGTCCCACGTATCATCGGAGCAATGCAAGATCCAAGTCAAGGAATCCAGCGGGACCTTGTGAGTCTATCATGCATCATTGAATGCGACGCTGGCTAATGTATTGCGCCCAACTAGCTCCCTCATGTTCACCTCCTGTCAACATATCGATTCCCTCTGCTCCCACAATTGCATCCCGACAAAGTCGCAGAATGGCTACTTGGCGCGCCAAAGATAACACATGCCAATCCGTTCTATTGGACATATCTTGACAGGCCTGCCGATGGTACAATACTACTTCTCTGGCAGTCTCCCACTCTGGGCAACGAGTACGCGAGCGATGGATATGTTTGGCCTCCTCAGGAAACGGCTTTCCAAGTTGAGGTATCTGGGGGATACGTAAGTACCATGCGTTAATGGGACTGTGAAGATGCTAACGATCTGCAGATCCTAGAAATGCACCAGCATAAATCTGGATATGGACCTAATGAACCCGTGGCAGCTCATGCGCGCCGTCGATACCGCCTCCTCCCCCCTCGAAACTCGAACAATGCAGGTGCTTCACCTGATCCTTCTCTATGGATTGTTCATTATACGCAAGCCGAGCCTCAAGAGCGTATTCCGTCAAATGTCATCCCTATCGACATGCGTACTCAGAACATGATGCAGACTCGATCATACCTTCACTCGCAGGGTCAAATTATCCAAAAAGAGTTCGTGCTTCATGATCGTGCGAGCTGGCCACAGATTGCATTTCCTAGAGGTCCGCCTCGAGGTCCACCCATGTACGGCGGAAATGTCCCACCAGCAAGAGTGCCGCAGACGATGGCATATCCTCCAGCACATGCGGCTGGTCCTCCTGCAAAGCGTGCTCGCACTCAAGCAAATGCGAACCAAGCAGCAGCGAACAGTGCAGCTGCTGTTCTTGATGCTGATGAAGAAGAAGATACCTCTCGAGGTGATCTATTCGACCATGTTTCACCTCGAGATATCAGTATGAATCGATATAAGCAGAATCATGAATGGATGGAAGAGGTACTCTCGTCACCATATTCTCTCAACCAAATCATTCCCGCGGATCTTGGGCTTGGTTTGCGAGGTGAGCTCAGCAGTCTGACGGATGGTATCTTTGATGCACCACAGGACCCTGAGACAGACGTTGAAAAACACCTTTATGTTGGTCGGTTGGACCCCGAAAAGGCAGAGGAATTTCGCAAGAGGGCAAACGAACAAATTGCACAGACAAATAAGGATATTGAGAAGGCAAAGGCAAAGCATGCGAAGCGTTTGGCCAAATTCCAGAAAGGGTCTCTCATCACCATTTCTGAGAAAGCTCTACGCACTGCTGTAAATGACCCAACTGATACCGGCCCCGAATATTGGCGTCTTGAAGGCAGGATTGACGAAGACGATGGCGAGGAAGGGAAGACAGTCAGCCGAATTCCTTCAAAGGTTGATGACATTGTTGCTCAAGTTGAAGCTTCAGTTGGCCGTCATGCAGCAGCTGTCAAAGAACTCATCCGTATACAAGATGGTGGCTACGAAGAAGCGCCTGCAGCTCCATCCCCACAAGCAGCAGCGGAATCTACTCCACGTGTCACTCCTCCAGGGTCGAACAATGGCTCTCAGCATAGTGGAGTCCTGGTAGGCGATGTGGATATGGACATGAGCAATTCCGCAGCTGGTCTCCTTGATCAATACCACACTGGTCTGTCCTCGAATGCGACCCCTGGAAGCAACTTTGCCACACCTCAACCTCATTTGCAAGCCCACTCATCAACTAGCACCCCGAATCTAAACGTGCCCTCTCCGCAGCCAAATGTTCAGCAACCAGAGAACGATGTTCCAATGGGTGATGCAGCTCCTTCGGAGCAGACTGCTTCTGGAGACGCCTCCGGAACTGGAGATTGGGTCGTGGTACCTCCTGGTGGTGTCTCCCCAGGACCAACTTCAGCTCAAGATGAAGCGCCGGCTACGAGCACGCCTCTTCCAAGTGAGAACGTACCGGCACCAGCAACATCCGCGATCAGCCATCCATCCCCACTTCCGACCACGACTGCTCCAACATCTTCCGCAAATACCCCTGGCCTGCCTGACTTTCACACTTCGCCCAATGATTTTGCAGATCTGGGTGATCTTGATACTGCAGGTGACGCATTGGCGAGTTATGGTGACGATATCAGTGGTGAGCATGAGGATTTGGGGGATATGGGGCTTGATATGGATGTTGGGATGGATGATTCCGCTTTTGGGGATGCCTTTCATGGAGTTGAACAGAGAGGACCTGAGGATGGAGAAGGGTTGGGTGAGGGGCTGTAAGTTGGGGCCTGGAAGTGCAAAAGTATGACCATTTGGGTGCGGGGAATGTTAAGTACTTGTAACATAGATGTCTTTTCGTAGTCTTGGAAGTCAGATGTGAATGCTAGATTCTAGCTTAGAAACTTCCCCATTCTTGTTAGTCTTGGAAGCAGTAAAGATCTCTCATGCTTGCTTTGGGACATTCATAATATTTTATTTTGCATTGTAGACAGTGATCTCATGATGAAACCTTTATTAGTTCGATGGATTTCTGGTAGGAGGTATTTCACTAAGTAGAGCGGGAATACCATTTCGAGCGGCTGAACAATGATCTGTGGTAGATCCTGGTATCAATAACAAGGAACCAATCAAAATTAGCCCAGACTCCCGAAGATCCACTATTGATTCAGGGGCACGCTTGATACCTCGTACTCTAGGCCGCCGCATCGGGTTCATGACTATCGCTCTTTTGCATCTAATCGTTGCGTCTCGTCCTTCTAATCTATGATTCAACTTATGTTGATATCATTGTCCTTACATAAGAATCTCTTGAGTAGGTTCTGTCGTGCGAGGACCCTTGGATTTTGTCACTTGGAGACGGAAGATGAGACGAGATCATAGAAAGACGAGGACGGGGTGCAATCAATGTAAAAGAAGAAGGGTCAAAGTGAGTCCTGATATTGAAATCCACGTGATTGGGATATGTGTGGTACCTAAGTAAAGTGAGGGGTTGGCTGATCAGGATATCTAGTGCGATGAAGGGAAACCCTCTTGCGCAAATTGCATTCGGAATTCCCTCCAATGTAGCCTCGAGTTCCTCGTTCCCTTGAAACCCAGGAAAAATTCTCCTACTATACGCAAAGCATCCAGTATCGAAACAGCCCATCCAAATTTGGATCTTCGACTACGAAGCTCATCACTTGATACCAAGAGCTTCGAGTTACTAAATCACTATACGACTCACGGTTCCCTAGACTTCGGCCAGACAAGCAACACCAAAATGTGGCAAGTCGTCATCCCCCAAATGGCACTGGCACACGACTTCCTGATGCACGGCGTCCTAGCCATCTCCGCTCTGCATCTTGCGAAACGACAACCTCCTCGGAGAGTAGAGCTTGTACAGAGCGCCATGCGGTCCGAGAACCTGGCACTTCCAGCATTCCGTAAGTCGTTGGCTACTCAAAATTCGAGAGACACGCACGCGGTGTTTGCTTTTGCTGGATTCGTTGTCCCGTATATGCTTGCGATCTCGGGGTCGTATGGTATCCAGGACTGGATCCCGACTTTGGATGGGACGCATCCGCATTGGTTCTATTCGTTAAGAGGTGTGATAGCGCTGTTAGGAAAGACTTGGGGTGAGCTTGCTCAGGGACCGTTTAGTGTCTGGCTTGCGAGAAGTATTCCTCCTGAAGACTACAGCATTAATCCGGACGATGTGCACTTTGCCAAAGTTCACGAGATTCTTGAATCGACAGCTTCTTCGTCGGTCGCTGATGAGAAGGAATTGGAGTCGTGTCGGAAAGCTCTAGATGAGTTGAGGAGAACGGCTGCATTGCCATATGCGCCTTGCAAGACAGTGAATAAGGTGTCTGCTGCGTGGATATGGCCTGGTACGATATCACAGCATTATATGGAGCTGCTGAATCGACGAAAACCGGAAGCTTTAGTAGTTTTGGCATACTACTGTGTGCAGCTGAAAAGGATCAATTCTTGTTGGTACTTTGAAGGTGTTGGGCAGAACATGCTGGAGGCTATTGATGAGCAGTTGAGTGAAGAGTGGAAACCTTGTATCGAGTGGGCTTTAAGGCAGCCCGTGGAATAAGAAAACAAACATGCACATTTTTCATGACGGTCTCATTGTCCTTGACGGATACGGGACTGGGGAGATGGTTCTCTTTCGTCTTTGAATGTAGAATTCCGGACTTCCAAATACTTACGATCAAGGCGAGACCACACTTGCTGAAGGCCATAGATGAATGTAGGAAGTCTTCCAGCTGAGGCTATAGCTGTTGAAAAGAAGAAAGACACCCCGAAACGGTAAGTCTACGAGTCACGTGAAGGTGCGTGTAATCGAACAGCGTGCCTGCCTTAGGTGGAAACGCTTACGCGACTTCAAGCAGCCTGGAGCTTCATCAACACCCAACGACCTCACAACCTCGAATTCATCCGACAACTGTCTTCCAATTTCTTCATATCACTCCTTCATACAATCTCTCAAGATGGATACCCTCGTCGCGCGATACAGCCAGCCGATGTTCGAGAAGGAATACTCAGAGGAGGATCAGCTCGAGCTCTGCCAACCTACACCAAGCTTGTCCCTCAAGTTTGCCATGCCACCTATCGCTCAAGTACGTTTTTAATCGTGATCTGTGAACTCTGTTAGAGCTTCTGGAGCTCTGCGAGCTTTGTGTTGATGCATACTGACCCTCTTCTGAACCACAGCCTTCAGCCTGGCTTCGTGCAGCAACAGATGATCATGCCAACCCTAACTGCCCCATCAAGATCGCACACGGTACTACAACATTAGCATTCAGATTCCAGGGAGGTATCATCGTCGCGACGGATTCGAGAGCTACGGCAGGAAACTGGATCGCGAGTCAGACCGTGAAGAAGGTCATTGAGATCAACAACTGTTTATTGGGAACAATGGCCGGTGGTGCTGCTGTCAGTACTTCTATCACTTTTGTTGATATACACACTGTGGAACATAGACTGATTCTTTGCTGATAGGACTGTCAATACTGGCTTGCGTACCTCGGAATGCAATGCAGACTCCACGAGCTTCGCCACAAGCGTCGTATCTCGGTAGCAGCAGCATCGAAAATCCTCGCAAATTTGGTATATTCATACAAGGGAATGGGTTTGTCGATGGGAACGATGTGTGCTGGTGTCACCCCCCAAGAAGGTCCTGCTCTCTACTACATTGATTCGGACGGTACGAGACTCAGCGGAAACCTTTTCTGTGTTGGATCCGGTCAGACCTTCGCATACGGTGTCCTAGATGCCGAATACCGCTATGATTTGACTGAAAAGGAGGCGTTGGAGTTGGGAAGCCGGAGTATTTTGGCTGCTACTCACAGAGACGCTTACTCCGGTGGTTTCATCAACCTGTACCATGTGAAGGAAGACGGATGGGTCAAGCATGGCTTCAGCGATACGAACCCAATTTTCTGGAAGACAAAGTTGGAGAAGGGCGAGTTCTCGAACGTGACGAGCGAACTGGTATAATATGGCATAGAATGGATAAGATTTCTTTGAATGTCTCAATAGCAAGCATGGAGGCGCGACGGAATGGCATGGAGGCTGCGGCCGTTGTATACTACTGCTTCACTTCACGAGTGGTATTAGCTATGAAGACCTTCGAACTGCAGTTCCCGGAGTTGCAGTGAAATTGTGGTCCCTGAAGCCCGGGAGGTGTCCTTCGATTGCATTTTCCTATTTGCCGATTTATCATTGCTTTGCTGAGAGGGAAAACAGGATTTTGAAGTGCTCGTCGCACTTTATTCGAGTAACACAGGAGTCTCTTCGTCTTTGCAGACCTCTCCCAACGCTCCAGAAATTTCTTCGCCTCATTTGCCATCCGATCCTCCACCAGCATCTCGTTTGGCATTGGGATCTCATGCTTTACATATGTCGACTCCAATTCTTCGACTTGATAGCCCTTCCACGCATTCTTCTCTGCATAGATCTCCAAACCTTTCAAGGCCAGCTCTCATCACAATACTACCCGGGTGCTATACAACTGGAATGTTCATGACTTTGTATCACGTGAGTATTTTTCTTTCTCTTCTCCTTCTCGCAGGTGAAGGTTGAATTGGAACAGATCTGGCACAACTTTATTACAGATGTCTACCTAGGTGTATACTCCGAGAGATCAAGCTCCTAGCCTCAAGTGAAGGATTCAGGACATATTACATGATAGCTGCCCTCAATCTCTTACTAGATCGGCGATCTCCATTTGCCGTCCTCTTTCTTTTGCTTGCCTGCTCAATGCCCTTGTCCTTGTCCTTTAATTGACGGCAACTGTGTTATCCTTATCGAAGGACTAGAGCTGCAAACTCTCACGTAACAATTGGATCGTTTGATGTCGCTCTTCGATATCCACTTACACTGCTGAAAGCCCCTGTATCCTCCGGAGTTGCTCGTTCAATTGCTCGCACAGCTCGCGGACAATATTGATATAACGAGAATTGAGTTGCTCGTGATGCTCTATCCTAGTCAACAGCACACGGTTTGTCTCCTCCAATGCTGCAATTCGATTGTCCCGATCAGCAACAAGACGTCCCAATGTGCCGCCGAGCGTTGCCACGTTTTCCATCTCTCTATCAATCAAATTTCTGTCATCCTCGAGAGCTTGGTAGGCATTAACGTTCTCAGATGTAAGGGTCTCGGTTTCTTCGTCTTGCATGGCAGCAATGAATTGTTGTTCTTCGAGTTCCCTCCGGATGTTGAAGTTCTCATCTCTAAGCGCGTCGAGTTCGTCGTCTTGCATAGCAGCAATGATTTGTTGTTCTTCGAGTTCTCTCCGGATGTTGAAATTCTCATCTCTAAGCATCTCGAGTTCGTCGTCTTGTCTACTAACACGAGTCCTCTCTGTAAAGAGCGCGTTCTCCAGGTCGTCCCATTGGTTTCGTAGATTGTCTATAGCCCGTTCTGTGTGGAAATAAGCTTCATGGAAATCTTCGTATCGACCTTGAGCAGAGTTGTTCATCCGATGCTAGGACATTGTTAGCTCACTGTGAACATACCTTCCAGCATTGGAAGGTTCGACGTACCTGCGGACAATTGCATGCATCTGGACATAGTGTGTCATCTGACACAGAGCGTTCCTCGTGGAGAATTCGCTGCTCCATGGTTGCGATCTTTGAATCAAGATTGTCCTCGATAAAAATCAAACTTGGTATGAATCGATGTAAGGAAAAGAGAAAAATGTCGATGTGCTCAGAGATCAAGTCTTATAAAGTGGTGGTAGGCGCTAAAGAAGCGCTTGGGTGCTGGTTTCCATGGTACTCCCCCAAGCTAAACTTTGTTTCAACCTGGTGCCTCGTGTTAGTGCACGCACAAGAGCTTTTCTTGCACATTCAATCAAATTATTGGCTGAAGGACAGGTGTTATTTTCACTGTAGGAGAAGTCCAGTGTCACATAGCGTTCCATTCTAACTTTCTCAGCATGCAATAAGTTTAGGAACGAGAACAAGCATTATGCCTCGCCAAGAACAAAGCTATGAATCCTGTAAATGCCAGTATGTACGCCGTCTGCAATGCTACGAATGAAATGAACCCAAATATCTATCGGAGCCTCGGGCCACTTCCTGAAAACTCCATACCCGGCTCTTGTGAAGAGCCCGTGCTCAAATCTGTTTGACAATTTCTGAGATCGAGCGACATCTGTGAGTGGCTCCTCTTCGTAGCAAGATGTCCAGGCCTGGGAGCCTTGGAATAGATTTGTCGTGACTGATTCGTCAATGCTTGTGTTGTTTGAATCTGAGCCCGCATCGATTGAAGAGAGGATTCCAGGAGGGCAGCTTGTCGGGCTATGGTTGCTTTGAGCTGTTCAATCTCGGCATCCCTTTGCTTTATTTCTTGCACCATGACCTTAATGGTCTCACCCACTTTGTTGTCAGCGACTCTGATCTCCGATGCGGTGTTGTCGAACATTCTTTGGAGTCCAGTCGAAAACGTTTGGAGCAATCCCAATTGGCGTTTTAATGTAACATAGTCATAATCTTCACTAATGAGCATCTCTGTGTTGCACGCATCTTCTGCAGACTTCATGTTGTTCCCTGCTTGTCGAATCCCATGATTCAACTCCTTGATATGGTCTACGACAAAGTCCGCAACCTTCTTCTGTTCTTGCGTGTGAACTCGGAAACTAGTATCGAGGTCGTTTTTGGTGGTTTCGCTTAGAGTTATGACTTCTTGTAGATTCCTCTGGGAGATGTGTCAGCGCTTCCTACTTTCTGCCCACTTACTCTATCGGGAGGGAAGAATAGGATTGAGAAGGGAGCTTGAAACTCGACTACGACGACTCACATATGCACTCACATCCGTAGAATAGAGTGGCATGTCCTGTGGGAAGCTCGGTGCTTGCCCCTGTCCACTGTTGAATGCCATTGCGTAGGTATCAGAGTTTGCCATCGAAACCGTGAATGCTGACCAGCAGAGATGAAGTCTAACAAGTGGAAGTTTTTGGAGGAATGCAGAGCTTATGAGAATGGATATTGAGGTGTCCTACACTAAAGCGTCTACTAGATCATCTGTGGTTAGCTGACTCTCGATCTACGGGACCGCCTTGGTGTATTCGCATGAATTCCACCTATACCAAATGAGGAATATCGTCAGAAGTCTTCGATCTTAAGATGACTAAGATTTGATCGGTTTGCTGCTGTAGCCCAACACATGTCCGTGATACAGAAAATTAGTGTCTCGCTTAATATGCACTCCCCTTAAATGAATGCCAAGACTCGCTTAGCTTTGAATGCATGAGGATCGAATACCCAGGTAATTCAAAGTACAACCGCACTCATACTTGCTTCTGATTTGAGATTTTGGGTGCAGAAAATATCATTTGCTAGCTGCCAATGTCTCTGCTTCTATTATACACTCGCCAGACTCCAGAACCCTAGATAAAAACCAAACCGAAAGAGTTTTCAATGGTCATCACTGTCAGGGGCATCTTCAACGGTTGGGTTTTGATGTCCAACAGGGGCGGGAACACCAACAACCTCTCCCAAAATTGCCAAGGCAGCCTTGACAATCTCTGAGTCCTCGCCAGACTTCTTCAACAAGTCAATCGCTGACTTGATTTTGATGTCCCGAAGGACCTTCTCCACCGTCAACTTTGAATTCTCCCGAGCTGCAGTGAAAAATGCTGCACTGTTGGCACTTGAATCACTGAGAGCGGCCGAGAGATCCAGAATCTGGCGTTCAGCCTTATTGTTCGACTCCTTCAGGACATTGACTTGGTGTTGCAGGGTTTGAATGTCGTAGTGCAAGTCGAAGTTTGCGCGCTCGAGATAGTCAATTTGGGCGCTTTGGCCAGTTTCGAGAGCAGCAACATGGTTGGCAACGGTCTTCAAGTCGTTTTGAAGAGGTTGAAATTCGGGGCCGGCAAATTGATCCATCAAATGACGGACACCAGAACCAGCAAGAGAACGAAGGGAAGAAGTGCTTGGTTTGGAATGAAGGTTGTCCTGTCATATTATTAGACTTCCGCAGAAGATATTGTTGGACAGACTGTAGTACTGTACCTTCTCGGCCTTAGCATTCAGTGGTTGGTATGTATCCATGCTCAGTCGTACATGTTCGCGGGCACGAGCTCTCTGCTCATCACGTGTCAACGCTTGACCCCCACCCATAACCAGACGTTCGACATTGTCCTCCTTTCCCTTTCCTTTGCCCAACGTAAACTCAGCATGAGTGGGAGAGAACATTGTTCCGGCAGTAACGGCTTGGTCGTGGGTCGTGAAGGGGCTTGCGGTGTCGTTGGCGGAAGCTGCAAGAGGATGGTTGCTTTGTGAATTGGGATTAGGAAGAATCGCGCCACCAGCTGAAGAAGTTTTGACTCCCAAAACCTTTTGTGCTAAGCCTTTTACGCTTCGCACAACGGTAGACGAAGCGCTAGCTGCTTTGATCTTAGCGACGTCCATGGCTTGTTGATGTTCGGGTTGTGACGGAGGAGTGGTGGTGTTGATAAGAGGAAGAAAGAAAAATTTTCGGGAGAAGTTGGAGTTCTTTATACCCACGCAAGTCGAGCTAGTACCGCTCCAGCGGAACAGGAGCGAACTTTCACTCGATCTACCATATTCACTACAATCAACAAGTCAAGATGGAGACTAGATTGGCTCTTGCGCTTCACAGCCTTCCGGGAGAAGAGGGAAGCTTTCACAACCCAAAGGGAGGCTACTGCAGATCAATTCTATGATCCTGCAGAGCCAAGGTACTTACGCCACATTCCATTGATGTCTCGATCTCGTGCTAAAATATATGAAGGGCTTGGCAGTGCTCCCTGGTTCCGGTCCGGCTCCAGCATGCATCAGATCCATGATTAGTGCTCAGAAAAGGATACCATTCCTTGCATCTCGAATTACAACAAAACTTCTTGCGTCCTTCTAAACTGGTCTTTCGACAATGGGTTCTACTACAAACTGCTTGGTTATACTTGTGAGTTGTCTCGAGCTTGGAAATACACCTCTTTCGTTGCGAAGCATATGGCTGATACGAGACCTAGATGTCAGCTTTAGCCTAAGCAGAAGCCAGGAAGGGAGGTTGTATACAGATCCCTAGCATACAGACACATTTGTCTACACGTATAGCGGTACATAGAGCGGGCTGGTCACTCCCATATTTGTGGCTAAAGAGTGGACGCAAAGGAATGGGCAGCTCTCACGGACTGGACAAGGCAAAAGACTTGGTCAAGCAGTCTCTGTCTGTTCTCCAAGGTTCGCAGTGCACTTCAGCATCCACAAAGTTTTGCACCTATGCCAAATCTGCTATTTACTCCCTTTTGTGGCACTAAGATAGCCTCCAGAGTGTTGTCGAAGAATTCCACCCTACCTCCTTGTCATACAAAGTTCGCAAAGCTCATAGCACTAACATTGAAGACTATTCTCGAAAGTCAAACTCGAGGTAAGATAGTAACTCACGCTTGGATATTGTATCAAAATTCGAAGTCTCCAACGTTGTCATTATCTCGTAGAAGAGTACGATATCTGGCAATTAGAATGAAAAGAAGACCATGTTCGTCATGGGCTACAAATATATTACATCATGAACTCTTCTTGAAGTCTCGAAGCAGACCACAACACCAAACAAACCACATATTGTCAACTCAATGCATTAGATCATGATTTAATACAATTGCAGACAGCATATTCTGCTGCAAAGCTACAAAGTTCTCAGGAGAGTGACTTACTTCTCCTATCTCCAACCTAAGCCCTTGTACCTTCTCTTTTCTCGGAGGGACGAACAAATCCATGACGATCATTACCTCTCAATTCCTTGCGGCAGACACTTCCATGAACCCTCCTTTGGTGAAGCGACCGCTGTTCGAAACCTGAAACAGAAGTTAGTTCTGGTTTTGATTCTGGGTACCTCAAAACACTTACAATGCAGGCAGGGGTACTCTGACGGTGACCACCAACAGATCTATCAGGACTTGGCAAGCCGTGTTGAACAAGACCATCTTGAGTATCGTCCCAGGAGACTGTTAGTTTGTCGCGGGGTTGGACGCTGTATGGGCTGCTATGGTGGCCTTGGCTTGTCCTGATTCGTTTCGGGGAAGGCCCGTTATGCTCAAATGAAGGCAGGTTTGCCATGAACGTTGCCCCTTGATGCAACCTTGATTTCAGATCTTGAATGTCAGCATCTCGGTCAGCGATACCTTGTTGAAGATCTGTACGACTGGCTTGGTGTTGTGTAACAAGTTCCATCAAACGTCCGATCTCCTTTTCTGCTGCCAGTTTGACTCTCTCAATATCTCGATATCGTTCTTCCAGCTGTGTATGCTCCGTTTGGAGGATTTTTTGCTCCTTCGCAAGTGCTTCCTTCTGCAGCACGAGGCTGGCTGCCACGCTGCTCACGGCTGCAATTTTGTGCAGGATTTGTGCTTTAGTAGACTCGGACTGCTGTAGCTCTTCTGTGATTGTTGCGATCCTGTTCTCGAGGTTGATAATGATCTTTCCTCTTTGCTCCCATTCCAAGTTATCACCCTCAATCTTTTGTATCTTGGCACAAAGCTCGAGACCGTTGACCTTCTCCTTGGCACATTCTTCTTCAATAGTTTTTTTGTCGTCTGTAAGTTTCTTCTTTAGCTTGACAAAATCTGCGCGATCGTCTCTTGCCCTCTTTTCGCAACTCTGCTGGGTCTCTTTCTGGTGCTTCAGAACCTCCAGGAGATCATCTCTTTCGTTCGTTATTGCGTCGCACTAGGCAATCCGTCTGTTAATAAGACTTGCTCTGTTGAGAATATTGAACTGCAACTGCATGTGTTTGATGGGATCGATGGGAGTATTGTGGGATGTCTGATTCTCCAGTGCTGTAGGTGTTACTGAAATTCGAAGATCTGTGGGTAATTCCGGGAGGGTACAGCGGCGTTTGATGGACATGACTCTGAAGGGGAGACTTTGATGTCAGTACTGGTGATTTGCTCTTGGAAGTAAATTTATCTCGGGTTTCAATTTTCCTGGCAAAAGAAGGAAGCACAACTTATAAACGGTTGTTCCCCTAAGGATGCAATGCTCTCTCAAAACACCGGGATGCTAGCAGTACCTGCATGATGGATAAAGGTCTTCCACACCGCATATTGTAAGAAGTGCGAAGGAGGCCACTTAAATCACCAAATATATACCTACATAAGAAAAAGATGTCGTAACCTCTCTTGTAGAGGTAGAAAGTGAGACACGGGTAGCTGCATACCAGATACGCACTGAACTTCTGGATAACAGTATCACCACACCAGCGCCAACGATAGATTAACAATTCTAGCATTGACTCCTCAGATACTCTGTCTCATAGTACACGGCTCTCAACCAATACTTGACAGCATTCGTGTCAGTACTCTATCTCAGTGATACAAATTTCGGCTTCCAACAAACAATTGACAGCATTCCTATCAGCACCCTATCTCAGTGATACAAACTTTTGCTTTTCAGGTCTCCAACAGATATCTGACAGCCGTTGTGTCAATCTCTTAGTATACATATGTCCACGTCTCCCATTCTCACTGCGTTTGCTTTCGGACAGGGTTTCTGCGCCAATGCTAAGTTCAGTCAGGATAGTGTTCTAGATCAATATGAGAAGAACAGCAAGTAGCTTACCTGATCCACCAGATGATATCCCTCTCTTCTTTCGTTTGGAATAGGATTGTTTTGTGGCGAGCAAGGTCGAGTTGGGCGATCACTGTCGTCTCTATCCTCATGTTCAGCTCTGGGCACCCTGTCGCCTGTTGTCCGCTCGTTATTAGACGCATTTGAAGACATTGGCTGAGTTCCGGTGCTCCATTTCTCAGCAGCTGTGGTAATGGCTCCAAAAGAAGCTCTCATTTGTTCATTCTGAGTCACCAAGTCGCGGTTGTCTCTTCTCAATCTTCGTAACTCGTCCTCTTGATGACGGCATTGATTCTCAAGAGCTTCTTTTTCAGAGTTGAGGCCAGATACTTGCGACGCTTGGGCAGCCAAATGTTCTGATCGCCTCAACGCCGTAGTTCGAAGGTCCTCAAGTTCTGTTTCAAGGGTACCCTGGGTATCCTTGAGGGACAATACCTCCTGTTGCAGCTGACTGATATCGGCATTCTTCTTTTCCATGTTAGTCGTGAACTGTCCAATCTGTGCTTGAGTACTGAGATCTGCCTGATTGAGCCGATGTTGGAGGGTTGTCTTGTCCCAGCCATATGATGTCTTGATTAGATCCAAGGCGGCATTGGTTGTCTTGAGTCTCTGAACTGTTGTGGAAGCAGCCTTGTAGTTGACCTCGAGCTCAGTGAATCTCATATCTGTTGCCTTCTCTCGAATGTGAGACAATTCCACTTCTGCCTTGAGCGTTTCTGTTTCGGTTCGAAGATGAGCAAGTTGGCTCTCGAGTTTTTGTTGTTCTTCATGAAGACCTGCAATCTGGATCTTCAAGGAGTATTTTTCAGGATCCCGGAAGAAGGTAGTCGTATCCTCAACGTTGGTTCTCAGGGCCGAAATTGCAGCATGGATCGCAAGGAAGCTTTTATGTTCCGATATACTATTTTCAGGAAGATAGTAGTCTGTTTCGTAACCCATACCTTCTCTCATCGAGATGATGTGGACCAATATATTGAGTTGGGCAATGACATCCCAATGCTCATGGAAGAGGTCACGCACGCGGTATGAGTCCTTCTTGAGCTTATCGTGACTTTCAGCTCCGCCAAACTCAAACTCTAAAGTTTCAATTGTAGTCTTGAGCTTGCCAATCTCTTGGCTTGCTTCTTGAACATCGTCATTTGTGAGCCACACAATATTACTCGAAGTCATTGTTGGAGGTTGAGGCGTCGGTAGGGACATCGAAACCTTCTCAATGGAACGAAATTGAGATATGGTGCCACCAGAAGCTTTCGAGACAAACTTTGTGGTGAGTTGAAGACGGTGGTATCTTTGCAATTGCGGAGAAGGCGTGTGTTAGAACCCGTAAGGTAAGGGCACGAAGTTTCGGAGAAGGGGCGACTGGAGGTTCAAGTCTTCAGTTTGACGATTGCAAACGCGAGGAAGGTACAACCAAGGTGTAAGCAGGCTTCGTAGGAGAGTTTAAGTCCCGGTATTCGACCGATGATAGTGATTGAGGAGAAGTATAAGGCGTCAAGATCACGTAGAGAGATCGAAACTGTCCTAGAGAATGGACGCAAGACAGGAAGCGCTCTTCACTTCTCCTTGTCTTCAAGATGAGCTTGAAACAAAGATTCTAGGAAGCTTTGAAGAAGAGTTGGTGATTGAGTCTTGTTTCACGCTTGTGTAGATGGTGAGGCGGGAAATTTTGTTTACTTGGGCAATACAAGTCCGTTATGCCTAATCGAGATGGTTCCCCCAAGGCGGTCTGAGTCTACTGCCTCAGCCTCGACTCCATCTTCAGCCCGATCTTTCGGCGACTGAAGTAAACAAGGGATCCTTCTGACAATATCCACCTTCAATATCCTCCTTGTTCACAACTCTCTTTGGACAGTGATTCATCTTCTTCCAAAAGTCCTATTCCGTTCTCGTAAGTCGAGCACCGTAAAGAGAGTCAAATCAAGAGGACGGTCTGTGTCGTGAAGGGTGCGGCCACTTTGGAGCAAGGTACTCCTGCCTGAAATAATCTCAAGACAATAGTTAAATTGAATAGACAGCAGAGAATCCCAAGCGATATACGATATCTCACCAGGGACAGCCAGAGAAAATTGAGCCTATCAAATTTCAACTGAATACTCTGAAGAGGAAAGAAACTCACCCATCAGCATTCAGCGCGACTCAGAAGTCCGTGTTCGAGGACGTAGCAACATCTAAAAAGAAGCATCCACAGCCGTGCAGCCCAGAAGAGAAGAGCAGCAAGTCTGGGGAGACAATGAGAGAGCCAGGTGAAGACATCAGCGTTGGCCACATGTCAACAGAGCTGGCACAAAGAGACAAGCAGCTCAAGTATCTCTCGGAACAGCTAGCAGAAAAGGACAAGGAATTGCAAGCACAGGCCAACAAGTTGACAGCCCAGCAAGCCCAATTGAAGAACCAATCGTTCGAGCCGGCACAACTTATGTGGCATGACAATCCTGCGGCCCCGCTTGCTACTGAGAAGTTGAAAGATGAAATAGAAGACCACAAGGTATACAATCGTAAGCTTGCGCAAGCCAACAAAATTCTGAAGACCCAGAATGAGACGCTCGATGCGGAGAAGGAAGATCTGCAAAACCAATTGAAGACAAGCAACAATAATGAGGACCTTCTGCTTCTGATAAACAGATGTAGGGAGCTAAAGGACGAAGCCGAGACTTTGCGAGCTGAAAATCAACTTCTCACTCGCGCTGCAAACAACGCTAGATTCGAAGCAGATGTTCAGGCTGAGGAGGAGAGGAATATCGACCAACTGTTTGAGGGAGGAATTGAGCAATTCGACAACAACCGAATCGAAATGTTGATGTCTCGCAACAGGGAGCTAAAGGCCGCAAACAGGGGTTTCAAGCTGGAGTTGAAGGCTCGCAGAAGCTCGATGGGTGCCGCTTTTTCAGGAGACTTGGAGACTGACGATGAGGATGATGACGAGTTGGAAATGACAGGCGCAACTGGAGGCTCTTCGACGCTACACAGACAGTCACAGTCATCTGCAACACGCGCGAGGCCATTGGGTCCAGCACCGCCTATTCCACGCACACTTCCAGAGGGAGTGGTCCCTGTTCGTGCGGTAAGTTTCCACAACCCCTTGGCTGGCCGATTTGCAACTAATTATGTCAAAGCATCTTCGACACATGCATAAGAGGAAGTAGGAGCGGGTTGTTATGCATTAGTGGGCAGTTTCATGTTGAGGATATCGAGATTATTTTGCGTGTAGGGCTAGATATTACTGGAAGCTTCGGCTGCATTTGTGATGTGGTTCCTTTAGGGACATTATGTTGGACGTGTAGGGAGATTATAGCATCAATAATCAATGTATGGTATACAGTGTAGAATATTTGAGTCCTTCGCCACCTGGTGTATGCCACTAATGTTGGGTTAGAATTATGGATTAGAAACACTATGCGCTAACCAAGTTTGGGGATACCTGGATTATCACAAATCTCTTCTTGAACGTCCTGGACCTGTGCAGGGAACAAATACGCACTGTTCTGTTTGTACTAGGCTCTATCGTTGGATAATGCAACTGTATCCGGTCGATTCATAGACGCAAAGGTCTCCAAGTATTTCTTCATCGCATCATCAGTAGCCGTACCCACGAAGAACTCGCTCATCAGCTTCGCCGTCATTTCCGCATGCGTAACGACTCCTAAACGGATTGAATCTTGCATCAAATCGAGCAAAGAATGCTGATTCACACCACGTCTGATGCGCTCTTGTTGCATTTTACGTTAGTTATGCACTTTGTGGAGTGGCTTCGAAACTCACTCTTCATCATAGTGTTGCTGCTCTTCCGAAGTTTGATGACATACTTCTTCAAAGAAGATTTTGGATACTCTGCTTTCAAGCCAATATCATGACCCAGGCTGGTGATTGTATAGTCGATGGTCCCGCTCTTGAATTCGAAATACCGTTCCAGTACTTGAACGAGAAAGCATCAGAATAAACTTTTGTCATCAGAAGAGTTCTCACTTTTGTTGTCTTTCTGTCTCTCCACTTTGTTGACTATATCCAAGTTGATATCTTTCGAATCAACACCTGCATTGTGCAACGTACTCCTGATAGCTTCGTCGTCCTCTGTTGCCATTTAGTCATGAATTATCGAGTGAGGAAGAGTACTCAAGGACTCACTATATATGATGATTCCTTGCTCAAAGCGTGCATCTGATGAATAGCATATGAGGAAGAATACGTCAACAAAGCCGACAAGCCGAATCTTTCCAGGCCATCTTTCCTCGTTGATCAAGATCTCCCAAGGATGAATGTCACTGTTTAGGCATAGTAAGCTCTCCCGCTGTTTGACTGGTTGCATGATGAGGGAACATACTAATCACACTCCAAAGATTTCGCCTGCACGGATCGATCGAAGACTGCCAAAATTCGATGATATGAAGACATTTCCTCTCTCTGGATGATTATGGACGTTTTGGATGAGACAATTAAATCTGACCGATGTTTGAGAGCTGTAGAGTGAAGCTCCACAATATTTGCTCCTCATTTGGCTGAGAAATATTTCCCACCCCCAGCGCCGCTGAATAAATGTAGGCTTGCAGCAAGTGCTGGAGCTGAACAGTCGTCTGATCGACAGAGTCGCTAAAGTTCGCCAATAAGCCGAAGATATCGAGGCCGAAGTGGAGTTTCAGCTGAGAGGACGCGAGAGGCTGAACATGGGGATGTGCCGCTTCCGAGCATTCCGACTATGGGCACCATTGGGAGATAAGTATGCAGGGAAAGACTGCGTTCTCGTGCACTGGGGTTACTGCGTGCAACTATCGTCTGTTTTATCTCTTTATGTGCCGTCTCTAGCCACCAGAGTTTCTATTCGATATGTGTCGCCTTGGGTACTCGGAGTTGTATGGTAACGGGATGAGCCCAAGCTCAGGGCTGAACGAAAAGCTCCAGCGAGAAGGAGAACGTTTCTTGTCTGCCGTGCATCATAGTTGTGGCTTCTGTTGATTGGCAATAGGAAGATGGCGGTCCCCATGCTGGCCAGCTATGCATGCAGTGGTTCAAGACAGTGTACCGTCTTGGTTTGAATGAGGAGAATGATCTACACATTCAGTTGAGTGTCGCAAGCCACTCTCCTTTACCTGCACACCTTTCACGTACATTTTTCCCATAGCCTCCAGATTTTCATCTGCGGTAGACTCCATTGTTTCTTTGTCGAATCTCTAACAGGTTCTGGCTTCGATCAAAGCCGTTGCAATATAGCTTCATCGCGACCATGAACTATCTTGCGGCTCGGGCCGCGGACCTGGAGACCAAGTCCATGGCGGCATTTGACATAACAATCAGCCGCAACCCAGCCAAAATGCGAGCTTTATTGAATTTGTGGTTCGCTGCAGACTTTAAGCCAACTTTCATTTCAGATCGAGCTCCACAGCTTGAAGGCTTTGATGATGTCGAGCTGCTTGGACCGTCAACGACGGAGACCCGTGTCCCGATGAGAATGTTCGATCTTGACACCAAGAATCTTGTGGATTATCCCGATGTTGGTGGACTGGGTCAATACTGTATGCTGTCCCATCGCTGGATGGATCGAGAGGTCGACTATGCATTCATTTCCAATGCGAGGTTACTGGACTTCAATCGGGCGATGCTGGATTTGAAAGCCCGTGACGAAGGAGGTCCCAGATCACACGAACATGGACAAGAAGCAAGGCAGAACGATGTCCAGATGATCAAGGCTCAATGTGACGTGGAAATCGAAGAGCACGAGCAGACAATCAAATCTTTGATTAACCCTTCTTTGGACGAACTCGGGATGCGAAGCTCACCAGACATAATTGCGGAGCTTTTGTTGAGGAGAACTAAAGTGAAAGCCGCCAAGCAAATGTTATATCAAGCCAAGAAAGATGTGGATGAGAAATTATCGAAGGAAAGGTACGCAGAACTGGAGGAAGAAGTCTTCAGGGACCTGATGAAGGAGATGGGGATCGCGGAAGAAGACGCTTCAGAGATCAAAGAACTCGCTGAAATGGAGAGTAAGGAGACAGAAGGAACTGAAAGCGAGACCTCCTCCGAAACGACAGCGCAACAGATAGATCCGAGGACAGCAGACGACATTGGATTCTTCAAACATCACAGTCGCGTTCGTGAAGCCATTGACAAAATGGTAACTCTATTGCAGCAACGGAAGTCAGCAATCAAGATTGAGAAGTCAATCGAACAAGCCAAAGATATCCTGGACAAGAAGCTCTTCCCGAAAGGACAGAAACGGTATCTTTGGCTCGATACATGTTGCATCAACAAGTCCAACGATCGGGAGTTCACAGAGTCTCTATCGCTTATGGGAGACTGGTACGCGAATGCAGACTTCTGCTTGGTCTACCTCGACAAGACGAATGCTGCTCAACAATGGGTCGAAGAGTGGCAACACTTCAAGACGAAAAGCGCTCCAACAGCCAATATCACAAGTTTCCGGGACATCTTTGGCAGCGAACCAGAATGGTCCACGCGAGGATGGACGCTTCAAGAACTTGTGATGAGCAAGATGACATATTATGTGAACTCTCTATGGGAGCCTTTGGGAAGGCCAATTGAAAACATTGGCGCGTTCTACTACTTTTGTCCATTCATCCAGATCTACTGCAACGGAGATGTCAACAATCCATATGCCGAAGCTCTCGATGTAATCGAAAATGTGGAAACACTTACCAACTTACTTCATGAATCAAAGGTAGAGGTGAGAATTCTTGTTCGTCCAAAGATGGAACCCATTCATGTTCGCGCACTGCTAATCCAAAAGTAAAGAGTCCTTTCCAAGATTCCGACAACTACATTGTAAATGGAGGCTTGATGCAAGATGAAAACGTGTCAGATGAGGGCGCGCAGCCCGAAGTCAATTTCCAGACAGAGAAGACCAAAGTCCAAATCGCCCAGACGCTAATTACTATGCTCGAAGTTCTGGGAGTGCAAATTCCTAAGAATATTGACATGGATACTGCCAAGCCTCAGATAACCCAGTCCATTCACTTTGCCTCCACGAAATTGGTCTCTGCACAGACAGCTGGCAAACCTGCCACCGACCTTCTCCTTGCACTCAAAACGAGTGTGGAAGCGTGCATATCAGAGAAGCTCCGCACTGATCGATTGGAACTAAGGCACGCGAAGCAGCTGATCAATCTGTTGCTTCGATGTCTAGTCAAAGTGACCGAGGCTCTCATCAAAGAGGACAGAAGATACATCGCAGAATTTGGCAATGTTCAGGATCTGAGAACGTGGCAAGATGGCACTGCGAGAAGCGGATTTTCAACCCACAAAGTCATGTCACTGGCTTGCAAGAGGAGATGCTTTGTGCCGACAGATCGTGCATACTCATTGATGGGGCTTCTGGGTGTTAGATATCCTGTATTCCATGCTGAAGGTCTCAATAAAGCCATGGTGCGCCTGCTCGACGAGGTCGTCATATCCTCGAACGATGTTTCTGTCTTCAACTGGACGGGAAAGCATCTTGGAAGTCCGATCAAAGGAAGGTCGTTGTATCCCTCAACACTTGAAGCATATGCAGCACAAAAGAACGAAATGCGACAGATGGTGAAGAACAAAAAGCTTGCTGAGATGCTACAGATCCAGCGTTACGAGGTGACGGAGGTGTTCGTGGGCATTACGAGCATGCTCAGAGACGCAATCACCTTCGTCAAGGATAGTAAGGAGAAAGCGCTTCCTCTTGGATGGTTGAAAGAAATACTTCTAGTCGTCAAGGATGCTGACTATGCTGCACTTACGCCTCATCTTGACAATCTTGCCAAGATCCTCATGTGGATTCAACAGACATTCTCGCCTCAGCCGACTCTTGACGAGAAGGCTACGGGAGATCCTGCTAAAAGCGAAAGCGAGAAAATTGAAAAGGCGACATCTTCAAGTAGCAGCAGTCTGCCATTTGGCCTTCACGCTCCACAATACCCCTCTTTTGACACCGCATCACTCAGAACCAAGCTTGGGGATAAGAGAACTGAACTCCAATCATCTATATCGTCACAGCTCACCAAGAGAAGCCTTAGCAGTTTGAAACCCTCGATGAGCCTAGGCTTTGGGAAGAACAAGAACCAGGCAAAACCTGCGAATGTTCCCCTTGAAGCAGAAGCCACAGTCCTAGAATCTTCGTCGCCCATAAGCAGATCAGAAACGCTTATCAACGAGACTCCGCCAGCTAAAGCAACACCAGAAGACCTCACTAAGAAGTGGAATGACGAAGTGATTGCGTACATCAAGAACATCGACCCTCCTAAAGATGACACAACAACTTCGATACCAGTACCAGTACCAACAGCAGAATCATCAAATTCAGACCAAGTTACACTGAAACCTGCCACAGCACCTGAACTGCCCCAAGAATTTCAACAAGTTCTTGCGGACATCAAAACCCGCGAGTTCATTCAACCAAACACAAAGCCAGAAGAAATGGAAACGATGATCTCACCCAATCCAATCATCGTCAACAGCTCAGGAATCGAAGGTGTGTTCGACATCCAACGAGTTGTAGTCACCATGCTTCAGCCAGAGAAGCTTCGCAGGCAGATCGATAGTGCTGTGACACCACATCAAAAGATCACTGGCTGGTGTACCATCAGCACAGGCTTTGCGTTGGTGATGGTCGGTTTCTGTTGCGAGAAACGCATCCTGGAACAGGAACTGAATGTCATCAATGTTGTTGAGCACAAAGTTCTCAAAGAGGTGAAGAAGGAAGAGCAAGGGAGGAATCGTTTGGCCAGGAGGACTACAACTTCATCGGACATGACCAAAGCTATGGGAACTCCTACATTGTCAAGTCCCACATCTCCATTGTTGGGTGGGACATTGAGTCCTCAAACCGAGGAGATGAAAGTAGACCAGAAAGATGACAATGATGATATCGAGGAAGCGAATCAAGTCACGCGGATGATCAAGTTCGTGCAAGAGCCAGACTTGAATTCAATAGCAGGCGAGTGGGTACTTGCACGATTCTCTGGAGTTCCAGGTGCCAAGTGGTTTTTGTGTCACGTAGAGCTAGGTTCCACCCATAACTTCTATGGGCATCGTATCCCAACAGATGAAATCAACTTCTACGATGCAAGCCCGGAGATGGGTCTCGTCAAGTATTGGGATGTGTATATGATGCGCAAGAAAACCAAACTGTGCGGTATCTTCGAGGCCCTTCTTCAGAGCAAAGATATGGGTAACACGAAAGCTCAAATGGCAGAGGCACTAGGCGATCTGGGTCATAGCGTTGAGGGTGGTGAGCCAGATTCAGATACAGAGAGCAAGCCTGCAAGCAGCTACTTCGATCAGAAATTAGAGCAAGGCGGTATGCTTGCTATGAAGGTCGGAGCAGGACTCTTTCAATCACTCTGGGAGCTGCAAGCAGATCAGTTGGAAAAGAATCTCAATGCTGCAGTGTTGAAAAAGATTCCGGCCCATCTTCAAGCTGCTATTGAAAGTTTGAACGAGAATAAGGATCTGCTACCTGCAATGTTTCATTCGGCAAGGAGAATCCATATGTTCTGAGGAATACACACGATCTGCATATCATGTCGTGAGAATTTTGGTCAATGTCGATGCAATGAATGAATTATGGAGCTGAACTCGAGAAAGACAATCTACATGAGTTTTAACGCTTGTGAAACCGAAGGCATGATATTCTCCTCTGACCCCAGTCCCTGCCGCTGTCTTCGTCATATTTTCGTATCCCGAATCACGTTTCGCATGGCTTTCAGTTTTTGACAATGTTCGCAATTGCTATATCGCAGTCAGTCAGAGATACCGGTGTAGCGACAGTGGAAACCTACGAATCGCACGGTTTTGCACCACGTGGAATTGTTCCCTTGCCCTTGATCTTCTTCTTCGGTATGGGTGTAGTAGCTTGCTTGCCGACTATAATCCATTCTTCTTCGGGTTCCTGCTTTGAGGTGGGTAGAATATCATTGATCACCTCTTGCTCTGTCATGACATTGGACACTGTGACATTCGTGTTTGACTACAACGAAACTTAACTGCTGTAATAGCATGCGATGGGACTTCCGACTGACCTCGCCAACTTCATCACTGGGAGCAGGCAGCTTCACTTTGACAAGAGTCTTCATCAGCCAAGCCTTGAGCTTTGCAAAATCTTCTTCGACGCTGTCGAGTGCTTCAAAGACCCCAGCCACGCGCTTCTCTAAAGTCCTCTGGATATCCTCCATACTCAGTCCTCCAGGATGGTAGCTTTTCGCTTCGAGGACGAATATGGCACAGCCAATACTCATTAGCTTGTCACCGATGATTTTGATCAGCGGTATATCATCGATCCCCTCGAAGTTGTGACTTTGGAGCTTGTAGAGCTTGACGACTAAGTCCTTCTTTCGTTCTCTAAGATTATCCGTGACCTCGTTCAGCTCAGCTTGGCTGTAGCCCTCGGATGGTTCTAAAGACGTGTTCGTAATGATACCGATCACTGACAATATATGGATGATGTGAAGAAAGCTTCCTGACCAGAACGAGAAGATAGGATCCAGTCGTTCATGTCAAAGAAGGAAAGTGCGGTTCAAGGCTAACTATCAACAATGACAGCAAGGAAGTCGCATTTTGCATGTAAGCGTGAATTAGGATGATCATTATCATGGGAAAGTATGGGAGGTATAAATCGGAGCCGGTCTTGTCTGCAAAAGAACGCACAAGCTTAAGAGAGACGATATGCACGTGATCCATCTGGGCTTCGTCAGGGGCATCACGTGAGGATTAATACGCTGCTGCTGCGTACCTAGGTAGGTACTAAGATGGTTGTAGAAGAGAAGGTGGTGCTCCCAAACAGAATTGGAAGTCAAAGTCTGATATATATGATTCAACTGATGTGGTAGGGGCAGCTAAACTCGACTGAGAGGGAAGTGATCACGGTTTGATTGACCCGAAATTTGTGAAACTTCGCTGCTGAGAAAACAAAGGGAAAACACCTAAAGGCGCAACGAAATCTCAAGCTCTAACAAATTATGCAGCGCTTGACACTATCAGAAATTGTAGGACATCTTCATTCAGATTCATTGCATTCATGTCTGGCATTATTCCTCAAGAACTCCTAGCCAGTACTGCATCTAGCTATACACTACTCACACCATTGTCCAAAGCTATTCCTGTCGCCACAAGATTGCTCAATGAGGAACCTAGAAGACGTTATTATCAGCATTGTATTGAAACACGTCACGGAATCGCGGCTGGATGTACCTTTGCAGGAGAGTTTGAAAATTTGGACCCTTTCTTAGCCGCTTCCAACCTTTTGCGTGTCCTCTCATTCTGGATTTCATCGTCATCATACTCATCGTAGATATTAGAATCGGATCGAGATCTCTTCTGGGGGCTTCTGGATCGTCGAGGCGTTTTGACTGAGTAGCTCTCTTCATCTTCATCTTCATCTTCATCTTCATCTTCATCTTCATCTTCATCTTCATCTTCATCTTCATCATCACCGTCATCGTCGTCGTCCTCCTCAATTTGGTATTCCGAACCTTCATCTTCTTCGTCTCTATTTTGACGTCCTCGACCACTTCCTCGCCGCTCTGGTGACTTGGAAACTGACTTAGAGAGCGATGCAAATTGCTCTCGTGCTCTCTTGCGTGCATCTGGGAAGATTTTGGAGGAGCCGCGAATTGCCAACATTTTCGACGGGTTGATGAGAGGAGATGACGGAAGTGTCAGGGGACTCGAAGGCGGAATGACGTTAGAAGGCATATTGGGAAGCTCTGCGTGAGTTTTGGGAGCCATTCGATTGCTGGTTGTGAATCTGTCTCTGATAACTCGTTCCGGTGACGGTCGAAGCACAGGAACGCCTCCATTTCGACGAGCCAACTCTTCCTTGAACCATTCCAGCTCCTCCTCCAAACTTTGACATCTGTTTCTCATTTGAGTAAATTTGTGTTTGGCAGATTCGATCTCTGTTTCCAACTCAGTATTTATTTTCATTGCTTCTTGATAAGCTGCTTTGAGCTGGTCGTATGTGGGGATACCGGAGTTGGAAGGAAGTGGTGAGACTGGCATCTTTGACGTAGATGCTTGGATAGGCGAAGAGGGTGTAGGTTCTATCGACACGCGAGAACTCTCTACTGTGACGGGCTTGACTATCTTGGCTGGCAAACGGATTGGTTGCAGTCTTCTTGCTGGTTGACGGTTACGACGCGATGAGGGGTTGTTTCCGACTACCTTAAAGAGCGGAGTTCCAGTGTCATAGTTATGTCCTCCTCCGCCTTCGAGTTGTTTTCGCAATTTTGTCGTAGCATTGATCATGTGCTCAAGCCGGACTTTGAGTCGGTCGAATTCTTGTTGTTCTGCGCCGTCAAGCCCAACCTCAGCCTCTTTGCAAGAATCATTGAGCGACCTGATCCTATCGCGTAATGCTGCAAGTCTGATATCTTGAACACCTGAAATTTTGTCGAAGAGGAATCTTCGTTCCGAGCTAGACTTTGGCGCAAAAGCGAATCTCAGAGAATCAAAATCTTCATGAAATTCACAAAAGAAAGCGAGGAGTCGTCCAACTCTAGAGGATAAGAGTTTATCCAGGACTGAAGTTTCTACCCTGTCGGGCATTGTTCAGGTGAAGAGCGGGGTCTAGGTTGTCGAGATCGAAAGACAAGGCTGGAGTCGGAAAGCACTCTGGGATGTGTGGACAATAGTTCTAGGCAATGCCAATGAGCATATAGGCTTTGAAGAACAAGATAGTGATTTACCAGGCACAAGATTTGCGAAAGAAAATATTTTATTGTTGTGGAAGTTTACTGCGAGGCTGTATACGGCAAGCGCGCTGGAAATGGGTTTACGCTCGGACCAGTTCGTCTGAGGCTTCACAAGGCTAGCTCATAATCATCCTGACCGACGTCACATCTGAAAACAAGGGCAATAAGAAAATCATCTCAATTCTATGCAAGTATTCCACTACTTTTTGTTGACCTTTGGCTCGCCCGATGCTAGGTTATTACCAAAACGTGCTTCCCAGATTTGTTGAGGTGTTACGAATGCACCGTTTCCGAACGTCTGATGGACAAGGGAAGCAGGAGAAATCAGGGTGTGAGCGATCTGCTGGGAGATAGCGTTTGAAGATCTACCCGGATTCTGGGAGTAGAATTTCACACGATCTGTGTTAGAAGTGAGAGCCATGATAGGTTGGTGGACTAAGAAGAAATTGTTAGTGTCAGATACATTGAGGAGGTGATTATTTTGGAATCAATACGAACCAGTAGGAGGGTGCGGCTTGACACTAGTGTTCGAACCTGCGGGCTTTTTACCAGCGTTTGGCTTGGCAATTGGCTCAGCGGCTGGCTTAAAATATGGCTTGGTACCTCCTCCGCTGCTTCCATATCTTTCGCTCTTGTTGATTTCGGATTCCTTCTCAACCTGGCCCACTGCTAGAACTCCTTTCGTAGCCTCCTCCTTAGTCTCCTCCTCCTTAGTCTCCTCCTCCTTAGTCTCCTCCTCCTCAATCTCTCGGCCTTCAAGACGAGCCGTCAATCGAACCACCTTGCTGGACATCTCTTCGTACTCTGTAGAGAATCGCTCGTATTCAAGTTCAGCCTCGCGATCCATCATAATTGCCTCGCGAACCATCTTGCCAACCGGAGGTCCCTCCAATCGTGAAACGAATGCCCGGATACGCTGGTTGATCTCGTGGAAGGTTTCTTCGCCCTTGATATCAACGGTGGCTAAGGCGGGCTTGAAGGTGGGATTTTCCACGTTCTCCGCATCGAGAGTGTAATATTTGCTGAGAAGCATCTCGAACTTGCCGCGCAACGTCCTAGCGTTCGTAAGGAAGGTCTCTTCTTTAGTCGGCAGAGGCTTCTTCTTGGGCTTTCTTGGTGCCATTGTGTCGACTCCTGGCTGGGTGGAAAGGATGGCGGCCAATTTGTGTTGGGCTTGGTGTTGACAGGAATATGAAGGCGGAAAGATCAAAAAGATGGACCACAAAGCCCTTGGCCATGATTCGCTTAGCTTACTGAGTTAGGACTACCTTCATTTGATATCTAGTGTGCAAATGAGTCCCTGATCAATGGGTGAAGTCGACTAGCAGTGGAATCCATAGGGGAGTCGAAGACACTCCAGAAAATTTCCATAAACTTCCTATCGAGCAGGCCGCTTATCTGCAAACCTTATTTCCATCTATGCGGCTTGAACATACTAAGAAGTCAACAAGCGGAACTCATTTAAAAGGAGGCGTCAATGAGCACGGTGTTTTAGCAGGCAAGACGGACCACTCTCTTCACTCACAAAGGAATGCTTTAAACCAAACTCCAGCGTCCACAAGCTCCACTACAATCCGACCTTGTGATACCTGCCAGCAGTTGAGTTCCTCTTCGACAAATCCGACACATATTCAATGAAAGAATCTCCTACCATAGCCCAATCGATCTGCACCCCTTTTCACGGCTTCCATTATTGGATTGGGTAGCAACTGACTGCCGATCTTAGGCAAGCAACCTTAGATGAAGGGCAAGACGATCATGAGTCTCCATAAGTCACTGCAACTACCAGTCGAACAAAGCCAGCAGCAGAGAATAATGTATGAAAGAAGCGTGGACAACGAAGTTTGCAAAAGATATCGGGATCAAGATTTGACATTCTTCCAGCCATCGAGACCTAAAATTCCACCATCTGAACACCTAGGGTCAATAGCCCATTTCCGCGTTACCAGTGCATCCAGTTTCGTCCTCCAGCCAGCCTCGTACATCTCCATTCCTGTCCATGCAATCATTGCTGCGTTGTCGGTACAGAATTGTGGCGGAGGGAATAACAATTCGATTTGATCAGATCCATATCCATTGGCGTTGAGATTTTGCCTCAGTATCTCTTTGAGATAATGATTGCTTGCCACACCTCCTGAGACAACCAAAGCTTTGATGTTCTTGATGTCAGGCCGATCAAGGGCAAAGAGAACCCGCGAAGCTAAATGCTCAAAAGCTACTTCCATCGCAACCCTTGCGAGACTTTGCCGCTCACCATAATCCATGTCTGGCTTTCGCTCAAGCACTCGCCGTGTTGATGAACCAATTCCAGAGTATGTGAAAGAGTGTGCATGTCCAATCGATCCCTGATTACCAGGGGCCTGGTATGGTGGATTGATAACCCAATCGTGGGTTGGGTCTGTGGATGTGCGCGTTCTAGTGAAGGATGATGGCGGGGTATAATCATATCTCGAAGGCTGCTGGGGAAACACGAATGTTTCCAGCAACTTCCCATACATCACATCCTTGGCCGAAGCTAGATATGGAGGCGGAAGTATGTCCCGGGCACATTTGTCAATCATATCTCCAATGGCAATATCAGTCGTATTTGCTATGATTTCGTGGTCACATAGGGACCTGGAGTGAACAAGCATCGTATGACCTCCCGAAACCAACAACGACAAGAAAGGAAATGCAGGCGTCAGCTGCTTAGATGTTTGGTCTGTTGCATTGAGAGCATTGACAAGTCGAGGTGTGAGGGCATGGGCTTGCATGTGGTTCACTCCGAGGAGTGGAACTTGCCATGCTACAGAGAGCCCCTTCGCGAAGTCCAAACCTGCCATCAAGCTCACCCTTATACCAGGCCCTCTCGTGACCGTCACAAACTCCGGTTTCTTTCGTATGGTTGCTCTGCCATGATCATTGCTCCAAAGGGAAAGGCACTTCTCTGAGTCTGCAGAGGATGTTTCTGGGAGGCACTGCAACGCTTTCTCTACCAAGCCAGAGAGGTGTGTCTGGTGCGATATGGCCGCCACCAGAGGATGTACCCCTCCATATGATCGATTGTCTGATGTTATCTTCGAATGGAAGTGTAGGAAGGCAGCGTTGCCGTGCTTCTCGAGAATAGCCACACTGGTGTCATCGCACGACGTTTCGATTGCCAGAGTTAGAAGGGACCTTCGTTGAACTAGCCATCGTGAGATTAGTGGTACGCACCTGATGAGATGGCATGCCGGCCTCATCAAGCTAGATAATATGGCGAGGAGCGTTGGTGCAGTGAGTTGTATTATTGTTGAAGTTAAATTTCACTTCTGTAGCTTAGAGCTCCAGCCACATCGGTTGAGGCACGGGCTAGTTTGTGGCTACTTGTCAGTCACGATCACCAGCCACAGCGGGCCAGTCCCGAGTTTATTTTCATGACCAAACCATTTCAAGTTTAAACTTCCGATGACATCCAATACGCAATGGACTAAGAGCAATGATGCGTTGCCGTGCCGAGTGGCTTGCGAAATTAGCAAATATCAAGGCAATGGAGAAGTCTCCACAAGCACATCATGGTGTTCCCTCCCCTCTTGTCTGTCAGGCATGCTCAGGTCGAATATCTCTTGTCCATGTCTTTCTCCCGAGTTGAAGCATGAAAGGGGCTATGATAGGAAGTCATGGCAGTACCTCCAAAATACCCTATTCTGGCGGTGCCTCGAACCTAGATAACGAGTGTGGTCTCAAAGCCAGGGTAAAGCGGAAGGCAAAGCACATTCTGCATATCGACTCGTCGTCGGGGGCAGAAGAAGATGAGGAATACCAAGCAGCATTGGATGAGCTTGATAACAGCCCAGCTTTCAACACATCCAAGTTCCTAAATAGGACCCGGATTGGGAATTCGGGTATCAAGGGTAAGGCTCTTGGCCTCGTCCAAGAGGCTGCAGCTGCTATCGTCCATCCTAAAGAAGCAATCAAAACCCGAGCTACGAAGAAGACAGCCGGCACCCTTGCGAAGAGTCGTCCATATCTATCACGGAAAGCAGATTTGGATTTCCTGGAGGCCCACGATGATTTGGAGCAAGCGGAAGGCAGAAGGGATGACAGTGACGATGAAGGGGCCTTCGACAGAAAGAATGAAGGCATCAATCAATGCGAGGAGCGTATCGAAAACATGGAAACAGCAAGACAGAACATGAGAGTGGCATGGATCACTGCAAGACATATTCAGAGGGTACGAGTGGTGGATGCTATACCGCCTCTACCATTCCCTGATGACAACTTTTTCGAACAAGAGGACGACTGCGGGGTATTGGAGTTTAATTGGGGAAAGTGGATTGCTTATGTGAGTTGAAGCCCAGTAACGATAACAAGGCGCTGATTAGAAGTAGAAACTGCTACACGGCTCACATGCATTTTCGGCGCAATATATTGACGACTTCCAAGAGCTTCCTTTCGATATTGATACCCTTCGCAAGCATGTTGAACGACTCATCATAGTCAGCGCACCCGTGCAGACTTTGCTTTTGGATATACGGCGTATATATAGATGGGAAAAACCTTGGCGAACCGGCAAAATCATGGCGTTATACTTCATTCTTTGGTACATGTCGCATATTATGACTTTCTTGGTAGGATAGAACCCGCAACATTGACCAACTTCGGCTCACACATTCAGTATGGCTACATCTTGTACTCGACGATTATGAATTACTACTACCCCCGATCCTTGGAGGCATTACGACAAGGTATAACCAGGAGTCTCGACCGTGGAGCTACCGCATTCAAAGTCGGTGAGCTCATGGACAAACATGGATCAGATGACTGGCTTGGTCCGTTGATGGAAGAACTTGGTGCGTTCATCCAAGTCCAAATTGCCGATCTGGCTTCCTTCTTCGAAGCTACCTACAACTTCTACCATTTTCGCTCTCCTCCGGCCACATTTGCAACTCTCTGCCTGATTGCTTCATTGTTTCTTGTCAGCGTGCTGACTGATTCTCGGTTCGCTCTGAGACTCTTCTGGTTCTTCATTGGCCTCACATTTTTCATCTGCTGGCCTATTTCGTCGCTGTATCCTCGATATCGCTTTCTCGTTTCACCTCTGAAATGGGCACTGTGGGAAGTTCCTAATCATTCGGAATGGTGTTTTCGATTTCTACAAGATCGTGCCGCTGTTGTGCGACAGGCGATCCTGCGCCATGAAGCAGGCGACATCCACGACGAACAACTATCATGCGTGCCAGGAACAGGTAGCGATGCGGATTCATTTGCGACGTGCCGAAGTATATCACTTGACGAGCAGCGGGACATTCTGAGCTTCGGTTGCACTTATTGTCACATGCCAGGACAGTTCATCATTTCCACCCACGGCATTCGTTTCGCTACTTCTCTCGCTAAATCTCTTCCGCACGAAAGCTTTGACAAGCCGTTCGCCGATCTTGTTGAGATGTCCAAAAGACAAACCCGGTCGTCGGTGCTGAGTCCTTTAGCGAAAGTCACCACAGGCATGGACAAGCTTGAGTTGAGATTCAGGGGCAAAGGAGGTGGGGCCGGGATGCATGGCATGGGAGAGCAAGAAGATGCTGAAATCGTGCTCCTGGAAAATATGCGGAGAAGAGATAAAGCTTTCAATGCCGTTGTTGCGTTCAGTGGGGTCCGATGGCAGCATCTACAGCAGCGCCCGAGCAAACTGAGGCCAGAAGAAAAGAAAGGGGACAGCCTCACGGACAAGTGAAATCGACAAAAGTCGAGGAGTTCTCGACGTCACAAAAAATGAAGGCAACCGCAGATTTCAATGTTATAAGCGCCCCCAATCACTGCGATTGTCGGTTAACAATTCGCTTCCTCACTCTGACATCTTGTGCTGCAAGTGTGTGATCGCCCTATTGAAACACGAAAAACTTCGGCACGGACCGAAGACGTTTATCTCCCTTCTTGAACAAGGATCCAATATCAAATACAACCTTGAGGCTACGAGCATGTCGCAATGCGGGGGCCAGGCACGGACTGTGGGACTGGACATGCATGTCGCTTATAAAGTCTACTGGGTTTCGTACATAGTACAAACTCTATCGAGGGATCCGAGACAAACCCGAAGTACTAGTAACATTATTTCTTTGCATGGAAGATTTCCTCGCATCGATATACTGTATCTATCATGGACAGTAGTGTGTTCCCTTGTTTGATATCTCTCATGGTCATTTATCAGGCAGTAGTTCTGTGTGAGTCGAAGCCAAGTAACGACATCTGTTGGACAGTATCTGGGATGGATGCAGAGACATTACTGGTCGCGGAGAGAGTCGCACAGGCCATGCCAAGGGCTTTTCTATATTACAGAGGGGCATCCCAAAGTCTAGAACCATGATGACTTTCGTCTAGGCGAGAGAAATTGAGCCCTGCGAACCTTTCCAGGAAAACTTACAGGGGCTCATTGTCTCGTTAACACAGCCATTCTTCTTTAGACAAATTGCCAAGTGTATGGCGTATGCAGAAACGCCGTTCTTCAAGATTATGCATGTCACAGTTTGACAGTGACACGAGGTCAATGCACGATACTTGATGGATTGCGCTCGAAGGATGTGTCATGTTATCGCCTGTCAAGATTGCATTCGATATGTCCCATGAGCGCGCTCAGGCCACAGGGTGAACTTGGTTGCAGGGCGGGGGACCAGCATGTTGCCCCCCAGATTGTCGTTGGTGTTGCGGGTACTTCAACATCCTGGGCGTATAGTGACCCTATAGTGGTTTCCATGTCTTTAAGGTATACAAGATACTGCTATAATCACTAGGTAGCCATGGCTATTGACCAAATGTTCGCTGAACTATCAATATGTTAACTTTCTGGCATCTTCTTATTGTTGCTTCAGCCTTCACTCAAATCTCCCATTCACAAACGACGAGCAACGTACCTGCAAATGAGACATTTTTTGCTTTCTTGGCAACGTTGCCAACCTGCATTGTCAGAAGCCTCCAGACACAATTCACTGATCTACTGCTGACAATAGCAGACAACATGCACCTTGACACAGCTGGAAGCTGCCAATTGTCAACTGGTTGACATCAGAAACTGCATGTGCGCCAACAACACGATGCAAGCCGACCTTGCTATTTGCGTTCAGAGCAATTGTAATGCAACGGAACAAATACGTACGCTTCTGATTCCCACTTTCATATGTTCTGACCGGTCCGCTAACATACCAAGTTGCTGCAACAGTTGCTCAAGACGACATCTGCGAGGGCATCCCAACTCCATCCAGGAGTAGGGCAATAATACAATGCGTGATCGTCATATCCGCCATTACCTTCCCGATCATTGCTCTCAGATGTCTGTCACGGTACCTCATATCACGACATCTCTGGTGGGATGATTGGATGATCCTGCTCTGTGCTGTGGGTACTTGTCATACCCTGACATGAATATCTTTGACGCTTTTCTCTAGGTCTTACTAGTCCCGATGGCTGTCATCCCAATATTAAGTACTGATATATCTCTCAAAATATGCGTCACCCAAGGCTAATTTTGATTCCAGATGCTAACAGAGGCTTCGGGAAACACTTTTACAACATCCCACCTCAAAATATACCCTCCCTTCGTGAAGTATGTATGAACTATCAGCTATATCTAAGATCTAGTGGATAGAACATTCTAATGCCTATCAGCTCTATTACATCTCCCAAATATTCTACGCAATCGTCCACCCGGCTGCCAAGATTTCGATCCTCCTCCTCTACCTCCGCATTTTCCCCGACAAAACATTCCAGCTCATCACCAAAATCGCAATAGGAATAATGGTCGTTCATATTCTGGCTTTCGTCTTTGTCGTCATTTTCCAATGCGTGCCTATCAAGAGTATCTGGGACACAAGTATCCAAGGGCGTTGCTTGAACCTCAATCTGATCGCATACTCGGGTGGCATTGTCAGTATTGTGGAAGACTTGATTGTCATCCTGCTTCCAATCCGGCAGCTCACCGAGCTGAGCTTTACGACCAAGAAAAAGATTGCCTTAGCTTTCATGCTTAGCTTGGGCTCTTTCGCTTGCATCACGAGCATGGTTCGACTGAAATATATCGTCCAATTCAATACCTCAATAGATCAGACTTGTACGTTACTTGCAGATCTCAGTACTTCAGAACATTAAGACTAATGTAAAAGCAGGGGACGACGTCGACAGCACAATCTGGTCAATAATCGAAGTTTACACCGCGGTCATCTGTTCTTGCCTCATCTCCCTACGCCCGCTCATCGTAAAATACATCCCTGAACTCTTCTCCACCAGCCAGCGGTGGAAAAGCAATATCTCGAATCGAGTCCGTTCTTCCTGGTTTGGAGAGCTTGCTTGGAGAGACAGACAAAGAGGTGAACGACGGCTGTGGTATGAGGATAAACCACTGCCGAATCTTCCGATTACTAAGACTACGGAATTGGTTGTGGTCTGGATGAGGGAAAGTCAGATTGGCCTGGTGGCTCCGCAGAGGACGAAGACGATGACTACTATCCACTCGAATAGATCTTTCTTCTGATCTTGTTTGGTAAGCAGTTGGGCGAGCGTTGGAAGGTGTCATTTGGTGTAATTTATAGTGTTAATGAGTATATTTGGTAAATTGGACAATATAAGTAAGAATCCACTTCCAGCATTCGTAGATAGAGCCAGCTTTGTGAGGTCTGTCTACAAGAGGCTTTAGATGACATGGCAGGCAATTGAAACATGAGAGAATGAGGTATGGACAGCTCTAGTGCGAGAGCTATCCACACAAGAGTCGAACTGAAGTATTTAGATTGGTGGTTTATCTCGATGGTTTGCTCTATAGGAGTGCTTCGAGGAGAAAAGTACCCGGACTCTAGGGTATGAAGGTTCTATCAGCAAAACCAAATTATTAGCTATCGGCAATACAGATGTAAAATACTTTGGCCATGGTTGTGCAGCTACATATTCCAATGCTAGAAATTGATCTGTTCGGAAAGATGATTGCGAGGGGTTGTGAAAAGGAGGCTTGATGGTAACTTGCGCTTGAACGCTTACATAAGCGCAACTCTTCGCCAAAGATGAAAATGCCTTCGCAAATCCTTCTGCTCCCTCAACTCGTCGCGAGTCGCGCTGGTCCAATCACAGATGCCCAATCGAGGAAGTAAATGATGGGGCACTCGGCTCGAGGCGCGGGGTACATACGAGTAGTGGGGAAGCACGATGTACGTACAGCTTCATAAAGAGCGGAACGAACCCTCTCATTGTCACCGCTCGACTTTGAGTACCCATACTTCCCCTCCATCTGCGAGTTCATCATGGCATCTTCTCAATCAGCACGAAAGCTCAGAGTGGGAATCGTCGGCGCCGGGGACGTCGCTCAAGTTGTTCACCTCCCAACTCTTGCATTGCTCAACCATCTGTACGTGTTTCCAGACAGAACCACAAATGAAAGAAATCCTTCTGACAGGTTCTAGATACTCTGTGATATCCATCTGCGATATTTCACAGCAGACTGTTGACCATGCCGCAGCCAGGTTCAATGTCTCGCACAAGACCATCAATCCCTCCGAGACCATCTCCCATCCAGACGTCGATCTTGTCATGATCTTAGCCGCCGACGAATACCACGAACCGCTCTGCATATCAGCTCTCAAAGCTGGGAAGCTCGTTTTTATAGAAAAGCCCATTACACTTTCGATGCCCTCTGTCCAACGAATATTGGAGGCCGAGAAAGCTACAGGTGGGAACAAGATCTTCGTTGGTTATATGCGTCGATACGCGCCTTCGTTCACCGAAGCCTTCCTGCGAGAAGTTGCCAGCATCCCTCGAATTATGTACGCAAGATCTAGGGACATTATCGGCCAGAACGAACATTTTGTCAACCAGAGTGGAACGAGTCCAAGGAAGTATACAGACTTCCCAGCGAACGCTGCACAAGACCGGAAGGTTCATTTGGACAAGTTGTTCGCAGAGGCATTTCCAGGTCGAGCTGTCTCTGAGAAAGATATCCAATATTGCCGTTTTCTGGGTAGCCTTGGCTCTCACGATCTGTCCTTGATGCGTGAAGCTCTTGGCTTTCCAGAATCTGTCACTGGTGTCTCAGCCAATGAGCCATTCTACTCTGCAATGTTCAACTATCGGAACAAGTCTGGAGAGCCCTTTTCCGTCACGTACGAGAGCGGGATCGACCATGTTCCTCGATTTGATGCGCATTTAGCCGTGTATGGAGAACGGAAGACGGTGAGCATTCAGTACGACACGCCGTTTGTCAAAGGCTTGCCTATCAAAGTCAAAGTCGACGAGTTCAACGAGGCTGGAGAGTCGTCTTCGAGCGAGATATTGTCCAGCTTCGAAGATCCATATACTGTCGAATTGAAGGAAGTGTATGAATGCTTTGTCAATGGGAAGGCGATCAAGACCACAGCAGCGGATGCTTCGATGGAGTTGCAGCTGTATGATATGATGTACAAGCAGCTTGCAAGGCAAGGCTAGAATATCATAGTTACGTTAAACCTTAATTATATGCATCGTGTGTGGATCGAAAAGCTTAAGACCAAAGTCTGCGGGTCGTGACACGATGTCAGGTGTTGGCATGCGGCACGTCGAAACCCATGTCTGACAACAACCTCAAAGTGAAACAAGCTTTCCTTCACCAGCCCACTGCCAATGCACAAGAGTCAGTGCATGATTTTAGTGCAATCAGCACCATCTTGACCGAAGATGGAAAAGATCAACACCACAAATGGCCTGAGCATTTTCTTGACAAGCGCTCAACATCCATCTTTCCATTAATCCGCCTCACTGCATCGCTTATGAGGTCAATGAGAAATCCCATGTCAGCACAAGGGCCTTTGCTCGTCCATTCTTGTTCATAAAGGTATCCAACCTCTTCGGCTAGAAGAAGTGGTTTTGGTGACTTGAAGCTGCCACGCTCCTCGAAAGTCCAGAGTTCACTGTCGGTATGGCAGCTCCTTAGATTATTCGAATCTTCATATGATACTCCACTTATGTATGGAGGCTTTTGTTCAAGCGTCACAATGATGTCAGTGGCAAGCGCTGTTGTGTCTCAACCAGCCAGTGGGTGAACCGATAAGTGTCTTGAAATAAATCACGTCCTTGACAGATGCCTGGCAGGGTCCAATGCATTTAACTCAAGATGCCATGTGAATCGATTCTCGATTCTGCTGAAACTGTATACCAAGATCAAAGTGATAATGCATATCGGCTATAGTCAAAAGTCAGCCCCCCAAAGTTTTTGCAAAAACATGACCTCCCTCCAATCAATCATTGTCCAACGAATCAACACTGGCACACAAGAGTTTCCACACGCTTTTCCCGAGATTCAAATTCTCGAGCCGCTCACCTCATCCGAAGAATGTCGCAGATCTTCAGATGTCCCGCATCCGGCAAAATGCGGTTCAGGGGTCGATCAAACATCCCGAGAGCCACCACAGCGACAATTGGATGGAATCAACACCAACACACCTTTGCCATGGAAAGAACGTCCACTCATTGCCAACGTTGGAATACCAAGATTGTGGTCCTGTTTCTGATCACGGCTGTAGTTGCTCTTCCTCTGTACCGGCGTGGAACAATGACAGCAACCTAACTTCAGATGAACGGCTTGGCTCATCTCAGCAACAGTAATCATCCGCTCGCTTATGGCTGGCTCTCCTACACTCGTCTTACTCCCAGTCGGCGAAAGCGAGTGCGGACAGTAAGCGAGTGCGGACAATTAGGTGTACCCAACCAATTTTTGTATGTCACTTTAAGGCAAAAATAAGTGTGAAAGTACACCCCTCCAGATAAATTCTACACTAGATGCGACAATTATTCTTCTATATTTACATTCGATTCCGAATCGTCTAAATCGCTAGACACTAAGTCCCATTTATCACTTTCCCCCTCTAAACTATCACCTACCCGAGCCAACAAATCGTCTAAATCTCTACTATTATTAGAGTTGAAACCACCACTCTTGATATTTAAGTCTTCGAATCGGGGTAATGGCATAAAGTTAGTTTGAAGCTTAGGATTACTTTGAGTATTAATAACAATCTCTATATCGTCGTCTTTATTATGCTTGGGAAGGGAGGGGAGCTCAGGTCTCTTCTGGCCCTTCTTGAGTTTCCTTAGAATCGCACGGTCGGAGGGCTGTAGAGACTACTAGATGTTTTTAGTATCTATGATAGGACGTAGTATCGGGTTATTATTATAGATGAGTTTTTTTTCGAGAAAGTCGAGCTTTGAGTAGCTTTTTTTAATCTCTCTCTTCTTACCTATCTTCAACACTAGTACGATATGCAGTATCCCTCTCTTGGCGCTATATTTTATCAACTATTTTTTATTAAGCTTAGTATTCCTTCCTTTTTTCTTCTTCGAGTTGCTTCTTTGGTTATATTACCCTTGACTTGTATCTATTTGCGCGATTTATACTTGTCTTTAATTTCTTCTTTTCGTTGTTGTGAAAGGATTCGAAGTTGCTGATTATTTATAGAAATTGTGACTATGACAATTCGAGTACCGCGCATAAAAGATAAGAACTCTTGTTGAGATGGGCTGCTCGAGGTGCTTGCTTGCGCTTTCGAGGCATAATTATTACAGAATTCTGCGGGGATGAAGTATTTCGACGCGCTTTTTGGTGAGGTATGCATACAAAAAGCGCGTCGCGGTACTTATTGTCCGCACTCGCTTACTGTCCGCACTCGCTTTCGCCGACTGGGAGTAAGACGAGTGTAGGAGAGCCAGCCATAAGCGAGCGGACGATTATATAGAGGTTGGAAACTCAGGGAAGGAACTCAGAAGCAGCGTTCTCAATCTACTTTCATTACATTCTTCCAACACTCGACCCGGCGTCGTCAGTTTTACCAAACTTAATCACTTTAATTGCCACTTCAGTCGTTCCTCCAACTCCAAACATCAAAATGGTCCGCATCACTCTTCTCGCCATTCTCGCTTGTACGTCTTGTCCCAAGCACCTTCTCTCCTAATACAGTAGAGCTAACTCTCCTCCTCAGTCGCGATGACCGTCCTCGCCATCACTCCAAACAACGCCGGAGCAAAGAACGTTGGCAACGGCGCCGGGGCACAATTCATCACAGGAGGTTGCGTTGCGGATGCAGACTGCTCATCTGCATGCTGCGCCAACGCTAGCGGTGTCGGTGTCTGCTCTGCTGAGGCTGCTGCTTTCCAAAATGGAAAGGATGGATGTGGATTCGTTGATCCGAATGCTGCTGCTACTATTGCGGCTGCTAAGGCTCAGGTTGCCAAGCAAGGGTTCTAGGTTACGGTGTTATGGTTGGGGATCTGGGGATCTGGGGGACAGACTTGGGATGAATCAACATGGGCTTTTGTTGGAGATGGGATGAAGGGCGTTTTGGATGACTGTGATACGACTAGCATTGGGCTGCCAACACTTAGATGTGCTCTCAGTAAATCTAAAAGATCCACTGTAATGTTTCCATGAAAGATCAAAGTGAATGAACAGTGAGGCATTCCCTATCTCTTCTACATCTAGGTCGAAGTTAATACGGTAAAATACACTGAGGCGGGGTAGAACACTGGCAAATTTTATCTATGCATCATCAGTGAGCCCTAAGTATTGACTGGTTGAACATGGGTTGAATGGGAAAAGATAGGCACCGATCCGAAATTGAAGGGTTCGGACAGGATGGGATGCAAATTTCCAAGAATAATAAATATATGGTAGAAGTATATAGAAGCTAAACTCTTATCTTTCACTTCCTGACAGCCCAGACGAATAAATAGGAATGTAAATTCCATGTTAAATCTGAAATATCTCCATCTCGTCCGATACTCAGTGGCATCCTGGAAGATCAATTAGCTGAAGTGCCACTATTAATCGTCCTGATATGCCGCAATTTGATGTGCTTACCTTTTTGCCTCTGGGTGAATTGGGTTGGAAGCATGCCTTTGTCCAGAGCTATCAGCGTTGACGGGTGAGGTGCAGATATCTATTTATCTCAGCATCAGAACAAGACACTAAGTAAAGATTTCAATGGTAAACATACCTGAAGGATTAAGCTAGCTTGACAGATTCCCACCGACCCCGCAATATAAGCCAACTTCCCCTTCGCAAACAACCGCTGCGAACTCGTCGCAAAGTCCGAATTCCCTGCCACATACAGCGGCCACATCAAATAAACAGCCGACACTCCCTTCATTTCCACATGCTCGCAAGAAAAGCGAACTTTATCAGGCATCATTGTTGAGCAGTCTTGATCCCACAGGAAACAGTAAGGGATACTGGAGACGATGTCTTGAATCAGTTCCCGGCACCGTCGAGCGGCGTCCCGATACTCGGTTGAGATTCGGTAGTCAGTGTCTTCGCGGAGCCAGGCGATGCAGCGCAGGATGATGGTCCAGATTAGGATTTGGGAGGAACGGGCCACGTTGTATTCGTAGGCTTGGTAGAGTTCTTCGTATTGGTCAATTCGGCCGGGGTGGGATATTGATGTTGCGATATTGGTGGTCGTGGTAGTCTCGGAGTCTAGCCAGGCCATTGCGGAGTAGGAGGACGATAGGGATTCAAACCTGAAGTTTGTTTTGTTAGCTGGTGCAGAGTATACAGATCAGAAGGTAGGGTAATCGTTGGAAGGGATACGTGAGAGTGGGTGAAACAAGAACGAGACTTGCCATTCTCGATATTCTTTTTCAAGAGTTCTCGCTTTGTGTAGCAGTTCCACTACTTTCACGGTCTTGCTAGTTGTCCGGGGCCCTGGCACTGTGACAGTGTTGTTAATCGCTCTCAAGTCAACAAGCCTCATATTAAGCGTGGCGTATCTGTGCTCGAAGATATCATCCGGAGTGTGATACAGCCAGTCTATCGATCTATCTATCGGTTTTGCCTTGGCCATGAAATGAATAGTCTGATACTTGTAAGTCTCAGTCCAGAACTTAGCTAGGCCGCTTACCATTAATTCTCTGACCCCGTTGAACAAGTTCCGACTCAATGGCGTCTTGAACGATTCCTCGCCACGATGTCTGACCAAAGCAATAGCTCCTTCGATATGGGAGCTCCACCCATTGAGGCTCGTCTCGACGAGGGTCACTTGCTAGAATTGAAGTTATGAAATGGTTGATCACTTTACGGAGACAGACGTACCTCGAAGATAGTGAGAAGCAGAATGGAAGCCAATATCGAATCGTCCTTTGCCGCCCGAGGTTCCAATAACGACTTTTTGATGCCCTTCACACATTCGATGTATTGCTCATGTGCCTTTGGGAGTAGAGATTTTCTTTTGAAGCGGGATCCAAAGCTCGCCAGACTAGAAGCAGAGAGTGCCTGGTGGAAAGGAGAGTTTGTCTTGGCAAGAGCACTGAACGGGAGTACAAAGCTAAGAAACCCTATGCCAGACGCTTTCCTAGGGGTTAGCACAAAGTCTGTGGTGAAGAAGCAAGTTGTTTGTTCCTCTATTGGTATCTGGAAGTGGAAAAGAGTCAAGGTCGTCTTCTCATAGGGCGTTCTCGACGACTCTCGGGAAGGTGCGAGAGTAGTACTATCGATACTATAATCCGGTGAATCCAGCGAGGTTGCCGTTGATAGAATGACACTATCGATGAGTTCATCGAACGATAGATTGTGGATCTTATCGCTTCCATGGCGTTGCTTCTTAGTTGGTTTTGATCCACCGAATCGTTGAAGCTGCGCCGAGTCTCGATATCCGGGGCATATACGTTTTGACTTCTGACATCTCATACAATGTGGTTTTGCTTCGTCGCACTAAATAGGTTGACTCAGTTAGCATTCTTCCCAGTGGGAATAGTCTATCTAGACAACGCGAATAGAACACATGACATCATAGAATGGGAAAGGTACCTTGATACGCCGTTTTCGGCACATATGGTACCCACTTGAGGGTTTGCCAGTGTTGACCATTGCTGGATATGGATGCCAAGTAACAAATAAGACTAGGATTGACGTTTACTGAGAGTTCAGACGGACAGAGATTGCGCAGGACCCACGATATATCTAGAAGAAAGGATATTCGGGATGTAATGTGTGTTGTCAGAGCTGGCGATCTCTCGAGGCAACAGTGACAGAATCTCGCCCACTTTCGTTTCAATAGGTTGGATGAAGTAAAACGAATACGACCCGATGGGATGGTGCGCGCTCGGTTTCCTCCACAGCCTCCGCAGCATCTAGCATCGGATACTTCGGAACAGGTTGCTCAATCATCCATGAAACTCTATTCAAACCTGACATTAAGTGCTCGAGCCGACTTTTTTGTGATGACAGTAGGGTGATATCCGCAGCGGCAGGCTTGCGTGCGTGATATTGATAGATTTAAGGTTTGTCGAGACATTGGAACGCGGAAGTGTACACAGGTGTCTTGGACTCCCCTGTGGTCTGAGCATAGCACTTCATATGGCGATCTTGAGGACACGAACAAATGATATGAGACTATAAGATCGACGTGCGGCCAAATAATAGTGGGTTACTCAAAAAGCAATGAAGACGTTGAGTTCTTCGTGGTGTATATCGAATGAACTACTTCCAAATCCCGGCCGATCAAACGGCTGTGATGCTTGTGCTTGATCCAGGCAATGAACACACTCAGAGAGAAAATGGAGTTTGCCGTTTTCTGACATGCACGAATCGGACGTTCTGCGAAAAAATAGACCATAAACGCGGGGATTATCCTCGACAGCCTTTCATGATGGACTCGATGAGGTGAAATGATGAAACAAGCTGGGGTATCGGTATATGCTTTGATGCAGCTAATATTGTCGACATGCAGATACCAAGGTCTACGTGGCTTCTCCAGAAGTGATAAAGCGCAAAGCCGCTTTCTCCAGCCTGCTTTATGTCAATTTGTACAGTGCAAAGTCCACTGGAATGACACTGGGTGCTTGGAGAACCTGGGGTCACGATACAACAAGGAAACAATTTGCGATGCGAGGCAAAGTATGAGACCCAGGATGCGCTGGCTGCAGCAACTCCCACCAAACGATCCTATAGGAGGAGGTGATTCCAGGTGCTCAAGCCGCATTGCTGTGGCGAGCATAGCCCAGCGAATGCGCAACCCGCCAGAAGGCCGTGTGTCATGTTGAAGAAACGAGAACCAAGAGCAGCAGAGAACGATGCGCGCCTTCTGGCATATGTCCCTATGTCCCTTCTGGCATATACGTTCCTGAAGGGTTGGCAAGAGGAAGGATTTCCCAAGGTCGTCGTCGTCCGAATTAGCTCTGGGACGGTCACGTGTGGCGGGATCCTGGATATTACCTAAGCTTGCTGCCGCTAGGTCTGGCAAAATCAACTTCTTCTTTTCACTTTCTCTTTCACTTTCTCTTTCCCCAAAACCGATCAACGATCTTTCTCATAGCCAGATGATTATGGCCTCAGCTATGGCGGAGTTCCAACATCGCGTCAGCATACAAAATCGGGCTGTCAAACATATTGCGAGCCGTCAGTACCCCGCGATTTCGGCTCCTAGACCTAGGAATTGCCGTGGCATCTATGGGTATGGCCGTTCGACCGCCATGATGCATGTCGAGTCTTCATCCTTCACGCTCCCCTGATCGCATTTTATGGGAAGCCCAGTCTCCTTCCCTGGAAGAGCGACGGCCAATCTTTTCCTCTTCGTTCTCATCATCATCATTATCAGTCAGCAAATATCACCGCGTACGACTTCATCTGTTCTCACAAGCCTACTGTACTTACAGGCCTTCAGTTACTTGCGCCTTGAGCGCCGTGCTTGCTTTTGGCGACCCTTGCGCGGCTTTATGCATGCAAGTGGTATTCTGCAAGTGCATCCGCTTCGCCCCATTCAGCACTTGTCAAGATAAGAGATATCGAAGAGGTAAAACATCTCCTAATTGGCTATGTCGAGATTGACAGCCAATGGATCCTTTTTCGGAATATCCATGACCGTCGCAGAAGCATGCCGTTACGGATATGCAGCAGCCCTCCAGCGACGAGATTTTTGTGCGGACCAATATAGTGTCGAGACTAATGCGCTGGGATCGAAGCTGAAACGACACTCGCCGCTTCCTGGTCCAAGAACGGGTCCGTGGGTGGCTACTGCTTATACACGAAGGTAGGATAGACGCGCGCTTGCTACGTTAGAGGAGGGTACACCATCCGATATCCTCTGATTTTACGCCAGAACTAATGGAAAGGTTGTTTGCTGCAGGGACTGCAGGAGTGATAATTATATGTGTAATTGGGCGCGTGTTTCATACGGATGCACGGCACTTCCAGAAGTACCGGTAGACGCTGAAGCTTATGCCAATTCTATTTCTGAACACACAAATCGTGTTGGATTATAATAAGACAAGTATCTCGATCAGCTCCATTTATGCTGTTAGTATCTACTAGTACTGCATCGTCTGTATAATGAAACTTGAAATAATAGCGCCTGCGTCACTTGTCTTGTTGTCCCTGCTAATTACAAACTTTCTGCACTTTCACGCTGTTGTACATCTTTCAAATACTATCATGCCTATGTTCCCGAAACTTGAGATCGACGACAACCGCTTGGTCAGTAGGCTTTTCTGGTATCGTCTACGCCTACAGTTGATCCAGTACTGTTATCTGTCGCGAATGAGGTCAACAGGGGTGATCCCTTTTGTTGCAATATTGAACTAGGTACTATTAAGCAGGAAGTACTAAGCAGCGTCCAGGTAAGATTTGGTCATAGAAGTATGCACCAAATCTCGTTTAACAATCATTAAAGGACGAAACCAAAGATTCTGAAGCGTTGTACTAGCCGGGCTTTGAGATTTACCGGCACACAGCAGTCTTTGGAACCAAAAGCCTCGAGTCATGACTGTGGCGAACAGCCTGAGCCAGATCTAAATTTGTACGAAGTTACCACTTCCTTTGAAGTCAATTTGAACTTATTAACAGCATCCAGGTACACGGAAAGATACTCATATACTCCCCTCTCGGCCAGACAAATCAGGTTACTCCACCTTGCCCCTGGAAAGAATCCGGATCCCCTGAAGATTTCGTTCACAGCGTCGTCAATTGACAACCTCCCGGACTACCAGGCTCTGTCATACACCTGGGATAGTCCGGCTGTGAAACACTATGTATTGTGTGACGCAAAAATTATTAGTGTTACCTGTAATTTAATGTCCGCGTTGTGTCAGCTACGACACGAGAGCAAAGAGCAAGTTCTCTGGACCGATGCGCTTTGCATAGACCAGAATGACGCTGCTGAGCGAGGCTCACAGGTAGCACTGATGAGACAGATCTATAAGGATGCTCGAGTAGTCATTTGGCTTGGAGAGGACGATTCACATACATGGGAGGCCCTTGAATTGCTCCAGCAACTTGCGGGGCTCGAAGTATATTCTCAGCGACCAGCACCGAACGAGCAGGCATCGTCAAATCCTGACACGTTCACGATGAACAGTATATTACCATTCGCGAAACATCCCTCCTGGAAATATTTGGAAGAGATCTTTTGGAAGCCATGGTTCTTTCGGGCTTGGATCATCCAAGAGACCGTCCTTGCAAAGACACTTACGATCAGAATCGGAAAGTTCACTGTTCCCTGGAAGCACTTTGAGCTTGCTACTAAGTTGCTTGGAAAGTCTGTTGCGCGACAAAGTCATAAAATATATATTGGGGATGAGTGGAGTATTGTCACTTCACCTTTCACGAATCTGAACGACCTTCGAGTAAGCCTTCTACAAAGTCAAGGAGGCTCTCTGGAGAAACTACTTGTTTTGACGAATGCCAGTTGTGCGACATTGCCAGTTGACAAAGTGTACGCTATACAAGGCCTTGTCTCAGAACGGGATGCGCCCATTCTCATGCCAGACTACTCCGCGACAGTTGAGCAAGTCTTTACGACCGTCGCACAGTCTTTACTACACAGCTCACTAGATGTATTAAGCCAGGTAGTGGGACCTTATTTGAGACGACAAACGAGCCTCCCAACCTGGGTGCCCGATTGGTCGACGTCATTCCGAGCGAAACCGTTCCTACATCTTGAGTCTTCAAAATCTTTGTTCCGAGCTTGTGGGAATACGACCCACAGAGCATCGTTTTCCTCAGGAGACAAGCTGGTGGCTAAAGGCATTTTGATTGACAAGATCAAGATGGTAGGGCTTCCATTTGTACCCAACAAAAAGGCAACCAGAGTTACGCCTTTGCAACGTGCCTACAGAGCTTTCGATCGTATGAGTTCAGGTATGGAGTTACTTAGGATCCAGATGACGTTGTTCCTGTGTCATCTCCACGGATGGGAAGATGTTGTCCAATCGTTGAGTTCCTATCCCACAGGAGAGAGTGTTAATAATGCCTTTGCACGCACCCTAATTGCAGGTGCAAGTATCGTTGCGGAATTTCGAAACCCGACTGCCAGAGTCGTCGTGGAAGATGCCTACAATTACTTCAAATATCTGTTAACGCAATCGATATCGAATATGCAGCCGGCGAATATGGGGGACGTAAATATCAAGTGGCAGGAATGGGACGATGCAGTTGTAAGCGCCTCGAAACAGTATATGAGTTTCTTAGAAGAAGCCGCTTGGGGTAGAGTCTTCTTCATTACCGAACGTGGGTACATGGGCCTTGGGCCAATGTCAGCCTTTGCAGGTGATGAGGTGGCTGTGCTGTGTGGTGGCAAGACCCCCTATATACTCAGTCGGGATGCCAATCAGAAGAGCTCCAACTTTCGCCTTATAGGTGAGGTTTACATTCATGGTCTCATGAAAGGCGAAGCATTTCAAGAGAACAAGGAATTAAGGGAAATTGTGCTTATATAGCTTTCCCGATTTCAAGAAATCTTTCCGAACCTCTTTGAAAATAGCGCTTGGAACAAGATGCAAAGCAGGAAGTGCCTACTATTCCTCGTAAAGTTTTGGGAAGCCATATATGTTCTACCTGGCTTTAGTAAATCTGGTAACCTCGAGTACTAAGTTTTTCTCGCTTTCTGCTGGAAGAGGTTGCCTTTCCACCCCCGGGAACTTTATAATTTTGTCTTGGTCAAATCCGGGGTCAATGCCTGAGAAGATCTTATATTTACCATATCGAGGATGGGTATATTTGGTGAATAGTAGGGTACAGAACCCTTGAAGGTATTGTGGGAATGCTTGGGAAGACAAGAAACGATTTACCAAAGATGTTGCAAAATGGATTACTGCACGATTGAAACCAGGTACTGATGCAGTGGCTAGATAGACAAGCATGACCTCCGATGACTTCTAAGAGCAGTATCCTTTCGAGCAGGACCAACCTCGCTCATGAACCTGAAGAACCCTCAGGGACAGGTCTGTTAATACGGTCACGTGCATGCCAAGACTTTACTCGGAGATTCGTGGTGTTCCGCAACGCGAAGCAACCTTCCTTCCAGTTCTCCTCTTGAACATACCACTTTCAGACCCTCTAAGAATCAACTCTTTCAGCCCTTCTGGAAATGCTCACTATCAATCGTCAAATTATGAATACCACTCGGACGAAGAGCATTGCCAAAGCTTGGAAGCAAAGCTTTACAGTAGGAAGGCCAGGTCTGCTCCCACGTACGAGAGGAGCTCAAATCTAGCGTCTCTACATGGCCTACGAAAGTGGTGTTTGTCTCTGCCGTTCGCCCAGATTGTCTCAAGATTCGTGGGTGAGTAGCATCATTCAAGCTCAAATATGCCCAGCACAGCACAGCCTCGCCTGTGCCTCACACAGCCTTGCCCTACTCGGGAATGATGTAAGTGGTATGTATAACTGGTATGTATGCAATACAATTCTTCTTCTTTCCATCATTCCTATCTGTTACACGTCTGCGGAGTATTTCCTACCGCAGAATTTCGTGAACAGGCAAGAATCGCAGAGCACAAACGGTTACCCACAGAAACCTCGAAGATTCGTTCCTTCTCGAAGTCACAACACGCGATAGTCTTTCACGATGAATGGATACGAATACCCATACGAAAAATCAGGACAGACGGCGCCGGATTATGCCAAAGCTCCAGCACCTGCTCCAGTTTACGCTCCCTTTCGAACAACATTTGCATCCGTTTCCCTACATCGCAGTGATCGAGTACGCCTCCTCGGCTTTCCTCAGTCTGACATTCAAAGTATTCGCGGCGTTATACAGAACTCATATTCGAAAGGCATATCGAAAGAACAATTGTATGGCAAGTCGCACGAGTTCAAGCTCAACGGCAACCCATGGTTCGGGCAGAGCTCCGATGCAGTAATCTCGCGGGTTCTGATACGGGAGATATTGGCACACTTGTTTAGCATTGGGTGGATATTACACGCCAGCACGGATGTTAGCAAGAAAGAGATGGACAAAGACACATTGTTCTTCAGAAAGCAGCAAGCTCGTCCTCCAGCCAGCGACTTCATCAGCATTTCGTTTAATCAAAGCGATCGACTGAGGTTGATTGGTGCTCCAACCCAATTGGTCCAAGATTTCAAAAGTTTGCTCTCTGGAATGGGACTCTTACAGCAAGATCTCGGGTGGAAAGATGCAACTTTGAGAGCCTGGGAATTCAAATTGAATGGATATCCATGGAGAGCAACTGGGGAAGAAACAATGAGTACAAGGCTACTGTTGTTGAAGATGCTGGAGTGCTTGGAAAGCCATGGATGGAGTCTTTATGCAAGTGTGGATCAGAGCACTGGTGGTGAAAACTCGAGTGAGACGGATAGTTGGTATTGTGTAAAAGATCGGAGCTGGGTTGAGGGTACTGCTGTGTTTCATCGTTGAGTAGATACCATAGTTGGCTGTCTATGAAGAGGATCCTTGTTGTACGAGTATAGAGACCGGTACCAAACGTATTACGTATGTTGACTGATCCTGCTGCAGCATTGATTCATAGCACGTTGCTTGTGACAATCATCCTACGTTTTGGGCTTTGACTTTTCTTTGCAAGGTATAACTTTCCTCGTTAGTTCCAAGTTTGTTGCATCTCAATTCTTATGCCTGTTGAAAATTCCTGCCCTTCAATCAGGCTAAGAAGCACATCTCACCCAAGTCACCGTGTCGTATCCCATCTTCGACCCTACTTCGCGCTTGGCACCTATCAACGTTCGCTTCAGTGTGAATATCCGGGCACCAACCAGTTGTTGGGCCTATAAATCCAATACCATTCTACCTCACGTTGGAGCAGAATCACTCATTTCAACAGAAAATCAACCGGTTCAGTCCGTACTCGAGACACTTCAACACCATCCACTCGATCACACTCGTCAAACAGACAGCCACGTATATGTCCCCCTCCACTGGAAGCACCACCAAACAGAAGAATTCGACCCCCGATATCAAACCTAGTCTCAGCTCCGCCTAGCCAACTCAAGATTCCGCTAAAAATGGGAAGGGTGTAAAGCCGGAAATATGTGAGGGACATGGTTCAAGGATTGGATCTACCGCACAGTCTGGCTCATGCCATTCGCAAGGAAATGGTGAGGAGTAGCGAGATGAAGGAGATCTCGGGAGTATTGGAGAGGAGGCATGAATATCTTTGTGCGTTGGATGCTAAAGAATGAGGAGGGAAGGTTGAACTTGGGTTTCATGAGTGAAGGTTAGCGTTGAGAAAGATTATAAGGGAATGAGCAAAATGGCATTCTTGCATAATTGTCGAAGTCCAATGTTTGCATGGAGTTATATTAGGATTCGATTTTGTCGTCTGTGTATAACTAGGCGGTGGTCCATATATCTCTTCCTTTTCATTGCTTGTCTCGCCAAATGATCCGTGTCAGGCAACCCTTGCGCGTTAGTCCGAGTCTCCCAATGGAAGCTCGAAGGCTAGATGGAGTTTGTTGGTACCTTGCAGAAACATTGACTGCGAACGAATCATGGTAAGCAGCTATGCAGCCACATTCACATGCTTACGTCAGGTGATATAAGACTGCAGATCTAGTCACTTTGACCAACGTCCAGGTTATGCTCTATATCCATAAGTACCCTTCAGCATCTTTGTCTTTGACTTCAGAAGCGAAACATACCAGACACGATGAACTCTCAAGAAGAAGCAAAGAAGTTTTTGTTGAATGTATTTATTCCCCAGCCTCGCCCCACAAGGCCAGTCTAACAATAATTCAGGCATGGGAGTTGCTTTGGGTCAAAAATCTTCCAGACCTTCCTAAGCTCTATGACGAAGAAGCAGAGATATCAGGCTTCTCGCCACCGAAGCAATCCACATGGAAAGGCTACGAGGGAATAAGAGCTGTGAGCAGATCCGTGCAAAATACCCCGCTTCGGCATCAAAGTACTGACGACGATGACCATTGAAGCATTTCAAAGAGCTGGAATCTATCATCGATTCTAAGTCGTTCAATATGACGACTATTGGTATCGTTTCTTCTATCATCTTCTCGATCAAGCGAGCTTACACCCAGCAGATCTTGCCAACAATGGTAACACATTGTATGCAATCTGGAACGCGGAATTCCAGATGAAAATTCCCGGACAGGAAGGGACGATGGAAGGGAACGGGATCTTGCGTGTTGTACTCAAGGATGGTAAGGTGGCTGTATGGACGTTCTTTGAGGATCCGACACCATTTGTGGCTATGGCTATGAAGGGACAAATGGGTTAGGTGCTAGGAGAGTTACCTTATTCTTCTGGACGATGGATATTGTTCATTACCGATGATTTTCTACATTCATATCATCTCAATCAGAAAGTTACGGTGCTTGATGAGTTCAATTTGTAATCATTCTCTGACTAGAAAGTTCCATGCAATATTTGGAGAGCTTCGTCTTGTAACTCTTGTTGAAGACTCCACACGGCGCCTCTTTCCTATTATCGAGTATCTTGCTGAAGAGACGGAATGTGACTGGATTGGTGGATGGTAATTCGACATCCTTGTCGAAAGCTGAACTCGAAAGTGATGAGTCTATCTATTTCTGGAGACGAGGCAGAATCTTGGGAGTGAAGGCAGCTTGTGTAGGCCTGATATGGTAGGCAGGATCACAACCCCTAGAGTCGATTGAATGGCCCACTAGTCGATGGATTAAACCTGCAGAAGGGGGAACACAATGGACGACAAACGAAATTTCAAGTGAGAGATATCATGTTTTTGCAATAAGACGACTTGTGAAAAGTAATGAGCGTTGGTGCGTATCAAAAGGTCCATATTCCTCGTCTAGCACGTCTAAGATGGCAGAAAAAAGTGGTTTTGCTAAATGCAAAGCTGTCTAGAATGGGAAAGGGGTATCTGCTCGCTTAAGGACTGCTTCACCACTGTACACTTATACTCTTTGGACATGGTGCTAGAGCAGTGAACAGATAGCTCAAAGTGCATCTCTTCAATAACAAGAGACTCTGCCATTTCCGAGAGATGACAGCGTTTGTTCCATTGAGGACAGGTCTTCAATTGCCGTCAAAAGCCGCTAGCGCAACTTTCGGCTCACTAGTCTAATTGAAGCCCGGCGTCAACGTCGACAATGACCTTCTCAATTTTGCAACAACTCACTTGGAAGACTACAATCATCAAGATTTTAATCTGTGCATAACCTCCGAAGTACCGGATAGCCAAGAAAACAATCATGGCAGACAACAATATTGTTGGTCGGTTGGCATTGATCACTGGAGCTTCGAGCGGGTTTGTTGATCCTCTATTATCGATCGAGCTCACTGACGGCAGCATACAGAATCGGAGCAGCATGTGCAAGAGATCTTGCAGGAAGAGGTGTTCACTTAGCCTTGACATACTCTAAGAACAAAGAAAGCATGGAGAAGATCGTGGCAGATATCAGAGTCTCGAGTCCCGAAGCAGCCAAGTTACGTTTGTCAATCCATAAAGTTGATGTAGGAGTCGTTGATGAGATGAAGAACATGTTCAAAGAGATTCAAGAGCAACATAAAACTCATGTTGATATCCTCGTGTCCAATGCGGGCTATGGAAAGAGGATAGTAGATGTCTGGTCAGTTTGTGCCCCACGTGATCTTGAACCATAGGTCTGATCGAAGCAGGGACATTCCTTTGGAAGAGTTCGAATACACTCTTAATGTCAACCTAAGAGCATCTTTCGTCCTAGTCAAGGGTGTTGTCGAAGGAATGAAAGCACAAAAGTGGGGGAGAATAATCTTCATGTCTTCCATTGCAGCATCTGGTGGAGGAATTAATGGATGCCGTAGGTCAACTGGTCCTCTGGAAGAAAATTGCTTACATTTGGAAGATTATGCAGCATCAAAGGGTGGATTGACTGGAATGATGAAGAACTTGGCTGCTAAATTAGCACTACTCAACATCTCAGTCAACGATGTCGCACCCGCTTTGATCGGAGAGACAGGTATGATTAGTGGTCCGGACATAATCCCTGGCGGTGTGGGTACGATTCCTTTGGGAAGGCTTGGGAGTCCTCAAGAAGTTGCAAATGTTGTAAGCATGCTTGCGACAACAGGTTTCATGACTGGACAAAGTTTATTGATTGCTGGAGGCCTGAAATGAGTCAAGGCACGTCTGTATGGTGCGGGAAGTCAATGAATCAAGTTTCCTACTTCAAACCATAGATAATTATGTTGATGATGATTCTCTCAGGATGTTCCAAAAGCCGCTTCACCTACACACCTTGACTTTACAGACATCGGCTCTAGATAGTACAATATTCAGACGCTGCCTTTCTTTTCCAAGCGGAGACTCATCGGACCCTTCTGGTAGCGTGATAAGTCTGAAGGTTTGCAGCAGTCTCACAATAGTATACGACACTCCCATAAGTACAAAGTCTTCGCCAAGACATTTCTCGGGCCACCACTGATCGGAGCATAAGCCCAGCCAATTTTTGCGAAGCTATCGTCTTCCCACCTCTCAGCAGCGTCTCCGTCAGCCCAGTCACTCCTCAGCCGGGGGATCTGGCTAAGCTGGCTAACTTGAATCGGCTGGCGAAGAGTAGGAAGGCTAATTTTCGGATTCTTTTGGCGAGGCCAAGGAAGGCTAGCATATACTTTTGGCGAAAAGTATTATTTGTAAGAGTTGGGGCCACCGCGAACGGCCCACTCGCCATTTTACACCAAAACGCGCCTCTTTTATTAAATTATATTATTACAACCTTCTTATAAAATTCTATAAAATTAAAAATTCGAATTAAGCTTTATATAAAGTTAATTATATAAAGAACGCGAAAATTTATAATGCATTTTGCAAGAGTTGTTTAGAAGTAAAAAGAGAAAAAGGATAAAAAAGAAGTAAAATCGCTTAATTTATATGTAAATTTTGAATTTTTTAAAAATCTTCTACTTTAGCTACGTATCGTTTCTACAATTTCCTTTCAATTCGATTTTTAAATCGTATAAAATAAATTTTTAATACTAATTTGATCTCCATTCGTTTTCTATTATTTTTTTATTAAAGCATTGTAATAATATACTATTTTGCAAAAGGGGTGTTTTGGTGTAAAATGGTGGGGTGGGCCGCTCCGCTGGCCTCAGCTCTTACTGATCCAATCCGATTATTTTCATCGCTCCATTCATCATAATATAGATAACAAATTGAGAAGATGGCTATTACACAGCCCAGCTGAAATCAGATGGGTCCAAATCCTGAAGAGAATCGCAAAGCATGTTCCAGTCGTCAGCCCAATTGAGAACCCCGTCTGGTGTGGATATTCCAATCACCTCCCCATCCATTCTTACTTTCAGTATAACATCAAAGCAGTATTTCCCACCAAAAACTTCAGCATCCATACCCAAGTATTTCTGCCAAGCTGTTGATACTTTCACAAGCTTCCGTTGATATCGCCAAAACCCGCCGTGGAGCTTCTGGCGATGCCAACCCATTCGACGCAAGTCTTCGATTGCCACAGGTTGGATGTTGACGAGTTTATTTCCTTTCAAAAGTATCAGAGATGCAGTACTATCACTGCTAGTGTCGTCCAAATCCTCCACAAATTCCTGCATGCAACTCTTGAACATAGATCGGAAGTCTTTGATTGTCTGATCTCGTGGCCAGTCTTTGCACTGTTTGGCAAGCTCTGTGTGATCCAGAACGGAGATCGCCCAACTCACATATTCGGGAGACAATTCGTCCTCCACACGTCTCGAGTCCTTGAGTTCTTGCACTAACGTCAAAGTTGGAACAGCCAATCCATTCCTTTTGGCAACGACTCCCTTCACAAGATCCTCGAACAATATACGAAAGTATTGTTCGGCTAGCAAGTCAAAGATCATGCCACTAGGACAGCGGTTTGACAAGAATCGAGCAACCAACTCCCACTCATCCCGCCCTTCCTTATGCACGCTTTCCTTAATCTCTTCCCATAACTCTTCCTGCATGCCCTTCATCATACGCGACATCTGGGTTACCTTGGAGTCTTCTCCAAGACGTCATAACATACACCTCCGACAAACGGATCGATCAATTTGTCACTGTGGTTGTTGTGGGAATCGGGACCGTCATGCTCAATGCGCCAATGTGGATTCTACAGGCGGTACCGAATAACAATCACAAGTTGGCGGTCATTACGACTTTCATTGTCGTGTTTCTGGGGATGTTGAGTTATGCGACGGTTGCGAAGCCGTTTGAGACACTGGCAGCTACTGCTGCGTAAGTTTGCTCTGTTCGTCATAGTGGTGACAATTGTGAATGGAGTACGGTGCTAATTCAAGGCGATTTTAGGTACTCTGCTGTGCTTATGGTATTTTTGCAACTTGGGAGCTCGCCTAGTTGAGCTTTAAAGATATCATACTGTCAGTAAACAAGTTATCAAATATACACCTTTCAACGAGTTCGAATTTTATTGAAAATAAAAAGCATTTAACACGGTTTAAACGTAATAAGAAGCTCCTAATATCAGCTCAGGACTATATTTAACTATTAAATGAGATGGCTTTATTTCTATTCTTAAGCAATAGAGAAATATACTTGTAGTTATTAGGAGGAACGTGGGATATGGCTCGGGCAAATTTCGGTAAGGAAACTGTAGCCGGGGCATATATGAGGCCGAAATAGTCTCTAATTGGTGCGCAGACTAACTCAGGCCATGCTCAGGCACGCTCACCATTAGCTCATGTAAAAGCAACCGCTGCTCACGTCCGGAGACTAAAATGGAATCAGCAAAAGCAAAAGTTAATCCTGAGTATAAGAGTATTTAAACCATTGTTTCGCACAGGTAGGCGTCTCCCTAGTTAAGTCTTTCGTTCTTCTCAAGTGATATCTTTTCATTTCACTCATGTGCTACAGCAGGAATTTGGGACATAAAAGTCGCACACATAATAATATGATAGTGTGAAAAGCAAAAAACGTTGAATTAACTAAAATTTAGGGCTAAAATCTCTTAAACACTACGAACACTTCGCTCTGAATCGATTCAAAGTGAAGGTTTTACAAGCTTCACAGCCTGTGGTATTGGAACGCTTTCGAGAGGCTGCAAGAAGCTCTCATAAGGCTCCCGAAGTGGCTTACAACAGTTGCAACTGCATTGCATACGTGGGATCATATAAGCCAATCACCGCCAGCCATGCCATGCACTTGCGGCTCCAGCATCCGCATGCAACTTGGTGGTTGCCTCACCAAAGATCAATCGATTCTCACTATTTCCTTTCAATTCTAAAGATGAAGTAGATCCTAGGATAAGAAGCTTCATGACATCGATCTGCATACCATACTCCATAAGCGATTGCCTTCACCACACGCCGTGTTTGCATCTGCACTCCAGCTCAGAATTATCCCGACGAGGCTCCTAATATACCTTCACCACACAGGCACCTGGATCAACTTACTTCTTGAGGAAACTATCGATCCTTTTTCTGTTTCTCGTAAACAGAAGCTTGAATGGATCCACTGACAGCGATAGGTCTCGCTTCAGCGATTGTGCAGTTCGTCGACTTCAGCACAAAGCTAATCGATGGGGCGCGAGAAATCCGCGACTCGGTCGTGGGAATGACCGAGGAGAATAGAAGTTTTAGATTCGTCGTAGGTGAGATGAAGGCTTTGTCATCGAAATTGCTTCCTTCAACTAGTTCCCGAAAGACAGAGGATGAGAAAGCTCTCTGCCGCGTCGCAGCAGAGTGCAATATTTTGGCAGATCAAATGCTCTAACTTCTAGAGAAAATCAGGCCTAAGGATCCTAACTCTAAACGCCAAAGTGTTCTATCGGCGATAAAGAACAAAGTGCATGAAAGAGAGAAGCTAGAGCTGGAGAAAAGACTAAGCAGTTGTCGCGGCCAACTTCACCTACAGCTCAACCTCTTAGCAAGGTGAACGCCACATTCTGCTATGAAATATATATACATTGACAGTTATACAGCACAAAAACGAAAAATAGATTGAAGTCTTTGCTCTTGTCTGCAGAAAGCGATGCAATGAAATTTGAACAATTGCAAGCTCATATGAGCGAACTCCGCGCTGGGCCAAACATGAGTTCAATCGGTTCCGAAGCACAGATTCAACTACGAGGGCTTTTGTCTTTGTCAGAAGACGTTTGTCAGGTGATTTCTCAGCAACGAATACTAAAAGGCCTCGCTTTTGAAGACATGCATGGAAGGTTTGAAGCGGTCGATCCTGCACATTACAAAACATTCAAATGAATTTTTGGTGATGATTTTGAAAGTGAAGATGAATGGTCTTCTGAGGACGAAAGCGAGGCTGACTCCGAAAATGGAACTGGGGACTCTTCCGAAGGAGCAAACGATTTCTCCAACAACAAAGACCCAGCATCTATAGAAATCGACGAGCAATCTTCCATAGAAGAGTCGGACGAAGAATACTCCGGAAGAGCAGTTATCAGAGACCGGGACTCACAAGAACTGGGACTAGGAGGAAGACGTGACTCTATTTGCAGCAAACCATTTGTGGACTGGCTAGCATCAGGAAACAGGTTCTTCCATGTCTGCGGTAAGCTAGGCTCTGGAAAATCAACTCTCATGAAATTCCTCTGTGACCACAAGCGTACTCAAGAGGAACTTGAGAAATGGGCAGGTGGTACGTACATACTCAACACTTTTTACTAGAGTTGGTAGCTTCAATTTCTAATCTTGCTGACCGCGAGTACTGATATATTTCCATAGACGATAGAAAGCTTGTATTTGCAAAGTTTTTCTTCTGGAGACCAGGCTCTATGCTACAGAGGTCTATCAGTGGCCTCCTCCGATCCCTTCTGCATGATACCTTAAAAGTCTGCCCCGATCTCATCTCCGCAGTTTTACCAGATCAGTGGAACAATGTGAAATCTATACCTTGGCAAATGCAGCATGAGCCTGAATTCGGAAATCAAGAAACAAGATCGGCTTTCACTCGACTCATCGAAAACCGAAATATGACCAGACACCATCGGTTCTGTTTTTTCATTGATGGTCTTGATGAGTACGAGGAAACGCGACAAGAAGACTACAAAGATCTTCTTGACCTGCTTTCCAAATGGACCGAAGCAGCACCAGACGACGTCAAGCTTTGTGTTTCAAGCAGGGAGGATAACGTATTTGTGAACAATTTCTCCAGTGAACAGAGAATTCGTCTTCAAGATCTCACAAAAATGATATACATTACTTTATTCGAGAGAGGCTGGCAACTTCCCCCACCGAAGAATACCACGACTTGGTGAATTCGATAACCAAAAAAAGTAATGGCATCTTCCTCTGGGTGGTCTTGGTGGTGAAGAGACTACGTGCATGCTTGGATGATGGCTTTGAACTCAGTGCTCTCGAAAAAGAAGTTGACTCCCTCCCGGACGAACTTGAAGCGCTTTTCGAGTATCTGCTGAATTCGCTTAGCGACCCTAGTCGAAAGAGGGCTTACCAGATCCTTTCTATTATGCTATTATTAGGAGATTATGACCTGAAGTTGTCGTTGATGGCTTGCTCTTTTATAGAGGACTATCTGCAAGATTCTCAGTTCGCCATGGGAACCACTTTCGCGCATACGAACTTAAGCAGTTAGTACTACTGTAAAGATCAGGACTGACCTGACGCTGAAAAGGGTTAATGGCTATTGCAAAGGTCTGCTTTCATCCAGCCATGGCTACTATGAGAAGTTGGGTGTGACTGCTGTGGTATTGTCGATTAATTTTCTCTTTCTCTGACTTCGCTTTCGGTTAGTGAGCTTGCCTCCAGTCACTGCTTGAAGGACTGGGCAGTATACCTTAGGGTCATCCAATAAGTCATTCAGAGACAGCGTTCTCAGATGCCCAACCACTCCACAGCCAGGCCCTAGGCTAGGTTTGGCGGATCTGATTGGCTGGCGCGGCGTAGGAAGGCGGGTCTAAATTGAGCCTTTGGCGAGGCTACGACAGGCTGACATATTCGTTTAAGGTTACGTGAAAACGCACGCGACACCTGGCGCCTAATGCCTGCAGCAACGCCCCGACCAGAACCCGAACTCTCTTCCTCAGACTTCCTCTTCAACCACATAGGGCAAAAGTCTTCGAATATCCCCATTCCCCCTGACAATGACAGACGTAATGATATACCCTCTGGAAATAGAGACGTCGGTCAATATATGCAACTCAATTGACTGGCCCGGAGCCATCGGAGTCTAAAGCGCGTCCTCCTCACCACAGGCGCAAAACAATACGGCGTCCATCTTGGCCCCGTCAAATGCCCCATGCAAGAAGACGACCCCTGGATCGAAGGCAAGGGCCGCCCTCCGAACTTCTACTATACGCAACAGCGGATCTTACACTCTGCTGCAGAGAAGGAGGGGTGGGAGTGGGTGGTCACGTATCCGAATGATGTGATCGGTGTCGCGCGGGGCAATTTCATGAATCTGAGCACCTCACTTGGAATTTATGCTGCAGTGAGCAAAGAGCTGAATAACGGGGAGTTGGAATTTCCCGGTTCAGAGACATTCTACAATATGTTTGATTGCTTTACATCTTCTCGACTTCATGCTGCGTTTAATCTCTGGGCGGCGCTGGAGCCGGGGTGTCGGAATCAGGCGTTTAATGTGGTGAACGGGGATGCGGAGACGTGGGCAAATTTGTGGCCGAAGGTGGCGAGGAGGTTTGGGTGTAAGGTGCCTGCGAGGCAGTTTGAGAGAGAGACTCCGGATGCGAGTGAGATGAAGCTCGCGGAAGTGCCGCCCTTTGAGGACTTGGCTGCTGTGAATGGGATGAAGGGAAAGGTTCCGCAGGGAAAGGTTTCCCAGCGGATTGATCTGGTGAGGTGGTGTCAGAAGAAAGACGTGAAGGATGCGTGGGCTAAGATTGCGGAGAGAGAGGGTGTTGAGAAGGGTGCGTTGGAGAAGGCTACTTGGGGATTCTTGGGGTTCGTGCTTGGGAGGGAGTACAATATCGTTATCAGCATGTCGAAGGCGAGGAAGTTTGGCTGGACTGGGTATGTTGATACCTGGGAGTCTTTTGAGGAGACTTTTGATGAGTTGGAGAAGGAGAAGGTTATACCTGAAGCTAAGTAACTTGATCAAAAGTTTGATTTATACATGGAAAAGTTGGCGTGGCATTGAATAAAAAGGTTCGTCATCCCAATTTACGATATTTCGCGTTTTGTTTGGCGTTATGAAGCAGGCCTCCCCCTGTTCCCCCGCATTGACCATCCCCGCATCTTCTTCCCTTTCCTCTCTTGCACGACGATAATCAGGTCAAACTAAGCGTGATGTATGCAATTATGTAATTCTATATTCGTATACGTGAAAGCTAGACATACCGGAGTAACTCTGTAGAAGGGCTTTTTTTTTTTAATTAACTTTTTCCTCTTTTATTATTTTTCCTTATATATTGTCACGAGTCCACGTTCAAGCCTTGGAGAAGCGAAAAACTGTCTCTATTCAGACGATTCATGTCAGGGCTTGTAGTCAATACAAATGGTTGAAGCTACAGAGGCTATCTATGTATAAGAAGATTCGACTGCCGATCAAGTAAGTATTTCTCCTACCCTTTATACTAGAGAACCCGTTACGTGTCCTTGGCGGGCAACATGTTGCTAGCGCATTCCAACTACTACTCGGGCATTCCAGTTGCCTACAAGTTGGTCTATGCGTCGCCGGAGCATTCCCAGACTACTTCACGGGTGAAACTAACCGATCTGCTTCTCCCTAGATCTCTGGGGTCGAGGATACAGCGATACGCCGCTTGACTGTAGGCATGATGTCCGTCTGTTTGCATCCCAGATACTGCTAGCGCTCATGTCATCGCCTCTCTCATGGATGGGAAATAGCAACACCTTCTTTATCGTAGCTTTTTCCCTGGGCGGGCTGATCTCCTTGGCATTCACTGGCGCCTTCCCCGAATCAGTTCGATCGTTGGTCCTTCTCGGGCCAGCAGGTCTTATTCGCAAGCGACCGGATGGCTACGACGACAATTACATGCATCAACCCAAACTTGCCCCGTCACTGGAATCTCTCCGTGAAAACGTGCGACAAATCCTCGGGGCGATCCCATGTGGCCCGGCTTTGAACATGCAGACGGACAAGAAGCGAGTCGTCTCGTCGGAGCAGGGGCCTCCTCGAGTAGAGAAGAGCTTTGACATAGGAGGCATCATTCAGTGGCAGTTCGATCATCATCAAGGCCACATTCATTCGTTCCAGGACACTGTACGGTACGGCCCACTACAGAAGAGGGAAGATTTGTGGGGAAAAGTCTGCGATATTATTGCCGGCCGAACACGACCCGACTCTGCCCTGCATAATACCAAGTTGCTCGTCTTCTTTGGTCGAGACGATGATGTTGTGGTTGGAGAGGAGACGACTGAGGATATCCTGAAGTTGTTAGGTCGAATACCTACCAGGTGGGCATGGGTTCCCCTGTACCCGAACAGTGAAAAGATCACTCAGACGATTCTTTCATTCCAACGTTCTAAGCTTTCCGAAGCCTAGATTTGGAAGCACGAAGCTGGAATTGAATCATGTTTACGTTTATATGCCGCGGCATGACGGCCTCCTAGTTTGTGGTCAGGGGTGCGGTGTGCAGTTTTGGAATGAGCCCTAAGAGAATAGACACGTTCTAATGCATAAAACCGTTCTAGATTTCTGTTCAACTTCTCTTTTACATCTGTTCTAGTCCATACGTGAACACCTGCTGTTTATGAACTAACCCCCCGCCATTCATGAATAGCGAGGTGTTTATGTATAGCACCCCCTATTTGTCAACTAGCCCTGCCATTCACAAACTTTTAGAGCTTTTTCAACTACCTATAGCTAAACAGCGCCACTAATAAACAACTCGGGAATAAGGCCCTAGTCTCAACGCCTTCAGCACTTCAACACTCCAACACCTCAGCACCTCAGCACCTCTAGCACCTCCTCTAGTGCAAAAGTCTTAGAATACTAAGGTGCTAAAGTGCTGAAATGCTAAAGTGCTAGAATACTAAGCTCAAATCAAAAGCTTATTTCCGGGCGGTTTATAAATAGCGCTATTTAGCCATGGCTAGCTCGATATATTCTGATTGTTGATAAATGGCAAGGCTAGTTAATAAACAAGGAGTGCCATACGTAAACACCCCGCCATTCATGAATAGTACATGCTATTTGTGAATAGCAAGAGCCCCGTTCATAAACAGCAATTGTTAGCGTATAGACTAGAACACATCACTCGCTCGTAAACTCCGTCACACGGTGAAAAAGATGGAATGTCATTTAGATTTGGAGTCGTCCACAATACACGCTGATTTGGTTCCCGATTTTAAGTTTATACACACCACCCGCGCGCTGTTTGTGAGAGGCGTTACAAAGTGAGAAATCAGTCATCAAAATTCAATTCCCCTGTCTCTAAGAGCATTGCTCATAATTGTCTTAACGATTACCTTTTGCAGGATTGGAATTATCTGCTTGTCCTTGGGTTCGGCCAGATGCGTGACCATCAGGTGAGAGTGATTGACCTGATCAAAACGACCGAGGACATACTGGCAAACCTCGTCCACATTGTTACCGCCGGAATAATCAGGGAAGTATCTTGGTGTCTTGGGCACTTACTGGGTTCATTTCCTATCATCAACCAGGACACTACAAACTTATGGTGCTCTTCTTGGAATATGGAATATTTCCTGGACTTAGTTTGCCTACTCAGATCTGGGATCAAAGTTTGGCTATCTGGCACGAAATCATTTTAAGTCGTGTGTTTGTCGATTTCAATGTGTACCACAAATTGTTCGGTGAAATGATTGAGGCGTATTTGCGGCGTGGTGCAGACTCTAACTTAGAACTGTACATCCCCGAAGAAAGCTGCGCAGAGATTATGGAAAAGATTTCGGTGGGCAAGCTGTTCAGGAATACTTTTGATTTCGAGGTAAGAACAGGGAACAATGTTTACGAGGCTTCAAAAAGGAGGTCCATTATCAGAGTTACACGAGAGTTCCACTTTATCTTCAAAAGGGGAGGGAAAGCATCACTCCGAGACTTAATTGAGTTCTGGGCATTCGAAAATGAAGAGGCTATTCTGCGGATGATGGATAAGAACCTCCAACAACTTGAACTGGAGCCAACGACTATGCCGCAGGACGAGCAGGAGCAGGCAGAAGAGAGCAGTACGATGCAACCTTTAGAACGCATTACTCCTAAACCGAAGGATCCTTCTCAGCTTCAGTTGGAATTCGACTCAACAGAAGATAAACAACAGAAAGAAGCTGGGAAATTTGAGGTGGTCATTTCGGAACTCGCACGAGTCTCGAAGCCGCCAACTGGCTTGTTTGACTTGCTACAAGGGTGGATGACTTTGCTTGCTGCTTTCTTTTCAGGTATGTATAGTCCGCAAGAGTACGAAAAGTGTTTCGAGGTTGCTTACTTGTCACACACAGGTATTCTGGTAGCTGTATTGTTACCTCGATTAATGAATTTTTGGAACGGCGACGTGATATGGTAGCAAGGGTAGACAGCTGGATCACAGGTATTTAGGTGGGGAGTTCTTCGGTCTGGGATCCCTGTGATCTTATTCGGAATTATGTAGGCTTCAGACATTACCTGTGACGTTGTTCTGCGAATTTGAAGTCCCTTGCGGAGAGCTAAATTTCTTCCATTGGCTCAGGGTGCATAAACACAGGTCTCTTCATTTTCCAAAATATCATGAATGCTGAGAAAATAGCTAAGCTCAAGTTAAGCAATGGCAGAATCGTAAGCGACATGTTCAATATTTTCAGTTATTCTCGGAGAAACGTTTTCTGATTCCTCGTAATTCTCTATGATTACACAGACCGACACAGATTGAGCGCCGATGGATGAAGGAGATACACAAAAGCTTTAAGTTGCACCATATGGGAAAGTGACTCGAGCCAAACATGATGCCGATCCATTGCGGATAGTTGACTGAAATTCGTCTCTAAGAAATGTTCAAAGCTGTTCTTGGTCGCATGCAGAGTACTCTGCTTGTGTAACTCTTTCTATTCTCCTCGCTTCCCGGAGGCCAGCGCTGCCTGACGCATCTGTGAGAGCCCCGGTCCAATATATGCACGTCTGACTCCGTTACCTGTACGACCATGCATAATATCTTGTTTCTCTCGTTTCGTTCATGCTACCTTTGGCTGCTAATTTCTTATTTGCGGCTCTTTCCTTGTCTTCCATGTAGAACTAGATCTCATTGGCAATGAAATTGTTTAAGGCAGCACTGCCGCTCATGCAATGCAAACCCCAATGTTCTCTTGGCCATCAGCCTAAACTAAGCCCCAATCATCTCAATCTTGGCGGCAGGACAAGAAACTGGGATCTCAGGCTGCCTTTAACAGACATTCTCTTTAAATTTGCTCTCTATAGTGTTTTCAGTGCCTTAGATGAAGGCGGAAAAAGCTGTCGCTTTGCTAGTTAAGATAAAGCGAATAGTTCTGTCAGGGATGGCTTATTTCTACGACAGCGGACAGTATAGTATACACAGTATATACAGCAAGGAGCCGATCTCTGACGCTCGAGAAAGCGGGGACCTCCAATGCCGGAGCCCCAATCTGCATTACGGACTGCAAGTTCCCGAGACAAGGAATAGCCTTACTTTCAGATATAGCACGCGAACTTGTCGGGTTCCACAACATGATTAAAACACCCGTCTGCAGATGTGGATGTAACCCCGCAGTCATCTTATCGCGAGGCTCCGAGTACGTTTGCTTAAGACACTGCTTTCTCGCTGCAGAACTCGAACAAATGAATATTTGGTCGTCATGGAGCCTCCAGATTTCCCTCCGAAAGTCGATATTTTATCTGAAATATATCAGCCATTACCAGAGGTGATAGATAATGTCGATTGGGGTGGACTTGATGCATCTAAATCGACACAGCAGGTAATAAGAGACTTATCGTCAGCATTGGAACAAGGCAGTACCCCTTTGGCGAATCTCTTCCTATCTCATGGATCCTACTGGAAGGACACTCTTGCAATAACCTCCCATCTAAGGACCTTCAAGGAGCGTGAAGTGATTGCACTCGCTCTGAGGGAGCAGAATCAACATCGTCGCATTTACGAAATTACTATCACTCCAGGGTCAGCACAAGTTGTAGTTGCAAGCGAGACGCTGGTAAGTTTAGGTCACTTGCTTTAATTTTCCTCCCTCCAATGTCTTGCCTTTGTCGATTACGAACACTGACCTTTAACTTACTGTAGAAATGGCTAGAATGCTTCTTCACATTCAAAACTACCGAGCCTCAAGCAAGCTGCGGCGGCAGGGTGATGTTACTTCCCCAGGTTTCCGAAAGCGGCTTGGTCCGCTGGAATATTTGGACTCTGTCCACTTGGCTCTCGGATTTTGACTTGTATCCCGAGGACGAGCAGCTCCTGCGCGCCCCATTCAAGCCCTTGCCGTCGAGTGAGGAGGACCACATGACTACCGACGTTCTCATCATTGGTGGAGGAAATGCGTGAGTCCATCATACATCACAGGTTCTGGTGGGTGGCCAGGAGAAGAAAACTGACTTGAATCCCTTGATATTAGGGGCGTAATTCTTGCTGCTCGCCTGAAGGCACTGGGAGTCGACTACTTGATCATCGATCAGAATGAGAATGTGGGCGACAACTGGACGCTCAGATATGATTGCCTTCGTTTCCACGTAGGCAAGTCATTTTGCGAGTTGCCATATCTGCGTATGTCCTTCCAGATCATCTGTATATCGAGAAGAAGACAAGTTAGACCAGTTGTACTAATCAGATCTGATCGCCCCAGCATATCCCAAGGATGCAACAAATGGTTTGACTCGAGAAGAGCTAGCCGCTCAAATCAAACGCTTCGTTGATGAGTTTCACCTCCACGTGCTCCATTGCACTACAGTCAATGCAACCACGTTCGATAATAGAAGTAAGTCATGGACGATCAAGTTGCTTCGTAATACCGTCGAGAAGACCGTTACGTGCAAACACCTGGTTCTGGCTACTGGTGTGGGCTTTCAAGGTCCTTACATGCCAAAACTTCCCGGCATTGAAAAGTATGGAGGCATCAATATACACTCTACCAGTTATAAAAACGCAAGTCTGCTCGCTGAGGGAGGTGTCAAGGTGAGTCAATCTTTCTGTTCAAGTGCCTTGCCTTCAGCGGAGACTTCGACTAACTCATGGTCCCTTTTCAGTCCGTCCTAGTTATCGGATCAGCCAACACCGCTTTCGATGTCATGGAAGACTGTTATGATGCCGGACTCAAAACAACCATGATACAGCGCTCTCCGACTTATGTGATCCCCATGTCTTCCCTCCTCCACCCAAATGGCCTCGGAGTCTTCGACTACGTGCCAGCCGAGGTGGGCGATGTGATCACCCAAGCAGGTCCTCTGGCCGTAGGAGGACCGCTGCTAGGTCTCACACATGCCACATTGGCAGCTGCCGAGCCGTGAGCTTTCTTGTTATGAACAAAGACGTTCAGCAATTGACGATTAATAGGGAAAGGTATGCCAATCTCGCTAAAGCTGGATTCCAAGTGACCGACTGCACTCAATCCGACTTAGTGCAACACCTACTTGAACGCTGCGGTGGCCACTTTGTCGATATTGGTACTGGGGTGGAGTTGCTAGCCACCAAAAAGGTGGGCATCAAGTCAGGCGTTTCACCCACGTCGTACACAGACAACGGCCTGGAGTTTACCGATGGAAGTACGCTAGATGCAGATGCTATTATTTGGTGTACCGGCTTCAAAGGGATAGATATTCGCCAGGGCCTTCCCGAGATACTAGGCGAAGGGGCAGAAGTAATCAAGAACAAAATGGAGGCTACCTGGGGTGTGGATGCTGAAGGAGAAGTTCGTGGTTTGTGGAAGAGACATGAGTACGTGGATAACTTCTGGATCTTCTGTGGTGGTGCAGCTCAGCATCGGTGGTACTCGAAGGTGGTGGCGTTGCAGATCAAGGGCATGTTGGAAGGCATTCTACCTGATGCTTATAGGGATGTGCCTGCTTCAAATTTTCAGTAGGAATGCGAATGAATTGGTTGCGCAGACATACAGAGATGAGTTCTGTGACGATGATCTTGGTGATTTGTTAATAAGGAATGCCACCACTTGAAGAGGGAGGAGTTCAGGATACTTCTTCGGAAGAACTGACAGAAGGGGGGAAAAGATTTTTGAGTTGCATAACCCCTCCAGGAATATCAGAGTAAGTGATATTCGCCCTTTCCGTTTATTAGACGACATGAATCAAGTGGGGACCTCTACTTCCCTCACTGCTACCAAACAACAGCTGTCGATCCAATTCCGAGCATTCCAATCGATCCCAAGCAGACGCTTCAACATCACCCTTGACCATCCTCTTCTTCCCACCCTTCTTGTGATACTGCGCAATGAAACACCCAATCCGCCTATATTCCCCTCTTGCTTTGTACGTAGGCTGAACCACAAGTCCCTCATACCCTCCACTATCATCTTTCCTAATCGGCACATAATACGACGGCACCCTGCTGACTTCAAGGTAATCGAAGAACGACACTCGTCTCATAAAGCAATCTCCAATCTTCACTAAAGTCGGCGTCTGCCCTCCAACTATACCAGGGAACAGACCCTTACACTGCAACTTCAGAACCCCCTTCTTGACTTGCCCGAAAGGATCCGAACTCGCGAGACTCATCTCAACATCAAGAACCTTCACCACCAGCGCGTTCTCAATGTCTCGATACTTGGCACCAACCTGAATATCATTCGCAGTACTAGCCCACGACCAAGTGGGCGCCATATACTGCTCCTGCGGCTTCCTACCCCTCGAAACCGTAATCCAGCAAAGCTGCCTCTCGATCCCCTCCCTCCACAAACCCGCCACGTACTCCCCACCGACAGTGATCTGCCTCCTCTTCGCTACTCCCGAGATCGCGATCAGTTTATCGCTCCAGAAAGTCAGTTTGCAAGGTGCGTATTCCTTGATCGTTTCATCCCAGAATGTGTCTGCGTGGGGAGAAGATTGGATGTTGAAGAATGAAGAGACTTTATCCACGCCTTCGGTCTTCCATTCTTCTGCGCCCCAGGTTTGGCATTGCCATGCGAGGTGCGTGCTAGTGAAGAACAGGACGCGGGGAGAGAGGCGGCGTTCTTGGTATGCCCAAGCGCGAGTTGAGAGGACGAGACGGGAGAGAGCTACGCTCCAGTGCTGGAAGGGGATTACGTCGAATGTTGTCGAGTTACCGATATATAGTTGACAGAGACGCGGAGCAGGAAGTTGACGGTCGTAGAATAAGCCCTGACTGCCGTCTTCGGAACTGGATGCTGCGAGGGTGATTTCGGAACAGCCGTAGACTGCAGACATTTTGACTGCTTCTCGCTCCCAATCTTGGGCGTCGTCCTGGATTATGCAGAGGCTGTCTATCCAGATATACTCCAACCCGAGCTCGGTGAGGACTTTCAGGGAGTCTTGAAATGTTCGACTGAGTTCGGAAATTGGGACGCTGGTATGAAAGGTCTCGAAGTTCTCTTTCAGCAGTCTAAGGATTTTGATCTTGCCCCAGCAGTGACTCAATGCTGCATACGGGGTCTTGGTGTCCAGCTTCGTTGTGGAAACAAGTTTCAAGACGCCCTCCTTGAAATGAAGTAAACGAGTAGGTAATGATCTCTCAACATCCTCTGAGCATCTATTATGCGAATGTTTGCATTTTCCAAGCCATTCTCTAGCCTTGTTCATCGCATGAACGCTTCTAGTGGATGAACCTCGCAAGGTCAATGAAGGTAGGTTCTCTGTGAATAATGGTCAGCAGATGTGTTTCAAGTCCTGAGTTGAAAGCTAATACTAGGGTCCATTTTTACCCCTGGAATGAAGTCCATAGCACTCCTCCACTCATCATTTTCTCCAGCATTGAAGAATACTTTCCATCCTACCCGTTGTCTCTCAATAGAAACCCAAACCCTCGGATCAACGTGCGATTCTTGCTGCAGTTTATACTTGATAGCCAGCAATAACAAATCACAAAATGCACACCCGTTCGCAGCTGCACTTGCAATCCTCGGGAAGGTTGTCTCGTATCGGTAGATATTGAACTTCTCATCGCGAATATCCATGTCGATATATTGTCCCCAATCAGGAAAGGTCCATTGACAGTCTTGACAGAACTTGGTATCGTTTTGTTCGCTGTAGACCTCCCAGTCTGATGCGATGTAATAGGACATAGATGCGTCAACTCTCACTTCAGGTAATGTAGTACCATCTGTTGTGATGCTCCCTGGACGAGTAGATGATTGATCTTGTGGTCTGAAGGGGAGGCCATCCACATTCGATCTCTTCATTTCGAGACTGTTGTTAGGTACTCCTCTCAATCATCGAAGACAGGATTCTAGTGATGTAAAGAAGATTTAACCTGCGAAAAAGCCAAAGTTGACATAAATCATTCCCTCCGCACAACCAGTACTCGAGTCTCTGAAGTAACCTTGTACTTCGAGAAGCTGAAACCAGCGAGGCGCAGCAGTATTGGCGCGCGGCTGTGTAGATCCTGGGGTATGGAGAATCACTTGATTAAAGAATCAACAAAGCTCGAACGAACCAGAGACAGGAATTTGAATTGTCGAAGGGACCAGAAATGGTAATCTATTTCTCTCTCATGCAGCCCACGAATGCAAAGTGCCTATGCTAGACAGTACTATCAAACACCCCCAACGCCCAGCATATGTACTATGACAATAACGATTCCAGAACAGAGTACTGTACTCCGACCAAGCAGCCATGCAGCCTATAAACACCAAACAACTGTACATGCAACAGCATTATATACCAACAATACAGAGGTACGGAAGCTTAGCTTCGTAATCGCTGCTGCTCTGACTCGTCCTCACTATCAGCTTCCTTCAGCGCGAGTCTCTCCCGCTCACTAGTACTAGCACTCCCAACAACAGTTGGGCTACTCTCTCCATCAAACATGGGATCGTAGTCCTTGTTGACTTTCTTCGAATGACTCTTTCCCGTTCCAGGTCTGCTACTGCTGCTGTTCCCTCTCTTTGTCTTCGCTGATGCCTTAGCCTTAGTCTTCAATTCGTCGGCCTTAGCCAAGACTTCGTCATCCTCGTCCCCAGAATGAATCTCATCGCTACTACCACTCGTTGGGTCTTCATATCGTCCTTCATGGCCCTGATCAAAACTGTCATCTCTGTCCACATCCGGTATCCTCTCGTGGTCCGGTTTCTGGTTCTTGATGAACGAATCGATGATGTAATATTGGGTTGCGTTCATGATAACTGGGAAGACCAGCATAACAAAGACAACTTGTAGCACTTCGTCGCCTTCCGTCCATCTTAATGCCCAGTCTCCTATGCGTGATATCCAGGGCAGGAGCAGGAAGATGATCAGGACGCAGATCTTCATGCCCATGAGACCAATGAAGTAGATCATCGACTGCTTGCACCACCACCATGTTCGAGGCGGGTTGCCATAATTTCCTGACTCGATCGATTCGCGAGGATTCCCAACAGGAGTCATGGCGAAGAGGGCAGTAAGGATACGAAGGAGGAAGATGAGGATTGGGATACCGATCGTAGTCTGTCAAACGTTAGCCATAGCGTCCAACAAGATCCCATGTCAAACTTACATCGATCGCCAAATTCAGCAGATAGAAACTACAAGGATTTGGCTTATAATTCCCCTGTGAATCCACCATCCTCCTCTGGATCCCTCGTGTCGAAACCGTCGCTACGTCAAGCGCTATGCTGAACTGCCCGCTCGAAAGCATGCTCATGAGCAGATTCGCAATATGCACCAATACACTTCCCACAACCTGTTTCGAGACATCGAAAAACCAAATCTTCAGCGGCCGTTGTGGTCTCTCTCTCCATCGTTTGTAGACCAGTGCCAATAATGCCAACAAGCCTAGTGCACCTTGTACAAATATAGCAAAAGGTCCAAGCAGTCGACACTCGCCGTTGTCTGGTGGTGGCGACTTGTCCCCATCGTGTGAAAGCGAGATGGCTGTAGCAGCTATGGCGCCTGCTGTTGTTGTCAGAGAAGGCATTTCGGCGGTTATAGAAGTCGCAGTCGCTATCGCAGTCGAGAGGAGTGTAGGTGTAACATTTTCGAGGAGAGAGGCGAGGGTGGGCTCCAAGCCCGGCGGGGGAAGCATGAGCTATGTAGGCACTATCTAGCTGCAGATGTTTGGTTCGAGAGGAGAGGTTATGTTTGGCTAGCGGGTTCGACGTGTTATAAAGAGGTCATTCGTGGTGGACTTGAGGTTGTTTCGCACTGGGCTGATATTTGAATCAGGGTCGTCTCGATTGGGTCATTAGTGTGAATCTGTGACGCAGGCGGCTCCAAGGTCCCAGATGCCAACAACAATATCTTGAGGTGGAAATATCGACACAGGATTATGTTGAGAGGTCAAGTAAAGTCGGTGGGAGGCGACAATACTGATGACATGGTGTAGAAAGAAAGGTGTGTAGCCTGGATTGCGGCTATGTGCTGAAGGCTGTGAGGCTTGGGCCGTTAGTTGGAGGCGAATCTTGGACCTTTTCAGCCTAGTATGCACCTTAATTTTAGACACTTCACGTGATGGGCATTTTTGGACCTCCCGTCTTGATAATGGTCAGCCAAATGTTGCAAGCTGACTTCCTACCAGCCAAATGGTCATGATTAAGTTGATGAAATTATCATACTCTTATTGAAGACATTAGCCATTACAGGGGAGTCTTGAAGGCTACCAAGCGAACCGAGATCCCCAAAGCCGACCGATGCAGCGGGGTCTTAAGCAGCAGGCTGACGAGTAAGATTTTAGCTGATCGGAATCCTCTATCGTGGCTTGCAGCTTGGGGATTTTCCGCGGCAATCGTATCACAAGAGGGAAAGTCCTGACTTCTACAGTACAGAACTTCGAATCACTTCGTGTGACTTCCCTTGGGCATGATTACCCAGGTATCAACTTATCACACCACAAGTCTTGGCATAGCACCATATCACAGATTCATGAAGCAATCGCGTGTTGTAAAGCATCGCATAGCGTTATCCATCGTAGTCATGGTTGTTGTCCCACATCAGCAACGATCAAGCAAATTCCCACCCAACACTCCTGCTCCCGCCTCCCAAAGCAACTTCCATAAACCCATGCCATGCCGCCACCTATGTAATAACAACAACGTAGAAAGGAAAAGTGTTCAGCAGCCATGCCACCATCGATTGTCCATAATATCAAAGCCTCGCGAGAGTTGTGGAGTCGCAGAGCAGGCGGGCCGAGGCTGAGAGAGAGGAGATCTAGTTGGGGCAAGACTAGATGAATTTGTTAGCATAGAACGATCTGATCAACAGTTGCTCAAGCCAAGGTGGCTTCAGTTGAACGTGAGAAAAGGCAAAGCGAATAAGTGGGGTACATACAGCTCCGCAAGAAGAGCAGGTCTTGTCACTTTGGCCGGTAGCGCCGCACTTGGGACAATCGGAGCCGTGCATGTTTGCTTGTAGTACTTGTTTTGACTTGTAGTCGTAGAAACTTGTTGATTTGAGTATGAAAGAGACTTTGTTTGGTTTGTTGAAGAGTTGTCGAAAGGTTGAAGTATCATGTAGTGGAAGGAAGAGATAAGAAGGGATAAGCAATGCGGGGCTACAGAGCCTAAGCTAGCCGATAGGCCTATAAAAGGAAGGCACGTGTGTGAGTGGTCTTGTGAGTGGATTTCTTTCTGTCGGTAGAAAGATAATCCTGCGGAAAATCTTTGGCAGGTAGGGGTTGGAAGTGTGAGATGACGCCCGAACTTAGAAGGGACAAAAGTATCAGGATTCACCGAGTACAGTTTTCCAAACTTCCACTTGGAAACTCAAAAGACGTAGTTGCTACCTTCAAGCACAATCAAGTATCAAACTCAATGATGGTGGAGCGAGTTTCGGTGCTTGTAAATGCTCCGCTGTGAGGCAGAAGCAAATGTAATCAATTTGGCAAGCTATCACGAAGTGATGACCAGGAAAAGAAGACCGCGAGCAATTCAGGCAAATTGTCATTGAGACATCCGACCACCATTCGCACTGCTATTCGCAGTTCGAATCCGTCCCCCGAACGCCTTATTTCGAAAACCAGCCCTTGACGAACCCAAAGAAAGATGTGTTCTGAGCAACAGAAGTACTTGAACGACGACGCCCGATATTCGCCCCTTTCCCATTGGCAGAGATGTTGCTGTCCTTCCTTCCGGACAGATGTGTAGACGGGCCCATGGAGCCTTTGTTGTATGATACCGCGTTTCGAGGTCGACAGTGAGATGACCGATCCGCAGGCCCGTCTTGTTGTCATTCGATACCGTGCTGTTTCTTGAGCTGCTCTAAATTCTCCTTACGAGATTCGAGGTCTTCTTTCGATCGGACCATCTTGTCTGGTTGGTGGTAAAGCACTGTGCACGTTAAAAATAATGGTCTCGTGATGCTTGTCTGAAGGTAACCTACCGACGAGATATCGGTTTTGGAAGTTGAAGCCGTTCAACTTGTCGCAAGCCTGTTTGGCATCCATCACATCCTCATAGACGACGAACGCTGTACCCTTTGTATTGTTTGCGATTCCTTGGCGGATTTGGCTATAAGAAGATCAGTATACCGTGTCGTGCGACCGAGAATCGATGGGGGTTGCTCAACATACCGGATCGGCCCAAACTTGCCAAAGAGGTCGAAGAGTTCCTCTGGTGTGACGTTGTAGCTGCAGACAATCAGTACTTCTGCTCTAGATATATCTCCCCCGTCTCTGCGAAGGCCTTCGAATGTCCTGAGTCGTACCTTAGATTCTTGACGAACAAAGCTCTGTGGCGCAGATGGTCAGTTCTCTCTCCGCATCGAAACGTCCATCAGAAAGAGACCACTTACCGATTGACCTCGGGTGCAAGTTTACCGCCTCGACTCATAGCTTGGCTACGGATTTGCTGGAATGATTGTTGTTTAGAAGAAGAAGGGGTAGATCGCGAATTGGATATCGGAGGGGTGTTGAATATCAGAGACTTGAAGGAAATCGAGCGCACGCCCACCTTTCCTCATCCGGACAAAGCGTTTCTGCCTGAGGAAGCCACGAGCCTCAGTTCGCTCAACGGCTTTATCGGTCTCGGATTTTCGAACATTCACGGATCTTCAGAAATTTGAGTCAAATCAAAACCAGATCAGCCCTGTCGGCAATGCATGTAACTTGAGATGTGTTTCAAGCCGCTTTTGCCGCTGTTGAGGTGACACAAACAGCGCACTCTGGCTTTTTCTATACCGCCACGGCATTCGGGCAAGTGCCGATGACGGAACAAAGAGCAATTGTCCACGTTGCGTTCGGACATTCAGTAGGGGAGAATGTTATCAAATCATTCACCGGAAACTTCTGTTAATTTGCAATATTCTAGACGATGTTGCATAGTCACAGAGATGCAACTGCTACTCTCTATAGCTTCTTTCCTCGCTCAATTATGGCGTGCATAGACCCTTTCTCCTAGAATTATCGAGTACATTTGTTGCCAAAGAAAATGAGTTAGTGCATGCTCGAGTGCTGGCCGCGGCTGTCTTCTTCTAAGCTCTATAGCTAAAATGTGTAACATCAATATGAAAATCCTCTTTATTGTTCGTCTTCCTTTAGATGCTTGGTGTATTGTTGTTGCCACCATTTTTTTTCCTACTGTCAAATGTTGTTCGAAGCTGCTAAACCCTAGGTATCTACCAACGGCCAAGCTTCCCATTTCTTTCTTCATTCCTTACAAGTACACTAGGCTTCATATTCCAGCTTCGGCCACTGGGGAACGGCTAGAAACTAAGATTGCTATGCGTGGCTATCTACACATAGCGCACCGGCATCCGCAGCCCATCCACCCCTCTGCCGAATACAAGAAAAAGCCAGGACGCCTTACTGCAACAGGAAGTCGAAGCGAGTTAAGGTTTATATACACTCAAAGAAATTGCAGTCCCATTCCCCCAAAACAGTCACCTTCTGGAATAGGTTCTGCTTGGTCTTCCACGCAGCCTTAACAACATCCATAAGGCACATGCGGGAGTACTCTTGCGAGTGAATTCTCGACACCCATATCATACACTCGAGGATGCAAATATCACCCATAGCAACCCTCGAATTCACCATGTCGCAGAGATCGGTGCATGACCAACGCAGAGCACCTAGCCAGAGCAAGAATAAAACTACGAGCTCATCATCACAAGCAACCTATCTTCCTTCCGCTGAACCACCTCCACCAATAAGCTACGTGCGTATTGGCAGCCTTGTTGCTGTAGCTCGAGCAGACAACCTCAACAAACCCTACGAGTTTTCTGAAGAGGCAATTGCTGAGATCGAGGAGGAGTGGGGCATGATGGTAGGCGATGCGCTCGCTCGGTTTGACAACCGTTTGACTTGTGGCAACTGCAGTCAAATACACATGAAAGACCAGGTTTTCCGCATGCTATCCGCGTTGAAGCTGGAAATGGAAGGAGCCGGAGTGGAGGACATAGACGAGGGTCTTGTGAGAGGATTTCAAAGAGATTTTGAGGAGATCTGGAGAGTCTATCTTGATGGAGCTAAAGATTCGGATTGTGATGATTGGAGCTAGGGGACGGTTACGTACACAAAATTGCGTAGTTTTGAATTGACAGCCTGGATTTGGATCATCTTATTCTGTTCGCCCCTTGGTATCATTGCTAAGTTGGAAGTCTTGGCAATCATTCACTTTCGCTTCGTCACAATCACAACAGTCTATTTTCAATTGACAATGGTGTATATTGTTGTCAACCAACTCAAAAAGTCTGGATGACACATGTGACTTTCAATATTGAAGGTCTTGAGCCTACGCGGGACATTAAACTTAAGTACAAGCTAGGAGAACATAACCACAGCAGAATGTCGAGTGAAACCGCTCTGAAGAGATTTGGAAGCTCTGCTAAATCATTGAATGCAAGCTAGGTACGTGAATCAAAGCCGCAGTATATACAAATTGAGATGATACGATCATTTGAACTAAGAGTCTCATTAAAATCCCACATTCTCAAGTACTATTCGCTCTAACTCAAACAGAAGCATCAGCCTCCTCTTCTTCATCCAGGACGCGGACGGCACGAGCTGACAGCGCGCCATTGTAGAATTGGTCTAGCACAGCCTGAAAGTCGAAGAATTGCGCATCGGGATCAGCTCGTAAGAAAAGCGTCAAGCTCGCATGAAGCTGCCAAATAGGGGTTGGTCCACCTAAGAGTTCTTGAATTGTCGCGGCAGGCGTATTCTCTAACGCCTCCAGCATCTCGACAAGGCGAGGTCCCAGTACAGGATGATTGAGGTACGCTCTGGCCTCAGCTAGAGAAGTGATGCCGAATTCCCGAGCTGTGGCGCTGTTTGCATTTCCTAAATGGAAAGGATATACTACAACAAGTTAGTACAACTTCGAATTTCGATAACAATTTAACGAGCAACATAAGTACTATAAGAGGGTTTGGAGAAGTTTAATTTTATGGACAAGAACAGATGGCGAAGAACGAAATATGATGCTACGTACTCCACCACATCCACTGCGTCGTCCTTGTTCCGCCTTCCACCTGCCTGCGGGCTTGATCATAATTGCCGAATAACTGGACTCCGATTCCAGGGGCTAACAGGTCGCGATCCTGCCGAGCTACGAATCGGGCGAGGTTGAACTGATCTAAACCCATGGTAGGCCAAAATATAATGACTCGGAATATAGATCAAAGAGTTGATATTAGCTTTCCAGTAGAGATGCTTGAATCGTATGTGACTAAGTTAGAGCTACGCGCGGCGGAGAAGCCAATTTTATATGATTGAAGTTTAAAGGAGGGTGGTGCTTCAAACAAAGGATGTTTTTCTGCGAAGGCTGGCTTCAGTGGAAGACAATGCGGGCTTTATGCAATCGTCCGCTTGCATTCAATATACAAAATCATCATGCTTCACTTTGTCTCCTTTGTTACAAACTGTGATATTGGTACATGGAGGAACATGCAAAACACCAAAGTGAAATTTGTTCTGGTACAGAGTATGGTTTGGAAGCATTATAGAATTGTTAAATCATAAGCATCAAGAAAATTGCACAACTGAAAGACAATCCAGACAAAATACTATACATATATGAACACGAACTTGAAGTCAGCAGATAAGAGAACAACCCGTCCTAGAAATCGCCAAACACCGGAGAGTGCAGACTTTCATCTCGAAAGTGTATGCAACTCTGTAAGTATGCGCGGAACAGTAGTAATTACAAATATATACTTGTATAAAACAATGCAGACTGGTATCATGAAGCAGAATTGAAAAACAATTAAACCCGCCCACCGCTCTGAATAAATCAATACTAAACCCAAGAATGCCAACCAGTACACCACCCAATAGCCCTCCTCTCTTTATGCCAACATTTCCTGTCTACCAAATCTGCACATTAATCATCGGAACATAACCGGGAGTCCTTCAACGAAGATGATGTATCGCTCAAAACCATGAATGCCACCATTTCGCCGTAAATAATCCGCCTGGCGTAAGCGCCGTTGATTTCGTTCCGCGTTGACCACCATCGTACTCATGGGTATGCTTTCGTGAGAGATGGAATACCTGGGATGCAAGAAAGTCTAGATGTTAACCTGGCCCTGATTCTCCTCTAATCTCGCAATGTAACTTTTCCTGACGCTACATTTTGCTTTGAACTTGAAGTGCACATATCCGTCATCATCTTCGCTGAACGTTGTTTTGAATTTGGGATCCTCTAGTTGTAGACTGCTGAATGAATTCCGCATCGACTCCATCCAGACCGACTCAACACTGCTTATGTATCCCGAGTCACGGATACTGGAACGTATTGAAGCATTCGAGGGATTGACGGGTTGGTCACGTAAAGGTTTCCGGGATGTATCGGGAGCCGTGCCAGAAAGATCCGTGGTTGATGTTGGCGCAATACTCGGTGTTTCACGTTGGTCGTGATAAATGCCGATTGAGTCACGTAGCTGTCTCTTGACAAGTTTTCGTGGGTGAGCTGTTGGAAACTCTTGAGGATCCACGGCAACTATCTTGCTATCTTCCACGTATACAGGCTTCCAGGGCGTTGGGACCGTTTGGTCTGCTCTTCTGCGTACAACAGCAGGAACACGTGGGGGATCTGGAGGTAGCGAATACTGAGGAGGCATCGTGGGGTCGGAAAACGTTGAGCTGATGCGGTGGTGTTTCGTCGACATTCGGTTTGGCTCGTGTTGCTGATCTATGCTATGGTCGACCTCATCCTTGCGCAGGCTGATATCGGATGGCCGAAGAACAGACCCTGAAGTCGGTGGTACACTGGGCATTGGTGGAGTATGGGGCACGTAAGAACCAGATGTCATGGATTCGCACGACGTTGCTGAAGCTCGCATTAGAACCGTGGTATCGTCGTGTTGAACAATGTCCGCATCCGAATCCGTGCTCAATAGATTTTCGAAATCTCCTGGTCCTGGCGACCATTGGGTGTCACAAATTGGGAAATTGGTACTAAAGCCATTGACACTTTGATCGAGGTCGGTATATATCACTTGTTGGAAGGAAATTCCCTCTTGGTGTGAACGACTTTCTCTGGCATACTGTTGCGTTGTTTCATCTCGCCTTTCTAGGAATTTTTGAGGAGGGTACACGACTCGACTAGATCTGAGATCATCTCTGTGCTGTGATGAATCATTCTCAAATGACGGCTGCGCGATGCTGCCATAAGTTGACTCATATTGCGTCTCCCATGGTTGATGAGGTTGGAAAGATTGATTGGAAAAGGTCCCGGGATGGGAATTGTTCATTTGATTGTTTTCAAGCTCTTGTCGGGATGGACGTCGAGAAGCTGCCTGAGACTCGTAGAGGACCAATTCTTCTGGTAATCCATACGTAGGTGCATTTTGTGTCCATTCCAGCGATATTCCAGTCCCTCGTGGTGGAAGATTATCTGTTGGCTGCGATGTAGCATCCGCCTGCTGTTCCTCAAGGATATTTTGACTATTATGAGAGTATGTTTGAGAGGATTGTGGGTATCGAGAACGCATTTGCCAAAGGTGGTAGGCTTCTAGAGGCGGTGGTATATCGCTATATCTACGCCTGCTTCCCATAGACTGGACTTCGTCATTATCTTCGGGCCAGTCTTTGAACTTCCTTTTATACCACCCCTTTACCGTGTTGTACTTATCCCTACATAGACAAGGTTAGACATGTTTCAAGAATCTGCAGAAGTACGTATGGTTTAGACTGACTTGTTCCCGAAGCCCACTACCGCCAGTCTGGTACATATCTCCTGTGGTGTCAACGCTTGTCTGCGTAGTTCCTCGGCTTCGGGCAACAGCAAGACCCAGATATCCTCGAACTTCCCCATGGGGAAATCGGATATGACTACTGGACGTATGAGAGTGGCCCAGCGGTCAATGGCAGAGTGGTGATTGTTGAGTCGTCAATTGCAATGCGTATATCGGCTGGCAATTATGCTGTGGAGGGCTAAGTCGAATATAAAGGACAATAGAGACAGTGTGTATTGCATGCTGTATGGTCGTTCGTCTTCCGGTCTGCAGAGCCTGGCGTCGGGATGAGGCAGATAATCGAAGAAAGACTGATTTACGATTTCGAAAAATTAATCAGGCTGCGGCTTAAAAGACAGTGGTCCCTCGTGCTTGCTATGCTTGTAGCTTGGGGGTTGGAGATCAGTCGCTTCAGGCATAAGATGAAAAGAGACAGCGAGAATTGGCAGCAAGCAATGCTCGCTGATGATAGAGACAGCACGAAGGCTGCCGCAGAATTTCGTGGTCATGATTAATGGGGCAAGGCTGACTTCAGTCGGTCTGAAGTCTGGAGGACGATGAAACTTCAGCGTTGACGACTACTAGGGTGTGTGTTTATCAACAGCTAAATTATGTTACCAGATAAATCCATCTGAATAGCTATTGTTCGCCTCGGTTGATGCTGTCAACCAGTAAAGTCTCTGCAATCTTACGTGCGTAAGACATATAAGTATTTGATGGGTTAGCTCGAAGACGGTGGCTGATATATACCCCGTATCCCGCATGTCTCCGTAGCAATGTTCATTTTCCAAATTATATTTGAGCAAAATATACATCTGTCAGCACGCCAGAACGATGCTCATCAAAGACGACGAGATAGTACTAACAATCAAATTCTCTAGAAATCGTACATAGCGCAATGTTACCCTCCGCACCGGAACAAGATAGTGTTCTAACACGTTCTTCAGTTTGAACGCCTCGAACGCCTTGAACAGCCCTCGCTCCAATTGATCTGCGCAATGAGGTGATTTGGAGGGGTGAGAAGATCAGGAACTTGCGTCTGCCCTGGACCTCCCGGCAGGATCCATGCAGAATTTCCCGAGGAAGGGTGTCTTGGGAAAATGACGGCAGTCAATGCTTTTCTTTTCTCTGCTCGGGTGAGATGGTGAGCATTACAACCGCGATACACAGCCCGCTTTGGTGGCAATTGGACACCTTTTCAACGGCTTCTCATCTTGTTGCCGCGTCTTTTGAGAAGCTTTCCCGATCTCCGACAGCAAAAGCAAATATTCGGAAGCAGATGCGGAGAGGTAGGGATCTCACAGGCCATCTTCAAGGGCCTTATTTCCTGGCGGTGCCGGCAGTCAAACGTGCAAATCAACCTTAACAGTTTCCAAACATGACTTGAGCCTCCAACGAAGTCATGGACGTTCCATCACACGTCTTCAGGGGAAGGACCAAGAAAGTCCCCAATTCCGCAATCTCGTCCAAGGGCTGGCTGGTCGATTTCCAGAAGAAAGACTCGTGCTGTGCCGCTCCCCATAGTGAAGTTGCTTTTTCTCACCGCGATCAGACCCGTGTCACCCCCGTCGCATTGAAGGCATTGACCTATTTACAGCACGAGACTCCGATCCCGCGCATTCTGGAAGTTCTGTGTCAAACTTGACGTGACCCTCATCGATGAGAACAGCACTACTAACCTTGTAGACGGATAGTTAGAGCTTACTCGCAATAATCTGCAGCCGCAAAGTCTATTGCGCACACCAACGCTCGTTAAAGCGGTACATTGTCGAATTGTTTACGTGTCTTGGATTCTTGGGTTGAGCATGTGTATACATGCAGCCAAATTCAAAAGGAAAGCCGGGCAGACATACTTCCCAATCATCAGCCATAGGAACAGTAATTCTTATCTCCTTTCCCGTTTGATGCAATCTACAGGGTATCTAGTGCTGTGGCGTCCGTCTCACCCTCCCAACAATTTCTCGATTCAAGGCCACGAGACTGGACGGAGAATGTACCGAAATTAGCACTCCAAGTCAAATAGTGCCCCCCCTTGTTCCCCTTGTTCGGAAGTGACTTGCATCAAATCGTGCCTGTTTCACGGTGAACACTCGCGGTAGATCAAATTTGAGCCTGCTCTTGGGAAATCACGCCAGCCCGAAATCTTGTCTCATGAACCACCGAGCCTTGTTCAGGAGCAATCATTATTCCTGCATCTCAGGACATTCTACCCAACCCCACATGTTGAGAGGACACCTATCACTGTCCCCGAATCTTTTGTGACCTTTCCGCCTATTGCTATCTATGCAGTACTCTATCGACGTTCTTGAGAGGACAAACTTCGACGATTATTGCCCATGAAACGGCGCGAGAAAATTCGTACTCACTCGCAAAGGTAGATTTGATGATAAATCTTTCGCTTATCAATACCCTATGTTACTTAGACCTGAAGACGATCGATCACGCGTACATTAGGAGTTCCCAGTCTTAGTTTCTAGAAGCTGTTGCGCCTCAAAATCGCCAGGGATCGCCAGGGGGCTCGTAAGATCTTATCGCAGCACAAGCTTAAGTTCAAGTTCGCTTTGACTCGGTCAATTATGTTCTGAAATTTGCATGTGAGATTGACAGAAGCACAGACGTCGGCTCAAGTTCCAGATGAGTGCAATTGTACAAATTTATCCCTGGATTTCTTAGCGTTACCAGAGTCCCGGGACTTCACTTCAGTGTGGAGATAGTGAAGTCCCCACTTTACAATGTGATGCTTCAAACATGATGAAGTGGCGAGTGAATTTCAAGAGACTATTACTATACAACTGATAATTGTTTTTGCTAGGTTATAAAGGTTTCGTGACATCTCAACTTGAAGCTGTCCATCTTTCCAATTCAAACTTCAAATCTCCCGAGCCCGCATTGTCTTCTTTGACATAGAAAAAAAAAAGATTAGGTCATTAGTCCTGTATTGACACTTTTTCAACCATCTTGCTGTCATTCAAGTTAAGCGCTTTAAGCTTCTTCGTGCTGTAAGTCTTCTTCTCCACGAAATCCACCATCTACCTAACCAAATCTCAGAGACTATCCACTTCTTTACAGCAATAATGTCGGGTAAGAAAGCTGTCAAGGATAAAAAGAAGCTCAAATCGGATAAGAAAGAGTCTGGAAGGTTCGCTGAATACTTCTGACATCTGCCTACCCGAATCTAACAACCTCTTAGTAACACCCAACAGTCTTCAGCGTCGACAAAACATCCCTCTTCTACCACTGCCACCGTAGGAACACCGGACACGCGATCCGACGCTGGGTCTGCACTTTGGGCTAGGGATACGGGAGAACGTGTGCCGTGGAACAGTATACTTGCCGGAACGGGAGCATGGGCTAATGTCGAGACTCCGAAGTGAGGCTCGAGGATAGCAAATTACAGATGGCAAGCTATAACGAGACAGCATTTTATGGCGTGGCTTTAGACTGAGTCTTGGATTGTTTTATCTTTCAACGGAGAAGATGGTTCATACGTTCCTGTATTATATGCGTAAGTTGAACATACCTACAACCTCTTCGCGAAATAGTGTAGAGATCTGTTATTATCACTCATTTACCTCATGGACGTATTATTTATCTCCTTTTTTCTGTTTCAATCGTTTCGTTGCTTCCTTTTCACTTCTAATATAATTCAAAGCATGGCCGTCGAGCTTTGCATTTTCCCATTATCAATCGCACGGTGGATAGCATATAAATGGCCCCAACTTCGTTTTCCAATTTTTCATCGGATTTTGAATTGTTGCAAGACACCAATCAGCCTGTTCAACCGCTGACCACTACCTATTGCTCCCAAGTATTCGAGGTCATTCTGAAAACACGTGACTCATTCTTCTCATCACCTTCCAATATCACTGCGTTTTAGTCTCTTTCGCAAGACACTTGCTAGATGATGCCTGAGCCTTCAATAATAGTCGACAAGAGACAGTTTCTACATCCATGCCTCGGGCTCTGCTGACCATTTTCAAAGCAAACATCAAAAATGTCTGAGTGACTAAGTGGCATTCAGAGCAAGGGCTGCGGTGATGCCCTATATGTGCACTCATTTGCAAGCAGGCTCAGGGGCAAATGCAGTTCTATCGGCCCGCTTCGCGGAGCGAAATAAGGCTGAGTGGTGGGCGAGTAATAATACGCTTACGCTAGCCCACAAGATCAGTATTTAGGCTACCATCACACCTTTCTTTAAATCTTCTTTTTCTTTACTGTTATTCAGCGCAGTCAAAAAATGCCTCTACACTCTCTCCCTAAAGAGATCCTTGACAACATTCTATCTCGCAGAGCTCACGATCTTAGAAATCTATGGAGCTGCAGTCTCGTCTCTCGTAAATTCTGGAAGCGACAACATCTATCTTGTATTCTAACCTTGATGTAAGAGTCAGATCTCAATGGATCAAGGGCAAATGGCAACTACAAAAGTCCAACGGAATTGCACTGGTGAACGCTCTTGCTTCGTATGTGTGTACTTCTTCTGAATTCAGATTGTCAAATTGACCTCAATCAAGAAACCCGGCACTGGGCGCAGAGGTCCGAACCCTATGCGTCTTCTTTCCAAAGGCACGCGATGAAACGAGAGATGAGCGAATGGCTTTCGGCGAGGAGAATGGAGCACAAGCAGCGTGTAATATACCGTTCTTGAGAAAAGCTGTACTCATGGAGAGTGGGCTCACTCGCCACGTCATGAATAACCTGACAGCATACTCTCAACTCACAGAGCTCTCTCTTCGGCTCGGACTTGACTTCCATCAATGGAACAATGCAGCCATACCCCTGAAGAAGCTCAAGTGGATGTTTCTAATCGACATTGCGGAAGATGGTAGTACTACCGACTGCTGGAACACCGCTACAACCATTCTCAACTTAGCTAGTACTGTATTTCCGGATCTGGAGCACCTCGATATTTCGAACTGTAAGAGAAAGAAGTCCGATACGACTACCCAATACATTTGCCGCAGAGTACTCGACGACAGACAAACCGGATTTCTGCCACGATTACAGTCTTTTCGGTATCAGGGAGAAGTCATTGGTGATCTTGAGCTCGAGTCCGTATTAGAATTTGTTAGACGAAATGGTGATACATTGACTTCCCTCGACTTAGCCTTCGAGTTTGGATTCTTGGATGGAATAATGATGGACTACCTTTTGCAAGGGGTTGTAACGGCACCAAAACTGAGATCTTTGGCAATGCCTGGTAGGTATCGGAGGCAACGATGGCAAAGTCACAAACTTGCCGTTTGGTCGGCTGCAGCACCCTCCTCTGTCGCCCGCACAACTGGAATTGAGTTCTTCGAAATATGGGAAATCGGTTATCCACTTGACCATTCCATTGGGCAATTTCTGTCTGGCTGGAATAGTTTAAGAGTCTTAAAGATAGGAGCTCCACTATACGAAACTTTCGACGGCCCTGAGTCCCCGGACTTTAACCTTGTTGCAGCTGTAAGACACTTCTTTATTCCCACACCAATATGAAATTGTCCATATCACTCATGCTGCCTAGCAAATCAGGGAATTTGTAGAGTTACTGCCTAAATCGCTTGAGGAGATATACATCGAGCTAGTGAACTTCCACCTCACTTGCGACAAAGACAAAGACTTCGACCCGATTGAGGAGATCTCACCCGAAGCTTTCAGATCACTACCTCGGCTTCACACATTAGACATCAATGCCTGGATTGCTGACGAGGAAGGAACTACTGGGCATATTCCTGACAAAGCAATCTTCTGGAGACGCTGCCCCAGCGAAATAGATCCAGACAACGGAAAGAAGAAAGCTATCTGGACTTCCAGACTCGAATGCATTTGTGACGAGGGATACGCCAATCTGAGAAATAGCAGCACAGAGGTGGAGGCAGATTTTGAGGGCAAAGATGCGGATGAGCCTTGGCTGGGTGGAACGAGGTCATGGGTTTCGCAATCCTCCGAGCACTGGGCTGAGGGAGAGTCTCTATTGGGAGTGGATATTGATCTTAATGATCCTGATATTCTAGAAGTGCGTATGAGGGCGAAGATGGAAAGGTTGACTGTGTAAGAAGATTGATCAAAACTTGAGGATCAGAAAAAGTTCCAGGTTTGTGACGCGGGGAAGATGGTAATATTGTCTTGGGCTTAAGATGTCAAATATCTCCACTTAGGACTTGAAGTATCTGAAGCACGCACAAACGACAGAGTCATTTCAGTTGCCGTATTCCATGCATTCTTGTAAACCTACCCGCAGAAAGCATTTCGCAAAAATGATTGCAACAAAGCAGAACGGAAGATGCAACCAGTCTGGTACCAGAGCGATGTAAAAGGTTCTGATTGGATCATTTGTGTTTATGCCTGTATTTCGAGTGGTGCACTTGGTAAGCATTGGCAAGCGGGGGTATCGGGATCCACTCCAATCTTACTGTGGATACACCAACCGAAACGACAACCGAGTTTCATGCGCCGTAAACTTTGGCATTTAAAGACTTGGTCCTCCCTTAGAAATTTTTTAAGCTTTCACCACCGTAAACTGCGCATTCTAGCAATTGATCTACTACTGCTATCATCATTCGTTATGCCGTTGCCTTCAGAGCCACTTGTTCTACGCGGCGGTTGCAACTGCACTGCTGTACGTTGGCGTATGTCGCTCCCGGAAGCCAGCAAGCGGGTTGCGAATCCGTATCATACGCCAGGGACGGATATTGGGGATGTACGCCTTCCCACGGCAGTTCTCTGCCATTGCGACGGCTGCCGGGCAGCTATGGGCTCTCTCGGTGCTTATGGGTTCACCTCGGATATGGCACTGCTCGAGTTGTCTATTCTTCCAAGGACCTCAGTTCCCGAAAAGGAGAAAGGCAAAGACGATGACACACGACCGCCATATGTCCCAGCCACCAGCTTGATGGATGATCCCGCCGTGATCAGCAGCAGTGATTTATGGTTGACGCACTATGAGTCCTCACCGAAGCGCGATCGCTTGTTCTGTGGACGATGTGGCTCACAAATTGCTGTTGCAGCCTCAAAAGATGCCATTCCACCAGAGTGGGGTTGGCCTCGGGTAGTGAACATCTGGGCGGGTACGTTGGATCGCGACATGCTCGAAAACGATTGGTGTCGACCTGACCATATCATGGATTGCTCGATAGCCATCCCTTGGATTCGGGACCATGTCAAGAATGGTGCTAGGGATGCTCAGGAGCACCCTTTCATTATGATTGATTGGCACATGACGGATGATTTTCGGCCTCATATCGAGATGCTAAAGCAGATGGGAGTGACTCTGGATGTTACAATGTGGAAGTAAGAATTAGATCGATTTGAAGGTGGATTGGCGGATGTCACTAGGTTTTGAGTTCCCAATCAAGCAGAACTTCGAAAAACCACGATCGGTAGCTACCCAAATCCATTTCCCCATAAAGAGCCCACATACATGATTTACAAGAAGTCCGAGAGCAGGACAGGCTGGATCTTTCGTCCCAACAATTGGACCTATCGAGGCAGATGCTCAAGCACATTGAAGATACCCAAGTGCTCTTAGAGATTGTAGTGATTGGTGGCCAAGTCGATCATGGCCGTGAAAATGAAGAAGGAGATATGCTCCTTTCGAAGGCGGCGGCTGGAGGGCACCGGCGAGCAGTCCGGGCTTTGTTGTATGGGTCTCACGACGATATCAACACGAGGGATAAGATGGGACGTACCCCACTTTTTTGGGCAGCAGAAGGCGGACACTTGGACGTTGTCAGAGAACTAGTCAAGGAGGGAGCAGAGGTTTCTTTTGAGGATCAAGATAATTTCACAGCCAAGGACTTGGCATACCGGAGGGGGCATTCGGAAATTGTTTCATTACTCGAGCCTTTGATGCAACGCGATGATGAAAAAGGAAAGTTGATTTAATTTTAAGAGGCGAAGGACTTGTAATGCTAAGCGGCTATGTGCTTGGTTTCTGAAGCAATTCCTCTTTACGGCTGTCACTAAATTTTATCTTTTGTCCTGTTACCACAAATTGTTTTTATTTTGATTAACTATTTAAGTAGAAAACTGTCTGTTTTTGCTATGTCTATTACTCCCTCCAGTTGGAAGTCCGATGCTGCATATCATTCTGCATCGTGCACATCGCCTCCAACAACACCTCTATATCCAAAACGCAGACAAACGGGAAGTAACATACTAAAAGAATGCCACAAGGATGGTGGTCGGCGCCGTCTCAAGAGCTTCCAGACCAGCTGCTGGCGTATTCGCGTAGGGAGGGTTTCTGGGATAGTACTGGCGGCCAGCGTTGTGACTTGGTTGATGAAAGGAGAAGAGATAATGGATCCCTAATGGCCCCATTCCTGAGGGGTCGAGGCTAAGAATTGTGGGGACGTGTTGGAGATTGGACGAGAGGAGGGCCGTGGTTGTTTGCTCCAAATTGATCAAGGGTAATGAAGCAAGGGGGTTCTCGGAGTGACCCACTCAGATTCGTTCATCGAAGGAATCGATGAAAGGGAAGAGTTACTGGAAGTGACAATCTTATCGTCATAATATCCGAGGTCGGTGTAGTGTTGATATAGCATTAAAGTTAGTCCACTAGAAATATCCAGACTTAGCTAGACATCAAAAGTGAAAAAATTGAAGCATAGTACCGCGATCTATAGAAACTCACCAAACTTACCATTTATTACTATAATAGGTCTCCTACCAGTTGCATCGTTCTCTTCGCGAGGAAGATGCTTCCCTAATCTCCTCCTTTCACAACTCATTTAGAGGCTCCTGCGCGTGTCCTTCAGCCAAGGTATGCGGTACACAAGCGGATAACCTCCAGCTGTAGAACGGGATAACCAAGGAGGTTATTTCAAAACTGGAAAGGTTGTACTTGGGAAGTGCATGATGAACCTAGATGGCCGCCTATTTCGAACGGAAATAGAGTAGGGAATGCTGTCGCGAAATAGTCCGTGTCCGTAAAGGCACTCTTTGGCGGTTAGTGTTCGGTCATCTTGTACGATATATGTAGTGTTATCCTTCGGCCCACTATAGGTTTGTTTAGAGGGGCAATAGTACTACATGCGCTCTTTAACAAGAGGGATCCAAAATCTGCTTCGGCAAGAACCCGAAAGGGACCAAAAGCGGATTCTCGGGCAAAATTCCGTAAGGAAACTGTAGCCGGGGCACGCAGGAGGCCAAATAGGTCCCATATTATAGTGCTCAGGATGCTCAGGCTCTGCTCAGGCTTGCTCAGGTTCTGCTCCGGCATGCTCACCCTTGGCTCACGTAGGCTCAGCCTCAGCTCAGGTTAAAGCAGCACTTGCTCACGTCTGCAGACTATAAAACGGAACTAGCGCAAGGGAAAATTAATCCTGAGTCTAGGGGTTCTTGTACCCAACTAAGGTTCAGCATGAGCCAGAACATGTCATGCATCTGCGTCTCAACCTTTTTGTAAGTGATTTACTTAAAGGCACGTTGTTGTCCTGCTCCAACAATCCATCCCACACCAAGCTCCATGACTCAATTTCACATTCCTCCAAAACTACACAGATCGTCTCGAAAAACGAAACCAATAATTGCAGAACACTTCGTCCTCAAACTCCACTCGTGACAGAAAGAACCTTTCGTGAGACCTCAAAGCGAAAGGTCCCTTATTTCGCCGCTCAATTGCCGAAAGTATCGGCACCTCGTATGCACAGCCATCTTGGCAAACTCAGCAGACGACAACCGAGAAAGTGCCAGCCCACAAGCAACGCCGAACTTTCTTCCTCACCCTTGCGTTTTCCAATTCCGCCGAACACATCGCATTCTCGTAATAATGCGTTGAGAAATATGTCAAAAGCTAACGTGATCATGAGGCTCATGCTGACCGCCAGGGGCTCTGCGCTCCCTTCCTCCTCGTGTCCAGAAGATCGACATGATGCCAAGACTGCTAGCTATCATCACTGCCAGCACACCCGGCTCTTGACTGTTTTTGTGGGGTAAGAACCCTGTCGACGGTCTCGTCCACACCAGAAATAGAATCGATACGAGCCTCATCATGTCACTATGCCAACTCCGAAAGAATGGAGATAGTATATAAATGCTCTGGGGAACCTCATCAGGTCTTCATCAACCGACATTCAATTCTCAAACAAACGCTTCTCGACAAAGAATAAAATCCACAAGCACAATTCCTCCATCCATCTCTCAAACAAACAAAATGCATCTCTCCATCCTCCTCCCAATCATCCTCCCTCTCGTCTCCGCAATAACAGTATCCTACGACACCGGCTACGACGACGCCTCCCGCTCCCTCTCCACCGTCGCCTGTTCCGACGGGAGCAACGGCCTCCTAACAAAAGGCTACACAACCCAATCCTCGCTCCCATCCTTCCCCAACATCGGCGGCGCTTCCGTCATCGCTGGTTGGAACAGTGCTTCTTGCGGGACATGCTGGAGCTTGACTTATAACGGGAACACGATTAATATTTTGGCGATCGATTCTGCGGTCGAGGGGTTCAATATCGGGGAGACGGCTATGAATAGCTTGACGGGTGGTCAGGCGGTGGCGCTTGGGAGGGTGGATGCTGGGTATGTGGAGGTTGATGCGAGTTCGTGCGGGTTGTGATTTGTTAGGTCCGAAAGAAAAAAAACAAGAGAGAGCACTTCTAGTGATTAGGAGGTCGAATTGTTACATATCTTACAATAAATTACACTGAATTCTCAAACCTATTCTTACAGATATTTGTTTTACAGACCACCAAGCGCAAGAGCCAAACCCGTTAGAAGCGTATCCAACAACACAGTAACGTCCAGCAGCAAGAAATCAACCAGCACCTCCACCGCTAGTATCAAAGCACCCAGGGCTCCGGTAAGTGGACTGAGGAAAACGAGGAGACCAGCTAGAAATGAAGCATTAGCAAATTGTGCATATACAAGAAGAGAGAAAGTTAGAGCTGATAAGTAGATGACATACCGAGTCCGAGAGCAGCAACGGCCGCGGCAATAGTTGCGAATACCTCAAGGAGGAGCAGTGATATTGCCGCACCGAGGAGTGCTAGTTCGCCCAGTTGACGAGTCTCTATCTCGTCTGAGCGTTTGGAGACCGGATCGATAGTGAGGCCCTTGATGGAAGTTGTGGCGGAAGTGATAGCAGCGGTGAGGTCGGTGAACTCTGTGCCAATGGATGTAAGAGCCGCAGCTTTGTCCACGGCTGACGAGGTGCTGGTTAGGGTTGCTAGTGTGCTGTCTGAAGGACGGAGTTAGTGAACAAGATCGAATGGATATTGGCTACTTGATGCGTACTGATGGCTCCGGTGTATGTTTGCACGGTGGTGAAAAGGTCGTTAAGAATGGTCAGAGCGGAAGAGTCTTGACGGACGGCAATTGGATTGGCAATGGCGGATGTGAGGAGGCCTGCAACGGCGAAAGATTTCAAGATGGAGAATTTCATATTGGCAGTAACTTAAGTTTCTGAAGGAAATTTGGGATAAACTGAAAATTATGATTATCGGATCAAGAGTATTGAGGTTTCTAGGCAGTGGAAGACTTTCTGTAATATGCTCCATCCCAACGCTCTTATTTATATTATTTCACCCTTTCATGCCATGAGCTCGAGATTTCCTTGCCGTCACTAACAGCGCCCCCAACTCGTCATCATTCTACTAATTCCGACCAATTCTTAAATATTAAAATGACTGTAGTGGACAGCATTAGCAGCATTGAGCCGCTAAAATATCCAATTTCAGCTCTTCATGGGCGTCGGAACCGAAAGGAGCTCGCTTAGAAGTGTACCTGTCCAAACTCCTGAACCGACCCGGCAAAGATCGACACCTCGCCAGGATCAAAACAAGAAACTTTACCCCCCAGCTCCGCAGGCTCGGTTCCAGACGACCATCTCAACGGCGCTGATCACTGACCTCATCGAGAAGGGATCTGGGTACGGGTGCCGGGGTTCTTGTGATGACAGGAAACCATTCGATGGAATGCTCGGCGCACTGTCCGGGGCGCAAAGTCCCTTCTTGCATCACCGCTGCCATCGCTTAGCGAGGCACCGCGAATTTGGTAATGATAGCCTGTAAGTGCCTGGAGCGAGCTGAATGAGGCGCTTCCGAATTGTGGTTCGAAAAGGTCGCAGCATGGCAAGCTTCGGAGAACCGGAGATGGGAGTTGTTTAGAAGTATGTAGGCTTTGCTTGGAGATGCTGGCGATAGTTAAGTGGCTCGTCTAGCCCAAGGGCAAATTTGTGACCGACTGCGACAATTGTTGCTCTACTCCGCGAGTGTGTCAAACATACAGCGCATATTTTCGAGAACTCGATAAAGGCCTGGGTAAGTTTAGCACACCTCTTTGATGTATCATTGCTCCCCTTCCGCGTGGGTCTATTGTTCCAATAGGGGTAGCGGACATCTGGACGAACAGAATGGCATAAAGTGTGACGATATAAAGTGAGGATATGAAGTGAGACCCAAAAGCAGGCTGAAAAGCATGATCCAGCCTTGGACCCCTAATTTTAGCGTGCCCACAATGTAAATAATATCAAAGCTTCCTTATGAACTCTTCCCTCTTTGTAGACAATTTACATATCAACCCTCAATTGACCTAGTCGTTGAGACCCTACCTTGGCATGAAGCTTACATATGATTTGGGCGAGTGGGATAACTGTAATTACAAGACTTTCCTCTGGTCAGTAGAGAATGTAGAGTTGGGGTTACTCTCAAGTGGCTACAGCTATTATTACTTCCCCGGTAGGAATACTTGTAAATCTAGCAGCTAACATAGACTCAAGCATCATAAGGAAACAAGGCACGGGATTATAGAGGGGAGTAGGGATAACGAGTATATTGCGTATATTCTCTCTAATAAAATCCTTCTACAATGGTGAGGTTTCGTGGGAGTTCACTACTACATCATTAGGTCAGAAGTTTTGCTCCGGCTAATACAAAGGCTGCATGAAAACATGACAAGGCACAGAGCTCTCTGGACCCCTAACAAGAATCCCAATCAATAAACCAACAACTCGCAAACAAACAAACAAACAAACAAACAATTCCCCATTCCACCATCGTCCAAAAAAAAATCCTCCAACCCCCATCCACCTACTCAGCATCCATCTCCGCGGCCTCCTCCCGATCCAAACGACTCTCGGGCTGGCCCGTAGAAGCATAACTCGTATGCGCAGCAGCCACCTCAGCCGAATTCGGATCATTAAACTCGTAGCCCGGGAGTTCGCTGCCAGGACTCTGCACCATCTCGGGACGCGCCTCCGCAGACTTCATACTGGCCTTGTTAGCTGAGCGGCGTTTGCGGAGGATGACGATTGTGGCGATGAGGAGCGCGAGTATGATGAGGCCGCCGATTACAGCGCCGACGATGGCGCCGATGTGGGATACTGCTTTGTTCGCACCTAGTGGTGTTGGGGATGCGGTTGTTGTTGAGCGGGCGGTGGGGGAAGCGGTGGTGTTCGCGAGGGTGTACGTTGGAGTGTAGGCTGGGCGGACGAGAGATTGGTTGAAAATGTATCTTGGTAATGAATGTTTGGTCTTGTTTTTCTTTTGATATCTTGAGAGGACTTACTGGACATATGGATCGCTCCAGGAAGCAGGTGTCGTGACAAGTGCTCCACCAGTTGCATTTCCCCCGATCAGAGCTACGACATCGGCTGGAATTGGTGCGGGTCTGCTTGCGCCCGCAAGGTCGAATTGGCCTGTATAGTCCATCTGTACTAAGTTGAAGATATCAGCAGGCATTTGCGCCTAAGCAGGTTAGTATTCTGGAAAGATCGTTTAAGGACAGGCTGGCTCACGGAGCAGTTATTGTCGTTCCCGCCGTTGGAAGTCATCTGCATCCCTCCGATCACAAGCAAATTCTCTCCGACTGCATGACAAGTGTGGCCCCAGAGACCGTTTGGGCGCGAGTACACCTTTACCCATTGAAATGTTGGCATGGTGAGTACCCACCTAGGAAGGTTAGAGAGCCGAATCAGGATCGAACTTTGATACATACATCTCCTCGAAAGGAATGACACTCGTGTAAGCCTCTGATTGAGGTCTGATTAGCTTTGTGATAAGGAGGAGATTATTTTGAACTTACGAACTCCTCCAATCATGAAGATGTTGTACGAGCTGTTATCTGGAGCCACAACGACAACTGTACAGATGTCCGATCTAGCATAAGGAATATCGGGAATACCTAATCTGGTAAGCACCAATGAAGACAAGAAACTGAGTTAACCAACCAAAAGTTGCCTGTTGGAACCAGTACCCTGTTTGTACGTCGTATATATCAACCATGGTGTTATTTATCATACTATTATACTCGTTTGCGTTAACAATGGGGACTCCGAAAGGCGTAGGGCTAGTAGTTGTTTGACCACCAATCTGGACGATGATACCCTGCTCTCCGACAGGGATGTGGACCATCGCGCCGTTCATACGCGGTCCAATGTAGTTAGGCACTGAGATATTGGTGAGGGTTGGTGGGAAAGTATTCGTATCGAGTAGTAGCATGCCTTCGAGAACTAATGTCAAATACCTATTAGCATTGCAAGCCATGAAGAGAGGGTCGGTAGGTCGAGCCTACACTTGAACATAGAAGCGACCGTAAAACCCAAGTAATCCGGATCAGAGCGGTGCTGGACATAGCCCTCAAAGAGGAAGCTCTTATTTAAGCTAGGCGCATCACAGTGTGCAGCCGCGCCGGGTCGATCCACTTTCATTCCAGTGTTGATATATGACAGTGCTGATTGAGCCCAAGACTTTAAATCGATGTCAAATTCCCAGATTGACGACGCTGGGATTTGCGAATCGGGAGCATAGCCTGGATCATCCTCGTTGTTGTACGAAAACCAGCCTCCAAGTTGGTATATCTTCCGCGTAGCCTTGGAGTACCATAGCGAGCTTTCGATGAGAGCATTTGGCACACCTGGACCTTTGTCGATGACGCTATATACTGATGTATCGTTATTCGTAAAATTTCGTGAGAGGTCCAGAACGACGAGCACATCATCTGAGGAAGCTTCAGCGAAATGAATGTGACATCTGGGCGTGGGACTAACTCATTCCTTGTATAAAGTCGCCAACAGCGGTGTTATAGAACGTTGTATTGCCATTGGGAATATACTTCTTCACCTTAGTTCTCTGTATCAGCGCACTTCTGACTAACCAACCGTATTTCCGCTATCAATATAAATCTTTCCCTCGGCGTAAACACCTTTCTGATATTAATTCCCACACATCAATTGCCAGGAGTGGGAACTTACTTGCATGCCTCCAGAGTCGACAGAAATGCAGCGGGAGGTCGTGTTCAGATCCATTGACTGACGGAGCCACAGTCGGTGTCGATGCCGGGGGCACAGAACTTGTCGTATTCAACGCTACAACCACTGAAGACGAAGCTACTTGTCTGCCAAATACATTGTTCGCAAAACTGCCCGAGGAAAACAATAGAATGCAGCAAGCGATAGAATTAAATATGGCTTTCATTTTGCAACGTCTCCGTGAGGATCAAAGATGAATACAGAAGAGAGAGAGGAATCGCGCATAATTGCTTCTCTACCACAATATGGGAAAGTCCATATCGTGTGGAAGTAGAGATGCCATTTTGGGTTGTCGGCAGTTCGTGGCTTGGCGCTATCGAAAAGGAGGCTCGGGACGAGGAAAAGGAAGTCCAGATACTCAAACTTGCCCAATCGTGGTGGCAGAGCTTCTGCAACTCTCCACGTTCTGGAGGTCTCGGCCTGGGTTTCTTATCCTCTCCGAATGGCTGAAAAGAAGCCTTTCTCTCTTATGCCAATCCCCATGATCGCAATACGCCTTTCTTCCCGCTCTCGCCCAGCACATGTTGGAGTTCTTACCTAGTCTCACTCTGTGGAATGCAAGTATATGAGAATACTGCTATGATCTAGATGAATGGCCTTACGATAAAAATGCACGGATAACAGTTAAATTCTTCTAAGAAGGATTGTTGGACAAGGCTCCGAGCGTTTGTTTAGGATATGGACTTGGCTACACAATTTGCCGCAGGGCGCACACAAAGCTTCCGTTCCCGTTGAAGCGTGTGCATTAGGGCGTATGCAGGCTTTCTTCCTAGCCGAGTTCGAGATCGTTCTTCTATCAACTGGAAGTTCGACCACCCGACTAAAAACAAATTCTGGATGGTCAGCCTTCTACCCATCCTTGCATAGATCTCGAAAGTTATGAGGCTCTGCAGATCGCATGAGGCTCTGCGCCAAAAGATGAGTCTGACTCTTATCATGAGGGTTACTTGAGTTCAGCGAGTCAAAATTAATAGACTCTTGGTCCCAGGATACCTACACGATGCTAGGGCCTTTACGGGAGGATATTGTATAGGATTTATCAAGGGTTTTGTAGAGAATTCCTGGATTCTCACCAGATTTTACTAAATAAAAATTTATTAATTTACTAATTTACATATATTTTTTTTTAAATTTTAAAACTTGTAAATCCTAGACAAAGACTAAATAATTGTTTCATTTTTCAATTAATCTAAGATTTTAAAACTTTTAAAGAAATTTAATTAAATATTTGCATTAAATAAGCAATAATAAATACGTTAGCTAAAGAAAACTCTCTCAGCTTCCATAATAAGTTTTCACAGTAAATTTATGTTATACCTTTCTTTGTTTCTCTGTCTCTCTGTCTCTCACTATATAATAAATCTACGTTATGCTTTCTTCTCTCAACCATCTCAAAGTATGTAATACTATGCGCTGCATCAATTAACAGTGCTAACTTTCTCCGAAGACGCGTTCATTACACAAGTAATGATGCAGGCACGAGTACAAGCAAAGCATACATAAAATGCAAAACAAGAAGCTAGCTATAGTAGCATCCACAATAATCAAGCATTCAGGCATACATTCCAATTCTTCCTTCAGCATTTTTGGGCCCGAATCCCGATAAAATCCTAAACTTATACTAGAAAGATTTCCGTACAGAATTCAAGTAAATAAAGTCTAAACAATAACTAGATAATATATCCAGTAAGTATCCGGTCGTTGCTATCGTAGGAAGCCTAGACGTATATTTCAGATGCTCAACTCAGATGTCTGGCTCAGATACACAATTCAGGGAAAGGACGATGCGTCAACGCGATTCTATCAATGCTGTTGTCCGGACTATATGCCCTGTCAGACTTCGGACCGGAGTTCTTTCTTCAAGGTTTTTCTTCTCGCATTCGGGGAAACCATATAATTGAGCTTCAAAAGATTTGAACGATCTGAACTCATCCGTTTTCAGTGCTAGGTGCAAGCGCTTGTATAGCTCCCCACCAATTTGCTCATCAATGATCTGCGTACTTCACATCAGGAGCCGAGGACAAGTGCTGCATCACCATTCCAAACAAACACCAAATACACTTAGACATCAATCAGATTCAAACATTACTTTTATCAAATAAGCTCACAGCCTCAGAGTCAAGATCATATTATCTCCACTCCCCAGCTCAAGCAAGAGCCCCACTAAGCGGCAAATTCCTCGAGCTACTCCCCACATACACCGTCTTCGGGTAAGTACTCACAACCCAATTCTGACTGGCCGTATCCCAGTTCGAGATATCCCTCCTCGTGACCTCGTACGTAAATGTCTCGCTCTCACCCGGGTCGAGGATCAAGTCGTCGAAGCCGCGAAGCACGACTTTGGGATCTGTTGGTGCGCCGAGGGAGATGTACTTTTGTTTGTCAGCATTTGTCTGGAACGAAAAAAGGAAGAAGAGCACTTACTAGCTGGGGAATCTCCGTTCCTTTAACGCCGCCGGTGTTGGTCACCGTAGCACTGACGGTATACATCGTGTCCCAGAGCTGTCTATTGCCTCCGCCGCTTCCTCCAGCGGGTAGTTTTGGTTGTGGACTTCCGTCCTGAGCACCTGCTGGCCAGTCTTGTGGCAGGCCCGTAGGCACGGGTCCATCGAGGTATGGATACACATAATCCTTCACCGCGTGCCATCCTGGTGGGAATTCGTTGTCGGCAGCATTGTAATCGATGGTGCCGAACGTGGGAGCAGCAGATGTTTCGCCGGTGGTAGGTTCATAGGGACCGGGGTTTTGCTTTTGGATCACGAGATTCGAGTACGAGAAATTGGTGTAGGAAAGGCCGAATCCAAATTCGTATGAGGGCTCAATACCAGCGGCATCGAAATGACGATAGTCGATGAAGACACCTTCGTTAAAGTTGAGTTGAGGTGGGTCAGATGTGGGAGTGTATACCACGTCCACGCCCCAGTCTTCGCGTTGCTTGCCCCAGGTGAAGACGGACTTTGCTTGTGGGTTGACTTTTCCGTAGATTACATCTGTGATTGCGTTACCAGATTCTTGACCTGGAAGTCCAGCCCAGAGAATGGCGGTAACATTGGGATGGTTCTTGTATGCTTCCACGATGACTGGTCCGACAGTGTGCAACACGACAATGGTGTTAGGGTTTATTGAAGCGACGTGAGCAATGAGAGCATCGGCGTTACCCCACAGCGTAAGATTGTTGCGATCTCCTTGGTTGCCATCGATAGTGATGTAGTCTTCTCCTGAATCAGCGTTGCCGAAAACAATAGCAATATCTGCACCGGTAACAGCAGCAGTCACGGCATCGAAGTCGTAGTTGTCCGACACATTGGTGTACTTAGATCCATCAGAAGCAGCTTGGGCCTTCAATGCTGTGTTGGGAGCAATCAAATAGGGGAAGTTGGCAGTTCCAGATCCCCAGCCCATAGCAAGTGTGCCGATGTCACAGTTGCGATCACTGCAGGAGTTGACACCAGCTGGATTGTCGTGAGCATCTTCACCAATGACGGCGATATATTTGGGCTTATTCAATGGAAGAGCATTGTTCGTGTTCTTGAGCAAGACAGTTGAAGCACCTCCGATTTCGCGGATGAGTGCTGCATGATCGTCTTGGACATTGACATGCCAGTTGATCTGGGTGAAGTCTTCATTGGCCTCTGGGTGTTGGTACCCATAGGTACTGAGATTCCAGCTGTTGAAGTTCACAGGAACTTTGTGAGTGTCTCTTCCAACCTAGGAGTTACGTAAGCATTAGTCTAGTGAAGGATGGCTGGACAAACCTTGTAGTAGGCTGACATGATACGTGTAACCATGTCATCGAGACGCCACTGCGGGATAGTGCCGTTCAAGACTGCAGCTGTCAAATTCGAGCCCCAGAAAGTATCTCCTGACGCCAATCCTTGGTCTCCAGCCATTGTCATGTCAAGACCTGCCAATGCAGAGGCTGCACCCGTAAGTTGTGCCCACCAATCGGAGGTGACGAATCCTTGGAAGTCAAGCTCGTTCTTCAGAAGGTAGTTCAAGGTATAGCTGTTTTGAGATGCGTAGCTGTTGTTGACCTGTGGGAAATGTCAGCATGGATGATTCCTCTGTATCGGCTCTTGCAATGTACCTGATTGTATGAGCACATAATGGCTCCCACCTGTAATCATGGTAGTCAGCATCGTTTTCGTACATTTGGGGCTCTTAAAAGTGCGTCTGAAGCACCAACTGCGCGACGCGACCCTGGAAACAGCAACGAAACTTTGCATCGAGAACTTGAGACTTACTCCTGCGCGGACAGAATCGGCGAATGGCCTGAAAAAGGTCAGCAAGAAGTCAACTCTTTCAGGAGCAAAAGCTTACCAAAGATACAGCTCATGCATAGTAACATCGTCAATATTGGCACTGTATGCAAAATTGTACGGGGCGGCAGCCTGTCGATTGTGTTCCTGCTCATTTCCGATGTAGTGTTTGGCGCAGGCAATAACACCAGCGTCTTGAATTCCCTGGATGGTCTGTGCCATAGCAACACCAGTCAAAACAGGGTCGGGACTGAAACCTGGACAGACATTAGCCACCGAAGATAGTTGCAGAGTGGATAGAACAATGAACACACCTTCCCAATTCCTTCCGCCCGCCGGGACACGGCCAATAGGACCAGCAACTGGGCCCAATTGGACATCAACCCCTTTGCCTCCATGCTCCGATCCCATTGCATTGCCACGGGACTTGAACAGACGTGTACTCCATGTTGCTGCTACATTCATACCAGAGGGAAACGCAGAGTTGAAATCCGCTGACCATGTTGTCAGTGCCTTGGTTCAATCTGTCCGAAGGGAGGCAGGCTTACTGTCACGAACTCCCAAAGGACTGTCTTGCAGACAGAGACCAGGAAAGTTCAGCCTGGGAATGGCTCCCGTGTTACCCACACACGATTCACCTTCCCATCCCACACCCGTCGTAAGATTGACCTTTTCAAGAAGCGTAAGCTGGCTCACAAAAGCCTGAGCCTTCGTGTACGCATCTGCCCATCCATTTCCACCACGCATCCACGGTGAGGGGTAGCTTGGAGGACTGTATGCATCGTTGAGCTGAGCACTTGCAGTGTTTGACAACGCTGCAACAACAGCAATTGAGGAAGACCACAGCATTTTCGGTGCTTGCTGCTATCAATTGATGCTAGGGAGAAACAATTGAGAAGGACAACAACAAGGAACAAAGAAAGAAGAAAGAAAGAAAGACATTGGAGCAGGGAAGCTACCTCGGACCTATCTATATACTCCGTACCCTGAGCAATTTGTATTGTACTGTACGTTATTACTGTAATACCTAGCATCATGCAGACTCGCAAACCTTACTGGAAGACTTGGGACCACTTCACTTCATCTGCAGTGTCAGTGGGCACGACATGTCCAAGCCAGCTCGAATGAGTATCGCGCGTCGCTACATCCCTCGATCAGGAAGCTGCATGGTGTGGATGAGAATTGTTTGCGTCCCCAGGAAATTTGTTCCGATGGAAACTTTCCCATTACTACGTAGACTGCTGTTTGATGTCACCCGGCCATGGATCGGTCTGGGGTAACCTGGGGAATGGCAGGGGAATTGACAGGGTCAGGCCAGTAAGGGTGGACGGTTGCACCTTGTACAGTAATCGGACCGAGAGCCGCATGGGAGATGAGACGAACGAGAGTGATTGACAGCACAGCACAGCACAGCACAGCACAGCAGATCAGTTGACTTGACCTCCTTGCAGGAGAGGGAGAAGACAGCGTGATGATGATGATGATGATGATGATGATGGTGGTCGCTATTCCTCATGAGATGATGGTGCGTGGTTCGGCTCCTGGCTGTGGTTGCCGCTGCTCGCTGCGGGTGGGAGCTTCCCCTCACTTGGGGCGGGGTTGGATCGGGGACTGATGCACTCACTCACTGCTGGGCCCAGCTCGGCGGCTTTCATGTATGCATGCATAAGCCAGGGAGGGGTGCCGCGTCAAGAGACTCCTTGCGTGACTGGCGGAATCACCACCGCGTTCTCGAACATTGCTGCACGTCGCGAATACGTAGTAATACTGTACGAGACGGATTGCTGAGGTACGAGAGGCCATCTCGACGGGTGGGAGTAACGTGGTATCCGTCACTGTGCAAACGGATGTTGTGGGATGAAGAAAGAAGAGCCGAGCCGTTGAGAAGAAGTTGGTCCAAGTTGACTTTAGGTGAGCCGAGCTAGTGGAGCCACCGAGATTGGCCCGGATGTGGCTTGATTTTAGGTTGGTGGCTTGACTCACCCGTGATGCGGGGAAAGAATCTTCCGTTCCCTGTTCTTGTTTCAACGCTGCTGCTCGGATTGACACCGAGATCTGTCAATACATTATTATCAATCACCTCATGGTCGTGCGTCGGCCGCCCGTCATGTCATCAACGAATCCAGACCGAGGTAATGCATCACATTTATCCGCTGCACAGTACAACTTCGGATGCGTGCCTAATTGAAGATGGCCACCGTCATACTGTAGCATTCTTCTCCCCTTACCTAGGTACTTACCTACTAGTAGTAGTTATGCAAGCGTAGCATGTTACACGAAGACCACTTTCAAACCCAAATGTGCTTTTTCTTCCCTCTTTCCCACCTGCATTTTTGTTATTCTATTGTTTACTTCCATGTGTTTACTCTGTTTTGGACGAGACGATATATTGTCATGCCAAAACTGCTCCATGTCCTTGAGTCACAGCTATCCCAAACAGGTTGTCAGATTGCCGTGAAGAAATCCTTACATCTCCTCCACCAGTATTCATTCGCCTTGACAAAACACCACGATCTCACCTTCGCTGTCTGTTCACCTCTCAAGAGGTCTTTCATCTCATCACATCAGGATTCGTCGAAGCTCGGAACTGTGTAATCCGCAATTAGTCCTGCGGGTTGGAAACACCTCGCAAGCAACCAAAATCTAGCTTCGAACCTCCAAGCAAGCTGTCAGATACAGATTAACCTTCACTACAGATGCCGCTGTAGTTCAGCCAACCGTTCGTTCGATGGCTCCTCGGCTCCCGGTTTCAGACTGGTTTGCGGATCTTGTTTTAAGATCTAAGGTTACCGACCGTGCGAAGCAAACAAATGTTCGTCCAGTTGCGACACAGAATTGCCTGAGCACCCATCAAACCTTCGACTGATAAGCATTCTGACGTTTCAAGGTATGCCTGTGGTGATCGTGCCAAGGCGTGCATCACTACGGGGAAATGCTTAAGCTTGAAATTTAGCTTCAGCCTCAACACAGCCCCATCTCGCAAAGCTGTGCTCAGCGGCTTCAGTTCTCCAGAAATGGAAAAGTCGAAACTTGTCAAGAATCACGACTTCAAGTGATGTTCTATTTCGATCATGCCCTGACAAATGTATGGCGCGACGTTCAAGCGCCGTGTCCACGTCTCTCGGAAGATATGTTTGTTTCACGACGAGCTATCTCACAACTCCCAGACCTTATCTGGTGATAGCACCATATGAAGAAACTATATATATGTTTGTTGGCTTTCATCTAGCATCAACATCTGCTTCTCTGCCAGCGATATCAATTCTTTCCTGCTTTTCTTAATAATTTATCACCTTTTTCATACTACCCAGGCCGGTCCTCCTTCTCAAAATGCAGTACTCTTCAACTCTTCTTTGCGTGGCTTTTGCTGCTACTTCTGTCTACTCACACGGTGTCGTCACGGAAGTCCAGGGCGCCAACAGTAAGTCATGATCTTCACCTCATTTCTACACGTTCTAACCATCGCAGATGTCAACATGCCCGCTCTTTCCGTTATTGACGGCACTCCTCGCGATTGCCCATCTCCACTCTGTGGAGCCGAGGCAGATACCTCCATCCTCGTGCCCGGTGAGGCCTCTACCATGCCTGTGGGACGCAACTCCAAGGGTACTGTCGTTGCGGCGACCATGATCAACTCTTACATGGGTGGCGCTGGTAAGAATAATTTTCTTATTCTAACAACAATCCCTCATCGGCTGCCTTTCTTCATGAGACACCCTTACTCTTGGGAGATCTGTTCGGTTACAGCCTTGATAATTTAAAGCACAATCCCATAGCATTAGTCCCGGAACTACATCAAGTCCCCTCCGTTTTACACTCTTACTAACTTCATCTCTCCAGCAAACAACACAGCCCGCGACCTCCACGAAGCAAGCACCCTCTACCGCCGCCAACTCGGAGGTTCCACGGGCGCCACCACCGCCGGCGTCGCAACCCCAGCCGGCACAAACGAACAAGGCGTCGCCGCCGCCGCCGGCCAAGGCTCCACCTCCGGCCTCCCCACCACCGACGACAGCGGCATCGTCTCCATGAACATCCACCAAGTGAACCAAGACGGCGCTGGACCCTACTCCGCCATGGTAGACCCCACATCCGGCGGAACGGACGCCACGGCCTTCAAAGCCGCGACCGTCACGCAGAACGTGCCGGGTATCGGCATCGCGGGCATCTCGACGGCGCAGGTGATGGATTTCCCCGTCAAGATGCAGATGCCGGCCGGCATGACATGTTCGGGTACTGTTGGGAGCGCGACGAATGTTTGTGTGGCGAAGATGTCGAATGGGCCGCCGCAGTTTTTTGGCGGGAGTATTGCGTTTACGCAGTCGCCGGCGGCGAAGAAGAGGGCGATTGAGTATAATTTGAAGATGAGGAGGAATGCGAAGGCTCGTCGTGGTGCTGAGTAAGGGGTTCCTTTAGGGCTGGATTTGTTGGGTTTGGAAAGAAGGTCTCTGGGAGATCTAAGAATGATTGGTTTACATTTTGTAATAGACCTTGTTGATCAAGAATGTCTCTCGTGAGATGGTTCAAATGAGTAACTGCTGATTGGAGTATTCGTGCCTAACGCCAAGGCTGATAACCTAACTCCGCATTCGCACCAGATACAACGCCTTTGCTTCAGTATTCGGATCAGGAGAACGATAAATCTGCTCTGGTATGATGCATATCGACTAAGCATCTTCTATCTTGTTAGTCCCATCACGTGGTGGTCCTAACATCGTCTCACTCTACCTACCTAGGTAAGATAGCTCCGCGCGCTCGAGCTTCACTCTCTTTCTTCAGACGCACCAACAATTCAGAACATCAGATCTGAAACATATGCTAAGCCTGTGCCCATCTTCGAAACGAAACCTCTGTCACACCGACGCACGTCAGATGCCAAAGCCAGTCTCCATCTTGTCCCGCGCCTAACGAAGCAGATGTGGAGTGCTAGAGGCTGGATTATTCTGAGAGGTACAGTTGTCTGTGCACCACCAACTGTCTAGTCCAAAATGGACATACCGGCAGTTTCCAAGAAGCCGCTAGACGTCATTGTGGTGAGCCCCATTTCCGTTCATATAAGCCCACATTACCGTCTCACAGGTTGACGGCTCCCTCGCAGGTCTAATACAAGGAACCACGCTCAAGCGTCTCACCCACAACATCCGCATCCTCGAACAGAACCCAACATCCACCCGGGAAGGACAAGCCGCCGGTTTAAGCATCAGAGCTTACGGCCAAGAATTCCTCCAGAAACACGACCGTATTCGAGATCGTCCACATTTTATCGCTACCTCGTACTTGCGCGTTTTCGATAAGGAGCTTAATTACGATTTGATTTGAAGAGCGTTCTGTGCCGTTTAAATTGACGAATTGGAAAACAGTATTACCGGCTCGGGGCAAATTTTGATGGGCTAAGTAGTGGTGGTTATGCTCTGGTGCCGCCAGCGGCTCAACTAACGGCGGATGGAAGAGCGATTTATGAAGTTGGGAAAGGGGTGTAAGATGTCTCATATGACAAGAAGTCGGGTCTCGCGGTACATTTGTGGATGTTGCGACAGGTGCATCTACAGCTCTTCATCCAGATATCATCATTGCCGCCCATGGAGCAAACTCCTTTGTCCGCAAACTCTTATATCCAGGACTCTTAAACCTCCATTCCGAATACCCGATCAAGTATGAGTACATTTCCACTAAGACGAAAACAAGAGTTGGGAATCCCCCAGAACAGCAATGGGCATTCGCGTAATTCGCGTTAAACTCGAAAAGCCTTACTCAGTCTATTATTACAAACCACTCAACACACTTTTCGAGAGATTCCTGCCCTCATTTTCCAATACCGGCGCCTGAACCCAATATCCCTATTATATACCAGCCAATAGTGACTTATGTTTTGATACTCATGTTGCGTCCTACACTGGGATTCACGCTGTATGCGCAAATTGCGCGAACAGCGCTTATTGCGCAGGATGCGCAATTCTCTCCACACCACACCTTCAAGGGATAGGATGATGTAAAATAATGTAAAGAGGGACGATGCCAACATAAACTGATTGTTCGTTGAGTGTGCGATCAGTACCTTGGATCTAGGCTAAGAAGAAGCGGTTGCTGGAGTTGGGGCGGAAGGAATTGATTTGGGTGTAGAGGGGGTCGATGTCGGTCTTGTTTAGAGCGAGGAACTCATCGTTCATCTAGGAGCTATGTTTTACACTATAGCCCCTATTTGTGCTGTGTGTGAGCTAAATCCGAGGCAGGCTGAGCAAGTTAGATATGGAGGTGAGCCTACGATGAATAGGGGCGATCCGTTTGGGCTCCTCGACTACGATTGCCGCCCGTAAACGTGGAACGAAGAAGGCTGGAGTTTGATTATATTGCAGGGAGGAAGCATTCACTCGGCTGAGAGAGCCATGCAGAGAATATCGGAAAGGGACCGCCTAATATCAGATATTCAGCTTCAGGTTACAGAAAGGCTCCATCGGATGAGACCCGACTTCGGCAAGCCAGTTCGTCCGCGGCGACATCAACCATTGCAGCCACTTCATTCACAATTCGACGAGACTCAGTAAAATTAAAGACAGTAGGTGGTTTTATTTCCTAAGCAAACTATCCAAAGAGACCCCAGAAATCAACCTCACAGCATCACCAAATACCCACCGCGCCATTGTTGAAATAACACGGATGAGCTTCCCAACAGAGGGAACCAGTGAATACCCAAGACAAGACCCAACTCTCCTTCGTCGCTCCCTTCAGCAAGCCGAATTCAAGGCACCGCTTGCTGGAATCGCCGGTTGAAACTGCAGTTCAGGACGGCGAGATGGGGTGAGGTGCTTAGTCGTAGCAGTAGCAGTAGGTCGAATAGCAGGCGTAGAATAGGTAACCGAGATCATAGCAAGCGTTGCTACATCCAGCGTAGCCTGCAAGGTTGTGTGATTAGTAATCATGGATTTGAGACTCAGGTGAGTGGAGAATGAAAGAATACATGTATATCCACGAGCTAGTGTGTGCTGAAAGAAGTAAAAGAGATGGCTACTTACTGTATCCTCCGCAGTAAGTCGCGGTGCTGAAGACATTCAGAGCTTAAGTCATATATTATTAGCAGAGTTTCAGAAGTGAAAAGGTAGCAGGGGCCGAGAATACTTACTGGAAGCTTTCTCTTGTTCACTGCTGGCGGCAGCGGTGTCACGCTTGCCAGCAATGGCAGAGGCTGCGGCAAGGCCGGCCATGAAGACTGGTGCGAAACGCATATTGAAGGTTGGATTTGGTAGGGTGGGAGAATTGTTTGAAGCTTGTGTTGAAAGGTTTGCAAGCAACTTTGTGTGGATGATTGAGCTGTGGTGAGAGAATGTTGTCGGTGGAAAGGGGTATCTTTATACTTGAGCCTTCTCTAAGAAACTTTCACCCAGAGTAAGACGCACGAATGCTATTCCGAGCTTCACAGAACTCTTGCTGATCATGGTCCTGTTCAATATTGGTGGCTTTTCAAATATCGTAAGACTTCATGGTCCACAACAGCTGTGTTCCGCAAATCTCTCACCAACCCGAAGCTCGGCGTTGTTCAGCTTCATTTTTGATGCTCTAATTGGTACACGGAAATATTGCTTTGGATTCTCCCGGCCTCTTCTTCGCAGAAGGATTCAATTTCCGGTTGACCGAGTAAGAATCTGAAAGCCTCTGTTGTACAGAATAATCGTTTAATGCACGCCGTATGCAGCTCGGTTCAAAATGTCACTTCAAAAATCATCATCAGATGATATGTATGTAACGTTTACTCTATCCAGGAGAAGATCCTAGTTGCCAATATTCTGCAATCAATCGAGTTTATGTTGAGAATTGATTTTGCAGAGTGGCAGCACCGTTGTCATTCATGTCTTGGTGGTTGTATGACAAAGTTGACTCAACCCTGTCTCAATGTGTAATACGGAATTGCAAAAGATCAAAGTTCAGCTTCTTTTAGTACTACTTAGTGTGTTCTCATAAAATTTTCTGTCTATAAACAAGCTGAACATATCAAACTTGAATAGTTATTGGAGTAAGTGAAAATGGAAGATTGACGGCTAATGGTGATAGATCTTCGAACTCATGATTTGCCTAGCAAACAAGAGACTTTTTGAGGCTTATTGAGGCGTTCCAGGGAAAGGTAAAGCCTACCACTTAGATGGCTTTCATGGCGCCCTGTGGTAGTACAGCATCCACTTGCACACGCTGTTACACAGTTCAGAACCAAAGCGTATTCGCTAATTGGTCAGCAGAAGCCAGACTTATGAGGCTTCTATTCACCAAGAGGCAGTACCAGAACATGGCTGCAAATATGGGTAGGCCAGAGAAGGGTCTCTTTTCTCGATCGTACAGGTTTGCCCCTGACAAAACAGATCCACTGAGGGCAGCACACTACCTGGAGAAGATTGAGGCGAAAGCTTTCCGGTGGCTAACATGCATAAAGCGGGGCATACAGACGCCATTTCAATAGTGGAGATCTAAAAGGGGAATCTCAGGAGGGACTATTCGACGAGAATCAGGTCGTACGAATAATAGAGACTTGACTTCGTCTTGTTGAGATAAAATGGAAGAGTTTTGTTTACGGGAATACGTTCCTGGGCTCTATATCCTATATTATTCGACAGAGAATATGACTTAGAATGATTATAAGGCAAATTCAAATAATGTGACGAAACAAAGAAATCCCCTTTCGTGTAAAACTCGTAAATATGAGTTGGCTTGACACATAAAAATGAGGCTGTGGCATTCTTAGCGATGTTGTTGCAGTCCTTGCGTCTAAGGTGGCACAAAGCTTATGGGCTTAAGCCCGCAAGCCAATCCCGTTCAAAAACCTGGCCTGGCACATTTTCCCATGCACGTAAGACTGTGGGGTGATAAACTCTCGAGCTACTGCGGGCCCCGATGACCTGCAGAAACGGTTAAATGGTCATATGCTTCTAACGCTCCAGAATACAGGGATTAGCTCTGACTAAGACTCAATCGCAAAAGTCTTCCAGAAACGTTTTCGGCCCCTCTTCGTCTCTTGATCGGGACAACAAAAAGCCTCGTAGCACTAAGCGCAAGCAGTCAGACGGACTTTCCAATAGAAACAATGTTAACCAGTGATGTAACACACCTTCTACTATCTTGGCCTTTACTGGCCTGCTCAAGGAAGGATGAATACAACTCACAGCCAGGTTAAAACTGCCAGTGACATTGTCTACCTAAGTACTTACGCGCCACATACTTCTCTGTACTCTCTTTCCCCTCTCTCACGAATTATAAGACTAATAATAGATTCATTAGCCCTTGTTATGTGGATGATGTTCCGCAGGCAGGTCAGGGCAGATGCCGGTAAGAGCGTAAGAAAAGCACACTGTACCGATCGGGATAGAAGATCCTCGGTGGCTGCGGCTGAGCGTCTTCTGTACCACCGTCTCCCAGCTAGACTCGGTTTGTAAACTCAATCTTATGATCCTGCGGCTTAATTGTCTCCGGGCGTAGAGCAGAGAGCTCTCCCGTCTCCATCAAGCACGTAAGATTCTTTGGTCGCTGCTCGAATAGGTTTCATCCTATTCTTTTCATGTAATCTCGACTCCTGCTGTTGTTTCAATTTGACTCGCATTCAAGCTTTCGCTCCGCAATGATCCTCTAGAGATGTCTTTCTCAAAGCTTTTCACGTGTCTAGTATTTCTCTGCTGGGCGAGCCACAGGGTTCATGCCGCAATTCGAGGAATCACTCTCGCTGAAAGAGTCGATGCCATGGAATACATACTAGTTGAACAGGCTCTACCTTTCACAATACCCATAAGTCCATGCAATAACTTTGTTGATGAGGTCGATTCATTGCCACCTTCGGCTCCGCCGAACACGGGTGAGCAAAGCTCTGCTGAATGGGTTCGCCTTATATTTCACGACTTCATTACTGCGGATGTCGTTGCTGGAACTGGGTATGTTCTCTTCTTCAGGCTAATAGTAAGGAAGAAGAGAGTAGAGGAAGCAGGCTGACGCTGAGCAGTGGGCTTGATGCTTCGATTGGTTTTGAATCAGAGCGCGCTGAGAATATTGGAAAGCATTTCATCAACGATACTCTTACCTTTGTGAGCATTCGTGTAAAATCCATTGTTACTTGCCAATCTGATAATTGAGTAGTTTGATGTAGTATGTATGGGTTTCAGCTTTCATTTCCAAGGGCCGGGAGTCCACTGACCAAGTGTAGTTCGTCAACGCATATGTCTCGCTGGCTGATATGATTGCGCTGGTAGGAAGTCTTCAAGGAAGATTACCGAATGTAAACTGACGCTTTTTAGGGTGCTATCATGTCACTTCGGACATGTAGTGGATTGAATGCAGAAACTGAATTAAAGGTTGGAAGAATTGATGCGACAAAAGCAGGTCCAAGTGGTGTGCCGCAAGCATTCACGGTTTGTCAAAGAAGTCGAAAGTCTCAATGAAGTGCTGACTTACTCTATAGGACCTAACCACAACTCTGGCGACTTTTGAGACAGCCGGGTTCAACCAGAGTGAGGCAATCACTGCCGTGTAAGTGTTCATACTTTCTAGCCCTCAAGTACAAGCCTGAACATCCGCAGAGCTTGCGGCCACTCACTTGGTGGCGTGCACTATGTGAATTTCCTAAGCATTGGTATGTTCTACAACTGGAATTTGAGGAAAGACAGTTGCGAAATATGCGGTCTGCTGATACTATCTCTATATAGTCGGCGAAGATGTGGTGACTATAAATAAGTGAGTGACACTTGGACCAAGAACGGAGCTTTGCTGATCATGTAAGTACTGATGGCGTTTCCACTTTTGATTCAACCCCTGATGTTTTCGACAACATCGTTATTAAAGAGTATTTGGCCGGTACCGGCAAATGCGGCGGGCCGCTGGTGATTGGAAGTAATGTTACTACTCGTTCTGACCTGCGTCTCTTCCAGTCAGATAACAATCTCACCATAAAGAGGTATTTGAATCTGCTTTTTCCACTTTTTTTGACTAAGTTCTTTCCAAGCCTCTTATCTCCAGACGACTTCCACACGAAATGCGGATACATCTTTCAGCGTATGATAGACACTGTGCCCACAGCTGTTACTCTCTCAGAGCCTGTTGTCCCGCAGAAGTGGAAGATTACGACCTACGACTATCAGCTCCGGCAGGATGGAACACTGTCGATCTCTGGGAACATTAGAGTACGCAAACCTCATATATTTCATTGTTTTTCAACCACACAGCTGATGTGTCTCAGTATCTGTGTGATCTTGGGCTTAATTGTCCCGCTCCATCGACACTGTCGTACACTTTCGCCACCTTAAATGAGCCTACCGGCACCTTTTCTACTTTACCTCTCCCGACCGTACAGGGCAGGGTCCCAGGAGGTTGGTCCTACTCTGGCTATTCTTTCTGACCCCTCTCCCACTATACACATACTGACCAAGCTCCCAGACACCTGCGGTTCATTCTTCTCTACAGACGCACCCTTCTTCGGCAACTTCTCATCTTACTGCTTCTCGAATAACATAACTTCATCGACCACCGCTATCATCGTACAAAACGAATACTCTTACCCACTCTTCCCCTCCGTATTTGTAGCACAATCAGACTCAAGCATTGCCCAAACAATAACCATTATCAATGACACTTCCTTTGTCTTGAATACTACCCTCAAGCTCTCGGCTGCAGCGTTGACTTGGATCGTTAAGGATGCGAAGACGTTGGATGTGGTGTTCTACCAGAAAGGGCCCGGTCCGGCCTGTCAACAAAGCGTATCTAATATCTTCAATATGGAGTGTACGGGAATTACAGAGAGTGAAGGCAGCTTGGAGAGACTTGGGACGGTGGGTGAGTACACGATTTTTACGGGAACTCAGACTTGGGTCGGGGGAGCGGGATTGCAGGCCGTTCAGGTCGGATACCAAGGAGTTTGGAGCATGAGTGTAGCCACATTAGGGCTGGTCTTGAACACCACTGTTGTGTAAGCAAGTTTGAGGCTGGGTAAAGGTGATGGATGCGTTTCAGATCTCTTGACGTTCGCGTGAAATGGTATGGGGAGAGCAAGAGCTTCACTGGAAATGACATACCGGTTCGGACTGCAATTGTGACCTTTCTAGTTCGTCTCAGACTTCGAACATGTACCCCTCTGATTGAGGATCACCATCATAAGCTTCATGTTCTTACAGTATTTATTCATTGTTACTCAACATGCTACTTGTATTGTGGAGATTGCCCTGCCCCATGAGGACCAGGATATGGCTTGTCATCGGAACCAACTATCTAAAATGGTATTAGCATTGTTGATATCATTTATCGGCTAGTTGACTCACTTGACAAGACTTAAATCTCTTGGCCATCGCATGAACAGCCTCTTCCAAGCTAACAAGCACCAGCAGGCCCAAACTTGAGAAGTCGATTCTCCAGGTACTCTGCTTTTTCATCGAGGTTAACTGGAGAAACACCATTTGTACGGAGGGTGTTTGGCATCAATAATTGGCGGACTTGAGGCAAAACTTTCTTTCTCTTCTCTTCTAATTCGGCTATGACCTCCGCTCTATTTCTGTATCCATAATATACATCATACGTCCACGTAATTTCGAAAGACTTTGTGACTTTGATCAATTGGGCTGGACACAAATGGTTTTGATCTTCGTCCTCAATCAGCAAGTCCAAAATACTGCTGGCGCAATGTAGATCGATCTGGAGATCGAACAGCTCAATCTCTGGGTGCTGTGTGATCCATAGACAAAATCCACTCATTTTGTCAATCTCTTCGTCAGACTCCACGTATGTGTCTAAAGCAATGCGTAGTGATTTTATACCTAAGAGTATCGCAGGTCTCTCGCAAAAGAATGCTGTCGGGTCCCATTCCTTGTCCTCGTCAAATCGAACATTGATCTTAGTATGCTTCCATAGAACCTCCCCGACTTCTTGTCTAAATCGAGGACTGACATTCGAAAGAGTCCACGCCAATTCTACCATAGGCCAGTCTTGGTTTTGACCGCCCTGTTTGGTGATAAATTTCAATATGTCGACGTTGATTTCGTATTGACGTGATCGAGTAGGATGCTTTTTTGCATCATGAAGATATGCTTTCTTCACCTTCGTAAACCATGCAATTATTGGAGCCCATGTTCCTCTCGAGTCCCACCAGTCATCGATACTCTTGCCTTCCACTCCGATGAGGAGCGATAGTCTATTCTTCAGACCATTTTCAAAGACGTATTGTTCCATCGACTTGAAGTAGTGGTAGAGAGTGCTATCAAATCCTCCCTTGCACACCTTTGGCCGCTGGGACGGTCTGAGTGTGACTTCTAGGTGCTCGGCTTGTGCAGCAGAATCGATTTTGAAGTAGGGACCGAGTAAATATCGCAAAATTCTGATCCTAATCTCAATCGGTAGGCCGAAAAAATCGAAATTACCTTCTCTAACAGCAAATGTCAGTTCTGAACTCTTTCTTGGGAGTCTGACAGGGGAAGTGAACAGTACCTCACGTGTCCATCCAATTCTTCAACGGGCTGATTGCTGCTATTGGCTATCTATTGCGTCTTTGTCCATGGTACTTGGGGCGTCACCACAGAGTTAAGGTAGTGATAGTCGAAGTGCTCGCTATCGTGGTGTCCCGCCAGACGATCGTTGAACATGGCCCTTCCAAAGCAGAAGTCTCCATAGCCATTCTCGCGAGGGATTCGACTGGAGACAATGGCGCTCTTCGACTTCGACTCCGCCTCTTTCGTGGTGTTGTGGAGGGCTATTTCTCTGATATCTGTATTCGCCTTGTTAGTTTCATCGTCGTTGTCATGGTTTCTAAAGTATGATGCGGGTGGAGCAGGTGTGATATGTTCTTGTTACTCACCTTCAGGTTGTGGCAATTGCGACGTAGTGGTACTATCAAGCTCGGGAGCCACGAGGGTATCCATGATGCGATACCTGTAGTTAGCTTTCTCTTGGGAGAAGATGCGTGTCTGCGTGTTCAGCAGGTGCAGGTGTACTTGAGGGTAAATCGCGATTGGTGCACTCCGAGCAACAAGTGCTGGAGCTTTGCAGAAGATTGCTTGAAGATCGAGACCTTCAAAATTGATTTTGCGTGAAATAATGCGCCCAATATCACAATCAATTGGGCCGAGGTATCGAAGGCGAATCGTTGCGTGGGAAGCACAGTTGGCGGGGTAATTTATGGACTGGCCAGTGTACCAAGCTCATTTGGCAAAAAGACAGTCTTTTAACGCTTACTTTCAAATGTCTAGTGCGCTCCAGTTAGCGCGCTGACTGACTAGGTGGTCATTGGAAAATATCATCACTCTGTGTGTAACATATTATAAGTACATCGTATCTCACTTCACTCCCAGGCATTCTCTCAACTCTGGTTCTTATGATACTAAGCCTTCAATCACATGATAATATCGGATTGATGTGATGCGTATGATCTCTGAGCGGCTGCTTGGCAATAGATTATGTCACGGGGTGGAATAGCGAAAAGCTCCACTATAAGTCCTTTGGAAAACATGGTCTGTAGTCCCTCTACAACCTTACCTGATCATTTTCAATCTTACATCTCTGCTGCCGCTCTATGGCCACTGATATCTTCTAATTCATGAAGTTCACAGTATTTATTGTTCATTCTTACTTGACTTTTGCTATACCATACATGTATTAACATCCTCCCTCGTGCGTCTTGACGTTCGAAAAGTCAATAGATTATAGTCCTTTCAACATTCTATCTATAAATTAGGTAGAGATAACTTACCCAAGAGACTCCCAGTCACCCATTGATTCAATGATTGCTTGAAAGCTGAGATACGAACACAATATGGTTCAAAATAGAAGATCTCTATCTTCTAAGCGTCTCTTTTCTAGGTATAAGGTCTATTCGTCTTACTGTGGCGGAGTCGAATAGCTTGGCCAAAGCGTATCTAGCATTAGAAGCTCCCGAAGCCGTGGCAACCCAGCTTCTATGTATGGGTCGGGATCCGCTCGATTTTCTCCCCGTCCACTTGACAAACAGACGAAGGTGACGTCGAAATCTCCTCACTTTGATCAATCTGACAACCTCTATTCCTGAGTATTCTCCTTCCAGTGAAATGAGATATTTGAAGTCTTCCAATTGAACTCTGACGTTTATGGTAAGATGCTACAGTTCCATAACATCTGCAGCATATTGGCAAAATGACTTGAGCTCGCTGACACCTTGCCCATTTTCTCTTCCACTTCCAAGTCAGAGATTCAACGACTTGATTCCCTAAGCAACGGCTGGTCTGTCAGCCAGAAAGGCAGTAAGTCCTGCGTTGCTCCATGTACCACAATCATCCGGACCATGGTCTTTCACATTGATTTTGATGTGTGCTCAAAGGATTTCACCCAACCCGTGTCTGAACTGACCACTGACATTTGACAGATTTCTCACCGGCTGTACCCTTGGCCAGTCTTTGTTTAAACCGTGAGCTTGGTGAATTTGCTTCTGGACGTTCGCCTGGAGATCGTATTGACCGGTTCGAGTAGGGTGTGCCTGACGGCGCTGTAGTTGTTTCTTCTACTCGTCTGACATTGACAGCAATCTCTCCAACGTAATCCTATAAATATCCCTGCGAACCACCATACGATCATCTTTGATCTCGTGTTCATAATCTTCCACTTCCGATATGTATCTATAAAGCCTACGCTTCTCCATCCAGTCTCTGAGAGGCTCAAACTTTGCCAGATGCTCAATGGTCTACTCAACTAGTTCCATATCTGTGCTGGCATCCACATGGAAGTATGACCCGAGCAGATACCGAAGAATTTTGGTCCTGAGCTCGATAGGCAGATCGTACCATGGGAATGTACCTTTCCTGTTGCAAATGTCAGCTTTTTGCATTCTATGCTTAGGGTAATGTCATATTTATCAGTCGGTGTATTTCCGCTGCCATCCTTCATTCTTCATTTCTCCAGCTATTCCAGGACCCGTGTTCCAACCACATAGCTGCGGGCCGGTACATATAGCAAAAAGAAGATTTTCGGCGCTCTGCTATCGGCATGCGACCGAGACAGAAGTCGCCGTAGCCATTGTTGTATGGTACTCTAGCCGTGGTCGCCATCAGGTTGTTTGCTTTCAATTGCACTTCGGAGCTGCTTATTAGAAGTCCAATCACTTCCGAGGAGTTGGAATGATTTGCAGCACCGGCCGTTGGAGAAGATGGATGGCGGAGCTCCGAGGAGGTGCCATGGGTTGAAGCCAATCTTGCGCCTAGTTGCGTGGTTAGTACTGGCGCAAAAGAATGGCGACGCTTGTCGACGATAAGATCAAGAGAAACCTACCTTCTTCCTCGGGAATAGGCATTGCGCTCTCTGAAGGATTGTCGTCCATTGTCGGCGCTTTGCTTCTGTTGTGGTCTGAAGAATGTTTGTGATTGAAGTAGATCCTAACCAAAAAATAATCAGGCTCAGGGCTAAGAAGTATTCTTTCCTCGATCAGTGGCGACGGACACAAAATGCTGGCCAATTAAACGAATTGAACAGGCTCGACAAGGCTACATTATATCATCAAACCTTATTCAGCAATGATCATCTTTGCATCTTGCGGTAAGTGGCCTCGGGACAGCTTCATTCATAGGACGTTTACAATTTGTGAAAGCGCACGATTGAGTTTTTTTACCTAACACTCAAAAACTTACTGTGATATCACAAAGCAACGAGTGTTCGGGCTCTTCTATTATTTTGCAAATTTACTTTTCGTTGAACGAGATCCATGCTAGAGAACAAGCGCAAGTGTAAAGGAAAAACCAATGCAATTGAAGTTCGTCGCTTTTGCTGAAACCAGACCACCAAATCTTCCCATGCTCAAGAAAAATCATGAGAACAACTATGCAGGGTTGTTCCACTCCCTTATCCTATCAAATATCCTTGTGGTTCAATCGTGAGTCCGTCTCCTTCCTCCATTCTTGAGTTGAGGGGTTGTGAAAGAGTATAGTACGCAAAATGAAATGAAGATTCAGTGCTCTTAAGGATTGAGTGACTTCGCTTTGTGCCCCTACCGATGTCCATGTTCGAGGCTCAAAGCAAAGTGTGGTCGTTTCGAGAGAAGAGTAGGAAGTCGAGTAATGTTTTTGCCTAAGAGCTCGCACTTGATTGATTGGTGGGACCGGAAGGTTGTCGTGATGACTTCAGGTGAGCTGGTAGCATCAAATCTTCAACAATGGGAAGATATTTGCTTTGGAGCTCCTCTTCTCTATCTCTGTCATAACCAGTACCATTGCTACCTTCATCATCGTCGTCTTCATCGTCCACTAACTCATAGTCCATGGAGATGTCCAAACGAATGTGGAAAACCCGAAGCAGCTGCAAGTTTCGAGAAGCAGTCAAGTAAACGAAACCATCTAGACCTTGGCCAAGTCGATGGAGATCGTTTTCAGAGATATCAAGTGTGATTTCGAGCTTGTACAATCTTGGTAGCAACGCCATTGAAGAGCAACAAGCTTCGAATTCTCGGTGATTGAGGTCAATGCGATGATTGATGCCGAAGGACACAATTCTAATTCCTTTGTGAATAGCTGGCCGAGATTCAAGGAAATATTTGATCTCATGGAAGTCAGATTGATCTCCACTTGCTTCGATAGCACAAGTTTTCCAAAGAACGTCTCCTAGCTCCTTTCGGAACTGATTACTTGTGTTGGATATTTGTCGAACCCAATCCACGAACAAGTGATCTCTCCGATCAACACCACTCCAGGCATAGAGGCTCCTGCATGGCCGGCTTTCTGGGTGCAACTCGCCATGTTGACGGTCAGGATGCGCCAAGTCTGGTTGGAAGCGCTTTCGGGAGAGTTTAATTTCGAAATATGGTGTTCTTTGAACCCCGCGGTAGGAGAACATGGGCTTAATCATCATACCGATGATGGCTTGGCGCACCTCTATGGGTAGATCGTTGAAGGGAAAGATGCCCGATCTTAGATTTAGTTAGTCGAAGATTCAGGGGGTGGTAATCACGGAACAGAAGACGTACCTTTGGAACCCGTTAAGCTCGACAAATGGGACAGCATTACTACCAGTAACAAAGTCCGTCTGTCCCTTGTTTCCTTTCTTCCCATCAATCAACCTGCCAAAGACGAAGTCTCCATAGCCATTATTGTAAGGTATTCGTGACGTAGAAGGAGGAATTTCAAGAAGTTGTACCTCTCCCGCACCAACAATGTCGACAGCCTGTAGTTCTAGATCTGTGCGGACTTTAGCCATGACTTTGATGTCGGAGAAAGGGTCGGAAATGAAGGGCGCAAAAATGACGAGCGCAAGAGTGAAAAGCGCAATTGTGAAGAGCGCAAGTGGGGTGAAGAGCGCTTTGTATGGCTAGAACGTACCTTGCATAGGCTTCTTGACGTGAGCTTCAGGGGTCTCCATTGCGCTGATTTCGTCTATCTGTTTGCTGAGTTGTTGCGGTTGCGATTGTTGAAGAAGGTTGGAGAAAGTGAAAGTGAGCCTTAATTGAAGAAGGTTAGAGATTGAGTGAGTCGCTATTGAAGTGCTATTGAGTCGCAAATGAGTCGCATATAAAGCGGATAAACGTTAAGCGCAAATGAAAGGCATGCAGAATGAAGTCGACCCTAGTTTCTCTTCTGAGTTGAAAGGCTCTGGATTGAAAGGTACACCTCAGATCCTTGATCTCTTATGATGTCACGAGGGAATTGATTATGAAGAGAAAACTCTACTGATCTGAATCGTTGTATTATTTATTGCTCTACAGACTAGATCATACTTGTATCTTCGCAGAAGCAATTATTCTGTGAATTAAGCGCCATGTCCATCGGATATCTTCAGAAGCTCAATTTGCTCTTTGCTAGCACCCAAGTCGAAGTTTGTGTTAAAAGGCCCCATCCGCGCAATCAGCTCATGCCACAGCTGACCCAATCACTGCCTCGGTGCAGACAATCAGTTTCCTTGCTCTGCTTGGTCGATAGAAGACGACGTTGCTGTTTCCGATCTGTGGTGAAGGTATGCGTCCATTTTCGTAAGAAGCGGTTTGGCCCGCAAGCTATCGGGCATCATGATTTCTCTGATGAGAGGCACGGCCTTGCAGGACGGGCACAGATCCTTCTCCTTGCTTTCACATCCGTCTAGACATGGACCGTAATCCGGACCACTACCAATCATTGGGATGATAGCGAGGTTAACATGAAATACCTCCTTGACACGCAATGTTCGACTGCTAGTCATTCCAGCAAAGCTGTCCGTCACCGCAAGAATATGTTCGAGGTCTTCCGAGTATAACACAATATCCAACCTAAGGCTTCGGAGATCAGGAAGCATTCCTATTGCAGAACAAACCTCCGCGAATAGCCCGGCGTTTCCTTCCAGCAGGCTTGCAAAGAGACTTATCCTTCTGATACCCTTGGCCACAGCTGGTCGGTCTTTCAAGAATTCATGGAAACATTCCTCATTTATTAGTTCCACTTCTGTGTTTTGCCAAAATACATCTCCGAGCTCCTGTCGAAATACACTGCTGGTATTAGAGATTTGCCGGATCCATTCGTGAAAAACGCGGTTTGGGCCACCTCCGCGTACGGTAACCTCCCAAGGATCAATCAGGACGTTGTACACGCACCCAGCTCTACCAGGGTGTATTTTGCGCTTGTGGCTGTAGATCTCTTTTTGTATCAGGAAGTCTTCCTCCATAATCTTTAGTGCTGCTGGACCGTCCTCCATTTCTGCCTTCAGCAACCATGACTTCCCGTGACTCAAATAATAGTAGTTGAAATCGCCCGAATACTCGCTCCTTGAATATTGTGATTCTGCAATGGCATAGGGATTACGTTCAAGTTGAATTTGGATGTATCTGCCACCGGTCTTATCGCAGGTTGTGAACAAGGGCCAAAGAAGGAATTGAAATATTCTCTGTCGAATCTCGCGAGGAAGATCGAAATAACGAAAAAGACCTGTTCTATGCTACCTGTTAATATATTTCGATAGCTGCGGGCAAGGATACAAACCTTTGGAAACCATCCAGCTCCGGCGCAACCAAACTGTTATCATTTCTTGCTGCCGATTTATCGTATCTGTCTATAAATCTGCCGAAGCAAAAGTCTCCATAGCCATTGTTGTAAGGCACCTTGAAGCTGTTTGCGACTGTAGTCTGACAGATTGGTTCTTTCTCGATCTCTAACACACTCTCAACAGACGAAGAAGAACCGTTCTTGTCTGCTGTAGCAAACTCAAGATTTCGTTGCTCTTCACCTCCAGCTGGACTGTCAGCCCTGATTCGGGTTGCAGCTGCATGACTTGGGAAGCTGCTGATTTTCCTCGAAGCTGAATCTAGATTGGATATCAGCATGGAATTGGTGTGAGATGCCAAGCAAAGCTGAATTCCCGCAAAGCGCTTTGATGGATCCTGCCAACCTGATATCGAGGCACGTACCTTGCTCCGTACGGTTCTCGAGGACAGCTCCTGGCTCCTCTGTGACTTCCCTGGATGCTATGAGAGTCGCTGATGATAGAAAGTCTTCTCCGAGGACGCTCGATACAGCTGCGTGCAAGTCTTCTTTTCCTACTGGATCTCATGAGACCCGTTAGCAGCTGTGACAAAACTGAAACAAACCAGACAAGGGCTTCATAACGGAACAGAAATTCGATCACAACATACCTTCCGCTTCGTCCATGACCGTGCTTGCACTATTGTAATGTGTTTTCCCCCGCTCTCCACGTCACTTTGATTGGGCTGGTGGTCCTACTGTATTCTCTATTGAAAGAGAAGCTGGGTAGAAGTGTAAATAAGGTCGCTAATCACCTAACGAAAAGGGCGCCAGCGGCCGCCTTGTACAAGTTCAAATGGGGACCTTTCACTCTCCTTCATGGTCGTACATTTACATATGTAGTTATTGAAGATACAGCAGAGCGCCTCATCTCTTTGTTCCATCGTTCGGGAGAGTGAGAGGGGTTAAACACTACGCTTTCAAGACATTGTATCACAGACGGAGCTTAGTTATTTCATGAAAATTCTTTGCTATGCTTTTGTTTGCTTTATGTACAGTTGGTGCTCTCAGGCTCCGTTTATCGCTGTTGCAATCAAGACAGAATCAGCCCTGAGAGCCAGGAATACCACCGTGGGAAGAGCCTAGGATTCTTCATACCCATCCACCAGAGCTCCAAAGAGAAAACAGAGATATATTTTCTAGAGAATCTACACTAGAAAGCTGCTGGAGAGCGTTAAGGCATTATCTCGCGCGAATCTCGAAATTATCTTGCTGATCTGTGGAAAGTCAAAAGAGAGCTGTGAAGAGTTGGTACAAGCAAGTCCACCACTCCCTTATGTGCCTTTATGTTCTTTCGCGCGCTCGAGATAGGTAGCTCGGAGAAGGAAAATTTTGTCGAAAGAGTCAATGCCTGTCTAACGTTAGTTTTTGGTGCAAGGAATGAGAAGCTAGAATTACCTACCAGGAAATGGTTCTTGAATCTCTACGCAGAACTCTCTGCATCAGCAACATGGTGGTAGTTTGAGGCTGCAGCGTTTGATTTACATCACTATGCATGGTGCTGATGACATAGTAGGAGGATTGTTCGAAGTGATGTGATGACGACTTTCAAGATATGTCTCAGTTGCAGACAAGAAGACTTTTGGCCGAAGGCTCTTAGGCATCATCAGTTCCACAAGCTCCTTGCGATATTGTTCGTTAATGCCAGATCCGGACTCATCAAGTATCTGACCCGGCTTCTCACCTCCAAGTCGAATACTGACAGAAACAGTGAAGCTTTGTGTGACATTCAAAGTCTCTGCGGCTGCAAGGTTGGGAAACCACTCGCTTAGTACCCTCGGGATGTCCTCTTTTTCCATGAGGACCTTGACTGTCAATCGTTCCAAGATCAACCGCTGAGAGAGGCTTTCACACCAGTCTTCGAAACTGTCTGTATTTCTTTCTCGGCTGAGGTCTAGTCCAATGTACAGATACTTAATTCCAGCGCAGATAGATGGTCTTTGCTGGAGAATTTCTGGGATAGCTAGCCACGAATTATTGCCATAGGTAGCAATTCCGGTCCTTGACCATAGAGTATCTGCCAACTCTTTTCGAAAGGTCGTGTTCACGTTGGAGGCTTGTCTAATGGATTCCAGGAAGTGCCAGTCAATCCCCATTCTCCATCCGGCCCAATATGGCTTTGGTGTTGCTTTCTTAGTGAGTAGCATGAGTTCGTTGCCTACCCAGGCGCTGCTTTCTCCAAAGATGAACTGCACAAAGCTCTTCTCGGAGTCCTTGTCATACTCAAATAGCGGTCTGAGCAAAAGTAGAAAAACCATTTTGCGAATAAGATCTGGCAGCTTGAAGAATGCGAAGGATCCAGACCTAATGGAGACACATGATTAGGTTGTAATATCAATCATTTATGAACAGGCATCAAACCGCTCAAATCCATCCAACTCCTTAACTGAGTTTCCATAACTTCCATCTCTCCAAAGATTGAAATTTGGTCTGACGCAATCTACGGGATCTTCCAACCATCTATGGAAGACGAAATTGCCATAGCCGTTGTTATATGGGATCCTGCGGATGAAGTTCCGCTTCTTACACTCAACGTCGCCAGCAGGGATTCCGATTTCGGACTTCATTGTAAGGTTTTCAATTGTACCTGGGATTTCTTGCGAGACTGATTCTGTGTAAAGTTAGCCTACAGTGGGGAATCTCTTTTTTCCTTTTTTTTTGAAAGTGCGCCCGTAGATCTCCATGGGCGCACCTTCAACCTCTCAAGTAGCAGAGTCTTCAAAGGAAATACTTACGATCGATTCCCGGCACGGCACAAGAAGTGACTGGAGGGGTTTCTGGTGTAGCCATGTTGCTAATGTTCTGAACTTTCAAGGTTGTTCGTTGTTGAGGAGAAGGGTGTTTCGGATAAAAATCATAGGTTGTAAACAAAATAAAAACTCTTTCTATCGACAAGAAAGAGAGCGCTAACCGTCGGTCCGTCGGCAGTGCGGCCGAGTCGCTTGTCTTAAGCTTGTACGGCGAGAGCTTATGACATGAATGTCGTACTATAACAATATGATAGTTTGAAGTATTTGAAGTGCAAAAAGCACTGAATTTGCTATAATCTTATTAATTGCGTTTTCTTCTAGCAATTCTAATTACTTCTTGCATTTGCACTCACTTCACTAATACTCTAACTATACTAATTCTTTAACTACACCAACACTCTAACTACACCAACACTTTGGTAACACCAGCTCTCTGAATGATCTGACTTTTAGTATGGCAAAATTAATGCTAAAAGATGAGAATTTTTAGAGTGTAAAAGTTTGGTTTGAGTGGAATAGAAATTAGAGTTGCTTAAACCTTATCAAGGACGCTCGTGAGTAAAATAATTGGTGGGGAGGCTCGGGTCAAGGTATGGATACACTTAATTTTTGAAACCCGAATACCCGAGTATTTTCAAATAGGTACGGTGAGAACTTAGGATATAAAGGGCATATGAATAATAATGTGAAAGTCTTAAATAGTAAATGCAAAAGAAGCTTTGATTTGCTAGGAAATCTAAGTTCTATACTAATTATTTGCATTTTCTCTTAACTCCTTTAGCTAGCTCTAATACTTGCACTCAATGTTCTACTAAGCACTCGGTACTCTCTAAATACACCGGATTTTGGATTACACTAAAGCACATGCGTAGAAGTGATGTAAAAGGATGATAATTTTGATAGCGCAAAAAGTTGTTGATTTAAAGGGAACAAAAAATGGAGTTATCTCAGCTTTATTAAAAGTGCCCGTGAGTAGAGTAAGAAGTGGGAGTGCTTGGGTAGAGTTGTGGATACTTTATTTCTTGAAAATCGATACTTGAACGCTCCTTTATTAGGCTAGGGCAACTCTGCAGCCCTTGAAAATAAGATCCTGCTCTTTTACACTTCTCTCCCGTTTCCTTCTCCATCGGTTCTGCTATAGTGCCAAAAGCAAGTACATTTAAGAGAGCAGGTGTTTTCAAAGAGAGAAAGCTAGAGCATTCAGAGAGTTGGTGTATTTAGCGTATTGAGTGCTGGTGCAAGAGCTTCTAGAAGGTGCAGGTGGTAGTTTCATAGCAAATTCAGGTGTTTTTGACACTTCACATACTTCATGTTTATCACGCTATCATGCGTGCGACTTTTTCCCCGTACTCGATGGAAAGTTGAACCTCGCTGACGGTAGACAGACTTCAGTCATTTATTTACATCTGTCTGACGTTCTCAGAAGGTGGCATAAAACTCACAATAAGAAGTAATTACAAATATCTAGATGACTCCAGGGTACCTGTTAGTCATGTAGGAATCATCACTTTATCACATGTATTGGAAAGCTCATCTCGCTTCGAATGAACTATTTATTTTCTATGTCAACAGAATGCACCAATGGCCGCACCTCAATTTTTGAAGGGATGACAAAATATGAATGCCCTCTCCAAATTCTGAGATGTATCCTGCGGACCCGACTGCGCACGTGTCATTTCTTCTGTCCCTCCGTCCTAGCTTTAGCTGCCAATAGCACAAGTATCTCGATGTCTGCTCCCCATCATCGGATCTCCCGCGACACCCAGCCTCATAGTAGCATTCCAATTAACAAGCTCTCTCAGGTTGCTAAGTTGTCCAAGCATGTGAAGATTCGATATCGGTTTCCATCCGAAGGTCATGGAAGCGAGGATGGTGGTACGACTAAACTATCAGAGCGTGATTGAAGATATACGTTCATCTCGTCAGTCGCTGGCTTCCACCGCAGGGTGTCAGGTAGCATGACGTCTGTGATGAATTTTTCATACTTCATCCGTAGATTTTCCGTAAAATCATCCCATTCTTCGGAAGAGTGGGATTTATGATTATTATTGAGATAAATGGCGGATTGGACGGAGAAGCGCTTCCTAACTTGTAATTGTCGACCCGGCTGAAGATAATCCATCAAATACTCAGATCGAAAAATGTCGGAAAGGGAGTCTTCTTCCATTTCAAGTTGCACACAGAACGTCTCGAGAACGAGTCGGTCGCCGATGAAGTCACAGAGCTCTTTGAAGTTAACAAGAGCGGCGGTCATGACCAGGCCTTGTGTCTCCGCCTCGAGATCGACTTTGACGGTAATGTCTTTGATTCCAGCGTGAATCGACGATCGATCATGAAGGAGTTGCAGAACAGAGTATGGTCCGCGCATTGTAGGCAGAGAGGCGTCGATAGCAATTCGAGTCCAGAATACATGTCCCAACTCATGTCTGAATTTGTTGGATACGTTTGAAAGCTTTCGTAACCACTCGAGATACCAAGAGTCCGTACGCTCCTCCTTCAAGCTTCCCCCCTGCCACGTAGGGAATAACCCGATTTGATAAGAAGTTGACCGGGAAGGATGAACAGCATATTTGTGGCGGTGGACGATTAACTGTTGCTCATACTCTTCGATTGTTGTTTCTGGCTTGGTAGAGGAGTTGGGGTCATCTAACTCGACGGCGGACGCTTTTCTCTCCATACCTATGAAGTGTTCGTAACCATGCTCATAGCGATCGGCATGCGATTTCTCTGGTTGTTCTACGTAAAGTCTGATGTAACTCGTCTTGTCATTCTCATCATATTCGTACAGTGGGCCGAGAAGCAAACGATAGATCATATCGCGTACAAGCAGAGGCAGACTGAAGAAAGGGAACGGTCCATCTCTAATATAATTTTCAGTAAGCCGAGCTTCAAGCTGTCTAGATAACAAGATTCTTACCTCTTGAAGCCATCAAGTTCAGGTACAACAACTCCATTGCTGCCCTTCTCCCAGAATTCTTGGTCTTGTACAGTTCCTGTCCAATCACACACCCTTCGTCGAAGTGCCCATCGCCCAAAGCAGAAGTCACCGTACCCATTGTTGTAAGGAATCCTTGCCGGCATAAGTTGCTCAGAGGAGGATTTCTCGTCGTCCAATTTGTCTCGTTCGACTTCAGTCTGTCCATTCGCCTCGCTTTCAGGCGGTGGATTATTGGTATTGGTATTCATTGTCTGAAGATTGGGTTCCTGTCCAGTATCTGCGCATATTGTTAGCAAGTGGATTTCAAGGATACTTTGTCCCGATCATGAAAATAATTGACTTGTGCAGACAATCTAGTGATGGATTCTTTTACCTTTAGGAGACTTGATCGAAGCCATGCTGTAGATCTTGTTTTGTGTATTTCGAGGAAGTTTATGGGATGTTTTCGAAGGGAGGATAGTTGAGTTTGCGGTAAATAGGTTGTTCAAATCCAAGTCGGAGTTGAGCTAAAGTGCGCAAATTAGCCGCCTTTCCCGATTGGGCTCACGCTGGGGAAACTCTTATCGTCTTTCATATCACCATACGTCATTTTGGTTAGAAGTCATCTGGAAGCTAAGTGATGATGGTGTGGCCTGCCGTCATGCCTAGTATGCTTTGGTTTACCCAGATCTTGCTACCCTGTCAAAGGAAACATGACAGACGACTTAAGTTGCATCATCTTCCAATAACCTTCTAGGGTGCATTGCTGTGATGATAGCTTAAAGTGAGCAGACTCGGAAAGTGAAGTGTCCGGGTACGAAGGTTGGTGCAATGCAGTGCTTCTGAGGTTATGGAGATCGGCGTATGAGTTTGACTCCTCGGGTTCAGAACCATGACCAGCTTCAAGGTAGGCCTGCATCTCGAGTATTTGGCATAATCATCTACCTTATGCGTGGAAGATGTTTAATACTCCTGTTGTTGAGTTGTTGCAACCACTCATCAGACCCACAGATTTTATGCTTCAAGGGATCCAGTATGTGGCAGCTCCTGCCAAAACTAGCAAATAACCTGGATGTTGAGTGACCAGTTGTTCCAACTGTGTATCCTTCTCATAAGTATTAGCATATCCTTGGAATCTGTAAGTGTAAGACTTCCCGCCAATAGCTCGCATTACAATACAGGGCCCATAAATCCTTTCCTTGTTCATGAAGGGTTCGGCAAGCAAGCTGCACTACAGGAAATTAGCTTTTGCTGTTTCGTAAGAATAGAGAAACGAATCGCCGCAATATTCTCTTCTATATGCAAAGTTCAATTGTCGCTTCGAACACTGCGCAAGGTTAAAGTCGCGATCCCGGGTTACACAGTTATGCGACCAAAATCAAAAGCCGAAGTCCTCTGACCACGTCAGACATTCGAAGGTTACAGAAGCAATCTTTGCTTCGACATGCTACTTAAACTTGACTAGGACATCTGCTAGTGTGTCAGACTTCTAGATTGAAGTGCCTCCATTCCGTCTCTTGCCCCTGAATCGTCGCTTGCATGCTGAGTAAGCATCGCTTATAATAGGAGAAATCATTCAGTGGCAACATCACTTTGTTGACGTCATAAGTAATTCTGCAAGGTGTAAATACAATTTCATATCATGAATCTTTACTTCATCTTCAGTATATACAAGAAACGAACGACATTAGCTCTTTCCTACATGAATTCGTTGCCGTTACCCCGCTAAGCCTTGACTGGATCATTACTAGGATAATACTCTCTTGCCGCGAACTGCAACTCCGCTGCCCCAACATCAAAGACTGTAACGACGTTCTTCTGGAACGTATCTCCTAGAATGTATACATCTTCCGCGGCATCACTTCCTCCATCATCAATACCTGTAATGCAAACATCGTCTCCGGCCTCGTCTGTTCCAGCAAGCAGAATCATGTCAAGCGGATTGGTGTAGAACGTCGTCCCGTTAATCACTATTCCCAAGCTTGGAGGTGTGGCGGAACAGTCCACAATGTAAGCACCTTCATCTTCGTCATAGATTGCAGGCGGGACAAAAGCGTCATTGACTGCATCAGCGATTCTGGTTGGGAAGTAGTTCAGCGTGGTGCCGGAATCAACGATATACTGTGTGGCACCGCTTGATCCTCGCTCAGTTCTTCCGTCGATTGTTATGCCGTCGATATTGATGGTGTAGAAGTCGTATGTTTCAAGGTAGCCTTCAATGTTGGTAATCAAGATTGGTGTGCTTGTGAAATCCCCGCTGATGTTGACAGGAGGCAGACCTCCGAGAGCAAGATATCCAGAGTCTCCCGAGATGTCGCGGAGAATAGCGAGACTGAACAAGGGAGAGACGAGACCGTCTGTGTACATGGTCTTGAAGATTGGACTGTACTGAATTTGTTCGCCGGTTGCGGAGTTGTCAAGCGTGGGGTCTGTGCCGGCGTATGCGCTTGTGCTGTTGAAAATTAGTACGGCCTAGATGACACCGAGAAACTTGCTTACAGTGCAGGGTACGCCAAGCCAATGAGACCAGACGTTGTATTATCACCTTCCCATGCTGCATAGTTGACAAGAGCAACGGTTTGGTTGACTGTAATGCCCGCCAGAGTCACTGTCTCATATCCAACAACACCAGTCAAGAATTCTCCATCGCCGTAAGTGATATTGAAGTTTTCGTCTGGAATCTGTTGGAATGAGTCCGTGACATTGTAGACTGGCCCAAAATCGCAGTATGCCTCCGTCTCTGGTGCACTGGTCTCTACATCAACGCACTCAAACCCACTTTCGACTACCCAAGTGTCGCTGGATCCAGTGTCGACAATCGATTCAAACGTTTCGGTACCAAAGGTAATATTGGTGGCAAATTCTTCTCCGATGAAGAGCGATTCGAGTATTGAGGTATGATTTGATACTGTGATCTTGCTTGCTCGAGACATGCCCAGAAGGAATGCAGCACTTCTCGCATTGTAACCTTTGGCAGAAGTCTTCCGGCTGAGCTCAAGTACATGTGATGAGACAGTGAGCTCACTAGCTTCAGATGAAGCAGTTGCAGCCGAGATCGAATAGGAGCCTGCGGCTACGGAGGATCCCAGAAGTGAAGCTCCCACGAGCAAAATTGAAAGGGCAGACATGACGGTCTTGATTCAAACTCTCAGACAAGTTACGTATGTAAAGAAGCCTGACGGGCAGCAAACAGAATACAAAATTGAGAATGGCTTGACAGCCTGCAGGATATATGCTCATCCTCACCACTCCACTCTTGCACGAAAACAAAAAACTCAATTGCGCAACTCCGATAAGATAGCTGCATTGATCATCGAAACTCGCATCTTCTTTCATCCAGTTGCCTCTTCAAGCCACAATTGCCGAGTAGAAAGCTTGTTCATGATAGAGAATGCGGGGACAACGCGCACTCTACAGGGATCGGTACCGGCATCCATGTTGACTAACATCGGTTCCTGCATGAATAGATAAGAAACAGCGGCAACAATATCCGCCTCATTGGATACTGAAATCGTACGCATCATCTCACATGTACGACACCTTCCATTTGCGACAACGATTGACCGATGATGACCTTTGCTTTGGCCGTCGGTGCCGGAGAGAAACTCCATATGGGATTAATGGAGCGGCCACGTGAAACTCATGCGTCCCTCCTGAATGGAAATTATTTGCTCCGTTGAATGAGCGAGGCGAGGTCCATGTGGTATTGTGGAGATATACAAAAGGGAATGCGGGGGAACCTGCTCCTAACTTCAGGATGGAGGTTCAGCGAGGGCTTTGCCAGCCCCGATGACGTAGATCACAGGTGTGGCAAAACATATCTGATCATAGGGAAGATAAAGCATCACCATGAATACTTGGAAAGAGCGCAAGCGAGCTTTGAAAATGAACACTTCTGTTTACATAAATGTGGATGAAGAAGACTTCGAGCTGATGAGGTTGAAATTTTGCAGACTAACTGTTTTCAGCCTAAACCAGAGTCACGTGGATGCCAAGCTTTTGTGCCCCTTCAGACAGCTTCAACCATTGACATTCTTTCCCTTCAATCAATAATTTCCTGCTTCTACAATGCAATCTTGACCTGAGATATTTGCCACTCCTGGTGCTATATTTTCCTATTCGAATATAAGCTCAGTGTACTCAAACCTCGGCCTCCAGCCCCAGAGACAATTGCTCTCCTCGAGTCTTGGGCGAAATACGCTGCAAGAGGAACAAATATTCTCGTCAACTTTGCGTCAGAAACTTCATAAGCACCAGCAAAAAGCCTCCCAAAGGTATACTTTTCCGCCCATTCAAATCCATATTGAGCCGCGTCAGTACTGTCGAAGGCTACGAGGGTGTCTCGCAAATTCAAATGTTTGCAAATGCTGAGACGGCCAAGCTACAAGTCGACGTCTTCGTTCCACACTGCACCACTTGATGCTGTCACGCTAGAATAATTTCGAAGATTCTGCTCCGTGAGCGTTCTTGGTCCGATACTTCTGATCCAAGCACCCAAGCCATACTTGCCAAGCGGTTGATCTGGCCGGATTGTGAAGTTGACCAGCGTGGGTAATTCGATTAGACTTCAACGTTCCACCTTGTATGGAAGCGTCAAGATGCTTCGAAGTCCATGGCCAGTACACGGGTACAAGAGTTGTTAGAGAGTGGGGCTCTATCATGACAGAGGTGTTCACCAATGCTAAAGATGACAGAGGAGGGATAGCATTGTTTTACTCATTCACCCCACTGTCGTCCGTCGAGAATGGAACACAGGAGAGGCGAGATTGAGTCATATATGGCTGATCAGTTGAGGATTCTGGGCAGGTTGGAGGCATGATTTCAATAGTTTGTAGTCCAAACTCGACCTGGATGATCGGAAGCCTTGTTGGCGCTAGTGAGGGAGTGATGTACGAACAATTGCCCCGTGCCCAAGTAGAAAAAGCGTCTAAGCATAGCAAACCTTCCAGAGCGGAATGTCCAGCGAGTAAGGTGAGAGAAGTTGCCTTTCACGTTGTGACGACACATCTCTCCAAGTGCATCGACAAGCCTCGTACATTGAGCTAGTGGATGGATGAAAAGTTGTAATTGATCAGCTCTGGGAAATCTGTTTCAGTTGTGACACCTCAAGTTCTTGGCTTATGCTGTAAGACGAATAGAATTGCTTTTAGCCATTAGGATCAATCTTTCCCGAATGCCCGTACCCGTCATTCTTGGGCTTCTTTCCCTTCCTTACCACAGTGCATGCCAATTATAATTGAGTAGTTAGCATGCAAGTCCCACATGATGTGGTCCAGCTTGCTCGAGCCCCATAGCTTGGAGTATTCACTCCTTAACTGAGACAATAGCTGAGAGATCGCACTGCAGATGCAATGTAGATCTGGTATGACAATCTTTTGTGATTTGTCGAGGGGCGCCACGGGACGGGCCGGAACAACAACAGAGAACCCCGCGTTGCGCAACCACCCCTCACTTTAGGGTCCACGAATAATTTCTGTCATTTTATTCATCTTTATGCTACAAGAGACAATTCATTGAACTACTTTGAGTAGAGTATAGCATTTCCATCATACATCAAGATACTTCCATCTCAACTGCTGAAATAAACGGCAAGATGTGGGGTAAAAGAGTCAAGAAAGCATGAAATCTAGATGTGGCTTGCCGCTGCGGCGTTTAACACTCGATGAGATCGATCATTTGCGACCACCTGCGCGCATATTCTTCGAAGCTTGCATACAGTATGCGCTTCGTTGTATGGCGTTACCCAAGATGTCGAAGTGAGACCATTTAGCTGCAGTGGTCAAGATCTTCGTCTGCCGCTTGATCTGTTGTCCAATGGCTTTTTCGGGAACGGCTAGTCCGCCCAAGACATCCCCAAAGGGCGTTCGCCACATCTACTCATTGCCGAGCCCGCTCTCAAAGTTGGAGGTCGTGTAACTGTGTTATGTCTCTACCTTGCGTCTTCGACCTGCATGTTGGATCTTTCAACCAAGGTCATACATTACCGGATTGTGCATAAGTAAGATTTCCTTGATTTCTTGAGACATCTCAATAAAGAGTTTGCCAAGGAGTATATGGACACTCTTTTCGAAGTAAATCGAAGCGCCCCATTGAACAGTTACGGTGTAAATATTTGAAGTTTAACGAAACACTGCCTTTTTTGTGACTAAGGCGAGGCCCTTTACTTTTTCCACGAGAGAACTTGAGAAAAGCATGACGTTTGTGAAGTAATGCATGTGGTGAGTGTATAAAATGCAATGCATCGCCGAACAAGCCTTGCATGATTGCAGTGGAGCCTATCAGGCACTTTGTTCGTTTGAGAGATTCAATAAAGCTGGCCTGTATGACCACAGGCTCTAATACTCAGCATCCAAAGAATCTCATCTCACTTGATCCTACCTGAAAAAACCCACAAGATGCGTCACACAGCTATCTTGCCTCTCCTCTTGAGTTCTCTCATCTTGACAACCAATGCCAAATTTGGCAAGAGAGTTACATGTTTTGATAACAATGCTACTCCTAAGCTGACTCTCCCCTGGGGTACCTATGAGGGGAAGCCGTATGGAGCAGATGGAGAGGTCAGTGAAGATCCATAGAGACTCTTTTCCTACGTATTTTTCCCTCAAATTGCTTTCACTGACACCTTCATATGTCTAGACTGTTCTTTTCAACAACGTCCGCTTCGCAAAGCCGCCCGTTGGTAACCTCCGCTTCGCCGCACCCGAATATCCTGATGCCATACCAGACAGCAGCAAGATCCAAGATAGCAGCTGGGGTCCAAACTGTATTCAGGCAGCTCCTTCAAAGTCCAAACACATTTTCGAAGACTTCCCTGAACCTCCTTCAAACGAGACCCAATCCGAAGACTGTCTTTTCCTAGATGTCTACGTCCCCGCATGGGTTCTTGATCCTGAGGCCGGCGAGAAGATCCCAGTCGTTGTCTGGATCTTCGGTGGCGCCTACATTTTTGGCGGGAAGAACACTACGTTTGATGTAGAAGATGGTCCACCGTACAACGCATATGATGGAGCAGGCGTTCGTCAATACACGGACAATGGTGTCATTGTAACCATCCCCTTTTTTTCATTCCTTCTCTTGGCTTCTTTTCATATATGTCATCTTTGGGCTCCCGACCGAGTTCCATCTTACATCATTTGATGAAAGCAATTACTAACTTCCTACAGTGGGTGACCGGTAACTACCGACTAGGAGCCTATGGATTCCTGGCTGGTGAGTACATGGAGGAAAATGCTCAACCGAACGCTGGTCTGCACGATCAACGACTACTCCTCGACTGGGTCCAGAAATATATCGGTCAGATCGGCGGTGATAAGAATGCGGTCAATGTGTGGGGACTCTCTGCTGGTGCAGGCTCAATTCTCCACCACCTGACCGCGTATGGAGGGACCAAAAATGAAGCACCTCTCTTCGAAAGGGCTGCTTTATGGAGTACGGCATTCCAGTGGTCGTACGATCGGAGAGGAACTTTGCAGGAAACGTTTGACTCTTTTGCGGATGCTGCCGGGTGCTCGGATTCCGATAATACTCTCCAATGCCTGAGAGATGCGGAAAACAAGACGTTGGCGACGGCTAATCAGCACATTGTCAGCGACCGTTTGGTCCAGGGAATGTTTCCATTCGGACCGGCTGTCGATGGCGATCTGGTGCCAGACCTCCCAGCTAACCTTTTGAAACAAGGTGTGCAAATCTTTCGTTCTGTTCCCTCGACGCTCTTTCCACCCTATGTCTATGTGATACTGATGTCAACACCAGGAAAACATATCAGCATCAGCTCCATGATGCTGGCTCACGATTTCAACGAAGCTCAAATGTTCTTAGCCGACTGGGTCCAAACAGAACAGCAATTCTCGGAATTCGTGGGGTACGCCTTCCCAGGTAATGCGCTTGCCATAGTGAGGAAACTCATCGAACTGCAATACCCATCCTCTGCATATGATGACCAGCAGGCACGCACGAGAGTATTGTTGCGAGACTCGACATTTGTTTGCAACAATTATCAGCTCTATGGTGCTTACAAAGGTTCATCACAAATCTATTCTTCACGGTACGAAGTCCCACCTGCTCTTCACGGATCTGAGTTGTTGCTCCTGGTTTGGAATCGCGAGGCCAATATTGCCGATCTCCTGAAAGGCATAGCTTCGAACCTCCCGAAGTACCTCATCGATCTCTTAGGTGCAATTCTGGTCCCCATTGCCAACAAATACCAAACGTACTTTGCGGGACATGCTTTGGCCGGTGATCCTAACTACCTCCTTGGCGGTCGTTTCGTAAATTGGGAGGTGACTTCTGACGATGAAGAAGGATTGAAAGATGTGATGAGGATTGGGCTACAGTTCATTAACCCTACGTTCTTTCGTTTGGGAGCGGATACTCAAGTCTCGAAGGGCAACTGCGAGTTTTGGAACACAATGGCGCAGTTGGTTGCTGATGCGGTGAAGACAGATAGTGTGAGGGGAGAAGAGGGGTCGGTGGCTTTCAAAACGCAGAATTCCGAGCGCCTGAAAGTTGCAGTTCAAGTTGAATTGTAAGCACACGATAAACGGATGTTGGGACAAGCGAGATTGACGCAGATGGGGATGGGGGAATGACTTAAGGATGATAAAAAGGAAGCTGTCAAGGTTCATAGTATTAGTCTTGTATTGCGATGTCGAGAAAGGGCTATTCTTTGTCATCCTAGTGAGCACGCATTATTATATGAAAATCACTCTTCTATTGTGCCATGGGATTTGCGTTGGCATATGCACGGTCCTCTAGCTATCCACTTGTGTCTTCTTGAGGGTACGCTACCTCAGCGAAGGCAGCGTAACTACAAGGAGTCCATTTCAGCTTCTTGTGTGCGTAGCCGTCATCCTAGTTTGAAGGTTGGGACGAAAGTCGAAGAAGAACGCTAAAAGTGTACCTTGATAACTTTGAATACGCATTCTCTTGCCACTTCTATTTGGTGGTGTTGGGGAACACCAAATACCAAAATACTTGACATATTATGTCGAGTGTAAAAAGTTCTAAGCCTACACCCCGGGACCTAAAAAAATGAGGGGCCTAGAGTTGAACTATTTGACCGAAGCCGTAAGAACCTTCAGACGCTAAAGAATGCAAAAACCTAATTAGACAAAACTAAGACAAATGCAAAACAAAATTACTAAATCCAAAGACAAAGTGGTCACATACACAGTTGTCAACCAAATTTTTTGCGCGCCTTGACTATATATTTTCTTCCAACCCTGCTAGGCCCCAAAGGATACAACCCCAAGCGCCAGCCCATTTTACAAATGACTTGAGCTGTGCAGACTCCTAATTATGACGAAATTCAAGTAAGGCTCAAGGCATGATGCTAGATCTTTTGTTGAACGTAGAAGCAAGTAGAAACGAAAGAAGTGGAGCAGAGGGAATGTCAAAAGAAAAAGACAAGGGGCGTGCATCTTGAGGACGGCTTTCCCTCGTAATTAAGTATGTCTTCATGCGATGATGACAGAGTGGTTCAAGAACATGAAAGACTTCAAGTCCTTTGGGAAAATTCAAGGCTTCCAACAGATTTTTATCATTTGAAGTGAATGAGATGTTGTGAATGTCTTGAGGACATCAGAACGCTTATGTAATCTAAGCTGTTGGGCACTTTTCACCTCATCTGTCAATCTACCACCTCTTCTCTCACAATGGCGTGCACCAACGGAAACTCCTTCGAAAGCCTTCAGTTTCGGACGCGCTGCATTTATCACGTAGCTGCTTCAGCCACTGCATCACTGGAGTCAGAAGAAACTCTGATTTCACGCGTTCACAGCCCCAGCCTCACAATGACAACAATACACACGAGCAGCACAGCCAACGACAAATATATTGATGGCCGCATCTCGAATCTCAACGCGGAAATGGCGCGACTATGTACACGACGAACATCTCAACTGACATCTCCGCGAACCTGAGATCACCTTTGCTCTATCTCATACAGCCTTATCGAGCACTCGACCTGCCCCCTCCCACTATCCTCGAATGTACATAATTACATGGCCTTTACGGCAGATAAAAAGGTTGCGGCGAACACGTCGGTGACCAGAGATCTGTCATGAAGTCAAGAGCTCCTGCTGGCGTCGGGCTGCTACAAGCTATAGACAACATGGGCAGACTTGGGGCATAGCTACATGAACACATCCCAGGTCATATAACATATACACCGACCTGCGATTACCTCTAATATGCCAGATCGCGGCGTATGGAACAAGGATGCCAGCGTGCTACCGCGGCTCGACGGGCGGGTAGGTGGGTGGATGATCCTAAGAAACTCAGCAACCACATCTTAATCGTTATGTTGTTCCTACCTCCTCGACCACCGGGCGACCCATTCCCTCTTTCCGTCTCTTGGCCAAGGTAGCTGATGCTCCAGAAGGGCACTATCTATGGTACCCCGATAGAAGCAAGCGTCCGGATCCTGGTGTCTTTCTAAGGGACAAGGCTCCCGCAACGTGTCTCGGGCCAGGACAAAATGATCGCGACCATTTGGTAATAACAGTAGTACAAAAAAGAAAAGCAAACATATACCATTCGAGGTATACTTCAGCAACCGCTGCTGGAACGAACATCCAAGGAGTAACGCCGGTTCTTCATGGTATCAAAAGGTGGACTGGTTCCATGTTTGTCGGTTGATGCTGTAGCTGTGATCTAGATTGAGGGTATTACAAAATGCGCTTACGGGGTGGAGAATGGTCCCGATGGTTTAGACTCCCTTCATGGCCAAGCGGGTACACATGCTTCTTGCTGGATTCTGATCATATCCACCCTGTGGATGTATCTGGAGTTCTGTTTGTTCCTCCTAGGGCGGCTCAATGGCTTGGCTGCCAGAGCGGAAATTATATACCGGGGAATGCAAGTGGTTTTCTTGAAACGTATGATCTATCCTCATGTGGTGGACAAGGGACATCAACAAAGATACGAGGATAGGTTCTGCAGCGTTGGTGATAGCGGAGGCATCCACATTGGCTTGCTGCGAAGCAGGTAGTAGCAACATCGCTACCCCAGCAATGGAGTGTCTGATTCCGCACCTATTGACGGAAGGCTGCTTGCAGCTGGACTCAAGGAAGGTGAGTTGAAACGATCGTCCGAGTTTTGAAAGTGGCCACCGTGTACGTCAACGTTCAAGTTATGTGGATATGGTGTGTCCGATGAGGTTTGGGAAAGTCCACCGGTCATAAGGCCTTGTCGGCCCATGCGCACTGCTCTTCGCCAGGCAACTGCCATAGCTTCAGAGTGTTGAGGCAACTCGATATCACTCCCTTGGGTACTAAGATCATCAGGAAGTCCTGGGACGGAATTGCGATCCATTCCTCTGAGCCATTCTTCCAGCTCCATTGGATCATTCCCAGGACGATTCACATTGGGTTGGATACGGACATCATCCAATGGTATCCTGTGGACGGGATGATGACGGCCTTGTTCCATGGCATCTTCCGGGTCGAGTGGCTGGGCGAAGAGCTCACGAAGCCTGGGAAGAAAGTATACCGTCAAGAGGACGAAGAGCCAAACGATCATGGGAAGCCACGGCACCAAGTCCATAAGTGGAGTGCGAGCCGAAGAATATGCTGCAAATCCCAAGAAAGTAGCAAATGCCAATGTGAATGGCCCGTAGCTGGGTCTCGTCAGCGATTCACTTCTCTTTCTGCGTTTGACTTTGATTTACGTCTTCATTTCCTCTGGGTATTGTGCCACAAATACCCCAGTGGAAAGAAAAAAGACCAGCACAGAGCTTTCACTATCAGCAAGCTACCTCGTTTGAGTAGATTAGATGCTCACATCAACCATAGTTTCCGGTATTCGAAAAGAATCGGAGATGCTATCGATGTTGGCGACATACATCCTAGGGGTATCACAATCCTGATCATCCTTTGGAAGTTTCTGTTCATGGAGACCCTAGTGAGCGAAAAGCTTTCCATTGTTTCCCTTGGATAATACTGTCTGTTCATGATCCCAGAAAGTCACTGCAATATTCACTGAATGGTCATTCAGATCTTGGGGAACGAGTTGTTCGACAGCGTCGTTAGGTTGAAAGCAAAGGTTTAGATGATTGAACGAAAGGTCGAATAGAAGTTGCATTGGGTTCCGGATGGGTCTGGGGAGAATGGCCTTAATGCTTTTCAATCGATGCCCGAACACGATTGACTTTAAGAGGCTCAGTGAACTCAACGGATCTCGGACTCTCTTAATCCCTTGGGTTAGGTATCTATGCATAATGTGGGCATTCCTGGAGGCTCACTCCCCAAGATACTCACCCACGAACCCTGAGCAGTTTCATTGGTCGGAGTGGTCAAGATTGTGGAATATTAGGATTCGAGGCTTCAGAATGCCCTAAACGCCCTGGCTCATATCCCACCAAAATCCAATGGCTTTCTCTATGTTTCTAGAATTTCTCGTATCTTTGCGAACAACATGTTTGCCTTGGTTCGCAAATTCAGCCTCGCTGACTGTGCCCCGGTATCCTTGATCCTGATTGGCCGAATTCGGTGAAGGACCTTGCTCACCAACATCCTAAGTCATTGGGCATCAGCCTTGCAGAATGCCTTCGATACGTTGAGGCCCGACCAGTCTGCCTGGGCCAAATCCGATGATGAGAATAAGCCCATCCATCGCGAGGAATGCATCTTCTACTTTGGCTCACCGAGAATTATGAAACCGGCCACCTGCGCTTGACCTGGTTACAACAAACCCCGCTATAGCCGATCATTGCGCCCAGCTGATGTGCACTGTAGCCTCCTCGAGGCAATGTCTCCCGATGACTGGGCTATGATGGAATGGATAAGGAGACTGTGACTGCAAGCTGCAGCTTCTTTATATCAAGAGATCCTCAGCCTCGGATTTTTCGCTGAAGCCTCAAGTGGGTATTAAAGATTGAGCTCTTGCGGTGTTGAGCAGTCGTGCCAAAGTCACCATGGGAAGCGTTTTCTACCTTACAGTTGAACCATCAAGTCGTACTACCAAATTCTCACGCCGTCTTCACGGCTCATCTGCAGAATCATATTCGTCAGATCTCGTTGTCGAGTTGCGACGCAATCGTTGTCCACATGGCGGCATTGCTACCTGCTGGGAGCTTCTCTTCGCATTCTACTGCTCTCTCATCTGCTCAGCCTACACACTTCGTTATGAGGATAGGGTTTGTCTTGGATTAGACATTATGGCGTCTGCAACTGACAAGCATATTAGAATACCATTCTTCCCGACTCAGTACCTCAAGTGCAACTGCCAGATCCAGGCGATGGGTTATCAAGCCTCATACTCGACCCACCACCCACTCTAATGCTAGGAGCATGTCTTCTCCTCGGCTGCTCGGTATCTTCGTTCATATACCGCCGACAAGAAGAAGACAGATACCAAAAACTCATATTCAGCGTGACACTCACAGCAGCGACGCTTTTCGGCATGGCGCAGAAAGTCAACGCCAATCTGATCATGCTTGGGTTGATCCCATGGGGCCTATGTCTCGCCATGATCTTTAGCGTTGCTACACACTGGCTTGTCAAGCGATGCAGTAAGCGGGGTGCTTACTCCAGAGTCGGATGCTGCGAGAGTGGCGAGAAAGGCATGCATGCACCTCTGTGAGCGGCCTGCATGTCGAGCATGCAACAAATCAACCACTCCTGGCAAATCTTCCTCCTCGGATAGCCTTCTGAGTAGACGACTGGGCCAGGCTTCTCTTCAAAGGGTCCTCTTCTCTCGCAGCACAGGGGGGCTCATACGTTATATGCGGTTAATGTCTTGTTTCAAATGTCGCGGGAGCCGCCTCGCTCTGTAGCTTCGATGTCGAGGCTCAATCACGTTCCTGCGCTTACCAGCGTCGAGAAATCGAGTTCGTAAGGTAGCCAGATTAGTTAAAAGTGTGTTGTATTGTAGAAGTTTATACTTCGTTGCACTCGTTGAAGGTGGTAACATGAGTGTGCTGATTCTACCTATCATTGCTCCTGTATTCTATAGCTTGAATATCATGTCGAAGCTGTTGAAACTAAATCACCGATTCTGTTACTTTCCGGCAGTTCTTTGAGAACACATGACGATGACTTCTCCTCCACTCAAGAAATATGCGCTACATTTGAATAGATAAGTTTAGAGGTTCGCCCGATCATTTAAAGAAGGAGAATACAACTCAACCCATGCTCTCAAATGTCCTCACAACTTTCCTACCACTATCTTCACTGATCAACCAATCCACAAACTTACGGCAGTGCCATCTCCTTATTCTCAACTTCCTTTAAATCAATGCATGAGCTGGGTCCAGCAATAGGTGGAATGTGGTTAGGCGCTTGGTTGGAATAGAGGGGTGTGGAGACCATGGTCGTGAGCACTTTCAGATATTGAAGCTGATTTTGAGTGTTATGTTTGAGATGCTAGGACGAGGTGGGCGATATCCTAGCTTGAAACAGAGGTCTTGATGTTGGACGTGATCAATACGCTATAATGATGAATGAGTCAGAGGAATATCTCACGCCAATGTAGATCTTCTAGCAGTGCACAATCACGAAGTTGCATTAGTTCAACTCATTGTCGATGTTGAGAGACAGTAGTGGCGTCTCTGAAATACGGGGTAGACCATGTGATGAGCGGTGTCTCGAGATAGTTTTCTATTTGCATTGACTTGGTATCTTGCGTGTATATCGTTCTTGGAAAGTGCCAGGGCAATGATTTCTACAAAAGGTGGGCTTTTCGAGTAATGGTCTTGTGCGCATTTTGCCCATTGGTTTACTGTGCGACATATGGCTTTATCGGGGAGAATAAGGTGGAGATTCACAAAGACAGACCTTTTGTTCACAGTGATGGAAGCAAAGAATTGAAAAGATAGCATGCAGTATCAATTGTTCTAATAGACTTCAATCTTTTGATTGAAAACGTATATGGCCAATGTATATGGCGGGGGGCGAGATATCTAGGTAATCTCGCCAACGTATGATTGATGGGTTGCCCCATTTGCTCAACAAAGGAGCGAGAGGAAGTTTATCGCCCAGAACCCTCCCGTCCCCGGAATCAATCCATTTGAACTGATAGAGGCGACCGCGGAAAGGTAGAGTTCCGTAAACTATAAATTCCTCTCAATAACATACGTGGCCGTCTTGAAACAGACCAACGATGACCTTGCAAATGTTAGTAGCTGACTTGAGCAATATGGCATTTAAGGACTTACGTAATATCTTATAACACAGAACTTGTATCCTATTTCCAATCTGTATTAAGGATATCATGGGTGGAAATTCCGCATATGCCGTTCTAGTAGATCATGACGACTAAATGTCCCAGGACGTCTCGAGCGGCAACCTGCAACCGGGCAGGTCAGCACTTCTCGAGATCCAGCGTCGTGGGTGGGTAAGTGACGTTCAAGATCTTTGGGAGCCTCGAAGCTCCACCTGCAACCAGGAACAGTGCAGGAATGGCGGTGGCGGAATGTTCGGATATGTTGCCTGCTCGGTTGTGAGTATGTGGCTCGCAGAGTGGAGTCGTCGCATACCTAGCTCTTGCTAACGACTTGAATTCTCTTGGACATCGTGGGCACATAAATTTATCATCAGGTAAGGCTAATGGCTCGACAGTATGCATACTTGGCGTTGAACCACTATGCTGTCGAGATATTACCATCAGACCTGGAATTTGATTTGGTATTGGCGCATCCACGATGTCCAAGTTCATAGCGTCTGGGGAGATAGACGACATAGGAGTAGGATCTCTGCTCTCCGTATCCAGTGAAGGACTAGAGTTCACAGAGTCCGATGATTCGGTAATCAAGGCGTTCGACAACCGTGTAGACATGTCATTTGGGGGCACTAAGGTGCCTGCACCTCCGTCTGTTGCGTTTTGGCTTGCATCGGAGACTACGCTGAATTAGTGCCAAGGTTTCCACAGATGATAAGACCGAAAGAAGACAAAGCAGTCCCCAAGAATGTAATATGACGACATCGACATAGATAACGAAAAAGTTTGCTGCTTACCCAATTCAATGCGGTCGCGGTGAAAAGAATTAGTGCTAGCATCGTTACGTTCAACGGCAGCTTCTCCCCAAAAGACATTAACAATGTCCTCGGAAACGTCGTTCAGAGAGGGTGTATTTAATTCATAACGGGGGTTATGAAGGAGGGTAGATCGAGGATCCAAGGTTGGTGGATTGTCCGATGTTAGGTAACAATCGAGACAAAACGAGTTGAGGATTTGGTGACGAGTGCGCAGGTGCGCCGCCCAGTGAAAGCGGCCAACACCCGCAAACTATGAGAGTGCGCCTATTCGGGCGCAGAATTGCCGCGCAAGCGGCGGGATGATGTTTCTCCTGAGGTGTGTTGTGGTTCGGTGAGTGTGTTGATGGAGCGAAAAGAGTGGGCGAGAGTCGCTGACTTATAGCCCATGGCACGCCAAAGAGTTCGTGGCTGATTAAGCTTGTTGTTCGGAGGCCTCCAATAATAATGCTTGAATCTTGTGAGCCGTTTGAGATATTGGGTGTGGGACAAATTGCGCCTTGTTCGGAGGTCACCAATAAGAGATGCTGGAAACGATGCAAAGACGACGTCAAGCGAGAGCTGAGAACGCCCGACGACGATGTAAGGTCTTGGAATTCAGGGCATTCAAACCAGATTCGACGTCCTAGGGAAGTGATTGGTGGCCGCTGACACGGCTTGCATGACTTCATGCCGTTCCAAAAGTTCTCTTTCCATTCATGGCCTTGACAAGAGAAGATGAATAATATTAGCTATCGTGAGAAATCGGAAGGGATCCATAGTCTTAGCAAATCTGGAGGCTTTTTCTCAACGGGTATCACTCTAGCCTGCCCATAGAGTAAACTTTTCCCGGAGGTGTACTTTGTCACAGAGCAATTTCAGTCTCTGGTGCTATGCAGTATTTCTCACTAGAGTAAGATAGCGAAAAGAAATTATCTCACGCAAGCAACGTCAATTACACGCTCTCCCGACTTTTCAAAACGTTTGTATTTCTCTCCAATAAGCAACATACAACAGAATTCCAAGACAAAACAACTAGAGGAAGCTTCTTCGGCACCAAACCTCTAGCAAAATATCAAAGATCCTGAGGCCTACGGACAGATCTCATCCCCATTATCATCCTCAATGCAAATCGGGAATGGGCTGCCCTCGCACTGATCTGGATATTCGGCGCAGCAAGTGTCCCAGTTCGCCGTGCTCAGGACACACCACGCCCAGTCTATATCCTGGCGTTTGTTGATCTCGCGCCCTGATTGCGGGGCGGGAGCGGCGATGACCGCGGTGGCCATGGCGAGAGCGAGGGCGAGGAAGTAACGCATGGTGACTTGGTTGAGTGAGCTGGAAGGGCTTGTTAGCGAGATAAACAGCGGAATCTAGAACGGGCAGGCATGCAATGTAGATAAACTCGTGGAAATGAAGAAGATACTTGGTTTGTGATTGACAAATGCTTGTGGAGGTACTGGTGCTTTGGTGAATAGAGAATGAGATGTTTTGTGTTCAGCAGATGAGGACATAGGACACCTTTATAGGTAGCTGAAGGAAGTCAACAGCTCTATGCTAGTAATAACTCATCGCACAATGTCTTTGACAAGACTAGGGAAGGATTGCAATTGTCGAGTACAGTAGTGATACTTTTCGCACAATGGCTTCTACAAGCTTAAGGAGGGATTGCAGCGTATTGCGTGCTAGTAATAGTTCGTCGCACAATGTCTTCGACAAGAGTATGGAAGGATTGCAATTTTAGAGTATATTGGTAATAGCTTTTCGCACAATTTCTTTTACAAGATTAGCGAAGGATTGCAATCGTGGGGTATGTGCATGCAAATAATAGCTGGCTTACTTGCTTACTCCGCAAAAAGTTATTTTGAGGAATAGTTGATGTTCCCAGTCGTTGCCACTTCTCGTATTCAAACGAAGTTGGAGCTAAAAGTGTCAGATGCGGCTGAACGCGAGACATGAAACTAGTAGGAGCGAAAGCTTGTATAGGCTCTCATAAAATTTCAACAATCTCGTGTTTCCCCCAGTCTTACTCAGCTAATGGTTTCAGTCCAGGAAGGTATTTTGCGACCGCCGAACAGGTGAATGCCAGAACCAGCTCTATAGCAATGATGCCGAAACATGATCAAGAGTCTACACATGCTTCAAGAAAGTTTTTACCCTATGGCAAAGGAACTGCTTGAGATGGGAATCAGAACTCTAACCCGAACGTAACGACAAACACGACAGAAGCAAGAAATACCGACATGTCTCCTTCCGCTTATAGAACAGGATTATCCCGAATCTGGTTCGACCGTGATGAAGATCCAAGTTCCATACCAGCTGATCTTTTCAAGGAAAATCACTAGACTGGAAGGGACAGTTGTGAGTGAGGCCGGACAGTTACGAGCTGGTTTTGCTTCTCGCAAGAACAGATCATAACTCTCAGCGAAGCAAGAGAGAAATAGGGAACAAACAGACCCATACCCAATGGTCGCTTTAGTGGTAATAAAACAATCAATCCGCATGTCAAGCCCAAGTCGACTCCCAACTAGGGACGCAATGCAAACGGAACTCTATTTGTTGTACACTCCCACCCCAAACTCTACTTTATTTCCCCTTCTTAACCCAATCCTCCACCCCACCCCTCGCAGCACCAACCTTCTCATCCACAACATTAACCACCTGCTGCGTATGAATCCTCGCCATCCTCCACGCCCTCTCCACCCCCTCCCTCGCCCTAACATGCCCATCCGCCACCGCCGGAAACCTCTGCTCATATTTCCAAATCAAATCAGAAACATTCCGCATCGTGACCGGCAACACGACCCACCCGGCCCCAATCCCAACCGCAACCGGCACCGTCGCCCGCAGGAATATATTCCGGTTGCGGGATACAATGCTACCTGTCATGGCCGCGACGAGCACGTACAGGGAGCCTGGCATCAGTTTTTCGCCCGATTGAGGGGATGGTGCTAAAGAGGCGATTGTGCTCGTGAAGCTTTCTTCCAGGTGGAGAGCGGAGTCCATGAATTGGTTTACTTTTTCCTCGGCGGCTGCGACGTGAGCCTGTAAGAAGAGTCTTGTCTTGCCGATCTGGACGGCGAGACGGTCGGTGGGTGTTGGTGATGTTGATTTTGTGGGTGTGCGGGTTGGTTCGGAGGATGGGAGGGTTGGGGTAGGAGGGGTTGGCGTGCTCTCAAAGTCATCGTAGATGGGTTTTCTTGACTGTGGGAAGGTCAATGGGAGTTTATGGGTGTACATAGGGTGGTGGGGACGTACGTCGGGAGCTTCTGCTTGGAGAGAGGTCTTGGGGAAAAGAGCTATACCTGCGATGAGGGCACCAGTAGCTACGGGCGCAGCGCGCTGGAGGATATCAGCAGATATTCAATGGAGGATTAGACTACACATACCTGCCGCAGGAACATTCTCGCAGCCATAGCTCAATTGGCGATACGCAGGACGTTCAATTGCGGATTGAAGATGTTGAATTTAAGCCGAACAAGCTTGCTTGAAGAATGTCGCGTGTATTTATGCAAGCTTGCATAAGCGGCTCTGCATAAATTTTCTCGACGACCAAGGATTTCCTCTTGATTCAGACCGACAAGCAACGTTAGAACAGGTATTCATGGATAGAAGGAATGTTTAAGAAATCGATTTCTCGACCATGGGTATGCTCACGATGCCTTCAACGCCAACTTCCGCGGCAGATTCGAGGTAATCATGCGCAAGCCGCGCCGAAAGTACCAGACAATCTAGGCTTCACAGCTTCTTTCCGACAACGACATGTTGATACGGCGCCTCCTGGAGTGCAACATGACGATCGAAAACTACGGCAGATCTTCGACTCTCCAGGATTCTGGAAAGAATACTCCCAATCCTCGAAATCAGGACGAAATGCCGGACTTTTCCAAAATCGATACCTTACTGAATCGAAAGGCTTCGAGGAATTCGCGAATACCACTCTAGAAAGGGCAAAGAGGATAGTGGAGAGGGTGCTCGAGGCTTCGAGTCCAGAACAATACAGATATGTGGTCAGAGATCTGGATAGGCTGAGTGATTTGCTATGTCGAGTTATAGATCTCTCAGATTTCGTACGAGCTACGCATCCAGATCCTCGAATCCAGCAAGCGGCAACGCAGGCATATGGGATTATGTTTGAGTACATGAACGTCTTGAACACCACAACTGGCTTGGCTAAGCAGCTGGACATTGCGATAGAGCAATGCTCCGAGTCAGGGGTATGGGACGAGGAAGAGAAAATGGTGGCGCACATACTAAAGAAGGATTTCGCGAAGTCAGCTATTGATCTACCTCGAGGCGACCGGGAACGATTTGTGTCTCTGTCACAGGAGATAAGTGAGGTTGGAACAGAGTTCGTGGATTACATGTCTCCAGAGAAGGAATACTTGAGCTTTCCAAGCAGTAGGATGAAAGGCATGGATCCAATGCTTGTTCGGCAGTTGACACAATGGGGCAAAGTGGCTTTACCTACCATTGGAGGGCCCGCAAGCGCTGCCTTGAGGTCTGTCGAAGATGCATCAGTCAGAGAGGACATCTTCATGGCTAGTCGGACAGCTTCCAAAGCCACATTATCTAGGCTACAGAGCCTCTTACAGAAGAGAGCCCAGCTAGCCAGGTTATCGAGGTTCGATAGCTATGCACATATGAATTTGGAGGACAAAATGGCTAAGTCGCCCGAATCTGTGAACGGATTCCTTCGAGAATTGTCAAAAGACAATAGTTCGTTCGTCAAGTCCGAATTGGAGCATCTGCTGAAAGCTAAGGCAATGCATATGCACACGTCCGATCCGAGTCTTCAGCCTTGGGACAAAGAGTATTATATGTCACGCATACTTGCATCTGCTCAGTCAAGGACTCGAAATGCCGATTTTCTGTCATCGTATTTCTCTTTGGGAAGAGTGATGCAAGGTCTATCTCGACTATTTTCTCGCCTCTATGGCATCAGATTCGTACCTCATGAAACTCTCCCAGGTGAGACCTGGAACCCTGATGTTCGTCGTCTTGATGTGGTCTCCGAAATAGAGGGACATGTTGCAGTCCTATACTGCGACCTCTTTTCTCGACCAGGGAAGTCGCCCAATCCTGCACACTTCACTCTGCGCTGTTCACGCCTCATTCGAAACGAGGAGATTGAAGAGGCAGCTACAACACCCAACTCACTTTTCACCTCTGCAGAAGAAGCTGCCAACGATGGCATGGCTATCTCTCCATCTACATCTAGCGGTGTCATGCAACTCCCGACCATCGCTCTGATTTGCGACTTTGCCACCACTCCAGGCTCACTCAAACCATCTCTCCTCAGCTTCAGCGAAGTGGTCACTCTCTTCCACGAGATGGGACATGCTATCCACTCTATTTTGGGACGGACGAATTTCCAAAACGTCTCTGGTACTCGCTGTGCTACCGATTTTGCAGAATTGCCTTCTGTACTTATGGAGCACTTTGCTGCTGATCCTTCAGTTCTGGCTTTGTTTGCGACGCATTATGAGACGGACCAGCCATTGCCGTACAAGATGGTAGCGGAAAAGTTGGTACTGGATAAGAAGTTCGAGGGGGCCGATGCGGAGAATCAGATTATTCTCTCGATGCTGGATCAAGCTTATCACTCCTCTCTTCCTTTGGACACAGACTTCGATACTACACAAGTTTACCATGAACTACAACGGAACCATGGTATCTTGCCATCTGACCCACCAGGAACGAGTTGGCAGGGCTTCTTTGGACATTTGTTTGGTTATGGAGGAACATACTATAGCTACCTCTTTGATCGGGTTCTAGCGAAGCAAGTGTGGCAAGAAGTATTCCGATCCGGGAACCAGGGCGGATCCGTCACACGAGAAAACGGAGAGCTTTTCAAAGGAGAAGTGTTACAATTTGGCGGCTCACGTGATCCGTGGACATGTCTCTCCCGGGTGTTGAAAGATGAGAGGCTGGAACATGGTGGAGAGAAAGCCATGGGATTGGTAGGAAGTTGGGGCATTGAAGGCCGACGAGAAGCCAGTTCGGGAAAGCTGTAGGAATTAGATGTACAGCTACCTTGATAGATCATAGACTACATGATCAATCACATGTATTGTATAACAAATCAGATCGATCTCGGCCCCTCTAGCGATCTTGTCAGGTCTTGGATGTGATGGTCGAGAATCTTCGATGTAATAATGCATTTTTGATTCCGAACAATGTCCGAAGATGCCTTCCATCCCACTCCTAGTAATATCGCTGTCCATACTTCTAATTGCTCCTTCACTCCATCAATTGCACCATCGGGAGTGAAGTGGGGGAGAAAGATGACAATTTCTTGGACGGCCAGACGTTGGAGAGGGATCGAGATTGTTGGGCTGACTAATAATGTCCGCACTCTGCCAATCCAATTGCGCGTCGGCAATTACCTTTGGCTGTTGCTCTCTCTTGCTGCGCTGCTCGGACCTGAGCGCGTTGCGTGGTGGGGCAATCGCCTGCTTCCACACCCTGGTACATGTAAAACGAGCGGGGTAGCTGGTTCTGGTGTGACCTCCCACTTCTTAATTGTCTCGCTCGCCACAGGTATTTTGTTCTTCTTCCTCCTCCACCTCCACCTTTGTTCGACTTCGTCTTCTTTTCTCCTTCACATCTCCAGTGCAGGCACTGCAACAACAAGCAACAACAAGAAGAACATACACGAATCAACTTCACTCAATCAATCAATCAACCAACACCGCAACCATGGGAGACGCAGGAGAATGTCCCGTCCGCTTCTCCAACGTCGGCGGAGGTGGCACCCGCAACAGAGACTGGTGGCCCAACGCCCTGAAGCTGAACATCCTCCGTCAACACACCAGCGTCACGAACCCTCTAAACAAGGACTTCGATTATGCGGCCGCCTTCAAGACCCTCGACTATGAGGGCCTGAAGAAGGATCTCCATGCCCTGATGACCGATTCCCAGGAGTGGTGGCCTGCGGACTTCGGCCATTATGGTGGTCTGTTTATTCGTATGGCGTGGCATAGTGCGGGAACTTATCGTGTGTTTGATGGTCGTGGTGGTGGTGGAGGTGAGTTCGATTCTCTTGGTTATTGATTGTGATTTCCGCTGTGGTGGGGTCCGTTGCGGACTTATCCCCGATGCATGCTTGTGGCACATGAGGTTGCTTTTCGTTATTCATAGAATTTTATGCTAACTGGAGCTTCAGAGGGTCAACAACGATTCGCTCCTCTCAACAGCTGGCCCGATAATGTCAGTCTCGACAAGGCCCGCCGCCTACTTTGGCCCGTTAAGCGAAAGTACGGCAACAAGATCTCCTGGGCTGATCTGCTCCTCCTCACTGGCAATGTAGCAATTGAGTCTATGGGCTTGCCAACCTTCGGCTTTGCTGGTGGTCGTCCTGATACTTGGGAGGCTGATGAGTCCGTGTACTGGGGAGGTGAGACAACATGGCTTGGCAATGACGTCCGTTACTCGGATGGTAACCCAGGACCCGAGGGACACGGTGTCGTAGATGGTGATGAAAGCAAGAAGGGTCACAGCGACATCCATTCTCGTGATTTGGAGAAGCCATTGGGAGCTGTTCACATGGGTCTGATTTACGTTAACCCCGAAGGACCCGATGGAATTCCCGATCCCGTGGCTTCGGCTAGAGATATCCGAACCACATTCGGCCGCATGGCGATGAATGATGAGGAAACCGTCGCATTGATTGCTGGTGGCCACTCTTTCGGTAAGACACACGGTGCCGGTCCATCAGAGAATGTTGGAAAGGAACCAGCAGCTGCCGATATCGCTGAGCAAGGATTTGGTTGGAAGAACGCCTACAAGTCTGGAAAAGGTCCCGATACCATTACCAGTGGTCTCGAAGTCATCTGGACCAAGACTCCTACAAAGTGGAGCAACAACTACCTCGAGTACCTCTTCAAGTATGACTGGGAGTTGACCAAGAGTCCCGCTGGTGCCAACCAATGGGTTGCTAAGAATGCAGAGGCTTTCATTCCCGATGCCTATGATTCCAACAAGAAGCACTTGCCAACCATGTTGACATCTGATCTTGCTCTTCGCTTCGATCCCGAATATGAGAAGATCTCCCGTCGCTTCGCTGAGAACCCACAACAGCTTGCGGACGCTTTCACACGTGCTTGGTTCAAGCTTTTGCACCGTGATATGGGTCCACGAGCCCGCTGGCTCGGTCCAGAAATCCCATCTGAGGAGTTAATCTGGGAAGATCCCATTCCAGCACCTAGCCACCCTGTCATTGACGAGAAGGATATTGCTGCTCTCAAGAAGGAGATCTTGGCTACCGGCATCGACGGCACCAAGCTCCTCTCTACCGCCTGGGCTTCTGCTTCTACTTTCCGCGGAAGTGACAAGCGAGGTGGTGCTAACGGAGCACGTATTCGTCTTGCACCCCAAAAGGACTGGAAGATCAACAACCCAGCCCAATTGAAGGAAGTCCTCGGTGCCCTCGAGAAGGTCCAAAGCAACTTCTCCTCTGGTAACAAGAAGGTTTCACTTGCAGACCTCATTGTCCTCGCCGGTGTCGCCGCTCTTGAAAAGGCCTCGGGAGTATCCGTCCCCTTCACACCCGGCCGCTCAGACGCCACCCAAGAACAAACAGACGTAGAATCCTTCTCCCACCTCGAGCCGCAAGTCGACGGATTCCGCAACTACGGAAAGGGCACCAACCGCGCCAAGACAGAGCAATTCCTCATTGATCGCGCCCACCTCCTCACCCTCACCGCTCCCGAGCTCACCGTTCTGATCGGCGGTCTCCGCACCTTGAACTTGAATTACGATTCCTCCAACATCGGAGTCTTCACCAAGACACCGGGTAAGCTGACAAACGACTTCTTCGTCAACCTGCTCGACATGTCTACGGAGTGGAAGGCTACCGGACCAGAGACATTCGAGGGCGTGTCCCGCAAGACGGGCGAGAAGAAGTGGGTCGGCTCGCGCAACGATCTGGTATTCGGATCGCATGCTGAGTTGAGGGCTATTTCGGAGGTTTATGGTAGCTCGGATGCGCACGAGAAGTTCGTTAGGGACTTTGTCGCGGCGTGGGATAAGGTTATGAATCTGGATCGGTTTGATGTTAAGGGTGCGGGTGCGCAGGGACGAGCTAGGCTTTAGGTGGATGCATATGAGGGAGGGAAGGGAAGAAAGATTGTGATTAGGTAGCTATGGTAGATGTGAAGAAGTCATTGCGAGAATTTGAATTCGATCACTACTCATCAAATGCTAGTGGAAGATATGCGTTCTTGTTTGTGAGGTGGTGTAGATACATGCTACTGAAAGAACATAACATCCTTGAGTATAATACGATCGATTGAACTCACTAGACATCCCTATATCCCATAAACAATCTTCTTTCGCTTCACGCTGTTGTTATATCTCCCTCTTCCCTCCCCCCTCCTCCGGCCCACACCAACCAAAGTCGCCCCTTACCAAGCGGCTCGGCAGCCTCCGATACCCGCTCACACCGTCCTATTACAAGTACGGAACGGGTAGCTCAATGGGTAGCTAGCTCCACGGCCCGAAATATCTACACGTATCGTTACTTCTCCTTACCTAGCCACCGAGCTACCTAACCAGTCTCCATGGTGTACCCTTGAGGGGCTTGCCTTGAGACGGTATACTTGGAATCTGGATTTCCTTCTGGCAGTGGCAGGGCTAGAGGTAGATATATCGATGAGATGAAAGGAGATGATATACTACCCGACGTTCGATATTTATATCCTGTTGATACGTACACCACAACATATGTACATCTCAAGAAAAACAGACAATTTTCTACCCTCCACCTTTCTCAGTGACGGGTCACCGTAAAACTACCTCCGCACAGGGCCGGATTGTGTTTTGACCTCACTTTTTATATTTGCAAATGCCGATTGCGAGTTTTGATTGCTTGGTATCGAGCTGGGAGTATAGAAATAGTTGATAATTAGGTATCTAGGTAAAAGTTTCCTCGAACAACGGCCAATGGACCAAAATCCAGATAAGGTGGTTGATCTTCTTAACAACGCCGAAGCTTGAGTTCATCGTATTTCGCTAACATGGCTAGTTCGGACAACGCTGTGGAGGTATCTGATTTCTGATATCTCAAGATCTTTGGTCTCGGCTTTTTGGCAATTGCGGAGTGTTTTGTGCGCGAGGTGGACGAAGAAGAGGAAGAGGAAATGGGTGATGGGTGATGGGGTAGATGGATGGGATGGCTGTTGGAAGAGAAAGGAGGGAGAGAGGAGGAGAGAGAAGAGGAAGAGGAAGAGGGTTTGGTTAAGTGAGGTTGTGCACAAGAGCCTCATCGAGCCCCTTGGCATTTGACAAGGCTGAAGGGATGCCATGGGACGAGTTAAATAGTGATTATGAATATAGAGCAACTTGCAATACGCCGAAAGATTCACTTTACAGAGGAATATTACAGCATTTGTTTGAGGTCGAAAGAAGGAAGAGGTAGTATCATTGAGCTGCGTGTCAGTGGAGAGTTTGCGATTTTGAATAGGAGAACAGAGTCACGTGACCCTCCTACCCCTCCAAAATTGAAGCCAAATTTCTGTGACTCAACTTCCTCCTCCTTTCCACAACCACAACAACCACAACAAAACATGCCTTCGAAATTGAAGCCAAATTGAAGCCAAATTTCTGTGACTCAACTTTCTTCCCCTTCCCACAACCACAACAAATCATGGCTTCGAAATTGAGTCCCGAGGACTCGATCGCCCTGATCAAAGCCAACCTCGCCGAAGTCCTCAATCCTGAGATCATTGACAATGTCATCCTCAAAGAGAAACGCCCTCTCAAGGTATATTGGGGATCTGCCACTACCGGGCGGCCTCACTGCGGTTACTTCGTGCCAATGATGAAGGTTGCAGAGCTGCTCGCGGCGGGTTGTCACGTCAAGATTCTGCTTGCGGACATTCACGGCTACCTGGACAACATGAAAGCCCCCATTGACCTCGTCGAGTTCCGTGCGAAATACTACGAACGGGTTATAAAGGCGCTGCTGAAGGCTGTTGGTGTGGATATAGCGCGGCTGGAATTCGTGCTGGGCAGCTCTTACCAATTGAACAAGGATTATACCATGGATCGGTTCAAGTTGGAGGGAATCACAAGAGTTGAGGTCGCCAAGAAGGCGGGAGCTGAGGTTGTGAAGCAATCGGCGGATCCAACACTCGGAGGCTTAATCTACCCTTTGATGCAAGCCCTGGATGAGCAATACCTCGATGTCGACGCACAGTTTGGAGGAGTAGATCAGAGGAAAATCTTCGCATTCGCAATGGAGAATCTCCCAAAGATTGGCTACAGTGTTCGGGCACATTTGATGAACTCAATGGTCCCAGGATTGGGAGAGGCTGCAAAGATGAGCGCCAGTGATCCAGACTCGAAGATTGATCTTCTGGACGACCCAGCAGCTGTGGAGAAGAAGCTGAAGAAGGCGAAGTGTCCACCAAAAGAGGTTGAGGGTAACGGAGTCATCGCATTCGTCGAGCATGTTATATTCAGAGCCATTGCGTTGAAAGTTGACCACGAACCCATCTTCAAGGTCGAACGAAGAGACGAGGAACCTCTTCTCTACACTTCCATCCAGAAGCTCAAGGAAGACTACGCAGCAGACATTGTAAGTTCCCAGAGACTGCTCGCGTGACTCATCCACTAACAACCCACAGCTAACACCCCAACTCCTCAAATCCGCCCTCACACACCATCTGAACGAACTCCTCAAACCCATTGTAGCCGAGTACGAAGCATCACCCGACTGGCAAGCCATCTCATTACAAGCCTACCCACCAGAAAAGGCAGCTGTCAAGGTCAAGAAAGTCAAGGACAAGGGAGATCCAGCGAAGCGAGCTGCGGCTGCTGCTGCACGGAAAAATGTTGTTGCACAACCTGATGGACATGTGGAGGGAGAGGATGCGGAAAAAGTTACTGTTGGGCCAAGTACCGAAGAGACATTGCAAAAGTTAAAGGTGTCTGAACCAGAGTCATAGAATAGAGGCAAAATACCCATGAATCTGCTTTTCGCTTGTTGTGTATCTTCTCATTCTTATTTACCGTTTTGTACTGCCCATTTTTGAACATCTTTCTGTTGGCGGGTACAAGATTTGGTTGTCTTCTCAAGATGAAAATATCTCCTTCTCGAAGCAAGTGCATCCATAATCTATCCAAAAGACAGCACGCAGGCTCTGAATCTAAAAATTACACGAATTCGAGCACTTCACATCTCACTCTACCTACCTAGTCTCGGATTTTCCCAACTCGAAATAGTAATACAAACTGGTGAACCGGGCTCTCTTTTAATAGCCGTAACCAATTCACACTTAGCTCGTGCCTCTTAAAAGTTCACTCTAGGATTTCGAATTCCAGACCTTCAGTGGCCTATATGCATATTCACCGCCCCGCGCCACCCGGCTCTGCACTTCTTTGGGAAACAAGGCCGCGTTCACCGTCGATCGGCCGACCGGCGGCCAATTTTTCCGCCTATATATACTCCCATTCCCTCTTCCTTTTTCAACATCCTGAAGAAGGAGATGACACATTCCGAATCGAGTTGATGACGACAGAGCGCCTTGACCTTAATGTGAAGATGGCTAAGAGCACCTATCAGGAGGACAAGTCGGGTTATTTTGGGTTGTGTTTTGCCACTGTACAACATCATCAACGCCAGAGTAGTATGGTTGTCAATACATCTTTTACTGTCAACTTTTTATTCATCTACCATCACCTAATAGTTCCACGCCACCTGCATTAATCTTCATGCCTATGGAATCTCGCCCCAGGCGGCCCTGGACATTTTACACGCAGACAACGCCCGGTCACTAGTTAGGGAGATTCTTACGCTATAATGCATTCCGCGTTCTTGCTCGCACGCGGCAAAGGGTTCGTATATATACCCCGCGAGACTGCGATTGTGAATAGTGAATAATCTCCAAAACCCGATTCCTCCACTTCACATCACAGATATTGGCTTGCCATGGCATTCACTCCACCTCCGAATCTTCACCTACAGGAATCGAAATAGAGTCTGTCATGTGTCCAGGACGATAAATACCCACGGCCTCCCACCCCTCAACCTCGCACACAAGAACAACAGATGGCTCGACATCCCAGAGCAGAGCTGGGGAAGGGAAGGTGAGCCCGGTGATGCATCTTGATTCGATGGGGGAGTGCCGTCGAATCATTTGTTATTTCTTTAGATATTGTTTGAAGGAGGTTAGTCATGTACAGGAGCAGGTTCTTGTTGTCAATATGGGGTTTATTGTCAACCTTTTTGTCTCTGCCTCATGAAATCTTTGTTGCTTTTCAATGTCCGTGTTTTCATATAAACATCCAAAAGGAGGACTTCACAAATCCACACAGTGCTTGAAATGTCCTGGATATGACGGACAGAGACACAGAGACAAGTTAATATATTGTCAACTCCAGACTCATTGTCAACTTTCCCACGATATCACTGCTAAAAATCCGTTTACCAACAGCAAGTAATAGAACCAAAATCTCTTTACATACGAATCTCTACAAGGATTCTCTCAAGAGAGCCCCCGGCCTTCTCCCTTGGCTCCAGAACCTACATCCTTGTTGTGCTTCATGGTGGTGTGACGGACGACGGGGACGAGGGCGACGAGATATTCATACCTGGTGGTTGAATAAAATTTTCGAGACGTGACTCACTCCGATGTAGTGGATGAATTGTTCTCCCGTTTGAGGCCGCTAGGGTTTAGTGAATATAGTGTACGACTCTGATCGTATGTTATCTTGCCTGGGATTTGGAGGCATGCTGTACCGACTTGATTCAGAGAGTGCATATACAAAAATTGTCCAAGGATTTAAAGTCTGTTGGCAATTGAGTGTTCCAAAAGGGCATAAGTTTTCTCTGCTTTAGACTAAAGTAGAATAACTGAGTCGCACGAAAGTAAGGCATGATCAGGGGGATTTCAATGTAGGTCCTTGCTTTGTCTTTCAACATCTAAAACTCGCCGTCAAACCCAGCTACCCCACTATTTCAACAATGAGCTGATTTGATGCAGCTTTATGATCGGAAAAAGCACCTGTGGTTGAGAGTATACGTCTTGCTGTCAAGCTTTTTATCTTCAACTCATTCTTTTGGATGTTAGCTTATGGTTACCCGTTGTCAAAGACTCTTTCTAAACAATGACTTACCTAACATTTCCTTAAGGAATGGAACTCCCAGACTCAGAAATAGCTTCAGTACTTCAAGATACTCACAGCAATATTCGGAACATGTGAGGCAACATATGAATTTCGTGGCAATCTGACAGTTGTAAGTTTTCAGATGACTGTTCATCAGACTTTTGATTTTCTTCTCGGCCAGAGAGGCGTGCTTTCTGGGACTAAGGCACGCTCACACGAGATAGCTTGGGGCTTCTTCCCAACTCCACCTCGGATTCCGTTGTGAGCTGTCGCGGTCAGGAATTGCCATAATATCGAAAGGCTATCGAACTTACATGCGGTGTTCGAGCAGATGCGAGAGTGTTGCATGTCGGCTCCACAAAAAGGTCGCTCTCTCTCTCTCGCTCCCTTGCTTCATGGTCGTCGACTCGTGGAAACTTCATGCTCCATGACCCCGCTTGGCTCGAGCACAAATCATACTCAATTCAGTCTCATATTCTCCCAGTCCTTGTTCATCTGTCAAACAAGGTCGAATGTCTGTATATCCACCCCACGTTCCTTCAATGATTTTGGTGTAAGCCTCGGATCAAAATGCCCATTATCCTCCTGAGTAGTCTCATTGAAGAACAATTGCCGCCAGTCTTTCTTCCTATGCTCTCTGATTTTCCAGCCGGGCGGCAAAGGGATGTTACCCATTCTCGGGTCTGCTATCTGAAAGGCTCCAGTCTCAGTGTTCAGAAACCCATCACGGTAACAAGTATCCTCTTCATGCCACGCCAAAATAGCCTCAAAAGGAGTTGGTAAAGGGCCTACGAACGCTTCACCATGCATGAGCCCGCCACAATAAGCTTCTCCTATAAATCTGAAGCCGCGATCAGGAGCCGGTCGGAGAATCGTAGGGGTCGGAGATCCAAGTAGGACCGTGACAAGATCGCCAACACGAGTTGCTCTAGGCGCAAGGCCCACATAACCATTCTTAGTTTTGAACATCGATCGACCTTTGCAGAAATTCAGGAGCTCGCCCCACAGCTCAAGAGATCTTTCTTCCCACGCTTCCGGTGGCTCGTTGAGAACTAAAGCAAGCTCTCTCTCGACGTGTCTTATACTCCGTAAATTGGCTATCCCGGGAATGAAACGCTCCGGGAAGTTGTTGGCGCAGAGGATCTTGGCCAGAGAGCGTACGCCGATGTGGGAGGTTTCCAAGTTCTCCAAGCCAAGGCGCGAAAGTACCCTGAGTAACTCGCGGTAGATTCTCATATCGCTGGCTCCACTGCCAAGCTCAAACTTTTCCACCCAAAGTAATGAGTCCACCATCTTTCCTTGCACTTTCATGATATCCTCTTCTTCAAAATCAACTACGCACTCGCTCCATCCTGCAGCTGAGAATTCAGGTAACAGCTGAGTGATCTTTGGTACTGACCAGTCCGGAATCCAAGACGGAGTCTGCTCCTCGAATTCATCCATCTCGTAGCTTGAGAGAAGTCTTAGATCAAAATTACCCGTCACAATCTTCTTCACAACGTCCTTATACACTTCCTGAGTAGTCTTCGAATAATCCGCCTCGATCCCACATTCTCGGCTATCCTCATCCAGTAGCGATATCAAGGCAAACACTCGATCTCTCGGGTCCGAACATTTAGACATGTTGGTGAGCTCAAGTAGTTCTTCTAGTGGTATGTAGCCACCATAGCGACAAATCCTCCATGTCATGTCTATCCGGTTTTTCAACTCTCCGAATACATCTTCCGGGCAATCGAGCAGATGCTTCTTCTGATCTAAAAAGAATATTGCTGTTCGGAAGTGCGACCATTCAGCAACTTGATGGCCGCACAACAAAATAGAGTCCTGGGACGCCAGTCGTATCTCCTGGTATATCCAAAGACGTTCAAACCAATCATGGCTAATGAATTCCAACATAGCCAAACAAGCAGCTCTGGAGAATGGCGGTGGAACTTTTGCATCGGCCCACGATCCGTCAGCTGAAAGGGGTTGCATCTCCCATTTCGCCCAATGAGCAACGACATGCGCTGCAATAGTCCTGAAACATCCAATAGCCGTAGCGGTAGTTTCCGACGACGGGCCTAGCCAAGCTATAACTCTTGCTGCACTCGAATAGATATCAGCCATCCGCTTAACCTGCTTACTCCTCTCTTCAGGATCTCTTTGATTGACACAAATAGCATCGATCCACAACACTCTCGGTTTATCCTTATATCGGAGATAAGGCAAGGCTATCCCCAGATTCTCGGTCACGGAAAGCGTCTCGAAGCCCTTCTCGCCGACGAAAATGGTGGATGTATGTTCATGAGCGCCCCATGCATAAGAGAGAGCTTCGAACTGTGGTACTCGACCCGACGTGAACGGCGCAATGCTCAAACTGATTCGAACCGGGTCTTTGAACCGTCGAGCTGGGTGTAGCGTCACGAGCCTGATCTCGTGCGCAACCTCGTCTAAGGGCGCGTATTTATGTGGTTCTCGTTTGCGGAGAAACCTCTGCGCGAGACCACATGTGAACCCCATGGTCAAAGCAAGATAATTGAGAATAGAAAGGACATGTAGTTGATGAGGGAGAGATGGCGAGGATGAGGTAGGAGTGTTATCTATTCTTGGGGACGGGCTCCGGCAGCAGCGGCCAATTATATAAGCTTACATCTGCAGCCTCATTTCGCCCCCAACCCCCCTCAGCCCTCGCTTAATTTCTCATTAGTGCAGGGGCATGGCATGGTTACATTTCTTTTTGAACGTCAACGAACTTTTATTTCTTTCATTGTGAGTGTATCTATTCTAGATCTGACATCATAATTCCCATGTGCCATGGACTGACTAGATATCCCCTTCGTGCAATACACATTAACGCCATAGCCAAGGTGCTCCCGGCGGACCCATTGGTGCAAATCCGGGATGGAACAGATAATGGTACGGAACTTGTCCCGGAGGACTGATCAAGAGAGGGGCTCCCCGAATTTTTTGAGCTCGGATTTGTCCTCCTACAAGGCCGAAGTGGATGGGTGGCAGGACGTGGTCTACGGCAGGCGCAAGGGTAGGCGAAGTGGTTCCATGGTCGCATCTCTGTTAATATTTGTTGCTTATGTTGTGATGTTTTGCGACGAATTTAGAAAGTTTCTAAGGTTAAGCTTCTGGGAAGGAGTACGAGTTGAGTCGATGAATTCAAGTCTGGTTGCGCTGAGTCGTGAGATTGAGTGAAACTTTAACAACGACAATATTGTAAGAGGGAAAGGATCCGAGGAAGAAGTTCTTTTATATACATCCTGGCGATAGTCACAATAACTCGAATTTTATCATGCATGTAACAGACATCATTATCTTGAAGATCAAAGAGGAAGACGATATGTTTCTCTTGTTGTTCGAACTCCGATGCTTTGAATGAGCGCGGGCTACGAAATGGATAGTAATGATTCTAAAGGAGTAGTTGACGATTCTCGTCGAATGTTCGAACACGAAGTCAAGCACTGGAGTCGGCTAGTAAACACAAATTTCACACCCCTTTTTAAGCGAGTCGCTATCGTTGAAAACGATTCAGAGCCACTCAAGCAAGCTGCTTCAGTTCGTTCGTTTTGACAGATCTATGTGTGCATTTCACCTCTATCTAGGTAATTTTGATAACCGACTTCTTGAGATTCTTTGCCTTATCTTCTAAATCATTGCGTCTAATAGCTACATTCACAGAGAACATCCAGTTGCAGCGACGCTAGTCGACACGAGAAAAAAGTCCATTCAGCACTGCACGTATTCTACGAAAGACCGACACACACCCATGCCAACATCGTCTCCTCCTTCAGTCAACATGTGGAGTACAGTACCCTCAGCAACGCTCCATGTACTGTACTCCATTCCTTTACTCTAGCCAGCACCTACCAAGGCGTCACACTCCCATCATACATCACAAATTCCCCACTAGTCTCCTCCCTCGTCGCCTTATCAATCTGCCCCACCAACCCCTTAACCCCCTCCTCAACATCCGTCAACGCACTCTCCAGCCCCACCGGCTTCGCACTCCCAACCCCCATCTCCGTATTCAACCACCCGGGATGCGCCGGAAAGATAGTCACATCCTGAACCTCACTATGCAACTTCCTCGCCAAATAATTCAACGCCGCCTTCGATGCGCCATACTGCGCGCAATTGAACGGGAGTTTGACGTGTGCATTGGTCACTGAGCCGACGGACGAGGACACGAAGACGAATTTCGGGTTGCTGGATTTTTGGAGGAGGGGGTAGGTGGCTTGGAAGAGGAGGAGGGGGGCGATGGTGTTTACTTGGAAGGTCTTGGTGAGTTGCTCGACGGGGAGGGAGATCGTTGGGCCGAACCAGTCACATAGGCCGGCGTTGGCGATGACGAGGTCTAGGCGGGTGATTTTGTGGTCTTGGGTTAGGGTTTTGATGGCTAGGGGAGCATCGGTGTCGATGTTGCTGTCGATTTTGACAAGGACGAGCTTCGTGCCGGAGGCAGTCGAGAGGGAGGGGAGAGATTGTGAGGTAGAGTGCTGAGGATCTCTAACGGCGGCAATGACGGTGTGGTTTGGACGTGCGAGGTACGTTTCGAGAAGAACTTTGCCAATTCCTCATGATAAAGTTAGCAAAATAGTCGTTCGATAACTGGATTAAGTTGCTTGCCTCTGTTTGCACCGGTAATAAGAACAGTGGTAGCTTGAGCCATGTTGAACAAATGTTGCTTCTCAAATTTCCAAGTATATTTGATTTTGTATATGTAGGTTTTCTGATCTTCAGAATTCAAGTTCTCCTGTGAGGGTATGAAGCAATTCTTATACTCGACACCGACTCATATACCCTGATCTAGAATTCGGAGGTGATGCAAAATCCAAAAAATCAAATTCTCCTTAAGACAGAGATATTGTGTCAAGCTTTGCCACGATGTTGTTGGCAATGTTGGTTCGTCCTAGCTGAACGTGCCGTCCCTGATGTACGTACATTGATACATCATTTTTAGTAATCAGGGACCATCAAGCTCAACTCAATTACACCAAACATATGCATTGCAATTCGGGACTTACCAAGTAATTAGACTCTGTTGGTAGCCCCACTACGCGGTTTTAATGCAAATGGCGGAGGCATGGCGGGGCATGGCGGGGCATGGCGGGCATTTCACGGACACCGGCCGCAAAACACCGCAACAGCAGCTCAAAGTCCTCATCTCGATCAGTAAACAAGATTTGAAATGCAGCCTTTTCTTTTTTTTCCAGCCACTTCAAAGCTATAGATGATTGAGAATAATCCAGCAAAAGACGCCAGGTTGTGATAGGATCACGAAATAAAGCATATACGACATACGATATGAACAGAATTCGGTATGAACGAAATACGAACTTTGATCGGCACTTAAGCACTCGCTCAGATACTGGAAAACACTCACTAGACTCAGGACAATAATTGAAGAGGCATTACAGGCTTTGAATGAATGGGGATGTACTGCGTTCAAGTTTGCGCTCGAGGTTGCCCTGCACTTCAAATTGGAACGATGGCAATTGAATCTGTCACAAGATCATGCCCACGGTCATCGCACCATAGCAATTGTAAAGCACCTTGATTATGCCATCTAATCTTCGTCCATCCTGTCATGACTTCGACTATTGCCATTGCGACCACGGCCACGGTTAGGACTTCGCCTACCATCCATGCTTGCATCATCTCTTAGGGTATCATCATAGCCATCTCGATCCTCGATCTTCACATCCACCATATCAGCGTCAACCCCATCCTGTTCCAGCTTCACTCCGTTCATCCCATCGACTACTTCGCCACCCTCAGGAATATTCACCCAGATTTTAACCGTGCCATCTAAACCACCGCTCACTACTGTAGCATCTGATCCGGGTGAGGTGTCGACCCAGCAGACCACTCCTTCGTGAGCCTTCTCTGCTCGCTGTACCACGTCTTTTGTCCGCACATCCCAGAACACGATATCGCCATCTTCACTACCAGAGACTATAAAGCCATCCGACCCACTAACACCGAATGCCCCACCCAGAGAGTATTTCTTATTGACGTGACCTTGATATGTCTTTTTGACGGTGCCCGAAACATAATCCCAAAGACGGACGCAGGAATCTAGTGTGAAAGCAAGGATATATCGTCCATTGGGAGAGAATCGAACTGTTGTCACGGGTGCATTGTCTTCGTGCACAAGGGTACGAAGGCATTGACCTGTCGCTGTGTCCCACACTCGACTGCAGCAAAAGTCAGTCATATATACTCAACGCTGGGTAATGGAACATACGTTAGTCCATCGGTAGAACAGCTGCAAACCAGTGTGCCATCTCGAATGAAGTCTACCCCGCCGACAGGATCCGAATGCGCGGGCAAGCTTCGCATCAACCGCCTAGCTCGCAGATCCCACAGGAAGACAGCTTCATCATAGCTTCCACTGACTAGCATATTGCCCTTCGGCGAGAATGCAAGTGAATAGACGTAATTGTGGTGTCCAGCTAGGGTTGCAGGGTATGCCTTTCCAGTCGTTCTATGCCACAATCTAATCGTCTTGTCGTCCGATCCAGAAGCAATTGTGTTCGAGTCGGGACTCCATGCTATCGTTGATACACCAGCCAGATGTCCTTCCAACGTGCGCATGTGCTTCCCAGTTGCTGCATCCCAGATCTTGATTGTCCCATCTGCCGAACAGCTCGCAATCCAGCGTCCATCGGGCGAGAACCGTACTTGAGCAACACCTTTGCGGTGGCCCTTCAGTATGAACTTCAGCTGGTAATTGAGCTTCAAGGGTCTGTATGTAGGAGGTGAAGGAGGGCGTGGTGAGGAATGGGACGAGTCGCGAGTGGATGAACTTGATGATCGGTCTCTGTTTCGGTCTCGATTTCGTTCATGATATGTGTGATCTAACTCATCGACACTGCCATCGGATGAGTGAGCTCTGCGACGAGGACCTGAGTCCCGGCGGGTGCTCAGTCTCGAACGGTAGGGCTGGTGATCTGCAAGCTCGTCAGGGGAGCTGTCGCGTGGAGTTGAGGCTTCGCTGTCATCGTATCTGCTCCGTTTCGTAGAGCGACGGTGGCCCGAAGGCTGAGGTGTATCTGCTGGAGAGTCGAAGTCTGACATTGTGGCAATTTGGCTGGAGGAGATCTTCAAAGAGATGCAGATATATTTCTTGTAGACGCGTCGCGCGCGTGTAAAATAAGCTTTGGAACTAACAAGCCAAGCTGGCTAGCTCCCGAAATAGAGATGAAAGGAACGTCATTTACGAGGGGCTGCGACGTTTTTCGGACGTCTCAAACATCTTGATCTTCATAATATTCCGCATCCATCCAGTGATACAGCTCATTTCCTCATCGAGACTGATATTGCGACAATGGACTCATATACCCTCCAATTATAGAAAATTCGACTTCTCCTTTTTCTTCTAGAATCCTGCCTATTCCGCTACATAATCTTTCCACATTCCCATGGACACTGCAATTACACCAGCAACGATGGACCCTCCACTTCTTACTGAGATTAATGTCATTTCACTTAATTGTTGGGGACTGAAATATATCTCCAAGTTTCGTCAAGAACGCATGCTAGAAATTGGGAAACGCATCGCTGCCGCAGATCCAGCTCCACAAATCGTCGGCTTGCAAGAATGCTGGACGCAACATGACTATAAGGCAATTCGTGCGGAAACGAAACATATACTGCCGTATGGGAAGTTCTATTACAGCGGTATTTTCGGCGGTGGACTAGCAATATTGTCGAAATGGCCCATCGAAGAGAGTAACATGTTCCGGTACCCTTTGAATGGCCGGCCAACTGCTTTCTTCCGAGGCGACTGGTATGTTGGAAAAGGAGTCGCATCTGCGAGAATCAGGTACGGATCTGGTGAGAAGGATGTGATCGAGGTCTTCACTACGCATGTAAGTAGTCCGCAATTAACAGCGTACTTGAACTGACAATATTAGCTCCACGCACCTTATGAACGAGAACCCCACGATTCATACATCTGCCATCGAACGGCACAAGCATGGGAAATAGCAAAGCTGATGAGAGGGGCTGCTGAGAGAGGTCACCTCGTCCTTGGATTGGGAGACTTCAACATGATCCCACAATCCCTCGCACATCGTCTGATCAGCACTCACTCTCCAGTGAAGGATGTCTGGCTACTACTTCACCCGGATTCCTCGGTTGGGGCAGCGGTAGATCCAGTAGAGAAGGCACGCCGACGACCTATACCTACAGCCGACATCAATATCCACGAGAACGGAGCTACTTGCGACAGCGTCCTCAACACTTGGAGATGGAACAAAGGGCAGCAAAAACGCCTGGGACCGAATAAGCCTGCGATTGATGTTCCAATGGATAGGATAGATCCACGGGCAAAGCGTCTAGACTACATATTTGCTAGCACGGGCTTCGACGCATCTCGTCCCGATCGAGGAGGCTGGATCATCCAGGACGTCAAAGTAGGCATGCTGATGCGACACCCTGAGCTACAATGCTCACTCAGCGACCACTTCTCCGTCGAAGCAAAACTCGTGCACTCCCGTGCCCTCCAAACGGATACTGACAAGGACGAGGATATTGCGGTAGCAGATGGTGTCTACTTACAATCACCAGCTACAAGCGAGTTCCGTCGCTCATATCATTCTCAATTCCGCAGAGCTTCGAATACACATCTTCCAGTCCAGACATACGATGAGATCCTCGCTATGGTTCACAAATATAATGGTCGCGAACGAAAGCAGAGACGTTGGCGACTCGCCCACTTTGTTGGGCAAGTAGTAATCAGTATTGGATGCTTGATAGCCGTGTGGTGGAGTCCAAGGAACTTTGTAGCATTCTTGTTGATGCTATTAAGTACTTTGGGACTAGGTGCAGGTGTCATCGATGGATTGATTGGGGGTTTGTTTGTGGGGAGTGAGATCAGGGCCCTGAAGGAGTTCGAGTGGGAGATTAGCAATGCGAGGATGGCAGCTGGTGGGGAACCATTTGCCATGAGTGAAGAAGGTATCAAGGATTGGTAGGCAACGGGGTCACGACATATTAATACTTGCAAATATGGGAGGTTCTGTTGAGGAGCTCGTGCTTGTTAATTATGATGATTTCTTGCTTCACATAATACTACTAGCTAGCTGGTCCAATTCAACCACATATTGATGACCCGAACAAGTGTCCATCATGCCAGAATATGCTAGCGATGCTTACCAGGAAGAGTCGGCAGATTTGCTGTGCATTACTTCGTCAGTCTGGACCTCAACGAAACCCAAGCGGGCAAAAGATTCTGAAGAAGGAAAGCATGAGAGGATGTACGAACCCGGTAACCTGCTGGTAAGCAGACTTGGCACCGCTAGTGAGCTCCTCGTTCTGCTGTTGGCTCAAGTTATGACCAGTCTTCTGCTCGAGGAAGTTGAGTCCTAGATAGGGTATCAATGTTGGCCTACTGACGTAGATGAGGAGAAGCAGATGGGAAGACATACCTTGTGAGATGTAGCCACCGCCACCGCTGCTACCCTGCTGTTGTCCACCCTGTTGACCTCCTTGTTGGCCGCTCTGACCTTGGCCCTGTTGTTGCTGTCCTCCCTATGATACGTTCATCAGCGATTATCTTAGACCAAGGAAAATGTGCGAGGGCCGCAACAACATCGAAAAACGAACCTGCTGGCCTCCACTCTGTCCTCCATAACCTCCAGAGGATTGATCGCTGGATCCATCATCCTGGTTACCAGAGCTACCATAGCTGTTTTGGTTGCCCGAGTTTCCGCCTCCATAACTGTCAGAGTTACCAGAGCTGCCGTAGCTATCTTGGTTTCCGCCCCCAGAACTGTTGGAGCTTCCATAGCTGTCCTGGTCCTGGTTGTTGTTCGAGCCTCCGTAGCTATCGGAGTTGCCTGAGCTGCCGTAGCTGTCTTGGCCGCCTTGGTTACCAGACTGTTGGTCATCGTAGCTATCGCTCGAGTTGGAGTCCGTATCCACTCATAATTGCTGATGGAAGGACGAAGATTGAGGGGTTGAAAAGACGTGTACTTGAAAGGAAGAGAAAAAGTTGGAGATCAGTGGGATTGTTGATGAGGACGAAGAGCAGAGCTAGAGATTTGAGGAAGGAGTGTGGTTCTTATTATGGAAGGAACACCTCGGGTGAAGGAGGGGTCATTCCTGCCCCTCCATAATTTAAGATCCAAGCCTCAACCTTAGAGCTGCAAATATAGCTGTCAATGGCGCACATCGAACCCTCCATCATCAGCTATCAAGCTTCAACCTGGGAGATGGTGGTGTTGTCACTCCCGCAATCAGTGGTTGTCGGTGAAACATATGCAGAATTGTGCAATTGACTGAAACACCAAAAGCAATTCCGAGCTCTTCCTTTCAGCTGGTGTGAAAATTGTCTCACCGACTGGCAGTGTTATTGGGTCTTTCTTTTGAGGCTGTTTGTTTTTGACAAGCGGGCACACGTGGCTGTCCAATGAGATGGAGGTGGCGAAAATCAGTCCGTTTGACGACGGTCAGCTGAAAATATGTGCAGTATCTGTCTCATAGAGGTGACGCAAGGTTTCCTGTCCCAAGACAGATGAACCTGTCTATTCTGGGTTCTTTGTTGAAACACGAGATGAGTGTCATTCCCAAAGATGTACCTACCCTGGAACAACAGACAAAGTAACGATTCTTTGCAAGAATAATGCTTAATGGTTGCAAATAATGTTTCACTTCAACCACCCTGCTTCTCAACTCTACTCTTGTTCTCACTGGTGAGTGACCATAGCTAACGAGACGACTCTTCTGGAGCAATTGACCCTTGGCTTTGGAAGAAGATTTTAAAGTTGATAATGCATGGATACCTAGATTAACACTTACAAGATCCAAGGCAGACTAACAACATGGGCCCGAACATGGCCCGGGCCGCTGCTAACAGCAACTGCCAGCAGATATCGTAATCACAATTTGCACAGATGCATTGAATGTGTGTAGTACCACGACGGACGTCTTTTGTGTATTCGTGGTACTCGCAAACTCATTGGCCATGTTTCCCCCACCAGACCAAGCAACGCATCATGGGCTTGCACTCAAATCATATGATGACTCATGATTGAGTATAGCGATAAAAGAGATCGACGTCTCAAAGCAAATAAGAGAGTGCTGCAACAAAGCATGCCATGGCAGGGATATCCATCATCAGAGTCCGAACCGTATGGATCTTCAACCAATCCTTCAGTAGACCCTTGGTCTTGTCATGGGGACCATAGATCATTCCCTTGATAACTTTGGAAATCTATTTCAACTTATTAGTCTACTTTGACTCTGCTAAGCGTGACTTCAGTAACTTACGGGGGGGCCGAAAGCATAGTGACCAAGAGTAAGGACTGTTCCCCAGCCATACAGTGTTCTCGCTAGGCCGGTGGTATTACGGAAGCAAAGGTATCCGGAGATGGAACTGATGAGACCAAATCCTGCCCAGCCTGGAATCGTGTTGTAGAAGTAGTCATCAAAGAAGTGGGACAGGGACTCAGGTGGGATGTCGGATCGGCGGAAAGGCAAAAGAGTCCAGTACCTATCGACTAATCAGTATATAGTTTTGAAAGACGTCTGAAAGTCCAGGAGCTTATCCCAACAATCGAAACACCACTTTCTTTTGGACTGGCTTCTGAAAATGATCCAAAAATTCTTGGGTCCCGGAATCGATACAAAACAAGGGGAGGATCTGACGTACTCTGTGAAGCAGAATGCAACAGAGGCAGTGGATGACAGTACGGGGATGAGGTGGCGAAGACCAGGAACGATAGGAGCTGCCATTGTCGAAAGTGTTTGCTGCAATAGTCGAGATCAACTGTGAAAGTTGACGTTGAAGTAGAAGTGGGCCGATGTTGATCTTCGATCACGTGAGTCAGAAATAGAGATGGGAACAGTTAGGTAAGGTAGTAATTGGACTGAAGTGAACTTACCTACAAAAATTTAACTAATGCCTAGGTAGTCAAGGAAGGAAATTACCTCTCTGACTTGCTTGTTAGGAGGATGTAAGTAAATTTCGTCCAAATTAGCTCTAGCTTACGTTAGCTCTTCGCTTCCAGGCACTCTTGTTGGAGCACCTCAGCAATAGCCGCCAGTAGCCGCAACTTCTATCACTCAACAATAGACGCCGACAGTAGCCGATATGGCTTCATACATAGACGCCGATAAGCGCTTATCGAGTACGATAGCGGCAATGAATTTCCCCGCGTCTCAATATTTACTCTTCAGGAACTTTCTCATTTTCAGTATGAACTTTCGCGATTTCCTTTTCACTTCAGAGACGAAGGAATCTGTTCGCAACACTTATCTCACTTAGACACACCTCACTTCAATCTTCTCTCACTTAGTTCATTCTTTCACGTCTTTTCAGTCCCGCTGGTGCTCGAACCGGCTGCAGCACAGCGCTGCCTAATTTCTCTTCTTCCTGTCCTTTCTCTGTCGTCGGCGCACACCATCATCTGCAAACAGCATCATGGATTCAACCGCTCGCAAGAAAGAAAGTTCGTTCCGGAACCAGGAAAGACGCGGTGGTGAAGGAACAATGAAGGTGCGTCTCAATACAGCTTTGCGGTTAATCGCATACGGCTGACGTGAAACATGGCAGCCTTCGTCCATCAACGATTTGAGCGAGTCGAGTTTCTCATTCAAGAATCACGTTGCTGCCTCCTCGTCAGAAGACTTCATACTTGACATTACTAGATACATTCCTGTCGGTTGTTTGCGAGTCGACAGAGGAGAATGTGACATACCTGCAGTGGACTGGAGCTCATGCCGCGGCTGGGCTGCCTTTCCACATGAAAAAGATATCTCAAGCCGTCGAGGTGGATCATATCTCAGCAAAGAACTGCAGTCGCTATTCTTCAACAACTCTTTGGTCAAACCATATCTTGGTCTGCATTATGCTGGCTGGATCAGGCTGGAATTCAAGTCAAACGATTCTGACCATGGCCAGATTAGAGTCTACATTCTCCCTGATGATTCTGCACGAGCGGTGGTTGATCGAGAGTCAATTGTCCTCCGCAGGGCCTTACATACTTTGTTGACACAATTGGATATTTCTCTCACAACTTGGAACGGCGACTGCTCGGCATGGTTCCATGTCGACCCGTCTCTTGACCGAAGCTCGAAAGAAGAACCTTCGCTGTTTGAGGTATTCAATACTTTGCCTTCCCCCAAGCCAAACCCATCAATCGTACCAGACGAAGACATTCGCTATACGATGGATATGCTTCTGAAGAGTGAAGTTCCAGGACTCAAGACTACCATGCACAATTACCAGTGCCGATCTGCAGCACTTATGCTTCAACGAGAATCTTTCCCAGGTCAGATCAACGACCCGAGACTGATACCTCAACTCGACCAGAACGGTGCATCGTGGTACTGTGATCTCGATCGTGGAATGTGTTTCCGAGATCCGAAAACATATGAAGCAGTCAGAGGTGGCATCCTCGCAGAAACCATGGGTCTGGGCAAGACTTTGATTTGCTTAGCATTAATTCTTGCCACACGACAATTCTCATCTCAAATCCCACAGGAGTGTTCGATAGGATCCATCCCGGTCAGAAAGACGACTGGTTCGTTGCTGGAAATGGTTGCTGCACAAATTGGACGAACAGGTATCCCCTGGAAGGACGAATTTAGTCAGCTCGAAGCTTCTGAAGGCTCCCACCTTGAGAAATGTCGTGATGCACTGGAGAAGGGGGCAGGTCACTACTTCTTACCTCCTCCAGAACCTCGCCGACTATCGAGACACATTGGCAATGTTCCGGCTCGAAAGTTATGGCTCTGCACTACTACCATTGTGGTCTGCCCTCCGAACTTGGTTCAACAATGGCGTTCAGAGATCGAGAAGCATACCACAGGCCTAAAGGTGCTGTATCTCCGTGCTCCATCAGATCGACTCCCAACTGCCAGAGAGTTGACAGACTATGACATCATTCTATTCAGTAAGGTTCGCTTCGAAGCCGAAGGGAAAGAGAATTTCGATGGCTATCAGTCTCCACTAAAAGACCTCCACTTCAAACGCCTAATTGTGGATGAAGGTCATTCGTTTGGTAATAGCAGTACGAAAACCATGGCTGACATTGCTGTTGAGTCTCTTCGGATTTCAGCCCGCTGGATCGTCTCCGGGACACCTACACAGGGACTGGGTGCTCTGGGTCGTACTGGCCGACTGCCTAGTGTCCGTGTGCCTTCCAACAACGACTCCAACGACGAATACGACGACTTCAACGACCAAGGAACAAATGGCTCCGATTCTCCGTCCAAAACCTCCGAGCAACAGAGTGAGCTGTTCAAGCAAGAGCGGCGTGACTTGGAGAAGCTTGGCCAGATTGCTACATCCTTCCTTCAGGCTCGTCCGTGGGCTAATTCTGTGTTCGGTAACGATCATGCATCATGGTCTCAGCTTGTTATGCAGCCTCGCCATGGCACTAAGAGTCGAGGCAACATGCATTCTTTGAAGGTAACCCTAAAGGGTTTGATCGTCAAGCATAAGCCCGAGGACATAACTGATGATGTTACACTGCCACCCTTGATCCAGAAAGTCGTATATCTAGATGGCTCCATTCAAAATAAGCTCTCTTTGAATACATTTACCATGATGATCATTACCAACGCAGTCACTTCCGAACACAAGGATGCTGATTACTTCTTCCATCCAAAGCAACGGAAACACTTGCTGCAATTAGTTTCGAACTTGCGCCAAGCAAGCTTCTTTTGGTCGGGCTTTGATCACGAGCATGTTCAAAATACGATCAAGCATGCAAAGGATTTCTTAGAAGAAAGAAAGGTTCCCGTCACGGCAGATGATGAGGCACTTCTGCTTCAAGCAATTGACATGGGCGAAGTTATCCTTAAAAATCATGTCTGGCAGGCGATCAGCAAAGGGCATGAGATGCCCATGTGCGTCGAGAATAATTTCTCGGACGATGTCAGATCTATTTGGTCACTCACGAACAATGCAAGCAATCCTACACTCATGGGTGCGACTATGGTCCATGAAGTTCAGAAGTTCGTTGACGCCCACATAACTGAGGAGGACACTGTAGACGGATTGTTCGAAGCTGGTGAAGAGGTCATGAAATCGGCGTCGAACGCACTACATCCAGCTCCCAGGGCCTGGACCAAAACCCAAAAGGAGAAGAAGAATTTGACAGCTACTAAGAAGTCCAAAGAAGAAGCACCTGAATTGGCTGGCGGTGTCACGGTAGGAGTCGCTGGGAGTCCGAAGAAGAGAATTCGTGCTGCTGCGGTATCAAGTACCAAGACGGATGCAGCAGTAACGAAACCGGTCCTAGCCAACGTTGAGGGCAGACTTAAGGCCAGCCAGTCTTCGGCAGAGGACCTCAACGAAGAAGAGGACATGCCAAGCAACGACGGGACACTATTTCAAACCTATGCATCTGCACTAAGAGACTTGACCGGATCCGAGCAGACTGCATTTGTGGACTTGACCGAATCTAAGGAGATGCCAAGTACTGACCCTCCGGTATCCGCTCAATTGGTATCGACTGCATCTGCAAAACTTTCCTACCTGATGGATAGGATACTCCGCCACCAGTCGCAGGAAAAGATCCTCGTCTTCTACGAAGCCGACAATGTTGCATTCTACATTGCTCAAGCTCTAGAATGCCTCGGTATCAAACATCTGATCTATGCTAAGACACTTTCATCTGCACGTCGGGCTCAGTACGTAGTGACCTTTAACCAGTCAGAAAAGTTCCGTGTTCTTCTCATGGACGTCTCTCAAGCAGCCTTTGGCTTGGACATAAGCAGTGCTTCGAGGGTATATTTTGTCAACCCCGTGTTTTCCCCTCAGGTGGAGGCACAAGCAGTCAAACGAGCCCATCGTATTGGTCAAACAAAACCTGTATACGTTGAGTCATTGGTTCTGAAAGGCAGTATTGAAGAGGTCATCGTCAAACGTCGAGAAGCGATGAATAATGAAGAGCACACCAAGTGCAAGAGCATTCTGGATGACCAGACGGTGTACGACTGTAAGTACTGTTCTATAAAACCCCCTTTTCACCTGCTTCGCAATGAATGCTCTCCGTCGGGGAGTTGATTCCATCTTGGTTGATTCTTGCAGAGCCATGCTAATTTACTATGACTAGGGATTCGCAATGCTCGATTCAGATCCTTCCCTTCCAATGAGATATCCGTCCAAGATCAGATGGCAAAACTTGCTGTCCCACAACAACTGTTTGGTAGAGGATATTCTGGCAAACTCTACCCCGATACGGATTTCATTATCGACGATACGAGCTCGGAAAGAGCAGGAAACGAAGATTCCAACCCTGGTTTCGAGATCGTATCCGCAAGTCCACTTCTCCGGCGCCCAACTCAAGGAGGCAAGAGAGAAGTGATCGTGATTTCTGATGATGACGAGGCCGATAACGATCAAAACGATAAGGATGGGCTCAGCCCTAAGCCGAGACGAAAGAGGGCAAAAACGACAAATTCTGAACCTGAGTTCGTACCTCTAGAAGTGCCACAAGAAGCCGAGAGCTCGCGCAGCAACGCACAGTCGGAAGGTGGCGATGACGATGACGATGACGATTGGCTGGCACATGCTGACTCTGACGAGGAGCTAGATATCTAAGAGGCTTGGACTAATTGTATTATATGAGGAGCATTTGGCTCTATGTAGAGTAGACAAACAGCGTGAACTTCACAGCATGGACATTACAGCGAGGACATAGCAGCTAATGCAGTCAATCAACTAAATTCTAAGAATACGTCGTCTTCCGTCTTCTATCTTCTCGCAATCTCTCTGCCGTCTAACTTGTTCATGACCCAGTACAGAATAATCATCGCACGTCTTCTCCAATTTCTAGTCCACTCCAGACTTCCGCTTCGCCATGCTAACCATGCTCCGGCACCAGTCCAATCAGATTTTCCCTCAACAACGCCATCATGTCTACCAATGTAGGCAACAACTGCCTTCTGCGTATATTCAAATTTCTTTCCTTCCTCGCCAGCAATCAGATACTTCGCAAGCCACTTGGCCTTTTGAACCGCTACTTCAGCCGTAGTTGGCAACTCCCCACCCTCAATATCAGCCGCATCCCCCAATGCGAAAACACTATCAACGACTCCCTTCTTTTTACTCAAAACCCTCAACCACCGATCAGTCAACATCCTCTGTCCACTCTCATCCTTCTTAACCTCCAAATCTTCCACCAATCCACCCGCCTTGTTCCCCGTACACCAAACCGCAGTCCCAAACTTCACCTCCCCATCCTCTTTCACATTCATGACCCCTTTCTCAAACCCCTGAATATGCTTTCCCATACAAATCCTCACATCCCTCCTCCTAAACTTCTCCATCGCATACTCCGACAACTTCTCTCCAAACTGCCCTAACATCCGATCCGCAATATCATACACACTAACCGTCACCAATCCCTCAAGCTCCTTATACACCCCCAAAAGATGCCCATGCACCAACTCATCAATCTCAGCCGCCAACTCCACGCCCGTCGGGCCCCCACCCACAATCACAAAATGCAAAATCTCCCTCTTCTGCTCAACAGAAAAAGTAGGCAGAGAAGCCATCTCAAAACAATCCAGTATCCTCTCCCTTAACTTCATTGCATCAGCTACCGATTTCATAAACAAACAATGCTCCTCCACCCCCGGCGTCCCAAACGTATTAACCTCCGCTCCAGGCGCTAGGATCAATTTATCATACCTAACCTCAAACTCCTCCCTTGGACCAAGCTTCTCATCCCCATTCGACCCGATCGCGGCTTTACACTTCACAACTCTGCTCTCAAAATCGACAGCCGTGCACCAGACCTGGTATTTCACGACGTTTTTCCCGAGGGAGAGCCGTCGGACGGGCTCTTCGGCGATGCGGAAGTCGAAGATGGAGCAGGCGGCGGAGGCGAGGAGGGGTGTGAGGGCCATGGTTCGGGTCGGGGAGAGGATGATGAGGTTGTGAGTTGAGAGGAGGGAGGTGGAGCGGCCGAGGTCTTGGGCTAGGGTCCAGCCTGCCCAGCCGGTGCCTAGGATTACGATGGTTGGTTTGGTGTTTGGTGGGTTGGAAAGAAGTGTTTCTTGTGAGGTTGAGGAGGAGCGGGTTGTTGCTGGAGAAGAGGAGGGAGGTGTGCTGGACTTGGAAGGCGAAGAAGCCTGGCTGCGTATTGTGGGAGCCATTTTGAAGCTCGAGGAAGTCTTTGAGGCAATTGAGAAGGTCCTAGAAGTGATATCTCTTGTTTGAGAGCAATGCTGTCCACAATTTCTCAAAGTCCCAGGGATCGTCAGCCTCGTATGCAAGGCTGACGCAAGGCTCGGCAATCGAGCACAAAGAAGTGGATTTTGTAGAAGTTTCCAACTTGGACTTTTGACCATCACAAGATCTTGTGAGAGTGCTGTTGGGTAAATGTAAAGAGAAACACCATAAAAAGGAATATGAAAAGTAGAATTGACATGCCAAACTTGCTGTCATCAAAGGACGCTTTACCCTTTTGAAGTCCTGACGGCATTGACAACGTTTAGCGTACGGAGGTATTCGGCATCTAGATGCCTGGCTTTCGATCGCCAGGGGTCAAACTTCAACCATGCGCGATCGAGAAAGAAGAGAACAAATTTGCCAGGATGAACAGTGTTTCGTCTTGAGGTTGCAATAGAAGATCAAGTGGTTTTAGAAACGTGGAAACAAAGTCTGATTACGTGATTATTATACCTCTCACCGAACCCCTGGGCAAAGAGGGCTTGACATGATAGCTTTTATTAAGTTATCAAGATGGAAGTTCGTGAGACTTCATACAGATGGCTGCCAACGCTTATTACGCCTGGGCCATTCCTTGCGCCAGCCAGCAAATAAACCTGCCCCACTCACACGCATGCCATGCAAGAAAACCCTTATGAAATGCTCATATCTGAACAGAGGTCCACACAATCGATCATGCCAAATAGTTGTATGTCGGTACCGCAGCATCCTCAACTCGCTCCATATATTCACGCTCGATTAAGCTCTCAATCCGGCGCTTCATCATGTCGACATTGGGCTTGAATCTTGACGAGAGTTGAGAGATCACCTCCATCAACAAGTTTTGGTGAGTATAGATTTTGCGAGCCCTGGTGATGATGTTAGCATACATTTCCACAAGCTTGATCATCGATACATACTTCATGATGCGGACGATGACGGTGTCGATGACATTGCCGCGGTGTTCATCATTTCTGACTTCTGTCTCCTTTCGCTCCTCGTCACCCTCAACCTTATTGACTGCACCAACCATGACCGGGGCCTTGATCTTCATTGTCTTGGAGGTAAACGTGGTGTTGAAGAAAAACTTGTCGCCGGGCTTGACTTCTTTATTATCCGGCTCCTTTCTTAAGACTTTCGCCTTTGGATTGACAGCAAGCGTGTGGAGGATCTTCGAAAGCTCATGACCGGGTATGTTAGTGCGTTGCTGAATTTCTTCGAATGACAACGATTCATTATCTGCAAGATCATTGAACAACAACACCACGACCATGCCGTAGGTTGGCATATTGACCTCATGTCTTCGTTCCCTACTCAAAACACCTTCTCTTCCTGGAATTTTCGGGAAGACACAGCGAATATCTGCACTTCCTAAGAATCCGAGCCATGTTAGCTTTCGGCCATTTCGCTCCTTCAAGTAAAATGCCTTGAATGATTCTTGAAGAGATGAGATTTCGGATGGCCAATTGCATGGGATCTGGGTTCCATCGTCTTGCCGTGATGCATTCCCACCCATGCTCTCCATAGGCCAGTAATTGGTTGTGAGAACATTAACTCCGAGATCAATCTGTCTCCGGTCCATATCTCCGAGGTTTGAAATGTGGGTGCGATAGCCAGCAGTCAAGTCATCGGACATCGTCATATCCTTGAACATGCCTTCCAGCTTTGATGTGAAAGAATTTCCAATCTCAAGCTTCATTCTGGAGATCATTTGCTTCTCAACATCGGCGCTTTCTGACTTTCCGTGAAGCAATCTTCGAGCAAGATGCTTCTTGTAATATCGCTCAAACATGTCCCTATCCTGAATATATTTTAGCAGGGTAGTGGCTTTGTCCAGCACTTCGTCGATCTCAGCTTCCGTCTTGCCCTTAATTCCTCGCTTAAGATTGTCATCAATGAACAGAGATACATATTCTGAGCAACGAGGGAATAAGTTGATGAAATCCGAGAAACTCTTCGTGAGAGCTGTGTGCAGGATAAGATCTTCGTCTAAGCACTTCTTCCACATCGTATCAAATTTGTCCTTTAATCTGAGAACATCATCTACCCAGCGAATGGCAGCAGCAGTCATCTTGGCAGACGGACTTTGTTGCTTGGCCTTTGGTTGCTTCTCGCCACCATCGGCGGCGTCACCATTCTCGGCTGGTTCGGAAGGTCCGGTGAAGTCGATGTTTTGAATGGTCCTGTTAATTTCAGAACCAAGCTCGACCACACGTGCCTGTAGAGCAAGCTTCAGAGGTTCCTTTGATGGGTCGACTCTTGAGATGAGTTGGTATAACAGAGTAAGATCTTCGTAACGATCATTTTCGATCATAGCTTTGATGCCACTGCCCTCCATGGCAAGGAATTCAGACAGGTGAGCAGTGATCAATTCAGCCTCCACAACTTGGGCGATCTTGGATTTAGTAAGAGCGGTTATCGTAGTCTGACATCTTGACTCTTCTTCGCCAAAACGCTTCTGAGTTTGTCGTAACCAGGATGAAGCATCCGAATTTTGGAGGAGGTTGTTGCATTCTGCCTGGTAGAATAATCGACTAGCGCGCAGGAATTCAGGCTCGAAGCTCGTCAAATACAGCTTGTCCAAGTCATTCTCTTCATCCGTTTCGTAAAGGCCCTCTAACATGAAAGCACAAGATCTAATGAGAGTCTTATTGATGACATCTCCATCGCGGTCCATGCTAATTTGATCGAGAAGAACTGAGTTCAGGATATCGAACGTGTTCAGATCCGAGCCTGTAAGACTGGCACGAAGGATGTGGTCCCGAAATAAGCCCATTGAGGTGGTGAAGATGGAAGCTTTGCGGTTGTCTGTGCAGTAGACTCGGTCCATGTACATAAGAACATCGGTCGTCATGTTCATGGTTATAATGTGGTCCTCCCAGGCCAACTTCAAGCCTCTAAGGAACTCTTCTCCAGTGATTCTTCTCTCATTTGCTGTGACTCCAGAAACGCCGCTCAATGTGATATTAACCAAGTTCGGAGTGATGAGCAGGCGAATCTTGGGCATGACTTCGGTGCCAAACCATTGTTCCTCAAACTCCCTAACACGATCGTACAGTCTGTCTCCTTGCTTCTTCAGCACAATTTTATATGATGCGCGGTAGATCTGCTCGAAGGAAAGCTTGGATGCATTTTTCGTATGGATCTCCTTGAGGGCTGACCGCAAGATGTCCCATTGCGCGTCAAATTCCGAGGTTTCGACATGGCCTGCAACACCCGCCTGGTAGATAACCTGTTAGCAACTTCGTTCAATGTAGTAGGGACAAGCAATGCGAACATAACAAAAATGCGCTAGGATGCTGTGTTGTCGAAAGTAACTAACTTGACTTGCGTCCATGCAGTGCGCAACGGCAACACTAAACGATTTGTCTGTAGCCATCTTTGTTCTCGCCAAGATGAAGTATAGCGATAAGTTCCGTTTCTCAACTACGAGTCTGCCAACGTCGCAAATTGTTCGGTTGAAGAAATACAGATGGTAAAAGGAAGAGGAGGTTTTAATAGCATGGTGGGGTGAATCACTAAAGTTGAACTTACCCGACGTGGCGGGCGTATCTTCCCTCGTCCTCGTCCTGAAATCATCTTGTACTGCCTGGATCTTGAATCGAAAGGTTGCGCAGCTCTCGACAGCTTTGTGAATCCGATCTATCGCGTGGAAACGATTTGAATGGCGGGGTGGCTACAAGGCTCTCGCAAGTTGCAATCTCGAGTTGAGCTCCATGAACGTCTCCAAACTTGCTCAGGTAGATCGAGGATTTGTCCAGAATGATTCAAGGAGGTCTGTGTCGGTGGTGCGAGGCGATTCGCAGACCGAGGGCGAATGTAATTTGCGACGAAGTTGTGGACGAAGTCAACAGCATTTTGGTTATCCTATTCGTGACTGCATGGATCGTCGGGCCGTTGTTTCTCCATCCAAGCTAGCTTCTTTTCTCTAATCGATAACAGCAGCTCTGTGGTCTTCGGGCCGTCGTTTTTCCATTTATATAGCGCTTTCGCTTTATCGGAGCTAGCGTCAAATCGTGTCGAGGCTCCGAACCAAAATTTTGAAATTCGCCGCCTCACCAAAGCCTTGATGTTCAACCTCAAAGTCAACGTAGACAAACATTTATTGCAACAACAAAATGTCACTTTCTACGATCTCATCTGCGGCTTTCCGCTCGATGACTCGAGTCTCTCGGCCAACATCAAAATTCATACCCCTTTCTACTCGTCGTCCTGGGCAGATATCTAGATTACAGCCTCTCTCGAACCGCTTCTTCAGCTCAGAACCTCCTCCTTCAGCAAACACGCCTGCACCAACACCCGAACCACGACCCGCGCACGCACCTCCTCTACCCAAACAAACCTCAAACACAAATACTACCTATCCGTTTCCCTCAAAACCAGAATACGAAATGACGTTCACATGCAAACCCTGCTCAACACGGAGTTCACATCGAGTCAGCAAACAGGGATACCATTATGGGAGTGTGTTGATCACTTGTCCGGAGTGTAGAAATCGACATGTCATCAGCGATCATTTGAATATCTTTGGGGATAAGCATATGACGATTGAGGATTTGATGCGGGAGCAGGGACAGCTGGTTAAGAGGGGGACGTTGAGTGAGGATGGGAATGTGGAGTTTTGGGTTGATGGGAGTGTGACGAAGAGGGGTGAGGGTGCTGGGGATGCTGTTACTGTTAAGGACAGTGCGGAGGAGACAGCGAAAGGATCTTGAGGAAACGATGTGATGAAGAGTGTGGGATCACCAATGTTGTACAAAATGTGGAAGGGATGGATGTACAATGAACAAACTTGACGACTTCAGCGGCATATTGGATGGCGTTCTGCAATCGGGAACCTGGAACTGTAGGTATGTTGTATGGATATATTGTGGCTCAAAGTCACATAAAAGTCATGGTGAAAGGATCGATCAGTCACAAAATAATGTTATTTTATTGTCCGCTCAGCATTTAATGCCACTCCACAAACGCAAGCAATGCATCAAAATAGTCCTCCAAGACGCCACGCAATGCAACAAAATGATCCACGCTACTAAGTCTCAGTACTCATGCCTCCTACTCCTATGCTCAGCACCCTTCTCCTTTCTCCTCTCCTTCTTCCGCTCTCCCTTCTTCCTCTTGACCTCCCCGTATTTCTCAGGTTCCTTTACAGCATCAATCTTCCTCTTACTCGTCCTCTGCAGTCGCCTCTCCTTGACACCTTCCCTCACCCTAAGAAGCGCTTCCGTATAAACACTCGTCCCCATCCTTTTCTTCAACATCTCCATGATTTCCTCACTTGCAGTTTTCAGAGCGTCATATCCAGTGAGGAAGAGCTCGTCGGTGGAAAACGGAGCGGAAATAGAAGGGTCGGTCAAGTTGTGGAGTGGAAGAAGAATGGTTTGTAGACAGGGAGCGAGCGAAGAGGGTTCTAGTTTTGAGGCTAGGACTTGCAGCAGTTGCAAAGACGCGGTCTTGGGAACTAGCATTGGTGCACGTGGTGGCGGTGGGATTTCTCGGCGGAGAATAAAACTTAGTCGGCCAAACAGATATTCCAGAGCTGTTCTTCCATCCTTCTCGTCCTCTTCCCCTTCCTCCTCGTCGGATTCGTGGTCAGTGGCAGACCGCCATTTTAGATCATTGGCCCCAGCACACCGGCCTAGAAAAACAAGATTCTTGACTGTCTCGTCGGCAAGCGGTTGAAGTAGATTGGGCGTCTTGAATATATTGGCGACGCGACGAATGAGCTCCGTGATATCGTCTCCTGTGAGTTTCAAGCCTTGAGATCCCTTCAACGGTAGATTCTCCAGTCCAGATTCTGCATTCGCTCGAGCGAAGTCTGTAAAGTATTCGCTGGCAAGTCGAGCTGCAGACAGCTTGACCCATGCATTCGGGTACGAGAGGCCTACACGAGTAGCCGCCCAGAAAACTTTTGATTTGGATGAGAGAAGAGTAGCTGGAAACTTCTGAACCAATATCAGAGCTAGCTCAAGAGCGCCGTATATCTGCTGCCAGTCTGAGTCTGGATCATCGACAGTCTGGAGGATGGCAAGAATGCGTTCTTGAAGCATTGAAACATCACTGTCGTCCGTTGTCTGATTTTCGTAGTAGAATCCGTATGTCTGCAGCGTGATATACACAACATTGGGTTTCGGACTATTGACCCACGAGCGCAGGCTCGTCAAGAAGCCGTTGGTTCGTTCTTTATCAGCCTTCTTAAAGATATTTTTGATGACTTCTCCAGCGGACAAGCGGCATTTCTCACTTTCGTCAGCCAAAGTGAAGATCAGCGGCAAGAAGCATCTTCTTGCCACCTCTTGAACATAGTCCTCAGATGACTTCGAAAGCAAGAGATGAATCACCTCCAAGATTGATAGTCGACCGCCCTCACGCTCATATGTCAAATTTGCGGTGATAAAATCAAGTTGCTTCGACCATCTCTTCTTCGTTTGAGGGTAGTCCCGCAAGAATTGGAAGTATGCGCCTCGAGCCAGGTCTCTGGTATCCTTGTCCTCATTCGTTACCATTACAGTACCGACATAGTCAAGAGTATCGTACACAACTGCTGTCTCGACCTTGGAGTCAAGGACGGCTCGCAAGAAGTTGAACGTCACGTGCCGTCGCTCAGGTTCGGTGATGTCGTCTTTCAGTCTGCTGAGCAATTCGTCCACTGTTGTATCTTTTACCGGAACATCGTGGCGGTCGCGGAGGACCACTGAGACCAGTTTCAAAGCGGCCTGGGAAATGTCTGATGCCGTTGACGAGTTCGCAGATATGGCTTTTCTTGCCTCTGCTGCTGCAATCCTGTAAAGATCTGTACCATCGCTCGCGTTTTGCAATGGGACTTTGACCAATGTAGCCAGAAGTCGAAAAGCTGCGACTTTGACTTCATCTTCCCCTTGGACGACAGCATCACCCAGAATGGGGATAAACCCAGCGATATTGCTACCAGTTCTTAAGGCATCATACTTCTTGAGAACAGCTCGCATGACATCGAAAGCGAAGCGAACCAGCTTATGAGTATAGATAGTCATGCCTCCACGATCCCCAGCTCGCTTTGCACCTTTCTGTAGAAGGTACTTCTTCAGCTTCCGGTCTATCGGCGCCGATTCTTGAGGCTTTTCGCCGTTATGAACGTCTTGAATGACTATATAGCAGAAAATAAGACTATCACGGTTGTCGGCTGCTGAGTTCCTGAGCAAGCCATTGGTGATTCTGTTCAGAAGCTCGTCGATCTTGCGTACCATTTTCAGATTCAGCTTCTCCTTCAGCAAAAGTCGTATGGGTCGGACAAGGTCTGTCAACCGACTCAAGGTGGCTGTTCGTGCGATGAGTTCCATCGAATCATAACTCTTACTACTCTTGACTTCTTTCATCTTGCTGGTGTACTCCTCGGCATCCTTTTCTTGTCCAGCTGCGCCGAATATATCATCCATAATGATCTGAACGATAGGAGGCAGACAGTAGTCGAGGTCACCCGGGCCATACTCGGGTATACAAGCAACGAGAATTGAATGCATAGTGTATGAAAGAACGTGGATTTGAGAGCCGGTTGCTAGAGCACTACGAAGTTCCTTGAGCACAAAACCAAAGCATGACGGGCCTAGGAGTACACATATCTTGACCAGCGTATCTCGAGTCATGTCGCGTGATGTTTGGGCTTTGCTGCGAAGGATATGGCAAATGTCTGTTAGGACAGCAGGTAGACATTCTTTGAGCTTGTCTTCGGGGAGCAACTTCAATAGCCGTACTACGATGACAGCGACCGGCACTCGAAGACTGACTGTTGACTCATCCTTGTCGTGCAAGTATGCTGTCAGGGGTGGTATGATGTTGGAAGCAAGATCTTCTCCAAGCTTTTGCTGACTTGGCACGGTGGCTGATAACGTGCTTTTCTTGTTGTTCTCGCTGTCAACAACCATGGCATCGTCTGCTTGGACAATCTCTGGGACACAGGTGGCTAGAGAATCGATGACTTTCCCGAGGAGCCGGATGATCTGCTTCTCAAGTTCTGGTTTTGAGCTGATATAACCAATAAAGCGCCTCAACATGGCACGGTATTGCGGCCATTCCAATGATTTTGCCAGGATTGCAACAGCAGTTGTAGCTTCAGCTGCTAGATTGTGTGCATCGCTTCCTTCCGCTCGATCGAAAATGAAGTGCTCAATGATTGGGATAAAAAAGTGGCTGATGTTCTTTGCACTAAGCTCTCCTTTTTCGGCAGCCGCGGAGATCTGTCCCAGCGCGCTTGAGCGACGGCCAACCCCTACAGCTAAAATGTTGTTGAAGAAAGAAGACTCAAGTTCGTCGTCGCCGGCGAGTAGACCGTACATATCGCTGACTTCAATCCACTCAGGGAACCATCGAACAAGAGTTCCCATTACCTTGAGATACTCTCGTCGAATGACTTCGGAAGGCTCTCGGGCTCCTGCAAACAGAGCCGGAACAAGAATTGACGATATCATGGTCCGGAATTGAGCTTTCTCGACCTCCTCTTCTACCTCTGCTGCACATTTGAGGAAGCAGCAGATACCATCCGATGAATGTGAAGACAGAATTGCAAACTCCTCGTCGTGTCTGATATAGTACAACATATTGAACAGCAACGGTGTCCACTGTCTTGCTGTGAAAGGAGGGACCCGAGAAGCTTCAATAAAACTGAATGCATTGCGCCGTCGATCGTAGTCGGGCTCGTCAAGACGACCCTCTACAAACGAGTTCAGATCAACGCAAAGCTTAGCAACGTCTGCGAGAACAGCGTCCTGTTCGGAGTAGACCGTCAAAACACGTGACAATACTTCACGAGACGTTCGGTCTTTGAAAAACCCGAATAGTGATGTGATGGTGCTGTAAACCTTGTCCTTCAATTCATGATCCTTGTGCAGCTCATAGAGTGGCACGAAGTTCTCAAGTACAAGCAAGAGACCACTCTTCGTTTTTGGGCTGACTCGGCGACTAGGCTGATCAAGGAGAAAGATGGACACTTCGACCAAATTCTTAGCTTGTGTTGACGTTGTCACGAAGGGTGCCAGCTCAGATACCGTTTCGACACAACACTCTAGCAGGTCCTTGCTTGGATCACCACGGAGGACACCACCAATATGTATCAAGAAATGATCCATGTTAGGGGCGAGAAGTTCATCACGTACCCTATCACGTACCCTATCACTGACATCATTCTCGGCACTCTCTTGACAGAGCTTGACAATATTTCTGAGGACGTTCAAGGCAAATAGTTTGACCTCATCCTTTGATTTCTGTGGGGTTAGACACTCTGCCACTTTTGGTAGGATTTGTTCATTGCTTCCGAGAAAGAGGACGAGCTTAGGCGAAGTTGACCAGGCAGAAAAGAGACGCATGATGGCAGAGACTCCTTGTGCGGTCTCGATAGGAAGATTGGCAAGTCGAGGGGAAACAATCTCTTCGTTGATCACTTTGCAATACGGCGTCCACTCAAAGTCCGGTGTGTGAACGAAGAGAAGATTCAGACACTTGAGCCCAGTTTGGCGGATAACCTTCAGCAGAGATGATTGACTGGCTTGGGGAGTAGCTTCTTCTATTTCTTCGTGATCATCTTGCAAGTTGCGGCATGCAAATACTGTGCAATAGAGAACTGCGTCAACAAGCTTTTGAGCATGAGGCAGAGCTTTGGTGGCGAGCTCTTTGAGCATGCCCTCTATCATATGTATGAAACCAACTTGTTTCCTCACACTCAGGGTCTCTCTTTCAAGTACGGATTCTCGAAGTTGGCCGTTGTCGATGACTTTCACATCCTTCAGGTCGCCTAGAGCAATATCGAGAAATGCGCCCATATCTACGATATTGAGGCTTCGGAGGATGGTAAGTCTTCGGGCCTCCATCCCCTGTCTACCGCTAGCTGCACCCTTCCTAGAAATAGATCGGCCGTAAAGTAATCGAAGAAGTAACGGCATGAGAGTGCTTCGGTGTTCGGGTTGAATGAGAGCGTCGCCTTGGAGAAAGACCGTGATTTCATCCTTCAATCTAGCTTCGTCGAGAAGATTCATGAGGTTCTCCTCGTAGGGCCGAATGTTCGGATCTTTCCAGGTGAAAAGTGCCTTCACAGCAGACTTCTGGATTTCGATGTCCCCATTAGCCACCAAACTCAACAGAGCACTATGTACGTCCTCGGATTTGTACAACGACTTTGGATTTGTAAAAAGGCAAAATAGATCGAGTTGCGCCTTTTGGTCCTTCCTAGTCCAGTCACTCAAACTTGACTCTTCCTCTTCCGAACCGTGGTCATTTACATGTTGTTTGATAGCCCATGATAGAAACATCGGTACCAGTTGGCGTGAGCGTCTTTCTGCAATATGAGGGAGGGCAGACAAAACACGCAGTGCTTGAGCTCGTGCCGATGACGGTTTTGCTGTTATCAATTCTTGAGCCTCCGCAAACTGCTTCAGCATCGTATCTCGGGCTTTGAGAACACTTAGTTCGGCCGCTTCTGCAGCCAGGTTCAATTTGATCATATTTGAGCATTCAAAATCTGTCAAATCATTTCTTTGATTTTGATCCACACTCTTCGTAGCCCCATCCCATGCTACAGAGGAGGTTTCAAGCCAGTCAAATGCAAGCTTCGCTACAATCTCCTCCCCTGATTTTGACCCAGCGATTTGCTTCAAGGACGACGTAGCATCCTCCCATACTTGGGCAAATTTGACGGTAAGCATACCAAAACAAAACGAAGCAATAGCTGGTTGTAACCAGGTCGCTGATTTCTGTGACTGAAATAGCGTTGCTAGTTTGCGGATGTGCATCGAAGCAGATCGTGCCGTCTGTAGGTCAAGAGGTGTTTGTTCAACCATCAGCATGATGGCAAGGGCTTCGGACTTGGAGCCAAGATCAGTGGTGTGGATATAGTCTAGTAACCGCAATGACAGCAACCTCAGCTCATGCGATGCTGTAGATAAGTTAGAGACCAGTGAAGTGACCAGGAGGTCAGCATCGGAATCGGTTTCTGGGTCTTTGGATGGCGAGCCTGTCTTGTGAATAGGCGAAGACTTCAGGCTCATTTCATAGTCTAGGAAAGCCTCCAGAAAATTTGGCAGACGGGCATATCGCGGAGCGGCTGCTCGTAGAAGAGGTTCAAGGCTTCGGTCTGTTTCACCAGCTGCCTTGCTCATTATCGAAAAGGCGCTAAATCCTCGACCGACGATGAAGTTTGCTTCTTCCTCCGCAAGTGAAGACGAAGGACGAAGAGCAAGTTTCAGTTTTCGCAAGAGGATCTCGGCAATTCTGGCATTTGTCGATGGATGTACTACAGTACTGTCCAGGACCTCGAGCAGAGCATTGTATTTAGGGAGACATCGGTCGTGCCAGGTTGTTGGACTTCGATCATATGGCGAAGACTGTTCAGGGAAAGGCGAGACTTCCAATCTTTCAAACTTGCTGACAATCTGGTCTTGCCATGACTGCGGCAACGAAAACCCTTCCTTGTTGTACTTACTCGGAAGGGCTCCCGAAGATACCATTTTGGGCAACAAGACTGATAGTGTATCGCCATTATCCGCGTCTGACCAATGAGCAACGACGAATCTAATTACAATTAGTAGGAGTTTGTAAAATTGGCTATCGCGACTAACCTTCGAAAGTACGGCAAAACTATGCTTTGGAAGCGTTCTGACTCTCCCTCTGAAAGAAAGGCACAGAACGTTAGGAAATACGGTGCAAATGGATCCTTCGTCAGGGCTTCCATGAATGGCGAGACGAAGGTTATCAGAGCATCCATAGGTGCGTACTGGATGATGATAGCTGTGCTCACTACCACCGAGTTCCATTTGTGCCACTCGTCACTCTTTAGCCGAGTCTGACAATACTTTGAGAAGAACTGCAAAATATCTGACATGCTTTTCAAGAGCAAAGGCCAGTTACTGACACGGCTACCTTTCCTAACGCCAGCAATTACCCCAATAAGCTTGGCAAAGAACGCAAGACACGGTATGCTCAAGTCAATGGATTGGTCTTTTGCCGAGCCCATGGTAGCAGAGACTTGGTTCTGAACGACTTCCACGATATCTTTGAGAGTGTCCAAGTTAGAGTGGTGTATGATGCTGGTAAGAACGCCGCACACTACCATAGCCCAAGGAGACGGCTCTTTTGCTGCTAGATCTTCATCTGTCAATGCATCGACAAGACACTGGAAAATTGCAGGCCCCGACGTATGAACCGCCAAGCCATTCCCCTTCATTGCTTCGGCGAACAATGTCATCAACCCATGGAAGTAGAGTCCAAATTCTTTCGTCTCTTGGATGATCTCAAGGTCTTGTTTTGCATGCTTGACAATTAGCGGTAGGGCTTTCTCTTTGTGGGCGGGGGCGGCAGCCTTCTTCACCAGAAAACTCATGGCTTCCGCTGCAAATCGTGCGATATGAGGCCGCTGGCGATGTTTCCCGAGCAGCGGGGACATTAGATCGTATGTCGGTCTCAAGTCTGGGACTAGGAGCTTTGAGAGATACTTGAAAAGGAAAGCCAGGCATGTGAAGCTCCACTCGATAACTTCTACATCCTGAGGGGTTCCCGCAATCGACGTAACCATTTCCAATGCTTTTGAATAGTGTTTTTCAAATCTTGCTCCTAGATCATGAGCAAAGTCCGTAATCAGTTCCAGTAAAGGTTCCAAGCAAGACTTTTCTTTCTTCTCCATATATGCGACAAATGTATCCATGATCTTGTCCTCGAAATGTATGATCTGGGGCAGGCTGTCGGACATCTGCGAAATATCGCGAGAGAACGTCGCAAACGTATCCGACATATTGAGGTCCCACCATTTTTCCAAGCCCGCCTTGAGGTAAGATGTAGTTGTAGAAAGGTCTTCGGCGTCGATATCATGGCGACGAACTCTTCGAATGGGGTCTAGAGCGCTGAGCTTCGATATTTTCGTTGTAAAGGATTCCCATCTGTGATTCTTTTGGTGGGCGGTCCCTTTCTTGACTTTGCGAGTCTTCACAATCCTCCCGGAAGTATTTACCGGCATTGCGACAGGATTGAAGCTTTGCACGGCGGGATTGTGGGGTGGGTGAAGTGCTTAAGAATAAATTTACATTTCAACTTTTTTTTACCGCCGGCAGAATTCGCCGAATTAGTACTGGTGCTGCGCTAAGATAAACGTACCCGAAGGTAGACGGAAAAAGCGGCACTATATGAGCAAAGACTTCGCACCGTATTTGGGCTTCTTTAGTGCCGCTTTTCTATCTCTCACGACCTTAGCTCTTATCAGTACCGTGTCGCGTTCTCGAAATCTTTTCAGAACTTCATCCCACAACACTCATTAATCTACCATGGCCTCGAAATTGTGAGTAATATTAATCTCTCATGATAATTCAACCCCCTCGCTGGCTCGTTGCTGTCAACAGCGAAACTAATTCCTTCCTGCAGAATCGTACTTGGAGCCGTGAATGGGCAATTGCAACTTACTTTCAACAAACTCTCAACTTTGCATGCAAAGAACAAATTCTCCTTAGCAATTGTTGTTGGCAATCTATTCGCAGACGATGATGAAGCTGTGTCAGAGCTCCTCGCAGGAAATATAACTGTCCCTCTTCCTACCTACTTCACCGTCGGAACAAGTTCACTGCCTCCCAGAATCATTGAGAAAATCGAGAAGGATGAAGAAGTAACCCAAGCCTTCATTGTATCTAGCCGATGCATTTGCTAATTCGATCGATAGATTTGCCCCAATCTTCACTTTCTAGGAAAGCGAAGTACGACGAAGACTTCGGAGGGTGTCAAGATTGTGGCGTTAGGTGGACAACTTGATGAGACAATCGTTGGAGGCATATCACAAGAACAGCACCTACCCTTCCATACTGTTGCTGATGCGAAGGCTCTCTATGGAGCAAACACCACCGATATTCTCCTCACGACGTCCTGGCCAGCTTCTATTAGAAATGGATCCAAAGTCGAACTCCCTGCAGGAACCACGGCCCCAACCGGTCAAGAGTACATCTCCGACCTATGTGTTAAACTTAGACCTCGATACCACTTGTCCCTATCTCCCGACTTCTTCTATGAGAGAGAACCATTCTTTCATAGCGCGACTCAGGAGGAGCCTGATATCAGACCAATTACTCGCTTCATATCTTTAGCTCCCTATGGAAACCCTACCAAACAGAAGGCCATTTACGCTTTCTCTCTTCGGCTTTCGCCAGATCGTAGTGCACCCTTTCCTGCTGGTACCACTTCGTCGCCGTTCTCCCCTCCCGCTGGTCCTAGAAAGAGAGCTGCCCTCGGTCCGAAGCCGTACTCTCGATATGGCCAGGATAATGACTACAGAAACAAGCGACAGAAGGGCCGCCGTGGAGAACGAAGACCACCTCCAGGTCCCGGGGAATGCTTCTTCTGCCTGTCTAACCCAACCCTCGCTACCCATTTGATTTCTTCTATCGGCGATGACGCATACTTGACAATTGCCAAAGGCCCGTTGACGACTGCTGATACGAACGCTGCACTTGGAATCGATTTTCCCGCCCATGCTCTCATCATTCCACTTACTCACTCGCCGACCATTGCAATAATCACTGAAGAGGACAATGCGAGACAGAAGACCTTCACCGAGATGACCAAATTCAAGGATGCTTTGCAATCCATGATCGCCAAGCGAAGTGAGATGAACCTGGGTGCCGTGACCTACGAGATTAGCAAGGCTAATGGTGTTCATACCCATTGGCAGTTTGTCCCAATGCCGGTGGAGACTATTCAGAAGGGTCTTGTTGAGGCCGCTTTCCGGGTTGAAGCCGAAAACCTCTCGTACCCTGAATTTCAAGTACGAGATCCAGGTATTGGGCAAGATGACGGCGATTTCTTCCGAGTGTGGGTTTGGACACCACCAACTGAGGAGGGAGCTGAAGGTACGACAAAGTGCTTGACTATGCCATTCGATGACAACTTGCGATTCTCTTTGCAATTTGGTAGGACCGTCCTGGCAAAATTGCTGGATCTTGAGAAGCGGATTCAGTGGAGAGATTGTGCGCAATCCGAGGACGAAGAGAAGAAAGATATTGAGGCTTTCAAGACGGCGTTTAAGGAGTTTGATTTTACACTTTAAACATGGATTGGATACCCAAAAGTAAGATCGTTGCATTTACTTGGCGTTAAGGATGGCTTACTGGGGGAATACCATGGTGGTCGAGGGTTGCATTGCATTCGTTGCTTCACTTAGCAGCATATCTGAACTCAATACAAAGCACTGATTTAAGATCTTCGATGGCGAATTTCCATTCTCTATTTAAGTATAAGTTCCTCTGAACGCCTGACAATCTCAATATCATTCCCTCCAAAATCCCTGTTTTCAAGATTTCATCTTCCCATTGTCCTCAGCTCCCAACCCTATATTTCAGTTAGCCAATTTTTGCACCACACGGTAAAACGGAACACATACCAACACGTCTCTCCTCCCATTTTGGTGGTGGAATGTTGGTCGTCCCATTCCAAATCCACACAGTCCTCAATGTCCCCTCCAACAAAACCACTCCATGCTCATTGATAAAGTACTCTGCTGGCGCGATAACTGTGCTAGCATGAATGTCTGGAACGCGGGGTAGAAGTGGGTGAGAAATCATGTTGGGCGGTGGAAAGGGCTTCGTGTCGAGGGCAGGAAGGCGTGGTAGTGTCTTCGTGCGCTTGATTGCCTGGTGAAGAATAGGCGGGAGGGTCATTGACTCGTTTGGTATTGTCGGTTGTTGACTCGTTGACGAGGTAGCTGAGAGATGTCTGTTCAAGGCAGGAAGGCGCGGAAGTGTTTTCGGTCGTCTGATTGCGCGGTGAAGGATCGGTGGGAGGGTCATTGAATCGTCGGCGATTGTGGGTTGGTGACTCGTTGAAGCAGCAGCAGCTGGGAGATATATGTCTGATTCTTCATCTTTCCGGTCTTGTTTTTGTAGCATGGGTGGATCATCCAAGTCCATCGCTCGTGTTCGAGGCAATCGTCTACTTTCGTGTTGGGTGTGATTGAGCACTGGATCTACATTCAATTGTTATTGAGATTTTGAAGACGAGCGGGATATCGTATTCAACTTACAGTCCATGATTACTTGGCCGTTGATTCGATTTTGTTCGTGTTTAGATGTTGTCTCCCGTTAAGAATTTTGGGCGTGGTGAAGTCAAAAACACGTCCCCTATTCTCTCGCTAAGCTAAGCGACAAAATCTCCCATTCACAACTTCACAAACACGAATGTATGATTGGCTCCATGATAGCTTTTCTACTTAGGACGTACAATATGATGGAGAGGAAACTTTCATTTGTTTTCGTTTATTCAGATATGTACATGTGATGCAAAAGCCAGGCTTCAACCACGAGTCTCACTCAGTCCTTCACCAGCCCACCTTCACCTCAATATGGTTTCCACCCACGCGGAGCAGGAGGAGGAGCCGGACCATTCCACCTTCGCTCAAACGTAAGCATCGGTCCGTAAATGTCTGGTCGAGCCGTCAACCTGGCGTAAATCTTATCTGCAGTGTAGCCTCCATGAACGGGCCAACTGTTGGTGGTGGCGAGGACTTGCATTCTGTTAGCCAGATCGTCGTAGGTCATTTGCGCCCCTCCTTGGCGATATAAATTGCTTCCTTGGTATAAGTCTCTCAGGGCGTTGACTTCGTTTTGGTACCAGTATCTTTGAGACATTCTGTGCGTTTTAGGTTGTGATATTTATATGAAGGTTGCTGTGTTGATTGTTGTTCGAAAAGAGTTGGGACTTGAGTGAGATGAGAATCAATTATAGCTACAGGTCTCACTTTACTCTTGATAAGTGCTCTTAATCACCGCACTTTGACCGCAACACTAATTCTATTCTCTGGGGGCATTTATGCAAAAGAGTTGCATCATTTAGTCTGGCGAGACGTCATTTCTTGTAGCTTGTTTTGTTATTCATCAAATATTTCCCCCACCCTATTCTTTACACCAACCATATCGTCGCCTTCATCATCAAATCCGATCCCATTCCTTTGGCACCCGGTTGCGCCCCTCCCAGTTCGGTTCCCACGGGGGTTCAACAGGCTCTGCACGAGTTGCATGCCATGGATTGTAATTATCAAGATTGCTATGAATCTGATCTACAATCGTCATGGCGGTATACTTGCGAAGTGGTTGCCAGTTCTGAAGAGTAGCAATGGTATTCATACATGCAGCCATGAAACCAAAATCAATTCTAGCATCACCACCGTTGTATTTGCTTCGATAGAGAAGATGTCGTAAAATTTTAATTTTATGCTCTTGCCATGAGTTGATCCTTTTGATGGTCTTGGAATATTGATTCTCCATGCTGTTGTTATGGCTTTTTGAAGGTTTGGATTCTGGTGTGGATGGTCGAGCGCGAATGAATGTCGAAATACAAATCATTTATAGTTCTGAAGGGCTCGAGATCCCGAAGACTATCTTTTTGAATCATTGAACATCTTCTTTTCTGTGTGAATCCCAGAGGTTGCTATGCTCGCACACGCATTAAAGTACATATGATTCAGATTATGTCAGTAGCATAGCCCTTTGCAGAAAGTTTTGACTTGGTTCGTGTACTAGCTACACGTACAATTCAGGCTCGCTTAAGCATACTTGCGTAGGTATGAACCTTTGCATTTCGTTTTAATGCCTCCGACATTTAACAGAAGATCTTGTAAAATCGTTTCCATTTGGGCATCCGCTCTCTCTCAATCCTATCCTGTTCAATCAAAACAGCAGTGTCTATCTCTCTCCGCCCCGTCACCAGATCCATGTCGCGAGCACGCATAAATGGCGTTCTGAACCATACCTTGTAACCCACGTAAAGTATGATAACAAACGGCATGGCCAAATATGACAAGAAGAACGCCTGAGCTCTGTCATCAGGAGTTGGATCATTGGCACCATAGCCAATTGGCCAAACCGCGGTCCAAAACTGGGCGATGAGTACCAAGCAGTTCAAAATGAAGCCGACCCATGATCCAAGAACGCCAACCTGCGATGTGAATGCGAGCTCGCTAACCTCATGGCCTTGTAGTTTCCAGGCTCTCCGGAACCGAATATGAGCCAAGCAGATAGAACCCCACGTAAAGATTGACGCCAATCCAGACAGAGAGTATAGCCAGTTGAGGGCAGTTTCAGCTTTCTCTTCACCTCCAGCGACAACAAAGCAGAGGCATCCAATTAAGGATGCAACACCAATTGCTACCAAAGGACGTCCCTTGCGGTCGACATATCCAAGAATTCGAGGCGCTTGACCTTGATCCGCTAAAGCCGCAAGCGTTCTAGACGAACCATAAATGGAGGAGTTGCCGACAGACAACACAGAGATCAGAATAACCGCATTCATAATCGAGGGGAGGACGCTGATACCAGCATTTTCGATGGAAATGACGAACGGTGAGGCTTTGGCGTTCACACCTGCGGAACCGGCACTGAGAAGTCTGGAATCTCCGTAGGGGACAAGCAAGGAGACGAGCGTCAAGGAAACCATATAGAACAAGCAAATGCGCCAGAAAACTTGTTTAATGGCAGTTGGAAGAGTCTTTCGCGGGTTGCTGGCTTCAGCTGCCGCCACTGCACACAAGGGATGTCAGTAATATTCCTTAAGCAGAACTCGGGTTAAGGGAAGTTGTTCTTGAAGGAGTGGGAGCTCGTTGTGAATAGATAATGTAGGACCATAAAGTGAGAGGCTGAGAGTACTTACATCCGACAAGTTCTGTTCCACCGAAAGAAAAAGCTGCAGTGACGAATACGGCGCAAAGACCTTTGAAACCATCGGCGAAGGCTCCAGAAAGGATACTGCCAGCTGGTTGTCCTTGCTGATAGCCGGCGTAGTTAGGCTTGACCGTATTGGGGTACCAATAGCTTCCTCCGATGTAGCCACCGCCCGCACCTCCACAATCAAGGACGATGCCGAGGATGATGAAGCCAATAACTGCGGTCACTTTGATAATAGCGAACACGAACTCCGCTTCACCATAACCACGAACACCGAAAAGGTTGATGGCTATAATAACGACCAGAAAGATGACAACCCAAGCAGCTTCGTTTGTGTTAGCCGCTCCAGGCCAATAAGTCAGAGTGATCGAGGCGGCAACGAGTTCAAGAGGAAGTACGACTAGCCATTGGATGGCGTAACTGAATTTGTTAACCAAAGTACATTGTTATAAGTGAACAATGTCTTACTTCCAGCCCATCGCGAAACCCCATGCGGGGTCAAGAAAACGGGTCGAATATGCAGAGAAAGACCCAGCAACTGGGAACAACACAGCCAGCTCACCAAGAGCTTGGACTGTGCAAAAGACGAGGATACCAATAAGTCCGAATGCGATAATCAAAGCCGCCGGGCCCCCAGTCGATAGAGCTTCTCCCGATGTGACAAAAAGACCAGTACCTGCCAAGCAATTAGCCTTGTAAACTTTACGATTCTAAAGTCTCACCAATTGCACCACCAATGGCAATCATTTGCATATGCCTAGACTTAAGTTTCCGACTCAGACCGGAATTGGCCGTTCGCTCAGCAGCGCCTTTGTGATCAAACCCAGCATGAGGCTCCACCGCATACACGATTTGTGCATGGGGATCTCTCTTGAAGCTGTCTACAACTCGTCTAGTCCATGGACGGTTGTGCTCTTCGTCCATACGCATAGCAGTGTCGTAGTCATGGCTGCTCGAGGTTCCCAAGTCTCTCCCATTTTGCCCTTTTTCAGCGTCGGATCCCTCGGTTCCTGACATCTTGCCAAACCAAACTTGGTGCGCGATGTTGCGATTCCAATACAAGTAAGAAGTAAGTAAACACAACGCAAAATACACTATACAAACGAGGAACAGCAATGTGAGATGCCAAGAGCTTGGCAAAAGTTCAAGAAGTGCGAGGCGGGAAAACGGACATTTAAACCAGAATCGCGCAGATCTTCCTAAATTTGTCTACTACGGCGCAGCCTGCTGCCAGCCAGTAAATATTTACGCCGTTGATATCCTTGCAAATAATCAACGTTGGAATCGTTAGTCGGCCGAATGCCCTCCTCAATAATTCCCAATGCCTGCCAATCGCTATGTTACAGTAACTTAAAAAGGGAGGAGGTTATGCCGCGCGTCTTTTCGCCTTCCTGCTACATAGCAACTTAGCACGAACACCGGATTCATAAACGATATGTTGGAACATGCTAAGTCATCATGGCACTCTCAAGATCAAACCTCTTCCTACGACGTTATATCTTTCTATCTATTATCGTATGTAGTGCACATGTCACCAAAACTATATGGTCAGTAGAAAATAAATAATGGACATAGGGATATATGGAACAGCAACGCAAGTAAGAATATCTATGAAACATTCTTCGCATTCTTGCCAATCTAATTTGAGAGGAGAAAGCCACTCTAGAGAGGCTTTTTCAGAGCCTCAAATCTTCATGGGACATGTGGCTTCATGAATTCCCCGAAAGAGTGTCTCGCAAGCCACCAAATGCAAAACACCATCCGTGGGCTCAGACTGGCGGCCTCCCATGTTGAATGGAGCCGGGGTGTCCTGCAATACCCCTGACTGACCGGCAGTAGTATACGAGAGCGAGATACCTTTTGGGAATTTTGGCTATCTCCGGCAATGCAGCCAATGAGCCATCACTGGTCAAGGTGAGATCATGGCATGCATTTTAGGAACCTCACATGTGATACATCAATCTTCACGTCTTTTCAAATGGATGAGCCAGTAGCTCAAACGGGCGACCTTGCTTACAGAGACGAACCTTCTTCTATGCCCGAAAGTCTTCGGGCTGTTGGACGTGCACCTCTTCTCCTATTTTGTGCAATTCGCTTCGAGAAGTGCTGTCTATGCAAAATCACTGCCATTATCGAACCGAGCCAATATGGGCCAGAGAATATTCCAACAGCACTGAACTCACCTGGTAATATTGTGATGCTACCGAGAACAAATTGACTGTGGAAAGTCGTCACCTTCTCAGAACGTAAGATTACAACAATAATTCCAGCTGAAGTGATACCACATGCCAATACAATCGTGAGTACTTTACTTCTCGATCCAATTTCGCGTTTTTACTTACCCACAAATCTTTAGCGTTAGAAAGCGTGGGCCATTCGCTCTTACATGTGTACAAGTCAAGGACTGTTCCTCGGCCCCAACATTTCTAGACATCTAAGCTATAGTAGGGTCCTTGGGAAACTCAAGGACAAAGGAACACTAATCGAAATTGGAACAATCATTGGTCAAGACTTTCGCCGACCGACTGGTAGTAGACGGCGCACCATCTGACAGCCTCTACGCTGTTAACATGATCAACTACTGGGACGTTGGCTTCAACATGTATCGTGAGAAGTGCCATGCCCACTTCTTCGAGACCGATATCTTGCATCCTAGTCCGGCTTTGCAGGCACGAAAGGACAAGATAGGCATCATCTGAATCGCCCATGTTCTGCATCAATGGACATGAGAAGGTCAAGTCCTAGCGGCAAAGCAGTTGGTTGAGCTTTCGCATGTTGGGCCTATTGTAGCAGGTTACCAGGTTGGAGCCGAGGCGGCATATTATCAGCCTGTGACACAGCTCATGAAAGTTGATAGTTCCATGCATCATGCAGCGTCGTTTGCGAGAATATGGAAACAGGTAGGAGAGGAAACGGGGTCGAGGTGTCAAAGTGAGGCTTGTTTGAAGACCATTGTCTCATATGGGGATGCAACCTGAGGAGCTGCCACTTGATAAACGTTTTCTTCAATTCTCAGTTGAGCGACTTGGGCAGATTTCATCGAAGTATGCTTCGATAAGTATTTTCTATGAACGGGTACGAAGATATGCGAAGTGAAACTACCCAATTCACATCATTTGGACGGGTTCAAAAATCTGTACTAAAATTTCATTCTTGATAGACTTGAAGATATCAAGCTCTCAAACGCTACAAAGAAATCCATGCATAAAAGACTTTCCCCCTCTAATTCTGGTTTCATGCACCGTACTCTCCACCAATATCGCTATTGACTGCAATTCCAAGCGTAACAAAAAAATCCATGCATAGAACACTTTTGTTCCTCCAAGCTCCCCAATTCTCGCTATTAACTTCATCTGCAAGCACAATACAAAATCCATGCAAAAAACACTTTTAATTCCCCCAATCCCGTTATTTGCGAGCCATGACCCTCACAAGATAAATCGCTCAATTCTTCCATGAGGAAGACATCCTCTCGTACTCTGTAGAACCTTTTCTAAGTTTCCTTCTCTTCAACATGGCCCTGGACCCCAACTCTTGGGGGGTCCATCGGGTTGAGGTGGTTGCCAAGCATATTGACGCTGCCTCTGCTCTCCCAGCTCTCCATACCCTGACTGCTCTCCTTGATTTGCGTAATCCGATTGTCCTCCTGACGATGCTGGGTTTCCTGCCTGTGCTGTGTATCCTGATTGTCCTCCGTATCCCGCCTGGCTTGTCTCTCTAGCCCGACTTGACTCTCCTGCCTGACCCGCCTGTCTTGAAAGCCAGTCGTCGAAGTCAATGTTTTCAAGTTGATTTCTAATCGTGCTAGCAGTGTAAATGCGGTCTTTGCTGGGCCGATTGTTCATTTGGCCGACTAACCAACGAATATCGTCCTTTTGTTTACGGAAATCTTGGAGATCCTTAATTTCGTCCTTTCCCCATGCTGGTGGCATCTCGGACCCGGTGGAAACTTAGTTGTATGTTTGGAGATAGACTTTTGATCGAGAAGATAATTATTCGGAAGCCAAGTTCGACGATGTGGTAGGAGACTTAGAGGTAGAGTTTGAGAACGTTTGGAGTGTTGAAGTGATACTCTAGAGCCTAGGAAAAAATTGTGTCTTATTTATATAACTCGGGACTTCTCGTGAATCACCATGTTCGACGTTTTCTGCAATGAGTGTGAATGATCTGGCGCATTCAAAGTCAGTGTGCTCGCTTGACCTAGACCTTGATGCTCTACAGTTGTGAATAATGGCCAGGGTCTTGATAGATGCTTGATATTCGGAACATTGAGTGCAATTTGCACCTAAACCCCAACCAAACGCCTAGATAGGCAATGGAGCTCCACGAAAACAGTAACCTATGTAAACCTTCCCACTCTTTCTGTACTCTTGAATTCTGGTCGCTTCTTGGACTAGAAGGGGAAGGCAAGTGCTCGAGACCAACCTTCAAGCTTTATTCGACTCATGATGTACCGTTGTGCTTGTGTAGAAGTTTATGGCTGCAAAAAAATAGTATTGCAATAGTAGATAATTCTTCCTGTTCCCTGCCATTGTCCTAGTCTTGGACACTTGCCCGCGCTTTGATTGGGATCTTGAAAATGTTCTGACTGAGTGTTTGGGATATCGTTGACACCAGCGTAGAGTCTGAGAGAAATGTAGTAACTTTATGAAGGCGCATCTTGCTGTAGCTGTCTGAACGTGGCACGGCGGGACAGCTAGATGTTGACATTCCCATGAAACGACGAAGTCTGGTGAGTCTTGAAGGATTGCGGTGCCAAGGGCAGCACAAGAATATCATGATAAATACGGATGTATGAAGTCATCAGCGGGAGAAAGATGTGATCTGAGAATATATATGTGGTTTTCAGAGTCAGCAGACAAGACTGGGATAGCGAGCAGTGCTTTAAAAAGCATTCTTGTTTGGACTGTGTAACTATGAACCCTATCCGTACATTACTTCGACTCAATGATAGTCTCTCTAATCCAGGAAGAAGATTTGTCATGCTAGCGTAAATTGATGGGAGCAGAAGTAAAACAAAGCAAACTGGACGCATGAAAATCTCTAGCTCGGAGATTGAATCAATGATCATCAACGTTGGAACGTCAAGCGAGTCCGACTTGGACTGTAACTGATTACCATACGTATTGAAGGCATTCTATATAACATGATGTGAAACGAATACATTGAATATTTTGTACCTACTTGAAGTCGGACAACCGCGGCGTCCATACGCCACAATTTTAGGCTCTTTCCCGCCAAACCTCCCGAACCGTCAAGGCGCTAAAAACTCTCCACAAGGCTGAAGACTAAACCTCCACCATCTGTGACAAGGTCTGCGAAAGCACTCCTCAATACTCTACCTCACAATGAACAACTCTCAGTTCCGGAAGCTGGTCCTCGATACACCTGCTCGACAAGCAAACGCATCTTCGCCGCCTGCGGAAGGCCAGAGTATTCGCAATGGCGTATCCGCGACACCAACCGCGCTGGGCTCCAGGATGAGGAGCTCTATTCCTATGACACCGTACGTCTGCTCCCTCGCCAAGACGTGAAAAACCATACTAATAATTTCACAGACGTTCAATAGCAGGTCGAACCCCACACAACGACTTTGCCCGCCAGCTCGCGGAACGAAATTCCTCAACCTCACAATCACAGAAAAAGTTCCGCAGTAGTGCAGCTCCTAAAGGTGCGAAATTACCTCAGGGTTACGTTGATCGTGCGAAACAAAGGAGCGGTGGAGATGAGGAGGAAGAGAATGATAAGGTGAAGAGGGTCAAGGCATTGGAGGAGATGATGAAGCTGCAGCAGATCGATGAGGAGACATTTGTTAAGCTACGAGAGGAGATCCTAGGGGATGATGTGGGCGCTGAGAGGGCGGGGTTGGTCAAGGGTCTGGACTGGAGTTTATTAGAGAGGGTTAGGAGAGGTGAGGTGGATGTTGGAGATGTGCTTGAGCCCAAAGCGAAACCTGCTGCCGAGGAGCAAGTCGATGAGGGTGAGGAAGTGGGGAACGGGGAGGATATGGATGATGAGTTTGAGAAGCTGGAAGACAAGGAGGTGGAAGCTGTCGTTCACGAGAAAGCCAAGAAGAAGGGTGAGATGGCTCCTCCTGCCTTGACAGGCAAGAAACGGAATAGAGATCAGATATTGGCTGGGATGAAGGCTGCAAGACAAGCGGCGAAAGAAGCTGCACAACCTAGCCTCGGTTCGAGATTCAAGAAAGTTGGTGAGAAGAGAGCCGAGAGTAGGATTGAGAGGGATAGTAAAGGAAGGGAAGTGCTTATTACGATCGATGAAGACGGAAACGAGAAAAGGAAAGTTAGAAAGCTCCAGCTCGTCGAAAAAGAGCCCGAGGAGAAGGGCAAGGGTCTTTTGATGCCGGACAAAGATGCCAAACCTTTGGGCATGGAAGTTCCAGACGTCCCGCCAGCAGTCGAGGAAGAAGACATCGACATATTTGACGATGTTGGAGATGATTATGATCCTTTAGCTGGGCTTGATGAGGATGCCTCCGAAGAACAAGGCGAAGACGGCGAAGTCACAGAAACAACGAAATCAGAACCAGAAACAAAGTCCGAACCGGGAAGTATGGGACCGCCACCTAGGCCAAAACCAGCTGCACGAAATTATTTCGGCAACTCAAAGTCCTCAGCAGAAGAAGATGGCTCCAAGCCCGCTGCATTATCGGATCCAGTTTTCATGGCAGCTCTCAAGAAAGCATCGTCACTTACACCTATCGAGAAAGCCTCGAAAAGCGAAGAGGAACTCACTAAAGAGGCTCGTCGCAAGAAAATGTTGCAGCAGGATGACCGCGATGCTCAGGATATGGATATGGGCTTTGGTAGTAGTAGATTTGAGGATGAAGAGGACTTTGAAGAGAAGAAAGTTAAGTTGAGTGTGTGGGGTGGTGGAGATGATGACGGCGATGATGAGAAAGGCGAGGGTGAAGGCAAGCGAAAGAGAGGCCCCAAGAAGAGGAAAGGAGACTCGAATAGTGCTGCTGATGTCCTGAAAGTCATGGAAAGGAGAAAGGCAGAATCTTAGAAAGCTTCGCAATCTAAATTACATGATGCTATGATTCTCGAAAATGGTCTCGCGATATATTTTTTTCATGAAACCCCGTTGGCTCTATTGACCGCATTTGCCCTCTCTAAACTGTCTTCCAGAACGCCCCAAAATCGCTTGACATCCAGGTTTCTAGGAATTTTGACCCCTTCCTCGCCTTCTGGCAGCAGCTTCACAATCGTCCTCCCTGTCTCTGCACCATTCTGTGCCTCCTCATGACTTCCTTCAGTGACAACATGGACATCATACCTCTCCTTCCTGTCCTTGCCATCTTCAAAGTCATAGAACGGAATCTCAGCTCCCGCAATTCCATCCAAAATAACAGCTACTGCAAGAGGATCATGCAACGGCGGGCCCTCTTCAATCCCAAACACATCCTTATACGTCTTAGCAAAGAAAAGCAAAAGCTCAACCAGCATCTTCCTCAATGTACTCTTCCCCTCGCCTACTTTCCCGTCCTCCAAAACACTGGCGGCACCGCCTCCTTTCCCATGCAACAACAAACTCTGCACCTCTCCCGTAGCAAGCACGAGATGCGTAACATCTAACGGAATCATAACCATCTTAGTCCTCAACACCGGATTCGAGAACAATGCCTGTGCGGCTTCAGGGTCAACGAGGATATTGAACTCAGCCCACGCGCTCCAATTCCCAATCCTTTCTCTATCGTCCACTTTCCCCATCGGTGCATTGGTGAACCCACCTCCTATCGCGCCGCCCATGAGACTTAGTCCTTTGATATGCTCCGCTACTTCTGGATGTTGCTCGAATAACAAGGCGATGTTGGTTAGTGCCCCTGTGGCTATTAACCAAGCTGTGCCTTTGGGCGTGGAGAGGAGAGCCGTGGACATGGCTTCGATGAATGGCTCCGTGGCGTGGGTATTGATTGGGGTGGGAAGGAGAGTGGTCCCGTCTAGACCAGATGCGCCGTGGATTGCTGGGGCGTGCACAGCGGGACGGGTGAGGCCATTTGCGGAGCCAGGGTAGACGGGGATGGAGGGCGCACCGATAGCTGTTAGGAGGGAGAGGGCATTGTGGGTTGTGTGTGGGAGGGATGAGTTTCCGTGGACGGTGGTTATTCCTAGGAGGTTGAGTGAGGGGTGGTAGGCGGACATGAGGATGGCGAACGCGTCCTATGCCATTTTTAGCTTTATATACATTAACGTATTGATGATAAAGTCAAGATAGGAGACTTGAGAGGCATTTCGAGAGAGACTTTGAGTGAGGACAACATGAGTCACGTGGTAAGAAATGCTTCCATTCTGAATGCGAGAGCATACAGCCAGCATTGGGACGTCAACAGCCAGCCACTTGGCACTTGGTAATATAGGAGCCAAGAGGGTATGTCTTGGAGCGGAACGTACATACATCATGCCCTACGAGACTTGTTAGAAGACGGTCTAGGCGAGAGGGGAAGTTGAGGACATACCTGGATCACAGTCCAGCCAGACTGGAATTTTGTCTTCGCTCCCCATTCTGTAGTCCCTAGGTCAACTCTTCTACGACTGGAACGAAACTTTCGTAATGAAAAGAGAGCCCTTTCGAATGGTGAGTATGTTTTGGTGTTGTTGAAAAGTGGGAGAGACTCGGCGAAGATCTTCTAGTAGTTTAAGCGAAGTTCACCCCTTTTATGTTATTTTAGGATGTTAATGGCGAAATCTGAAATAGAGACCCAAAATCTAGTCAAGAAGTTGACAATAGCTCTAAGATGAACCTGTTCACGGAGCATGTAGTCACGGAATATACTGGAACAACCTGTTTCTGCATGAAACCAGTAGGCTATGCATTGAAAGATGTCTGCAATAGGATCTTGTATTATTCAGAATACCACGCTTGAATTCGTCAAGTATCTTCGAAATTCCAACACGCAAAGCCGAATTCAACGCCTGTAATGACCAACCCCGAACGCCAAAACACGCCCCATATGTCCTCTACCATGTTGTCCCAAACGCCAGTGGACAAGATTCATAAATGACCTAAAATCTCATCATTTCTTCTCCTCAGCTACAGCTTTTGGCTCTCCCTCCGCATCAAATCCTAGAGCATCAAGCTCTCGAATCAATTCGTTGATCTTGATGACTTTTGCGAACTGTTCCGGTAGAAGTGCACCGCCACCTTCCTTCTTTTCCTTTAAGTCCTTGGCTTGCTTTAACTTCTTTTTCAGAGCCCTAGCCTTCTTTTCCTTTTCAGCCTCTGGATCCTCGACCACCATAGCCTCTTGCTTGTCTACGACTTCAGCCCCGTCCTTGGCCTTCTCGCCCCCTTCCTCTGCAGCCTTTGCCTTCTTGCGTGCCTCTCTTCTCTTTGCGTTCTTATTGCTAGCCGCCGAACCCTCTTTCTCGTCCTTCAAACCCTCCGCGCCTGGGACGCCTCCACTACCTCGAGTCTTCCACGATTCTGCAGTGCGGTTCTTGTAGACCTCGACATCTTCTGGGGGTTTATACCCTGGACGAATCTTGATTTCCTTTCGCTGCGATCCGTCGGGTCGTACGGAAGCAGGAATATGTCGCTCACCGGAATTCGTCTCGATGATGCCAGCTTTTGACGGAGTGGGCACGGAAGGCATTTCGTAGCAATTGGTGCCCAGTTGGGACTTCCGGGGTTCAGGAAAAGATATTACACCAGCTTTTCTGTCGAGAAGGAAGGAAATTGGCGCCCGGCCTAAGTGTTTGTTGGAGCTAGAAGAAGAATAAAACTGTGCACTACAGCTTGTACGACGAGGCTGAAGTCTTTGTCGGGATCTCCATTTCACGTGACACCCGAAAAGCAAGCTAAAAGTCCAGAGCTTCCGGGATTCAAACACTTCACGGAACCACCAGCGAAGATACTCATCCTTTACCTCGTCGCGCTCCCTGCTACATAATTCACAATGGTAAGTGAAGCTCCTGATTATATTGTGACGCCTGTTGACCACCGCTAACCCATTCAATTGCAGGCTACCGCCGGTCGTCCAATCTACAAGCAAGTCCCTCCGTCCCGAACCCAATCCGATAACTCAATTCGAGGCGGAAGGCAGTGGCAGACGAGTTACTGACTGTGGTACTTCTATAGCTTCCTCGTACGAAGAAATTACATGTTCTTGGGTGTCATCTTTGCTGGTGCATTCGGATTCGAGATGTATGTACCGGTGAACACCACCGGCAATCGTACAAAAGAGACTGATTGAGATCTAGGGCATTCGACAACGCCTCTGATAAGATTTGGGATGGCTTAAACAAAGGAGTAGGTTCTGCCGAGTTGAACTATTTCGAGGTGTGGGCTGATGATTACGATAGCGACAATGGAAGGATATCCGAGCCAAATACATCCAGAGCGAAGACGACGATGAATAGAGGGTTAGATGGAGTGTCTGCAGAGTTTGGGATTTGAGAAAGGCATGATAGACAAAGGAAGCATGGATGAAAGGCCTTCAGGCTTGCGGTTGAGCTGTATAAAAGACAAGCATTGTACTACATTTTCAAGCTGCACTTGTGAATCTTATCTTACACCGATGATTGTCTTTTCTTTGTGGAAAAGCAGAAAACCATGCTACTCTGTTGTGGTTCGAGAAACGGTCTGATACGGTCTGAATCAAGAAACGGTCTGATTCAGAGCAAAGAATCTTGTAGCCTTCTTTTAGTGAGGAGCCGAACTATGACAAAATATTTCGTTTCCCTCCACTGCAATCCCTCAAACACCTTGCCACAAGTACATAAAGCTTCTGGATACCGCATTCTGAGTTGATCTCTCGCATTGGTACCGCATCACACCGATTTCAGCCACACTGCAGGGGCCATTCGCGCATTCGTAGCTGTTCCTGACGGCGAACACTAGCATCTCGAGGCTACCAACACTCACAGCTCATTGAAGCGCCATCCCACGCATTTGCGCAACCCCGCAACATCACCAAAGTACGACGCAGCGAGCACCGAACGATATGCGAACAGATAACCGAATCAGATGATGGAGTCTATGTCGACACAAGAGCGGCAGCTCTGCGAGTTCCTCAAGACCCAACCCCGCGTCCACAAGAATCGATATACCCAGCATGCTGAGAATACCCTGCTCCAGTCCCTATTCTGGTCCCTAGCTTGTGGAAGATCCGACTATCTGCGGCTCTTCTTCCCAGACAACACTCGTCCTCTGCAGAATGCAACATGGAAGCTGAGAAAGGCGCAAGGCGGGGCAGATGGAGATGAGTTCACCGAGGCAGCAAGAGGGAAGGCTTGCGGGCACATCTTCAAAGCTGGCGAAGCTACGTACAGATGCAAGACATGCAGCCAAGATGACACTTGCGTACTCTGCAGTCGATGCTACGACTCTTCGGACCATACGGGACATATGGTCTATGTCAGCGTGTCTCTGGGCAATAGTGGTTGTTGTGACTGTGGCGACCCTGAAGCATGGCGATTGCCAGTCCACTGCTCTATACATACCCCGCATGATGATGAATTGCAGGGCAAGGGAAAAGGAAAAGCTCCTTCGTTACCGAACGACCTTGTGGAAGCTATCCGTATGACAATTGGGAGAGTGTTTGACTACATCTGTGATGTTATATCTTGCTCTCCCGAGCAGCTTCGTCTTCCGAAATCCAAAGCCAACATCCTCTTAGACGAAGAACAGTCACGGTTGACTTCACAATTCTACGATGGAGATATTGCAGAGGATCCTTGCGAGTTTGCCTTGCTATTGTGGAACGACGAAAAGCACACCGTTAACGAGGTTCGTGACCAAGTTGCGAGAGCTTGCAAAGTCACATCTAGAGAAGGGCTACAGAGAGCACACGAGACTGATGATATTGGACGGAGTATCGTGAAGTATAGTTTTGACGTGGACGAACTTCTTGCTGTTTCAGAAGTCATTGAGCAGATTAAAGTTACTGTCACGATCCGCTCAGCTCGAGATACCTTCCGAGAACAGATGTGTGGCACTATCATTGAATGGCTGAGTGACATTGCTGGCTGCAGCGTAGGTTCGGATCACAATATCTTACGACAAGTGGTCTGTGAGGAGATGTTAAAGCCATGGAGCCTTGGAAGTGAAGCAAGCAACAAGGATGTAGGCATGAAAGGAATTGATGACCACGAGATTGAGGAGCGTGTCAACTACCGCGAAGCAATGCTTATGCAGCAGGCAAGAATCATCAGAGCTGCTGCTCTAGCTGCAAATGCAGAATCTGGCTCTGACGATGACGACGATAATGATGCTGCCTCGAATCCAGAAGAACCGGACGACGATGATGATGGCGATGTTGTCTTTCAGATTGAAGGGGGAACGGTTGATGTAGATGATGCAGACGAATCTGAGTTTGGCGACGGCCCTGCAACTATGATGGAATATTTGGTCCAAGTCCCAGCAAATATGGTGCCAGCGTCCGCAAGTCAGCGAACAGATGCCGATGGGGACGTTGACATGGATCAGAACGACCGTGAAAATTCGCCCATGGAAGTTTCAGAGGCTACCATGGCTGGTTATCCTCCACCACCACCTCCTCCGCCTCCAGCACCTGTCAGACCACTTCGAGAACCCATTCGAGATCGTGACCTCACCCCATCAGATTCCGATACAGCAGAGATGCAACCTTTGATAGCACCGCCCATCTATGCCAAAGCTGGTCTTGACATTCCTAAAACTCCACGGGGGGTTGCTAAACTGCAAGATGCTCCGAGACCTCCTAAATACTGGCTCGAGACCCCTCCCGGATTCCGAGAAGCAATGCCTGTCGCTATACATGAGAATCTGTTCAAGCGCCTGAGGCTGGACTGGATGATCTTGTTCGATTTGCGAATGTGGAAGAAAGTTCGTATCGACCTTCGTGATCTCTACATCTCCACAGTGGTCACTATTCCGGAATTCAAGCGCATCCTTGGCTTAAGATTTGCTGGTCTTTATACTACGCTCGCGCAGCTTTATCTGATAGCTGATCGAGAGCCTGATCATTCAATTATCAACATTTCACTTCAGATGTTGACGACACCAACCATCACAGCTGAAATCATCGAGAGAGGCAATTTCCTGACGAATCTAATGGCAATTCTGTACACGTTCCTCACCACTCGACAGGTCGGGCACCCTCATGAAATCAACCCAAATGCCACCTTAGCATTTGACTCTGGTTCTGTCACCAATCGAAGGATGTATCATTTCTTCATGGATCTCAGATATCTCTTCAGTTCGGATCACGTTCAGGAGAAGCTTCGTGTCGATGATAGGTATATGTTGCAATTCTTGGACCTAGTCAAGCTTCATCAAGGCATCTGTCCCAATGTTCGAGCTGTCGGAGAACACGTCGAGTACGAGACCGACGCTTGGATCAGTGCCTCTTTGATCACTCGAGAAATCAACCGATTATGTCGACAATTCTCGGAATCATTCAAGTGGAGTCCTGGGGAGGATCACACGTACATATCTAATGCCATCAGATTAACTGCCAAAGCTGTCATTCTCAACTCCTTGGGGACAGAGAGGAGACGCTTTGTGCAAGCAGAAATTAAGGATGAGATCAAATTCAAGAAAGTTGGCGACTACGAATTCGACACAACAGAAAGATCAGGAAAGTTTCTACAACACCACGTCGTCAAATTTGTTGTGGAATCGCAGCCTATCAGTTTTCACCATGCTTTACATTACACCCTGTCGTGGCTCATCGAGTGTGGCAAGAATATGTCACGGGAGAATCTTCAGCATTTATTGAGCTTCACCACAGCTGATCTACTCCAGAAGCCGAAATCAATGGGGCAAAGAACGATGCCAAGCCAAGAGTACACACCCGAAGACCATCTCATGGCCGCCTTCGACTATCCTCTACGCGTTTGTGCCTGGCTAGCGCAAATGAAAGCTGGCATGTGGGTACGCAATGGTATGAGTCTTCGTCATCAGATGGGTACATACCGGGGTGTCAGTCAGCGGGACGTCTCCCATCATAGAGATATCTTCTTGCTACAAACTGCGATGGTAGTGTGCCCTCCGGCGCGAGTTTTGGTATCAATTATTGATCGCTTTGGACTCGAACACTGGATGAAGGGGATCTATGAGCAAAAAGCAGATAGCCTTGAAGATGGTCAGGTCCTGGACGTGGTGGAAGATTTGATCCACCTCCTCATCGTGCTGATCAGCGATCGAACGTCTCTAGTTACTAGCGAAGAGGACCAAAGTCCACATGTGCTTGCCATGAGAAGAGACATTACGCATGTGCTTTGCTTTAAGCCATTGTCATTCTCTGAGATCTGCAGTAAGTTGCCAGACAAATTCCAGGACCAAGAAGAGTGCCAAGACATCCTCGATGAGATGACTACCTTCAAACCTCCCGAGGGCCTGTCGGATGTCGGGACTTTTGAACTGAAAGAGCAATTTCTCGAGGACATCGACCCATATATTGCGCATTACAACAAGAACCAGCGTGAAGAATCTGAAAACGCGTACAAGATCTGGATGGCAAAGAAGACAGGACGAGCTGCCACAGACATTGTCTTCGAGCCCAAGCTTAAGGTCATCGAGTCAGGTGCTTTTGCAGACCTTGCGGCTTTCACGAGGACTGGCATATTTGGACAAATTGTCTACTATGCTTTGATGTACAGTGTTCAGGCTCAAGCTGTGGCACCTACCGTCCCAATGACTCGAGTTGAGGCTTTCTTACAAGTTGTCCTTCATCTTGTCCTGATTGCTATCGCTGAAGATAAAACCGATGAGGACGAGATGTCAGAAGAGTCTCTCCAGTCTTTCGTTTACATTGCTCTCACTGCTCCAGCTCGCACCAATTTCCTTAAACAGTCACCGCCGTCAAAGACAATTGCAGCCCTGCTGGAAATGCTATCTCGGAAAGACGAATACAAGGCTTGCCATACGAAGATTGCGCTTGTCTTGAAGCGAATGAAGCAAAAGCAACCGCGGAATTTCGAGGCATCCTTCGCTCGCTTGGGCGTACCTGTTGATAGGATTTCAACAGCTTCTCCGGCAAACAACAACGTCCTTGAAGATCGCGAGAAGAAGAAGCAGGCTGCAATGGAAAGACAAGCCAAAGTTATGGCCCAATTTCAGCAACAGCAGAGAAATTTCATCGATAATCAAGGCGACATCGATTGGGGTGAGGATGACATTAGTGATGATAACTTGGAGGTAGAAGGAGAAGATCAGAAGACTTACTGGCAGTATCCTTCTGGCACATGCATCCTCTGCCAAGAGGAGACCAAAGATGGAAGATTATATGGCACTTTCGCACTGGTGACCCCAAGTACAATCTTACGACAAACAGACTTTCAAGATCCAGACTTTGTTCGTGAGGTTGCCAAGACTCCTTCAAGTCTAGACCGTTCTGCCGAAAGCATTCGTCCTTGTGGAGTGGCTGGTGAAAACAGAGAGCAGGTTCATAAAGTCACAGCTAGTGGCGTCGAGATTGTCACGGAACGCCAGTTCATCGGCAAAGGATTCCCATCAGGCTCAACCCGCAACGGGCCTGTCTCGGTCGGTTGCGGCCACATCATGCACTATAAATGTTTTGAAGTCTACTATGAAGCTTCAAATCGCCGACACCAACATCAGATTGCTCGACATCATCCCGAACGCCTGGATATGAATGAGTTCGTTTGCCCTTTGTGCAAAGCCTTGGGAAATTCATTTTTGCCCATCATTTGGGCTCCAAAGGAAGAATTATCCATCAACCGCCTACAGCCCAAAACAAACTTTAACGACTGGATTAAATCTGTCACTGTCCAATCTGATTCAGTACCTCTGGCTTTCCCGAACTCCGGCGAACGAGAAAGGGCCTTCTTCATGCAGCAAAACAATTCTGTATTGCTGAATTCACTGAATGCAAGAACATCCGACTTGCTGAGCGAAGCTTGGAACCCACTGGTGCCTGCAGTCACGCCTACAGCTATGGGATTATTGCCATTGGGACCATTACCTCCAGGACCGACACCGGGCCATACCATTCGTTTAGACCACAGTTCCTCGAACTCCTCTAATTCACCAACACACAATAGCTCTCTGATGACAGAATTAGTGGGAATATATCGTCGCCTGCGGGACACCATGCAAAAGAACAGGCTTCCAACACGACATCGAATTTTGCCAAGCCAACAAAATGATGGGCCTCTGGACGATCTTTGTGCCAATGATACCCTTGCCCAAAGCCTAGGCTTCTCGATTTCTGCGGTTGAAATACACCAACGTGGGGTTGCCTCACAGAGTGTTATGACCTTCCTCGAAGGTGTACCACAACAAGCTCTTGTTCATCTCAGGGTGCTTGCAGAAACAGCATCATCGTATGTTTCTGTTGGCGGAGTCAGGATGGGTAGTCGCATCGCTCAAGACTTTACGACTGACTATGAGGATCAATTCCAGCAGCTCTTCTTGCCATCAAGCTTGAAGCAAACCACGGGACAGGAATCGACTTATCGAGATTCAACTGCTGAATGTCTACTCGAGAAAGACATATTCGTATTTCTCACGGAGTGTTCTCTATGCTTGGCTGCCATGGATGATGAAATCGACATCATGCACGTTATCAAACTCTGCTATCTCGCGGAGCTCATCAAAGTCGTGATGAAGATGAGTCGTAACAAGGGCAAATCGAGCTTCTTGTCGTGGATCAACTACGACTTCGAACCATCGAATCCCCAAGGCCTTGATGCATTCAAGTACTTCTGCTGTCAGGTTCGCTCCTGGGACCTATCGAATGGCAGTCACCGGAAGGAGCCTCCAAGCTCCGTCATGGAGCAGCCTTGTTTCGATGGAGCAGAATCATGTCGCTCCTTCGCCAAGAAGTACGCACTCGTGTTTCTTCGAAAAGTTGCTCTATTGCTGCACGTCCGCTATGGCGTCGCGTTCCATAACCATGTTTCTTCAGACCCTAGTGCAGATGAACTTGATCGACTGACCGAGGCACTTCGCTTACCGACTTTTGACGAGATGTGTGCGTCGATATACGGCAAAAGTCCGCTGTCTCCTCTTGCCCAAGGCTGGGTACTGCGTGCTGGTTGCCATCCACAGACTTCAGAAAGCCCTTCGAAGATCTCCCTCAGCCATCCAGCAATTTTTGAGCTCATTGGATTACCGAAGAACTACGACACATTGATGGAGGAGACCATGAAGCGCCGATGTCCAACGACCGGCAAAGATGTATCGGATCCAATGCTCTGCTTGTTCTGTGGCGTCATTACCTGTGGCCAAAGCATATGCTGTCTGAAGGACGGACCACGATCTCCTACTGGCAGGGTCCAACAAATTGGTGGAGCCCAGCAACACATGCTGAAGTAAGCCGTCTTGTTACCTTCCTCACTAACGCTATACATTTACTAATCCTACCCAGGTGCCAACAAAACATTGGTCTCTTCATCAATATTCGCAAGTGCACGGTCTTCTACCTATACCATACTTCAGGCTCGTGGATGGTGGCTCCGTACATCGACAAGTATGGTGAAGTCGATCCAGGATTGAGACATTCGAGACAATTGTTCCTGAATCAAAAGCGATATGATGCCTTACTGAGGACTGTCTGGCTGGGCCATGGAGTTCCCAGCGTGATTTCCCGAAAGTTGGAGATGGATATCAACAATGGTGGTTGGGAGACGATTTAGATCTTGGTTGCTGGACTGAGGTAGAGAAGTTGATGGATAAACTTCGATGGTCTGTCTTTATCGGCGTTTAGATGAGGATGACGGTTAACGAATTGGGGGAATATCATTTTGATGCTTCCGAACGAAAACCGGTTCATGCATGTGCGGTTTAGTATGGCGTGGTAGATAGATTTCAGTGTTTTGTTAATGCATGGACTTTACCGTGCTTGTTCTGGTTGTCTCTTCCCAATTGACAAGTGTTGATTTGCAAGTCTTGCTTGTGAATGCCATTGTCCGCCAGTCTTAGGGTTAGTCACCCTCACGTTGAAGGTTATTGTGCTATTGTTTTCAAGGGGGGTGTGAATAATGCGGCTCTCAGCCAATTATACATAAAAGACCTCCACACACCAACTTCGCACATAGCTGATACAACCGCAAACCCTCGACACACATTGACCTGGAGATTATCGACACTATTGCACAGAAATCGAGCTTCGTCGCCATTCTACGAACATAGACTTCAATATCAGTATGTCATTCGACGACGAGCAATTGCAAGGAGAAAAGACTATTCCGCTTGTCAAAGAGAGTGCTAGTGCTAGTGCTGAATCAAGCGGTGCTATGCTATCCGGTACTGCTCTAAAAGTTGCTACTTCAAACGATCCTACTGTCAACCCAGAATGGCGACCATTCGAATGGGCAATACTAGCCGAACTGCAAGCACGCAAGAGCAATCCACCTATCACACCAGATGAAATGCAGCAAGCAGTCTCGGAAGCCAGCAAAGCTGCAAAGGATTACAAGGATCGAATTTGCGTCCCTGATCGCATATACAAGGCCGAGGAACTTCGAACCCGGGAGAGCGAGTTGCGAGACCGTCAAGCGGGACTTAGATTTATTCTTGAACGACCGCTTCGTGAGTTTTTACAAAGTCAGCGAAAAAGATAGGCATACGTTGTTGAGTAGCGTGTAAAACAGGAGCTTGATTATCAGGCGGTTTGTGATGGATGTGTGATGGATGAATGAGGTGTGAGGCATGGATTTTGTAGACGTTTTTGAACTTCACATGAAAATGGCTGTAATGTAATGACAATGATAATGATATTATCCCTCACGGGAATATTTCGTCTTATATTGCCAGCCTGCTAGACCTTAGATGTTCTTGGTGAGAGGGCTACAATTGTTAGAACAGTTATTAAAACCCAGATATCGGAAGGCTTTCAGTCGGCGCAGGGAATTTGTAGAGAACTTGATACATGCGGTTTGAGGACCAAGTAGAAACTCTCGTCACTGTGTCTTCCTCCTTTGAAGAAAAGCACTTCTTGATCATGACATAGTTTGTTGACCATTAAGGAGACTGATTGTTGTGTTTCATTCCAACCTGGGCTCCATGCAAGGACCAGAACTTTCAGATGCTATAAGATAGACCAAGGTGCTTTTGAATATGACAGTTATGATGTAGTTGGCCCCAGATTTATTCACCTACACCTTGGTCCAAGGAGCATAAATACTCCTTCAAAATCTCTGTGGTCGAAAGACTATTCTTCAGACAAACATCTTCGAGAGGTGATTGAGATATACCAAGGAACGATATAACATAACTCCTACACACCTTGCTTTCCAACATCAGTTACCAGAGATGGCAGATCCATTTGGAGATCTGACTGCGTACCAGAGAGGCGACACGCTCCGACCCATTTTTGGAAATCATCGCGGGGCGCGCTATGGCTGGGAGGGTCTCGAGAGGTCCATCTTCTACGACATTCGACAAAACGGTTCACCAATGAACACTTGGGCAGGCCAGATGCAGACGGCTGTTACCAGGGCAAGAGCGGCAAATATGATAAATGCTCACACGATTCCCTATCGGCGGTACAACTTCAGAGTGATAAGACAACAGGATAATATTGCTAGGTGGAATTCAGTTAGAATCGATAGAGGGGATCTGCCGGCTTTCATGGATGTCGGGGTCGTACCGCCTGCTCCACCCAGATACTTCGCTCCCAATTTCAATGGCTGGCGATGAAAGAGTGGTTGTACGGAATGTGAAGGAAGTTTGATGTATTAGTAGCATGGCTTTTCAACCTTACATAATGAGTGATCTGCTTTAGATGTTGATGATATACACAATAAGATCTATAACATTCAGCATCACCCATGACCTAGAAGTGTGGTTGCGATCAGAATCATGTGTTTATTAAGCTGTGTGAACGCCATGCAACACCTGAGTATTCCTCTCCCATTTCACCTCCCACCATAATGTCTTTCTGAGGATGGCATATTGCAGCTATCTCATCCCACTACGCACCATCCACGTTGTCCCAAGCAAGCTCATATTCTCCCCCTGTGACCCACTTATTCCCCTATTTTCCTCGCTAAGCGCCCTCATCATCTAAACTCGATACCAACCCGTCTTGCAAACCACCGCCAAATCCTCATCACTCCACCCAGCTTTCTTCAGAATCTTCTGCACCACCGCATTCTTCCCAAAGCAATACTCCTCCACATCATCAATAAGCAGCGTATGCACCAGATACGACTTCCGCTCACCATACTCCTTTCTAATTCGCGCTCTAATTAGCTGGAACTCACTGAATGTCCAACAAAGACTAGGGCATTCAAAAGGAAAATAGAGAGAAGAACTCACCTCAACTCCTCATCCTCCATCAAAACCCGCTTCAAATCCCGATGATTCCTCAAACTCAAACTCCTCTCAAAACAAACATACGTATTCCTCCTCCTCTCCCTCACACTTCCCACGCCCTCAACCTCGACCCACCTCGTCGGCTCCCCAGTCTTCGCATTCGCACCCGGTTGCCAGAACGCGTGACGACCCGGTAAATGGCATTCGCCCAGGTGCGTGTACCCGCCTTCCTTCATGCGCTGCAGGATAGCCGGGAAGTCGGGGCCCGAGATCACGATGTCGATGTCGAGGATGGGTTTGGCGAGCAGGTCGGGGATGGCGGTTGAGCCGATGTGCTCGATGGATGTGATGGGGAGGCCAGAGAGCAGGGTGCGGAGCATTTGTGCGGCGGTGTTGAATTCGGTGGCCCAGGAGGGGTTGTGGGGTTCGAGGGCGATGGGGAGGGGCTCCCACCATGGACGTTCCATCTTGGGGCTGATAGTTGTTGTGGAGGTGAGGTTCTTGTTTGGATGAGAGGTTTTTGACGTTTGGTGATGGTTGGGAGTAGACAGGTGAAGCAAGCCTCTGAGTAAGGCTTGGTTGGTTGGAAAGCTTTTGACGTTGATCCGAATAATCTGTCCGAAGATGTTTGTAAAACGGAAAGATAAAATTGGTCTGTTGTCAGATCGCTATCGAAGAATTGAAAGCGAAGATGTGTTGCGATATGCAGGTACCCGACCAATCAAAGCTAAGCTTGAATGTTGATGCCAATGAGATCAGAACTTGAAACTTTAAAGAAAAATAACTCAAAACTTACTCCTAAAAACGAAAATTAGTAATAAGGCTAACCCGTAACTCAAAACCTGAGAGCCTTGCGCCATTCTCAGCCTAGCGCTCCACCTCTAGCATACCAACCCGCTAAACCGTCTATAATTCCAAATAAGCAAAAGTACACCCAGCGGTATCCAGACGGGCGGCCCCCAGGCTCGGGTGGTTCAGGTCAAAGCTGGCTTGCTAGACATAGGGAAAGTGGCGTCGAGAATAAACCAGGTCTGGTTTTGATAGGGAGCAACCGCTATACGACTGCGCTTGCTCCTGAAGTTTTTGCTTTGTTGTTCTATTTTTATTCTAACTTTTACTAGGGGTTTCGAGAGATCTTGTATTGAGTTTCATTGCATTTTCGTTTTTTTAATTTTTATATTAGCCACACCACAGAAGCCTTTCTCGCTTAACAAGTAAACAAACCAACCCAACCCCACCCCCCCGCTCTTCTTTTCACTTTTACAACCAAAATAAAAAAAATAGATAAATGAAGGCTCAAATGCTTAGCTCATAGTTACGGAGGAGATTGAGGACATAGAGGGCACAAGAATGATAAGGTAAAAGTGTGAAGTGGTACTAGTGTAAAAAGCTTCGAAAATTGCGCATGCTCTATAATTTAAGAACTCGGGTTAGAAAATTGCACCTTCGTTTAAATTTCTCAATTAGTTCCTGCATTTGTATTCAATACTCTCGTCACTCTCTCACTACACTTGCTCCCACTACACTTGCTCTCCATCTCTCTGAGTGCACCAACTCTCTACATGCACCAACTCTCCGAATACACCAGCTCACAGCATCACAATAAGACAAATATCAAACCAAGAGGCATGGAAGTGAGAAGGAGCAAACCTTATTCTCAAAAACTATAACACTGCTCTAGCCTAACGAGAACGTGCTCAGGTGCTCGGGTTTCAAGAAATAAGGGTATCCCCAGCTCTGTCCCTTACTCTCCGTTCGTACCCACGCGCATTCCTAATGAAGCTTAGACAGCTCCAATTTCTGGTCCTTATGCACTATCAGAATCCGAGTCCTTTTGCAATACTTTTGCGCATGCAGCTATGCTGTGCTGTGAGCAGGTGCTAGAATCGAGAGGTGGCAGCAGTTAGAGCAAGCTGGAAAAAGCAGGGGTATTTTGAAACATCGTAGCCTTAATTTTACGAGAATCTAATGTGTTTTGCCCTTCGCTCTATCATACTATTTATCATACGTGCGACTTTTATGTCCTAAGTTCCTGCCGTACGTACTCCTCGCTTAACAAGTAAGCGAGCTCTCCTTCTCCCTGAAAAGTTTGTCCATAAAACAAACTCTCTGGCATGGTATGAAATCTCGACATAGATCACAAGTTGGGGTGGCTATGTATGTGTCTTTTGCACTCGCACTTATTCACACAGCAAATCCTCAACACTGAAATGTCTCAAGAAAATATCGTAAGCAGAAATTCTAACAATAACAGTCCAACTCCACTAATCATACCAACGCCACTCATGCACTCATTATATACCTATCAACACCCACTCACTTCCTCCTGGCCCCTAACTGAGCCTCCAATTTCCTCACACTAGCCTGTAGCCCTACACCCCTCTCACAATTCCCCTCCAACCAGACCTCCATACTCTCTCTCACACCTCTCATACCTTTCAACACCGGCAACCTACTCCCCTCTTCACCCTCTACATGCGTGCCTGGATTAAGCAAAAGATCAAACGCCCTGCTCCAAATCTCAGTTTGCCAATACCGCTTCAAATTCTCTTTGATCCTCCAACTCTTCTTCGCGCCCGCGCCGATACCCGCCCCTTTATCGGCTACGGTATCGATATACTTCCCAAAGAGCATGGAGTGGATGATGCCTGCTAGGCCGTGGTAGTCGATTTGATAGGTCCACGGTCTGAGTTCGCGCATCTCGGCACAGTCCTGAGGACCCGTTTTCCAGTCTGCGATGAACTGGACGTCGGGTCGGAAGACTTTCATGTCGATGCCTCGACCAAAGTCGATGAGTGAGAAGCCTTTCTTGTTCCAGCCTCCTGTGCCGTCTTTTCGGTACTTGGTTGTCCACACGTCAGAGTCGGGGATGGCGTCAAGGCGAACGAGACAGTTGTCTGCTTTGAGGTCTCCGTGGAGGATGCCTTTGGAGTGTAAAGCTTCAATGGTGCGGAAAAGCTCTATGGTGAAGAACATCACGACTGTCTCGTCCATAACGCCTGGTCCGGCAGCTGTTGATTCTGCTCGTGAGATGTTGATGACATCGAGAAGGGTTCCTTGGTCCCGGAATTCTTCAATGAGATAGCATTCGTCTTTGTAGAGGTGCATCTCGTAAACGTCAATGACACTCTCGGCTGCTCTCGACACACCAAGACGACGCTTTGCTTGTCGCATCATGTAAAATTCCCATGCGGAAGGTGGATCTTCCATTTTCAGCGCTTCGAGATTTCTCCGTCCATAAGCGTCGAATGTGCCTTTGCCCATCTTAGGTGGTTGGTTCTCGTCTTGTTGCTCGTCTTCCTCGCCATCAATGTTCTCGAGTAAGTAGACTGGGGCGAAAGCGCCCGCACCAAGTTCACGCTTCAACATGTAATGTCGATTTGTACCAGGAAATCGGAGAATAGGTGGCATGGTCAGGTTGGTAGCAGTTTTGTCGCTGGCATTTTTGTGGATTTTCGAAGCAGCCTTTGCGTATTTCCTGATTTCTGCTGAACGGCCAAGAGTTTCGTCTTTGTGGTCGAAAAATCCTTCGTACGTTGACAGAGGAGGCTGCAGACCTTCGAAAATCATATTTCGGGTAAAGTCGTCAACAGGATTGCATTGAGCATCTTTGATGATTGGACCTTTGTTTGCAATCTCCTTTGCCAGTGGTCCACCACTTGCTTGAACTTTGGCCGCAATTGCAGCAGTCTTGTTGGTCTTCAAGCTCTTGTTGAGTAGGGGTTGAGGAATTCTGTCAACAGGAACAGCTTCATTGACGATCTCCTTAAACGGGCTGCTGCCGAGGCCATCGATTGGTCTCACAGGTGGTTTTCTTGAGCCGTTCTCCTTACTTGGTGTCTTGGAAGAGAAATAATCCTTCTCTTGTCTCATTGTCGGTAGTCCCAGGGAAGACTCGGTTTTCTCAGCAATTGGTGTCATGAAAGGTAGCCGATTCTGAGATACTTGGACAGGATCTCGATAAGGACGAGTTGGGGGTTCGTAATCTTCAGGTGGAATTGGAACAAAAGACGTCCTCGAGGTCGTTGGAAGCTCCGGCGAGATTGGCGTCACCAGCTCTTCTTCCTCTGGATCGTCTGGTATCTCTGCCTCGATGACTTCCAGGTCTTCATTCGATTCTGTGAATCTCGAAGCTTGGGTGTTTTCATTATCATCATCCAAATTTGGTATGTGCTTCCGTGCAGTGAATTCTGACCATTCGCTCACACTCTTCACATCTGAGGTCTCATCATCACCAGCCTCGCTCGTTGTGAGAAGTCGACCAGTCCCCGTACTTTCTCCTCCACTAGTATAGTCACCGTCTGTCATATCACCATCATCGTCGTCACTTGACGATTCTTCTTCCTCTTCGTCTTCTGCTGACTTCAATGGCTGATTGAACAGGTCGTAGATGTCGTCAGTTGCTGCTCGAGTATGAAGTGTCATTGTTTGTTCCTTGGATGCTTTTCTTTTCGTCATCTTCGGCCCCGAAGGAGATGAAAGTTTTGCTTTTACTACGCACTGTAAGTAACGAATGAACAGAGTTTCCCAGTTCACTTACTGATTTGGGTCTCGTTGACCTCTTTGATCTTCATCCTTCTGCCTCTACCTCCTCTCGACGGTTCTTTAGCAGCCCCATTCTCGTCTAACACGGGATCACGAGCAATAACGAGTTTCTCTTTGACAGCTTGATTTAGTGTATCAATGTTGGCAGGAGATTGCTTTGGGATCTCATCAAGCAATGACGGTTCATCAAGAATGGGTTTGGTTATCTCTGGCTCCCACACCTTGGAAAGCCAGCCTCGGTAGCCCGCTCTCAACTCTTCCAAGCTAAGCTCAGATCCCACTACGTCTGGTGAATGATATATGGCTTCGAGGTTCACATGGATACGTTCCGTTCTTCCTTTCTGATTTACGGTCACTTGCTGCTGCGCGGGATCTGTAACTTGTGGATATGCGAATTGAGGTAGAGACTGAATTACAAAACGCCGTAGCGACAACCATTAGTCCTGTGATCATCAATATTTGCATTGAAGGGTATAAGAAAATAGCTCACCTCATCCTTGAAAACCATCATCTTGGTACTACTCTTCTTTCCGCCCGCCTTCAGAGTCTCACCAACCCATGGCTTGGGCTCCACCATATTTTCCTTCTTGCGATCTGCCAGCGATCCAATGCTCTCCCACCCTTTCGTCTCCACAGATGCCACAGCAGGCGCAGCACTGTCGGCATCAGAAAATATTGTGAGCTTTTGACGTCCACTCTTTGACGTTCCTCCTCCAACTCCAGAGTTTGGTCGTGGAGCCTGTGGGTCTCTCGGTGCAGCTGCCGCAAAGGGGTCAATTTTTGCGGCCAGAGCCGGTCTCACAGTTGGTAGAGCAGGAGAGGATGGTTCATTCGTGTCATCTGGCCGCTGTGCGAATCGTTGTTGGAACTCGTTATACTTCCTTAGCAATCGGGCAGCCGGTCTAGCCTCCTTCTCGATGCCCATGGTATAGACTTCTTCGGCTTGGGTCCATCGTCCAGCCCCTTCTAACCAAGCAGCAAACTCTTCGTAGAATAGTGCCAGACTTTCCCCAATATTGTGACGGGCCAGGAAAGCAAATGTTTCGCGCGGTGTGTCGGAGAAAAAACGAATGTACGAGATCCATAATTTCAGATATCGTGGATCATTCTTGTATTGTGAGGAATTGAGGAACGCCTTCGTGGCACGCTCGAGTAGGGGAAGCAGCTGTGATGCTGGCGTTGCTTGTGCTGAAGGATACGCGTCGAGAGTCCACCGTACATAGCGGTCATAGATATCTAATGGGTCGTCCGACTCCGATATGGTCAGTAATTCATTTTCGTATTCGTTTCTCATAGCATCGTTAAGATTCTTCGTGTCGGATGGTGTTGGTGTTGCGAGTTTGTGGAGGGGGGACGGTGAAAACATGCTTGCAAGTGCACGCGCTGATCGTCCTCCCGGCAGAGACTGGATATTCTCTTTCTGGTTTTCGATGATATCGAAGTCGATGAGATCCTCGGAGACCGACATATTGGCAGATTAGTGGTGGTTGATGGTTGTCGGCGTTCGCTGTTGAAGTTGTTGATTTTCGTGATGAAATGCGATGCACACAATCAACAATAGGCTGTTGCCCTGGAGATGGTGAACATTTTAGCGCCGCTTCCAAAAATGGAAGTGCAGCCATTCATGCCAAGACCAGACCAAGTCTTCATGGTGCCTGTTATCTTTGAACTTCTTCCCCGAAACATTTTTGATTCTCTGTCTCCAACCATCATCACTCGATCTGTACAGTACCGCGAATTCTGCTGTTGTTGGTCCTCAAGTCAAACAGCGAAATTCGCTCGCCAATAGTCGACAGCGACATCTCCACAAGGATTCGTCAGCACCACATCACCCTGGATGGGACATTCGGTTTCGTTCCTGGCGGCGCAATTTGAGGAGAATCCGACCATGCTACAGTACTTAAGCCCTCTGCTGGCAAAGGCAGTCCCCTGAACTGTGTTCGAGAGATACAGACATCTCTCTGCTGTATTACTCCTCTCATATGATACATCATGGACCAAAATCAGTTGCAAGTCCAGTCTAGAAGTTATTCATTCTGCACACGTTCCAGATTACCTCAGTAGAACTTCTTACTGCACAAGCTTTTCTCCACCGGATCTAAAATGCATCCTGGAAGATGCTGACGCTGACGTCCTCACTGCTCCCTGCTCGCTGGTCGCTGGTCGATCGGAGTTTTTATCACTTGGAAACATGGCTGAGCACGCGAGCACCAACACCAGTGGCTGAGCGGCAACCGCCGTCTGCTGTAAGTCAGATTTAGATAATAGGGGGCCGTATTCTCTTCTCTTCGTCTGTTGGTTGCACACCATGCTTTCTTAAATCTGTCATCTTGCTTCTCTTTTCATTTCCTTACAGTCCTTCATGTCGGCCATGCTGCCATGGCAGATACCAGGTAGAGCCACTCAATTGATGTCCAGATGGGCTGTATTCGCTTTCGTATTTGTCCTGATTTTCTACTACACGTATGTATCTCTAACCTATCCTTGTGTGCTAGGTACTGATGTTTTCCAGTTCCTGGACAACCCTCACTACTCGATCCTCATTTGAATCCTGTCCTGCAGAAAAAGCGATCGCTGTAAACGAAACCCAAGCTCCACCAGCTCCCATAATACCCCAATATGATCCTCGCAAACTCGCTCTCCTCGTCGAGACTCGACCATTACCACACTTGCCAGCTCTTTTCACACATATGACGACCATTATACCTCCTGAATGGACATTCAAGTTTATGGGTTCCCCTGCTGCGCTCTCCTTTATGCGATCATCTCCTGTCATATCCCGGTTTGAGGATTCTGGGAAGCTTCAACTTCTTCCGATTCCAGGCAACTATTCTCTGAAGGACAGAGAGACAATATCCCAGATGTTTACCGACATTCATCTCTACAGAGATCTCCTTGCACCTGCAGAGCACCTTTTGGTGTGGCAGCCGGACAGTATATTTTGCGCGAATGCTGCAAAAACATTGAACGATTATTTGGAGTGGGATTGGATAGGGGCGCCTTGGTCCAAGACTGCGCAATACGGCGGAAATGGAGGTCTGAGTCTGCGAAAAGTAAGCAAGATACTGGAGGTGCTGAGGTCGAAACAAAGAAAAGTAGGAGATGGTGCTTTAGAAGATCTGTGGTTGACGAATAATCTCCACGAACTTCCAGGTTCACACATGCCGAATGCCGCAGTCAGCAAGACTTTCAGTGTTGAAAGTGTCTGGGACGATGCGCCTCTTGGATACCATGTCGGATGGCTTGGAGTACACCACGAACAGATCTGGGACGACAAAGGCCAGGTTGATCACATCATGAAATACTGCCCGGAGGTCAAGATGATTCTTGGCATGAAATTGGATAACGACAAGCCAGAAGCAATTCGACAGTCGGAAAACCCTAGTCAGTGAAAACTAGGTACAAAGCTTAAGCCGGGAACTGCTATTAGTAGCTTAATCTCGCTCGCCTTTGCTTCGTCTAAGCTGCACTATTGCTCTTAGACAGAAAGCAGCTCTAATGCGCATGAAAAAGAGCTTCGATGCACGGCAAAGACGCTCAAGATTACTAAGGAATGGACGAGGTTCATGCACCTGTTCAGATGACTCCATTCCGTGGACCCTCAAGAAGTAGACAGTGGGACATAACTCCCAGCCTCAAATCAATTTTGGATCCAATCATCTTATGATTTTGTGAACGACCCCACTGGTGAGAATTCAAGTCACAACAGACTTTCGGGAGTTCCGCTCCCTTGTACTTTTCCTATTGGCTAAAGTTTAAGTCATGTATACAGCTCCATGCAATACCAGACGCCTCTTGATTAACCGAGCATGCCACCAGATTTCATCTTCCGAATCCCGCCCCTGCAAACAAGAACGTGGTCGCTCAACGCTCCCGCAGCCATAGACGATCACCAAGGATTGATACCTCAAATGACTGCGGTGGCTTTTGTGGAGGTGGATCTTATCCCGTCGATGGTAGAACCTCTTTTCATTCACCAAAGAGTTGAAGTCAACTCGAAGAAAAACAAAGCTCATTCCTGCTTGTGGAGGAGCGGAACAGGAAATCGAGAGGGCCATTGCAAGCCATTTTTCTATCATTGTCAGCCTGCTGCACGTTTTCACAAAGGTATCTCAACCCATCAGGATTCATGTTCAGAGCATGTGCCTCTGACGACCCTTGTGTATCCTTGACCACTCAAGCGCCCATGAGAGGCACGGCATAGTCAACTCTTGAGATCCGTCCCGAGGAGCTACATTATATAGTCTCTTGAGTCGCAGTTTATTCTCCCCGCCAAGTCTCCTGCCAAGTGTCTCTTAGGCAATTGTCTTTCACGCCGGCTCCAGAATGGCCCACTTATACCATCATAACCCGCATGATCCTACGAACCAGGGCATCATCGGTGTTCCGCACGGTCCGGAAACTGGGGACAATCATGTCCACATGGAAGGACCCGTGCCTACTGACGGCGAAGACGTGCTGAAAAGCATGATCTTCCCACACGATTCGTATAATTCGGAAGGTGTTTACTGGGCGGATTTACCGTTGGGGAAACAGCTGGCGTTCAATGCCTCGGTCGATAACGCGGAGTCGAGGAAGGAGTTGCGCGCAATATGGGCTATGATGAAGGAAGATCCCTTGTCTCCGATCGGATGGTATTTTCGACATGCCATCCTGCCTGGTGCTGGTTTGGGGCTTGAAGGGTGAGTCTGCATTTATTCTTTACTTTATGACAGTTGCTAACAGATCCGTGAAAGTTACGTCCTATTCTCCATCGGCAATTTGACCCCACTTTTCTCAGCTGTCTGGCCTAACTGTTGGAGCAAGTACAAAACTTGCAATGAGACTTGGGTAGCGGCCGTTCAATACCTTGAAGTCTGTGGCATCATTGTTGGCCAGATTCTCGTTGGTGCTCTTGGTGATGGGTACGGCATCCTTATAAGTAGTGATAAATAAGAATGTTAATGGTGTCCACAGTATCGGTCGACGATGGGGTCTCATCCAGGATGTGGTTATCATGTTCCTTGGACTGTGTATGCTTGTTGCGTCGTGGGGAACTACTTTGAATGGATGGGTCATTTGTTATGCTTGGTCCTTGTTCTTTTACGGTATTGGTGTTGGAGGGGAATATCCGATGACTGCTACTGCTGCAATGGTACGTGTTTAGTTTTTTTGGCCCTTCAAAGTTTCTTGTGTGCCCCTGGAATTTGTTCAAGAGTCGAACATCCCTGATTCTTTTCGAGTCCTGCTTTACCCATGATCTTCTAAAAGCATCTTGTTAACATCGAATCCTCTTCTAGGAAAACGCCACAGGTGCAGGAAAGATCTCCACCCGAGAAGACCGCCTTCATCGTGGCCGCAAAGTGACCATGGCATTCCTCATGCAAGGCTGGGGCCAGTTCTTCAACCAAATCATCCTCATCCTCCTTCTCCTAATCTTCCACCACGGCCAAGGCAGCCCTCCCTACTCGGAACGCGTAGCCCAATGGACCTACCGCGTATCCTTCGCCATTCCCGCCGTAGGCACTCTCTGGCTAGTCTACTACCGAACCTGGAAAATGCCCCTAGCTTCCAAAGTACTTAACACAGCAAAGAAGAAGGCCGCCGTTACTGGATACGACGTCCAATCGCTGAAATTAACTTTCAGTGTCTTTGGAGGAAGATTGATCGCTACCGCCGGTGCTTGGTACTGCAATGACATATTCTTCTACGGAAATAAATTGTTTCAAGGACAATTCATCAGCGTCCTGAACCCGGGCAATAAATCCGTCCTAACCGGCTGGCTCTGGAACATGGTTAACGTAGGCGTCTCCCTTTGCGGCTACTACCTGGCTTCCTTCCTCATTGATAACAAATGTACTTCCCTTCCTCCCCTCCCATTAAAACCAAACTAACCCACCCGCTCTAGTCGTGGGCCGTAAACGCATGCAACAACTCGGCTTCTTCATGGACTTCATCCTCTTCGTCGTCCCGGCCTTCCACTACAACTTCTACGCCCTCAACAAAGCGCACATCCCCGCCTTCCAGGCGATGTATTTCCTATCTAGCTTCTTCAACCAGTTTGGGCCGAATAGTACCACGTTCTTGGTCGCGGCGGAGGTATATCCTACGCCTGTTAGGGCCAGCGCGCATGGGTTTTCGGCAGCGGTGGGGAAGTTGGGTGCGTTGACTGCTGCGGTTATGTATAATGTAAGTTGGAATTCGCTCTCATTCCCAAAAATTACTTGAGGAGCCGAGCTCTTTTCTCAAAAGTGTTCTGCTCTTCGATATCCTCCCCCAAACTCATACTGACAGAGATATAGTATATCTCGACTCAGCAGAAATTCTATGTTGTTCCGTGGTTCGGATTAGCTGGTATGCTGATCACGGCGCTTTTCCTGCCAGATACCACGGGTCTGGATCTCAAGGAAGCAGAGCGTCGCTTCCAGTAAGTCAAATTCTACCCTTTCTTTGCACCCATGTCAGGAGCCAATATCTTCGGGAGCTGTTCATCAAAGAAGATGTGTCCGAAGTCTGCCGGATGAGCTTCTCGGCTTTCGCATCCCCTTCAAACAATCATACTGATTTGTCAATAGCTACATCCGCAACGGGCGCGAAAGCGATTATCACGGCATCGCAGTCCACCCGCACCATCTCTCGCTCTGGGAACGCTTAAGAGGAGCGGGGAAATACTATGATCCGAAATTGGATTATGAGTCCAAGGTGCAGGATTTGAGGGACGAGTGGATGGAGAAGTTGAATTCGGAGGAGGATCTCGATATTGCGGGTGAGGAGATTCCGAGGGAGGTGCATGAGTATTTTGCGAGGACGACGGGGTTGAAGGGGGAGAAGAAGGGAGGAAATGGTGGGAATTTGACGGGCAGTGAGGAGGGGGTTAATGAGAAGGGGGTGGGGAACGGTGCGGGACTTACTAATTGAGGGTTTTACGTAGGAGCGAGGTGAGGTTTTTGAGATTGTTCTTTGATAATCGTGGATTTGATGGGGGAACGTATAAATTGATGTGTCAATTTGATTGTTGAAGGGTTCGTTTTTTCTTGCAAATACGCTTAACTTAAGCTTGCTCGAACATGCGTTGTTTCCTGACTTGTAGTCAAATAAGGTATTTTCTCGAAGCAGAATGATTCCATATCAAGATATTTCCAGACCTTGAATTGCAGAGTAGGAAATGTTTTTCCGTCCGCCACCAAGGATTGTAAGTGGCAGCTCAGCCCTACCGAGATGCGCATCACGTAAGAACCCATGCGCTAATCTATCAATAGCCCGTTCTTGGGATGCGGCTCTGCGCCTCAGTGCTTGGCAGCGATGGAACCAATCAACAAGCATTAGTTAAGGGATCAGCAATTATACCAGCATTATGTGGTGAGAGGATGCGAGAGCGAAGTCAATGATGTCGAAGGAAGTCAGATCTTACTTTGCTATGCTGGGCTTATTTGCTGTGTCTGCGCCACCTGCCATGTCCAGTCCAGGCCACCATCTTTTATCCTTCTTCTCACTCTTGTCTTTTAATTTTGCCTGAACTTCCGAATCTCTGATTTCTCGTCAAATGTTTCGTGTTTAAGTTTTTCCTTCTCCTTGGCATTTCCTTTCTCTCTTTGCTTTGCTTTGCTGGGAATTAAAGAATCATGGCAGCAGCAGGTACAACAACAGCCGCTCCGGCCCTCTCAACCGAGATCAACAACGGGACCGTCACCTCATGGCTCCCATTAACCACCGCCTGGCCTTCGCTGGCCGATTGTTCTTCGCAAATCTATACCTGGGATGGAACGATCATGGTCTTTGACCCAACGTTCCGCGAAGATCAGGATAATACAGATCTCTACTGCCAGCCATCGCAAATGACAGAATCATGGACGCAATCCCATCAAACTCCCCAACTTACCACCACGAGTCTAGAAGGGCTGGCGTGTCCGGATATGTATACCACCGTCTGGTCTTCACCCGTGAACACGGCTAGCGAATATGTTGTCTGCTGTCCCAAGTACCTACCTCCCCATATCCCCTCTCTTCAGCATAACTAAGTAACATAGATCCTTCACCCCCGCAAACCCTAAAATCCGCGCCCCAGCAACAGACTCCGCGTTCTGCCTCTCAACCCTAACCTCCGGCCAAGCAATGAGTATATACATCAATTCCTCTTCCGGCTCCGACTCCTGGTTCGTCCACTCAACCACGACCTTCAAATCCGGCGGCACCGTCTCCGCGCCCCAGATCAACGGGTACGCGTTCCTCACCACGTCTTCTAGCTCATCGACGGATACTGGCTCGGTCACATCCTCGATTTCTTCATCATCAACCTCGACGTCTGCAACGGGCGGGAGCAGCAGCGGTCTCTCCACCGGCGCAAAAGCAGGCATCGGAGTCGGAGTCGCGGTCGGGGCTCTAGGCGCCATGGCGTTGGCGGGGGCGTTGTTCCTGTTGAGGAGGTATAGGAAGAGACAAAGTGCTCCCGGGACGGCGGGGACGGCGGCGCAAGATGGGCAGGGAGAAACGGTTATGAAGATGGCGGCACCGGATGGGTCGGGGGCGCCGTATTATACGAGCGTGAAGACGGAGTTGCCGGGGGAGAGTAATATTGGTGGTGGTAATGGAGGGGTGCATGAGTTGGGGCCGCAGCAGCCGGTTTATGAGATGGCGGATGAGAGGTGATGAAGGTGGGAGGGGGATTTTGTGCATAGGTTTTTGGGATTGAGGGAGTTTTGTATTATACCCTGTTGATAGGATAGAGGGGAGTTGTATGTAAGTAAGTCCTTCAAGTTTTAGGGGGATTTGGTGAGCCTCGCTTATTTTGGCTTAATAGATTCAGAAGCTCGAATAGAGTACATAATTTTCATAAAATTGCACCTGTTCTTCGAATTTCGTACTCTTATTGCACGTTTCAGTTTTATAGCGAGCGCCTTTGCGTGGTATTTGGCGTTCGAAAGTATGTTCCAGCGACGTGGAAAAGAGCCATCATTAAAAGGGCGCACCTCAGATGTACTATCAAATTCTGGCAGTCAAACTAGCGAAATCATAAAAGTCCGGCTACAAAGTGCTCATATACACCGTAGCATAGCCCTTGATATTCGAATGATTCATCATGGGGGATTTCCGTAAAGTGAGTTTCATGCAGTTCTTGATGAGGTAAGATGAGTGAGCTTTTATCATCAAACAATGGCATTGTGTCGACTTTCCCCTGTTGTTACACATAGAGCAGAAGTATTCCATGCTGGATTCGAGAGAAGACATCAATGACGAAAGGGGTTGAAGTTGCGCCATCTAAGTTCACTCACTAACCATCCAATCAAACCCCCAGAATCCAAATACGCGTATAAACATGCCTGAGGCTCTAGTACCACCACCCAACCTCACCTCAACATCTACCTTAAACCCCAACTTCCCCCTAAATCATTCTCAATCTTCCTCTGTGAATCAAAGCAAAAGCGACCACATGTCTCAAATAACCTCCCTCTGCCGCGCAATCAGCAAAGCAGCCTCGCACCCCAACGTAATGGTCTACCGAGCCCAGCTCGTGCAGGCTGAGAAAGATTTCTCTAAGGGTTACTTGGGAAATGGGACGAAGGATGCGTTGAGGGTTGGGGGGGCTGTTGATGAGGGGAAGGGAAAGGGGAAGAGGAAGGAAGGATTGGATGGGGGTGATGAGGAAATGAAGGAGGAGGGTCTGTTGAGGGATGGGGAGGTTGAGAGGGAGAAGGATCCTGGTTGCGATGGAGAGAAAAACGGAGAGAGTGAAGGGACTTGAGTAGGAAGGGATGCGTTGAGTGAGTAATTCGATGGGTTGTTTTTGTCAGGTTGGATGAATATATATCTAGTCTCCACATTGATCGCAAGGCAAAATGCTTTCAGGTTTTACTGTTCGTCGAATATGTGTCATTGGAGCTGGCCCATCAGGGCTCGCCGCTGCGAAGTTTGTCTTCCTTATCTTGACTCTAATTGACGCGGGAGATCTAACCTTGGGACCAGGTTCCTTCGCGCCGAAAACAGTTTCAGCGAAATAGATGTCTACGAGCGGCGAAGCACTCCGGGCGGACTCTGGAACCACTCCGCTGAAACACATGGAGATGGATTTGAGGATCGTATTCCCTCGACAAGCCCACATGTGCCGCTCGAGCACCCAGCTGCTGGCGGAGAGTCTAGTGGACACTACGTCTCACCCGTCGACGACTTCATGGCGTCCAATATTCCGAAGACGTTGATGCGGTACTCTGACCTCAAGTTTTCGAATGATCTACAAATCTTCCCCAGCCATGAGGAGATTCTGGACTGCCTACAGACCTATGCAGAGGATGTCCGAGGTTTGATTCATTACAACACTCAGGTCACCAATGTGGAACTGCTCAGCACATCCACTAGGGATAAGTGAGAAGTAGCTTTCAGGTCTAACGAAATGATATTTCACAAGGTCTACGACGCTGTCGTTGTAGCATCTGGTTATTATTCTATTCCTCAAGTCCCTCACATCTCTGGCCTCGGTCAATGGAAGCAAACTTACCCCGACACGGTCATACACTCGAAGTACTATCGGCGGCCGGAGCCATATGCCGGCAAGAGAATATTGATTGTCGGATCCGGAGCCTCTGGTCAGGAAATAGCAACTCAAATTTCGAAGGTAGCAGCAAATACATATATTTCTGCGAGATCGAACAAACCATCACTGGATTCGAGAATCACTGTTTTCCCATCGATTTTGCAATTTGATGCACTAGAATGGAGTATAACCTTTGAGGATGGCTTAAAATTGCTTGATGTTTGTATTCTTACTGCTCAATACGACCATTTGACATGCTGATACGATCAGCTCGACTCCATCGTCTTCTGTAACGGTTACATTTATGCCTATCCATTCTTGGAGTCGATTGTGCCGTCTCCAATTACAGAGAACGGGTCCGGATTAAAGGGAACATACCACCATTGTTTTTTTACGCCACACCCGTCACTGTCCTTCCTCACCTTACCACGCGGAATTGTCCCCTGAGCGCTATTTTCTCTACATGATCTTGAATCAACATGGCTGATGTCAATAGATATGCACTGGCAGAATCACAGGCAGCTATACTGGCCAGAGTCACTACCTTCCACTGCTGAGATGCAGAAGTGGGAAGAGGATCTATTAGCTGCAACCCCAACAGGCCAGGATTTCCATTCTTTGGAGCCACCACCACGGGATGGCAATCACCTTAACTTCCTGTATGACTGGGCAATCCAGGCGGACAAGAAACAAGGACTCGACATGGTGGGATTGGGAAACTGCCAACGCATTGGGGTCTAGTTGAATTTTAGCAAAGATCAAAGACCCCAGAAATTCACAAGGCTTTTTCAAAGCTCACTCCAAAGGAAAGGGGGATAGTTCGGACCGTGGAAGACCTCGGCTTCGTCTACCCCGGAGATAGAAAAGCAAAGCCCCTGTCTTCGGTTTGGGGATCGTTATTCGCCATCATGACTTGGCCGTGGAGTTGATGTTCGTATGGTGCGCTAGGGACGATTGAAGTTAAGGCAGCTCCTATGCTGGAGATGAAAACATGGCGTTCAGTGCGAGGTGTGCATCGAGCGATGCCTATGCACTAGTTCAAATGCACTGTGGGACTTAGATTGCATGTGTGCACGAGGATGCATTATTACAGCTTATCTTGAGCAGTACGATATCTATAGATTAGACGAACTTCACAATTCTTTATTTTTCGTCCTGAAGACTACTATTGCTGTCTCGCTGCGCTGAAGCGTCCTCGAACGTGCGGTACAAGATCGCAATACCGGTCTGCAGCTCGCTATCAGACGTCGTTAGTGCCGGTAGAGAAGTTGACCCAAAGACCATTGTCTTTCAGCCTTTTCCCCAGCGCTCTGCCCAGGTCCAGATCTCGCTCGTTCGTCGCTGGCTTGACAATTTCCATACCGAACAATAACCCACGTCCCCGCACTTGATCTACGAATGGGTGCCGCTTTCGTAACTCCTTAAGAGCATCGAGTAGACAACGACCGAGAACTTGCCCTCTGTCTACCAGTCCATCCCTCTTGACGACTTCCATAACCTTCAAACCGACAGCCTATCTAGACGTCGTGGCTATAGAAAGAAAACTTTTCACACCAAGTGCAATGCAAAAAAAATAAGTTGCTGATTGCGAACTAAATAAACCATTAATTAAGAAGACCAACTCGCACTCATATCCTCATTACCAAACTATTCCAAGCCCAGATCATCATAAGTAAAACCACAAAACTCCAAACCAATCACCAACTCATTTCGACTCACCTTATACCCCACCTCCCATCACCACCCATCCCCAACAACCTCCCACCGCCTAACCTCCCATTCCTCCTCCCAAGCAATCCACCATCGTCAAATCTCCCACTCAACCCCAATCCCGATCGATCACCATCTCTCGCCAACTCCGAAAAATCTACGCCCAGAAACTCAAACAAGAACAACAACTTAATCTCAAACAACTCATCTCTCACACGATTCATCTCCAGAAGCCCATTCTCGTACCAGGAAAGACCGCGCAGGGGATTTGTGAGGGTTTCTGAGAGACTGCGGGGCGTGATGTCGTAGGCGGTTAGGATGGAGTCTAGGGTTGTGTCTGTTTGGTTAGTGATGGTACGAGGGAGGGAAGGGAAGGCATACCGTTGAGTCTGCCGAACCATTCGATTTTTTGGGGGAGTTCGAAATCTCTCGGGAAGCGGCCGGCGTCGGGGCCAGAGTCGATGACTTTGGGGTGGATTTGGGAGACCATGGAGTTTATGCTGACCATGTTGTTTGCGAGTTGGACTGCGAGGTTATGCCTATTGCCACAAGGTCAACAATCTTGAATGTTCATGAAAAGTGAGGGAAGGACACCTACTTCCTAATCATATCCGTAATCATCCCCTCTTGTAACCCTCTTTCCGAGCTGGTATACCCGGCCAACGATCTCAAGGGCCCAAGTCTGGTATTGGTATTCCGAGAGAACCAGTCCGAGCCAAAACAATTACTGATGGTATTCGCGAGGATATCCTCCAGTTCCTCATCCCGCATTAAACGTCCGCCGATGCCGACCATCTCGTCAGTGGCTAGTGGATCGATGTTGGTTGCTTGATTTGGATCCGTGAGAAGGGGTCGTATTCCGCGGCGTGGTCGGACTGGGCGGACACAGACAATCAAGAAGATGTTTGTGGATTTAATCTGATTGATGATCTGATTAACTGGACCGGCAACAGGGACTGGGACTGGAACAGGAATCGGGACAGGAATTGGGATAGGGACGGGAACCTTGACGACGACAGGATGTTGGACAACTTCAGCTGGGATGGGGACTGAGACTTTAACGACAGCAGGAGGCTGGACAATCGGAGTTGGAACAGGGACTGGGTTAAAGAGAGGAGGCTTGGAGACGAGATTGATCTGATTGATCTCGTTGACGACAGGAGCCAGTAGCTTAGGTGAATAGTGACGATGTTGGTGTTCGATCGAGGTCTCGCGAAGGAGTTTCGGGAGCGGGTTCAGCAGAACCGGATCAGGAAGCTGTAATTCGGGGAAGAGCTTGAGAGGTGGCGGTGGAGGAAGCAGTACTCGGTTTGCAATCGTATGTCTGAAAAGGGCTCTTGGGGGGAAGATTGGAGGAGCGCAGATGATTTGGGGCTCGAGAGCTTGGCGATTCCGACGAAAGACGTTACCGTCTAGATAGTAGCCAAGTCGATATAGGCGAAATACATCTAGACCAGCTATATCGTGTATAATATCTGGCAGCACTTCAAGCGCAGGTGAGGCGAGAAGAAATGGATTCGGAGGGAGAACAATCTGAGGACGACGACGAAAGAGGTTGTATGGATTAAAGTATGATCGGCGGTGTGAGTATGGACACGAGTCGTACGATGGTGTCGGGCTGAGCTCGTATTCTTCGTAGATATGTCGTGCTCTATATCCTCTTCGCCTCCCTCTTCGGGCCCGAGGAAAACAGCAGAAGTCGAAGCCGCAGGATTCAGAGCACGAGAAACTCATTCGAGAATGTGCTGATAAAGGAGTATCATACCTAAATCTATATATTCCTTCAACAAGATTGGCTATCACACAGGATTGCGGGCCACTTGAAGGACCACTCAGAAATTTGCTGGCACTTTGATAGACTTCATTCTCGGGCTTTGTTATTGACAACTCAGCAATGGATAACACTTGACTTCCTACCTCGGCTTGACTCATGTATGGGCTGAGGAACTGGTGTACAGCAACGGGTAGATGCAGTATCGTCGAATACCACGCGACAACGAGTCAACTTTACAACAAGGCTGCCGTTTTACTGCAGGCGATGAACTATTGAAAACATATGCATCGAGTTTGCCTTACAATAGCAGGGACGTCATAATACCGAGTGTTGCCACAAAATAGAACCATCACAAACAACAACAGGGTATGACGACAGGAGTGACTAGAACTCGGCGATCTTCTTAAAAATGTTGAGCGCACAGCCTTACCAAGGCTGGTCGACGGTTTGCTTCACCAAGATCCCTAGCACCACTAAGACCAGCCACAACTCACAACAATGAAAAATGAAACTCGCAAAACGATACGCATGAGATTTAGTGGTACTTTGTACCAACAACCTAAAAGAACCAACAGTTTCACCGTTTTTGACGAACTGAGAGCGTTCGAGTTTCTCTCGGATTTGAATGGACCCCGCGGAGTCTTTAGATTCTATCACAATCAAATATGCAGGTGGTGCGATGGGAGTCTGAATGATTCAATACCACATCGGCGTAATCAACAGCTGGAGACGTGTTGGCCATCGCCTATAATGTCGATCCATGTGTTTTACACATCCAAGAAAACTTGCTGGACGAGCGGAGCTCATTCCCAATAGAATAGATTTCCAAAGAGCGCGATTGCCGGAGGATTCCATCGACACCGAAAAGCCACTTAGTGAAGTCAGGTCCAAGAAATCAATGACTGCATCCACCCTCGCTCTCATCAGCGTCTGCCACATCATCCTTCTTGGACTTCTTCTTCTTTGGCGAAGCCTTCTTGAACATGGAGTCCAAGGTTTTCTGTTTCTTCTTGTCCACTTGGCCTTGGAACTTCTTTCGCTCCTCGGCACCGATGTCTTGCAATCGCTGCTCTTCTTCTTGAAAGGTTTTCGTGTCTGCATCAGCACCGACAAGACTTTCGAGTAACTTAATCTCCGAGGCCCAAATATTCTTATCCTCGATCGTTTTTCCGTCTGGTCCTTTCTTTTCGATTGGCGTCTCCAAAACCATCGGGAGATCTTGGAAGGAAGCAAAGTTTACCACATTATGAAAAGCTCGCAAACCAAGGAACCCTGTACCAATATTTGCATGCAGATCTCGGTTAGACGACAATGGGGTTTTGCTGTCATTCAGATGAAGAGCTTTGAGATAGGATATACCGACGATCTCCGAGAAGCTGTCCATCGTTTTCTTGAATGCTTCGGGAGATCGTAGATCGTAGCCTGCAGCAAAAGTATGACATGTGTCTATGCAAACACCCACACGAGACTTGTCTTCAATAAGATCAATAATGTCTCGAAGGTCTTCCCACGTTGAACCAATCACATTGCCGGCACCTGCCATATTCTCCAGGACTGTGACCACTGTCTTGGTTGCCTTGTGCGCTTTATTCAGCTGTGCCGCGATACGTGCGATTGCTTCCGGGCGAGGATTACCTCCCGTACTACTATTGACAAGTCAGTATGTGTTTCACACAAATGACAAGGGCCGCGATGAACTCTCCGGAAAGAGTGTCCCGAGAAGCCGCTGTCAAACTAGATGGATATAGTTTTACGTACCCAGGGTGAAAATTATAGAGCATGATGCCCAGAGCCTCGCAACGCTGTAGATCATCCAAGAAACATGTATATGCCTGGTCCGCTTTCTCAGCATCCGCTTGTGCCAGATTCACAAGGTATGAGCCATGAGGGAGGACATGCTTGGCTGCATCATATTTGTGCTCCAAGCAGAACGCCTTGAATTGATCTCGAGCTTCGGGTGCAAGAGGAGGACTCGTCCACTTCCGTTGTGACTTGAGAAACAGGGCGAAAGAGTTGCCACCGATATGCAAACTATTATTAATGGAATTCTGAACACCTGCGAAGTGATTAGCAAGTGAGCCTTGGCAGAAGGTAGGTAGCAAACATGCCTCCGGAAGCAGAGACGTGAGCACCGATGTGCATGGCATGCTTCAATGTTCCGATCACAGTCCGAGCAGCAAGTGGCATAGCCTCGGCTTCTTTTTCTTCTTTGGTCTTGCGCTTCTTTTTGACCTTCTTATCATCTGCGTCTACTTCGTCCTTGTCCTCGCCGTCGGCTTGTGATTTCCTTTTCGCAGACTTCGGCCTGGGTTTCTCCTCAACAACAGCCTTCGCTGTGACTCTATTGATCTTAACCTTCGTTGAATGTGTCTTCTCTGGCAACTCGATATCGTCGACTTCCGAGTCTGATTCTTCTTTGTAGACTTTCTTGGTGGCTTTGCTTGATCTGGCTGGGGATTTCGCGACAACCTCAGTGGTTTCGATCTTTACGGCTGCTTTTCGACCTTTCTTTGGGGTTGAGGTTGATTGATCGGTGTCTCCCTGGTTTTTCGACTTTCTGGCAGCTCTAGGAGGCATTTTGATGCTTTAATCGATGGATGTGGATGAGTGTCGTCGTAAGATTATGGTTGACGCGACGAAGCGCGCTTTTGGAATCGCGTGCACGTGACTGAGGATATCCCCTTTTTCTTCCAAGCAGGAGTCTTTTCTCGAGGACATGTTGTGGTGATTGAAAGTATCCTCCTGCCTCACACTTTGAATCTACACAAGAGTCACGGCCTTGAAGATGTACTCGAGTGACTATCTTCTTCATTGCAGGCAACTGCAGTCTCCTCTCGTTCTACTGTATTACAATGGCATTAACTGCAATCGAAGCATCATTCCAGAACTTGTAGAGTCCTAGCTTGCGGACTCTGACACAAGATATTCCGTGCTTTGATCATTTTGGGCCGTCCTGGTGCGAATTTCGAGTGGAACCTCATCTACATCTTTTCATCTGCATCTCTCAAGGAAGTATCTCTTCTAAACCAACAAGAGCAATCCATATATGCAGCTAATCGAAAGAGGAGCATCTTTCTGCGAACCAGAGGACATCCGAGAATCCAAAAAGTGTCATGCAACATCTGAAGCCGTTCCCTTGCCGATGTCGCTATGTCAACATCCAATTATTATCATGGGATTTTAACGATCGAAATGTGCCCTGCTAGTGTACGACCGGTCGTCAACGGTTAAAGGCTACATTAGGAAAATCACTCACGATAGTCAATCAGAATGCTTCGATAGCTTACTGGATCCTTTCCTGCATACGGAGAACTCCCAACTACAAGGTATAGGGTGGGGTATGAAAGAGCTACCCCTCTTTCACGAGCTCATAAGTATCGACCCCTCAACTTCTCTTTTTCTTTCTCTCAACCATTTCTCTCCAAAGCAGATTGCCACCAAAACACCAACGTCTGTATCGCACTGCTTCTATATGAAAAGCATACAGCTGACTCAATCCTTCTTGCAGAACACAAACCGAAAGTACATATTCCTGTCGGAGGGAGCCATGATGTCCAAGCAATGGAATTATCCCTAGAGGATCAAGGTATTTCACATATACATAAAGTATAGCATGAACCGGTGTTCGAACTCCAGCGTCATCACAGCCATTCATCCACCATCTTCACAGATGAGATGTCTGGCCTGATGACAACATGCTGGGTTCGTTCTGAAATCATACGGTTAATTACTTGATCAGGATAATACCTGCGAAAGGATCATGCCTTACCCTTCTCCCTATCCGTGTTTAGCTCTAACCCAGGTTAGGTTCGTACCTTGATCTAACAACTCATCAAAATGGCTCCACCAGCAGCAATGTTCAACGAACCTGCCATCGACAGTGTTCCGTTGAAGAGCACTTTTGACGTCAAGACCTTTCCAGTCCAGAATGGAAAGACCAATACTCTCGCCGAACTTGCCGACAAGTGGGAGCATGGCTTCACGTTTGCTCCTATCCGCGAGTCCCAAGTCTCTCGAGCCATGACTCGACGCTACTTCAAGGATCTCGACACGTATGCCGAATCCGATATTGTTATCGTCGGCGCTGGATCTTGCGGTCTCAGCACTGCCTACATGCTCGGAAAGTCTCGTCCTGATCTCAAGATTGCCATCATCGAAGCTTCTGTTTCGCCAGGCGGTGGAGCTTGGCTCGGTGGTCAACTCTTCAGCGCCATGGTTATGCGCAAGCCTGCTGAGGCATTCTTGACCGACCTTGGAGTTCCGTTCGAGGATGAGGGAGACTTTGTTGTCGTGAAGCATGCTGTATGTTCGCTGTGCCTTTCCAGTCTCCATCAAGCTAACATGTCTATGTGCAGGCACTCTTCACCTCCACTCTCCTCTCCAAAGTCCTCTCCTTCCCGAACATCAAGCTATTTAACGCCACGGCGGTCGAAGACCTCATCACTCGTCCTACCGCTAATGGAGGCGTTCGCATTGCTGGTGTGGTCACAAATTGGACATTGGTTACCATGCACCATGACGATCAGTCATGCATGGATCCCAACACCATCAATGCTCCTCTTGTGATCTCTACCACTGGACATGATGGTCCTTTTGGAGCCTTCTCCGTCAAGCGCCTTGTGTCCATGCAGCAGATTGAGAAGCTCGGTGGCATGAGAGGCTTGGATATGGTAAGCTTAAATTCTTGACTATACTTTTCCCTTCTTGCCAGCATTTCAGGCAGTTCTAGGATAGTCTTCATATTGTATGCTGACTTGCGAGAATAGAACACGGCCGAAGATGCCATCGTCAAAGGAACCAGAGAAGTGGTCCCCGGCTTGATTGTTGGTGGAATGGAACTGAGCGAAGTGGATGGTGCCAATCGCATGGGACCTACATTTGGTGCAATGGCTCTCAGCGGCGTGAAAGCTGCCGAAGAAGCCTTGAAGGTCTTCGAGGAAAGGAAGATGGAGAATGCTTACTAGGTTGAGATGGGTCATATGACCACAGCTTCATGTATCGAAATACGCACATATTGGATAGCAGGCATGAATCACGCTCTTTAAAGCATACACACTATGTATCTGTCATCTCTCTAAATTTCTTGCTTTCTTGATAATCTTTGTTGTCCCGTCCTGAGCAAGATTTCAGAGTGAAAAGGGGGTTCAAGCTGGCTAAGCGAAATCGCAACTTGATCCGAGTGTGCTTTCCCAAGAACATCTGAAAGCCATCTAATAATCTGCCCTCCCTGTTCTCTCAACCTGTCCATCTCATCTAACTCCAACATCACAACAACGCACTCCTTATCCTCACAACATCATCCCACAACTTCCTCCCGTCTTCATCCATTATATACCCCACCCAACCAAAACCCTCCAAGACTGCTCTCACATCACCCCACCCCTCCATACCCATCTCCTCAGCCATCGTCACAACCTCACAAACAACCCACACCCTCTCCCCTCCTACCAACCCCGCCAAAAACAACAACCAAAGCCGCAACGCACCACTAACGAAGCTCAAACAAGCCTTCAACTGCCCCAAAATCTGGTCGCTGATCGACGGGATCCAGAACTCATTCTGGATGATACCGACGTAGAGCAGGATGCCGAGATAGCAGGCTTTGAGGAGTGGGTTTGAGATGCAGCGGTAAGTGTGCAGGAGCGAGTATTGGATGGATTGGATGCGATGGCGGAGTTGTAGGGGGATGAGTTCTGATTTTGGTGGGTTGGGGCGGTTTAGGTTGTGCGTTATTGTTTGTAGGGTGTTGAGAATCTCGAGGAAGGCGGGGGAGAAGGAATTTTGGTTGTGGAGGGCTTTGAAACCTGGTGGAAGAGTTGTGTCTGTTTTAAGGGGACTTTTAAGGAGAGTCGTACCATCCACCTGCAGGTAAGGTTTCGAAAGGCCGTATACGGAACCCCAGATATCGGCTCTGAGACTTCTTTAGGATCATTCCTACGTCAACATGGGCAACCAGAGACCTACCGGTAAAGAATATCATCCAATATAGGATTCCCCTCAAATCCCGACAAACCGCCTCGTAGCTCCACCATCCGCTTTATACCTCTCATATGAGTCCGCCAATTCTCATGGTTCTCGCTTGATTGCTATGCTCACTAGTCAACGTAGCTCAACTCTCCCACGGGTGGAGGAGAATACCTCAGTCAAAGCCAACAACGCCACGGCAGCAATAGTAGAATCACCGGTTCCCTCCTGCGAAAAATCTCGAAACCGCTCGTTGAGGATCTGGATCGTGTGCTTCAAATGGATGACGGCAGATGGACGCTCCTTTTGGCCAATCATCTTAGCTTCAAATTGATCACTGCAGAAGAGAATTGTGTGGAGGAGAGCGGCGTCTGTTAAGGCGAGAGGGACCCAGAGGATTTTGATGGGGTTGAAGCCCCAGTGTGCTTCGATTCCGTAGGCGTGTTCTGCGACTGTGTTTGCGACTCCAGGGGGTTAAGAGAGGGTTGGTATTGGGCCAATGAGGAAGGATCTTACAGAGATGGAGGAGTGAGTGCATGTAAGGTTGCATTTTTATTGGGAGACTATCGAATGGATCCATATTCCATTGCTCATATGATATGGCTAGAGGAGTTCCAACTTCTGTAACAGTACTTGTACCGCTGTCTTGGCTCCCATAAGTCATCTCAAGTTCCTGGTCTTGGTGTCTGTGTTTTGAAGAACTGCTTATTTGTTGCTGTCGTCGATAATTATGCATGACATGAGTCCGCACGAACTTTCGAGTGTTCGCATTACTTGTTGGCTTTCGCCCATCGGAGCAATTAACGAATCCATACTGCTCTTTTGGATGTGTTTGTGTCTCTTTTACAATCCTTTTCATAGAACGTCCATGGTCCTTTGGATCTGCTTCCCAAAACAATTAGTTTACAATGGCTACCAAGGATCATAGATCGAGACAATCTCTGCGACGAACAATCGCACGGCATTCAGAACCTAGCCACAACGGACATAACCCACATTTTCTTGGCCTTCCTCTTCGAGCTGTCTTTGGCCACTGTACCTTGGAGGCATTTGATGAACAATAGATTAAACCCTCATTCTCATTATCTCGTCCTGATTTGCTATCAAAGACTAAAAACGTCGGAGTTGATATCGTCATTTGCTGAATTCGCAACATGTCTCATTGATCATAAATTATAAATATACCTGGGTGGAATTGATCCAAAATGGACAATGGCCGTTGCAAATATAGTACCAAATAGGCAAGATGCTCACAATGAAACACCTGTATGACTGTACGGACCATACAGCCGCCACGGCGGACGAATCGCTGCTGACAAGAGCCCATTACATCAAGCGTCCTCGCTTAAATATCCACATCTGTCCGAATTTCTGCCCCCTTTTTCCTCTTCCGTATCGTCAACTCGACTAACCATATGAGTCCGAATTTTGGGTTTCGACCCTAATACTCTATCAAGTTACTCATTATGATTTCCGCCGCATGAGCAAATGTCCGCCTCGGTATCGGAGAATATGGATCTTCAGGTACCGATGGGATTAACATTTTCTGCTTACGATGATTCGTGCCCTCGTAAATCTCTTTGAAGCAGGTACTCATTGGAGGGCAAACCGAGTGCGAGCAATGCGAGCCAACCAAGAGAATCGTTCAGTGCTTGTCACCACTGCTTTGTCTATATAAATCCAGAGACAATTCCCAAGATAGAAAACTCATCAACTCAACTTAGACCTATTCGTTTCTCATTAGAAAAAGACAAATCTCAAACAACCATGGATCTATCAACCCTCCCAAAAGACTGGGTCGTCACCTCCGGCCAGTTCACCCGCAAAGCACACACCAACGTCTACCCCGCCATCAACCCAACCCAACCCTCCAACTCCCTCAAAGGCAAGATCGTCGTCGTAACAGGCGCCAGCCGCGGCATCGGAGCACGAGGCATCGCTCCAGCTTTTGTGAAAGCTGGAGTTAAAGCAATAGTCCTCATCGCCACAAATGCGAGCAAATTGGCTGGTGTTGAGCAAGAACTGAAAAAGATCAACCCAGAAATCGAGACGCTGGCTTTAGGCGCGGATATCTCCTCCGTAGAGCAAGTCAGCAAGGCATGGACTGAGATCAATGCTCGGTACCCTAAGGTCCACGTGCTAGTCAACAACGCAGGCGTAGAGTGCACCGAGAGCGAGAAGCAGATGCACGAGCAAGACGCCTCCATCTTCTTCAAGAACTTCGTAAGTCACCTGCCCTCTATCCTGAACTAAATAAGCACTGACATCCCTACCCAGGAAATCAACGTAAAAGGCACACACATCGTAACGCAGCACTTCCTCACCGCGGCTCTCGCCTGGGCCTCACCCACAGACAAAGCCCGCATCATCACAATCACCAGCTCGACCGCCTGGGGCGTCTGGCCATTCCTCGCCGCGTACGCTATGACCAAAGCAGCCAATATCCAATACACGACCACGCTCGCAGCCGCGTATCCCGACACCTTGCTCACGGTAGCGGTTAACCCGGGTCTGACGGACACGGATATCGTCCCGCAGTCTCTGCGGGATGTGGGTTTCGATATGAATGACCCGGCGCTGACAGGCGCGATGATTGTGTGGTTGGTGGCGGATCCGGAGAGGAGCGGGTTCTTGAATGGGAGAGCGGTGACGGTGGAGTGGGATGTGGAGGAGTTGGTAGAGCGGAAGGAGGAGATTTTAGGGAAGAATTTGTTGACGATGCAGTTAAATGCTACGTTGGGAGTGGATCAGTTCAAAAACTGAGATCATATGAGATAAGTTGAGCTAAGAGGGCTTTCGGAGCTTCTGGTGGGACAGACTCATGCGGTACGAATAGTCAATAAGATATTCCACTCCATGCAATCGAGTATTGTAAATCAAGGTGCGATTCACTTAAGCAAAACGGATCCCTTTTTCGACTTCGACCGGAACAGCGACGGTAGACCAATCAAACAACAAAAGGCCGAGAACTCCGATCTGAAGCATATCTCAAAGAATGTAAGAAGTTTTAGCTCCTCACATATTCTCCATCACCGCCACGCCAGCATCTTCACTCTCTACTCGCTCCCAATCTTCATCACTCACATCGTCTACAGTCTCGCTTCCACTCTCATAACTGCTCTCCTCTTTTGTGTCAACCACAACCCTGAATCCCTGACACGCGATATCTTTCTGCTTAATCCTTTCCACCAAGAATTCGCACTTCTGTAAATGTACTCGCTTCCTGTCTTTGACCGAAATCATCGTTACTTCGTCTGAGCCTCCTTCGTTCTGGATGCACTCTAACTCCGCTTCCGCACATCCACTTGCATGCGCAAAATATTCCAAGACAGTAGTACAGAGCGAGAGCAATGCCGAGTGGTACTCAGGTTTTAGTGACAGTCCTCCGTTAGATTGCTGGTATAGGTTTTCCATCACAGCATAGCGAGCGATGATCGCAACGATATCTTGAAGATGGGTGAGAGATCCGAGAAGGATTGTTGCGTCGACTTGTGATGATGAGGAGGAGGTAGTGAGGATCTTTTCATAAAGCTACGTATAATAGTTAGCATTTGTTGGACGCTGGGGCTGGAGTGAAAAGGCCATGGGTAGAGGGGTAAGCATACAGAAAGCAGAACACAAACACAACTCCATCCTAGCGTCGCAATCTCAAACCCCAATTGCTCGCCAACTGTGGTTAGGATCCTAAGGATATTGCTCCTGACCTCTAACAGATCAACTAGCTGCGGCTTATCAACATGCAATGCGGTTCCGAGTCGACGCACGTTGTTTCCTATCCGTCTGCAAATTATGTCGTCAGGGACATGCCTCGATGCTAGAATGCCTAGTTCGGATTCCAGACAGTCTTTGATTTGCATAAACACAGCGGACTCGTTACAAGAAGATGAGACGAGAGAGATGTAGGCTTGCCACCACAGCTTGCTTGTTTGTGTAGGGGAGAGAGCGGGGCAGGTCCATGCTAGCTCTATCTGATCCTGTGTCTCATCGGGATCAACGATTGGAGAAGGTGGAGAGATTCCAGGCGAGTCAATCTTAGAATCCTTTGCCATCGTAGGGCTCATGGCTTCGGTATCATCAAAAGTCACAGCTGTTGAGTGGGGGTCGTGTCGAGACTTTAACTTACCTGCTTGGTCTGCGAATCGTTGCCTTGCCGTACGACGCTTGAGAATGCGATGGAACTGCTTCGCGTTGATGTAAAGTACATCGTCCTCGCCTGTGGTTGACGAAGACATCGCGTTCCTGGAATTGTCCCAAGAAGCCACCTCCGAGCCTGAAGCATGATCCAATTTCTCGTCGAGCTTCAGTGCCGCTGAATTCTTATCTTTTTTGACGTCCTCGACTTGATCTTGTTTCGGCGTCTTGTCCCCTTCACGTGAACGTTCTGCAACTGGAGCAGAGTCGAAATTGAACGACCCATCATCGTCTTGGTTAAGAAAGCTATCGAAATCAAAGTCATGCAGAACATCGCTTGCATCTGGCGGTGACTTGGACGATCCTGTAAAGTAACGAGGATCAGCAGCCGTATCAAAGTGAAAGTCGTCTTGCTTGAGGAAGGCGTCAAAGTCAAAGTCTTGCAGCACATCAGATGGTCCGGGTTGTAAACAGACAATACCATTAGCTGGGCTCGAAAAATTGGTATCCTTGGGAGGCTCATCCTCATCACTTATGCGTCTCATTTGAAGTCGACGAGTGTTGTGTTTCCCGCAGTCCAAGACCATGAGAGACATCTGATAATCTTTCAGTGCTTTTCTGTGTGCCTCTTTACTTTCCTCGCTATCTGGATCATGTCCAGGCATAAGTGATAACCTATACTTTCGTGCAGCTTCTACCTGGTTTTCAATCTGTGCCGGGGAGAGTTCGATGGGCTGGTTCTGGCTTTGGGCCATGTGATCATGCTTATAATGAGGCTCCGTTGCGAGGAGCTGCTTTTGATAGTCTTGCAGTTCATCTGGTTTCATAGCAGGTGAACGTTCGGTTTCTGTCCCTGGAAATGGGGTCTGGCCGGTGGATGTATCCAGGCTTTCTGACGGGGAGCTCAGAACATGGTGATGCCTTGTTCTTTCCTTGGGTTGTGGAGGAGATCGATATTTTCCAGGTGTTGAGTGGTCAGGCTGAGTTGATGTACTTGAGACTAGATAATCAAACACATTGAGGACTTCACAGTCCGGCGATGACGTCTGGGCCGCGACAATATTGGAAGTGTTTTGTTGCTGTGTGCCGGCGAGCAGGTTCTCGTCGGCAGGAGGACTTCTTTCTTCGGACTGTGTCTTCGTGATGCTTTGCTGTAAAGCAGCTTCAGCAACTTTGAGAGCCCGTCTGTCTCTGAACCGTTGAGATGGTGGATTTCTTGCAGGAGATTCAAGACGACTTCTCAAGGTCGCTATTTTTTGCTGGAGAATCAACTGCTCCTGGGCGTTCATATTCACAGCGATTCCTGGCTGTGGTGATTTGGTTATGGATTGAGCAGTAGGAGTTTGGGAATTCGAGGGAGCTCCAGGACCCATCTGCTGACTAGGTCGAACATGACTACCCTGCATGGGCATCTGCGGTGTTTCACCCAGCTCATTCATCTGCGTGTTTTCTGGGGCCGAGCCTGAAAAAGGTTGTGACACTGCTTTTTCCCCTGGAGATTGAGCATCCGGAACCGAATCATGCAGGATTTCCGTTACTTTTGCCTTCTTACGTTGAGAAGGGGTAGCGTCATACGTCGGATCCTTAGACTGAACGCTTGCGTTGTGGGAGACGTCAATGTCCGAATCATTTGACATGCTCATGAGAGAAGTAGGCATCTCCATCAAGTCGGGATAAGCTCTTTTTCGTCGTCGGTCTTTACGAATCTTAGATCTAACCTGAGATACTGGGCTGGGCAGCTCCTCAACCTCACAATTTAGCGAAAGATTGCCTCGGTCAGCACTGTTTTCAAACCGTTTGAATGTATAGCCGACAAATGGCAAAGACATTTCACGATGCTCGAGAAGTTGGGATGCAGATGGAAGGGGTACATGGTCTGCTTGCGGCGTTTTCTGAGGTTGCAAGCGATCTGCCGGAGAGGTGGCCTGAAAAGCTCCGAACCATGCCCCACGGCCTTCCCCCTTCTCTGAAGGGGGTATTGAGCGTGAAGGCAGAGAGAAATTCTCTCGGTTTGTAGTATGCTTGGTTTCAAAGTCGCTAAGCTTCGAGTTCTTAGCGGCTTGCTTTGCCAAACGATCGAGATAGCCAATGACCCGACCCGCTGTGTAGTTTGATACCCAGGAGAGCTGGTTGAACTGCGATTCATGGAGATCTTCGTGGTCAGCTGAGTATTCGTGGAGTTTCATAACGACATCTTTCAGCAGGTCTGAACTGGCGTTTTGGATCTTGGAGGAATCTTTGCAAGTCAGCATCAAGAGAGTTCGGCCTAGTTATGTCAGACTTACAATCGGTGTCAAACATTTCAATGTACTCTCTGTTGTGCTTTTTGAAATGTCGGGTATGATGATGATCAATGTCTGTATTGCCTTTGTTTAGTGACGCTTCAAGGACCCTTGCCGCGTCGAGCAAGCTGGAATCGAATTTCGGGATACGCCTTTCGATGAGGTTGCCAAGTATCTCAAGTGCAGTTCGGAAAGCATGCAAAACGCTTTGGACCGCTTTGACCTTTCGCGCAATCTCGAGGTCTTGCTCTTGGATGGAAATCGCACTCTTAAAGCTCTCCGATGACGACGATGACTTAAGGCTTCTGGATGTCCTTGTCTCATGATTTGAAAGTCGTGGGCTAGCCTCTGCAGGAGAATGTGATTCCACTTTCGTACAAGCCCCGTCGCCAGCACCTCTGTTATCGGACGATTTCGCCCCACGTGTGAGGATCGGAGATAATGCATTAACATTTTGTGGCAAGACCATAAACTTTCGTTTTGCATGGAACATGTTGGATGAATGGTCTTGGTGACGAAGCATTGTCGAAATTGGGGAGGAACTGGCCTCGTTTGGGTTCACAGAGACTACCTCTGATTGTGATCCCTCGGAGTGAGTGCTCGAGATATAGACCTCACTACTAGATACCTGAACAATGCTTTCAGATTGGACAGTATATTTTGTGAGAATACCGCCGGCCATGATCGACTTTTGAGCTTCTTGCAGAATGCGAAGTGTATCGGGTTGCAGGGGCTTTTCGGGCGGTCGTTGAAGCTTGCTCGTACTCGAGATATTTCTATAACCTCCATCAGTGATGAAAACCGAGAATGAATCAGCTATACTTACAACAGTGACAATTGTAAATCAACTTGTAGACTCATCAATATTGTAGCCAGCGTCCCTTTCATGTCCCTTAGCCTGCTTAGGAGCTTCTGGATCTGAGATTCCTTGTACACAAACTTTACTCGCAATTTCCAGGCACTCTTGCCATTGCTGCCTAGTTTCACAAGTATTCTGTCGATTTTGACGTACAATTCCGCACAATCTTTAATGATTTTCGCAGTCAATAGATATATATCGTCCGAATACCACGACTTGCTGTCTTCGAGGAGTCGTGAAAGAAGACTCAATGATTGTGAGAATGTTTTCAGATCGTCCGCTAGGATTTGAATATCATCAGAAGCCGAACCAACAGCAGCGCCTAGCGTATAAAGCGTTTTGGACAGAGACAGGGCTGCCTGGGCGATTTGCCATATACTGGCAACGGCGCCTATCGCAGTGATAGGATCCATCATGGAGCCTGATGCCTAAGACAGTCTATCACAACACGCCCGGCATTGGTAACATGAGAGAACAAAGCTTTCAGGCAGCGAAGAGGTAATGTTTGAAGTCAGAAAGGTTGCTCAGCCCAACTGCAGCCTCCCGATTTGCCTCACATATGCAAGGATGCAGAATACGACCTCGAATCAGAAGCACAGTCAACACGTGAAAAGGGATTGAACTTATGGAAATCAATTTTCAGACTTGAAAAACAGGTCTCAGTCATTCGACCAGAGTTCCAAGCTGGAAGACAAAAGTATAAGAGCCAGAACATCTTGCTTGAACACTGTTGAAATGGATCATGTGACGAGACATCCTCACCGCCTTAAAACCGAGCCTTGCCCAATTCAGCAGACCCTGCGGCAATTGAAATTTATTGCAAACAGAACCTTGGAAAGTCTGATGAACATCGAAATACTTCTGCAGAAGCCGCAGACTCCTCAAAATGGGCCAAAAACGAAAGCGATTGGCTCATGATACTTCTGCCGCTGTATCTACACCAAAGAAACAGCAAAAAACAAATCCGCAGACAAAAAAACCAGCTCCCAAACCCGCAGTTGTGCCTCTACAACTCGATACCTCTCCATTTGTTGACAATCCGAAAGGCGCGGAGTTGAAGCGCGAGGTTGAATTATACGACCTGCTAAGCAGCGAAGATGACGCACAACGACTGGATGCTGCTATTGCCATAGTGTCGGGTCTTTTGGACGGAGATGGAGTCGAGGAATCTACACTACAGCGACATCTTGAGAGGAGGTTATTTCGGGGACTGGCCAGTGGTAGGAAAGCCGCAAGATTAGGATTCAGCGTGGCATTGACAGAAATTCTGGATCAACTCTACGGCACGAAAGACATTGCAGCGCAGAAGTACCCAGGCTTGACCTTCGACAAAGTTCTAGGGTTCTTGGTTGCAAAGACAAAACCCGATGGTGACTTGAGCGGGCAAGAAGAAAAGGATCACCACCTCGGTCTGCTGTTCGGTCTGGAGAGCTTTGTGGGGGCGAAAATTCTGTTCGGAGATGATCAGAGGTGGAACACTGTTCTCCGGAAATTGCTCGAGCTTGCGAAGAAGAAACCATGGACCAGGGAACAATGCGGGTGGGCGATTATGAAGGCTCTGCCGCAGATGAGCCAGGTCCAGGCCGAATATACTTTGGTGGAACTTCACGATGCGGGGCTGGCTCTGTCACCCGAGGGGGTCGGCATATGGCTTTCAGCCAGGAGTCGTTTCCCAGACATGAAATTCCCCAGCAAGCCTTGGGGCCAGAGTGGTAATCCGTTAGAGCATCTAAAAGCTCTCGGGAAGGCTCTAAAGGAAAGTTCATCCAACGAAGAATCTCAGCAAGCAAAGCAGACTGGTAATTGGAACGCAAAGCTTCATTTCGTGTGGGAGGTGGTATTGGCGGAGTACGCTGCGGCTGCGAAGAGCAAAACCCACAATGTCAAATCGGATTTTGAGAATTTCTGGAAGGTGACAGTAGACGGTTAGTATCTCTATACTCATGCTGCATAAGTTACTGATCACATCATAGAAAATCTTTTCTCTTCGACAGCTTCCAGAGAACGCAAATTCTGGGGTTTTTTATTATTCCAAAAAATAATCGACGATGCAGAATCATTCAATAAGCTGTTACCAAGTGTATTCAGCCACAATCTTGTTCGCTGTCTCATTAATCATGTTCAGGAGGAGGATCGTTTCCTTCATCGCGCGGCAGACAAATCTCTAAAAGTTCTCATCCAAGCTGCTGAAGCGAAACCAAAACTTTTGGAAACTTTCCTACCTCAGCTGATCAGTGGCAATGGAAACTACAACTTTGATCGTATTACCAAAACCAAAACAATAGATCGATTGCTTACCTTGGTCAATGGAAAGACTGCCGCATCTGTCATCAAAATCTTGGTTCAACCTGCACAATCCATTACTGGGTATGTTTCCTCATATTTCTATTTCACCCTGTACTGATATTACCAGCAGCGATTCAGACAACGCGAAAGAGGCCGAGTTGCGCAGACAACTGCTAGGCGATTACTTGTTGAATATCATTCGTAAAGCCTATGTTGCCGACGAGTCAGGCAGCATTGACTGGATATCAGAGAGAGCTTTGCCCACCTTATCTCGATTCGCCTACAGAGAAGATGAAGAATGCCAGCCTCCATTATCCGAAAAGACTCGAACATTGTTCCGAAATCGACTAATGTCAGCCTTCGGACATTTGCTGTCCGACATCAAGGGATACAGCTATCCCTGCGACTTAGTGCTGTCGTTTGCTCCAGATGCCGTCCAGATGGATTCCGAGATTTCGGCTGCGAAGGACACCGCGATATCGGCAATGGAGAAGATCCTAAAGAAGGTCAAGAAAGCAGATGTTGATGGCAAAGCTCCATTACAAGCCTTGTCCTTGCTATACTCTCTTGTCCTGTTCCAGCTATACAACGGCGAGGCCGAGGCGGTATCAATTTTGGACGAGTTAAAGCTTTGCTATGACAAACTCATCCGACGCAAAGATGTTGACGACTCTGATGTAGATGCTTCTGAGGTTCTGGTCGAGCTTCTACTATCCTTCATTTCCAAACCTTCAGCGTTGCTACGGAAAGTGACGCTACATGTATTTGGAGCATTTATGTCTGATATGACTGCAGGTGGGTTAAAACTTATGACAGATGTCCTTGAATCTGGTGAGAGTTTGAGAGGCCAGCAAGCGTTATTTGATCAAGAGTCAGAGGATGGTGAAGCTATGGATGTAGACGATGATGAGCTCGACTCAGACGTCGAGGTCGTTGATATGGATGCTGATGAGGGTCATCTGAATGGACATCTGAACGAGGAAGAGGAATCGAATGACGACGAAGATGAGAGCGAATCAGGGGACGAGGAAGATCAAGATGCTAAGAAACTGGACGATGCCCTTGCTGCAGCTCTTGGAACGCACCGTCTGGACCAAGACGCTGAGGCGGAGTCAGACAGCGATGCAGATATGACGGACTCGGAGATGATGGCCTTAGATTCGAAATTGGTTGAGATATTTTCGCAGCGAAAGAAGGTACCCAACAAGAAGCAAGAGCAAAAGGATGCCAAAGAAACGATGGTCAACTTCAAGACTCGAGTTCTTGACCTTCTGGACCTTTACGTCAAGAAGCAAGCTTCGAACCCTCTAGCTTTTGGTCTCTTGCTCCCTTTGCTGCAACTCATGCGAACCACCAAGACGAAGCAGCTGGCTGAAAAAGCCCACAACATCATTATGTCATTTGCGAAGGCTGCGAAGAAGGGCGAGGAGAATTCCGAAGTGAACCTAGCAGAGCAGATCAAGCTTCTCAAGGCCATCCACCTCGAAGCATCCAAAGACCCATCCCATCTTTTCGCCAAAGCAGCGAGCACTGCCAGCTTGCTTGTCGCTTCGAGTATATATCGAGTCGACAAGGGGAATTTCAAGAAGATTGCTAATGTATATCGGGATTCTCAGGTTGCGTGGGTGGATGGTAATGTGAAGATGCAGGCAGCGTTCTTCTCTGAATTTGTCAATTGGTGTCAGAGTCACGCCAACTCATAGATGTCAATAGTAAATAGCACAAATTTCCTCACGGTATAATCAAGAAACAACCTCAAAAGGCGTTCTGAAACTGTCGAATCGATGCTTCTCAATCATCACGTGCGGCTACCTGGACTCCGTTGAACTCCGACTCGACCGTCATTTTAATCGTACGGTACCCGTCGTTTGTCGCATTCGGACGAACTCAAGCTCGGTCTTACATGTTTGTTGACGGTGCTGACAGTGCTGTCAATTCCGAAGTCAATTCCGAAAGTTAATTCCAAATCGCGTGTTCCTTGAGTATATATAACTCGTTTCCTCTCTTCTTGGCACTCGAGTATATGTTTTGTCGCCCAAAAAAAAAGTTCATCTCGAAAGTCTTGGCATGCATCACAGCTACCAATTCTTCGACCACTCTTATGCGTCCTCTCGTCTCCCTCTTATCAGCCCCAGAATCCTTCTCTACGGTCACGACGCTGCCGAGGAGGAATTCGGGTAGTCCGCGGTTGTTTTTGCCTCAATTCTCACTCGGGAACCCCCGAGGCTGTTTCTTCGCCGGTCCAACCAGGTCTCCTATCGCTGTGGCACACCAAAGCTTGCGAAGCGGCATCCACGATGAGCTCCAGACTCTTGTCTCGCCACGGCGCTACCAATCGGTGGACAGCCATTGACGACGATGGAGCATGAGATGAGATGATGGCCTGAAAGGGCAAATGGATGGTTACTAGGTTACGCTCCTTCCTTTGGTATTCTAGTGGTATTCTTTGCCGCTTCGTACAGGGCCTCCCGTTCGACTTGTTCCCCAATTATCAGCTCTGAAAGTTCCTCCACCAGTGAGCGGCTCAGCGCACTCGCACTCGAGTCTCCTCATCAGCTTTCTGTTCCCACTATTATGGGACTACTAGCGGAGGACACGCGAGCTACTTACGAATTACTCTAGCTGTTCGACTGCCCCGTCGACGACTGTCCCGTCGCCAGCTACTGGCCGTTCCTAAGCGCACTTCCAGCGTTGGGAGCGCCGAGGTGGCACACGCAAGGCACACGCAAGGCACACGCAAGGCACAGTCTCTCTTGCCTTCGCAGAAAACACATGATGTATTCGATATATGGTACACATCAATTATCATCTATCCTGGAAGATCAGCCGTTGGAGTTGGAAGGGAAGGTTGGTTTCCAGCTCTGGAAGTCGCCTAGGTACTGTACACTATTCGGAACGCGGCTCACCACCATCAGCTTCCTCGCACAGCTGTTGTACAGTGTAAGGTTAATTGAATCCAACTTCGACTAAAATACCACACCTAGCCGACCTACCCTACCATATCCTCTCTCGCATCCTATCAAATCACGATGGCACTGTCGACTAATTTGTGCCGCAGATGAACAAAGCACTCCACTCCATCTCTATGGTTCCCATGCCGGGGATGCGCCTGGATCTGCAGACACGCACCATCTCGCGGTTGAATCAATCATGGTTGATTTCTCCCTTTTCCCAGGTCTCGAGTTTGATGTCTTATCGCCCGTGCTTCAAATTTACCCTCATCCGCCTATCACAAGTGTGCAGCATATCAACGACCTGGGGCTTCAGACGGGAACACCGTTTGTGCGCGTCTTCGGATGCATTTCCTGGGTGGCTGCTTCAGTTAATTGCATGTTCTCAGGAGTCTATTCTGAGCACCGTGGTCCACGATGAGTTTCGTGGTGTCTCCCACACTTCGACAGGCCAAGAGGCCAAGTCTTTGCGGAGATCTCTTGCCGTGCAGCCACAATGCTTGACCGTGCTTGGAAATGCTTGGAAAAGGCTTGTCCACAGCTGGTGGTCTGCATCCAAAGCTTGTCCGCTCCTCAGCGTCGTCCCACAGGCTGGAATGGGCGATATTGCGGTTGGGGACGGCCCCGCTCTGTTTCTGGAAACCTGCCTATCTGAGTGCTGGGCGGGAGGGCTGGACGCCCCCCAGCGATAACGATCCTCGCCAACAACGTCGTGCGAGGATCGTGGATATTGAGTTTGAGGTCTGTATTAGGAAGGAGATAACCATTATCCTCGCCACCTGCTTAGGTTACGAAGACGCTTGCTCCACCCAATATCCAGATGCTCGCAGTAACTGGTCCGTGGTCAGTGCGAGATATGCGGGCTGGGATGAATGGATGGGGCCCTGCTGCACCACCAGGTCCGTGTCGATGTCGGTTTGAGCTGCAGTGCAGTAACCACGGTCATGGGCGCAGGAGAGGACCCTCCTGGACTCCCCCAGGTACAGAGTATATATGTCCCAGCATTCCCGGACAGCCTTCTTTCGACGTCCGCGCATCAGTCCTGCTTTGACAGTTGGTATCGTGACGACGTGATTTCTGCGCCATGGCAAATCAGATGGCAATTATGGGCGGCGGAGGGGGCGATCCCCGCTTGAGTACGTTCACTTTTCTGCTGTACGCGACCACCATCGCAGGCTAATATGGAGAAGGTATGGGAGAGGGCCAGGTTCCAATTCCAGCACCTGTTCGCCATAAACTCCACGATCCAAATGTCCAGATCGAGGAGTATTTCTACTATGCCCGAATTCAGCGTGCCCAAGAACGACAGGGTCTTGGACCCGTCGAGCGTGGTCGCATTGCCAACGGTGAAGATGTCTCGACAACTGGATCTGAGGTCATTGTTGGTGGTGATGAGAAGACGGACGAAAAGAGACCAGATCTTCCTCGTACTGCCACCAACATTGTCACTCCCCAGGAATGGGAGAATGCATCTCGTGCTGCCAGAAACGCTACTTGGCCTTCGATGTAAGTAGTCGCTGGCATTGCCATCTCTCATCACTAACTCGAGATCAGTGTCTACCTCATCACAACCGATATTCTTGGTCCCTCCAATGCCCCATGGGCAATCTCTCAGTTCGGTTATGTCGGTGGTGTCATGACCTATACCTTCATGGGTATTATGGCCTTCTACGCCGGCTGGATGATCTGGCGTATGTTCCTCAAGCTTGATTCCGACAAATACCCCATGAGAACATTCGGTGACATGGGTTTCCGTATCTATGGCAAAGAGACCCGTCACGGCATGAACATTCTCCAATCCATCCAACTGCTCTTCAACGTCGGTGTCATCATCATCGTCAACGGCCAATCGCTCTCCCAGATGTCCAAGTTCAAACTCTGCTTCATGGTCTGCATTCTCATCTGGCCTATCTGCGGTTTGATTGTCGGTCAGATTCGTACTCTGGCGAAATTCGGATGGATTGCCAATTTCGCTATCTGGCTGAACGTTATTTGGATTTTCATGACGATTGGTGTTGCTGCCAACTCACCACCCAACTATGCTGCTGCATTGGCAACATTCAATACTCCTCAAGGCCCAATTCAGCACACCGTCTGGATTCCAAGTGGATCAACTTTCGACTCCCAGCTTGGCGCTGCTATGCAAATCGTCTATGCTTATGGTACGTTTTCACTTCCCTTGCTCAACACGCTCAACTAACATTATCCCAGGTGGTGCAATGTTGTACTGCGAATTTATGGCTGAAATGCGTCGTCCCTTCGACTTCATCAAGGCTCAATTCGTCGCTGAAATCTTCATCTACGTCTGCTACCTCATGTTTGGCCTCGTCCTCTACTCTCAACAAGGTCAATTCACCTACAACCCGGCTAACCAAGGTCTCTCACCCTACACCTGGCAAACCGTCACCAACGCCATCAACCTGGTCTCCGGCCTGATCGCAGGCGTGCTTTACGGCAACATCGGCATCAAAGTCATCTACCAAAACATCGTACAGGACTTACTCGGTGGCCCCGAGTTGACCACCAAGAGAGGCAAGATGCTCTGGGTCGGCATGGTCCCCATCTACTGGGCCATCGCCTTCATCATCGGCTCCGCCATCCCGCAGTTCACCAACGTCTCCTCCATGGTGGCCGCGACCTGCATCATGCAGTTCACCTACACCTTCCCCGCCATCCTGTACGTCGGCATCAAAGTCCAAGAAGACGCCATCCACCCGGACGAGACGTTCGATCCGGCTACCGGACAGGTGCATCGTATCGATAGCTGGAGACAGTGGAGCAGGTGGAGGAGAGGCATCTTTGGGAAACAGTGGTATTTGAAGACGTTTAATTTCTTGTTCTTCTTGGCGAGTTTGACGACCGCGGCGTTGGGTATGTATGCCAGTGGTACCGGATTGAGAGAGGATTTCGAGACGGGCACGAGTACTAGTTTTTCGTGTAAGAGTCCGTTGCAGTAGAGTGTCGTTTGTTGTCGTTTCGAGGGCGAGAAGGGGAGGAGGGGTAGTTTTTCGGAGTGGAAGGGGGAATGTCTTGATCCGTGAGGGTGATAGATTGATGGACTTAAGAGATAGAAGAAGTTTTGTATGAAGATTATTTATTCTTGACTATTGTTGTTCCTCTTCTCCCGTACACGTCCTAGCCTTGGAGTAGTGATACTCAACACCAAGTCAATCTTCTTATTAATTGCCCTTTCGTTGGAATGCGTTTTCAAGTGGAGCTTCTTTCTCGGTGCATGAAAACCAACATTTTCAGCTCAACACATATGCATGTGAAATCTCCAGAACTTCCAGGGGCCGAGTCTATATGGCCATGTTGGAAAGGGGCTGGTGCACATTTCCGGTCGCGGATAACGGTGTGGCTCAGCCATGGTCGTTGAGTGTAACATTGTCAATACTGCGTAAAGTTTTAACTTGAAGCCCCGGGAAGATTTATCGGTGTAGGTGGCCATTATGTAGCCTCAATCCTCCAGTAGAGTCTTGAAAAAGATTTCAAAGTATTGATCGAACTGCGCCTCTCCGGGGTAAAAAGCGGCCTTTTTTTGGCTCGCGAGAACATTAAATCCAAATGTATTCAATGGGCTGTTTCTCGATGCTCAAGGCTTTAAGAAGAATTCTGTCTTCAGAAACTCTACAGAGGTAATCACAAAAACCTTTCTATTTAGAAGCTTTTTGATGTTTCTCACATTTTTATTGATAATACTTGGTCGTGACAGCCGCTTTTTACCCCGACGGAGCGCGTATTGCGGGGAAGTAATGATCCGTGCCGTAGCGCGACTAGGTTGTCTTGCGGATAGAATTTCTCTCACTTATCGATATTCTCTTGCCTCTTCAACTCAACAACAAATGCAAGTGCAAATTCTACGAGAAGCATCAATCTATCTGCTTCCACATATTTGATACTTATCTGCGAGTATCTGAAGTTGGTATCCATATCTACGCATGTCGTGGCGCAGCTGGGCCGAGTGGCCCAAATGTTGGTTTTCTCAAACATCTCTTGCATCAACCCGCGATCTGGAGCTGAAGAACGCGCAAGATGTACAGGGCTTCTTGTCATGAGCTCAATTCAATCCGGTCACCGGCTGATGGTCTGATAAACGGTCATTGCGTCTCCCTGTTTGCAAGGGAAACAATTGTTGGATGGCATGGATTCAGGTTCAGATGTTGGCCAACATACAACGGAAAGGTGCAGACATCGATATGGGAATACTACCAACCCTGTTGAATGCATCCTTACATTCAATTCACCCCCATGTCTTGATACTTAAGCCACTTTGCAAGCGCCGGCTGCCTGCAGCACATGTTAGGAAGATATTCTGCAGGCTCTCGAAGCTTGCTCCTCGCCAGGCTCTGCCCTGGAAGACGGTATGTATGGCTGATAGCTGCAATTGCTGCGACTGTTGAAATAGTCGAGAGAGTTCTCTCACAATTTTTCTCAATTCATATTAAGCTTCAGAACACATATATACGCCTCGGGTCTTATTCACTCATCGTCATGTTCAGCTTGTTAGCAACTCGAAATTCGAACTTCAGCACGATGTCAAGATCAGCAACCCCAACAGAGCCTGTCACGACTCCTTCTGAACCGGAGAGTCCTGTCACTTCAGACACCCCACCGAACCTGTTCTCCATTGAGGGGCTCCAGAACGATGAGCAAAGACGCGTTCTTGACATGGTCAGTAACCTTTAAACGTCTCACTTTCAACAAGAACACATTGCTAAGCTTTACAGATCGTCCAAATCAGAAAGTGTGGACTAGAAGGCAATTTGTCCCTCCCACAGATTGTCGTCTGTGGGGACCAATCTGCTGGCAAAAGTTCCGTCCTTGAGGCAATAACCAGGGTCCCATTTCCACGAAGTGATGGACTTTGCACACGCTACGCAACAGAGATTAGTCTCCGTCGAGCTAATTCCTCATCCCTGACCATCAGCATTCTTCCGGACGAGGATCGCCCCCCTGTCGAACAGGAGCAGATCGAGGCTTTTGTTCAGACCATTGATAACTTCGATGAGCTTCCTCGTGTGATGGACCTCGCGAAAGCTGTCATGGGCATTTCGAATAGAGGAGATGATGGCGCCTCGACTCGTGCCTTCACTAGTGATGTTCTCAGGATCGAGATCAGCGGTCCTACCCAGCCACAGCTCACCTTGGTCGATATTCCCGGTCTCATTGCAACGTCAACTCGGGGAGTCACTAAAGACGATGTTGACATGGTTGCTAAGATCACAGATTACTATATTAAGCAGCCTCGAACGATCTGTCTCGCCGTCGTATGCGCAACGAACGACTATGCCAATCAGAAGATTCTTGAAAAAGTTCGCGACGTTGACCCCGAAGGCAATCGCACATTGGGTATCATCACCAAGCCCGACGGCCTTCCAGAAGGATCAATATCGCAAAAGAATTTCATCGACCTTGCGAACAATGAGGACATCTTTTTCAAGCTGGGATGGCATGTCTTAAAGAATCGCAGCTACGAGGAAAGTGATTTTACGATAGAAGAACGAGACGAGGCCGAGGCCACGTTCTTCCGTACACACTCCTGGAACTCTTTGTCGCCGGATTGTCTGGGAGTCAACACTCTCCGAACCCGCCTGTGCAATTTGCTGTTCGAACATATCAAGCGAGAACTTCCACAACTCCATGACGAGCTAGAAGCGCAACTGCAGAAGAATCGAGATGAGCTCGCGATCCTCGGTGTGAAGCGCTCAACAGCAACGGAGTGTAAAGCATACTTGTCCAAGATGAGTTTGGACTTCCACTCTATCTGTAAAGCAGCTGTCAACGGCCAGTACGAGGGCAGTTATTTTCTGAATGACATTGATCCCGACTTCTCGCTGGAGTCCTCATCTACCTTGTCAAGAACACGTGCTGTTATCCAGGACTTGAACTCACGATTTGAGGAAGGCATCCGTCTCAACGGGCACAAGTATCAAATCGAAATGTCCGCAACTAGCGACAATAAAGAAGAGGAGGAGTTTCAGTGGCCACGGGCACAGGGCAGATTTTCCTTCGGCCCCACCGGTTCGATTCCGAAGGTGTTGAATAAGGTAGACAGCGTTGCATGGATCGGTAAGGTCTTAAAACGAACCAGAGGTCGCGAGCTCGTCGGAAATTTCAATCCCCTACTCATTGGAGCACTCTTCTGGGAACAATCATCTGGATGGGAGAAGTATGCGTCTTCTCATCTCGAACTTGTCTCATCTATCTGTCGCCGTTTCTTGAAGAAGCTTCTTCATGATACTTGCCCCCAGGATGTTGAGACCCGACTTTGGGCTCTAAGAATCGAACCTGAACTGAAGAAGCGCCACCAATCAGCTGTTAAGGAACTCAATATGCTGCTTGACGAGTTGAAGGAGTATCCGATCAATTATAACCACTATTATACGGACTCGATTGCGAAGCGCCGCCAGCAGAGACAGCAGGTAATTTTAGAGAAAGCCATGAAGGATGCCTCGAGCTCGCAGACAGGCGGGAAAGTGTTCAACGACAACACTGGAGTCTGGGAGCGTCCAGAAATCCAGGTCGTCGATACAGCCGCTGCTATCGCAAATTTCACTTCTGCTTCACAACCTGACATGAATGAATTCGCCTGCGAGGAAGTTTTGGACTGTCTCTTCGCCATCTACAAAGTATGACTCTCCTCTGCACTTTGATCCACCCCTTTTTTTCTCTATCTGAGAATGTGCTAACAACAAATCAACAGGTGCTACAAAAAACCTTCGTCGCAAACGTGACAACCCAGGTCATTGAACGACACATAGTTCGTGGCCTCGAGAACATCTTCTCCCCAGTCACTGTCAACGACCTTGAGCCCGCTCAAGCTGAGGCTCTTGCTTTGGAGCCCGCCGCTGCTGGACGCCATCGCGCATACCTGGAGGACCTCATTAAGAAGCTGGAGGAGGGCCATGAGATCTTTCAGAGTGTGATGTAGTGGTTGATGTTCTTGCCTTTTTAGGCGGAGATTGGGTTTGTTTAGTGAGCGCAAGTCAATTTGATTTGAGTGATGAAGTGAGACACGAGATGAATTAGTGTTAGTCGATGGACTCGTGGAAATTTAGTCATTTTATTCACTCGTTGTCTTGGTTCCTTGGTGTCAGGGCGCATGTTCACATCAATACCTAAGATCTCACTTGGTCTTCCTGGATCTGACTGTCCGTATTTGTCGAGTAGGATGTTTTCTAGTTTCGAATGGACTCATTGTCTCTTGCTTTACACAATTTCAAACTCCTCTCTGATATAAGGGAGACAAGAACAAAGGTTTCGAACCTTTGTTCAAAAGGGAGTGAAATTTCGCTGAATCGATCGATTTTGAGGTTATTTTGAGTGCATGTTGTAGTCTTATTGAATAAGAGCAATGCCGAGCACTTGCAGCACTAGCTTAATAAGAATGGGGACCGTCCAAAGCTCCCGGACCGTCCAAATCAACAGACCGTCCCAAATAGTAGGATGTCATGTGACTTAGATAATCCTGGGGCCGTCTGGATTTTTTGGATTAAATAAAATAATTGATAATCCAATAGACTTGAGTATCTATACATAAGACTATCAATTCTAAATGGACTATCAAATAATTATCTTACATATTTATTATCAGCAGGCCGTCCCCAAGTTTCAGCTTTTCCCTATAAGGCATCTCCTAGTCTCGAAGCAATCTTCTGATCGAGTTTGGAAAGTTATCTCCTGTTCCTATCATCCATCCTAGCTGATGAGAACGGGGCGATGAGCTGAAGAGTCGTGCACTTAGACAACTTGTTCGTGCATATATTAAGACCTGAAAGAATATGTAGTTTAAAAATGGGCTTACACCAAGCACCCAAGCCTCCAATGATATCTGTTCTTGGGGTTTGAGCGGGGAATTGGATCTCGTCTAAGACTAACATTCCGAGGGTTATGAACAGACATTGCTGCTCTTCAATATCGTCGCGGGGCCCATGTGCCATGTCGATGGATTGGAAAGAAATTTTTCCCGTGTTAGAATTTTTGGCTTGTGAAGCTCATGCAGGCAGACGACAGGTCACTAATATGCGGATTGGATGACTCAGATCGCAACCAAACGTCCACAGATGACAATCACCAGATATATTGCTTGAGTCAAGAGATGTGAGAGATGCTCATGGCATCGAGCTGCCATCATTACCAATGACTCCGAGGCACGACTTGTGAAGCCCCCAAAAAGATCGTCGCATACGCAATACCCGTACCAGCAATCGCGAAGCCATCTTGGATTCCGCCCTGTTTCACAATACACCAAACAACTGCAAAAATTATACAAGCTGTTGCGAATGCAGTCTCAATCAAAACCAATTTTTTCCAACATATGCGCTCTTGGATATATATTCCATAGCCTGGAAGCAAGTCTAGATCCTTGTTGAGGAGAAGTGGTCCACTCGCTTTCTTGGGAATCCTCGGGCGATGGCGAGGATGCTTGGGTGCATGGGACGGATTCTCGATGAAATGTTGCAGAGCCGTCCGTGGCACTGGTGGGTTGGTGTCTGCCGCGAAGGAGTAATCTTCAGAGGGGTATGGTGGAAGTTCACCAAAGTCGTTGGAGTCGATGCTTACGTTTGTTGTCCAGTACAGAGAGAACTGAGACTGTCAGCAAGGGCTACTTCGGTTGGAAGGCTTCAGCTCACCTTGACGAATTTGACAGAAGATATTTCTTTCAGGGTGAGCCACGTCCAGGACCCTTTCAATCGTCCATAGTATTGAGCATGTAGGACATAATATGAAGAGTAGTCGCAAAGTGTCTCAGAAATATCGGCATGATAGAGTCTCGTATCCTTACCGCTTTCTTGGCACATCAAGATGAACTCTTTCTTTCTTCGATAAGTGGAACTTCCCATTGTATGTTGCTCCTCTGTTTTGACGTCAAGGCGACTGTGTCGCCCCTTTAAAGTTAAATGGCAGGAGTCTATTGAACTCACCGAGCGATCAGAGGTCCTAGACTCCGAGTAGGACTCAGCTCCTGCTTCACGCTCGATGTCGACCGAAGCACGAGTATCGAAGGAGTTTGCAAGCTCCTGCGCAGCACCTTTCTTGTACTCGATGACGTACTCTTGGAATATTGTCCCACAAGACTGTTCCATACCAAACTGTCAGCGTGCCCAAGCCCAAGTTTAGTCCAGAGCTGTAGGGAAGAAAATATATCACTCACACATTGCCAGGATATTTCTACCTCCTTTCTCCAAGGAAGGTCTGGAGTCTGCGTTCCGTCTTGCAGAGCTTTAACAAAGTTGACTTGCTCATCGACTTCATCGGATCTTTTGGCTCCATCAGGATATTCTGGAAGGTGTTTGTTGACTTCAGCAGCTAGTGGGATTAACCCAAGAAGGCTTGCTTTGAAATCCTTGAAGGCAATCGATTGCAAAATGAAGTTCTCCAAAGCTTGAACATCTGACTCGTTGCTATTATCGTCATCATCTGAATCATCCATATCACTTCTTTCATCGTCGTCCACCGCGTCCGCTGCAGCAGATACTGGTATTGTGGAACTTTGGTCATCTATTTTGATCCCCATCAACGCAGCGACTCGATGGGCGAGGTTTCGAATTCCCCACTGCAGAAACTTTGCAGCGCCTCTCTCTTTCTTATTTGAAGCTTCCTTTCTCAAGCTCGAAGCCAGTGTCGTTAGAAAATGCCGAAGAGCTCCCTCGAAATCTCTTGGGGTTGTGGACTCCAGTATTTGAGAATACAGAAGCCGAAGATCATCTCCAATCAACAGTAAATAAAGATTCTCGCCAATTCCCGGCCCAGCTCCGACGGAAGACATTGTTGAAACAGTGAGGCTAGAGAATATGCTGTCCATAGAGCGTATGGATGATAAGAGCTGAGGCCACCGGGAATGGCCCACTTAAGCGAAACTCAACAAATGAGACCTTATTTACCAAAAATCATAATTTTTTAGTCTTCTTATGAATCTCTGTGAAAATGGAACTTATTATTAATTAATAGTAGCCATACCCTTATACTTAATTACATCCTCAATCTTACAAGTCAATTGCTTAGTGTAGTGGCGAAAGTCACGTGGGTTAACTCGGTCCTATAGCTTTTGCAACTCCTTTTTCAAATCCACTTTATTTTTGGGCATATAGTCCAAGTTTTTCAATTTCTCCTTCATCCACCTCTAGACTTTCTCAATAGGGTTCAAATCTGGTGAAGAAGGAGGCCAATTAAACCCTCGGATATTGTGCTGTAGTCTAGGTAATTTGGCATGCCCTTTATACACCTTAGACCCGTCTTCCATAAAGATATACTCCGGCCCTAGATCATCAAAGAGAGGGAAGATTATAGGCTGAAGAACTTGCTGTAGATAGGCTTTAGAACATATGCCCTTGCGTTCTGGAAGCTTCTCTAGGAAGACTAATGGCGACTTGTAATCCCAACTTAATGCCCCCCATATCATGACCGTTGTCCTCCCTGACTTGTAGACTGATTTAATGCAGTCAGGGCACCTCCTCTCATCTACCCTCCTAGTCACATATATCCTGCCATTCTTCCCAGTCTCAAATATAGCCTCATCAGACCATACAACCTTCCTCCAGTCCCCTCCTTGCTTGCCATCATCTCTATGAGCTGCATAGTCTGATGTCCCCTACTATTTATGCTCCTTGGCAAATACATATCTCTTCCTAGCTTGTTTGAGGGTAATATATGGTCGAGGGCATGCAATGCAGCGGCGGTAGCCAGCCCGGGCTAATTCTCGACGAATGGTGCGCACCGAGGGTAGGTAGGGTAGTTGCTTTTTGAGAGCCTCAAAAGTCATGCGCCTAGAGCTCCAGTTTTTGGAAATGGTTCGAATGCAATAACGTATGTCGCGTATAGACATGAGATGGTGTCTAGAGAGCTTTCTTTTGCGCTCTCTCCGACTAGATTCCTGCTTAAGAATGCGGCGTACTGTTCTTCGAGGGATATGGGTCTCTGAGACAATCTCGCGTTGCGACTTTCCCTGGCGCTGTAGGGATCGAATGACTGCACGTGCAGGGGTAGGCCATTCATTATTCTCTTTCTCGATAGGATCACTTAGGATAAGAGGTGTCTCCATCTTGAATTATGGACTGATTCCTAAGAGGGTTGTTGTGTAGTAAGGGTTTTAAAATGGGGTGTAGAATTTTTACGCGTTACCGCGTCTCGCTTAAGTGGGCCATTCCCGGTGGCCTCAGCTCTTACATCTGAGTGATCTTCTCGATTCTCAGTGCTTTGTTCATGGGACAGACTGACGTCTTCCGGACTTGGCGCAACACTCTTTTTAGTTACCATATCAGTGTGCTTTGATATCGGAGTCTCTTCTGCTGCCCTTTCTCTGACATGCACCCCAGACAGGTTGCTTTGCGGTACCTGCGGCCGTTGAAGTGCTTCAGGTGCCTCATCCTTGGGAACCTTTTGATCCAAATACTTCGCAATCCCGGTAACATCAGTCATCCAAGGTGCCTTGCGCCTACTAGTTTGATCCATCAAGTCCATAATCTCCCTTTCTATAGCTGCAATGTTCTCTTCCGCAGCCTCAATAGAGGCTCTCCTGTTTCCTTCATTGCACCATCTCTTGATACGATCCTGCTCTTTACGAATCTTTGCGGACTTTATCTCCACTTTCTTACAATACTTGCACATTTCATCTAGCTGATATGCCTCCATTATCAGTTTCATACCACAGGTATCGCCTGTTCGATACTCTTTGCTGCATTGTTTTCGAAAATTTCCCCACTTCCAATCACCACATGTCATTTGATACTGGTCGTAGTAACACATCTTCAACAGCTAGTATAAAAAGTATGATGAGAATATGATCCTGGAAGAAGATGCTCATGAAATGTAGAGGCAAGGCTGGGCAGCGTGAAATTTGTGTTGCTTCTGCATCCAAGCCTGTGATATCCGAGCCAATTGGCAGATGGATGTTACGCCTTCTCCTGCAGGCAGATCCGTAAGGCTTTCTGCATGTTCTCTTTCTTCTTGGATATCTTAGAAGATCTATTAGTAGCTTAATAGTCCCCTAGGTAGGTTATAGTGATTGTATGCGGAAAATACTGATATCCTGCAATCGGAGAGGCCGCAATGGACAACTGCTGTGATTTGTTCCATTCACACCAATAATGTGGAGCTATACTCAACTTCAACATATTCGAGTCCTATGACTCGCGCGTCTCGTCAGCAGGATTTGTGAAAGCTTTATATTCTCGTTCTCCTTCCTGTTCTTCCACCATTACCAGCTTCATCAACACCCCTGGACTTCTTAGCAACCCCTAGAATTTTAGCGAACGACCCCTAATCATTCTGCGCTAGACAAGTCATGATGAAGTAGCCTTACAATCATATTCCCTTCCAAATCAACTCTCCAGCTCGCCTCCCTTCAAAAGATCAATCTATACATGCTACTTCACAACCATCCATCCACCCACTCCTCTCATCCCAACCCTGCCTTATCTGATACAAGTCTTACCAAATGCACACGCACAAGCCGAAAGGACACATTAGCACGAGGTTTACATCTCCAATATCAAATCCCATAGTTTTCCTTTCCTTTTTCAAGAATCACGACCTTGGGGCTCAGTCCCCTCAGTCGCCTCAGGTATATGTACAGTACCTTGCCCAGCAGCCCCAGCTATACCAATCTTAATCCCCTCGTCCCCTCAATGACATTGCTCCCCTCCTCCGTCCCATCACCCCTCACTCTTTCACCTCAAAATTTCCTATTCGCTCATAAAACCTACAAACGCGGTGGAAGCCGGCTAGTTCATCCTCAGTCGCCTCAGGCGCCCCCCAACAGCGCCAAATCGCCTCAGCCGTCTCAGTTTTCTACCTCACCTCTCGGGTTGAAAATTCACTTCATCACCAAGACCCGACCAAAATGTTCTGACAACCTGCAACCACGCCCTACATCATCTCGACTCATGTGATGTGAACGCGAGCCATCCCTGGTCATCCTAGCTCAACTTCTCTCGACTCATCTCACCCTGGGTATCTCGCTATAGTTTGCTCGACCTATGCCTACTAAAAATCTTACCGCCTATTTATTTATAAAGAAATAAAAAGTATTATTAAGCTAACACGTGATGAGAAAAAGCGACGCATTCTGACTTGTCACATTCATCGTAATTTGTGCCCTTCAAGTTGTGACGCGATCTCGAGGATATTTTTCTTTACGGGGGCTTTACAACATTAAGTAACTGAGTATGAAATAAATTGATGGCCGGCGAGCTCAGCTATTCGATAAATCTCATAGAAGGAAGAGAAAATCTTAGACCACAAATCCAAACAACTCATACCAAAAAACCACCAATTACCCATCATCTAACACCCATAAGTCAAATAAACCCCCGCTAACCCCGCCCCGTTCAACAAATTAACATACTCATTAAACTCCACCGAGCTACTAACCCCCACCCAGCTCGCAACCTCAAACACAAACGCCAAATTTTGTCCACAAACCTCAGAATTAATCGCCGCGCTCTGTCCCGGCGCAAAGGTCACTGTGTCGAAAAGTCCCTGTCCAAAGGGTGGCGAAGTAGGAGGATAGAATGTTGACCAGCTCCAATTATTGGGGTAAGTGATCGAACTAGGAGACCCATTATAAAGGGTCGTGACGTTCAATGTTGGAGTGCCGGTTGAGGTGATGGGGTAGGAGGCCGGGAATACGACGTTGAGTTGGCAGCCGTAGGCTGTGGAGGGGATGTTTTCGAAGGCGACGACTTGGTAAATGCGGTTTGAGACGACGCCGTTCGTTACGGTTTGCGAGACGTGGAAGTCGCCGGTTGTGGAGAGAGTGTTGGCTTGGACGGTTGAGGGGGACGTTTCAGTGAGTTGTTGGAGGAAGGTTGGGAAGACGGTTGTTCCACAGCGTGGGGCGAGCTCGATAGGTGTTGGGGCGGCGGAAGAGAGGGAGAAGAGAGCTAAGAGGCCAAGGGTTGTTATGGAAGAACGCATGGTCAATGTTTTGCTGCAGGGGGTAATTTTGGCAATTTTGATCTTGGTGATAAGTGAGAATAATCTTTTGCAGTTCAGAACTTGCTGCGCAATGTAGAGAGAAGCCCGATATCGAAGCTGGGGACGAAGACTTTATATCTCAAGAACTGCTCTGGTTGTACAAGGACAAATCAATGTAACTATAATCATCGCATCTAAGCTAACTGCTGAGATGCTGAAGGAATCGCTCGTATCGAGTCTCATGACGTGTCAGAGTAATTCTCTCAGCAATTCACATTCTTGCCATCCACAAACTTCCTCTGGTGGTGGCCGTGGACATGGAAGACCTGGTCAACAAAAATAGAGGGACCAACTAGGAGTGGTAAACGGCCCACACGTTTATCATGACCAATAATTTAAGCCATCTGGAGCCTCATCTGATTGCCATCGTGGCTTAACACGCCAGATGATATTCCTCTCGAACAAGTACAGAGTGTTCAGCCTTATCTAAATTTGGTCTTGATTGACCGTTGATAAACCAAACGCGAGGCGCAGTAACTCAGAGGGCTGAACTGTCAACCACTAACAAACAAGCGGAGACAGTCCCTTTCTGGTTGGCAGATGTTGACATGGTGGGTCAAATTATTGGCACAAACGCTCACTGGCTAACAAGTGACAGTTGTCTTGCAATACGAGTTAAAACGTAATAGAAATGACGAGCATAACGGAAGCTCCCGAACGCGACTTATGTCAGATCAGCAGTCTACTTCCGAGCTTGAGCTTAAGCTTAAGCTTAAATGTACTCATGCGATGGAGGCATGTAGGAGACTCGGACCCGCTTATTCAACAAGAGTGTTGGATCGTGTTCGCTTATCTATATCGAAGAAGAGATAGAGACATGCGCACTACAAACTTGATATCACCGTGTCAACCGATAGAAAACCACTGATATTTTAACATGATATCGACAATTGCTGCAGAAATTAGAAGAGAAACCCAGGCAACGAATGACTAGCGGAAGATCAGTTCAGTTCCACAAATTGTATGCTGCAATGCAATGCATTGTCATGAGTTCTCGGCGCCGAGCAGAGCTGAACTGAAAGATACTGTCTCATCTGTCATCTCTTTGATCATGCCTGAAAAACGTATTTATCGTATCATAAGACATGGTTACACTGCTGTCGCTCAAGAATACACAAAAGAGACATCGGAAGAAAGTTGTAAGAAGGAAGGAAAGATCTCCCGAGTCTGGGGAAGCCCAGGCCAGCCCAACTCCTCGGACCACGCTAGCTGCTTAGCTCCAACCTAAAAATATCCCGCCAAATCACCCCTCCTTCTCTCCTTTCATCCTCGTGCCCATCATTTTTTCCCACAACACAGCCGCTTCCTTCGATTCGAGGCGGGAAAATGGGTTCGACGGCTGATGAGGTGTTGACCGAGGACGGGCACGAAGTCACCGTTCTTGTGACCGGGTTCGGGGTACGTACATGTCTCTCTCGGATCCGATTCCGTTATCACTTCAGCTGGTCGCATGCTCAATTCGGCGATAACCTCAGATTGTCGTCGAACATGATACGAGCTGGTTGTTCTTGTCTGCAGCTTCGTTTTATGCTCAATTCTTCTGCTATATCCTCTGCTAATCTTCTCGCAGCCGTTCCGAACTCAAAACCCAATCAATCCCTCTTGGGAAATCGCGCGTCTCCTTCCACCCTTCCTCCCACCCCTCCCCGCTACCTCCCTCTCCTCCCAACTTTCGCTCCTCACTCCGCCGCCCGTTCGAATCCTCGTACATCCCGAACCAATCCGCGTCTCCTACACCACAGTGCGAAACATCGTCCCGGAACTATGGAAGGACAGAAAGATAGACTATATGATCCATATCGGCATGGCATCTGGGCGCAAATTCTATTCAATAGAGCGAAGAGGCCATCGAGATGGTTATTACATGAAAGATGTGGATAATCAATTCTTGAACGATGAGGCGTTGCATAAGAAGATGGGCAAGGACTGGGTTTGGGAAGGCATGCCGAGTGAGCTATTGTCTACGATCGATGTGGATGATGTGTGGAAACGGTGGCGGGTTAATCTCACTGGAGAAGATAAAGAAGAGAGGGATGTGAGGGTCAGTGAGGATGCTGGGAGATACTTGTGTGATTTTATCTACTTCAGTAGTTTGGCGGAGCTGGAGAAGAAGGGAGAGGACAAGAGGGTTTTGTTCTTGCACGTTCCAGTGGAGGCGGATGAGGTAAGTGTCAAGAAGGGCGTTGAGATCACGACAGAACTTATCAGAGCGGTGGTGGTAAGTGGGATGATGAAAGAGGTCAAGAAGGTTGCTGCTGAGATGCAGGCGGATGAGCTGAGATAAGTGCTCACGAGGAACCAGCTAAGTGTGCTGGATTTGTTGTTGATATTTGTGCTTCTGATTTGATTAGCGGGCAGCATTCTGGCTTTCATACGCAATGATTGTTGAGACGATAGTACGTAACGAATACATACACTGGACAAACCACCAACCCCACGCTTTTCCTACTTGCCTCTCTGCAAAGGAGGTGGGAGATTTGACTCTCAGCAATCTTCAAGATCAAGTTACAAAGTCCGAAGGCGTTTGAGCAGAAGGAATCTGCAGGTGGGTAAGCCAGGAAGAAGATTGTGGTATTGTGTAGCAGGTTCTGGCAGGCGTTCCCGGCTACTGACGCAGAATTTATGAAGATAGCCAAGCAGACACGAAGTTTAGTAGCTTGGCTGCTGCAATTGTGGAAGCTGAGACTGGGAACAAGGGCTTTGAATCCTGTGCTATTCTCTACACTCAAGTGAGGATTGCAAATCCCCGCATCTTTTATCATTTTGGCCATGTTCCAGAGCATCTTCACTGCTCTTGCTGTTGAAAGCGGTAATCGATATGGAAGTCCAGAGCTAACCCGCATTTTTTGGTCTGTGCTTTGCATGACAACGGGAAAATCCTCGAAACTCTGGATCCTGAAGTGGTTGACCTCGAGGGAAGCTGAGATGTAGCCAAGATGGCCCCACTTTAGCGAGGTAGCATCTAGCCGCTTGTCAAGCTTTGCAATTGGTGCCAAGCCTGCGGGACGGGCAGCTCTGGGAAATCCCCAATGGCAGCTGGAGGGTCTGCCGCAGGCTAAGGGGAGTGTAGCTGAACCTTATGCAGATGCTTATCCAAAAGTATGTTCTTACATGACGGCAAATTCCCATGGCTGGAAGGTAGACCTATCTTGATGTGTATCTGCATATCGTGCTCTTACATATTCTGCAGAGATGTTCACATGGATGCCATTCTCTCACACCTAAACAGTTATCAAACTTTGTTATTCCTGTGCCAAGTCCATTTCAGCTCACGAGAGCCTTTGTTGTCAATGGAAATGACATTCTAGAACTCAATTTGGGCTTGAATATAAGTTTTGTGGCACGAAGGATGGGTTGAGAAGCTGTCTTTCTCTGCTATGGCCAAGACATAGCTGCATGATAATCATCAAGCTGAAACCGAAGCTCGAGATACTGAAAGTTCCCAGCCTTCCTTTTGATACATATATCCGCTTTTCTTACCCCACAACGAGGTCCGCATCTTTTCGAACCCACTCTATCTTCCTCTCAACTCTACTACACACTTCCAAAATGGTCATCCCATTCGACACCGGCGACGCACCACTTACTGCCATCTGGGCAATCCACGAAGACGACGCAAAAGCACCCCAAAACGCACCATGGAGGACCATCGTAGCGCATTGGAGCAAGATCGACTATGCAGCAGAAAAGAAGAAGGGGCCTGGCACTCACCCTCAACCTGATTTCATGGGCGATGTCGTTGACCCCAGATCCACTCAGAAGTTCCCAGGCAACCTCCTCCTAAATGCCACCGTCGAAGGGCGTCTTCTCGGTTAGCATCCCTCTTTTCTCTTCTCATGGGAAGATCCATTAACATGTCTACAGAAACAAACTTCCAAGAAAAGCCCTGGAAGCAAGACTCCAAGATGACAGGCGACAAAATCCAATTCATGATCGACAGCGACGCCAAAGAAGGCGACATGCCCAAATACGCCCAAGGCCAGCGCGCCTTCCTCTGCGGTTTCGCATCTCACGCTCCGCCCTCAGGCAAAGGCAGCGAGCTGATCAAGCCTATCTATCGTGACGACTTCTGCACATGGGGCCACATCGAGGAGGGCGGCAAGCGGTGGAAGATCTTGCCGATGTATTTCATTCCTCACGGCGGCGGCATCGAGGCTCTTTGTCAGAATGTGTCGAAGTATAAGTTTAACGCTAGCAAGGGACCACACATTGCTGCGAGGATGGCGCAGAAGGTGCCAGAGTTGGTTAGTAGTGACTTGGTGGTTAGTGAGGAGAATCCTCAAGGGGATGGGGACGCGGCGAAGACGAATGGTGATGTGGATCCCGATAGTGTGGTTGTGGGAGGGGGAGATATCAAGTTTGATACTCCGGAGGAGGAGCCGGCTGATGATGAGGCTGTTGATGCTACTGAGGATGCGTTGTTGAAGGAGCCTTTGAAAGAAGCGAATTTTGGAGAGGAGGCTGAACGTGCTGATGAGGCTGCTGTGGAGCATGGGGATGATTGGTGATTGGTGGTGGGATAATGAGACGCTCTCCTTTTTGGATCTTAGCTCGGTATGGGTTCTTAGGGTAATGATAGGTTTGCTTTTCGCGCTCCTTCATCTTGAGACTGAGTTTCCATTGTTATGCTGTGTAAGGGACCTTGGGCTAAACTGCCCGCAAGCCAAGACTTGTGGCAAAGCACTTGCTCATGATTCGCTCTCCATGATAACATCCCACGCCAACTGATTACTAAACCAAGCCCCAGCTCGCAAGGCACTTCTAGCGTAGACCCTTTGGACAAATCAAACCCAATCTCATCTCCAGCAATTCCCGTAAGGCTGAAACTCCCTCAAATACATGCAAGCCAAGCACGGGAAGCTACACTTATCTTATCATATCATAAAATAACCCTATCATCAAGCTCCACGGCGGGATCTGGAACCTAGTAGACTGCGGGGTAAATCCTCACTCCCGCCTCTCTTGGCAAATCTTAACATGCTTGGCGGGAACATGCGTCAAATTAGCTGGAAGCAGCCAGCCACAAGGGAAAAAGTATATCTTCGAAGGATTTTGGGGATTCTGGACCAAGCCATGATTGTCATGTATGGTGGACTTTTGTGGAATACAGTCTGTCCATGCATCGAGGGTCCTGCGCTAGTGATTGCCAATGCTATTCGCATGCTGATGGAAAGGCAGGGCGCGGCTGTACAGGTCAATCCATTGAGGTGGGATATGTCATGATGGTTGAGGACCTGTGGCAGTGTCGCTGGTACTTGTTCTCATCGATTCACAAATTTGTGGCATATAGCTTATCATGGACTGGAGATGATGAGAAACAGAACACTGAAGAAAAGTAGTATTGCGAAATTGTTGTATCATATTTAAATGGCTATTTTTGGACGTGTTTTGCCCTCATCTGAGCGAATTGTATTGAGCGAAACTCCCTCCAAGCTCGAAACCTACTTTTGTCAGCACATTTCACGATTGGTTGGAGACTGGAAACCTACTTCAAAGCAATGCTCAATAGAAACGCCACAACTGTCTGTCTCGTTACAGATATTGCCAGAAATACTAGACTGTTGCAAAATTCGTGCCTATAGCTTTGCAACATCCACTAGCGTTTAACCTCGTCCACCAGCGCCATGGTTTGCCTTCGTGGGGCACTCTTGCTCTGGTGGGTGGACGTGAAAGTAGCAAATTGGGAATCCAGTAGTATCGTCAGCCTTTTCGACTCGCTTCCGAGGATCCCTGCCGAAGAGACGTAAAGCAGGCTGTTTTTCGTGTTCACAATGCTGAAATTCAAGCCAATCTTCAAGCAGATCAGGGAAAACGCGCATGCTCCGAACGACTCTTGCGGTATCTTTAAGTCCAACCCCGAGATGCGTATGAGCCAGCATTGCGGTGTAGAACCGATACAATTTGTTTTGGGGGCCCTTCGAGGTGCAGCTAAAAGCCTTCCCCATGTCTGATATACTTGAGAGAAAAGCACCCTTCGCCTTCAGCTTATCTTGCAACCCATCCATTGCAATGTCTCTTAGTCCATCAACTTTGTATTTATCCGCGAATCGATACAGCCGAAGATAGTCTTCGTGTGTTCGTTCTCTGTCAATGATTCGCTTCCGATCGCAATAAAGCAGGTTCACAAAATCTTGGACATCGATCAAAGCATCTTGCTCAAAGTAGAGCTCGTCCTGGAATTCTGGATCTTCGAGCCATTCCTTCATGATACTTGAGGCCGCGATGATGAGATTCCTATGTGCCGAATATACCTTGCGTTGCTGCGACTTGTTGTTTGCGAGTATCTTCACAGTCTGCACTCCCATTGTCCTATCGATATTAGCAACTTAGCTTGATGATAGGACAAGAGTACGCCTTACTCGATGAAAGGGATGTCTTTAGTCATGGCAGGAGGCTCTCCTCTTGAGGCTTGCTTGGGGAAAGGTCTTGGAGGCGGCGAGCTTGAAGAAACAAATAATTCTGGGAACTCCGGAGCAAGAGGCGAGCTCGAAAGGGGAATAATTGGGTGCATAGAGACAGTAGAAGAGCTTGGGGGAATAGAACTGGGAGCTTGCACCGGATGCAACGGGTCAGATCTTGCTCTCACGACTGGTTCCACTCCCGAGACTTGCGGATCTTGTCGTTGGCGTTTGAGAGATTCTCTCATGGTCCTGACGTTTGATGAAGAACGAGTGATGTTGTGGGATGGATATGTCGCTTCAGACAGAAGGTGAAGCTGGCACGTGCCTGCTATCGCAGCTTCCAAACAAGGAAGGAACAGCTTTCTTGCTACCGGAAATCAGACTTGAGCATCAAGAACTGCGGTAATAGAAAAGATCAAAGTTCTTCATGAGCGCGCAAGTCCACTAGCTTTTGAGCTGAGTTTGCTTCGTCGACACTCACTTCAAGGTCAACCAAGTACCTGCAGAGCTAAGAGCATGATGAGTGGGTTAATCTAAAATGCTGTCGAGAGGCTAGAGCTTGGTGTCTCATCCGTCTACATCTAATCTAACATGATGGTGCCATCTCAGATAGGTATTCTTTCTTCGATAATATCTGGATGTCTCGCTGGGCTTGCGGAGTTCAAGCTTGAGATGGCTACCACAACAAATGCAATTGCAAAGCAGCAAGTCAATGATTGCCCGTGTGCCTAAGCCTCGCGACCAAGGAATCGAGTGATGCTGCAAAAGACTCTCGAATTGTCGAGCACCGGTGCACTGTCAACGAACTGTCAAGTTCAGCATCGGGCTTGGAGAGACGAATCCCTCGGCCAAGTAAGGTAAAGCTTTGTCCCCGTTCAAGTCTTACAATCACCTCAACAACGAGTGCAGTAGTTGCAGACTCGTATTGAGCACCCAATCAGGCAATTGGACTTATTCAATGCATATATTTTGGAAGGTTCCCACATAGCATTGATCATCAGCCGCCTAGGATGGACATCTTATCTCTTACATTTCTTACAAATCAACTTTCCAATAGTATTTTCGAGAGCGGTGCCCACAATAGGTATATAACTGAAGTCAAAGAGAGTTCATGGATCCGGAGTTGAGCCCGACAGATCCCCCAAAGAAGTCATTGGTGTCTGACACTAAGAATCAGTCTTGAGCTCATGCCGTAAGACCATCTTACAAACTTGAGATTTCCATCCCTCTGAGAGTGCTTTTATATACAGAGATAGTTGATTTACAATCTGTTGTCCTTTTGTTGAAGGCTGACAACAGGCGCCGACTCGCCGACTACTCACCGTTGACCAGGAAGAGAGAATTGATTCGTTTGTCGGTATCTCTCATGCCGAGCATTAAGCTTGCAAACATCGAGAGAAGAATTTTTTTGGCTGTATAAGTAAGCTTTGCGACGTGCATGAAGAACCGTTAACCATGTTTCACCCGAAGTCTCCATTCGAACCCGCCTCGGCAACCTGTGGGCGGTCTCAAGCGGCAGAATACTTTTGTTGATTTCTAAGCCTCTCTTGCATCATATTCCTCTGGTATATTTAATCTCCTGAATTTCCCGTTGTAATTTTCTGCATCGAGCAAGCTTCCATTCCTTTCAATAAATTGACATTCACAATGGGCTCAACAGCGACACCCCAGAACACAGCAGCGCCGAACGCTCCTTACTTCACCCCAATTCAGTCCCCCCCTGCTGGAACAGCTCTCTCTGACAACCCACCTACCCTCTTTTCGCCTCTCAAAATCAGAGATGTTACTTTCCAGAATAGAATCTGTACGTAGACTTCTCATGCAATCCTCAGCCCTCTCTGCCAAATCTCAATGGCTCTTCAATCCTCTGCTTTCTACCCCGCCATCCCACTTTCACCCCTCACTGACTGACATCCATAGGGGTCGCACCAATGTGCATGTACTCAGCAGACAAAGGCCACCTCACCGACTTCCACCTCGTCCACCTAGGCGCATTCGCATATCGCGGCGCCTCCCTCACAATCGTTGAAGCCACCTCCGTCCTCGCCAACGGAGGAATCACCCCTCAAGATGCTGGTCTCTGGACCGACTCCCAAATCGCGCCCCTAAAACGCGTTGCCGATTTTATCCACTCGCAGAACCAGAAAATCGGCATCCAGCTCGCACACGCAGGCAGAAAAGCATCGTGCATTGCCCCGTGGCTGGTGGAGAGAGGAAAGGCTCTCACGGCCACGGAAGATGTTGGTGGATGGCCAGATGATGTTATGGGTGCCAGTGCTATAAAATGGGGCGAGGGCTATCCTTCTCCTCGTGAGATGACAAGTCAGGATATCAAAGATGTTATCAATGGATTCCGAGACTCTGCTAGGAGGTCTGTGGAAGCTGGAATCGATGTTATTGAGATTCATGCAGCCCATGGGTATCTCTTGTCCTCGTTCCTTTCTCCGACCTCAAATAAAAGGACCGATGCTTACGGTGGAAATTTCGAGAATCGAATCCGTATTTTGATTGAGATTATTACGAGTATCAGAGCCGTGATTCCCGAGGGAATGCCACTTTTGGTTAGAGTCAGTGCCACTGAGTGGCTGGAAGAATCCGATGAGCCGGAAAGCTGGAAAGTCGAAGATACGATCAGACTTGCCAAGTTGCTTCCGGCTCTAGGAGTCGATTTACTGGACGTCAGCTCTGGTGGTAATAACGAGAAGCAGCGCATCACCCCCTTCAATGATTTCCAAGTTGGCATAGCAGGCCAAGTCCGAGAAGCTTTATTCGCAGCTGGGGTCAAAGACCTGCTCATTGGAGCAGTGGGGATGATCACCGAAGCAGAAGCTGCGAAAGCAATTGTGGAGAATGGCAAAGCTCTCCGCGAAGCTGGTAGTGGAATGGGAGATAGTGAGGGGACAGAAGGGGCAGGGAAGGTTATTGAGATTGAGGATGAGCAGGGAGCCAAGGCGAAAGCTGATATTGTTCTTGTTGCGAGACAGTTTTTGAGGGAGCCGGAGTGGGCTTTGAGAGTTGCTTATAGACTTGGAGTTAAGGTTCAATGGCCACAGCAGTATCATAGAGGGCAATTTGTTAAGGGGAGTAGGATCTAGATTTGGATTACGCTTTGTTAAAGTTCGCATATAGAGAATGTATTAGACCGATTTTGATGACATCGTTCCATTGCTATCTTTGTCCTTGCTACTCTCATGGATGAACTGTCGAAAACCTGCAACTCTCCGTCAACGCCACTCCATCCACCCCTCGACCAAACTCCAACCACCAATTCCCACCCATTTCAAATCAACGCCCACCCACTCTACAACCAATGCCACTCAAAGCTCACCCTTCCCCTTCCCATCTTTCTCTCCTCCACCACCACCGGTAACCATCTTCCAAAGTCCGCCTGCGACACTGCTAAGGCCGGCTAGTCAGGCGCTCGCAGCCTTAGGAGGATACTGCTTGCCATCCTTCTCGACTTTGGGCTCACACTTTTGCTCTTTTCAGTACTGGGCAGAGGCAAAGAAAGGGGGAGGATGACGTACAGTGCATCTTTCTTCGGCGGGGATGCTGTCCATGACGCTTGGGACGTGGTTGCCGCAGCCGTACCAGCTGGTCTTCTCTGTGGGGTGTTAGTTTGTGGTTTGCAGGGAGGGGGGTATGGTATGGAGAGAAAGAATGAATGAATGAATGAATGTGAAAGGAGATGAGAGTACATACGGCAATTAGCGCAAGTAGCTTTCATACACATCTTGACTGGTTTTTCAAACCGAAATTGGTTGTGATAGCGGGGTAAATTTTCTTTCTTTGCTGATAAGCTTTTCTCTTGTTGTATTTGTCTTGGTTGAGAAAGTTGAGAGTGCGAGATCGAGGAAAGAGGTTGTTATATGTAGAGTGAACAGTAATCGCCGATTCGGGAAAGGGTGATTGATTAGAAGACCCGGTAGGGGGTTGAGTGAAGCTGCCGATTTCTCGATGGTGGCGGCGGGGATCTTCGCGGGACCAGATAAGCGAGGAGTCCGAACGTCGCCGATTAGAAAGGGGGAACATGTGACTTGGGGTGATTGTTGTTGAAATGAGTTTGTCGTAGTAAGATATAAAGGTTCTTAGTAAGATAATTACTACTGGAGTGATGCATATTTTCTGCAGGTTTATGCGAGTTGTTAGACATCGAAGAATGAGAGTATACACACGTGACCCTTTGAAATCTCATACCGTCACCTAAGTCTGTCGCGACTACCATTGTCTTGAAATTGCCTTATCTCCTAGAAAACAATGGAATCCAAAAGTCGTGTCATGCCGTATTTTTCGGCAACTCTGATATCATGTAAACGTGCAAAGGACAAGCTATGCTAGCAAGCTTCTATCTCGCACCTGTCCACCACTTCAGAAAGTCGCGGAGTCAAAATTTCGACCTGACGGACGACATTTGTCACTAACATGACATAAGAGCGGTAATCCATAGAAGTCTCGGCGTACACAGCCATGAGTAGCAGCGCCTGAATGGATTCCTTGCTTGCAGGTTGCAGAATAAGGTCTGGCAATACCATCACTGCATTGCGGTAGTATGCCTTGGTAATGCAATTCTGTTGACTTTCTGAACTAGAGACGGTGTTGAACCTCACGCCCATGGCAATCCAAGTACTGATGATTGCCCATCTAGCAGGATTGCCTGCTGGATCAGTGCTGCTGATTGCGTGCTGTTCAGCGTTAAGCCTATTGAGCGTAGGAAGATCGAACATTGGGTAGACGGCGTTAATCTCGTCGTAAGTGATCTTGAATAGGTTTTTGAATCCGATCTTGGGATATTAGAGGAACAAAGCCTTCGGGTGACTTCTGTCCTTCGACAGTCCTCATCAGGTCTTCGAGAGGAAGCATGTTGCTCTCGGGGGGTAGCAAGTGTGGAAGTCCTTCTTGCAGAAGTGCTTCCAGCTCTATGAACTCTTCGGATAAGTCGAGACGGGCCTGAGTTCAGGGACATCTCTCGCTGCATTGGCCGAGCCATCACTGTTGCCTGGAGAATTTTCATGGTAATCCATTAAGACTATTCCGGGAGGTTCTTTTCTATGTGCTGAGCTGCCTTGCTGTTCCAAATCCTCAGCGCTCTTTTTTCTAGTAAGTAGGGTTAGCTCCAATGGGGAAAAACAAAAGCCCAAAAGGGAAGAAAAGGATGACTCGCTTTTTTCCAGGACCTCGCATCTTTCTGATGGGTAGATACTCGCACTGTAAGCCACGGGCAGCGCAGCTAGAGCAGGATGGCGATTTTCTATCGCATCCTATCTTGCGGTCTCTACAAGATATGCAAGCCTGTAAAAGCATTAGTCGAAGCTTGAATACAATGAAAGAGAATGAGGCAAGCGTGGGGAAAAGGCTTGTTTTGGAGAGTGCATGGATTTTGAGAAACGGCCTCCGCTGGCTGAGAGTGGACATAGAAGGTTATTAAAAGGGCAACGGCATGTCTACTTTACGAAGAGTATTGATATGCTAATTTTGGAAAAAATATTGATTGGGGCACAAATTGCAAAAGTTGCATGTGATGCTGTTGAATCTTTGGGATCATGAGAGATTGGATGTACCACGAATGCTTTTCCTTTTCTCCGCCTTCCACCAACGCCTCTAGGTGCTCCAGCATTCAATTGTGGATGCGCTCGCTCCATCTGTGACCAATCTCGAGCATTTGTCTGCATGATGGATCTGTCGAACAGCGTCTTTTGCTACCCGACAGCAGAACGGACTCAATTTTTGACCGCTCGGAATCAAATTTTGCTACATTTGTCAACGCCGACATCAAATTGAGAGATGCTGCATCTGTACGGATTAGGTAAGGCGCAAAGCTTGCCGATAGGCCTCTCAACTTTGACGGAGAAAAGTAGCTACCACATCGCCGGAACCTAATTTTGATCCCATTCGAATCTTAAGTGGAATCTTCATTTTGGTGGCGAGAGTGATGGTATTTCCGAAGGTCTTCTGCGGAGATCATCTAGAGCATATAAAAATGTCCAGACGCCGTTTGACTACCTTCTGCAGTTCCATCTTTCTAACATCACCCCTTCTCATACGCTTGCAATATTTTGATCAAACTCTCTTGCAATAGCTACAATGGTTGTCGTTGCGGTTGCTGGTGGTACTGATGCAGTGGGTCGCAGTATTGTCGAATCGTTGATGGCTCAGGGGAAGCATGAAGTCCTAATTCTAAGCCGCACAGTTTGGAACTCCTTCTCCAGTAACTCGTTATTAAGCTGACATATCCTAAGGCCAACCCTATGAAAGAAAAAGAAACCGGTGCTCGTCTTGTTGCTGTGGATTATGAGGAAGTCGCAGCACTCACGAAGATCCTCGAGGATAACAATGCCCATACTATTATCTCTACTTTGGCTATGATGCCTAACGACGCTGGGTCTTTGGAGCAGAATCTGATCCAGGCGGCTAATACTTCTAAAATGACCAAGAGATTCGTTCCTAGCGAATTTGGGTTCCCTCAGCGGGCCGAGTAAGTGCCGCGTTCAATGATGTTACTCTCAGCAAACGTTAATCCGTCGTGCCAAAGAGATGGGCACATTTTCCCTACCATCCCCATGAAGCAAGCTTCAAGAAGTGCTCTCGAAGCGAGTAGCCTGGAGTGGACTGTAGTGTACAATGGCTACTTCATGGACTACTTTGGGATGCCCCAGCTTGCGTCTCGCTTAGCACCTTATGTCGTACTTCTAGACATTCCAGGAAATGCAGCTGCTATTCCAGGTGATGGTAACAAGCTCGTCACCTTCACACATACCTCAGACGTGGGCAGATTCGTTACTGCTCTCATAGATTTTGAAGAGTGGGACCGTGTTAGTTTCATCATTGGCGACAAGATGACACTGAACGAAGCCGTCAAACTAGCTGAAGTGGCGAAGGGTGAAGTTTAGATTCGGCGATCTCATTGTTTCATTACTAATAATCTCATCTTAGGTTCTAAATTTAAGGTCGATTATGATGATCTTGACAAGTTGAAAAGGGGAGAGGTAACCGAATTGCCTTCTCAAATATCAAGCTACTCTGTTATTCCCAGAGAATTTGTTCAAGCTATCAACAGTGCGTTTGGAATCTGGGTTGACCGCGGAGACTTTGATTTCGACGAGAAGACGAGCCTGAACACAAATTTTCCAGATATCAAGCCGATGAAGCTTAAAGAGCTGCTTGAAAAGGCGTGGAAAAACTAGAGTTTGAGGTAATTGATCAATGGATTACGGATGAGAAGAGGATTTCGCTCGAAGCGCTACTTTCTTTTCTGGCCTATTACGACGTTCCTGCAAGCACAATGTCAGCTACAAAACTCCCCAGCTTCACCATCACAGTGACTACTTAGAAAAATATGCTAGAGCTTACAAGTTAAGTCAAGAAATGTGGGACTTACTAGTTGTAATGAACGTGAATCTTCTTGTCTGCTAACTCAGCACGGACTTTTGTGAGAAAGGCCAAGACCTCTTCTTGCGTCCAACCAAGCACATTCGTGAACAGTCTGAGAGATACTGCCTCCAACCCTTCCGACTTAACAATGTGGTGCCAGGTCCCAATCTCTTTCTACATATTCCATTACCAACATCAGCACTTCTCAACAAGGTCTGAAGAAAATGGCTAGGCCAGAGTCATACACACATAATGTTTTTCCTTAGGCCAAGTTCCCAGTGGCACAATCAGTACTTGCTCCTGTATATTTTCAAAACCAGCCTCTTCCACCCACTTCTTAAGATGAGCTCCTGGTTTCCAATCTCGGCCTATTCTATCCGTTGCCTCATACAGAAGTCGATGATATTTGAGGATGTAACTGTCAGCTGGGAGAGAGTTATCATTTGAATGGAGAGTAAAGTCCCAGTCTTTGAATTCACACCAGCCATCAGGTTCCAAGTGCCTGTGGACACATCCAATTTAGTGATGAAATCGATTATGTCAGGGATCAAATGTAAGTGGAAGAAAAGAGAACACTGACGTGAAGACCTGTTTTACGAGTTTTGGCCAGTTCATGATGGATGCTGACTTGAGTGGGAGTTAGTCTAACATCACCTTATAATAACGAGAGCTAAGGATGCAGCCGGAAGTACTCGACAGATCTGTTCCGTTACGTGCTCCTCAGCCACAGATTGGGAGTCTCATATCTGAAAGAATGGATTGACGAACATAAAGCGAACATGTATCAAGTCGAAGGGGGTGTTGTATGTCCATTCGCCCTCAACGTCATCAACCTCGAATTGCACATTCGGTGGGGTCCTCGACTCTTTGATTAGCTAGTTTCTCAATCGATATGTAAATAGTCCTCGACACTTACATGGTAGGCTGTGTCGGACTGAGATCAACACCAATTACCTGCTAGGCATAAGTACTGTGCGCTTCCAAAGTTGTTTTACTTACCTCAGCCGAAGAATATTCATCTCCTGTCCACCAATCAGCTGAAGAACGGAACTCCTCCGAAGAGAAAATACGGACCCATATCAATGGCCCAGATACCGGTGCCACACCCAACATCCAAGATGCGTTGTGGATTAGACCCAATAGGCGCAACATGTAATTTGCCTTTCAGCAACAGAGTTGCGAGGTGGTGATGCATGTCAAGACGATCATTCTCAGCTTCGTCGTTCGGAGCATAGTAACCTAGAATCGAGTTCAGTAAATGCAAATCGATCACAGGAACGGAGACTGACTCCCAGCTCGGTACGCGTGGTAGCGACTGCCATTCTCGTACGTGTGGTTCTTAATGCTAGAAGAGAGTGAGGTAGTGTAAGACTCTCTTAGCTAATGTCAGTGGGAATATGAGGAATTTACCGAAGTGAAAAGGAGATTTTGGGCCTGATCTTACGAATCGTCGCCATATGTCGAGTCAGCATCATCTGCGTCGACTTCAACCAATGGCCCTGAAATAGGGGTGGTCTCGACAAGCGCTTCGGAAGGTTCAGCCATTTTGTATAATTGATCTCGATCTTGAGGTGAGCCTGAATTTTAACGACGAAGAAGCGCAAAATGACTCCACATTTTTTGCCCAGAAGTTTTTCGTAAGCAGCGGGGTTGGCCTCATGTTCAGGGGTGGTCGTCACAAGTCAGGCCATGCAAAGGAAGACGTCCAGGATCCACTGTAGCACACGAGCAAGCGGATGTCATTGGAGACGTCTGCAGATTCAAGTCGCACTCGCTTCGCACCAGTTTCCGAAGCACAAGATCGGTGTGGGTCTAAAGCTATTGCGAACCATCACAGTAAAAGAGAATTAAGTAGCTAAAGTTGATAGCTAGTATCCTCTTTTTTATTCCGAACTCCATCGCTTTTACAGCTGTGCTACCCAACTTAGTTCCACTTCCGGGTGGATCAGAGTCTCGTGGTCACCCCCTATTTTGGTACCGAACCTCTAGATAAATACTAGCCTAGTACTCCGTTCGGGATGTCACTAGTCAGTACAAAACCCTCTTTATTCGAGATATTTCACTACCTGACAATGACAAATCTTCCCCAATGGCTGAAAGCTTTTGAAGGCGCATGCTCCACTGAGTTTACGCAACTTCTAAAGTTTTGCTTGAATAGAACATCTGATTGCTTGGAGAGAAGCCAAATAACTTGAAGACACTCTCAAACATCAAAGACGAGACTTGGCATTTCTCAAAACGAAGAACCACGATTTGCTGAGCAATTCTTTGAGCTCCGATTTGTCAAAGACTTCAGTCCAGAGAGAGACTTTGGAACGTCTGCGGGCCGTAGCAAAACTACCTAGATGAACGCGAGCGCTGGAAACCCGCTCGAAGGTCTTTGCCGACAAAAGGAAAGTCGTAGTCTTTGATACAAGTGGAGGTGCCACTCTTTAGGATCGAGCATTTATCGGTAGAGGGGGCGAGAATCTTTTGAATGGAGGTCTCGTAGGTTTGGAGGCCAAGAACGGAGAGATCAGAGTTAGGGCAAGTATTAAGAATACCGGTCGAAGCGTTAGCGAGGAACGGGGGAGGAAGCCAGAGAGCTGACTTGGAGAGTGGGCAAGAGAACTTGCAGCATTCGCAAGTATAGAGAGAGGTCATGCTGCTGTCACTTGATATGCAAGAGGATGATGTATTCGTTGATGAGGATGTCGCGCTTGAAGTCAAATTTCAGTAGATCTAGCCGAGATTACAGGCTATTCATATCGTTAACAGGATTTCGCAAGTCGAGAAGATGAAAAGGACGGACAGCAAGCTCAAACTCCATAGGGTGCGGGTAGAATGGGATATCCGCGTTCAGGACGACGCCGCCAGGGATTGCGCCGTCAAAGTAAGACATGGCGGCTAATTGGTGCTCGCACGAGTAGACCTACATTCATCAGTCAGTTCAAGTCAAGCTCATAACCCAGAATATAAGACTTGTAGTGCAACGAACTTAATTCCAACAACTTTGAAGCCAACACCCCACATTCGAACCAAGCCATTGTCCCGTACGCGCATCAACACAGTTATGGACCTTTTTTCCACAACCATTTAGACATGATGTTCCTTCCGAGGCTTGAGTATCGTAGTAAGAAAGGAAACCCTTTGTATCCACACAGCCATCTCCATTCGGGTTCCAATTAGTCGTGAGATTTGTAGATGCACCTAACGCTGTAGAAGGGACAATCAAGGCAAGAATAAAACCTCATGTGGCTGAAACACGCATATTGTTACTCCAACTTGAGCTTTGACAACGAGCGTGAGAGAGGATGCCAAACTTCTATTTGATCACACTTATTGAAGTGAATATTTCACAATAATAAGAAGTCGATAATAGTAAAGAGTTAACAATAATAGAAAGTCGGCAACCAATAAAGAGTTGATAGCGACAAACAAACTCACAATCACCCGCAGTCTTTTAGAAAATTGGCTTCTCAAATGAGGGGGTAAAAGGCATAGAACATGTAGGAAAAGAGAAAGGCCCGTCCCTGTGACAAATGTTGCACTTTGCTTTTCGCAGAACTTTCCAGAGGAGCTCTTTTGGAGTTTATATAGGCAAGCAATAGACGGCCGCAAATTTGCCGTCAAGTATCGATAATTCACTGCTTCAGACGGGAACCAAGCTCAATTAAGGGACGGAATGTCCTTAGCAGGGTCCTATGATCCGTGGCGCCGCGATCCGTGCTCTTCGAACACTTTTTTCAATCACTACTGTTCCCTCAAATATATATACACCGCTTGCCTTGCCGTCTTGTTCTTCTCCAGACGGAAAACAAGTATCATCACCTCTACCTAAATGTGCTGCGGATTCCAACGCCTTCCCCCACAAAGATTGCGTGAGTTTGGATTCTCGTCCGTCAATATCGCATTAAAAGGACAGATGGCAATCATGACTATCAATTGCAATCAATATTTCACGAACAAGTAACAACAAGTAACAACAACTGGCAACAACTGGCAACAGTCAAAGTAGAGATTGAAATAGCGAAGGTTGGAATTCCTATACGACTGAAGTTCTTCCTTCACTCGGAGCTTTGAAGTAGCATCTATTAGGAAATAGTCAGCTAGACATATGCAGCGTACAATGACTGTCCTATTGTGAGATGGTTTGCCTGCAATCTTGCCAAAATCCTTTGCGATCTGCCACACCACACTTGCTCCTCTAATATAATTCTTACTCCCGCTCGTTGGGTGACTTTAAGCACGTGACCAGAGAGAGCCTTGGAGCATTATCATTTTTCAATTTTCTCACCATCTGTCTCCATTATTCCGGGTCGCCACCGAGAGTCATCACAGGTGTCTCGATGGAACGATAAACTTTCGGTTGACGTCCACCAGCTACGCCAACCATCACTGATTGGTCTCGCGTTGCAGCTCCCCACGATTCTGACTCGCCCCTCGACTTCCTCTTCCCCAACTTCACAAGGGCCATTCGCTGCCGCTGGTACATCTCTCTCTGGATCGGATCGTGTGCCCATTCAGGCTCTGTCAAATCACAACAAATACCAACACGAATACACGTGCTGCATTTTCGGGTGCCGCTTACTTCGTGGAATGTGTATACGCCGTCGCATTTCTTTTTACATTCCTTGTAAGTATAGCAGCCTGAGAAGAGTTGATAAGTTCTTGTTACGTGCTGTGGCCTTGATTGCTCACTCACCATCGCGGCGTCTGGCATCTGTTCTGGAACCATTCTGTTGCAAGGCGCTAGACGAGGGCTGCGAGTTTTGATGCGCCGCCCCCTGCGAACTTGCAGATTGTCTGAGAGTCTCACTCGGTGTAGGGCTTGATGCCTCAAATGCTTGAACCACTAGGCTGCTAGTCGTAGGTGGTCGATTTGTTTTTTGAGCAGTTGCTTAGTATTGATCTTGGCCAGACAGCTCTTCTCCGGAAGGTTCTTCGTCATTGTGCATGTTCTGGTCCTCACTTGCGCCGTACACGAAATCGATGTCTCTGTCCAAAGCCTTAGACCTCCATTCCCCAGTGATCGTTCTGTCGTCTTGCCCAAGTGTTTGTTCTTTGGCAAGTTGGAACAATCGAGCGCCGACTTGGTTTGGAAAGAGCGCTTGAACATACACTTTTAACTGCATCTCGGTAATTTCCCAGATAAGATTATAGTGTAACTCTCTGAACTTTTTCCGACGATGGAGCTTGACCTGTTTTTCAGGATGCCAGATCGTCTGAAGGTCATCTCTACCATAAGCGCCAACGATATTGCCCTGCACGTCGAGTTTCTGAGACATAACGAGGTCCCAGGCGAATGGGATCTGTTGGACATGCACTGTCAAGATATTAGTCACTCTTCTGGCAGTCTCGCGTTGGAGAACAGCCTACTTCTCTGGCCAGCGATAAACAGTTCATTTTGTTGGTGGGCTTCAGTCCACAATGTGTACGACTTCCCATCTAGCTGAGGCAGCGGAACATCTTCGTCGGAGACTATAATGATATCCTCAAAACCTAATTCGTCCTCACTAAATGGCCAAGTGTGATACCGGATACCATCTTCGCCGATGTCGTGAGCTCGACCATCCTGGACAATGGTTTCCTAAAGTTTCATCGCCTTTAGCTTTGTTTTCAGAGTCAATCGACCTACCACTTACCTTCGGAAGAGTCCACTCAATAACCTTCAGTCTAAAGCCATCATTTGGGCCATCTTTGGCATTTCTGGAATATTCAAAGGGCAATGCGCCGTGGGCTTGCGGATTCGGGAAGATCTTTGCAACCTCGTCGCAATACCATAGTGTAACCAGTGTTCCATAGCTTTTAAGCGTTTTGAACCTTCGAACGAATGTCTCGTCTAGCGTCAATCGTTCCGAAATTGCACCCTTGACCACATCGAGCTTTCCAGATTGACTGTGCCGAATTCTAACCTTGCTGCTGATAGGGCTATTGGCCATTCGCTTTTGAAGATACGCGGAAGTACCACCGAACTGCCCCAAGAAAACAATCGTCTGTATCAAACTTTAGCAGATGGGCAAATCCAATAGTGGATCAGTCGCGAACCTTAATGGAAGGAAACTTCTTCAAAGCGCCTCGTCAATTGCTCGCTCAAGGAGATCAATCACCGGGTCGAAACAACCATCCAGATGCTTCCTAGATCATTATATCAGCAAGCGCATTAGTTAATAATCGTCATTCAGTCTGACCTGTGGAATTTCATGCAGTCATTTTCGAATCCTTTACGGGGATTCGCTTTCAGCCTATTGAGAGGGCAATTCCAAGTCCTAGAACGAGGTCCCAGTGCGGCACCGCATTTCTTTTTCTCCTCTCCGAATTTTCGGCAAATTTGCTTAACAGCTCGCTCTATATCACCAGGGTAGTCTTTCTTGGTGATTCGTGGCCGGAGCATTCGTTCGAATTCGGCCTGCACAGCTTCCCCACACACTTCTCGTGCTATGGTTGGGTCAGCAGGTATGATGCTATGAGATGGGATCATGGATCGTGTTCCTACACTGCGTCTTGTCTAACTGCTCAACTCCCAGTGGAGTTTTGCTTACCAGTCTCAACGGTGTCAGGCACCCAGTGCCGCCACCAATATCTAAGGCAAAGAAACAATCTCCTTCCTATAGCTTATCAAAAAGTCATCGATATGTAGCCATGGTTCATGGCAGCACCATTCACTCACGTTGAGTTCATCGAGATTTGTTGACTGTGCTTCGAAGTCGATCGAAGATGCTTCGGCGACGGTCTCACGTAACCATTCCTTGACACCACAAAGGGTCTCGGACACCGTATAGACATTCTCAACTCCAAACGAGATGTTCTTCAGATCGTAGTCTGCAATTCCCTTCTGCAAAGCCCTGGCTCCGATTCTTGCGACCGTACTATGTACTCGATCAGACCACCCGGCAGGGAAAGCAAGGACAAGCTCGATTTTGTGATTTTGCAAGCTGATTGAGTACTTTCGTTTGGCATTGTCTAGAACGTGTGCGAGTACTCGACTTAAGAAATCCTCGAAGACATCATTTAGGTGCTTTTCCAATGTCATAATCAGATTCATTCGCATGGCTCCATACCTCTCTGAAGCGGCGGAAGCAACTTGTATCTCGTTGGGATTCGGAAGTAATAGCTTGATTGCCTCAACAACGAATACGTCGCTGTGTGGAATTTCGTGAAAAGGATCGTCAAGGTACTGTTGTGCTTCGAAGCCCCATTACAGCAGTTCGCAGGTTTCTCTGCTGTAAATTAAGTCTGTAGGTAAGCAATTGTTCCCTGTTGCACCGATAATGCAGCTTGGCTAGTCTATGACATCACAAACACTTCCAAGTATTTCTCGTCGTGGCCGTCCTTCATTGTCAAAGGAATCACGAACGCGAGCGTGGCTTGAGGTCGTCGCGCTGGTACCTAGATCAACGGCCACAATCAGAGTCTGTTGGGTCATACTGATATATCGGACGATATGTTTTGGCAAGATTGACGGAATTTTTTGCAGTGATGTTCGATTGATAGCAAAGAGAGTAGTTGAATGAAAATATCTGCAGAGATTGAAAAGGACGGAGGGCGGGCATCACCATAATACCCGCGCGGGATCATAGCCGTGGGCGAATCGTCCTTTGCGAACTATCTGCCAGGCAAAACGAGGCAACTTCTGCCTCAGCTCTCTTTGACTCTGAGTTATGGGTCAGCGAGTCTCCATGGAAGGAAAAGCAAATAATTGTTGTTACACAGAAACAGACCCCGGTCGAGCTAACCCCAATATGCTAGGGGCGCGCTATCCGCGCAATTATTATTTTTTCCTGCCCGTTCTCGAGTGTCTAACCCATCTTCCTTCAATTATGACCACAGAGATACTCGAGATCGGTCCCACTAAGCCCATGGCGTCTAAAGAGAATCCAAACAAACGTGGTCGGGGCCAGGCTTGTAATAGTTGTCGCAAAAACAGAGTGAGGTGCGTTCCCTCTGAGGCCTCTGAGGCCAAGGCTGGGGCTTGTGGTACATGCCTTGATGCTGGGTTAAAGTGTTCCTCGTCCGCCTCTGGATCTGGGAAAGCAAAACGTGCAATCGAAGCAATTGGGCATACACTGAATAGGTAAAGCGTTCATTAAAGCCATTCGTTTTCAATATGGCTTGGTTGACAGTCATCAGAGAATCAATTGAATCCAATCGAACAATTTCATCTACAACTGTGTCTCTCCATCTTCAAGATTCGTCCATGGACCCTCTACCAAAGAAGACGCGAAAGTCCAAGACAACTCAACCCCCCCAAAAACAGGACAAGTCTCCCAATGCCTGCGGCATATGTTTGCAGGATCATGTATCTTCGGGAGAGACAAAGGGTGATAAGTTGATGCTCAGATGCGACATCAAAAGCTGTTCAAAATGGTACCATTCGTCATGTGTTCAGTTCAAGAATCGAGGAAATCAGATCTTTCACTCCTTCGAAACAGGGGGCAAGAAGTCTACGTTCTTCTGTTCGGAATGCTACAATCCCAAGCGCAAAGATCTTCTTAATGCTGTTGCACAGGCAGAGTCAGACTTCAAAGAGACGATGGAAAGAATCAAGCAGACGATCATAACCGATGGAGCCTGGCCGCCAAAAACATTGGTTTTGAGCACGGAGCGAGAGCAAGACAACTCTCCTACCTTTCAACGCGACGCGTCATCGCTGGAGATTCTCCCAGGCCCTAAAAGCAATTTTGATCCAGCTAGGGAAGATAAGTATCAGAGCTTTCAAATGGACTGTATCGAGTCTCTCCTTCGCAACATCGAACAAGCTGTCTACGACTACAACCGTGAAATAGGATGTGCCAATGACCTTTTTCTTGATCAACACGAAGTTTTCAAATTGACGCCATTAAAGTTCTGGCACCAAATCGACCCAGGCTGTCTATTCACGTCAGGAAAGGCATGGTTCCAAGTCGATGGTACGGCTAACAATCTTTCGGTGGGCCATGCGCCTATCACCGCAGCCTTGCGCAGAATGCTAGGCACGCCAGATGATCAATCACTCCATATCAGTCTTGATTTAGAAGAATTGAGCTTCTCCCACGTCCATACGGCTCTGATCAATTGGTTTGTCGTTGATATTCTCGGCAGCGAGCTCAATATTTACCAATTTCCAAATATGAAACCTTTGAGAGCAACACAAGCAGCAATAGCAAACTTCGGAGACGCAAGTATGCATACATCTTCCTCCACAGCTTATGTATTACCCTGATCGCACAAGTACTGATATAACATAGGGTGGAAAGGCAATGGACAAAGTGTTCTTCGAGAGATCAAACTCCGAGCATGGCACAAAAACCAATTCCGCGAAGAAGTTATCGAGAAAGTCGGCTGGCAAGGCGAACTAATTCGTCGTTTCGAAGGCTTTCTAGCGCCCATGACCAAGAACTCCTGGAGAATTGACCCGCGTTCCGAATCTCGAGCCAATATTATCAAGCATACTATCGAGCTGTGGAGTTACCTGGACGCGGCGCACGGGACGTTGGAAATCATCCACCCTAGCATAGGAGCAGCGTTCGATGGGAGGACATGTGAGAGCACTGACGAAGAGCATCAGTCTCGTAGTGTGGGAGAGAAAATGATAAAGTGGGTGTTGAGGCGAGGATTTCGGTTTGAAGAATTGGGTTCGGGTGGGAGGCCAATGGCCGCCAAGGCTATCGTTATCTCACAGTGAGTATATTTCGAGCCCCGAGTAGTTCACTCTGTGCAGATATTTATCTCAATAATTTAAGTTATCGAGTTTGTTTCGCAGCTCTCGGAATAGATAGTGAGTGACAGAACCAAGTACCCGCGGGCATCTTGAGTCACTTTGGGACGTTACAAAGTTCGTACAACACTGCTCACGTCCTGTGGGAATAAAAGGTGTTACCCTGAGAAGATGATTCGCTTGGCTTGGAAGTGACTTGAACACTTTCAAGGCAAAAATTCCCGAAATATGGAGTGGGCTTTGATATGCCATGCAAGTAGGCTCAAACAAATCTCTTTTGCCAATGGAATGGCAATATCGATTTTAGACTGTCAAAAGTCGTTGTGGCTAGTTCACGTTGCACACAAAGCGGCAGAGCGCATGGCTTCACCTCCAACCGTTCCATCAATAAGCGGGGCATTCCCATCCCCACACCAGCAAATGCATGTAACAGGCAAGCCTTCAAGCCCGCTCGATTGAAGAGAGCAGCGGATATCCCGTAGATCTTGCACGCCGCTTACTTCGCACTCCGAACGATCGGACGGCTATCTTTTACTTCATTGTTTCTTTCGCTCACTCGTAACGCGAAATTGATGCTTAAAAGGTATGCGCAACCTTGAGGGCTTTCCTCGTGGTGTTGTTCTGAGACCAAATACATGGATAATGTTCAGCCCTCCTGAGTTGAGCACGCAAACTATATTCCTAGAAGACGTAAGACGAGAAAACAAAGGAAAAAGCAGTTCAAACTTGGGCCATCACCAATGGAGCTATCTTTTGGAGAAGCACTGCAATGCGTGCGCCCTCCTCCATAGCCAAAAGCCAGCATTATTTGTGGCGTTTCGAGGCTGAAAGACTGGCGAGTTACAACAAACTCCACTTCAGCTTCTTCTTGTTTTGGGGTACGCACGGCTATCCCGGCAGCCACTCAGCAGCCGCAAAAAGTGGAAGTCGACAGATGGAGGGTCCGAAGATAACTATCCCGCAGGCATGGACCGCGGTATAGTACCGCGCGCCCCCTTCAAAGCCATTCCGCACGTTTCATCTCAAAATAAATCAAACAAACAAACATCTGGAAATTACGCTAATATGGATGGTCTATCAGCGGCATCGAGTGGTATCAAAGGGATTCTGAAATTGAGAACGAGTGAAAAAGCTAACATGACCAGGCATCGCCGTCGTTTCACTTGCGCTTCAACTGGCTGGTGGTCTGATCAAACTTTACGACTTCTGGGGAACGGTCCAAGATGCGCCAGTTGAGGTAAGCGAAATGCTGATGGACTTGAAACTTCTGTCAAGAATTCTCAACGAGTTGGTCAACCGAAGAGATCCTGGTACTCATGTGCAAGATGCGTTGGAACATTGCGATAGCAAGGTTCAGGTGAGGAGATGACTTCTCAAACCTTTTCCAAGAGGGCAACACTAAGCCACGACAGCTGCTTCTTAGTATTGTTCGAGAATTCGAGCCAGACTTTACAAAGCACAGTGGCAGAGTTAGATTATGGAAAGCTTTCAAAGCCGCACGCAAGGAGAAGAAGTTGAAGAGGTTCCGCGACTCACTCCAAGAGACCAAGACTACTCTCTTGCTGGCATTAGTACCTCAATTGTAGGTCGCATGCGAAGAGTACGTAACACATTGATGACTAGTGTCGCATTCAGATGCCTCCAGCCTATGTCGAGGAGGACCAGGTTCGAAACAAACCTGCGAAAGACAACAAAGACGACGAAAAGAAATCGCATGTTGTAGTAGAGGTAGAAGAAGTATCGGACCCCGACCTCCCCCCAATCTTCAAAGATCAAGATCTGACGCAGGATGGAGACGATGACGGTGCCGAGCTTCCAAAATATCGTCCTACTACCAAGCCCAACTTTCGCAAGATGGCTACAGATTTCCCAGAAGCCGAGCTTCAGGCCTCGCTAGGAAATGCACTTCAACTAGCAGCGGAGAACTATTTTCGAGGTGGAGCATTTGAAAAAGCGATGAGTGAGACGATCCATCGTGTTGCGACGATACAGACTACTTACCATTACGGCGGGAAAGACAAGACTCCCAACTCCGAGAACGAGGACACAGATGCAGCTATCAACCATAATTCAGATACCAGCAGTCTCGATCTTATCCACTCAGGATCTAAACGACGTGCAAGTCAATCCCGGATTTGCCAGAGGACGTCGGCTACTGGCGTTGTACTCGGAACCATTTGGTTGAGAACTACGTCTGTCCAAGTGAACTCTCATACGGGCAAGAGCGTCGACATCGTTTCATCCTTCACGTTCTCTCCATCCTGGTGGTTGACCAAAGTCGGAGTGAAGTATGGAGTGGAGGCAAATCTCTTTGCTACTGCAACTGGGTGGCAATTCAACTTCAATCCGATTCGAGCTGTGCCAGATGACTCTCCAATCTTCAATGCTTGTCGAAAAGGAAATCTTTCGACTGTGCGGTTCTTGTTATCTGAGGGCGATGCATCGGTCAGGGATACCAACTCGAAGGGGTGGACACCGCTGCATGTAGGTAGTCCTCCACTGACTCCATATTACTTCACGATTTAGACCTTGTCTAACGAGCAGTAGTTCGCCTCGCTTGCAGAGTCAGAGACAAGTGTCGATATCTGCGAGTTCTTGATATCAGAAGGGGCAGATAAAACAGCGCTCGTCTTTGAAGGACCATCTGAGAACGCATTGTGAGTCCGAATAAACTCTCGACTTCTCATGCAGCAGTTGACGTTTCTCGTGTCCAGGTCTCCTGTAACTATCTTCACTGCCACCGGCAAGAAACGTCCGGCAGAAATGAAGATTAAGATGCTCCGCTTATTCGAAGACTGTATCGACATGTCCGAACCTGACTCGGATGGGTGGACGATAATTGCTGATCTCGTTAGCGCTTTCAACCTAGAAAATGTTCCTCAGACGTCGAACAGCATTACGTGGTTCCTACGCTCCTTGAAACCACAGTCAATGGTTGCTTTCGGCCCCAAGACTCTTTGGCATGGTCTTCAACACGCTGTTCGTTCCTTCATCGATATGGAGCAAAAATGGATGGGTGTTAGGAAGCGACTCAACTCCATTGTTGGCGGTGGCTTTCCGGAGTCGTATGGTATAACGATTGCGTACTGGATCGCACTCCTCGTTATTGGCAAAAACCTCATGCCGATGTTGCTAATTGCTGGTTCGATGCTACACATCGAAGGTTATGATTATGATCCAGACAGCGCTATCGATCCTAATCTGCTTGCGAAGCAGTTGCCTTTCCTATACGAGGCATGGGCCAAAGCTTTGACAGACAGCATTGAAACGATGGATGAGGTGTTGAATTCTGAGTTCGACATTACCTTAGAGGTGACCGGTTGGTCGGAAGATATCCTTCGAGGCTTGAAGTCTAGGTCTAGACAATCGAAGAGCACAAAGGCTGATAGCCAACACTGTTGCTCAGTCTGCCGCGACGATTACAGTCTGCTTGGGCATGGTCTTGTGGAGCCTAGGTGGATCACCTTTATTGAGTGTTTAGAGACAAAACACAGGAATCACTGTTCTTGCCAAGAGCTGCTTGAATATTACAAGCGTTTGGGTTACCTCCGAAACGTTTCGGTTCCCGAATCAGACAACACTGATGACTCCGATTCCGAATGCGAAGTCTTTCATGACGCGGAATCTGATCTCGGCGACAACAAGAAGGACAGCACTCCAGAAGAAAGTTCTTGGATGGTTGAATGCGAGCACCTCGTTCAAGTGATGAAGGATGGTAATGGGAAGAATCCTTTCCAAGATGTCGCTGCTCATCTCTATCGTTGTCATGCTCGAGTATGGTTGGGGAGTTATCAAGCTGGGGAAATGTTTTGCGGGTCGTGCTTCTTGCAAAGCGAGGGATATATTGATGAACAATTCAAGGAGGACTGGGATCTTTCGTCGTCAATGCCTGCGTCTTTTGTCAGTTGATGAATAGGGGGTCATCTAACAAATTTCCGAATGAGAAGGCTGTTATCCCATATATCTCCGCCATTCGTCACTACCAATATATGCAACTGGAAGTGTGTTGGACTCTCTTCCATTAACCCCTTTTCAGCTTCTCGCGGCTCTCGTTCCGTATGTAGCTCTCACATGGAAATAGCTTCAGGGAAACATTCAAGTGAGATGTAGTCTTAGACGTTGTCTCTCGCTCGCTTCCTTCCGAGTCATCCCCGACGAACCAAGCACCTGCAGATCCCCCGTGTTTATGCACAAGTGATGGGGTGCGTCAGCTTCGTCTATTGTCGGTATCAGCCGTCCATCCTTCGAGCCGAACGCTGAAGGCTGTATTCGGTGACCCAATCAAATGTGATATTCTATTAATAAATCTATTGGTTTTCTAAGTAACTATGTAATAGTACAGAGCAAATACAAAGGTACCTATCTCGCTACTCCAAGTTCTATCACGCGCAACTTTGAGGGTATTTTCTCCTTGAAATTGCTTTTCAACAGCAGATATGCGTGTGTCACTGAATCCGGCGATCATTCCGACGGCAGGATGCCCCGGCTTCTTCCCTTGTCGCACGGTTGGATATTCGGCCGTAGCTCGCTTGCATCAGGACAAAGTAAGTAAAGCTCTGTTGGGGAAGCTTTCCGCGCGCACGGTTTCTGTCGAGTGACAATGGTTCCCCCAGATTTGGAACAGCTGAAGGAAGTGGTGACAGGGAAGTGCTCTGGTCAGCATGTTCACGAGAAGGAGCCGAGAGATGTTGTGAAGACAACACAACTTATGACCAGCGAACTAATTACTCGTTGACATTTCACATATTGGCTCCAAGTCGAACTGGACTTGATACCGAAGAGTGGATACAGCCCCCCTTTTGAGTACAACTTGGCCGGTTCGATACCAAGAATACTGCGTGTCCGAGGACATGATGCATGGATCGCATGCGTCCCAAGTGTGGTCCCGCAACATGTCGGAATCCCGGTAACCGGGAACCTTCCCCGCGCTAAAGATGTCTGACAGTCAAAGGAGACGAAAATTACGCCACAACCCAACCTCCATGCCTGTCGATAGAGATCCAGACCAAAGCTTTGCGATCCTTGTTCGTCACTGGCTCATAGAGCTCAATCTCATTTTTCAATATCGAGCACTCGATGGCGGATTTAACGCAGTTTCCCATCTCGGAACTTGATCACCATGCCTCAAGAGTATTCGTGGGCGTTACCGTTTTCCTGCTCGCGGCGTCCTTTGTAACTCTTACCGGGTCGCTAATCTAAAGAAGCTGATTGCTGTTGTAACTTGGGCTTTACTCTTCGCAGTGATAGTGCTTTGCGTACCGTCATCGCGAACTTTCCTTACGACGGACCAATTCCAGGAAGTCATTAAACTCGGTGTCCTTGGAGTGCCTATCTGGATCCTCTCTATCGCCTGCATCAAGATCAGCGTCGTTTGTTTGCTTTTGCGTCTGTCGCATGGTACCATATGGGCCAAGTTCCTATACGCGTTGCTAGGAATCATAATCTCCACATCCGTTGCTTTCTTCCTCTTCGATCTCCTTCAGTGTATACCACTGGCGGCAGCTTGGGACTTCTCCATTAAAGGAAGATGTGTAAGTTCGCACACATATCAAATCGTATCTAACGCTACCACTGACGTCAACATCGCCACTGACGTCGTACTGTCCCTTTTTCCGTTTACGTTCCTTCGCCAAATGCGAAGGCCGCTTATGGAGAAGGTGCTTGTTGGAGTTTTGATGGCTATGGGACTGGCAGCGGCGGCTGCTTCTATCACGAAGGCTGTTTACGTTCGCGCATGGGTACATGCAGAAGATACATTCGCCATCGGCTTCACAATATCGAATTTGACATGCGTTGAGATGTTCATCGGTATCATAGCAGCCTGCTTACCCAGCTTCAAACCTCCATTACAGCGACTCCTTGTTTCTCTAGGAATGAACTTCAACCGTTCGGGATTCTTTCGAAGCATGCACGGCAGCTCCGACCCTGCTACGGTCGTTCAGAAGCCAATTCTTGCCAGCACACAAAGCGAGAATACATCGAATACCAACACATCATACTCTATGGACATGGAGGATATGAGCAAACAATCTACACAAGCGGTGACGGAGATTGGGGTCAAAGGGGGCACAATGGGTGCACATCAAAAGTATGATCTGGGGGATATTGTATAAATAATTCTGGGTGTCAGGAGTACTTCGGTTCAGGGAGTCGACTTGGTTGTCGCCTACAACGAGTCCGAGGGTTATGCTAGTTGATGGGGTTTGTAAGTGGTCGATGTAAAAGCATGGTTGCATTTGCTGAACGAGATTCTGGCGTTAATTAGGCGTCTGACAGCAAGATTACTTGAAAGAATCGGTCATTGAGAACATACTCTCTCGATCCCTCGACTTCCTTTTTGCAGATCTATGTCTTGTGAACTTGACAGAAGTAGGTGGCCATTATATATCACTCTCATTTCACTCGAAAGTTGGGACGATCGTACGACATGACAATTCACTGTCGACGGGCCGGGCCTTTGGTTATCGTCTGACGGTGCCTGGGCAATCAAAGCCCTGACTGGTGCCCGCCCCGCAAGCATTATGCATGCGGTAAGGTGGGGCCACGACATTGGGAATCCAAGAAAGGCCCGGAGAACTCACATTTTAGGTCATTGGTTGGCCTTCGGTTCGTTCTGGTGGAATAGCCCTGATTCCAACGACGGGAATTTTTGCGCATGCAGCCTTCCAATAGTGCAGGCTACCATCCAGTAAAAGCTGGTACCAAGTCAATACGAATTGATCAAGGTGTGTGGACGGATGGACAGCTGAGAATCATGGAGCAAGAAGCGGCGGCGGTGAGTTGGAGATTAAGATGATCATCTCACGGCTTGAAGATGGTCCCAACTCCTGGCCATTCCATGTTTCAGTGCGCTGCTCACCATAATGGCTAAAGTCTTCATAACCTGGGCTCTGTTCGCAAGCCTTGGCTTGGCAACGACGCAAGTAGACCTGGGATACTCAATTTACCAAGGAGTCAAGAATTCCACGACTGGACTAACTACGTTCCTGGGGTAATAAAACCAACTAAACTTTTCCTCGGTTTGCTTCCATGCTAACAAACATTCTTCTAGAGTCCGGTATGCAGCCCCTCCAATTGGTTCACTACGATGGCAAGCTCCTCAAAGTCCGGCCGTGAATCGTACCGTCATGAGCGCAAGTTCCTTCGGTCCAATTTGTCCCAACTCACCGTTGAGTCTTGGACCTTTTGGCTCTGTTGGAGCAATTGCCTCAACTGAAGACTGTTTGTTCCTAAATGTGTATGCGCCATCGAATGCGAAGAACTTGCCAGTCCTGGTCTACATACACGGTGGTGGATATGGGGCGGGGAATGGGCAGCAAGACCTCAGTTCGATAATCAATGGCAATGGCAACAGTTTCATTGGCGTCGCCATACAATATAGGGTTAGGAAACTAGTCAATAATTATTGTGAAAGAGGCTGACGATACATAAAGCTCGGCGCCTTTGGATTTCTGTCATCTGCGGAAGTGAAGCGCAAAGGTGTGCTCAACGCCGGTATTCTAGATCAGCATTTTTCTCTGGAATGGGTACAGAAATATATTGCTTGCTTCGGTGGAGACCCAAACCGTGTCACCATCTCGGGCGAATCTGCTGGAGCTGGCTCTGTGATGCTCCATGACATTGCTTATGGCGGGACTCTTGGCACATCTTTGTTCATCAACGTAAGCTACCCTGCGATTGACTCTTGAAAATTGCGCATACTTACATATCGAAGTCCATTACTGCCTCTCCTTATACCCCGGAGCAATATGAATACTCTGATCCCGTTCCCACTGCTCTATATGATAAGTTTGCCATTGCCGCTGGCTGCCCCACTGGACCTACCAGTTTCGAATGTTTAGTAGCACAAAATAGCACGACTTTGCAAGAAGCATCATTCAATGTCACCGGTTCGGCGCCATATGGAACTTAGGGCTTTACTCCTATGACCGATGGTACATATATTCAGCAGCGACCCAGTCAAGCTTTGCTGCAAAAGAAGGTCAACGGTCTGAAGCAACTCTCTGGGGTGAGTTTGTTTGTCTGGAGAACATCTTGGAAAATGGAACTAACAACACAAAGAATAACGCTAATGAAGGCAATTTATTCGTGATTTCCGGTATCACCACAGAGAGTGACTTGGTAGCTTACGTGAACGAAACATTTTTCATGCTCACTAGTACCGAGCAAAACACCCTCCTCAATTACTACTCATTCATTGCCGATCCACAAGAGGCAGCATACGTAATTATCTTCAATCCAAACTCAACAAGATATCAACTGACTTCGAACTAGGAAATATATGGCGATGCTACCTTGGTCTGTCCCAGCTATTGGTTGGCCGAGGCATATTCAGCGAAAGATTCATTGAAAGGCTACAAATACCAGTATTCAGTACCAGTTGCCCTGCACGGGACGGACACCGCTGCCTATTTCGGCCCACCAACTGTGAATCAAGGTCCCGACTTTGTGAAAGCCTTCCAAAGTAAGTCTTTACAATCCGTTATCCCAAGACTATCCTACTGACATACCTTTAGCCATATGGGGAAACTTCGTCACCAAGAACGACCCCTCGATAAGCAACAGCATCGCAAACGGTGCAGCTTCTCCATCTCCACATGCGCCAAATCCGGCAAGTCATTGGCCGCCATACTCCAGAGCTGCTCCAGAATTCATTAATCTTAATGAGACGGGCGGTACTCTGGCGAATGTCACATCGCCTTTTGGAACGATTGTTTTGGAGTATATCGAGCCAGGTTTGAAGAACAATATTACGTTGTTGAATGCGTACACATTCGAGAATGATAGAGGTGTCAGGTGTGATTATTGGAGGAGTATTTCTGCTAATGTTCCTGAGTAATGCACTTGTTTTGGTTATGAATGATGCTTCAGGTAACTATGAAATATATCAATTGTACATATTATACCGCATCATGATGTTCGAATTCTTGTTCGTGCGATTATGCACAAGCAAACATGAGCCAATCGTGATTGAAAAAGGACAACGTCTGTTGTATTGCCTAGGCTATATAAGCACCCCAGATAGAGTGGCATTTCCTAGCTTGCTGACTGACTTCTCCATGCGCCTTCGCTTCCGCGTACAACTCGCCTCTGCCTTCTCTCAATCTCCTGCGCCTTCAAATCCTGAAAGAACGCATCTTCAGTATCATCTTCTTTCAAGCTCTCTTCATTGCCAAATATTTGCATGTTCCCAGCTCTCGCGTATTGCCCCGTGTCCGGCGGTTTCCTAAAGCTGAGGGCCGAGACAGTTCGTCTGTCAGCAAAGCTAACAGGCGACATTATCGGGGTCGGAGCATAAGAGGAATATGTGACACTCTCTTTCTCGTCTTGGTAAGCCGGAGAGAGTATTGGTGTTGGAGCGTAGCTGTATGAAGCCATACTTTCTTTGTCGCAGTCATCCATTGGTGAAAAGCGTGGTGTGGGGTGCTCGTTTGATGACACGATTATCTTGTCACTGTCTTCGATAGAATTTTGTATCGGTGTCGAATGCACAGGTTCTGGGAACATGTGCGAGTACGGCGTAGCCTTGTAGCTGAATGGGGTATATGTCAAAGCAATCTTTTCATCGGAGTATGTAGTTTCTCCTGGCGGCTTCGAGACCGGGACAGGCATTGATCCTGCCATGTATGGGAGTTGGAATGAAATTTCTGGCGTAGGACTCCATTCGGAATTTCCTGAGAGCTCCGAAAGGGCAAAGTCTTGATAGCTGTCTGCCATTGTGGAAAGGCTTGTTGTGGATCTATTCCGGGAAGCGGTTGATTTCCTTGGTGGCTTGGGTGAGGGTTGCGGAGGTTGACACTCAGAGACGACTGAATATGAAGTGTCGAAACTTAAGTTTGGATTTACAGTTGACATAGGTGAAAGTTCGAAGCTGATTGCAGAGGCAGGGCGGTAATTGGACGCAGGTGTGGAGCTTCTTTGGTCTTGGTATGTTCGTGACGGTTGAGAGTTGGATGTATTCGAGCGATGTTGATTCATATATGGAAAGGCAGGAGTCGAGGTGATCTGAGGTTGCAGCTGTGCGAGAGAAATTTGTGGCGAATGTGAATTGAGCTCAAGGTTACTGTAAGATCTCTTCCTCTCTAACTGCTGTCTCGCCTGCAGGGACGTGTCCGGGGACAGCTGCTGTGAACCAATCCTCCGATCGACTGATGACTCTCCTGTTGAGGGACTTCGATAGTTGTTTCCGAACGTATTGGTGGCTTCGACATACGGCTGTTGTGCAGACAAAGATGATGCTAGGAATTCTTCTGGTTGATTTCGACTTGGTTGACTCATTGTGGGTTCAAGGTAGGTATTCCAATGGCTTCTAGTCTCCTCAGACAAGTTCGTGCTGCTTGATGCACCGTGTGTACTACTCCGTTGAGGAGAGTTCTCTTCGTAAGGAGGTGGAGCAGGTAGTCCAGCTGCCGCGTCCCTGAAAATCATCGACCTCTTCGAGCTCAATCTCAGCAATTCCAGGTTCTCAAAACCGGCCTTCTCATCCTCTCCATGGTCTCTCTCTGTCGCATTTCCTCTACTCGTCTTGTGACTTCTCAACCAACTGATCTCGGTATTGATCGCGGCCTGTTGAACTCCCAAGTTTCTACTATGCAATACAAAACTTGCTGAATCGCCCAAGACCCATTTCATCCTCCCTATCATCGGTACCTTCCCTCCATTTGCCTCCGCTCTGCAAGCTTCCAACTTACTCCCAATCGCCAAAAGACTTTTCGTCGCCCCAGCTATAATGCCATCGACACGCTTGCGCTCATATGGCACAGTCTCGAGGTACTCATGTTGAGCGTTGCGGAGAGTCACCAGATACTGAAGGTCGTCGTAGATGCGGGTGACAAGTTCGGCGCATGCTCGGACGTCCTTTGGAGTATTATGAAGAGCGAAGACGAAGTTTGCAGCTGTTATTGTGGCCGTGAGAAGAGAACTGAGAGTTGATAATGAGACTGGGTCAGCCATTGTGGGATGATATTGCACAACGATCTTTGGTCCCAAATGCTCAGCGCAATCTCAAGTGAGCGACTTGAGTGGAGATCGCCGGTGCGGCTCGAGTGATCTCCTATGAGACACATTCTCCTGTAAGACACATTATCTTGTGAGACACGGAATGAGGGCTGACTTGCGGACACGGTAAGTGAGGCTGAGAAGTTGCATGACGCCACTTCCATATCAGGTATTGCTCGGCAGTCGAGAACACGCCTCCAAGTATTGCGGCTTGAAATAGCATTGGCACACCATAACCGTACTCCGAAGCCAGATCTGGCAAATACACTTTGCAGCTGGTGATGAGAGTGCGGCTTGTGGGTTCCAACTCGGCAAAAGCAATAACCTTCATAGACGAGCAGCCTCTCAGAGTCTCCCGATCGGTCACCAGTCAGCCTAAGACATTGGCATGGCGTTTCCCCCGCGTTTCATTGTCGAACCACAGATTCATCTCAAGGTTGGAGAAAAAGCAAAAATATCATATGATTAAGCCACTCATTGATAATATTGCCACAAAATATCGAAATCAAGGAAGTAGGAGCACCCTTTCAAGCCATCACAGCCTCAGAAACAATTCTCAATTTAGACCGCCCTTTGACCTTCTCCAAAAGCGCCGGAAACACGACCACAGCCTCAGACCTACCGTGGTGTTTCCAGTCAAACACCCATGCACTCTGTTGCGAGAATAGTGTCAAGCCCAATTCTGCGCCTGCAAAAACAATTGCGCGGAGATTCTTCTCCCAATCGTGGTTGTTCACTGGTCCGTTAATCACGAAGGGAGCAAGTACGTGATTGAAGGCTTTGAGATTCACGTCGATTGCTGAGCGGACTTGAGTTTCGTCCACTTTTGGATCTTCGCGGAACGAGCGATTGGGCACAAGTAAGAATGCACTCAAATGTTTCCACTGTGAAAGAGCGCATTCAAAGGCTGGAAAGTCATGTTAGCATGATATTTCAACGAGAGTTTGGGATATCCGACCTTCTTCGCAACCAGCTTGTCTTTCAATAGGCGGAAATGCATTGTAAAATGTGACAATGTAGCGAGGCAACAAGCACGCATCTGGCTGAGCGTCGAGACCAGTATGCGACAAAATGACCCAAGCGACAAAGTGTCGAATGGCATGGAGTCGTGTCGCTGGAGCGATCATAAGGCTGGCAAGCTCATCGGGAGACATGTCTCCAAGGGCATTCTTGCTCCTGCGGTCGATTATTGCTTGAGCAAGCTGACGCTGGGAAATCTGGATTGGATCTTCGTGATAGTGACTGAGAACGTGCTGATCAATGAAGCTGTTGAGCTTTGCCATTGTGCTCTTCAACGTACTGTCGTCAACAGGGTCCAGAAGAGTTTCTTCCCGAGTAGATGTTTGGGAGATTCCTTGTTTATCGCCATCGTATGTATTATTGTCGTGAGACTTCCGAGATCGATGGCCTTGGGAGTGCTTGCGGCGATTCATACAGAACCAAAAGCCCAGTAGCGCGAGAGCAAGACCGGCGATGAAAGTACCAATGCTGATACCTGCTGTCTCTCCAGCTGATATCCCAGACGAAGAAGTAGAGCTATGAGAAGGACGAGATCTAGCAACCGAGATGCTGCTGAGAGGAGACGATGAGGTGGATGACAATGAGGCAGAGGAAAATGAGGTGGTGGAGGATGACGAAGTAGAGGACGCAGTCGTGGAGGATAAGCTGTTTGTAGCAGTAGTCTCACTGACTTCGAAATTCGTTGGGGCAGCCGTGATCAATGTATACGTGCCGTCATAATAGAACGTCCCCGTAGTCTGGACTGTGTAAATGACTGTACTGACGCCTCTCTTTACTTTCGCGACATCATTCACAGCAACACCATTATGACCCATGATATCTGCTTCAAAAATTGGGTGCAGATGCTTGTGAGTTTGAAATGATGGAGAATTTTCGCGATGTGGGAGTTCGAGTAATAACCGTGAAAGAAATCCCATGCCGTGGTGCAAGGGTCCCTCCACTTCAGCTGAGCTGATCTTTGTTCCAGGCTTAAGCCTCTATCAATAAAATGACTGGCATCACACGCCTCATGATACGCCCTGCATTAGCGGTATTAGATGGCAAAAAGCAGTGCAGAAAGGCATGGAATTTGTCTCGGAGCCGCGATTGGAAAGTGGGTGTTGCGTTCTCAAATGAGGTGATTTTCCATCCTCAAGCAACTTGCCCATTGCGAAGCACCTAGGTCTGTCCCCTTTGTAAAATTCTGCAGCATCACTCGTTTTGGTCAGAATGGATCCTTCTCCAGATCTCGTTATTGTAAGTTCATTCCAGTGCAATATTCCTCGCTGATACTTCGTGGTGTGCAAGTGCAGAGCACTACCCACAATGTTTGCGACCGTTCCCTTTGTTGAAATGTGAAAGGAATTATGCTAATTATGCATATTTGAACAACAGGGGATAGATTTTGGAATGACATATACTGGTCTGTCCAAACACAAAAATACCGAGGAAATAAAGCGACTGACTGTAATGTAGGAGTCGCTTGGACGAATCTACTGACTCCCGAAATTTTTGTCATCAAAGACTGGCCTGGACTTGGTCAAGATGCGCATGAGACGAAAGTGCCATCAAAAATCATATACGCACGAAATCAGGCTGTTCGAAAATGGGGTTTTCTCTGCGATTCTCAAGACGAATTCGAAGAGCACGAACAAGTCTTCGAATGGTTCAAAATATATCTTGACCAAGGGAATGTGGATAGAGCAAAGCGTGTTGGTCTCGCAGACACCCCTCAATCCGTTGAAGAAGCGAAGAAATTGACCACCGACTATCTTCGCGAAGTGTACAATCAGACGAAACGGGTGATCGAGATGATGAGTGGGCCGTGGAGCAACAAAAGAGTAGAGTTCATATTCAGCATGCCGACTACTTGGACGAATCAAGTCATCTTGAATGAGTTCAAAGCTGTTATTAAGGAGTCGGGTTTTGGCCGTGAAGAAATGCACACGGCAAAATTGGAACTCACAGAAGCAGAGGCCGTTGCAGTTTACACCGTCAAAACCGCACAAATCCGATTCGAGAAAGGCGACATCTTTCTCGTATGCGATGCTGGAGGAGGTACGACGGATCTTGGGCTTGTCGAAATTGCACAAGCCAATCCAGACGTGCCTGTGCTCAAGCAGGTCGCCGCGGTGCAAGGTGTTGGAATTGGATCAACAGTCATTGATCGCGCCTTTCAAGCCTTGGTCCAGAGACGGATAGACCAGTATCCGGATGTTCGGCATCTTCTTGAAAATATTGCCTTCACGCTGTCCAGAAGCCAAAGCTTTCGGTCGATAAAGCATAATTTTGGTACTGCTGCAGGTGATCAGTCCACCTTTTATCTACCAATTGACGTCAATCGAGACCTCGTTCACCCAGGACTTGGAATAAATCGGGGGAGAATGGCATTTTCGAAGTAGGCATATCTGCAGTTAGGATGATCAAAACTGACGCAAGACCAGGTCCGAGATCCAAGGTCTTTTCGACCCCCAAATTAACCAAATAATTACCCGAATAAACGAACAGTTCAATTGGATGCAAGGAAATAGGGGCAGTGAAATTGTGGTAAGTCGCATCCCTCGAAGAATAGAACATAATGATTGATCTTCGTGGTAGAAATACTTAGTACTGTCAGGTGGACTTGGTGGCTCTGAATACGTTCGATCTAAAGTGGAACAGAGGTACAAGTCGAATCCACATGCAAGTGCTCCGAATTTGTATGTATTCAAATCACAAGAGCCACGGCTAGCGGTCGCCAAAGGTTTAGTCATGGACAGGAGGCAAAAACTTGTGACTGGAGCATCCGCTTTGAAGACCAGAATTGCACGAGCAAGCTATGGGATCCTGTGTCGTGAGCCGTACAACGAGCACGTTCACATTGGAGAAGAAGTCGAGTTCGACCAGTATATCAAAGGCAAGAGATGGGCCATCAATCAGATCGAATGGTTCATTCGGAAGGTGAATACGAGCTGAGATTTTAGATCCACAGGTACTGACCAGTTGTGCAGGGCGACGTAATTGACACCGACACAGCTCTGGAAAGGCGATTTGAGAGGAAGCTGAAGCCAGGCGTTGGAAGCAACAACAGAATATGGGATTCTACCGTGGTCATATCCCACAATGAACGAGCTGTCCTACCAAGAGGACTGAGACAAGGTAGGTCTTCAGTTCAGGTCGAAGTCTCAGGATTGACGAATGATAGCTGGTGCAAAAAAGCTATGTGTGGTCAAATCAGACCTCAGAGCCGTCGAAGAACGTGAGTTCGAGGAGAAAAACAAGAGGTGCTGGCAAGGAAGACGCTACTATCTTGCAAAATTCACGATCAAAGTAATGATCGCTCCAGCCGATCTGAAGTTTGAACTCTGGTTCAAGGGAACGAAGTATTCAAGAAGTCATGATCCTGTGACAATCCAATGGGACCCGGCCGGAGCATCCGAAAAGCCACCAGAACGACATGTAGACGGTTTTGTTGACGACGTGTTGGAAGTGCCTGCCTACAGACAAAGTCAGGGTATGAATGGGTGGGTTGGATGATGAGGAACGTTTGTATAGATCGTTGGCATTGTATTCCACCCGATCACACCTGAAGGTCCCGTCTTAAAATATATATCCCTTGGCGTTGTGCTCGAGTACTTGGAAGGAATCATGTATTGCAGGCAAGGTCGAATACATATTTGTGGCTTTCGTGGAACAGAAGGCTGGGACCAAGGCATGGTAATGTCTGGAGACTGAGATGCTTGAGTTGTCTTAAAGACTACTGTATTCGAGTAGCTAAGTCAATGTTCGTTTGCCTTTGGGATGTATGCCAGCCATCTGTTGTTCGCAGATGAAAGTCGCAAGGTAGGTAGGTTGGTAGGTTGGAAGGTCGCGTTTCCCACTTTGAACTAAGGCGTCGCAATGAATTAATTAGGGATCAGTTCGTATATGCCACAAAACTTTCTAGATATTGGCTAGATGGTTGTTAGAGCTCAGATTCGACTGGTGGCATCCAGGTTGCGATTTGTGTTTGGAAGGGAAGTTCTGGAAGAGGAGATTATGATTGTGCCTGAGGCATCAATGCTAGCGCAGGGTTGGAAGAACCCCATATCTGCAACCTCCGTCTCCCTCCTTTCAACGTCTTCAAAGTAACATCACGCATGGCAACGGCATCGGAACATCAACTGGCCTAGCTGGCCCTATCTAGCGCGAGGATTACCGCTAAGGAGTATAGCAAGTGTCAAACCCACCTATTGTGCAGCAAGACTACACGCCAAAGCGGCACAGCTTTGACAGTCATCGTGTCTCATCACCAAGACCTCAAAATTACGGAAAAACTCTTTACTTTCATTCTTGTCGTGGCGCGTCTCCCCTGCCAAGGCTCACAAGTTTGTCCTTTCTCAATCGTCCAATATTTCTTAAATTCCAACCATGTCAAGTCACCCCGCCGGAGTTGCACGCGGATGTACGCCACAAGTCAAAACTATTGGGTATTTCAGAACGCCTTCAGCATGGAACCAACTTGCGCGAAAAATTGTTCCACAAACGAGAAGCTCAGAAAGGAGCTGGGGTACAAAGCTTACCCCAGAAGTCAGCAGAGCTATGGTGGGGATCCCCAATGCTGCCCCATAAGATACAAGACTACGCGATTTCTCCCCAGATTTTGTAGATGTTCAGACTTCGTCTCTCTTCTTCTTTTGCGCAAACTGAGTCTTGCTTCAAAAACAACTTTCAGCTTTGTCCGTTTTACTTTGGACTATACGATAGACCTAACAACTACCATTGAGTGTTACACAAATTCTTATCGTCAAAATGGCGGTCGGCTTCTTCAAAAACTACAGGTTAGTTGCCAAATCTTTAGAATGCACTACAGCGCGTCTGCAAATGATGTTGCTACGATACTGCTTTCGCAGAGAATTTCCGTTCAACATTTGATTGACTATACTGACATCCTACTCATCATAGGGTCTATATCCTGACCAGTGTAGCGTATATGGGCTCGCTGCTCTTTGGTACATATCCTCGTGCAGGCAGATTCAGTAGTCGTGCTAACTTATGACGGGCAGGATATGATACTGGCGTTATGTCCTCAGTTCTATCACTGGCTAGTTTCAAAAAGGATTTCGGTCTCCCAACAGGCTCGACTGGCTTTGACAGCAAAACCAACGCACACATCTCCCAAAATGTCGTCTCTCTGCTCACTGCTGGCTGCTTCTTTGGTGCCATATTTGCTTCAGTCATCAACGACAAGTTCGGACGCAGGATTTCCTTACTTGGCTTCACAATCGTTTTCATGCTCGGCGCCATCATACAAGTCACATCGCTCCATCACATCAGCCAGATGTATGGTGGCAGATTCGTCGCTGGTCTGGGCATTGGTGGAATGTCTAGTATTACTCCAATATTCGTAGCTGAAAACTGCCCACCACAAGTGAGGGGTAGAATCACTGGGCTATTCCAAGAGTTCTTGGTTATTGGATCTACATTTGCGTACTGGTTGAATTATGGAGTGTCTTTACACGTGAAGCCATCCACGTCTCAATGGCGCATTCCGGTACGTAATACAATGCAAATTCTTGATGGATTTTGTGAAATCACTTGCCTCGTCCAGCGATGCTGACAATAAGATTCCTAGGTCGGAATCCAACTCATTCCAGGGGGTATGCTCTTTATTGGACTCCTTTTCCTCAAGGAATCTCCTCGATGGCTTGCCAAGCAAGGCCGATATGAGGAAGCCACCGCATCCCTTGCCTACATGCGACGAGACGATGTCAATGACCCAGAGATTCTGAAAGAAATTGCCGATATCCGAGTCTCTATCGAGGAAGAACTGCAGCTTACCGAAGGTGTAACATGGAAAGAATGTCTTATCCCCGGCAACCGAAACCGATTTGCAGTTGCCTTTACCATCTTTCTATGCCAGCAATTCTCTGGAACGAACAGTATTGGATACTATGCTCCTCAGATCTTCCAAACTGTCGGCGTCAGCAAGACTAATGCATCTCTCTTCGCCACTGGTGTCTATGGTACCGTGAAAGTCTGTGCTACTGGCTTGTTTCTAATTGTTGGTATTGATAAGATCGGACGAAGGAACTCGTTGCTAGGAGGCGCCCTATGGATGATGACCATGATGTTCATTCTTGGCGGTGTCCTGCACACTCATCCTCCCAAGAACGTCAATGGTACGTTTCCTATTTGCAACATCCACTTGACTTCTGTTAACAGTAACCAGTTGTGTCGCCTGCGTCCATTGCCATGGTTGTCATGATCTACCTTTATGTTATCGGCTACTCTGCATCCTGGGGACCTATTCCATGGGTATATGTTTCCGAAATCTTCCCCACTCGTCTCCGGTCCTACGGTGTTGGTCTCGCAGCCGCAACCCAATGGCTCTTCAACTTCGCCATCACCTACATGACTCCATCGGCCATCTATCATATCGGCTGGAGAATCTTCCTAATGTTCGGAATCTTCTGCCTTGCCAATTTCGCATTCGTATTCTTCTTCATCAAGGAGACGAAAGGCAGGACTCTTGAGGATATGGATGTCCTATTCGGCACTGTCGATGCAGAGATCAGGGCTGCGGACATCGAGAGGGTATTGCACAAAGGCGAGCATGACGATCACGAGATGGGCGAAGTTGGCACGAAGGCTCCGGTACCAGAGACGTCAGACGTGGAGAATGTAGCAACTGGGGATGAAAAGACTGTCTCCTAAGGAATTGAGATTATGCCCCGAATGCTGACACAGCTTTGTTGTTGGACAAGTCAAATGCTGTTGAGGGTCAATCGTATGAGGTGGCGGTTTGTAATTTAGTTTTAATGATACTATCCTTCTCTTCGTCCTCGCGATTCCTGGCCTCGCTGAATGTCACGATGCACGAATACTTCAATAAAGGCTATTTTCATCCAAATCCCATCATTACCGATTCGGCAGGCACAGTGTTTCTTAAGCTGCCAGCGCACTTTTTCAAGCCTGAGACTCCCCTCTACGTCAGAGTGTAGCCACGAAATTCACTAGTTGCTCTGAATGCTCTGAATGCGCTGGCTGCGCCCATTGCGCCAATAGCGCACGCGCTAAATGCCCTGGGCGCTGCCCTTAAACTGCGGTAAACACCCTGCAACATCGCTAAGCCACAGCGCTTCATACCCTGAATGCGCTATAACTTGGGGTCTGGATTAATTCGTTTACGAACATGGGGACAAAAGTCCGTGCGTTCAGGGCATCAGAATCATGAATTTTATTAATTAATTAGCTGTAGACCAGCCACATCGCTTAATTAAGTCGTGTACCCAGAAGTCCTGCTGCTCAATAAGCCCATTGATCCATTCCTGAGGAATTTTGTCCCATTCTTCTAATACTGCTACAACCATTTGAACCTCAGTTGTTGGCTGCCTTAGGCGCCTATGGAGAGCTTGTTTTATTCTCCTCCAGCACTTCTCAATAGGATTCATATCAGGGCTAACTGCAGGATGGGGGAATAGAGTAATACCCATAGAAGTACGCCAAGTAGCACAAATATTGCTAGTAGTCTTGTGGCCGTGAGCAGAGTTGCCGTCTTCCATGAACTGAGGGGTCTTCCCAGGCCCCAAAACAGCCGCAAAAGCAGCTAAAAAATCCTGAATATAAGGCTTGAGTACTTGAGCAAGGTAATCAGTTTGTGTAAATGCCCCACTCTTCCCAGTTCCATGAATGTTGATCAATGGACTTTTGTATCCGTAGCCTACAGCACCAAAGAAGTATACAGGAATAGTGCCACCTCTATGCATTTGGAATTAAATGCAGTCAGGATGACAGCGTTCCTTCTTATTCCTAATACACCTCTGCTTGCATTTCTTCCCTCCAACTTAAAATGTGACCTCATCTGAGTACAGTATCTGACTCCATTCCCAAATAGTCCAAAACATGTGTGCTATCCCCCACAGCCACCGCGTATTGGCTTGGGTCTTAGTGAGGTAGGGCTTTTGGCAGCAGATACAAGAGTAGTATCCAGCTTCTTTGCAGCGGCGTTTGAGGGTCTTGACAGAGCAAGAGAGTTGCAATTCATCGTGTATTTGGATCCAATTCAGCACTCTAGTTGCATGGTCGGTGCAAATATACTCAATAATATCTCTAACCTCCTGTTCATTGAGGGATTCTCTGGGTCTCCCTGTGCGTGTAGGGCGCGCTCTTTCAGGCACATCGTATAGTAGGATCTTCCTAACTGTGCTGTCTCCTAGGTGGTAGTAGCCCTGGAGCTGTTGCAGGCCTATTTTAGCGAATTTGAAGAGCCGGCGTATGCCCTCTTTGTGCTTAGTTCTGATCTCTGCACCTGGGAGACGTGGAGACATAGGTGGAGTGGTAAAAGGATCCATAATGGTGGAGTTGTTGATAGTTTAGTCCTAATGTGAAGAGTTTTAATTTCGAGGTTCTACAGCCTGAACGCACGGACTTTTGTCCCCATGTTCGTTAGTGATCTACTACTGCCTGAAAAAGTGTATTTTGAATCGCAGCTTTACGAAGTTAGCGATACCGACACCCACCAGACCTGAAATAATTCGCTTGGGGCTCCACAGCCTGGAAAATTGTACTTTAAATGACAGCTCAATGAAACACGGACTACACTCTATGAGACAATAAAAGTGTATCATAACCTCTCATTCAAGATGGAGTTCCCATATTGTTCTTTGCAAATACCGGCACCAAGTAATAGCTGGAACTCCCCCTACCGGTGCTCCCTTCAGCCACAAAATCGGGCAAAGCCACGAAGGAGCGAAACTAGCTATTACTGCAGATTCTCTAGAGCTCGTAATTTTGTTCTGAAAAGGTATGAACTCTTAGGTAATTGAAAGGTGATGGCTAAGTGGATGGCATTTCATTTGACAAGATTCATACATGTACAGCGACACGAAACGTCTAGTGGATATTGACCACCTGGCTCCCCCCAACACTTTCCTCGACACCTACAACCCAGTCTTCTCCCTGCGTCGAGACATCTGCAGTTTATGTGCTGCTGTATCGGGACTCTTCATGTTCTCCACTAGATCGTGAATAGCTTTGAGTTGTGGGGTAACCCGATCGCATGTTTGTAGCATTTGCGGATGATTCTTCCACTCACTGAACCTATCAATAGTTTCGAGAAGGTAATTTCACTTGGTTGGTATGTTTGGTTTCCCTCATCCCATATGTGTTGTAGCTCTGCAGAGGAAAGTGTTGTAATTAGTTTGCCAATCGTCAGTGTACCACAAATAGATCCGTAGTATACCTGGCTTTCTTCGCAAGTGCAATATTCTCCGTATAGTCTTTCAGTTTTCAGTAATTTGATGATGTCTCTAAGATACTGGAATATCTGGCTGATTATTTGGGCCCTCAAGCTTGCTATGCTTTCTTACGCAATCATTAGAACTTGGCCTGCTACCTCGGCTATGGATTGTCTATTTCGATGTACTACTTACCAAGAACACCAAGGGAACACACATCTTCTATCTTCTTTCCTTTGGAGTCCAACAAGTTACCTTCTTGGTCGATCGTCCAGTCCAGAATTATCTCTTTGGCCAGTTTTTCATAAACCTCTTCGGCTCCAAGCTCCCAAGCTACCCATAACGGCAATTTCTAGTCGATCACTTGTTGCGTAGTTACATGAGGTTGAAACCAAGTCTTAGCCCATGGTCTCAGAAGATGCACCATATCGTATTTGTTGGACAACTCCAGCAGATCTCTAATGTCTTTCAGGCCCAAAACATCTGGGACCTCTTCGAATTGAGAGTGCATGATGTGGAGAAAGGTCTTGAATGCGACTGGGTTATCTTCTGGCAACCCCACAGTCCATGGGCAGGCGCTTGTAGAGTTCTGGGCTTCCTTGAAAGGACCGTAAAGCATGACTTTGAAGACAGGAGATGAGCGTGAGAGATCTTTTGAGCATATGAGGAATGTTTGTTGTTCCACTCCCTCAAGCTCAGTGCCTACCACGAGGGTCAAGTCACCGGCAGTATCGAAAGTAAAGGTGTGCTCTGCCATTGCTTGGCCTCGATGATCTTCAGTGTCAGTGTAGAAGTAATGTAAAGAGTTTCAGCTGCAAAATCAAAAGAAAGGAATGCAGTGTGTTTATATAATGCGAAAGTTGAGCTTGTGATTATGACTGTGGTGTTTCATCGTGAATACCCTAGGTCTCGGGAATCACTCTATGACTCTAAAGCTTTGTGCACAGTCACTTTGTTGGCAGAAACCAGCTAATCCAACATTTGAAGGTAGTGATTCATTATTTCGAACTCCGGACCAAAAGATTACTTTAAGTAGCATCGCTGCAGTTCAGAACCTCATGCCTCTACTTTCCTCTTCTCCGCTCGCGACCAGCATTAAGCGTGGTCGCAATCTAACAGCACATCATCGAGGGTGGCGCTGGAGAGATAATTCTAAAAATCAAGTCTATTCAAGGAAACTTAGACGGACATTACGTGCCATTCAAGAAGCGGTATGGCAGTAATAAGCTTCATGTCTCCATGGCCATGGATTACGCGAGCCCCTGATTTGGAGTTTTGCCAAACGAGAGCCGGATACAATGGCGGGCCGTCTCGTCGTGTCTAGCAACCCTACGGTTACTGGTTCTTGCACCAGCGTCTATTCTGGGGTAACTTGAACAGGGTTATATATATTTTCACTTGTTCTGTTCAACGTGTAGAGGCTATCCACAAAGTATGTACCTCCCTTCCACTAAGCTTTCCAGCGATGAGTCTCCACAAAATTGTGGGAAGCGAAATAAAATACCTATGAATCGTGGGGATCACATCAGTGCATACACATTTTCATCATGACGCGCGGCTCCGCTTATGCCCTTTTCTTTTCCATTATCCTTTTTCTTCGAATCTGGATATCATTTAGATGATCTCGCTTACAAACAACCGGTCTGTTCAGCCAAGTACCGAGCAATCCAAGCTGTTTTCGGGACCGAAGCAGCTTCCCCACATCGTGCATGGACCTGATGACGCCGTCAAACGTCCATAATTTTGTAAAAATTCGCCAATGGGGAGGGGTTAGACTAGGATGGGGCGAGGATTATATCCTCATTGTATGGTTCTTGCAATTTCAAAGAATATATATAGCGGTAGATTGGTGCTTTTGAAACGGTACGCTTTTCTTTTGTCAAAAAGCTTCCATTCAAGCTCAGGATGACTGCTTCGCTCTTTTCGGCCTTTGGGCTACTTAGTCTCTTTTCTGGCTGCAGTGCTGCAGCTGTTGAACCAACATTAACTTCGACGCCTCCGTCGACGGACACCTCGTCCGTTGCCTTAGCTGATTCCCCTACTGTTTCCATCAATCACTATGGAACGGTTCGAGGCAATCGATCCTCGTACATAAACTCAGTCTACAACTTCAAAGGGATTCCATACGCCGGTGCACCTACTGGAGCCTATCGTTGGAAACATCCACCCCACCCAGCTGTATGGAACGATACTCGAGATGCGACCACATTCAGTCCGGCTTGTCCACAACCAGGTGTCGCCAATTACAGTGAAGATTGTCTCTACCTCAATGTTTGGACGCCAGATAACGCGACATTGAACGACTACTACGCAGACCCTTCAGGTGGTGCTGGTGTGTTGCCTTATCCCAACGCAACTATATATCCTGTCTACGTATGGATTTATGGTGGACGATTTGCAGGCGGTGCTTCAAGTGATCCTCTCTATGACGGAGCCGGGCTTGCGGCCAAAGGGGTAGTGGTCATTACTATGAATTATCGTCTCGGCGCTCTTGGTTTCTTGGCACATCCTGAATTGAGCGCAAATTCTTCAAGTGGCACTTCTGGGAATTACGGTCTTGTTGATCAACAAGCATCCCTTCATTGGACGATTGAGAACTGTGCTGCCTTTGGCGGAGATCCTACTCGAATTACAATTGGTGGGCAACCAGCTGGTGCGGCTTCTGTCATCGAGCATCTAAACAGTCCTCTTGCAGACGGACTCTTCACTCAAGCTATTGCAGAAAGTGGCGTTCGCTATCCTTCTGATCCTCTGGTCGGCAGTCTCGCGGAGAGCTATCGCCAACTATCCGAAGCTGAGGCTCAAGGTACAGCTTACATCGAGAGTTTGAATGTCAGCAGTATCAACGAGGCTCGTGATCTCCCTGTTGAGGCTTTCCTGTCATCTGGAATGATGAGCGACACAACTTATGTTGGAACAGTCTTTGAGAACAACTCCAATTACATGGAACCACCTCTCTTCCGCCCGGTTCTGGATGGTTATGTCCTTCCGGCAACCTACGCATCACTTCTCGCATCAGGCAATCATTCCATAGTACCTGTCCTGACAGGAAATAACAAAGACGAAAGCGGAGCGAGTCCAGATCCGGGACTGAATGTATCAAGCTACACTTCTACATCTGAACTCGATTTCGGTAGCGTTGGCCTCGCAGATGAGTACTTCGCTTTGTACCCCGCTGGCAATACTTCCGCCTCAGCAAACAATGCCAGCAACGCATTCTACCGCGATCAAAGCCGCACTGGGACTTGGCTCTGGGCTAATGAGTATGTCTCAGGCTCACAAAACTTCTTCGCAAACGGCAACTTCACAACCTATACCTACTACTGGACCCATGCCCCTCCCAACCAAACCAGAGGAGCGTATCACATGAGCGAGATCAACTACGCTTTCAACAATCTGTACGCCACGGATAGCCCTTGGACTGCCGAGGACTATGCGATTGCGGAGATGTCGAGTTACTGGGCCAATTATATCAGGAGCGAGAACCCGAATGGGAAGGGATTAGCGACTTGGCCGGCGAATTCGGCCTCGAGTGCAGTGACGATGGAGTTGGGGGATGCGTTTGAGGTTGTTGAGGTTGCGAATTCGTCGAACATTGCTTTCATGAAGGAGTGGTTCTCAAAGTGGCCTGTGTATTAACATTGAGATTGATATGGATTAAGGGTGAATTTCGAATGTTCCAACCAGTTACTTGACTTGTGAAGCACCCAATAAGTATTTCATTGAGAATGAGTCCAAAGGACGGAAATCTCCAGATTTTACTAGGATTTGCTTTTGTTTATGTTAATTCCGCACCGATTTTGTCGTACATGCGCGAGATTGATTTTTACACTTTGCTGCAATTGATCACGGGGTATTGTTACCCAAATTATGCCCTCATCATTATACTAAACACATATCTGTCGAAAGAAAAAAGCCAACAGGAGAGTCGCAGCTCAAGAGCGGCTAAAGATGCCTTGGAAGGACGCTCTCGTCAAATGTGATGGGACAAAGTGAATCTTGCAGACTACTGCGTACCAAATGAGCTCGTGCATTAGGGGACTCCCTCTTGTCTGTTCCTCAGCTCAACATTTGTTTAGTGATGTCTCTAAAAAGGATCATTTGGAATAAGTGCAATGAGTGGTGAGGATCAACGAGGGGTAAGCGTGCAGTGTCTAGGCAAGTGATGTTGGAAAAAATGTCCCGCGACTATTTCGGAGTTGGTATTGGATCAAAATACTTAACCAATCAAAGATTAGCACCAGAATCTGCGATGGCTTGCTTTACAATACTCGAGTACATTAGTTCGACCGCTCGCCATGACGGGAGGGCGAGAAGCGGATTCTCCGGGGCCATCCAGGTAAGCGGTCCATCCCGCACGTCGATCATGTTGCGGAATCGGGACATACCAGAGCCATCAAGCTCCGATCGCGAACATATGCAACTTAAGAAATAGAAGCATCGGAATAAGAACATGCATGCCAAGCCTTGTCCGGCCGTGCATTAATGTTGAAGCTGTTTGGCCTACTGGATGTGAGCGCATCAATCTTGTTCTTTCGACCGATCCATCTAAGCTTTTGTAAGTATGGCCACAAACATCTACTTTTGCTACTGTATGCAACTAAAAAGGGGAATTCCCGAAACTAATGAACTGACGCGATGTAACCTAGATGCTGGGGAAGATCTAAAAGATCTACAGTACATACAAATTATGACCCCCACATGAACCCCTCTTTTGCCTACCCCACCTTGCGGGATCGACGACGCGGGACCGAATGCGCATTGCATTTCAGCTCGGAACTAGTTAAGTATCTCAAGAGCCAACACTTGCGAAAGCACTAATTAGGAGAGGACACTGCTGCACGGGAGAGACAAGTGAGCGTATCAGTCCCAATCACGAAAGACAACGAGCTTTGTTACGGATGCGATCATGGACCCCATGCACCTCAGCAGACCGAATGACACTTCATCCAGCCTAACCCGCCAAATTAAGAGGATATCACGGCTGGTGAGGTCCTAAGGATTTCCTAGATGCAAGAACTCGTACCGTTTCTCGCGGGTTCAATGAAAGTAAACAGAGATTATACAGAATCATATCCTCGAGAGTATCAAACATGTTGGTATCTATGGAGCTCTCTGCTTCAGCTTACGCGGTCTTCCGGCTACTTTGTGACTAGAGAGCTTAAGTTGGCTGTTGACGGCAAGTGACCAAACGCGCGGAAGCGGGATCTGAGCAGAGGGGTACATCGGTATGAGAGAGCGTCTCTTCTGCGTTCGTGCATATGCCTAGCTAAGCTCCTCAACGATTTGCGAACGAATAATAGGCCACGACCAAAGAGCGCAAGAGGGGTTTGCTTCTCAGCACTTGAGTGGATCCTGTAGTTTAGACCTAGGCTCGCAACTGCTTGCCAACTCACTGCAGCATGCAAAGAGCGCTCTTCTGGCTCAGAGTATAACACCCAGATTGGAACATGATCATCATGGTGCATTACCAGACCAGAGCTTCATGTCGTGATCGGAATCCCCGGCACAACCTCATCGTAATGTGGCTTGCGGGAGATTCTTTCAAATATGTCAGAGGTTGGGGACCAAGATTTGCAGTGACGGCTTTCTAGCTGCGAGCCAATGAACATACATGTCTTGGAGGCCTACAGATGTGTTCAATACACATATTTCAATACTTCCCCACGAGAATAGCAATTTCAAATCTCTAACCTGTACTCCGTACTGATTATTGATAAGCTCAATTCAACAGAAAGAATGGACGGTCCTCATCATATGCATAACATTTCAGAGATCTCTGCGGAGACTCTCACCAATCCCGAATTCACACCCGACAAACTTTCAATCATGAAGCTTAGAGATTCATCGTTCCTGAATAGTCGAGATTACCTCTCTGCCCCCACCACACCAACCGGTATCCGAAAGTCATTCGATTTCTCCAATGGCCTCGATTACAGCAAATCCGATTCGATGGCTCGCTCGAGTCGCCAAATCAGCTCCTCAACCCGTCTATCAAACTCCTTCAGACAGTCTCAGGGAGGCCTGAAGGTATCCATGGAGCTTACCCGCCAAGCCGAGGGCAAGTTCTTTGCATTGATGGATCTTGTATCTAACGCCTCTCGAGAAGCGACATCTCTCAAGGAAATCTGGTCCGCTTTGATTCAGGAGCGTGAATCATTGACCCGCGAGCGTGAGAACCTCCTGGAAACCATCACTGAGGTTACCGAGACGCTTGAGCGCACAGAGAGCCAACAGCACTCCCATGGGCGCGAGCACGAGCAGCGAAAGAATCAAGTTGAGAAATTGCTCGTTGAGCTCTCATTGGCTCTGAATAGTATTGCGGAGCATGAAAAGAAAGGGACGTCTCGCGACCACGAACTTTTGCGTGCTCGCAACGAGTTGCAGAATCTACGCGACTCTGTTTCTCGCTCAACCATCACCCATGACAAATTGAAGTCTGATTTCCAGGACATCGAGTCAAGGATCAGAATTGTTGAAGATGAACGTGATCATGCCAAGAGACACGCAGATAAGTACGTCAATTTCCCCACTGAAATGTCATTGTCTCGCTCAAGACGTCCATGAATACCCCATACTGATTATTCAATACCTAGATACCAGGAAGAGTCGCGAACTCTGAACCGAGAACACACCGATCTCAAGAGCAAGTTCATCGAGACAACGTCAAAGCTGGAGTCTGCGCGTAAGGAGATTCTCTCTTTCACAGATCGACTCAAGATCTCGGAGATGGATAGAGACAACTACCTTGTCGACAAGGAACGTCTGCAGGAACTCCTTCGCAAAGCCAATCTCAAAAACGAAGAGACTTCATTGGAGTTAATTGAGCTCACAGAGAAGCATGAACATCATCTGAGAGATATCAACAAGTCTAGGGAGACAATTCGTGACTTGGAGTCAGATGTCGACAAGTTTTCGACTACAGTGGATCACTTGCGCCGGGAGATCAAGACCAAGACGATCTCCTATGATGAAGCCGAGGCTCGAGCTGCAGAGCTCAGCTTGAAATTCGAGCATCTGAAGAGAGAGAACAACATGACAAAGGACAAGCTTAGTATACTCGAGGTCGAACGCTCCGAACAACAAGAAATCATCGACAGAATCCGTGAAGAATCTCGCTTAGCCTTGGTCGAGAAGAACACTCTCCGAGATGAGCTGGAGATGTGGCGTCACCGCACTGGCGACCATCAACGAACGATCAGCCAGCTCCAGGAGTCTTTGCGAAAAGCCGAGTCCTCACTCGTGGAGGTTCGCTCTGAGGTACATACTCTGAGTGATCGTCTTACTATCGCCGAGCGCGAGCGTAGTGAAGCTCGCGATAAGCATGGCCACCACTCCGGCGAGATCAGCCATCTCAAGGAGAAGCTGGTCATCGTTCAAGCTGAGCTTCGCTCCATGAGCGAAAGCCGCGATCGTCTCCGTGAAGAACTTCACGAAGCAAAGCTCCGGTACGAAGAGGTCACGGAGACCATGACTGAGTATCGGGATAGCAGCGGCGGCTTCGAGTTTGAGATTGAGCACCTTCGTAGCATGCTCCGTGAATCGCGTGAGCAGAAGGAGAGGGCTATCACTGCACGCAATGCTGCAGATCGTGAGAGAGATGAATATATTTCACGGTACGAAGAGAAGTGTCGTGAGATGGAACGATTTGAGCAAAGCGCATCCAGCCAGTTCCATTCGCGAATGTCGAGCGGAGGTGGGAGGACCTCTTCACGAGTTGTGTCGCGCACAAATACTGTGAACACCAGTGGTACAGCTGTTCACAGCGGCAACGGCAACGGCAACGGCTTTGGTCAGGGCAGCGAGTTCCGATCAGGAGAGCAGCAATCTGGAAGTATGGAATAATCGAAAGCCGTCATTCATGCATGTCCTGTTCAATCGTTGACGCTCTTCTTTCTGACGATTTTTGTAGTTTGTCCGTGTCATCAAGCTTCACTTGTTCACCATATGAGCTCCAAAAAGAAGTCTAAGAATGAATCTGGGATCCAGTTTGTGGTTGTCAACTGTCTTACAGGGGCACATTGTCGCTGTGTTGACGTTCTTGGAGAAATTGGGATGATGGATGTGCCCGTGGACCAAGCTGCTCACAGTCATATGGAGAAATTGCCATCACGAAAGTTATCCAGAAGATATTTACAGGAAAAGCTCTTCAAACCTAGTCTTACTTTCAAGTTTAGGAAGGATTAAAACATCTTTTACTCATGAGATGACCTGATAAGTGAAATTTATTCGGAGTTTAGAATAAGAACTAGCTTCGAGGACCAAAGTCTCTCATGGACAGCTCATTGTGTGTTCTCTCTCTTCTCACGAGAGTTCTCCAGTGTGTCATTCCAAGATAAAATCGAGGGATTTATTCACATACTCATCCCTCTCGAATCTAGTCCAAAACCAAGGGTTTCTCAAATTCACCCCACCTCGCAATTCGCTCAAATCTTCTTTTCGGTTCCAAATTTTTCCTGCCTGCCCTCTCTGTCCCAAAATTGCAAGAGACCTAACTACTTAACCACCTTGTCTCTAAGCCAACGGGAACCATAAGAAGCACAAAAGGCGTGAACAATCTGAATAAAGCTGTTTGAAGCTTGATACCTCGAGCATATATTCAGATGTGAGGGGAAGGAACTAAGTGATCAGCCGGCTCGTATAGTGTTGGAAGAAAAGTTAGCGAGACATACTATAGACTTGTTGTCTACTCTTCACTTCTTGTTAATCCTTTCTATTTTTCGTTCCTTCAACAATCACATTGGACGAAGGATAAAATGTTTTTAGGCTCCGAGATTCAACCTCTGCGGCCTTTCTGCCGCTCCTCACGTCGCTTGACAATCAAAGTCAAAACCAGCAAACGATATCTGTATCGGACGCGTGTTCTAGCTTCTATTAATTCTCATGGTAATGACAGAGTGTGGTTTATATATGCGTTGCTCTTAGTTTTCTTGAACGCGAATTCGTGTAAAGCCAGAAGCTTAAGATTCACTTCAATGCCTTTGAGCCACTTGATTTCATATTTAGCTTGGAACACTTCTATAGCCTTCTTTTAGTTAGGAGATCTTTCAACTGGAGTATATAAATACCCTCATCCAAGATAATTCATCAAGTCTTTGGGCTTCAATTAATGTTCGGACCAGGATAATACGGAGCAGCTATGAATGTTCTTGACATAGTGACTCGGTCTCGGCATCAATTTTATAAGTGGTGAGAAGCAATGAGTGTGTATTAAAGAGTACTCAGCACTTAGGGAGCAGATCGCCGTCACTTCTGTGTTCATTGTCAACTATCATCGGCCTCGTTCCTATATACTCAGCGTGGTGAAAAATGCAGTACGAAAACTTACATCAGCTGTCCACAACCAACACCGCGGCCAGGATGACACCCCAAACACCACTGTCATCCCGTTCCTAGTTTTGTCTCGCCTAAGTAACGTCTTTGTGCGGATTACAGAGAGACTGGAATGGGGTTTGTATAGAGGGGACGGAGAGCGGAGGGTGGGAGACGGAGGACCGAGAGAGGTGAACGGAGAGCGGGGAGCGGAGAGCAAGGTCTGATAACTTCACCCACAGGCTTTGGGTTACTCGACTTCAGTACTCAACTTCCAGAACGTAGAGGCTGCTACGAAAATACGTCTTGCGTCCTATTCGCACCTCTTTGTCTGTCATATTGAATTTTAGTGCTGGTCAGGAGTTGTTTATGTAAACCTTGTCCATCTTTCTCCAGCTCGGTTGTCTTCCAATTTGACTCATCCTGAACAAGAAAGTAGACCTTTAATATCTCACTCAACTTCTATTCACTCCAAACTCACAAAGACACCTTTCAACCATCCCCATCACAGATCCTAGGAGTGGGGTATATAAACCCCTAACTCTTGCAACGATATTGCACTTGGAAATTTCAGTTCGGGCTAGTTTCCCCAGTCTCAAATAAGTCTAGATCCTGACAACAATGCTTAGCTCCACTGCCATCCTGCTCCAAATTGTTCGAAAGGCTGAGTATACAAAATCCAATTCTCAAGTGGAACAACTTGAGGAAGCAAGAGAGAAAGAAAGGAATCAGCCTATTCAAAGATCGTTCTGAAAATTTGAATTGCAACTCACCAAGAGAAAGATCCGTTGTAACTATCAAAAACCCAAGCCTCTTGTGCTAGTTCCTATAGTCTTTATCCTGTTGTCATATCTGAATTTATTGCCAATAGCATCTTCATAATACTTTAAACCACGATCTGCTAAATACACATACTTCAAGACCCCTAGAAGGGAACGCGCTGATACATAAAGTTCCGAATGTATCCCAAAAAACTTTGAGACAGCTTTCCATTTCTCTCCCGCGTGTTCTCGTCTTCGTTTTTTGGTACAGCGCATCCATAACTACCAATGCGCGTTGTTTTTATACTTCTTTCCCTGTCTCTCTTCTTGCTCGACTTGATTATGCGAGCTTGGACCACGTGAGTCCTGAAATTTACCACGTAGATGCCTTCTCCACATCAATTGGAGCTACAGCTTCACTTGAATTTCAAATTCAGTAGCGGGTTATATGAACGTTTATACAAACAAAGAGGAGGCCCTCTTCACATGCTACAAATCAAGCAAAGATTGAATCCATGGTGGTAGAGCAGACCTGTGGTGGAAGAGCTTGGGTGCAAGCCAATTTAACCCCGCGAATTTCTGAGCTGTGGTTTCCCGAACAGTATTGAGGACACTCTAGTAACTGTCATACTCAGTTCCACTGTCAACTGTAGTTCAAATCTTATAACTTTTGGAATCATGACCTCACGACGAAGTGGACACACCGACACTGACTATCTCTGGTTAACATGACGATAGAACCTCATGAAGATGGATTGGTTTCGTGATTGGAGCTCGCTTTAAGAGGTTTCCAGGACACTGGAAGCGGTGAATTAATATCCTTCACCACCTCTTTATCTCTTTGCGGAGGCCTATTAATTCACCCAAGCTTACACAGTCTACGGGATAGGCACTCCTTGGTCCTGGAGAAGTATATAAAGCTTTCTATCCTCCCTGAAACGAGACAATCATAACTTATCCGCCAGAATGAGAACCAAAGTGGAGGGAAAGTTGAAGTAGGCAAGGTCACAAGAATTCAAGAAGAATTGCATTTCAGGTCTGGTCTCAAAGTATGAAGACGTAAGAATATCATGTTAAATTCGATAATCAGGAAGGTCATGTGTTGCCATTTAAACACTCGTTGTTAAGTCTCTCAAACGTCTAAAATTGAACCTATACTGTTTAGTTGTTCGAAAGGTGCACAGGAAGGAGAAATTTCTGTCTACAGAGTCTCACCAGTAGAAGCCGAGACGCCCGATACATTGTGAGAGAGGGATGTGGATCATAGAGTACTGCAAGGAGAATGTGGGAAGGGAGGAATATATACCGGCCTTCCACCTCATTTTCAACAAGTAGAGAAAGGTTTGATTCGCTCCAGCACTGTATTTGCATTACGAAAGCTTCTCTTCAGTTTCCATAAACATGGTGCGCCTGTACTTCTTCAATCTTGGGAAAGTATATTAATCTCTTCCCCGTAATGTATTACAATAAACAACATAGTGGTCAGAGAATGAGTCTCGTGGGAGCCTGTCAAACCTGGGTAGGGGATTGGCAGACCATGTTAAGAAGTGACGGAGAAATTTGATTGCGTGCTTAGTGTATGAAATTATTCTAAGGCTTGAAATGTGGGAACATTGTCATCAATGAAATGATTCTTGTCAACTCTTGCTTCTTTCGAATTTGTGAGACCTCTAAGTCGAGGTACTTATGAACCGTCGATAACAGCAAGCTGCAGCTACAAAGGTCGATGATATGTTACGACGCAAATGCTCTTTTCACAGGTAGTCATCGAAAGAATGAAGAACAACACGGCGAGAAAAGAACGTCGGGCTTTATGTACCCTTTCCAATTGTTCATTTCCCAATTTCACGATTCACCCAGTTCTCCTCACAGAGGACATTCTCTCTCATCAGCCTCCTATCCCAATTCCCAGGAGTATATAAGCTGCTCCCCCTCCCCATTCCTTCTGCTCGATCAACACCAAAACCCACCAGGTGCATCGGGACTGGAAGGCCGTGTCGGCGCTCAAAGTAAGAATTTCATGAAACCTTGGTTAGTGCTGAAACATTTAAAGATAGATATAGATTCTCGAGTGTAAATACGTTCAAAATGTAGAAATTGTTGCCATCTTTATTTTTGTTGTCGACTCCCCCTTTTCCCTCGCTTAGATTTTGAAATGCCGAATCGATCGCCGGGAAATGCAAATTTAGCTACGAAGTTAGCTAATATGTCGAAACCACAATTCCTGTAAGTCTTGTTCTCGAAGATATTAGTTAAATAAAGATCGACATGGAGACAAAATCCGGTGTTTATATACCTCTCTTCCTCTTTCATACTATATACGCGCTTTACTTACATATTTGGGAAACTAATTGATTTAGTTTTTCTTTCACTCTTAGTGTAAGCTTTAGCCACTCTTCCTCCTTTTATCTCCAGCATCAGCACGATATAAACTCCTCCTGGCCCTCTTGCACGATCGACACAACATGTAAAAAAGTATGATCGATCGTAGCATAGACAAGAAAATTGCGACAATCATCCTGCTTGAAGTGCCTGAGCACGTTCTTGATCTCAAAGGGTTTAGAAATAGAATGTGAGGTTGAAGGTAGAAGAGGGCGGGAAGATAAAGATGCTGTCAATCTAAAATCTGTTATCAACCTGCCCCGCCTTTTCGCTCAAAATTAGGAATCATGGACCATCGTCAAGAACAGCAAGCAAGGTCCCAAAAAACCCAACAATCTGGCAATATCAACATTCCCGTGACCCAGAGAAAGTAGCTTAGTATCGAAAGAA